CCACCCCCCTAATCTCCTCAACCCCCACCCCCCCCGGCCGCAACACCACCGGCGGCACACACAGTCCATCAACAACTGTACTCTCCACTCCGACCTCACACGCCCCGCCATCGAGCACCAGTTCGATTTTCCCGTGTAGGTCGTCGTAGACGTGCTGGGCTGTGGTGGGTGAGGGACGGGTGGAGGCGTTGGCGCTTGGGGCTGCGAGGGGACGGGATGTGAGGCGGATGAGGGTGCGAGCTAGAGAAGAGGAGGGGAGGCGGGCGCCGAAGGTGGGGAGTGTGGAGGTTACTTCGGGGGCGAGGGGGTTAGTAGTAGGAGTAGGAGTGATAGTGGGAGCTGGTAAGGGGAGGAGGATGGTTAGGGGACCGGGCCAGAAGGCGCGGATGAGGGGGTGGTAGATTGCGGGGATGGGGTCGTCTTCTTCTTCTGGTCCTGACTCTGTTCCTGGGTTTGTCGTCTTCCTGGTCCACCCGGGCCGAACCAACCCCCGTAACATATCCAAATCACAAACGTGCACAATCAGCGGGTTATCCGACGGCCGGCCTTTCGCCGTGTAGATCCCGCGGACGGCGTCTGAGCGCGTGGCGTCCGCGCCCAGGCCGTAGACCGTTTCGGTTGGGAAGGCTACGGGGATGGCGCTGGTGCGGAGGAGGTGGGCTGCTTCGCGGAGGGGGGTGAGTATTTCGTTTGAAGTGCTGGTGCCATTGTTGGTGTCGTTGGTGCCTGTGGTGCCGTTGCTGGTTTCGTTGGGTTGATCCTCCCCAGCAACAACCCAGTGACTGAGATCCGGCCGTCCATCGGGTAGTGTGTCCGCCCAGTGTCCCAGAGCAGAGTCATCTTTGCCCGTGACCGGGACGTGAAGGATTCGTGTCTTCATCGTGGCGGGTCTCACCGGTGACGGGGGCCGGGATGGTGGAGATTGTTGTTGTGTAAACGGTCGAGTTGTACCGGCACGAAATCGATCAAAGTAAAATCGAAGACGGGTGAGTGCAGCGGGCCAGCGCGCGGGTTTAAGCCGGTGGAAGGATATGCCCGCCAATTTGACTGTATTTCAAGGACTGAGAATTTGGTGTGTGATTTTGGGGTGATTTATTTGCGAAACCGTAGAGATGGTTGAGGATATGCTTTCGTTGTTGGTGGATGGATTGAATCGATAAGATGCGGGCCGTGTAAGTTGAGTTGAGTCATGGAGAATTTTTCCTCCACCAAAAATATGTAATCCATCTCACTCACTTAATTCCCACCCGACTTCCGGTCTTTTCAACTTCAAGGCAGCACACAATATTAACTTGAGACCCAAATCGGTGAAAAGGGAATAATGTGAAATACAGTCGCAATTCTTTTAATCTAGATGAGCTACAAAAGAACCGTGGTAGTTTTCCGTTTGACCCCCTGAACGCCACGCTGGCTGTCCTCTTGTGTACACTACAAAATACATGGTAAAACGAGCAAATGAACGCGAAAACAATGCAGGAAGCAGTGAAGCAGTGAAGCAGTGAAGCAGTGAAGCAGTGAAGCAGTGAAGCAGTGAAGCATTGAATCTCCATGAAAACAACTTCAAGAGCCTGATGAACTGGCCCGACCAGCTTGTAACGAACCCGGGTAGTCCCACCGATCCACCCCAATATCACGAGCCAGACATCATCCCCGTAGTAAGGATACGCGCAGCTCCAGCAGCCGCAACACCACTACCGCTCCCCCGCCGCCCCTCTAGCCCTCCGCCGCAGAGCCACGATGCCTACGGCTACCTCTCTCATTCCCTTCTCGATGTTATTCCCTTCTCAAGCTTGAGGTTCTCGACGTTGAGGTTCCCAAAGTTGAAATCATTCCCTCTCACTCCCCCTCCTGCCCCTTCTCACAGGCAGCGCACTAACAAACTCCCCCGCCATCCCCAACTGTTCCCCAAACCCGGCCAACAACCGCATCACCTCGTCCCTAACTTCTTCCCGTTCTGCCGTGCCTTGCATGACATTTGCTGAGGGGGGGAGCGGAGGCGCCGTATTATTGAGATCTGCCCCGTTGGGGTCCATCGCCATCGCCATGCTGGCTCTCATGTCCATGCCGGTGACGATCCGGGGGGGTTGTTGGTGATTCTGGTGATACTGCTGATTCTGATATTTTTGTTGTTGCTGCTGCTGCTGCTGCTGCTGCTGCTGTTGTTGATATTGCTCCCGCTGCCCCAACAACCCCGGCAACGGCACACTCCCACCACCACCACCAACACTACCCAAACTCGCATTCGACTGTGACCTTGCCCTAGTCCTCGCACGACTGCGCCGGTCGGTAATATCCCTCGGAGCCGAGCCCACCACAGCAGAAGCTGACCCGCCTATTTTTCCTCCACCACTTAAACTTCCACTTCCACTTCCCCCAGCGGGGAGATACTCCGAGTCGTACCCGGAAACCGAGTAACTGTCATCGTCGTAGCTGGTGGAGCGGGAGTGGGATACAGACTGCGATCCGCTGCGGTTCATACCCGGGGGTATGAAATCAGGCGGAATTGGACCGTGACCATCGTCAGCCTCGGTGGACTTGGCCAGGCGCGCCGCGAAATCACTGTCGTCAGAGATAAAGATGGATGGCTCGCGTATGCCGCCGAGTTGGGTGGTACTACCAAGGGGCTGGTACAGAGAGGCGTGGCGTTCCAAGTCGAATGGGTTGGCTCCGCCAATATCGGACCCAGTCACTGAAACGACGTCCGAGTTGGCCGTAGACGGGCGGGTTAACTCTGGCATCACCAGCCCTTCGTCGAGGTCGATGAGGCTGCCTACCGAGGCGCGGTTGTCCGGGATTTGCATTTGCATTTGCAGTTGGTGATGCTGAGTCTGAGGCTGCTGCTGCTGATGGAACGGATGGGACTGATTGTGTTGGTGGGCAGGCGGGGGTCCGAGATCGTGGGACTCTGATGACGACAGGTAGCCGCTCGGATCGGTCGGGTGGTAGATCATGGGCGGGCGCGACGGGGTTGGGTCGGCCCGTTCTTCGTGGAACGGGAACCGAGACATCTCGGGATTGGCCGACGCCGGGGGCGCCACCATCGTGGGGAACTTCCACTCTTGCGTGCGACGGTTGGGGTTGAGGTCGGCGGGGTCGCTTAGGGGCGGTCGGTTGTAATCTGTTGTCTCGTCGTCGGAGTCGCTGGGAACGCGCATGCCGGCTCGGATGGTCGCCATGTCGACGAACTGGGAGAGGTCACCGCCGTCATGCAGAGAAGCATCAAGATCGATCAACGATTCCCGGAGCGTCGAGTGTAGTGAGTCGTCTCGCAGCGGGAGATCTGAAGTGGTCGTGGTAGTGGTGGTCATCGGGAGCGGGGGTGCTCTCCCATAGTAAGCCCGCGAGTTGTCTTCATAGTTAGAGATAGTATTAGGGTCAAATACCTTTTCGAGCGGCGCTTTGTGAGGTTGCAGCTGTGGAGGAGGCGGGCGTCGGCGCGGCTTGGGCTTGGCCGGGCGCGAGGTTTGCTCGTCGTACTCAAAGTCAACGTTGGACCCGTACACGTCAAAGACGGCCCGGGCATCCGTGTTCATAACTTGCCGGTCAAAGTCGACTGTAGTGCTAAAGTTCCACTCGTCGCTCGGGGGCTCCGAGGATGCGTAGTCTGACGGTCCTTGCACGCCGACTGGAGTAAATAGAGACCTCCGAATACCGCCCTGGCCCTCCCAGAGCTTGTATGCCTTGACGAGATTGGCCAGCGAAGCCGCTGGGTATACGGCACTCGTTCCAAAGATGAACGGATGTTGCTGGATTTCCTGAATCGTCGGTCGCTTGGCTGGGTCTTCCACTAAACAAAACGCCACCAGGTCCTTGATCTGATCCGAGTAGTCGCCCTCGAGCCGCGGCGCGTGGTGTTTAATGTACTGACCGAGCTGCTGCACATTGAAGCCTGCCATCACGTTGGGCGGAAACCCCGAGGCCAGTTCGTACACCAGCGAGCCAAAGGCCCAGATGTCAACCGGCGTGCTGTACGCCGGTTCCGGATCAAACAGCTCGGGGGCCATCCAGTTCAGCGTTCCGATGAAGGTAGTGCGCTTGTCCAGTTTCGACTCGACGATCCCGGCCACACCGAAATCGCACAACTGCACGCTTCCGGCCTCGGTGACCAGGACGTTGGCGCACTTGATGTCGCGATGGATAATGCCCTCCTTGTGCACCCAATAAATAGCCTCGGCCACCTCTCTCACAATCGGAATGATCCATTTCTCCTGCAACCCCCCCGGCGCCGTCGGTTTCATGAGCGTCGCCACACTTCCTCCCGCGCAGTACTCCGTCACCATCCACATAGCCTGCCCGACCGGAAGGGCGTCGAGGGTTAGGTTAATGTTTTTCGCTCCGCTCTCGCTGAGCATCTTGAGCGCCGAGAACTCGTGCATGAACTCGCTGTACGTGTCGGCCAGCTTGGGATTCAGCGTGTCCCCTTCCTCGATGTTGATGATTTTGACCGCCACGAGCGCCTTCGTGTTGACGTCTGTGGCCTTGTACACCCGCCCGTAATTCCCCTTGCCGATCAGCTCCTGGAGCTGATACGGCGGCACGTCCTTCCCTGCCTTCCCGCAGTCCTCCTCCACAATCGCTTGCATTTTCTTCGCATCTTCGATCGCCTTCTGTTTGGTCGTGGACATATCCGGGAACCGGACCTGCAAGCTCCCACTCGCCATGGCGATCGGCGAAGTCCCGGTCCGTTGGGCCGGTCTGTTTACTGGGAGGATTCGCGAGCTAGCCGCGAGTTGGTCGACGGTGGACCCTGAGTCAGCGAAGGCGGCCACAGGATACCGGAGGATTCGGTCGGCTGAGACGGCGGCTGCTGCTCTCCCGACTCTTGGCCCTCAGCCGTGGACTCGGCGTCCTGACGGGGGAAATCGCCGGACTGACCGGCCAGCGAGGCGATCGCGACGTACAGCTCTACAGAGGCAGAGTCCTCTTCCTCGTACGCCGCGAGCACTGCCTGCTCGCACGCGCCCGGAACTAGGCAGGCGTCGCTGGGCAGCCACGTTAGTACATACAGCGGAATTGGAATGGAGAAGGCGAAAACGAAGAGGCATAACGCTCAAGAAATACGTACCCGTCCCAGGTAAGGGACACCTCTCGCGACCACCCCCAGATGACCTCCTCGGACTCGAGGAGCCGAATGGCGTCGTCGTCGTCGTCGTCGTTGGCCTCCTCCTCCGACAAGGAAGGCTCCGACGAGGAAGACTCCGACGCGACGAGGGTTTCCTCACCGGTCGCCTCGGTCCAATCCCCGTCGCGGCTGCTGTCCCTAGGTCCGATATCCTGCATCACGGTCAGTTGTGGTCCTCGACGGTGGTGTTTGTTTCGTGTGCTCGACTGGTTTGCGAGGTGATCAAGGGGTGGTGAAAAAAAAAAGGTAAAAAATCGCAGAACCAAATTGGAACGAATTTGAATTCGCAAAAGAGCGAACCTACCGGAAATTCACACCCCCGTGGCCTTGAAGCCCTAAGAATGTGGTGTCGACGCGGGTCGTTGGAGGTTGAAGTGGTTGATGGCGGCCAATCCCGCGGTAGCAGGCACTGGCGGGGCAAGAACAGAAGTGAGTTTAGGAAGGGCTGGCATTGTTGGTTAAAATCGGATGCTTGATGGGATTTTGCTTGAAGAAGGAGCTACTCACAGATTTGTGCGGCGGATCCCGGCCGTTCAACGCAAATTCGTGATGAAAGTCGTAGTGTTGAAAGATTGAAGTGAATTTAGAGGTGAACTTTAATGGATCCAGGGGTTAGACGCCTCAAACGGCTGTTTTCCACTGGTCGTCTCAGTGAGCCAATCACCGGGCTGAGACAGTTTTGGGCACGAGCCAGCACTACAGGGCTCCATTCCAGGATAGGGACCACCCATTTCACAACTTACGCCCTAAACAACTCCAGTGTTCGGCCGCGAGAACAAATCCAGGTGTCGGTCTCTACCTATTCATCGCATATCAATTTTCTCTGGGTAATTGAGACGGTTGACGCACAAACATTGTCGGATATGTTCAGCCCTCGTCTGAATGAAACCGCACTTTCGTCGGAACCATAGAGCTCTTTCACTCAGCTAAAGGTCAACTCTACCTAGCCGCCAAGAATTCAGCTTTTGAGCCTCCTGTATCCCATAAACCACGATAATTCATCAACGCCATATATTCTCTCTAACCCTCTCTCTAATCCTCATTCTCACCCCCCTGCTCCTAAGACCTATTCACCTACTCCACCTCACCCCCCTCAACTCACCCTCCAACCGCCCAACCATAGTCCCATGAATCTCCCTCCACCCATTCTCACACGACGCCTTAACAATCCCCACCAAAAACCTCGAACTGGTCGCTGTAACACTCTCCACCAATTCCAACCTCGACACTCCCCCTTCTTTCAGCCCTCCTCCCCCTCCTTCCTCCCCACTACTACTACTACCACCCCCTCCTCCACCCTCTCCTGCAGGGCTATCGGGGAGATCACGAATCTCCCAAAACGTCTCCAACATAGTCGACAACGGACTCCGAATCCGCACAAAGAGCCCATCCCGAATCTTGGTCAACTCGTACGTGCTAACAACATTGGTATCCCAAATCCCGGCCGGGATGGCGTGCACGATGTCTGTTACGCGGTAGCAGCTTGTCGTCGGCTGCTCATCTCCTCCCTTTTCCCCAACCTCCACTTTCCCATTCCCATTTGCGGTCGGCGGGGGGGTGCTAGAGGTACGCAACTGAGCAGCGACGGAATCAGGGATAGAAGGCGGCGGGTTGAGACTGGCGTGCTGGGATGGCGGGATCAGTTCGTATTTGTCCATGTGCGGGTTGCAGTGGAAGTAGAAGTCGTAGTCGGAGAGCATGGCGATGGCTTGGGCGCGGGTGGTGCCTGGGGGAAGAGGGGTGTGGTGTTCTAGTTTTGCTGTTGTGCTGAGGACTATTTATGGGGGAGGTTAGTTAGTTACCTAGGTAGCTTTGGAGAGGGGAGAGAAAAGAAGGTTTTGGGAGGGGTGAGGTTTACAAGACATGGTGAGTTTGTTTGAGGGGTCTATTGTATTGCGGTGGGTATGAATGAGATACCAAAGGTTTATGGTGTTTTGATATAACGTGGTAGAATAATTAATGGTTGGAGTGGGAATTGGCTCTCGGCTTTCCCCTCATAAATCTGAGCGGGAGCTCCGAGTCGGATGTTTGCAGCGCAGCGCTTGACTCGGGGATGCGGATGCTCTTAAAAACAGACGTCACAAATGGGAACGTTCTGGCCACCCACCACTCTCGCACGGCCACGTTAGGTATTTCCTGCTCTGAGTGGTCTTCTCCAGCAGAAGACTGGGGGCATCTGATACAAAGCAGGTCTCGCCTTGGGGCTGAACGTCCTGGCCAGACAGCACTAGATTAGTTTAGCGTTTCCGCCCTGCATGCAGAAGCGCCTTCATGCTTGGACGTTTGGATCGGTCCGGGACAGCCGAATGGTGGTTGTGAAACACCCGAGCGTACCGGATGTAAGACATGGATGCAGGAAGAGTGGCCTAAAGTATAAAAAGAAAAAGCGACGATAATTTGGAATTTTAACTCGAAGATTTTGGCAAGGTTTAATTCGCGCTCAATGACACAGGGAAGGCAGTTGTGTCAACCTTCCAGATAACGCTGGTTGACACTTTTGGCGGGCTTTCCACGGAGCCTGCGAGGGTTAGGGTTGGCGGGGTCAAGCAAATAATGCATGCACCCTGGCCGCCTCGGCTAAGCTGAGACTCGCGACTTCAACCACAACGTTTCGTCCACAATACAATCCAAACCTCAACATGGACACAATACTGAGGAGACGGGGCGCATATGTATGCCGCAGCTGTACCAAGACCCTCCGGAGGCAATTGAGCCGAAACTACTCGAGTGCGGCCTCCCAACCAGACATTTACGATGTAGTTTGCGTTGGGGGAGGTCCCGCGGGGTTGAGTCTGTTGACAGCGCTGCGTAAGTTCCCCCTCTTTCAAGATCTCTACTTTTTGTCAAATTAAAGGGCTTAAAAGTAGTCTGACCATTATTACAGGAGCTAACCCAGTCACATCCCACCTCCGAATCGCCCTCGTCGAAGCGCAAGACCTGTCCAAGATCCGGTCATGGAAACTGCCCCCAGATCGGTTCTCGAACCGATGCAGCTCTCTCACCCCCTCATCTGTCCAATATCTCGACCAGATTGGCGCCTGGGGACACCTCGAGAGGAGCAGGGTGCAGGCGTTCCAGGAAATACAGGTGTGGGATGGCGTAACGGGTGCACGCATCGAGTTTGACTGGGCCCCGGGCTCGGCCCCCGCAGCCGGGACGACCGTCGCGTACATGAACGAGAATCTGAACCTCACCTCGGGATTGTTAAAGAGGATAGAAGAGTTGGGTGGTGTGGCTGTGTTTGACAAGGCCAAGGTGGAACGGATCGCGTACCGGGAGGAAACGGGGGACCTAGACCTTCGCGAATGGCCCGTTGTTCACTTGGCCGGGGGCAAACAGCTTGCTGCCCGGCTCCTTGTCGGCGCAGATGGCGCCAACAGTCCGGTGCGCTCGTTTGCTGGGATCGAGGCTCGTGGCTGGGACTACGACCGACACGGTGTTGTGGCTACCCTGGAGATGGAAGGGGAGGGTTGGGGGAGCGGAAATGAGGTCAAGATCGCCTACCAACGGTTCCTCCCCACTGGGCCTGTCGCGATGCTGCCTCTCCCAGGGAACTACTCCACGCTAGTCTGGTCAACCACACCCAGCAACGCCTCCTTGCTCAAGAGCCTCTCAGCCAAAGATTTCATCGCCATGGTGAACGCCGCCTTCCGCCTAACCCCAACCGACCTCGCATACATGCACACCCAATCCTCCGGCCAAGCCGCCGAATATACCTGGAGGCTCCAACACACCCCCTTCAACCACCGCGCCGTGCCCCAAACGGCCCTGGCCGTCCAAGACGGCACGGTAGCCTCCTTCCCGCTCAAAATGCGCCACGCGGACACCTACACGACCGATCGCATCGCCCTCGTCGGCGACGCGGCACACACCATCCACCCGCTCGCCGGCCAGGGCCTGAACCAGGGCCAGGGCGACGTGCAGAGCCTCGCCAAGACGATTGAGTATGCCGTCCGCCATGGGCAAGATATTGGCGTGGCCATGTCGCTGGAGCCGTATGTCGCGGAGCGGTATGCCGCGAACCATGTGCTGCTTGGGGTTTGTGATAAGCTGCATAAGCTTTACTCGGTGGGTAGTGGTCCGCTGGTGCCGTTGCGGTCGGTTGGGTTGAGTGCTGTTAATGCTTTGGGCCCGCTCAAGACGTTTTTTATGAACCAGGCCGCTGGGAACGGGGTCAAGGTTTTTTGAACAATTAAAACGAAGGGCGTTTTTTAGGCATGGCCGGCGTTGCCACACGCCCCATCTTCCGCGTGGATTCTTGTCCGACTCGCAAAACACACGCTCCTGTTGTACATGTACAGATTTTGTTTGCACACATGTGATTATACCTCCGTTTCCCGCGCTCCTTTCCCCAAACCGTTGAGTGTTCTTAGCGGCGGCCGGCCCTGTGGGTGGATGGAATACAAAACACGGAGGACCTTTTTCCTCGTTTCACTGTTTAAGGACCCTCTTCCCTTCCCTTCCCTTCCCTTCCGTTGCCGCAGGTTTTTCCGGCTGCCCTGCCGCGTGTATCGTACGATGCCAGATGGGATGATTTGCCACGGGGAAAGCCCTGGAGGCTATGAAATGATGGCAACTTTCCACCGGAAAAACTATTGTTTTTGTTTTTGGCTTCCTGCCTTCCATTTATCTCCTTCCCTCCCATCCATGGTTTACGGCCTATGACTCACCCCCTTCCTTTCCAATCCAATGAGCCATCGATGCCAACCGACCGATCAAGATGTTTCAAGTTTTTCAAGGCTCCCGCCCAGGTCGAGAAGGCTCTTCCACCCGACGGGAGAGTCAACTCGTGGGAGTCAAGAATAGCGGTCGGTTACTCCCTCCCCCCACTGCGGGAAGTTCCCTGCGGAGAGTTTCCTGCGGAGAGTTTCCTACCTGGCGGGAAGAGAGTGTCTTTCCTCCCGTGCCATACAACGAACGAACGTTTGTTGAGGCTGGGCCTGGCACAAAGGTTGCGGGTGTCCCGGGATGGGTTGTTTCGTTGTTTCGCAGGGCGATGAGTGTGTGTGTAGCAGTGGGTTTCTACACAGCCCCCAGGTGTTGCTGGTTATTCAACGCTAGTTTCTCAGATATCCTGATATATGGAGCCTCCAGCACGGTGTCCCGGTTCCAGTCAGTTCTTGCTTTCCCATATCGTTTCCCCCGGTTTGGCTATCTACCCCCTCGACCCTCCGAATCGTGGCCCAGTTTCGTTTCTCTTCATCTCTCCCTTTAGCTCCTGTTGATAACCCACCCAGCAAGGTCTCACCAACCCGCCAGCCGGCCACCAAACCGGCCGCCTCAGAGTAGGTAAGACAGAAACAAAACCCGGGAAGACACACATTTCCAAGCCCACCTAGTGGCTGTAACACTCATCCCATTAACCCGGGTGTGGGGAGCTAGGGGAGCTAGGATGGCAGCCTGGACCTGGCATAGGATCACCCCGCTCTGTGTCGGAAACGTTGCCTTTTGCTCAGCCGCTTTCTTGAAAGCAGGTACGCTGGTGGTTTGGTGTTGGACAGAATCGTGCAAACACGTTGGAAGAGCCCGGGCCCGGGCCGGGGGAGGGTATTTCTTTCTTTCTGAATAGGAAGCTACCTAGTTTCTATTGTTGTGCTGCTGGGTTTTCTTTGCTAGCTAGGGTGTGGTTTCAGAGTTGCAAGTGCAATCATATCATCGTGATAATGACTACGTGGGGGGGGGGATGACGTTTAAGTAAACGTGGAAGGGCATGGTTGTCGTTATTGTCGTTATTGTCGTTGTGTGCCCTTTGTCGTTGTTCTTGAACCAAAGTACGTGGAGGAGACTATTACTGCTATTGTGGTTATTGTGCTGCCGGAAAGCCATAGAAACCCCCTTTCTTTCTCTTTTTGGCGGCATGTGCCCATTGTTGCTCGCAACTCCCGGCGAGCCACGACAATAGCAACGGAGGTGCTGTGAATGGAATTATCCCATCTTCGACAACACCACCTTCCACGAGCCGGCCTTCTTCGCGACAAACCTATTTATTCTGCTACCTGCACCCAAGAATCTTTGCTCCCGCACTCTTCGCACCATTCACCGCACCGTTCAGTTTCTGGTTCCCAGAACACATCTTCTTCTTCTGGCTTAGAAAACCTCGTTATTTGATCGTTATTTGACTACAACATCACCTTCTTTACGACCATCTGCTCGTTATTTGATCGTTATTTGATTACCATATCACCTTCTTCACGACCGTCTGCTCGGTCCCCCGAATTCGCACGGTCGTTCACACAGTGCACTTACACGGGCAGGCCAGCGTCGTCGTAAGTTCTTTGGGGGCGTTTAACATCAGCGGAATCGGTGTTGAGGGGTGTTTAACAGGATCGTTTTGCTGACTGGTGTGCAAGATCAGGGAAGGTTGCGGTCAACATCCGCAGAATCAAAGATCCGACGGGATCTCGACATCCGACGACACGTTGGCTTCGACAACATCGCGACATACAAGGGCTTGGGAGCTCAGAGATAACGCGACTCACAAGGACTTGCAAGATCAAAGATATTCTCAGCCATCGTCGTTGGGATTTTAGGTCCTGGAGATCGCTTAGTGTCGAAGACATCGACAGTCCTAGTCGTTAAGGCAACACTCAACTCTGACAAAATCACGCTCGGTTCCGACGAAATCGCAGTCAACTTCAGCGGAAGGAACTTTGAAAACACCAGAGTTCAGCAAGAACAAAGATCTTGAGAAATCTCCGCATTTTCAGAATCAAGGTTCAAGAACTCTCGGCACCGCTGAAAGAAACCCATAGTCAACAAGCGCGGAAAGAACCCTCTTCAAGAGTTTACTTTGGGAGAACCACGATCCCAAAGTCAACCCCCAAGAAAAGATTCACCACCGCCAAAACCCAAACAAAAGACTCAACATAGCACACCACCAAAATGTGCACCGAAGAGTACATCTCCTACCAATGCGGCCACCGCTCCATGAGCGTGGTGCGTCCCTGCCCCATGACCACATCCGGACACAACTTCCCCGTCTGCTCGGGTCCCCTTGAGAGAGCTCAGGTTTCCGAGACCATGTGCTGCGCCTGCGAGCGCCAGCTGCATTCCCGCTGGGTGCTGATCCGGGAGTGGGAGCACCGCTGGATGCATGAGAGGGGGGTTTGTGGATGCAAGGTGGTTTTTCCTGGGCTGTTGACTACGCCTAGGGTTACGGGGGAGTCGTCTACTGCGGTTGGAGACTTGGTGGTTAAGGAGGAGGACAAGAAGGCTTCGTCTGATGTTGTGGCCTCTGATCAGACGGACATGGACCTTCAGACAAAGGTTGATCTACAGACGAAGAATGTTCAGACGGACACTTCCAAGAACAACACCACGGCTCTAACCAACAAAGACAAAGACAACCATGTTCCTGCCCTTTTCACCGAGGGAGTCAGTTCCTCTGGCGAACCCCATGTCGTTGTCCGCCTCCCCGGCCTTTATGCCGCTGAGTGGCACGCAGACCATGCTGCTCTGCACAAAGAGGGCAAATGCACCTGCAACGCAGACTTCCGTCCCTTCACCCCTGGCGTGAGCGAAGAGGATATGTCGCCCCAAGACAAGGAGACTCTGCGCAAGTGCCGTGAGGCCAACGCGGCGGCGGAGTCAAAATCGCCACGGGGCACAGACAGACGGGGCGAGGACAAGCCCATCACCATGGAGCAGCGTATTGCCGAGATCAAGGAGGAGTTTGGCGAATTCGAGGTGGAGGGCGAGATCCCGGAGCGGGAGCAGGCCCATCAGCTGCCCACCATGATTTATTACTATCCTTCCACTGGAAATCTCACCGAACCCGCCGCATCGGAAACTCCAGCCCACAAGAGCGAGCACCACAAGCTCAAACCGTCGGCCAGCGCTGCTTTCGGCAAAACCCCTCGCAAGAGCACGCTGCCAGCGCCGCACCCATCTCTGCCCCCTCGCCCCAAGACACCCACCCGCGGCTTTCACCACCACCAGCTCGTGGCGGCTCCCTCCAAATTCTCAACCCCCTCGGCCTCCCGCTACCAGCCGACCCAACCTCAATTCTACCCGCCGACTCCCTCCACCACCCGAGTCGCGGCGCAGCGGGTCTACAACCCCAACCACAACCATAACTACAACGGCCACAACAACCAGTATCGCCACCAGCACTCCGGAGGCGTCGAGTACACCCCGAGCCACCGCCAGCAGCACTATTACGAACCGACCGGCCCGGCCTACGCCACGCCGACTACCTACTCCGACGGCATTCCGTTTGGCGCCTACCCCTGGGCTGCCCAGCCGCAGCAGACACCTGCTGGCAAGCCGTGGGCCGCTCAGGGTCCGAGACCGTATCGCACTCCGGGGGTTGGTTGCTCCCATGGTGGTTCGAGCTACTCGCCGGCGGGCGGTCACAATTATAGTGGTAGCGGTGGTCAGGGTTATTATCAGCATAACACACCCGGCACCGGCGCTGGAACTGGTCAAACCCCGGCGGTCGGTTCTGGTTCCCAGCAGCGTAGGGTGTATGCCAACTCCAACACTAGCCCAAGCCCTAACCCAGGCCCTCTCGGCAGCGGTAGCAATGGCAGCGAGAACAACAAGAGTAACAACAATTCCTCTACTCAACAGCCCGGCCGCGGCCCCAGGAGCAAGCGCGGCGGCCGTGGAGTCGGCAACCGTAGGGTTTCGGACTCGCAGTCTGAGTCGCAGTCGCAGTCTGAGTCGCAGTCGCAGTCTGAGTCGAAATCGAATTCGGGTTCTGGGGGTTCTTGGTTGAGTTCGAGCGAGAGCGATGGGACTGAGACTTATGTCGCTGAGGATGGTCACGACGAGCTTGACAACCAGGGCCAAGACAACCATCACCATACCGACGACCATGATAGCCATGACAACCTCAACACCAAGCACCAGCAGGACGTTCAGGGCCACCAGGAGCAACGGGAGCAGCCCCAAGAGCAGAAAGAGGAGAAGCACACCCCCCTCTGCGGCCTCCCCATCGGTGCCGGGCCCGAAGGTGTCTCCCACATGCCGTCCTGGTCCAACTGCCCTTTGCGCCGGCGGAGCGCGAGTGCCGGTGCGAGTGCCGGACCGGGACGTCTGACGATCTCTGAGGGACTTTATGAGTCGGATGAATCTGATGACGAGTCGGACGATTCTGCTTCTACTTCCGTTGATGAGGATGGTTCCGCTGCTGGTGAGGATGAGGTTGAGATTGCTGGTAAGGTTCAGATTGCTGAGTTGGAGGCTGGGGTGGATGGGATTGATGGGGTCAACGTCGAGGGAATTAAGGGAGAAGGACAGACTGAGTCGGGGATTTGGGGTGAAGGTTGGGATGAGGGAGAAGAGGATGATGACGAGGAGGATTATGAGGAGACGGAGCACAAGATGCCACGTCTGCAGAGGAGGCATTCGGCTTCTGCTTGATTTACTCAAGCTACTTTGATCTGGTTTGGTTGATCTGGTTGATCCGGTGATCAGCTTGGATGGGATGGAAGGGAAGGTAAGTGTCTGCGTTCGGCCCCATTTCCGTTTTAATCTCCAACCTTGAGAGAGATACTAACCAAGACGCACGCACAGCAACGAAGCACACCAGCGACGACGGAAAGAAGGACGAGGTTGAAGATATATACGTCTCGTTTGCCGGGGCCATGCACTACATCAACAAAACAAAAACGAAAAGAACAAAAGAAAGAAAACGGCAAAACCAGTCAAGTGGTCTTCTCCCCAGAACCAACCAATCTAAGATGCACCACAACCGCCACCACCACGTTTTCCCCGCGCCCCGGCAAGCTATAATACAAAACGAGTTGACAAATGGAAAAGCAAGACACGACACGACATGCCGACCACAACATCCTCGTCATCAAGTTCATCAACTCCTCGAGAAAATGAGCGTTTTCGTCGGCCCTCGTCTTGCGTCAGCCCCCTTTCCGCAGCAACCGCTGCTGAGTCTTCATTCTCAATCAACGCAGCACTGCACCCAGTCTCTGCTTCATTTCCATTTCCTTTTCCGTTCAAGAGAAGATATACTTATTTCGTTGTTTTCATTTGCTTATTCAGGGAGAAAGGGGAGACCGTAACATGCTTCTCTTGAATTTCAAAAGATGATAACAAAGGGGACCAATTTGATTTGTCATTTGCGCGATGGTTATTTGGAATTTAGAGGTTTTATAACGGTGGAACGGTGTTTTTCTTTCCAGTTCTAGTTTTACCGATCGACCTCGCCTGTGAGCGGGGGTTAGCATTTTCGGTTTGGGTTTCGGTTGGGTTTCGATTTGGGATTACATAGGACGCATATAACACGGGGATAGGACAGGACACAGCAGAACAGAGAAATGGAAAACTTACCAAACACCAAATCCATGGTACCAATGACCGCCACAGCATCAGCCAACAGATGCCCCCGTGAAATGTGATCAAACCCGCTCAGATGGGCAAACCCAGGCGCGCGGATGCTCACACGGTAAGGACGTTCCGAGCCGTCGCTGACCACATACACACCCATCTCGCCCTTGGGCGCCTCAATAGCCGAGTAGGTATCACCCGGCGGCACCGCATAGCCCTTGGTATACAGCAAAAAGTGGTGAATGAGAGCCTCCATGTTCTCCTTCATAGCCGAGCGCGGCGGTGGCGAGATCTTGTAGTCCTCGACGCGAATGGGGCCCGCGGGCATCTTGTTGAGGCACTGGTGGATGATGCGCAGCGACTGGCGGAACTCCTCCATGCGGCACAGGTAGCGGTCGTAGCAGTCGCCGTTGACGCCCACGGGGACGTCGAACTCGACCTGGTCGTACGCGTCGTACGGCTGGCTCTTGCGGATGTCCCAGGGGACGCCCGACCCGCGCAGCATCACGCCCGTGAAGGACAGGTTGAGGGCTTCGGCGGCGCTGACGATGCCCACGCCTTGCAGACGGTGGATCCAGATGCGGTTGTCGGTGAGCATTTCTTCGGTTTCGTCGATGCGGTCGCCGAATTGCGTGGCCCATTGGTAGATGTCGTCGAGCAGACCCGCGGGGATGTCTTGGTGGACGCCGCCGGGCCGGACGTAGGCCGCGTGGAGACGGGCTCCAGACACGCGTTCGTAGAATTCCTAGAGGTATCCATGTGAGCGTTGTTTTAAGCAACTGATAATTCCCAACAGAGATATCCTCACCATCAGCTTCTCTCTCTCCTCAAACCCCCACAAGAACGGCGTCAAAGCACCAACATCCATGGCGTGGGTAAGCACAGCCATGCAGTGGTTCAAGATACGAGTGAGCTCCGCAAACAGAGTGCGAATAAACTTGGCGCGCTCAGGAATCTCAATATTGAGCAGCTTCTCAACAGCAAGCGAGAAGCACTGCTCATTGGTCATCATAGAAACGTAGTCAAGACGGTCAAAGTACGGCAGCGCCTGCAGATACGTCTTGTACTCGCACAGCTTCTCGGTGCCGCGGTGCAGCAGGCCGACGTGCGGGTCCGCGCGGATGATCTCCTCGCCGTTGAGCTCCAGGATCAGACGCAACACGCCGTGGGCGGCCGGGTGCTGCGGGCCAAAGTTGACCGTGTAGTGCCGCACCTTGCGGTCCTCGACCGACTCGTCGCGGGCCTTGGGCGTACTGCTGGGCTGGTGGTGAAGGTGCGCGGGCATCTCGTACGGGTCGGTCGGGGGCGAGAAGTCGGCGCCCGTCGGGACTAGCCGTGTGCGCTGGTATTCTTGCGGTTCGGCATAGCGGCGGAGGGCCGAGGCCGAGAAGGCGCGGGCGGCATGGTATGATGATGAGAGTGCGCCGGTGGTGGGCTTAGTGCTGGAGAGGATCGCGGGGGACGGCGACGGTCGGGTGCATAGTCGCTTGGCGCCGCGCCCGGCGAGCCGGTACAGCGTCGCCGACATGGCTTTTGTGTGTAATCGGGTGCTGCAAAAGGAGTGGAGAGGGTTCCGAGGAGGACGGACGGGTTGCCGGGTTGCGCTCTCGCCCGGGTTGCGGCCTCTTCTCCGGGGTTCAATGGCTGGCGACGGGAAGCTTCCTGGTGGTGGGGAGCACGTTTTCCCAGTGGTCGTCACTGGACGGCGAACCGTGGCCACCCACCAAGCTCCAATTCCGGGGCCGTTTCAGCTCTGTGATTGGGTAGATTCTCCTCTGTGGACAGTGCGGAGTGGGTTTAATCCGAGCAACGTCCAAATAGCTGTTGCGTGATTGGCCCGCATGTTAGAGAGCTCAACTTCAACTTCAAGTTCTTGAGCACTTGCTTGCAACTTGGTCTCTGAATGTTGAGTTGGCGCAAGACAATACGTTAACTACTTAACAGTCTCGTCTTTGGCTTGAGCTGATACCGGAACCACAAAGCTTATATTGTCCCTTTCTTTCCTCCACTCCACTGCCCTCAAGACACCACCGAGACCAGTCAGCTCTTGGAGATTGGTGAGAACATGTTGAGGAACATCGGTGTGATATCAACATCTACAGGCTCAAGAAATGTTCAATTAGTTACCGTCTCAATCCATAAGCTCAATCTGTTTCTCAGCAATTGCTTTACCCTCCAAACTACTATGTATTGACACTGCGTTGTTTTGAGAACCCTGCCTTGAACATTTTCCCCACTGTCCAGTGTCTAAGTGGGTCTAACCAAAGGTGGCGGGCGGTCAAAATTTCCCTGCGATAGGAAAAAGTTCTGCCACTTACCTGTGAGAAGGCCTCCAAGAATTTCGAGGTGCGCCGTCGAACATGCGACTAACCCCACTATCCAACCCATATCCGTCACAATGCCTCACAAACCCCCAACAAAGGAGGAGCTAGAGCGCCGCAAGGTATGCTCTCGTCTGTCTCTGCGTCTGAGGTGACAGTTGTGGAAATCTAACGAGTCATTGGGATCCAGATTGTCGGCATCAACGAGGAGACCATCACCGATGTAGCATCCTCCGACTACCCATTGCACTACCCCGGCGAGGAACACAGCTGGGACATTGACGCTTTCCGACGCGGATTCAGCATCCAATTCCACCACAATGACCCTTTCGAAGCCTCCTTCTCCCTCATCGGCATCGACGCCTCGATCGCCAACGCCTTCCGCCGCACCATGATCGCCGACATCCCGACCCTCGCCATCGAGACAGTCTTCATCAACAACAACACCTCCGTCATCCAAGACGAAGTCCTCTCCCACCGCCTCGGCCTGATCCCCTTCAAAGGCGGCCACGAAGGTCTCCACAAGTTCCTCAAGTGGTGGCGCAAACCCACCGACGAAACCCTCGTCAACAGCAGCTACTACGACTACAACACGGTATCCCTCCGCCTCGAGATCCAGTGCGAACACAACGACAAAGCCGCCCCCGGCGAGACCGACCCGACCAAGCTCTACAAGCACGCCCACGTCTACGCGCGCGACATCGAGTTCTGCCCCGTTGGCCGACAGGACCGCTACTTCTCCGGCGCTGACACCATCGCCCCCGTCAACCCGGACATCCTCATCGCCAAACTGCGCCCGGGCCAGGAGATTTCGCTGTCTATGCACATGCACAAGGGCGTCGGGTCTGACCACGCCAAGTTCTCTCCCGTCGCTACCGCTTCCTACCGCCTCATGCCTGTCATCAACATCGAGCGGCCCATTCTCGGTGCCGACGCCGAGAAGTTTGCCCGCTGCTTCCCCCGCGGTGTTATCGGGTTGAAGAAGGTGACGGCCAAGGAGGCGGCGCAAGAAGGTAGTGGGTATGAGGGCCACGAGGGTGAGGTCAAGGCTGTTGTGGTTGACCCGATGCGCGATACTGTGAGTCGTGAGTGCTTGCGGCATGAGGAGTTTAAGGGCAAGGTCAAGCTTGGTCGGAGGAGGGACCATTTCATCTATCTTGTTGAGAGCACGGGCCAGTGGGAGAGTGATGCGATCTTCTTGGAGGCTGTGGCGCACTTAAAGAAGCGGGCGCGGGACTTGGAGAAGCAGGTTGTCAATATGGTCCGGTAAGAATGGGGGGATACGATGGGGCTTGTATTTGAAGGGTGGTTTCATATACCCCCCTTCCAGGATCGTGCATCTTACATATGGGTACGGCGTCAAGGTGGTTGTAAAAAAAGGGCGGGGTTAACCATTGGTGTTTTCATGCCTTTTTTTGTGTCTAGATAGGTCATGCTCGGAAGTAGAGCAAGCCTTTTCACACGTGTAGTTTGGTCTCCCTGTGTTTTGTGTGTGTAAAGCTTTGGTTTCACTGTGCTGTGTACCTAGTGCATTCACTTTTGTGCGCTTATATAGTGTATGCTACCTATCTAAGGTAGGTACCGAGGTCAAATGTTAAACCGACGCCATTCACTGCCAGCAATCCGACCATCTCACCCGTGAACACTCCCCCATACCTCCAATTTTCCCCGTTGACGCCTCGCAGAATATGCCCAGTCTAGAAAAAGGTGGAAATCAAAAACCAGAAGATGAGACCCCCCGCTATGCAAATCATCATCACTGCTTTGTGAACTTAAGCTTAAACTTGAACACCACCGTCGCAAACGCCGGATCCGTCACACCAATCTCCTGCCCCTCCTCCAATCCCAAATCCACCAACTTCTTGTCCAAATTCGGCCTCGTCTTCTCCTCCAGACTGGCAGGCGACTGCATATACAGCGTCTTGCCCTCCGCACGCAAGCTGGGCTTCTTGAGTTGTGCCTCAGGCCGGGCAGCGAACGATTCAACCAGCTCACCCAGCGTCCACGACGGGTCAACAGTCAGGTCGCGGGCTAGCTGGCCACACACAGGGCAGTCGTCCTTCTTCTCGTGCTTGAACGTGTACGTGTACACGCTGTCGTTGCCCGAGTACATCATGTAGTTCTCCTCAGGCAGACCGAGGAACGGCGCGCAGTTGGACGCAATCTTGACCGCTTCGTTGCAGCACGCCGCCGCGATCACGCTGTTGGTCGCCGCAATGGCCGGGATGATGTTCTTCACCACGCCCTGTGTCAGGGAGTAGGTTACACCCGGGATATTGAATTCCTTCGCGCGCTCCAGTGCCCTTTGAAACAGCCACGTGATGTGTTCCGGGTCGTCTTTGTCCAGCTCCGGGAAGGGCTTGTCCTGGTCCCACGCGATGACGTGCGCCCACTCGATGCAGTGTTCCGGCTGGCGTGGGATGCTGGCGAGGGTGCAGAGCGGAACCGCGGCGCGCGGTGCGTGCATGTCGAGTTGGCACTCGATGCAGGATGTCACGGTCGGGAAGATGACGCGCGCCTGGCCCTTGAACCCTTCGGTGCCGCCGTCGATGAGCGGCTTGTAGCTGTCGGGTACTTCTTCGTCTACCATGTTGACCAGTGTTGCGTTGATCCACCGCCGCGCCTCGATGCTGTCCAGCCCGCACACGACCAGCTGGAACTGCATGTAGAAGTCCTCGTCGAAGTCTTGGATGCGACAGTTGTGTGGTGTGATCTTGACGCCCTTGACGCGCTTCTCGACGAAGCGTGCTGCGACTTCGGCTTTCGAGTGGCCCACGTCGGCCTGGCGAAAGAGGAACTGGCGGTTGAGGTTGGAGATGTCAATCGTGTCCATGTCGATGACGTGGATGTCTTTGAACCCGGAAAGCGCGAGGTTTTTGAGCAGCTCGCAGCCTAACCCGCCGGCGCCAATAACCAATACCTTCATCGCTTCCATGGCCTCAGCTACCGCCTGGCCGCTGAAGATCTCGGGGTCTGTGAACGGGCCGGGCCGCGTGCGGATTCGGTCGAGGTAGAGCCATCGTGCCGGCTCGGATGCCGGGAACACTTCGGTTGTGGCCATGCTTTGGGGGGCGGACCGTAGTATTCGTAGTTTTCTGTCGGTCGGACCAGTGGGTTTATGAGTCCAGCGTAGCGCCTTAGGGGGGAGAGCTGGAAGAAGGGAGCTTTACATTTTGGTGTGGTGTGAAGGAGGGGGAGCTTGGTCCCTTGGTTGGTGGTGTTGAATCAGGCACACCTCAGCTGAGCTTGGCCCCGCCCTTATCTTAGCGCATTGAACCCCTGCTAAACCGCCGCCGCCGTCAGCGGGGCTTCCACTAACACGCAACATCTCAGGCTCGATTTAGGTGACATGGCTGTACCTGGACTTTCCTCGAGCTCTCTGCACAGTTCTTAAGCTCTCCCGCTGCTGATGGAAATGGAGATAATTGAAGGCTATTTAATTTCTTAATCCAACATGAGAACACATTTCTAATCTGTTGAGTTTCATTGTGTGAGAAGAATTTGAAGGTTTTGAGGAACTCAACACGACCAGGAAACCCGACTTCCACAGAAGTTTCCATCAACATTTCCATCCACCCGGATTTCAAAGGAGCCACATGAGAACAACCTCGACTAGAAATCCGGCACCCCTTTAGTTCCCTTTGGATTTCTGACAACTCTACAAAATGGACGAGTTACTAAGGCCAGCCGGTGTCATTCGCACCCACAAAAAAGAGGCAGAAACCGACTTCTTCTTGCGAGAACCAACTGCGACAGCCAGCCCGAGCAACCCCGGAACGAGGTCAGACACCCGACAACACAAAGCACCTACAACGCCAGAGGAAGCCTTAGAGATACTCAAGGACGAACCGGACTACGACTCATTAATATTTGTTTTGACGTTTCTTTCCCAACGAAAAACACCCTCCATCAAATCGCCAACCCCCCTAAGCGCCCAGCTCATCCAAGTCTTAGTCTCCGAAATCGTCCCCAACTACTGGGCCATACTCATCGAGGACGGTCACCAGTCCCAAAAAACCAAGAAGTCCGGTCTAAACCCACTTCTTTTCTGCCTCTCGAGTATCACCGGGGTTAACGCCATCCTCGTCCGACTCCGGGCTCTCACTCAGGAAGCGAAAGGGTCAAATCAGCCAACCCAGCTTAAACGACCTGACGTCTCGCTGAATCTGGGGATCCTGTTGGATTTACTGGGCCGAGTTCTTCAGCCTGACAACTGGCTGTTGGAAGCTTACCGTGTTGCGGTTGCTGGAGGGGAGGCGCCCGCGAAAGTAAGGCCAAGGGTCCAGGAGATTGTTTCAACGGTTGGTGGTGGTCGTATCGTCTCGTTGGCAGCGGAAGCGGAGGATGTGCTCAAAAACGACTCGGCCGGTAGGAATACGGATGGTGTTTGGCTCGCGGACTCCAAGCAGTTTACGCAATGGCTTGGTAGGAATATCGTGAGCTTGCTGCGGTCAGACACAGGAACCGATGAGAAGAAATTTGCGTCTGATGTATTTGGCAAAGCCCTTCGCCTGGGGCACTATGGTAAGCTTCTGCTATAGTTTGGTGCGCTGATGGGACTAACATGCAATAGATGTGATAATAACGCAGCTTGTATCTGAGCTTGTTTTCACACCTGCTGCGGATCCTCAAGTCCTTGGGTCACTCATCGGCAATTTACCACAAACCGAGCAGCGGAAAGTCTTTTTCTCCGTCGTAACGCTATTGTCTACGGAGTATCTTGATCGTTTTGGCCGCTGCGAATCGAAAGAGAGCGAACAGTTAATATCCGCCGCGGCCGGCGCCCTCAAGGGGATTCTTGACTCCCTTGAACATGGAAAGCGGTTCTTGGTGGAATGGCTAACTGGTTCCTCCGGGGCTGGGATCGGAGAAGGTGTCGGTATTCGGCGCTCGGTCATGGCAGTAATATCCCAGGGTAGGGATGATCTTGTGACAGGTCTAGAAAAGAGTCTCGGCCAATTCGGGGATCAGCTCTACATCAGGCACTCGCCTATGTTGCAACAAGAGGGTCAGTATTACTTATCTTATGCCCCTTTGAAGGTTCACTTACTGACTCGGCTTATAGCTCACGCCCAGGTTCTGCTTTTGGCTGCCGGATATGTTCACAGACAACACCCCGTCAAGCTCGCCATCCTTCTACGGACTGGTGTATGGTTGAACGCCATATCGAACCGGTTGGCAGCGCCTCACGACCGAGCGCGTTTCCTTGGGATGGTGGTTGGCGAGAGCCTATCCGGCCTTGTCGACAAGGGGGAGAAGCGACTGAACTTCAAGATGGAAGAAACCAACGAAGAAGAAGGAAGCTGGTACAAAAGCCTCACGGGCGTCTCCGACGTGCCAGGCCCCCTGAACCCTTTGTTCAAAGCGCCGACTGCCGTCCCCCAAAAGACTCAGAAGCCCCCTCAAAAGGCAACAGCAAAACCGATACCTCAGCCCCGCCAAACCGGCTTTATCATCGAGGAGCTTAGCGATGGAGAGGCACCAGAAGAGGACGACATCATTCCCTACGCCAAGCCGGACTCGGACCCGGAAGACTCAGACGATGATGCCACGTTAGTTCGCCGGGACAAACCAAAGGCCCCCGTGTACATCAGGGACTTGATACGGTACTTCCGAGACACAGAGAGTTACGACCACCAAAAGCTTGCCCTTACGACCGCACCGACACTAATTCGGCGGAAAGCCAATTATGGCACGGAGGTCTCGGAACATGCTGATGAGCTCGCCTCTCTGCTCGTCGGCCTTAGCGACAAGTTTGAGATTGATAACTTTGACGACCTGAGACTCCAAGGTATGATGGCTATCGTCGTCGCCCAGCCGGAGAAGATGGGCCAGTGGTTTGCAAAGACTTTCTTCGACGGAGACTACTCCGTCTCCCAACGAGCCTCGGTTCTCGTCGTTCTCGGGCTTAGCGCGCGGGAGCTAGCCGGGTATGAGACATCTGGCTATGCTGCCGCTGCTGCCTTCCCTTCCAAGACTCTCCCAGAGCGAGTCGAGCAACTCTACATAGACGACCCTTCCCGTCACCAAACCCCAGCTCTAAAGCCTCTCCCGCCTAATGCGCTGGACAACATCGCAAGCTCCTTGACCTCCACATTCCTCGCCCCCATGGCAGCCGCAGCCGCCGATGCAGCCACCGGGCCCGACGTCCTCAAACTCTCCACCTTCACCTCTCGCCTCGGCAACGACAATAACACCAACCCAGACGATAACAGCATCCAACCCACCAACCCCAAAATCAAATACAAAACCAACCCGGCCAACCGCAAACCTCGCGTCCGCGCCATCCCCAACACAACCGCCCAACTGCTATCCACCTCCTTCTTCACCCCCCTCACCGCCCGCTTTCACGCTGCTTTATACGCCGCCTCCTCCAACAACCGCCTCCGCACCATCCTCTTCCAACCCCATCTCCTCGCCCTCTACCTCAAAACCCTCGCCCTCCTCCTCCACGCCGCCGGACCCAGCACCCTCGCCCTCCCACACATGACCGCCGAGCTCTGGCGGCTGCTGCTCAACACCAGCGTGCGGGCCCACGCCGTCGGGGATCTGTCGGTTACCCGCGCGATACTGTTTGCGTTGGTGGCGTTGTTGGATGTGAATGAGGCGCGGATGCGGGATGTGTGCGGAGAGTTGGGGCGGGAGGTGGTGGAGACGCAGGAGTGGGTGGCGGGTGTGTTTGGGGGGTTGAGGGGGGGGGATGAAGGTGGGGAGGAGGAGCAGGTGAAGGCTTTGGCGGCGGGGGTTTTGGTGAGGTTGAGAGAGGGGGTGGAGAAGTATCGGTTGTTGATGGTGGGGGATTTGATTGGGTTTTGATAGCATGGGAAAGTGTAGACGGAAACAGAGGAGATACGTTTAGGCACTTGTAAAGCTAGTATCGACTTGGAAGTTAGGAAGATCATGCATGTGATTCTTTCAGGTTGATCAAGTCTTCACTAGGACGACGAAACTAATATTTCCCATACGCATCAACGCCTATACGCATCAAAATTACAGTATATAGGCCACAGCAAATCCCCGACCAAGTCCATTATTACCCCTTTTCCACGTTTGTTGTCCCTGTGGTCAAGCCCGGGGGTATCACGTGACCGTACCCCGGCCGCTGACGCCATTGCAGCATGTTGCAGCTTGGCGTTCATCAGCAATGACAGGGATCTGACGGAAAAGGTGATTGACAAATCAACACCGAAACGAAACTTGCTCACTTGCAACACAAAACATTTCCCACCTTTTGCCATCTAGCTTGCTAGACAAAGCAACAGTCACTCTTTACCATGGCAACACCAGCTTCCCAAATGCGTGAGTATTTTATTTTTATTTTTCCTACCAGTCCCGGGCGAGAAGAAAACAGTTTCGCTAACTGGTTATGCTAGCGGCTATCGGCTCCAGCGTCCCTGTGGTAGCGGCCAATGCGGCCGAGGCCGCTTCGAAGCCCAAGGTGAGCCACCCGAACAAACGTTCCAACGCAATTCTCCGACGGCGGTAGCATCAGCAACTAACGGCGACAACTGAATAGCCTTGCTGCGTGTGCAAGGACGAAAAGTCCATCCGGGACGAATGCATGCTCTTCTCCAACGCCGCCGACCCCCAGAAAGACTGCCAATCGACAATAGACCGCTACAAGACCTGCATGGCTGGGTTCGGGTTCAAGGTTTAGAGAAACGAGGGTGAGAGTCGGAGGGGTTTGTCACGATATTATGTACCATACACGGCGTTGCTTGAACAAAATGGATGGGTAGACGAGCATGGGATCAAACAAAATCACCATTTCTACTTTTAGCTGCCGGCCGCTCCGGTTCGACATTCCAGGGCAAGATGTGTTTATACCCGTCCCCCTCTAACCCGGACTTTGTCTTAATATCTAGCAAACCTTTGAACGCCAAAGCAACAGGGTATCATATATCGAGCAATCGAAACAAAACAGCAACCGAATCCCACCAGGACCAAAACGAAGTCCACCTTCACCTTACTCCAGATCTACCACCACCCCGCCACCCGAACCCTTACCACCTCCACTACCACCACCACCGCCACCACTCCCACGGCCCTGGCCCTCACCACCCCTCCCATCTCCCCCCTCCACCTCCTTCAACAACCCCCCAATATCCTCCCTCCGCCCCTCATAGAGCGCTTGCAGCTGAATCGCCAAGTTCAGCATCCGCCGCTGGTGCTCGGCTAGGCGACGTGCAATTTCGCTGGCCTTTTCGTCACGCCGGTTGAGGGCTTCTTTGAGACGGTTGAGATGTGAGATGTGGATTGCTGTGCTGTGGTTTGGGAGGGAGTGTTAGTTGGGAGTTGGTTGGGGGTTGGGTGGTCTTGTGTTTGGCCGGCTGGTGGGGGAGGTGAGGTGTTTGGGAGGGGATGATGGGAGGGGGGTTGGTTTCGTTTCGGGTGGTGAGAGAGATATGGAGAGGGGGGGGGGGGTGTTACCGGGGGTCATTGTGCTTGGCAACGGAGTTTTGGATGCGGGACTCGGTTTGCTTGAGAGCTGCCTCGTAAGCGGTTTTGAGAGCATCTCGATGTTTGTCTCGGTTGAGTTTTGCCTTGGTCGAGTTAGGTACAACGTTGAGAGGTCATATTGAAAGGAGGTCGTGGATGTATGTACTTTACGCAGCCGGGTTCTCGCAGCGCTGGCTTCCTTTAGCCGTCCATTGTAGGCTTGATACTCGGCGTCTGAGTCGGATGATGCGGCTGCAGTGTTTCTTCTCTGTCTTGCTGTATTCGCTGCGGGCGCCATCTCGAATGAGTGTATATTGACGTTGTTTCCGTCAAATCTTGCTACTTGACCGTCGATTTCATTCAATGCTATAAGCCGTTTACACTATCAAGCACCGTCTGAATTCAATGAATGCAATTGACGTGCATGGGGTGACCCTTGTCTCAATGGTGGGTGACCGCGCAGACCCCTGTTCCTGCCCGAACCGCAAGGCGGTGTGCCAGGGCAGAGCTTTTTTGCAGCTCTTCCCCGCCAAATTTTCAATGGTCCACTTCGAGACAACCATCCAGGCATCCAAGAGGAAGGACCATCTCACGCCCACCCGTACCCCTACGCCCAAAGCCCAGCCGACGCTGAGCACTTCTGGAGTATCATGGGTCTCGCCGCCGCCAAGAAGTGAGGATAAACCCCCCACAACGTATCAATTGGAGTGTGCTCACAAGATGGAACAGCAAGCGCAAGCTCGGCAATGACCCGAACAACACCAAATGGTCGCGCAACACCGATTCCTTCGGCCAGAAGCTCCTCAGGGCTCAGGGGTGGCAGCCGGGTGAGTACCTGGGCGCGACAGGCGCCGCCCATGCTGAATGGCACACCCAGGCCAATTCGACACATATCCAGGTCATCCTGAAGGACGACACGCTCGGCCTCGGGGCGAAACGGAACAATGGCGATGAGTGCACCGGTTTAGATGCGTTCCAGCATCTTCTTGGGCGGCTCAATGGCAAGAGTGATGATACGTTGGAGGCCGAGCGGAAAGTCCGCGAGGATGTGAAACTTAGCCTCTATGTGGAGAGGAAGTTCGGGACCATCCGGTTTGTGAAGGGCGGCTGGCTGGTTGGCGACCAAGTGACGGAGACTCCTAGTGGTGAATCTAAAGATGTGACGCCGGATTCTGTTTCCGAGGCGCCACAAGAAATCCCAGAATCCGAGGAAGACTCGGCACCCAAGAGGTCAAAATCGAAGAAGCGGAAGGCCGACCAAGATGCGGAACCGGAAGACGACAAGGCCCGGAAGAAGGAGAGAAAGTCAAAGAAACGGAAGACCGAGCCTGAGGCCGACGCGGAAGATGAGACTGGAGCGAAGAAACATAAGAAGTCGAAAAAGGCCAGCCCCGAAGTGGATGATCAGATGCCAATCGACAGCTCGTCCGAAACGAAAGAGGCGAAGGAAAAGAGGGACAAGAAGAAGGACAAAAAGGATAAGAAATATAAAGAAAAGGGAAAGAAGGAGAAGCGGAAGAAAGATAAGGGTTCAGAATCATCAACAGACACTTCCGAAACCCTATCTAAAGAGAAGAAGCGGAGGAAAAAGGACTCGGGCTCGGAAACGGCTGAGAGTAGTCTACCCACGCCGAATGCCAGCGGTACCTCGACGCCTGTACCCACCGGTTCAAGCCGGTACTTGGCAAGATCGAGGTTCATTGCCCAGAAAAAGATGGCGTTTTCTGACAGCGTGGCACTCAACCAAGTAAGACCGGCATCCCAAACCAGTCCCTCGCTGATAGTTCACTGACATGCCAGACAGATCTTCATGATTAAGTCTTAGTTATACCCCTACCCGGATTCTCCCCGCGGCTCTTCTTCGATACCCCGATCCCAGAATAGTAATTACCAACAGACCTACAGTGGTCTTCTCCAAACAACCTCGTTACTCGTCCAGAGTTTTCAACCATTGTATCGCCTAAGCCCCGTGCTCCCTCAGCGCTGGACAATCAATAGACGAGAATTCCAACGTCTGCAAACGGGGGTACTCAGACTCACTAGAGCAGTGTCGACAATGTTTGCGTTGGGCATCTCTCGATGGGGCTCATCGCTACGTTATGGACGGCATAGTATTAGCGGTTAACGTCGTTTGAACGAACTCTTAGTTAGCACTTGGCATACCAGGGCCCGACCTCAACGACCCCCTCACCACCTTCGATCATCGCTCCTAGCGACGACTAAATCGGAGTTACGAACCCGCTTTGCGTGTCTGCGGCGCGGTTGCTAGTACTAAATGCTGCATGTTTATCAAGACATGATCATGTCTTTGGTTACGGATAATAAATGCGGCCCTATAAACCTGTCGATAGGATTCCGGTTCACGAATTGTGGATTGAAGACCATGCAGCCATGCGTATGGCTAATGTGAAGGAAATATGAACAGAATTAAGCAAACACAAAGAGCGCCCCTCGGGAGATGTCAACCATTGCTTGTTACCTTTCCTTGTTTTCCTTTTTTTGCTGCCTATCAGGTTGTCTTCAACTCGTCAAGCGGCAGAAGTGCATCAAGTGATGGCTTATTTCTCAGCATGCATGCTTGTGCAAGCAGGCAGCCACTTGGTGCAAGTGGTTGCTATTAAGACTACTTATCATCTGCTGAACCCGAAAGATTTATTGATATCCATACTGATCCAGCTAACGACCAAGCCCGGTGAACTGGCTTTGCAACGGGTCCCGGACCAAGGAAAGAGGTCGGTTGCGAGAAGCGAGAAACGAGCAGACGCCCAAATCACCCTAGCACATACGCGACGCAGGCACTCTTTCCGATAAACTACACTGCGGATGAAAGCAGAATTCGTTGCACCTTTCTTCCAAATCTAGGTGATTTCCATACAACCTCTACTTACCGCTGCCAATTGCCTTTTCACCCCCCAACTTTGTCCTAGACTAAGTTTTGAAAACACAGAAGCCATCCGGCTGACAACTTCTGCAGCCACACCTAACTTTGGGTCAACTTAGCTAAGAGCACCTCAGATCTCATTCAGTCGACAGAACATGCAGTAAGCATGCAATCGCACCATGGAGCCGCCAGATAAACTCACCAAAAATGTGGTATCGTACGCCGATGCTGTTCGTCGTCCCAGAAGCCAACCTCCATCGCCCTGGTCTACTAGCCCAAGGAAAGACTCCAAATGGGATCAAGTCACCAACAAGAAAAAGAAATCATCCAAGGCGGGTCAAAAGAAGTGCCCGAAAGGGAACTGGAGAACCGTCGAGGAGCCCGAAACCGAATCGACGAAATGGACCGAACCGGCAAAGCCCACCACATCTACGTCCTGCGATCCGGCTCCGACCCAGGACGCCGAACAGCCGCCGAAGGCAACGTTTTCGTATGCTGAGGCTTTGAAGCGCAAGGCCTTTACGCCCGTACTCCATTCCGAGGACAAGAGTGCCAGCACCAAGCAGGATCCAGAACCAACCCTTCCACCCCTTGCCGGGGTTGCCTTGCCCAAGGTACAGGCGGGACGGGCTAAAGCAAAACAAGTGGAGGGTTCGGCTTCCACGGCAGGGGACAATAAAAAGGTTGGAGATGATGTTCGCGCATTCCAGGGCGGTGAGCAAGGTTCGGTCGAGGAGACCCAACAACAAAACACAGGAGATCTGGATCGGAAACAGTCTGGCTCTGCCACTCGGCGCAACCGAGAGAAGAAACTAGAAAATGCAGCTGGGACGAAGAAGCCAGGCATTTCTATCCGGTACGATCAGACACACATCCAGCGGGGTAAAGAGGCGATAAGGTTCAATGCTCCTACGGGAAGCGATTCGAACCGTAAGGTTAAGAATGACGATGGGCTGCAGCACGGCGCTCGGCAAGGTTCCGCCCACGCAACTATTTATCGCCCGCCTCCCCCAGCTTTTCCAACTCATTCGCAACTCAATTCTACTACGTCCTTAAACGCAACACAAAAGAATTCTGTCTATTCTGGAAAGAAACCATCTGCCAACATGCAAAGGTCGACGCTCACAGCGGCCTGGCTGCCTAGCCAGTACTTGCAAAGTACGCCTGCATCGCCCCTTCCTCGACCCACGGCCATGAGACCTCCTTCCATTGCCAGCACGTTTTTTACCAGACGTGAACGGAGAAATTCCCTGGCGCATCCCTTCTATGCCGCCAACGCTCCTTCTCGGGCCTTTCTGAGCCCTTTGTCAAGAGAATTTACCACGCCGGCCCAGCCCGATGACACGATCTCTGAGGCTTGTTCAGAGCCCACAACCGTCAGTCAAGCAGGAACATTCCAGATGGATGATTGGAGGAAGGCGCTGATCGACCTCCACGATCGAGGCGATATTTCGTGAGTTGGCACCATCAGGTTGGGCTTTGGACGGCGGTCGCCCCATCATTATCGCTGACCCAGTTTTGACCACAGGCTATGGGATAATCAATATGACTCGGATGTCTCCATCGAGTGTCAGGGCTACTCTTGGAAAGTCCATCGCGATATCATTTGCCGTGATTCGGACTGGTTCAAGGAGAAGCTGGCAGCAACTGGCAAGGTATGTCACCAAAACCCTCATCGCGCGATAGCACGCCGGGTGATGACAGCATTTTCCCCTTTACTTCCGCGACGTAAAGGATGATATCCCATTACTAACGGTCTCCCAGGGCGATAAGCGATATGTCTCCTTGGACTGTTCCGAAGTAGACCCAATGCAATTCGCCAACGCCCTTCATTACATGTATCAGGACGGTAAGTGCTCCCAAAGTTAACACTTTGAGTGTTTGCGTCTGCCTTCCTATCGAAAGCATTGCCGCATCTCACCACAGCGTCGGTGGTAGAAGAAACATCCAGCTAACAACAAACCCCTTGTAGCTCCCCATAGGAAACAGATGCGCATGCGCAGCCCGCTCGATGGCGAACCCCTCGCCCACGCCGTCTTCAACTACATCTGCGGGGCCGCCGTGAACCACCAGCCCATGCAAGATGCGGCCATCAACGCGCTTTACGACGCCGCTCTGCAGCTGCACATCTTCTTCCACCAGACCCCGACCTACGTCCTACGCCACCTCAGCCTGTCGACACTGTACAAGCCGCTCGCCACCGCCCTGACCATCGTCTTTGAGCAAGGTCCCCGGAAGAACATGCACTCCCTGCGCGTGGTCATGGCGCACCTCTGTGATGTGTCGCTGATGTGGATGGTGCTTAACGAGGGGTTTCAGCGCGAGATGGAGAAGGAGTGGATGCCCAAGCTGATGCTGAATGTGGTGCGGGATTCGATCTGGTTTGGGGGCTCAGATGGGGTGTTGGCTGATCTATTCGAGGAGATGCAGCTAGCCGCGAATGAGAGACTAGAGAAGCACAAAGAAAAGGAGAAGGAACACGATTTCGAAGTCTGGAATGACAGGAATGACGGCGCGGATTCGAGTGTCACTGCGAGCGAAGCTGTGGACCCGAATTCGAGCACATCTGGCAGCGACTGGGGACAACCAATCCTTGACGGCGAGACTCGCAGGAGTGATGGTCCATCCGAGGACTCTCAACCTCCACAGATCATACTGGAGGCAGACGTGTCCGAGGCTGGGGCGTACGAGCTCTGGCGGGATAATATCGGCACCAGAACACACAGCCACTTTACCTCGGGCCCGTGGAGAGTGCCGCGGTCCATTATAGATCCGGTCAGAAACCCGGGTGGGACCTACTTGGATACTCACTTAGCAGGTCTCATTACGAGGGAACCGCCCACCGATATCGAAAGCTTTGACTCGACTCGGAACCACGGCCGCGCCTCGGATGGGGATGATGCTTCTCAGCTCGACGAGGATGACCCGGAGCCGGCGAGCCCATCCTCCGAAAATCCGACCACGACTCTCGCCGACGATGTCGATAGTATGTATTACCGGAGCCCTTTCGATCTATTGGGGCCTCTAGCGTATCACTTCTTTCGATGATCCCTGGCCTTTTTTTTCTTACGGCACACAGGCTTCTTCCCTACGATACCGTGTCTCGCTTTCTTCTCTCTTCATCGGCGTTGACACTATGGAAAAGCATGAGCTATGGGCGGATGATTTCGGTGGATTTGTGGCAATATTCGGGAAAGGAACTTGCAACAAAAGAACGCCATGGTGGCTTCGGATCTATACTTTGCTTTTGGCTGTAGGTGGCGTTGTTGGCTCTCCAGGACATACACTGGACGTGTTGGGTTACTTTTGCAATACCGTTCGGCGGTAATTAGCTGGGAGGGAACTCTCTGGTGTATGAAAACAACGATCCGAGTCAATACTTTAGCTAAATAACATTGCTTGAGTACTTCTTGTACAGTATGTGAATGAACTGTGAGGTGAGTAGACTTGTAGGAAACGTATCTAAGTTGTTGTCTAAGGACTAACAGGTCGGGAATATCTGTAATCCACAAGCGATCGTCTTCTGTGATAGTTGAACATGGCGTGCTTGGTACATACTATCCTCAGCAACTTAACAAAATCGTGGGGTGCTCCGTTGTACTGGTCCCCCGATATTTAGAGATCTCTTCCAACCAGAACTCTACTCTACTAACTACTCTCCGGTCCGTTATCCTCCAGCTACGAAGACCCGCGATTCCTCCCTACAATGTACGTAGTTCGAACGATCAGCTATCAACGTCGACAACAGCGAAGATCATACCACACGAGAACTCGGCGCTTCTCTTAGCGAGGAGGGAGAATCCCTACATGCACCACCCTTACATGATAGGCCGTTCATAACGAACAATTGGTTGGTTGACAAAGAAAAGGCCGGGCAGGACACTACATCGATATCGTATGAGGGTATGCATGTACTATAAAACGCTATCCACATTTTGGGTTCTCACTGCCGTTTCACCGGTCTGGGGCACGACTCGCTGCATGCGAGTGTGGGACGAGGGGAGGGAATGCAGCAGGATAAAAGTGGATTGGTGGGGGAGGAGGGTGTGGTGTGGTGTGTAGGTCGTTGATGTAACGAGGGTCTGGGCCGAATCTCCGGACGATGGGCGACCGATGGTTTCGATCGTGATGGCTGCTACGTATGTAAAGCAGGGAATGGAGGTGGGAGCTGGAAGGGATTATTTGCGGGCGCTACAGGTTGGTTTGATGGTTCGAACTTGTTAAGGTGCTCGTGTGAGGAGCCGCTGGTTGTTCCCGCTCTTGCTTTGGGACTTAGGTAGAGAAACAGAAAGTTTCTAGGCAATAACACGGCCGCCGTGCAAGCATCGCTTTGGTGCGGGGAAGCATTTTGATGTCGTGCTGGTGACTTCCTGTAGTTGCCCTCGGACATCAAAGTTCAGACATGATTGCCAGAGAACGACGTGTAACGGTTGCCCCTCCTGAACCAGCCTGCCCCTCTTTTGTTGCACAGCGTGGGGAATGTCGGCGCCCAGGAAATCACGAGACAGTTTCGCAGAGTTCCTGCCTACGGTGACGCTACGAAGAGCGACGATGATGCAGTGTGGGTGGCACATGGCCGTCGATGGGGGGGAGTGTGCGAGGTTGGAGGGTTGAGAGTTCCTCTCGCTTGCTCGAAGACACCATCAGACCCCGTTCCGTTATTTCCTGTGTCGCCACGCGTCTTTCTTCTTTGGCTACGAGACCTGATTCGATGCAGGAGGTTCGTTAGTAACTTAAGGATTGAGGGGGAACAGATGCAGCCGCTGATACAACCTCCCCGCTCGCCAATCTCGTGAGGCTTGTCCCCCACTTAATGCTCGCAGACGTTTGCCAGATCCGTGCCAATATAGGAAACTGAGCCATTGGCCAACGGCTGATGCTGAAATACTGCTAGCTTTATCTCTGAGACACAGAATTGGCCAGATCTCGTTGGCAACCTGACGATGTGTCAATCCGGTAAGCTGCTGCACGTTCCTCTCAGCTCCCGAAGGGATGCGAGATGCAGGCATTCACCATGTCGCTGGAGTTAGTCGGACTCAAGGGCGCGTCCGCCCAGCCGATAGATGCATCCAGCCAAGACCGGGAGCTAAGGAACTAGTTCACGAAGGGAAACAATGAGGGCGAGGTGGTTGGCTCAAGGCAACACCGGTACCAGACCCACCGTTGCTTGGGCAGCACCCTTGTTAGATGCTCGCATGCCCGATCTGCGCAAGTCGAAGCTACGGCAGGCCTGTGGCTTAGTGTAGACGCACTGATACGATGGCCGGACACGTCTCTATGTCTTATTCCGGAGATGGAAGGGGGAAGGGAGCGAAATCGGGGGTCCTACGCTCCGAGACCTCTTGTCAGGATCGTCGTTGAAAGAGAGCGCAGATCCCATCAGATACCCCATCGTCCGTGGCAAGATGCAAGGTGTACATATGAAGGTTAATAAGCTGTGGCGGGCTGGCGAATGGCAACAGACGTGGAGTGTATCGACAGGGACAGGTTTGACGTTTTGGCGGTAAACTCCATTTCCTTGCAGGCTTGATTTGGTTTAAGCTCGAATTGATCTCCTGGTGCCGCGATGCCAAGACGACGCTCCGCGCCCCTCAGGACCAACGGCTCAGCCGGAACTTGGAAGAACGCGCCTTCTTCGACAATGCTTTTTCTCAGAAAAGAAAAGATGGCCAAACGGCCACGTGCACATCGCACTCCGTGCTCAACGCTCTCCTCTTCAGGGGGGTGTTGTGGCAAACCCATTGCTTTTCAACGCCCTGGCTGACTCTCTCTTAGTCCAGGGCCGTGTGGGCCGGTTTGTTACCCCGCATATGGTACGATTGGACGCGCCTTCCAAGGTGGGTCTCTGACGTCGAAGCCAGAGCTTGGCTTCACACCCTCAACGATCCGGACCGGGGTTGCACCCTCCCAAAAATCCCGGACGGAGCAGGCAATCTGCGCTTTTCATTGGACAACCGCCTCCTATTTGCCCCACTCTGACGAAAGGCAACCAATCACGTCCCTGAAGGCCGCCAGCAATGCGGCATTCCGCAATGGTTCTGGGGCAAGTGGGGGATGATCTGCTTCAGGACGTTCCAAAGAGCAACTGCGGCCCTGCAGCAAGCAGCCAGGAAGAAGTTGACATTGCTCTTTCCAATTCTTTTTATTGAGACCCTCGTGCCCACTTCCTCCTTCCTCGTTCCTTATCTCTTCAACTCCCTTTTCCCCAGAATATCGCCCCGTGACAAGTCCAAATCGCATCAATCGAGTCAGTACCTGCGTCAGAGAGACACCCCGCATCCCGGCCGGCCTGGGCCCAGACCAGCGGCGGACTGCTCTCCAGCATCACAAAAGAAGCTTTGGACGGACTACCAGACGTCCCTTCGCTGTCCCCAATTTCTCTTGGAACTCAATTCAAAGAAGTCTTCCTAGAAGCTTAAATCGGGGGAGGGATTTGCTAGTTACTTCAACTTGCGTTCCAGCCCTCTTTGTATCGAGCCCATTTTCTGAAACCTCACGAAAAACACATACCTTTCGCATTTGAACATTCCAACATCAACCAAAGCCCAATTCCCAACATAAGCGAACACAAAACCACGACTCATACCTTCAACGTACCGCAGCATCGCGACTTGCAAATTTTACATCCAGCCTCATCAAAGCCACTACTAGTCTTGATACCCCGTTTTCCTCCTCCATTCCCATCATCGCGTCGTCCTCCTTCGCCATGTCTTCTGATACCGGCAACTCGGGGGCGAATGCCAACGACCTTGCTCGGCAGCGCCGCGGCTCCATCACCTCCAGCGCCTTCACCAACCTATTTCGCAACAACTCGGTATCGCAACCGCCGACCAATTCCTTCCCGACTCCCCTGACGTCGAATGCGGACCAACGCCGGCGGCTATCGGTTACTACATTGGGCCTTTCGGGCACGTCTCCGACGAACACTTCGGCGCTTTTCCGTCGCGGCAGTCTATCTATCAACCCAGATTCGATTGACGAAAATGCCATTGAGGACGAAGACAGCACCCGCACTACACCCATCACACCTTTCTCCCGCCGGATGAGCTTTGGTACTGCCCAAGCCATGCGAGGCGCTCGGAACGGTAGCGCGTCTGGCAACAATGGTAGGCAGCCCCAGACGATCCGTCGCAACAGCACCGCCCGTGGTAGTCCACCCACGCCCCCGCTCTCGTCCAGCGTTGGCAATTACACGTGGGGGAAACTATCTTCCCAGGCAAGCACTGCAAACCAGCCCCAAACAGGAGCTGACTTCCCTCCTTCCGCTCGATCAGACCAAGGCTTCAACTGGTCCGATCAGCTTAGGTCCCGCGCCGAAAGCACCGTAGCCTCTGGCCCTCGGCCTTCGTTCTCATTCAGCTCGGGCGTCAACAACTCTCCTCCTCGGGCCGCTGCGCCCCCGCCCGCCAGCCCTCGCCATGACCGGGCCAAGTCTGTCTCCGAAATGCCGGCGCCCCCGGCTCAGCCTCCCCGGGCCCGGGCGCCCCAGAAGCCCGACGCCTTCCAGGAGAGGATTCTAAAGGGCGACTTCTACATGGACTAGATCAAGTTGACCAAGATCTAAGTCTGTATTGGGCTCTTCCCTTCCCACACGCTTGCCATACGCCTACTATGCGTAAGCATTGCTATGTGGCTGTCGTTTCTACATCATATCAATTTTCTGGGAATCTTCTTCTGGCGTTTCTCGTTTTGCGATGATTGACAGGGTCGGTTGGAGTGCTTTCCAGTCGTTTCTGCTCCAGGCGTTGTGGCGAGTGTTTTTTTCCCCTTCTTTTAGTGGCAACGGGGAATCGGGACTTTGCAAGCAAACCGAATACTCGTCAAATTAGGTCGGCGAGTAGGGAGCAAGCAGGCAACGGAGTTATGCGGACGTTACTGTCCCGGGGAATACCATTTCATGCTAAGGAAGGGCCGAGGGGGATATCACAGGTTGGCGAATCTTCGTATTAGCGGGCGGGCAGTCGGTTCTCATCAAATTCACACAGACTGAGATGGATGGGGAAGAAACATCAGCGAGGCAATTTCCAAACTGCGAGGGATGAGGCGCAACTTTTCAAATTGTGTGTTGTTATTCGGTACTGTCTTGTCTTGTACGATTAGGGTTTCGAACTTTATTGTTTTTCGGGCCTTGGTTGTTATCGTTGATGTTGCTACTTGCTTTTTACTTTGTAACTACTGTTGTGGCTGGTGCTGGCTGGCTACGGATTAAGAAAGGGACATGGGCGGATCAAACCTGAGAATGGCATATCCAAAAATGATTCTTTTGATTTAGCCGTTCCAAGCTGAATTTGACGCTTTTCTGTTGTAATTTTTGTTATTGTCAAGATTATTCATTTTCGGGAGCTACCATGTTACGTGAGTGAATGGACCTGATAAGAGTCTTTGGGACCCAACGTGCTACCAATGCTTTAACAAGCAAATATATATTTCCGTCCCTGATGCCTATACATGTACAAGTGCAATTCCTACTCCTGCCAAAGTTGTCATCCATTTCTGTGTTGTGGCGGTGTTGCCGCAGTAGCTGTTGCTACATACGAAAAGTCAGGTTAGCGTGCGAGATGTTACATGACGAATATGGCTGGAGAGGACTGAACACGATCGATAAGAGTAAATGGGGGAGTCAATATGCTGTTGTAAAATGCGCTAACAAGCAAACATGTTTGTACAAGCTTGATCATCTTCGTCCCAGTTCATACTACTCCTACATCGCCCACCCATAACGCCGACCCACAGAGAGAGAGAGAGAGAGCCAACCTGACAACCCAATATCCAAAAATATCATACACCTTCCACAACAACAACAACAACAACAACAACAACAACAACAACAACAACACCCCTTACAACATCCCATTTACCAACATCACATCGCCTCATCACAACACCCTCCTATTCCACATCTTAATCACTGAATCCCTAAAACCCAAACCCTCCCCCCGACCCCGCAGCCCCCATCGCATCCAACCCAGCCCCCATAGGCGGATACCACCCCTGCTGCTGTTGCCCATGCGTCTGCTGCTGTCCACCTCCCCCACCTCCCCCGGCACCTCCCCTACCATCCCCACTCGCCTGCGGCATAGGAAACCCGGCAAACACATCCTCCCCGCCCAACCCCCCATCCAAGAACCCGCCCAGGGTCATATCCAAAGCCTGTGCGAACCCGTTACCGAAGTTGGAGTAATCGTAGTCGACGTCGGGGGCACCGGAGGAGAAGGCGTTGGTGAGCCAGGGGAAGGAGAGGTTGGAGATGAGTTGTTGTTGTCCGGGGGTTATGTTGTTGGATACGTAAGCGCCGGCGGTGCTGTTGCTGGTGCTGGCGGGTGGGCCGGGGGAGGTGTTGTTGTTGGTGGGGTTGTACATGGTTTGGGACTTGGTGTTGTTGTTGTTGCTGCCGGTGTTGTTCAGCCAGGAGGATCCTGAACCTGGGGCGGGGGAATGGCTCAGGGGGTGGAGTAGGTCGCCGGCGGTGCCTGGCCGACGAGGGCCGCTGGTGGCGGCAGCTGCGGAGTTGTTGGTTGCAAGTTCGGAGAGGACCTCGAGCGGCGTGCTGGCGGTGGCCGTGGAATAGTCTTGCCCCGGCGGGCGTGGGTGGGGTAGAGGTGCGGAATTGCTCCGTTCACCGGCGGTCGGACGCATATATGCGCACGACGGGCCGGCTGCTGGCGTAGCATCGGGACCAGCGCCGGGGGCTTGGTTCTGCTTCTGTTTGTGGAACCAGGAGCGGATCATGACGAGCACGACGAGGAACTTGGCTGCTGGCCGACTCCTGTCTTCCGCAGCAGTAGCACGGAAGTGTTCCAGCATGCGGTCGAGGTGCTGCTCGACCTTCATATCGTCAGGATTGATGACCTTGCCAAGTTCACCTTTGGGTGACGCCGCGGCGAAATACAGTTTAATCAGGACCACAACCGCGTAGGCGACCCGTACGAAGTTGAAGACCGGCAGGCAGCGGACGGTTTGTACTTCGAGTGACAGGAACACCTCGAAAATGCCCTCGATAGCGGCAAGGCAGGATGTCAGGGCGTCGATATGGGCACTAGTGAGGGGACCGCCCGTGCCAAGCTGTGTTTCGCTAGGATGAAGCTTGCCATCGTCAGGGGTATCACTGTAGGTTGCGACTTCGTGCATGTACAGGCTGATAACATGGAAGCCCATTCGCAGGGATGCTACGCCACGTGTTAGCCAAATCATCCAAAACTAATCAAAGCAATAGGAACAAGGTACAAAGACATACGCTGCTGCATCAGTTTCGGAACCGCAGCGCAACATTTTTCAAGGTCACGCTCCAACCCCTTCAACACATACTGCGTTCGGGCTTCCGCCAGATTAGGCGTCGACATCGGATCATCCATCGAAAAGTGAATGCTGACATCCTCGGCGACCTTATGAGACATCACCAAGTGGCAGAGGTACTTGTCCGTAGGCGCAGCTTCAGGAGACGACTGGAGAATCTCGACACATTCCGCCATGAACGGCGTCCAGCGGAGGAGATTGGGCCGGTGCAGCGCCATAGCGGTGTTAGTAGTCATAAAGTAACAGGTCAACCAGGTGCGACGGCCTTCGATTGTCGTTGGATCCGGCGGAGGCGGCTTGCGCAGGGGGTGGTCGCGCCAGGCATACGAGATATGTTTCCTAAACCCGCTTTTGGCCGGCTTTTTCCTGCCAAGACCGATCTCGATGGCCATGACGGCTGCGATGTGCACGAGCTGGTAGAACTTGAGCTCTTCGAAGCGCTCAGGCGGCCAGTACCAGATCACGGCCACCGTCAGGGCCTGTACGAGCTCGAGGCTCTTTCCACCGTGGACAATGATGCGGTCGGCAAACACCTGCATCAGCTCTTTGGTTAAAGTCCGCTGCAGGGCGGGCAGCTCGGATGCTGCGGTTGCCATAACAGACAGGAACAGGGTCGGTTGGGAGGCTCGGAGCTCCGCGACCGTCATGCCAGGCGCCAGCACCACGCCCGGCAGATGAGGGCACATCCTATTGACATAGCGCAGGAACAACTCGCCAGCCGTGCCCATAGTCAAGATGCCCCTCTCAACAACATCCGGCTGCTGTTCCCTAGCGGGTTCACTTAACGACGGAGGATCACGTGCCGCGATCCCAGCAGGGGAAGCATTCTCCGTAGAATCCCGGCGGTCGTCCAGCTTCCTCTTGATCCCGGCAATACCTCCCTGAAGAGCCGGCGTTCCCGCGACCGTCGATCCCGATGGCGTCCGTGCAACGGATGGTGGCCCCTGATGCAGCGATGAAGGCGGTGGTAAAGGAGGGAGAGAAGGAGGAGGAAGAGTGCGAGGATGAGGAGACAACGCAGCGGCCGGAGACGGAGGATACCTCACAACCTCCGCCTCCCTATCCCACCCACTCGGGCCCCCATCATACGTACCCCCTCCCCCCATCCCCATAGCCATACCAGCGCCAGCCCCAGGCCCAACCCCAACCCCCATAACAATACTCCTCCCACTCCCACTCCCCAAACCCCCAGCACCACCACCACCGCCACCTGCACCCGCACCCGCACCCGCACCTCCTCCTCCTCCACCACCAACCCCATGCCTCGCCGCCAGCCCTGCCGTCAAAGCATCAATCTTCTTCTCCAACTCCGCGACCCGACTATCCGTCTTCTTCTGCCTCTTCCTTGTCGGCTGCGTGACCACACACGCCCTCTTCCCCTTCAAACACCGCCGGCACGGCCCATCCGGATCAGCCGGATCAGCCGGGTCGCACCGCACCTTGAGACCGCGGCAGGACTCGCAGGCGCGCGGTTTCTTGTTGTTGGGGTTGTTCGGGTTGTTGGGGTCGTGGAGAGACGAGGCAGAGTCTAACGGTGTGCTACCGCCGCCGGCGTTTCCGTTGCTAGTTGTGGGGTGGGCCGTAGGGCTCGGGCCGCTGGTGCTGGTGCCCGTGCGATGGTCGTGGTCGTGGTCGTCGACGTCATCGTCATCGTCGTCATCGTCATGGTCGTCGTGCTCGTGCTCGTCGTCGCTGTGGGTCTGGTGAGGGAGATTATTCGAACCGGTGTTGGAGGCGGAGTCGGTGTGAGAACGCGGGGTGGTGGTGGTGTAATCCCGTTGACGGTGGGTACGATCGTGTGTGGTGGTGGTAGTGGTGGTCGAAGATGCAGCGACGGCAGTAGCAGCAGCGGCCGTGGTCTTGGTGGTGGTTGTGGTATTGGCGTTTGCGTTTGCGTTTGGGCCGTTCGTATCCACCGCAGAGTTGGTAGCTTTTGAAGGATTGGAAGTAGAAACAGAAGAAGAAAAGGAGGAAGGGTGGGTAGAGCGGAGCGCTGGATCGACAGCGTCCATAGTTGCTCTTGCATGCACGACTTCCAATCTCGTTCGATTTGCGTCGGCACACGGTGGTGGTGATGGCCGATGTCCGATGGAAAGAGCCCTGCGCTTGGGGGAAGACGGCCGGGAAGAACCGATGTATCCGACCCTGTGGGGGTTCGGGCCCACTGACTTTAGTATCATTGGCTGGCCTGAATTGCCGTGCATGGCAGTGCCACATCGCGGCACGTGCAGCCGAGCCGACGAGGTTCACCAATTGGTATCCCGAATGGGGAAAGCGCCGGTCGTGTCTCGTGACATCGGGACTTCGTGAGAGTCAACAGCGACGAAAGCCGAAATCAATATCCAAAAAATCCAAACTCTCTCCATATCAAGCACACGCACACAAGCACATTCAATAGCCATAATTTACCATATTAGACAGTTACGTAGGTCTGTACAGATACAGCTTACATCCCAACAGCCCCAGATTCAGCAAACATCCACGTGAAACAAATTTGGTATCTCCTCCGCTGCGCTGCAGAATCGACGTGAAGGGAGAGAAATGAAACGAAAAGCGAGAGAAAGATTTGAGAAGGCCCAAAAGGGAAATAGAGGCCAAGAGCGTAAAAGGAAACTCGTAGTGTAGTTAGTGAACAAGCTGTGCAGTGACCGGCGTCCTTCCCCCGAAAAAAACAAGTACCAAGTACCAACACAACCAGCTGAGAAGCGTCAAACCCAGCCCGACTATGAACTCCCAGCTAATGACTACCCGGATCAGGTAAAGTAGCTTTCTCTCGCCATCCCTCTTTCTCCCATACCAACAATCAAGATGAAAATCAGAGGGAAACATTGTGTGTATGTTGAACGTAAAATGTGAGCGTAGAAGTGTTATGGTATGCGTAAAAAAATGATGGGATGCGGCGTGACGTGAGTGTTTGTTTTCCGCGGAGATATTTCTCGGCATCCACGATGTGCATTCGTGTATGTGTGCGCAACATGTTGGGCTCGTATAGCTCGCTCGTTTCAATAAAATCGTACATGTTCGTGCGGTGTAATTCGGAATGATGAGGTAGAGAAAGGCGGAGGCATCATTTCTGAAGAGAAAGAAAGAAATCCCCTAGTCGTAAGGGTAGCTGGCGAGAATCGGAAAAGGAAAATGCCGAATGGAATTGTCGAATGGATGAGGTGGTATCTTTTGGTATGAAAAAGGCGCAAAACATAAAAGTAACGGAGGGTACGGAAACTCGGTGTCGTTAAGAATATGCCGAGAATGGTTGATTTTTTGAACGAAGTGAAGGTCCAAACAAAACCAAAAAGGTGGTCGCCTTAGTACTGAGCCTCCTCACGAAGCCGGCTCTTCGAGGGCTGTTGGCTTAGCGAACCCATAAACATGGCGCTCTCACGTCGGTTGCGGTACGGCTGCTCATACGGTGCTGGGGTGAGCCCGTTCTCATATGCCGGCCGTTCGAACGCAGGGCTGGCACGCCGGCCCACTTGGTTGGGATCAAAGTTTGGGGGCACAGGGAAGCCGGTCTCGTACGCCGGCCGCATCGACGTGTGACTACCACCACCACCACTCATGTCGTGGTTCATCGGCCGCTGAGGAGGCGGTGTGGGTGTGCTCCTTGAGTGCAGGGTCGCCGCATTCATCTGTGCCACTTGTTGCATTGACATGGGCGGTGGCGTCGGCGTGCTCCGGCTGGCCTGCGAATCTATTGACTCCATCAGGCGCTGCCTGTGGGGGGAATCACTATGTGAGGTTGACGGCCGTCCTTCCGATGGCCGGCGCTCCTGGAAGGAAGAGGGTAACGAGGGCCGCCGTTCCTGCGCAAATTCGGGTTCCGTCACGGGCAGCTCGTAGTTGGAGGGGTCGATCCTAAAGATGACCTCATAGTTTTGCAAGAACATGGCAAACACAGGCGCCGGGATGTTGAGAGTGGGTGAGAACACGATCCCGACATTGCGCACCGTCATCTTGTTCACGCCCGCATTGTCGATGATCTTGATCAGGAATGAGATTAGATACTTGAGCAGTGCTGCGTTCGCCTGTGGCAGGCGCTCCACAAGCTCGGCCAGCGCTCCCATCTTCTCCTTGTGGTTCGTCATCTCTGTCACGGTGATGAATTGGGTACGGAGGTCGTTGGTCAGGATCGTGGTCGGTAGCTCGCGGAGATACATCTTCAGGAGCGAAGCGATGGCGTGAATGTCGTGGTACTGCCCATCATTGAGCAGGTCGATATCGCCCTCAACGTTGAACCGCTCCCTGAGTTGCTTGATGACCAGGTTTGACCCGCTAAGTCGGAAGATACCTTCTTCCGAGACAGCATCCTTGGCATCCAGATACTGGATACACCGGTAGACAACTGCGGGCAATGGGACCCGCACGTCTACGGGGGCGTTGTACCGAACTGCCTCCGCCAATGTAGCGCCAAAGACCTGTCGGAGGGGACCGTGGTATTGACCCGTTGGCAAAGAGCCTCCGCCTTCACTTCCGAAAAGCGAGTCTTGGCCGTCGCTCGATGTCCTGGTCTTGGGGCCGAAACCGAAGAAGCTCCGCTTCCTCGCCTTCTTCTCCTCCTGCGTCGGCGCCGAGAGGCCCATGCCAAGCTTACTACCCAGCGGCTCCGTGTGTGAAATCACTTGCGGGTCCCGCGGGGCGGAAATGGTGTAGGAAGACGTCGTTGACTGGCTGTGGGTGGACTCCTGGTCCTGTTGTCCGCCTTGCTTCCCCTTGGTTGGCGCTCCCTGGTGCGGCGTATTGCCTTGCTTGGTGGCTTCGTAGCTAACCCCGATCAAATTGTCGTCGGCGCCCGCCGTTGGCTGCTTAGCTTGCGGCTGCCCTCTCTTCTTAGCGTTGCCACGCTCAACATTCCGCTCTTGGGCAGAATCCTTCTTGGTGGGATGGTCTTCGTCTTCGGGATCCCGGTAATCGATCCAGCGGAGCAAAGCCTCAACCCATCGGTCGCGTTCTTGGTCGCTCTCTGCGCACAACACGTGCTTGGTCACACTGCTGGGATCCTTCTTCTTGGGCTCCAGAATCAAAAAGGCGTGGCGATACTGATTATCACCCTCCTCCGCGGCGGAATTCTGGGTAGGGGTGCCTTCGTTGGCTTGGTGCGCTTGCTTGCCAATCTGCGCCCTCTGAAGCTTGATGGTGCCGAGATGGGCACCGCCAGGGGTCTCGTAATACTTTAGGTGTGGGCCGTCAAGGACGAAATAGCGAGCCTTCCAGCCCCCAAAGTTCTTGCCCCGCTTGGTGAGATAGCCGTTGCGGAACGGCCGACCGCCGGGTCCAACTCTCTGTGACTCGGTAGTTTGTTCACCAGTCCCAGTGCCGATCTCGTCTGCGTTGGGCGGAAGGGTGCTGGTCGATAGGTACTTGCAAAGCTCGAGCGCCGTGGCGTTGTCCAACTGTGTATTCAACAATTCGTCCAGGTAGTGGTTGAGCGCAATGCGCCGGGCATCGAGCTTAGCCGGCGCGTGACCACTAAATAGCGATCGGTCAGGCGTTCTGGCCGTGAAGGCCGAGCACTGCTTCAGTCGATGGTCCAGCTTGGCCAACGACGCAGAATCTTTCTCGATACGCCAGAGCTCACCACCATCCGCCCTGGAGTACACGGCCAGCGTGAAAACCGGGTCCTCTTCCAGCTGTGTCAGCGAGATCAAGCTGGCCCGAGACGGCTTCATACGGGACGAGGCAACCCGAATATCAATGGACGGGAGAGCGTTAGGGGGGAGGAGCAAGTCGGGATATTCGTCCGTCACGAAGCCCTTGTAGACCTTGTTCCGCTCCACTGGGCTGTCGGTAGCGCTGGACTTGGTCGGGCTCGGCGTGGCATACCCTTGCTCGCCTTGCCTTACGACATTGAGCGACCTAGGCGACTTAAGCACCAAATTGTCACCCGCAGGGGAGGGTGTCTGAAGAGGCGTGTTGAGAGGCAGCGGAATCGGCGCCCGTGGGGGGCGGGGTGATAGCGGGACACTGGGGAAGTTGCCGACACCTAGCGGAGAAAGAGGAGGGGAGGTCATCGGGGATGTCATAGACATGTTCGGCCGAGGACTCGACGGTAAGCCGGGACTCATCAACGGCGCGGGGATTGTTCGAACTTCAGGAGTACCGTTCAGGACGCCGGCAAGAGAAGCCGGCTCGCGAGAAGCAACCTGCTTGGTAGTCTGGACCGCCCTGGGGCCAGCCGGCGCGGGCGCGAGCGTAGGCGCTGGCAAGGGCATTTGTGCCTTGTCCCCAGCCGCACGGCTGCTGCTCTGTTTGCTCTTCTTAGACAAACTGCGCATCTCGGCCTCCTTCCTAGCGATAAGCGCCCGCTCGCGCTCGTCCTCCTCTCGCGTTCTCCTACGTCCTCTGCGGTCGTTGGATGGCTTGAGCTCATCAACATCGAGGATATGGTCGTAGTCAGTGTCGGTCTCCGGGTCTTCGTCGTGGGCAACTTTAGGCTTGGGCTTTGCATTCTTCAGGTGCAGTGGCGCCGGAGGGGGTTTCCGTGGTGGGGGCGCAGGGGGCGGAGGGAACTTAGAAGCACCGTCGTCCGGCCGAGGTGAGCGCTCCGGTGGTGGTCCTGGTGGTTGCGGCGGCCGCATCCGGGGCGGTTCGCTAGGCGCCTTACGAGAGGGCGGGATGTTCATCATGATGGGGAGGTCCTTGGTCCCCTCCACTTTCTTTGCGGCCGCTTCCGCCTCCTGCTCCTGGGCATCGTGATCGAACTGATCTAGCGCATGTTCGCTTGGCCGGGGCATCGTGTGCGACGGGTCGAGTGCGTCTCGAACGGCCGAGCGGGCATCTCTTGGAAGGGTCACTTGGTGCGCTGGCGGAGTGATAGGGTAAGGCGCCATCGAGACGTCGATGGGCGAATGTTTGGCATCATCCGAGTCGACGGTTTTGGGTGACAAGGGAACTTCAAACTCCTGGTCCCTTGGTGAAGCGCTAGCAGCGATGGGAACTGCCCTCGCGCCCACTCCTTGCCCGCTTGGGGCGGATATTGACGGCGCGGATGGCTCCTCGGATACCCCCAACACTTCCTTTAGCTTTTTTCTGTACTTTTCCTTTTCCTTCAACGCCCTTTCGAGGTCCGTCTTGAGGCCCAGCACCATCGACCGCTGCTTGTCCACCAGCCTCCAGAGCTGCGCATTTTGTTGCGATTGCGACTGCTTCTCCTTGAGCAAATACTGGATGACGGCCTCGGCGCTGCCGGCCGTCTTGATTAGGTGCGCAATCTCGGCGGCGCCATCTTGCGAAGACTTTTGGAGGTTCGATTTCGAGGAAATAACGGAAATGGCTGAGTCGATCGACGACGTTCGTGGGGGGTTCTTAACGGGTTCTACCCGCGTACCCGCCGGGGCAGGCATGGCTGCCGAAGATTGCTTTAAACGAGAGACGCCGGGGGGTTGTGCGGCGACGAGAGGGTTGGAGACGCTGCGGTCAGAGACGCTGCGGCCTTCATTCGGAAAATTCAGCGACCTAGGAGACGGCGACGGTCTGTCACGTTCAAACTGTCAGCACCTATCCGTCCATTTTTTCACGAGCACCAGGACCGTGAAAGAGACATCCGGCACGCCAGACAAAGGACGCACCCAGGGCTTCGCTGCTCGGGCGTGGTGGTTCGAGAGGAATCGCTATCCAGGTATGTCTTCTCTGACAGCTGCGTGCGGTCGTCTGGGGCTGCAGTGGTCACGATGCGTGGAACGGCGGCAGACTGAGGCGCGGGAAACGACGAGTCCATGGACAGAGGGCTAGCGGGCACCTGTCTCGACCTGGAAGCGGGCAACAGCGATTGGGTCAGTACTGTAGCACCGCAGTCAAAGTGGTGACCCAGCCGTTGCACTGCAGGGCAGATGCCAGGTTTTGACGCCGAACAACAACTTGTAGCTCGGAGCAAAAAATGCGGGAGGGTTTGTCCGTCAGGTCTCGTGGAGATTGGCTACAATTACCCCGGCCCCAACAACCCGCGACGTGGATAAGATAGAGAGATAAAGTTCTTTGCTCGGGCGCTGTCGGACCAAGCAAGGCGCCAAACATGAGACCGCAGCATGGGCGAGGAAGCAGGTGGGATGACGGATTCCCAAGTTAAGCCCAACGAATCGGTCGTAGGTGGAAGGAGAGGAGGAAGACGAGAGGAAGAAAGACGACCAATCATGACGTGGGGCTGGGGGGGAGTGAAGGGATCAAACAGGAACGGAAAGAAAGGAATATGAGGGCTGGCTCATCCATACCTCGTGGCTGCGGCGTTTGGCGAAACTGCCGGCGGGCTATTGGCCGTGTAGTGTACCGTTCTCCCGATAGTAGGGCTGTCCTGGAAGGGTGAGTCCATAGAGCTCAGGCGACGGGCGTGATTATGGGAAGCAGGCGAGGATGGTGGCCAGCCAGGCCGTCGAATGTGGTCGGTCGGTCGCTGTGGGTTGAGTCCGCAACAGGCCCGCAAAGGAGTCGGGCAGGGCAGGTCAACCAACACAGGCCGTGGGGAGCTTTCGTTTCGAGATTTCTGGGAGGCCCGGGCCGGCGTCGCACCTCATTGAAAGGCCAAGCAAGCACTCACTCGGTCGGAGTGAGGGGCTTTGGGTGGGTGCCAGAGTAGGTGGTGCGCTGCTGGGTGAGAGCAAAACGAGGACAAAAAGGAAAATGAGAAAAGTGGCCGGAATATTCGTACCGGCGTAACGAGCGACGATGAGCAGCGACTTGCGCGAAGCAAAGCAGGGTCGCCGCCGTGGTCAGCGGGCGATCAGGAATTATGGGTCCCTTGGGGGGTCGATAATTTTAAACCGACTGGGAAGTGCGAGCGACGTGCACACACCCACGGCGCTAAGACAGAGTTTGGAAAGGTCACGCAAGTAATTGCTGCAGGTGCATCGAGCTGCGTCCGCAAAACTCGTCGGTCAACATCAAGCCCGGCCGGCTAACGCTAGTTCAATATTTACTTACTCCGTTCGCCCCGGCACGGCACAATGTCTGCTGAGACCGGGAAGGTTGGGTGGCTTGGTGTTCCGGGTCTGGTGCTGCGTGAGTCGTGACGGGAGTCGTGATCAGCCGAGCGCGCGCTTCGTCTGATCCCGAGCATGGAATGTGGCACTTGAATTGCTGTTGCGGCAGGCCGCTGCGAGCGAGATCCGGGGGCAGGGGCGAGACATGGAAGGGAAAGGCCCGTTCCAGGCATGTGGGCTTCCAAATTGGCGGCAGTTCTGGCAGGTCCCACCCAACCTTCCTTGCCCCCAGTGTAATTCCGAGTTCCACTCAAAGCGAGAAGTGCGGAATCTGCCCACCTCTTGCCCGCAATCGGTCTGCAGCATCAACGTCAATCACTTCAAGTACACTAGACGACAGGCACCCCATTCAGAGCCCATCCGTTGTCCATATTCGTTTTCAATTCCCGATTTCAACGGCTTGCATTCTAAACAAGCATACGACCCCATAATTTTTCCTTAAACTCTAATATTTCGCTCTGGAGCTTCCAGAAACAAGGTCGTCTCTCCTCGCAATTTCCAAAGATATCCTGATCCGAATTATACCTCCCGCCCGGGCACAAAACCAGGTTTCTGAAACAAGTTGCCGTTGCAAATGGTAGAGTCTTGATATTACCCGACCTCCAACGGCCAGCCAAGATCTGGGTCGAAGCCGGGTCCATGGCCCTTTTTTCAACATCCAAGATGTCAGGATCGGTATGTACAAAGTAATACTAGGTATGTATTATGGCATCAAACCCGTCCACCTAGTGGTGTTCCTCGTACTATGTATGAAGGCCGATGCAGAGGAAATGAAGCATAAATTGAACCTATCTATTATTACCACAACGACAGAAAAAACACCGAGGTATGGAAGCGCGTCATTCCGGTACCTCCCTGTCAAGATTTCTCTCGACAAATGCACCTCGTCAGGAACAGTCAACGATCAACAACAAACTGCTCAATTACGGAGTTTCTGGGGGAAAGTGTCACCTAACAACAAATTGCGGCGGGGAAAAAAAGCAAAGCAAATTCACGTTTATCTTGTGAGGTGCAGGGGTTGCAGCAGCCTCAATCAACATTCCCCATGTTTCTCCTCAGCGGCCAACGAAAGACCATGTTTCTGAACATGGCCTCTGCTCAATTGCGGGGGAACAACGTGAACGTTACCACTTGTCTCATGGAGGCATGGACCACAGCCCCCCACGATCCGCCCTGCCCCCCGGCTTCTTGCGCGATGGCTTCATGCAGGGGTTTGCAGTTCGCGTCAAACCGGCCGCTGCAATTCCTCCGGTTGAGGGTTTGCTGCAGGGACACGGGCCAGCAGTGCCGGGAAATAATTTAAACCCCTCCTGATCGTTAGCCGCAGAAGAGCAGATGCAAATGCAGGAACCCGCAGCAGCGCCCCCTTCTGTGAGCACGACCAAACCAGCATGCCGGGTCTCGGTCGAGGACAAGTCGCCCTCAGGGGATCCTTGAAATCGGGTAGTCTGTCAAACCTCAGAATCAAGGTCCGACCACGTCACCCCTTTCGTCCGAATTTTAAGACTACCGACCGGTCCGAGTCCGCATCGGACCCTCTGCTCATCAAGGGATAGTTAACTTAAGTGCGAACAAGTTCCAAGTATAGCCCATTTATCATCAATTTCCGAAAGCGTCCCGGGCCACTGTGCTCTTTTGATCCACAACTGCCGGAGCCGAAATGAGGGCGCCACCATACCCAAACCTTCACGTGGGCAAGCCACCAATTGAGCCACAGCTCGTCCCTCCCCCTCCGTGCCCTCCTTACCACCACACATCGCCACCTGCAACAGGACGGGGCTCGAGGAAACCCGAGCCGACGGGCGCAGAGCAAAGAGCGGTGTGATGGCGGAGAGATGTCTCTCACCTTGGATAAGGTTAATTACTCGTATCCCCCGAGATTGATAGTCCCGACAGGTTTCCTCCAAGGATCCTCCCAGCCTGTGAAGCTTGCCCTCCATCATGAAGCATGGAAAGGCATGAGAGTGGTGGCTTGCCATGCAGCATCGAAATTCCAGTGCGATGGCCAGTTCCTGGACTTGATTGGGCCCCGTGCCTGGCTGAAAAGACGGATCCAAAGAACCGAAGCGCCAAAGCTTTTGCCAATGCAAGTCATCGTTCAAGAAAAAGGGACAGAGCTCCACGCCCATGCTTGTGTGGGCGAAAACACCTGATCCGTCTGCTGATTGGGTTGCGTGTTGCGGCCGCGTTGCCCCTGAAAATCTCCCGACCGCGGCCGAACACCAGCAGTGACCTGACCGAGTAAGTGGTCACGGGACGGCCTCTTCAACGCCCACTACTATGTACACACATGGCCAACAAACCCCCAACGGCTCAGATAATAAGAGAAAAACCCCGTCCCACAAATGTTGCCGAGGTCACCAACGAGCGCAAACACCCGACGGCTGACTTCCATACCCCTGTGGGGCCGTTTCGGCTCCGGCTCCGAACTCGGTTCCACCCAACGTCCACCACTGCAGCAGTCCCGTCCTCCCGGGTGCCGAGAAGCGGTTGACGCAAGCGATTTTCAGGGTCATCGCGTTGCGGTTTCAAGTTTTGAGGGATTCTCACGACACCTCACGCGACACACGATACACGACACACAACCCGCTGTCTCCGCACTTTTTATAGCTTTGCGCCTCCAGAAAAGAAAGGTCAAGACCTAGTGTACTCCCCGGATGGTAAACATCCAGGCCATACACATACAACGTGTTTGACTTGGAAATCATTTTGCCATGGCGTTGTCGTCCGAATTCTAGTGTTCTCAGCGGGCCCTGCAATCATCGGTCTGTAATACTCGACCATCTTTTGTACCGTCAATCGTCACGCGGGAGAACGGGCATCCCGTGGGGATGAATAACCTTAATTCCAGAACAACGTAAGAAGGAGCAACAAGAATGTCCTACATACAGAAAAACGGGTGTTTCCGCAACGGCCCATCTCACAGTTGTTCGCGTTTGGCAACTGCTCACATGAAACAACCACCGGCCGGCCGGAGAGGGAGGGAGCTGACGGTCACAAAACACGGCCCCTCGCGGTTTGGGGGAGGTCTCCCTTTAATCCAACCGCCCGGACATGAAGTCAACAATCAACAACAGCCCTGTCGGTTCGTTGTCTACGAAGCCTATTAATCCAACTCACCAAAATTGCCTTAAAAGTCAATCTGACATAACTATCTTGCCCGGAGGACGAGACAATAGTTACCTTCCCGCTTGGAAAAGGCACGGGCCCGAAACAACGATCCGGGGAAGGGGTTCATCAATCTTCGTCAATCCGAGCCCCTTGTCCTTGTCCTCGTCTTGGCCCCAACCGTGCCTCGAAGCTAAGTCGGTGCACACCCATTTCCCCGCGTTCTGGATCTCGCCGTTGGAGATCTTGTGTAGCCTCCTCACGCGACGAGCTAACTGCACTGCTCATCAAGCGGGAGCTGCAGGCTAGTGTTGCTACGTTAATCGCGGTAGGCTCGACGAAGTATAACCACAAAGAGCAAAGTTCATTACGGCGTAGCGAGGCGAAGCGAGGCCAGACCTTTGGGGTTGCACAACCAACATTAAGCTTCATTGCAGGCGGGGGAAGGGGCAAGGGTAAAGTAAAGTAGGGGGATCAAACGTCGTCGTTCCTGTCACTAGCTTTCCAGGTGAACTGGGCTGTGTGTTGTTTCAGTAGGAATGGTCCGCATGCTCTTAGCGCTGGTTAATGAAGGTTACGGAGGTACCTGCACCTTTCCATCAAGAGATCAGACGCTTTACTCACTTCCCACCTTTTTTCCCGAAGGGGAAAGAAAGCAGGAAGTATGGAAGTAAATAAACAAATTGAAAGGCGGCGGCTGGTTGGTACCGATGGAGGTGTAAGTGCTCCCGTCGGCGCTAGCGGGCATCTGAAACGAGGCCTGCTGATTTGACCCGGTTTCGAGGCGGTTTCATAATGGGACCGGACGGGAAGAAATACTCATTCTAGTTATAAGCCATGGCGCGCGTCGGTGGTATGCTTCGACGCGGTTGTCTTTCGCGTTGTGGAAGTGGGTGATGGGAAACAAGAGTAAACAATCGTAGTCAGAAAATACCCTCTGGACCCAGGCTCTCACTTACGGCTCGACTCAACCGATGATATATTGATCAAGGCATCACGTTAGACCAAGCGAGTTATCTAGATCGGACATAAAAGTCGGTGAATAGGATAGAAGCAGTTTCAAATACAAGGTGTACAAGTGTCGTTGTTGGTCACTATTGCTGGTGACTTCAACCTGGTTATCATCTCTCCCCTGAGCCACAAAATCCCGACGGGAGTTCTCATCACTTTTCCCATGACAGTAGTTACTATGTAAACCACCCAAACACTTGAGGGAGAGTTTCTTTAGGGTAAGTATCCGCTCATGGCCCGTTATCCGAGCTGTGACGGTGATATGGATCGTAGTTGCCTTTTCGTCCACACCTTCAAAGGGAAGCGGGCACAATCGCACCTTCCCTCCGCCCTGGGTATATGAGTCCCCTTCTCACTGCTCCTGCCATCGCCTCCTCCCAATTGAAGGTCAAACACTGGTTTAGCTCAGCGGTATTGGGAGGAGCTGCGACCACGCCACTACCGTCGTAAATCGAAATGGCTCTGGGTTCGATCCCCAGGTCAGCGAGGAAAAACACCGGTTTTTCGTAACCGCCAACCTCTATGCCTCCGGACGGGGATAGTGCTTGGTGGTGAGCTTTTTGTCTTTTCTTTTTTTTCTCCCGTTGTGATCTTGATTTCACTCGTGGCGTTTTGGAAAGTACAGCCTCAGAACTACCTCTTCGGGAAACGCAAGCAACAGCAATGCAGCATTGCCCCTTCCTGACGTAACCAGGGATCTGAGCACACAGCGATAGGATATGTAGCCCCCGGGAGCGCCGGCGTATTTTTACTTTCTAACATGAACAACAACCGACACAGTTACTAGCGGCTATACCACTGCCTATCGATTATCTTCTCCTGACTTAGTTATCTTCCTGGGAACGAGAGCAGCCGCGATGTCTTCGAGCTCTGCACCCATTAACCAGCAGCCCATCTTATGGACGGACGAGGCGTGGAAGGGCGACCCAAATGGGGACTTGACGCTCGAGTTCGAGGGTTACTCCTGGAAGGTCAGGGAGGAGGTGGTCACCGCTCACTTTTCTTGGATGGAGGCCGCCATTGCCAACACCGAGCCGGTAAGCCAAACCAGGTTCATTGACGGCTTCTGTTCCAGTATTCATGCCATGGTTTAGGGATACCCCGTCGTCATCGGCCCTCGGCACTCAGACACCGCTCGCCCGATCGTTTTTGCGTCGCTTTTGCAGTACTTTCATTCGAATAGTAGGACAACCCCCCTTTGATACGGAACACTCCCGCCTGGCCCCCTATCAACTTACTAACCCTCACCACCCCAAACTAGGCCTCCCGAACCAGCTCTGGGAGGACAAACCTTCGTTCTACTCCTATGCCCGATACTATTTCCTTGCCTATACCTTTGAGCTTGGTGGGCTCAAACGCGCGATGATATCCAATTTCGAGGGTCTAACCGACCACGTCTTGGCTCTCAGCAAGCATCGTTGCTGGCACTGCGGCCCTGCGGCGGCCGAGGCTGACGGGGAGGAGATTCAACATTTGATGTCGTTCCTGGATGCGGCGCTTTTTATGGAGAAGCAGGAGTGGAACGCCAAGATGCTCAAGGTCATCTACGACGCCGGAGACAAGCTGAAGGAGAGGTTGATGGGATGGGGGGCGTTTGAAGACTTTGTCCGCGACTTTGCGGTTGGAGCACGATTCGCCAAGGCCATCGGGGCCGATCGATCGTGAATGGGATCAGAGGGCCAGGGCATGAGATCGAGGGACTTGTGGACTGGCTGTTGTTTCTGTCCAAGCTACGAACACTGAAAGCAGACTTATGTGTCGGTGGGTGCGGGCGTGATCAGGAATAGGCATACCAGCAGGCATTTTGTCTTTCTGGAGGAATGATTAATGCTTGAGTTATCCTTGGGATTTTTACTTTGCTGTTTTTCAGAGAATATGGGGGTTTCACCCTTACTTCACGTAGTAGTCATTCAAGAGACAAGTTGGTATTGTGTTAACACTGAACCGCAAAAGCCTGAGTGTCCGTGAGTCATAATTCCTTTCTACCCAAAGATATCTCAACTCATTACAGGCGGCGGTAATATTTTCAAGGCAATTATTATACTTGTGCCACGCAGAAATTATTACTATTACAAAAACAAACCACTATTTTATACCGTGGGATGTACGTCGCAAAGATGATCATCACTTTCCATACCCCCTTCCACTGTATCCACCCCTCTCATACTCCCTATCATAACCCCTATCATAACCCCTATCATACCCACCACTCCCATAGTCACTCACTCTCCCACCACTCCCACGATATTCCCCTCTCTTAGCACCATACCTCCCATACCCCCCATACCCACCGCCTTCAGACCTGCTCTCGGAACCCCCCTCATCCTCCCATCTCTCCTCAATCCTCACCGAAACCCTCCTTTCCGGTAGAGGAGATGCTGATACAGGCGGGGGACTAGGCACGCGAGGCCTGGGATGGTACTCCCGTTCCCGCTCCCGTTCCCGTTCCCGGTCTCGTGCTGGTAGACTGTCAACGTACCGGTATGTTTCGACTTTGACTTCCGGGGTGGGAGGGCGGGTGGGGACTGGGACTGGGATGCGGACGGGGACGGGGTAGGGGATGAGGCGCTCGCGCTCGATTATGACTTCGGTGTCGTTGCCACGGGAGTGGGAGCTCGAGCGGGAACGGGATCGGGAACGGTGCTTCTTTCTGTGCTTGGGTTTCTTTTTTTGGGTTGGGTCGACGTCGACTGCTATGACGTCTATTGTGTCGTCGTCTTCTTCTTCTTCTTCTGGGCGTGGTCGGGGAGGTGGTGCAGGGAGGGCGAGGACGGGAGCTGGGGGTGTGAGAGGACGGAGGATGATGGGAGCCGGAGGAGGTGGAGGTGGAGGGGGGACAACTGTGGTGATTCTGCGGCGGACTTCGACGAGGCCTGGTTGGGGGGGGTTGCTGAGGTAGAGGTACTTTTTGTGGTGGTGGCTGCGGTGGTGGGACACTGGGGGGGGTTAGTTGGTGCTCTATACAGAAGAGGAAGAGGAAGATGTGGACGTACTGATGGTGCTGGATATGGTGGATGTTGTGTAGTGAGGGGAAAATAAAAAAAAAATAAAAAGGTATATTCGTAGTTTGTTGATATATTTAAAAATAGTGTAAATACGGCCAGAGCCGACTCAGTCTAAAGAGAAATTATGACGACTCAAGTAACGTCGAAACCGTTGCAGCCCGTTGTGCATAGATCGTCCTGTTGATGATCAGACGATGGAGATGAGATGAACCTCTGGAATACTGGATGGGGCTTCGCCAATATGTAGGAAAAACTAGTCTCGACAGAGTCCGGCTTCTTGGTTAGAGTCTGGTATTTGGTTTCCCGAGTCTAGCTTATCCCGGCTATTGTGTTGTGCAATACATAATGGGATTGAGAGTCAAAAGGAGCAGGGTCGATGACGTCGTTTGTGCGCCGTGCAAACAGCCCTGCTTCTGGAAATCCGGACGGGCTTTGTCGAATCAGATGCAACGTGCGGTCCTCCTGCATGGTCTGGGGTGGTAAGGTCTGGGCGCATGGAATTCGATCAGGACATGTAGATCGTGACAACGTGTGTTTGTACGCCTGACATAAACAGAGTCTCAGAGTGCATTAATATCTAACGGATACCCCGAGGCTCAAAGCTCATCATTAGATACATACGGTACCACAGCCCGGGCCGGATTCACTTGTATGAGGCTGCTGTTCCCCGGTCTTTGGCGCGTGGGGGATGCATGGGGCCTAAGCTTTTCACCCCACGCCTAGAACACGGTTCGCGGGGTTCTTTTCTGTCGCTTCCTTTTTTCGACACCAGCATTTTGTCCAACCACAACATTTGGGCAATGTCCTCATTCTTTCATACAAATTCTCCAACACGTTGCCAACTCACCATCCGAGCTCGCCAGCGCACGAATGGCTTTGCAGGCGTTCTGACTCACCTCTCAACCGCCTATTCCGAGCAACAGAACCGAACACATGCCGGTCACGGACACCTACGCAATACCGAGCGTCATTGAACCTGATCAAAAATTCCTACGACACTATATATTCCGGCTTCCCCCGTTCATATGGAGACTTTCATTGACGGTCACCGCTCCGCATCCTAACTCTGGTCCTTCCCGGTTCGCTGAAATCTTCACACCGAACCAGTCTACCTCACCTACCTCTTTGCCTTTACACGATTCTCACCTTGTTGCTGTATCAACACGTGAGACTCATTTTCAACCTCCAAGATGATAAGAAAACGAGCCCCCGGGACGAGCTGGGACAACCCAGACGAACTCAGTCTCGCCGTGTTCCCCTACGAGCTCCAAGCCGCCGTTTTCAAAGCCGCAGTCGCCCCCCCGCAAATCATCTTCACAGAGATCAAAGGCGACGAAATGATATTTTCCGAGCCGATCAACAAAGGCCTCGCCCTCGCCTGCAAACTCTCCCGCGAGTTCTACCTCCGCTGCAAGACACGCCACCGCTTCAACCGGCACCTGACCTGGGTCGATCCCGGCCGTGACATCTTCTACCTCCACAAGGACAACCACCTCTTCCGCAGCCAGCGCCCAGCCTCACCTCAAACCGTCACCGTCCCAACCATCGGCTTCTACAACAAGGCCGTCGTCAAGAACATCGCCGTCGACCTGCAGTACCTCGGCCCCCACCCGCGTCACGAAGCCCTCGTCCGTCTCTGGACCATCTTCCCAGCCCTCCGGTCGGTGCACGTCCTCGTCCCGAAGGGAGAGCCGGGAACCCCGACCCCGATCACGCGACCGGACACTCTCGTCCTGTCGGACATGCCCATCCGGCAGATTGTCGCCGCGCCGGGCTGCGCCAATGAGCTCTGGCTTGCGGTGCGCTATCAGATGAAGAAAGTGTGCGGGCGTATTTTGGAGACGGAGGAGGCTTGGTCTCATCGTCAGGTCCCGGATGTTTTTGGGCATTTGGCTGGTTTGGTGCCGTCGGCAGAGGAGGGAGAGGGATTGGCGGAGGTGGTATCGAAGGCGTTGGCTGAGGGTGGGTTTGGCAGTGACGCTAGCGACAAGTAGGAACTTGACGGTGGTGCTACCGAGGCATGGGATTATTTCTGGCGTGCGAGGAGGAGAATGGGACGGACTGATTGAACGGGCGTTGCTGGTGACTCGGCTTCGTTGATTCTGCTCCTTTGGGTTCTTTTGTTGGCGTTGTCGGTTGGGACATGGTCTTGGGTTGGCGTACGGAGGAATATTGACCGGGAGTCGGTCCAGCGACAGGAAGCATTCGGCGATTAAGGGTTCCAATGGGTTTACTAGACTGGGGCAACAGGCTTCGCAGCGAACAGCGAACAGCGAACAACGAACAGAGCTGTAGCGAGCATGTAATAGATGTAATAATGAAAAAATAACTAAAGCAGCTTTTGATGTTGGAGTGTCTCGCGTGACATTGACAAACAAACCTGCCTCCACAGCCACGTTGAAACGACACACCGGCGTCCATCATATCAACACGCGGCCAAAGAAGAGCATCAACAACATGGTATACTCAAAGCTAACCCCAACGCCGCACAAACAGACTTGCCACCACCGTCCACCACCGTCCACATACTCACATAACATCATCGTCTCTCATCTCTTCATGTCCATCCATATATCAATCATGCCACATTAAACGATCACCCCTCACGAAAACATCTTAACAACCTTCTTCAACCCATCCCCCCACTCTCCACTCCCACTCCCATACCCCAACCCATCAAAATCCCTCTCCAAACTCCTCCTCTCCCACCTCATCCCCCCATCCCGTCCCCTCTCCACACTCGCCCTCGCCGCCCCAACACCACCACCCGCGGTAGCATTACTAACCATCCTAACCGCCTCACCCACCAACCCAAGCGACTCACCCACCGCCCCGGCCCCCGCACCCGCACCCGCCATACGCGCCAGAGTATGCAGTGCGCGTTCCAGCATGGGCGGGAGGCGCAGTCCGAGACGGGCGAGTAAGGCCGTGAGGGCGCCACCTGTGATGAGGGGCATGAGGACTAGGGCGAAGACTTTCATGGGGTGCCGCTTGGCGTAGTAGAGGAGGTCGCGGAAGAGACGGCGGAGTTTGCGGATGAGGCGGGAGATGAAGCCCGGGCGGGGACGCCGGTGGGAGGAGGTTGAGTGGCGGGGTTTGCCTCCTGGTGTATTATTAGCAAACTGGATGGGAGGGGGGGGACTAAGATGGTGATGAAGAAGGGGGATAGGGGAAGTGGAAATATAGTGAGGGAAGTATAGTGGGAGAAGGGGATAGAAGAAAAGGGGACATACCAAAATTACTAAAAAACCCCCTCGACACACTCGGCATGGTAAAAAACCCCCTCACACTCTCCTCCCAATCTCCACCACCACCACCACCACCACGCTCCCTCTCCCTCTCCCATTCACCCCCTCCCCGCGACCGTTCCCTCTCCCTCTCACTCCCCCGTCTCTCATAACTCGGCCGGCGATGCGACCCCCGACCATCATCATGATACGCCAGCCCATCGATATCATCGTCGTCATCACCCCCGCCGCCAAAGATTGATGCCGCGATGCCGCTTAGGGTGCCGCCTACACCTGCTGCGCCTATGATGCTGGCACCGCCGCGGCTGCGACTGCGGTGTCGACTGCGTTCTCTCTCCCGATGCCCCTCCCGGTCACGGTGCGACTCCCGGTGAGGTTCCCTCTCAAAATACCCATCCCCAACCACCACCCCGCGACTGTGGCTGTGGGTACTTCCTACATGGGAGCGAGAGGAGCGATGGTGTCTCGAAGGGGAGCGTGAGTTGCTGCGGGAACGGTCTTTGACGTGGTGGCGGCTGCTGCGGTGGGATTTGGAGCGTTTGGAGTGGGATTGGGATTGGGAGGTGCGGGCGGATATGGCGGAGGCTGCGTCGTCTATGAGGCCCATTTTGGCGGGTTGGATGGCTGGTTATGGGATTGTTGGGTTGTTGGGTTGTTGGGTAGGAATGTTGTCCAGTTGTTGTTTTGCTATTTCGGTTGCTTTTCTTGAGATGAGATTATGCGCCGGTGCTGTCAGTTGAGGAGAAAGCTGTGAGGGGTCGGTTGGCCGAAAATGAAGGAGTGAATGTCGCAGTTTAGACAAGTTGTGGTCAAGCCTTGCGTTGCTGTCGTTGTTGTCGTGGCAATGCGCCACCGTACAGAAATACAAAGCCTCAAAAAAACGAGCGAAAGAAGCGACAAGACAACGCGTCGCCTAAGAACAGGGTAATCCTCTTCCACGTCGGAGAAACCTTGCTTCCTTGCTTGCTTACGCAAAATAACGTTATGCACGCAGTCACGACATGCAAAACATCAAAGGATGAAGAAAAGAAAGAGGGGATTTTCGGAACAAGACAAGTTTGTCGCAGCCTTCTTCCCCCGGCAAGTTCACCGCTGAAATTCATGAGGCTGGGGAGCTCAGCTGTGTTTCCGAAGCTGGACCCCTGTTTTTTTTGGTCAGGGGTTGGGATTGGGGGAGGCTGGGGTTTGGCTCGGCAGGAGGCTGGGGTCTGAAACGGATGACAGGGGAAAGAGAGTGAGTTGGACCCTAACCCTGAGACCGGCCAAAGTTTGTTAGCACATACTATGTATGTACATACATACGGATAGTTAGGAGTACCGAAAAGGAAGCAAACAAGTTGGAAACAAACATGTCGAAGCAAGTTAATAGTGTAGATATAAACCAAACAAGAACCAGTATCTATATCCAAGGCTCTATGTTTTATAACCCCGCTCAAAACTCCCAAACTATTGATATACCAATATCCACCGACTACCTCTATCAACTCTCCTCATTCTCGTTGTCAACCTCATTCTCCTCCTCCTCCCTCCTCCTCCTCAACTCCTCATAATCCGGCATGAACCGACTCACCACCACAAACCCCAATCCAATCCCAAACATCAACACCCAAATCGCATACCCCCACAACCACTGCGTCCTCGCGCCCACCGCAAACAAACTCGCAAACAACGCCGGCGAAAACGCCCTCAACCCACTCGTCAACGCCAACGCCAGCGCATTCAACGTCCCCAGCGTCAGCGGCGACGGCGAAACATCATTAAGCGCCAGCTGGATCGCCGTAAACGACATGCTGATCCCCGATCCAATAGCCAGCGCTACCGGCGCGGTGATCCAGAAGAACGTGACCGCGGCCGGGGTGCCGAGGCGGAGAACGGTGTTGAAGGCGGGGAAGAGGACGAAGAAAACGGGGTAGCCGATGGCGCAGGCGCGGAGGACGGTGTTGGTGCCCCAGCGGGCGTGCATGGGTGGGAAGACGAGGAGGATCCAGGTGGCTTGGGCGAACCCGTTGACGGCGAGCATGAGGGAGATTTGGAGGGGGGTGAAGCCGAAGCCGCCTAGCTCGATCTTGGTGAACCAGAAGACGGGCACGATGGCGGTGTAGGAGTGGGCGAGGAGCATGATGTGGCCGTAGGTGTAGAGCACGATGGGGACGCCGGGGGTTTTGAGGAGGGAGTAGATCGTGTGGGTTTTGGGGGGTTTGGGTGGTGCTGCGGATTCCTCCTCGCTGTGAGATCCTCCTGCAGCAACGCTGCTGGTAGGGGAAGGTTTTGGCAGTGTCTCCTCGACAAAGAGGGCCGTCACGACCACGGCCGAGAGACCGACGAGGCCAACGGCAAAACTCGGGAGGGCATAGGGGTAGTCCAGCAGGAACTGGATCCCGCCAAACAAGGCGGGATACTGTCGAGCAGGGTTGGTCAAGGCGCCGCCCATCAACGGCCCAAACAAGATCCCCAGATTCCCGGCAAACGCAAACCAGCTAAACGCGCGTGCCTGCGTCTTGGACGTGCTGTGCTCCGAGATCATCGTCCGGATGGTAACAATCGTCCCCGCAAACACACCCGCAAGACACCGAAACAAAACCATCTGCCAGATCGTCGTGGCCATGCCAAATAAAGCCGTAGCGCAGGAGACGCCAAGCAAGGAAAAGACCAACACCGGCTTGCGACCGAAGCGGTCGGCGGCGCGGCCCCAAGCGACCATGACGAACATCTGGGTGAGCGAGAACAGCGACTCGATCAGGCCGCTGTAGAACCCGACGTCGGCGTCGGCCAGCTTGCCGTTCTCCTGCGCCATCTGGTTGACGTAGGGGAAGATGGAGAAGAAGGCCACGGGCTCGATCCAGCGGGCGTAGCAGAGCACCACAATCTGCCACACGGGCAGTGGTTTGTCTTTGGGGTTGTCGCCGGCGCCATTGTTGCCGTTGATGGCCGCGCTGGTGCTCGCGGCCGCGTCAGCGAGAGCGCCGTATTCCGCGCCTTCGTTGTGGAGGGCTGCGTCGCCGCCGGAAAGAAGGCGGGTTTGCTCGGTGACGGCTTTGACGATGTCATCGGCGTTGGTGTTGCCATTGCGGCCGTCGCGTCGGTCTCTCATCTTCGAATTTCAACTCTTTGTGAAAATAAAAGAATGAAGAAACAAAAAAAACAAATCAAGAATGACACAGGCACAACACCATTGCGTCTCAACTCGGCAACATATATAGACTTCCGTCTGTATCGTCTCCTGGTCTCTGTACGGAGACACTAGTTCCAGTGCGGCCCGGCGAGGCAGGCAACTCGCGGCTGGCGTTGCTCTTTCAACAGTTCCGTGACGGAGTGGAGACTGCGGTAGTGGCCCTGCGCTTTCGGGATAGCATTGGCCAATCAGCTGCGGGTGAGCGGGTTCCCCAAGCCCCCGGAACGTGCGCCCTGGGTTGGATTAGTTGTGGGTCTGCGGCCGTTAACTTTAGGCTCTCACTGATGACTTGCTCTGAAAATCGACACCATTGACCTCGGAGCTCAGCAACAGACCGGCTGCGTAGAGTCCGAGGTCTCACACCTTATTTACCGCCCTATCAAGAGATAGCGGTACCCTCCCTTTACACCTTGACCAGCTGCCACATCCGGAAGGCTGCTCACACCACGCGCCCTGGCGCTCCCAGTCCTGGACAATTTGGTGTGGTCTCACAAACTCGGTCGTCTGGCACGCCATCCAGTGCCGTCAGCATCCTTCAGCATGGTCCTTACCCGTCCGAACCGCCTTTACATAGTAACCTTTAACGTTAATCCATTACCCGACGGTAATAGGCCGGAGTAATAAGTTAAATCGAAAATGGCTGGTGTGTTCGTCAACCTACGCGCCTTAAAGAGAGACGAGATAGTCAAACCTTACTTAATGCGGGATCAGTGAAGAGATCGTAGGATTTGTCATCTGCAGGCTACTTAACGGAGTGAAAGTGTGACAAGCTCTGCCGCTTCTGGGGGGTGTGTACTGAGCGAGGAGACCTTTTAATGTGTAGAATATCCGGAAGAATTGCCCAACTATTCCGTCAACGAGCCTCTTGCGATACAACCAAGGTGTAGGATGTCCTGCATGATTTCGGTATTAGGACGTCGATAAGTCCCTGCAGACAGATGGAAAGCAAAGTGACGGAATACAAGGTACAAGACCGACCGGCTAAGCAAGGGATTTATATAAGAGCTCTGCATTACTATCGGACATTAACGAGTGAGGGTATCTATCATCGCAATCATAACAACATCCAACCCAAAAACGACAGGCTTTTTGTCTTTCCTCTCTCCTCCCTCCAACCCCTTCGAATATAACCCAAAAATCAGAAGCCAGAAGCGACCGTGTCTGACCCGCGCCATGCATGCTATGAGCCCCGACAAAAGAACGCTGACCAGATAAAACCCAACACCAAGCCCGGAACCAAACAAGATCTAACCACCCCCCACACCCTTCGTATACCTCCACAACAAACTCGCCCCCATCAATTTCCACTTCGGCAAATACAACCTCTGCTCCCCAGCCCTCCCCTTCCCTTTCGTCTGTTTCCCCCGCGAAACCCCACACGTCGTCTTGTCACTCCCCCTGCCCACCGAGCCCCCTCCATTAGCCATCTCCCCATCGCCCACGGGATATTCCACTTCTCGACTCCCCTCAGCCGGCGGAAGTGCACAAGCAGCCATCATCCCACGCACCCACCGCCTTCGAAACCGTTTCCAGTCGTCGTTTGTCGGCCATGGATCGCACCACTCGCCTTCTTCGTCGTTGTCGTCGATGATGTCGTCGTGTAGGGCGTGACAGTCCCATTTTGCGATTCCCCCCCCGCTCACGCTACCAAAGGTATTGACGTTATACCCAGCACTATACCCAGCTGATCTCCCCCCGGCTATATCCCCAAAACCGTTTCTAGTGCCATCAACCCCGCTACCGCTACCGCTACCGCTACCGCTACCGCTAGCAGCAGACGCAGACGCAGACCCGGAACCAGACCCGGGCCCATTAACATAAGCCTCATAAGCATCAAACTCATCCCCGCCCATACCCATGCCCATCCCCATGCCCACCCCGCCTGCTAACGGGTAATACAACAATTCATTCGTATGTGGTCGACGCGGAGGGGCGTTGATGTTGGATTCAATGTCGAATTTGAAGCGGTAAGCTTGGTGGATTTGTTGGGGGCGTTGTTGTACACTTGGACTTGATGCTGATGAGGTGGTTGGTTGTAGGCTTGGTATTGCTGGGGTGGTTGGTTGTTGTGGTGGTGATAATAGGGGTTGGAGGGTGCCGTGTGGTTGGGGTGCCTGAGATTGATGTTGGGGAAAGGGAAGGGGGAGGGTTGAGATTGGAGGGAGTGGTAAGGCCGGGAGTGGGAGGGGGGAGGCTGTTGTGCTATTTGCTGGGGTGGGGAGGCCGGTTGGAGATGGTGCTGGTGCTGAAGCCGTGGGAAATGAGTTTCCGGAGTAAGGGTCGAGAGATGGTTTGGCCGTGCCGGGTGGTGATGGGTAGCCTGCCGGCGTGAGTCCGCCGACCCCGGCCGAGTAAGACGGCGACAATACCGTCGACGGCAGGCCGTAGCTTGAGACCGGCGGCATCGGCGTCAACGTCCCCGGAAACCGAAAGTCAAACTCAAACTGAAACTCCTGATGCACCACAAAAATAAGCGTCTTCAACCGCGCAAACTTGGCCAAACTCGCCAACAGTTTCCCCATATTATTCTTCGACACCTTCCGCCCCAGCACCGGGTGGAAGATACCCGGGTATATGCCGTACGACGTCCCCAGCGCCAACCTCGTAGCATGGTCGCGCACCAGCGGGATCTGGCTTATGAAATGCAACGTCCGGTGAAGCCGTTTGACCAAAAGGTACGGCTCCAACAGTAAAATATCCCGCGAGACGTCGACAAATTTGGTTGTCCTGCCTAGCGTCAGGGGCTTGTAGTGGTGGAGGACAAACGACCGGCTTTCTCGACACACGGCTGCGAGTGCTGGGGGAGGTTCCGGGTGGATGTTGGCAAACATGAGGCCTTCTTGGGCGGGTTTTTTTTGTTTGGCGTTGGGCGCGTCTAGCACTTCGTATACCCTTGGTTCGGGCATGGCGGATTCCCAGATCATGTTGCGGATTTCAGGGGGTAGACGTTGGAACTTGGTGAACTGGCCGGTCGTGGGCTGCCCAGGGCAGCAGCATGGTGATACCTCCTCATGGTGCATGGTGTTTGCCTCGAACTTTTTTTCCTCCGTCGTCCCGCCGGCTCTTAAAACGGCCGCAATAAACCAAGCGCCCGTCTCGAGATATATCTCCCCGGTTCTGCCGTGGGCCCAAGATCTTTTTAGCCACACAAACGAGATCTCTTCCCGTGATATCCCGCTCCTGAAAATATAGCCGGCCCAGCCCCTCGGATCGATGACCACACACCAAACTCTTTTCTCCACACTTCAATTTGAGCCGCCTTCCAACGACAAGCCGTGTATTGCCAGAAATAAATAGCTGGCTGGACCTAAGACGTCGGTGAACCTTCCCCCAAATAACAGTCGTCTTGAAACTCGGTGGCTGTAGGAGAGAGAGATATCGGGGGCTCAGGTCCGAAATCTAGAGCGATGAAGGGATGGAGCACGTTCTAGATCGTGTGGCCAAGTCGATAGTAGGTTGAGCAAGCAAATTGGGAAAAATAATATAAAGGACACCAAGCTGACTAGGACGAAGCTAGACAAAAAAAAAACGATGGCGAATAAGAATAAATATTACCGACTGCAGCCCAAGGCCTGATATTGTGTCATGCGACCACCCTCCAAGTCAGGCAGGGTCCAGAGCAAAGCAAAAAAAGGAAGCTGGAAAACAATTTCCCCAGAGAAGAGACGAAGGGAACTCAAGGCACCACCATCCAAGAATTACGGGGGGGCAGACTGCAACTTTAGACCTCCGATACACTTTGACAAGGTGACCGACCAAGACAAGCAAGCGAATCCACCTTCCACCCGGGCCCGGAACCTCACTTCGCCTAAGGGGAAACCAAACCCCGTCCCGTCGTCCTCGGGAGCGAGCCGAGCACAAATACACGTTACATACGTTCGGAAACGAATCAGGGGTCGGTCGGTCGGGGTTTAGGGTAGGGTAGGGTGAAAGGGTACGGAGTACATACGACTCTGATCGATATTTCCGACACACGGGAGTGAACGATGCAGGGCAGCGGTATGTATGTACCGTGTACGCCAACTCACGCATGAAAGATGATGGGCAGTCTGCACGTCTACCCCGGGACATTTCCCCCCCTTGCTGCTGCCCTGCCCGGAGAAAAAAAAAAAGCAAGAAACGGGATGTGCATGTACTACGAAACTTTCCGTCCCGTCCGTCGGGGGGGGAGAACTCTTTCTCGCGCGGGAACTGGGCGACAGGAGTTGCAGCAGAATGGGAAGGAGGACCCGCGGCCCACAGGACTCGACTCGGCTACCAGATCAGATAGTGGAATGGCAGGCTTGGTCATGTTCGTGTCATGTCATCTGGATCGGCGGGGCGAGCCTGACGAGGGTTGAAGGGCAACACGGCTGGGTTGTACTGTGTATGGAGGCCCAACCACAGCGAGGCCAACCCGTCAGCTGGGCCCCGCGATGTGCTGCTGCGGCTTGCGCTGGGCGGGGGAGGGGGAGGCATCATGGAGATTGGGGGTCCTTTGTGCGGACAAAAAGTGTCGAATAGGCAGGCCGAGACAGAACAAGGAGGCCAGTGAGGTCAGTGAAGGGCCTCTGCAGAGCCAAGGGAGGAGGCAACAACGGTACGGATGGGATGGGACGTGGCAGCCAGCCGGCTCGAACGTGCTATTCTTAGTTTGGACGGGCCACGTTTTAGTCCTGCAGTGATCCAATTCATCAGTGAGTTTTTTTCCCGGGCTTACCGATCTGGGCTGGGTTGGTTACGTTAGTGCTTTGGTGGCTGGCATGAGAGTTGCAGTCGGGTTTGTGCGCCCGGGTTTTGAGATCGGAGGGTAGCGTGGGCGTGGGCGGCGGTCGGGGCTCGATCGGCGAGCGCCCGCAGCTTGTGGGCGTGTGAGAGCCCTCCTGGTTCTCGTCTGTAAGCTTGCGAGGGGGTCCTGTGTTTCCTCCAGCATAAGCCAAGGCGCAAGGACCGAGGAGCTGGAGGGCGCTCTGGTGTGGGTGGGTGAGCAAGGACCGGTGATAACGACCAATCGCCCCAAGGTACGTCCCAAACTGAGCGTGAGAGGGCCGTGAGGGCAAAGTTGCTGGGCTGAGATTGGCTGAGGCTGGACCGCGCAGGACACGGAGGAATGTGGGGAGGCTCGGAGCAATACGACCTCGCCCCGGTAATGCATGCAGACTTCAAGGTCGAACAGCCCGAGCGGGAGGGGGATTTTGAGACGGATCACCCGAAGGACCTTCAAAGTGCCTTGTGCCAGACCGAAACTCAAAACAAAACGCTTGTCGATCACTCTCAGGTTGTTTGGAGCTGAGTTTGTTCGAACTGGCGGTCTCTGTAACTATGCGGCGACTCATCAAATCGCTACCGGGTAACAAAGCTCAGCAAGCTAAGTTTAGTGGGGTATCAAGTGTGAAGACAGCCCGAGGAAAGGTAGCTGGGTCATAGCTGTAGAAGAAAGGGAATACAGAACACAAGGCAAGAGAAAAATAGAGTGATAGAGCAGGGCTGAGAAATGCCCAATGCCCAAGTCGCGGAACCGACCCCGGGGGGTTGCAGCTGGGTACCGTCGGAAAACGAGACGTGATGCAAGTGACCCTATGAGCCGGGAAAGCGACAAAGGGTCGATGCACGGCAGTTTCGCCTTGTTCGTCATTCGGTTTCGGCTTTTGTGCGAAAGGTTGGCTTCGGGTTCACCGCATCTTGGGGAGAGTCCGTCCTTGTTGCCTGCAACCGATGGAGAGTGTCAATGGCCGGAAATCCCGGATGCGCGGTGGTTTGGTCGTGATGTTTGAACTGAAGTGGTGGATAAATCGGGTTGTGCTGATACCTTGAAACTCTGGTAAGGTTGACTAGAGCCGTTGCGCCCCGAGATTCAAAAGTGCCGGACCCGCCCTCAAACAGCAAAGGAATAGTCATGAATCGATACAACGTTTCAAAAGAATTCCCGGCATCCGGCTCAGACTCTTGTTAAGGTTTTCGATTTGTCTCTGGCACTTTTTCTTGAACGGCACTGCTGAGACCTGAGTGAAGTGAACGAACAAACTTTAAGCTGAGGGCAACCGAACTGATCTGATTGGAAGCCAGGCCGCCGCGCTGACATTCTCAAACCCAGCTGCAATAGTATACCTTTTGAAACAACTAATAATTCTGTCAAATATCTTGAGCTTCGGCACTTTGTGATGAGACCTCAAAGGGGTTCAAGAACTGATTGACCAGGGATTTCCAGCGTTCATGTCATGAAAGGAATGCACATGGAAAAGAGTGGGTCCTTAGGTCTGGAATCCAGCGGATTATCTCTTATTCCGAGACGCCGAGGTCCTGCCGAAAAAAATTCCATACTTAGTCCACTCTCGCGACACGCGATTTCTTCCTTTCCTCTTTTTTTTCCTCGTGCGGCGCTGGACTTTCAAAAAATCATGAGTTTCTCTTGCACGAAACCGGTCCCCTTTCGGACCTCAATGGTATTCGCGGTGTCAAGTTCCAGCACAGAGCGATCAAAATTGCAGGCCGGCCCCTTCGTCAGTCCAATCCATCCAGCGAAAATCCTCTTTTGGGGGCCGGGTGGTGACGTGGGGGCTGGACATTACTTTTTCCCTTTGGATTATCATGCGGACGACGGCACGCCAATGTTAATGCAGCGGCTCGTTTTGAATTGGCCGATGATGCTCCTCCCTCGTCTGGTTACCCGATGACCGTTCCTCGGTTTCTGGGATCTCCTTGTTTTTTTGGAGAGGGTCGGTCATGCGCCGGAAACGAGATGGACGCTCATGCGGCTATTGTCGTCGGCAGAACGGTGACACTATGCTCTACCTATCCATGGTTGGGCCAAAACCAGGACGATGAAATGTGTTTTGTTTTGAGACGGTGATTTTGTGATCGTTTCATTTCGTTGATCTTGCGGTGGGCATCATCAAAACCCGGGTGACCTGGGTGTGCTCGTTTACCCGTTCCACACACTTCCAGGTCGATGATATCAGAAGATGTATGTGTTTGTTATACCCTAACCGCTTGATCAAATAAGTGGAAATAGAGCCGACAGGCCCAGCCACGGATGGGTGAATAGTGCTCATATCAATGTCATATCTGCGTCTATGCGTGTAAAAAACATCGATCATAGCTCAGCCCCCCCTTACTTCGAGCTGACCGGGTTCGACCTGCCGCGTCCCTACTCGCCAGGCTCGTCCCCGATCTTCTCCAACTTCCCCATCTCCCGCTTCTCACCAGCCTCTCCAATCAACCTCAACCTATCCAGCCTCGTCTTTTCGCCATCCCCATCTCCATCCACAACGAACAGCACGAGGCTGGTGATGTTCTGGAACTTGACAAACCTCAGGGGGATGTTCGCAGTCCCATCGGCGTTCCAGTCATCCTCGGAGATTTCAATTTCTTGCGTGGCACTCAGGTCTTCCGCTTCGTCGAACCCTAGGTTGTGAGGCTTGTTCGTAAAAAGCTTGATCGTCCGCGGGCGTAGGGGAACATCGTCTTCGTCCTCGTCATCCTCGTCGTCATCGCCGCTAGGAGGGATAGAAGTGATCTGACCAGAAGCAGTGTCAGTAACTACCACGTTCATGCGGTTCACCATTTCCTTCCCCTCCTCAGGTTAGCTTACCTGTAGTGTGTGGAGCTTCAGCGCGGACTGAAAAGGCATGAAGAGCAACAACTGCTCATCCGTATCACTCTCCACCCAGTCCTTAGCCGCGGTGCTCTTCCCCCCCGATAACGCGCTCGGCTTCGCCGTATCGAATAGGACCCGTACGCTCCCCACATCCGGGTCAACATTCAACAGCTCGCAATGCCGCACCTCAATCTGATCGGTAACGTCGGTATATCCCCTCGGGAGCGCGGCGCCCTTCCAGTTCGGGCCGGTGGAAGCGCTGCCACTCCCGCTCCCGCTCCCGCTGGCCTCGCCGCTCTTCCCCTTGCTGATGTTCTCGACCTCCTCGCTGAGCTTGTTGAGTACCGATTGAAGCTTCTGGGGATCGGAGCCCTGGACGCGGTCGGCGAGCTTGCCATTGCGGAAGATGATGAAGGTCGGCACGGAGGTGACGCGGTAAGCCTGGGCTACGTCTTTCTGCTGCTCGGTGTCGATCTTGACGAAGGCGACTAGCTTGGGGCGCGAGAAGGCGCCTGACATTTGCTCAAACACGTCGGCGACTTGTTGGGAGGGAACCGAGTTCTCGGAGTAGACTAGTCAGGTTCCCAAACTACTGATTAGCTACGTCGCTGGATCACAAATTTACTAAAGCCATGCCCTCAAAAGATGGCGGGGTACATAACACCAAAGAATGGGATTTTGGGGGGCCCCGTACATTGTGCAATAACCAGTTTGGAGCCCGCCAGCAGCTCGGTGAAGTGCGAGGGCGAGGAGATTTTGATCGACCCTGCCATCTTGGGCAAATATGTGTGTCGTGAAGTTGTTCGTAGAAAAGGAAATTCGAAGCTCTCTGCCCCGCGACAAGCTGCAGGAACAGGGACCTTGGGCATAGGTGGGATGGAAGAGCAGGCTCCATGGGAAACGTCAAGTGGGGAGACCGGAAAATTCGCGCTTGCCTGGTTCCGGCTAGTGGTAAATTGCCACGCAGTTTGACAATCAGCAACACCAGAGGCTCGCGAACCTGACAGAGACAGCTATGTGCAAAAGAAAGTCAACTCTGTTTGTCCCTAGACAGATTTTACATCGATCTTCAGAAAGTGTTAAGCCCTCTCTTAAAGGGCGGACTTACGGAATCAACGTCAATAAGGAACATGTCGAGAAAATACAAGAGTGTCAAGGTGGAGCGACTTGCTGATTCAGGGACGACTTACTCCCCAGACCGTCACACCAACTGCCTGGAGCTTGCTGAAGTCGGGGGGGAGGGTTGCTCTTTAACCTCGTTATTCCTTATTTTCAACGTATGATTCTGGCAGGGAAGCAATATGAGGAACAATTAGACGACAACCAAATAACATGTTATTAACTCAAAACCTCATCTATTTCTGAACGCCCGCCACCTTTTCATCACATTCACCAGAGGGGGGTAGTTAAGTCTCAATAACTAAAAGGAGTATACTGCTCAGCAGTCTTAAAAAAGGATGGCGACAACGGACGACTTATTTCTTTTTCCGGACAGTTTTCGTGCTGCTCGAGATCGATTTGCGCTTCGACGCCAGGGACGGCACTGCCGACGACGACGACGATGACTTCTTGACCGGCGGCGGCGTCCGATCCCGGGATGACCGATGGGACTCCGACGGCAGTGCCAGGTCCCGTCGGCTGTCAGTGTGTCGAGACCGGCTACCACCGCTGGAAGGAACTCTCGCCCCATGCGCGCGACGATCCTCCTCAGACGAGGTCGCCTCTCTAGGGTCGCTGCTCTGTCTCCGAGGGGGTGCGGTGACGTGGTCGGAACCGTAACTAGCATAGACGTCGTCAACCTCACCGACAGTGGTCCGCGTAGGCGCAGTAACAGAACGATGTGAAGCGCGTGGCCCTGTCATGTACTGAAAGGGATCGGACTGAGCGTCGATAGAAGCAGGAGAACCGTCGGTGATAGCCAGCGGTCTGCCCATCGTGGGATCTGAGGGATGGCGGACCGCGGCCGGAGGTTCGCCGCGCATGTAAGTGTAAGTGAAGGGCGAGGAGCTTTGATCCCTGTCCGCAGCGGCCTGGCTCGGGGTTCTCGATGAACTGGCTCCCGATGGATGTCGGCCCCGAGATGCAGGCGGTGGAAAGTAGCCCATAGGTGGGTAAGCCGACGCCTGTTCTGGGCTGCCCGGCTCCGGGGATGGCTCCTCCGAACGGCTGTCGCCGTTCACTGATCCACTTGGTTGCCGAGAGCCGAGATGTGAGATAGGAATCGCAACCCGTTGGTCCCGGCGTTCTCGTCGCTCCTCAGTCGCCATGCGCTGCAACCGCCGCTGGTAGGCAGCCAGCTCCTCTTTGCTTAGTTTGACGTCCGTCCTGCCCTTGACTTGAGCCCGCCGTATTCGGGCCATAGCAGCATCGGCCAATGCTTCCTCCGCCGGGTCCAGCAAAGGGAGTCGGACACTCTCCCCCCCATCCTCGTCCTGCTCTGATTCCTCCGTTGTTTCTGCATCCTCCCCATCCTGATAAGCATAACCCCTCCGCGACCGAGTATTACCTCCCCCCTCCTCCCCTGCCGCCGTTAACCGAAGTGGCCCCACAGCATTTGAGACCGGCCCAGCGCCATAATCATCGCTATCCAGCTCCTCAACTCGCTGGTTCCAATCCCCCCACCTCCCCTCGTCCCCGTTGCGCGTTTCATATTTCCTCCGCTCGCGCCTTGATGGTCTTCCCCAATGGGGCGCAGGTTTGGGAGCTCGCGGCCGACCACCTAGACCGCCTCCCCGGAAAAAGCCTCATCGATAGGCTTATCCAAAAGAGCAGCGTGGCCAAGAATGACCACACCACTCGCGCCAATCAACCACATCATGAGGCCAAACACGCCCGAGAAAAGGGCGATTGGGATGGCGATGACGTAGAGACCGGTGTATAATTGCATCGTCGAGAAGCGTTGCTCCCCGAACTCAAAATCACGGCCGTCGAGCTTGCCGATCACAAACATGCCGACAGACACGAATATGATGTCGAATAGCAGCCATGGACTCGTAAGCAGACCGTAGATGCAGAGCATGCAAAAAACGATAGCGTAGTTACTCGAGAAATGGCCGAGGTTGTAGTTGACACGGGACTGCATTTCGGCAAAGTTGGGGGGCTTGTTGATGCGCTTGACGTCGAAGAACTCGGAGACCGGACGCAGGTTGGCAAAGCGACCGGAGAGCGAGCCAGAGCGGAGGCTAGCGAAGCGATCCCCGAGGTTGATGCGCGACGTCAACACGTCTATCGGGATCTGTATTCCAGCCATGTTGACGGTTGTTGTGTTGTGGAACGTGTAGAAAAGTTCCGGTAGAATGGGCGCGGGGTGTCCAAGGACTCAAGGGCGCCTGAAATGGGTTTTATAGGCGAGAAAAAGGCTGCGGCAAAGAAGTTTGCTTTCTGTTTCGAAGCAAAGATCTGGCAAGAACGCGGAAGTCAGATTTTGAGACGAATAAAAGAATTCCGACCACGCCTCAGCGGGCCACTCAAGACGTCGAAGGTGGCTCGGCGGCGCGAACCTTTTTTGCAACGTATCCACTGGATTACGTCGTCAATTGAGGGCGCTTGTTGTAGTTAGGGGCTTTCCATACCTGCTGCCTTGTGAGGAGACGCAATGGGGGATGTCACTGATGACGAGTCCCGTCTCGTGTGGTTTTCTGTGTGGGTGAAACAAATTATCGTGCTTTTTTCGGCACTGAAGATGTCGGCAGCTTTTTGGAACAGGGGCCTGAGATGGTGATCTCCGAAACAGGGGAGTGGGCGACCCCAGCGCCGCGGTCCTTGTCGGGACCCTGGTCACTCCTGACCCACTGCCAGGGCGACTCCACTCAGTCTCCGGTTCACCGCTCTCCAAAATCAAGTTTCCACGGCCTTGAACTGGCTTCAATCCAGCCGTGGGAATTGGTATGAAGAAAGAAGAGGGAGAAGAGCGGAAAAGGCGGGAAGGACCAGTTTTTCTAGTTCTACCCATGAGTTGTCTCGGCCTGCCAGCTGCCACCGCTGCGTTGGCGGTGTGAAGTGGGGCGGTCCGCTGCTTTCCTGCAGGTCGGGCCTGCAGCTGCCAGCTGTGCCGTAGCACATTCCGAGCTCAAGCAATCAAGACTCGAATGGTGGGCAGCATTGCGGGAGGGAAAGGCGTGGATTGTGGGATCCACGGCTGCACATGGCAGCAGCTCGGCATCGTGCGTAATTCTATCTCATGTGTGCCCAAGTCAAGTCCATCCGATCGGGTGCACACACATGGCATCGCACCAGCTGTCCCCCTCTCGCTCAGTCCCACATCACCTTGTAGGTAGGTGCCCGTTGGGCAAAAGCCACCGGTTGTGTCCTCGTTTTCGCCTCTCGGCTCCGTCGACTGCGTGGGGTAATGTCAAAAGGGGTTGTTTGGTTAAAGAACGCGCAGCCCAATATGCCCCACGACACATCTGTCATCGGCATCGACAGACTGGTCAATAGTCTCAAGACACAGTTCTCGAAGCCACTCGCTAACACGCCGTTCTATTCGGATCTCCTCACTGTTTCACTACGTGGTTTTGGTACCGGGGCACAAGAAGCTCCTTCCGTATGGGCCGCGAACTTCCGCTGTATCGAAAGCATGGCATCCGCGTGTCTTTTCGAGAACTCCAAGATGCCTGGTACGAATGGAGGTAATGCCTGGGCGGGACACTGCGAGGAAACAAAGGCTATGAGACACTTCCGCTATCCAAGACTTTGGGGCATGGGGACCAGGAACGACGGGACCGTCCATCTCCTGGATCCGAGTGGTCTTGTGAGCACTTCGTAAACCGCGCCTTCCGCGGTATCCTAACGTGAACATTGAGAAAGAGCGTCCGAGCCGAGTGTCTGGCCATCTGTTTCTTCTCCTGGACACGGCGGGTGCGAATCAAATTTTAGAAACGACTTTCATCGTTCAAACTCCGGAAAATCGCCTCTCCAACCATTACCCAACTGTTTGTTTCTCTTGGCTACTGGCGTTACTCCGGGTGCCGCCTGAGTACCTAGTAGGTAGTTGAGGGTTCTAGTTTGTAACATTCGACGCACAGGCAAGCATATCTGTATCCTCAAACAGCAACTTACAAGAGCGGCCGTCTAGTAGAGCTTTCTCTCGGTTCGAGGAGCCTCGCAATCCGCAGAATGGGCCGTTTTGACTTCGTCGCCATCATGGCGCTTGCCCTGTCAACTATTACTAGCGCCCTTCCAAGCAACGACATCATAATTCCGCCGCCCAAGCCTGCCCCAGACGTTCTTGAGGAGCTTTTCAACTTTACTGTGACGGGCTTCGAAGCCCAAGCAGTTATCGCAAGTGACAGGACCTAGTAAGCTCCGTAAACCCCCTTTCCCTCTCGCAAATCTCCCTAACAGCTTTCTCAGCATCAAGTTCCACGTCGTCCCATTTGAGGGCGCCACGTCCGCTCACTGTTTCGCCCTCGGCACGACCGCTACTCATTCCCTGACTTCCTTCCCTCAAACCTGGTGCCACCACGGCGGTGACGAGGAGGCCGATGACTCGGCCACGACATCCGTTCAGGACCCCACCCATGACCACCTCTGGTTTTCCTTTACCCTGGGCACCGATTTCGACCCGATTAACCCCACCACCACCGACGGTATTTGGAGTATGAGTAGCGGCTCTGGCGCGTATCTGAAGGTGACACGCCAGGTTGATGCGCATACTCGTGATGAAGCGTTTGTACATATCCAAGACACGTCCTTGACAGTGCTGGGAGAGGGTTTGTGGGCTCATGAGGTGTACACCGGGCCAGTCAACTTTACTATGCCGGCCTTCAGGGCGAAAGAGTTCGGCCATTGACACGTGCAAGGGAAGATAAAAGGGGTGATATTTGTTGTACATGGGGGTGGAAAGGAAATTGTAGCCGTACAGATAGCTGAGACATAGTTGCTCTAGATAGTTGAAACCGCCTTGCACTGTAATAATGTAACTGGTCCTTCAATGACTGAGAGATATCCTTGTTTATGACCACGCTTCTAGAATTGGACTTCTAGATCTCGTTTGTTTCTCCGTTTCCCTCTTTGTTTCTTTCGACCCCCCACCCCTTGTTTACTCTGCTATCTTTTTCCCTGCTTCCCTATGACTTTTTCTTGCTTTCTTTTCCTGTTCAGTCCCAGCAACATCCTAACTCCATTCATCACCTTCCTTCCTTCCCTCCCAGCCTCAGGCCAAACACCCACCCACCCTTTATAAACCCGCCCCACAGCACACTTTCCCAACCGCCCCCCCAAACCGACAACGGCCGAATGGCGTAGTTGGGGGGGCCGTGGGCGTCCACCTGGTACACCACGAATGCTGAGCTCCGGGGTTCGAACCCCGTGAGCGCCACCGAGCAAAACCCTCCCGTGGGTTTTCGTAACCGCCTCCCATTCCTTGACCCCCCACGGGGGGTTGAGATGATGGGGCGGTGAGCTTTTTGATGGGTTGATTTTTGTTTGAGGGTTGGTTGAGGGTTTTAAAATATATTAAGGGGGCGAGGGGTTGATATGTGGGAGTTTGATTGAGTGGTGGTGGTGAGATTAAGGTGGTGATGTTTTTTGGCTATAGGTTTTTATCGTATTTATCATCCGTCGTCAAGGGTTACAAACTCCAATCTTCGCAGTTTACATTCTTCCCTTGCTACTTTCTCGCATCTGCATGTTAGCATGGGAGGACAAGTCAAACGGAAATGGGTATGATGGGCTAGGGACCGTCGGGGAAAGCACACTTCACACGGACTTCCATATAGATCAAGATATCCAACAAAGCGTGGTAATATTTCGACGGCTTTCCAAGCCCGCTATGTCGCAATGACAGGGATCACAACACGGCCTATATACACTCCGCCAACACAGCATTTATGACCCCCCTAGGTATCCGCAGATCCCATCCCCATTTACAGCGAGACGCACCCATCAGCGCCATTCTCAATAAACACGCTGCCGTAAATAATACCCTCGTCAATGCCGCTCTCCTGGTACCCCGAGTTGACAACATCGCTGGTGCCGGTCGGCTTCTTGAGGATGCCGACCTGGTACTGACCCTCGCCGGCGTTGTTGTTGGACACGGCGTCGGTCACGCTCTCGAGGGGGGCGTCGCCTTCGGAGTAGTAGACTTGGAGAGTGCTGAGCGGCGGTTAGTGATTGGTCTCTGGTCGTTATACGGGGGGATGGATCATGGTTTTTGTGGGGCATGAGGGGATGTGGTATGTTTTGGAAGGGGGGAGGTACGTACTTGGCGGTGAAATCGAGGGTGACGGCAAAGTTCTGCCACGAGTCCTCGAGGATGGGGGTAGACCAGATCTGCTTGTTGTTGCGGTCCAGGACCTTGTAGGTGTCCGCACCGAGGCTCTCCTGGCCGATGATGGTGCCGGTTTGGAAGTTGAACTGGTTTGCGTCATCTGGTTTGTTTATTAGCATACACTCGCAGGTTTTAAATGCTACCGCTGCAGTCCAATTCGGTTCGAGGATTGAATTTTGGAGTGCTGCGGTAGGGGGACACTCAGAGGTAACTTACACGCTGTTGACAATGTTAGTAAAATGTAAAATAATTGACAAAACCGAGATATCAAGGCGACTTACCAGCAGACTCATGCCACGCCAGAATATACTCATGGCTGAGGTTCAGGGGCCGCGCCGGGTCAATCTTAACGCTCAGGTGGATGGTCTGGATACCAGTGGTGCCCGGGCTGGCGGTGTTGGTGTCGCCCTTGAACTGGAGACCCGCACGGCGGAAGCCCTTCTGGGTCTGGAAGATGCTGTCATCGGAGATGGTCACCTCAAACGACTTGAGGGTGTCGTTGTCGAAGTGGGCGGTGTCACCCTCGGGGAACTGGATGATCTGGCTCCACTTGAGGCTCGAGCCCTTGACGTAGTCTGGGTTGAAGAGCGAGGTGGAGGAGCTGTCGAAGTCGGTCAGCTCGGTCGTGGCGGGGATGCGCCCGTCGAAAGTGATGGGGCACTGGACGGCGCCGGTTCCGCGCGGGAGACAAGCGGCGCTGGCCGTGGCAGCCGCGGAGAGCAGGCTGAGGAGCGAGGTGGAGTGCATCTTGGGCGGGTTCGGGGGGGGGGAGATCGACTAGAAGGAGTTCGGTGAAGGGATTCCTATCGAGTTACAAACAACAGAGAGATCATTCAGGAAACAGAAACGAGTTGACGCTGCTCCCTCGAACTATATTATATACCCCCGAGATCCCTTTGAGCCCTTCACCCCACGTCCCAGTTTTCAAGCTTTTGGAATCGACCGGCCATAGGCCGATCGTAAATATTTTGGCTGAATCTCCATCTGTTTGGCGAACGGCTCCAGGAACCGTTTCCAGACTGTTGATCGCCCGCAATTGCGGAAATGTATCCCAGTCGCCCCGTGTCCTGAAGGGAGTGTCGTTCCGTGTCTCCAGATGGTAATTGTGGGGATCCCGGCCGACGCGCGCCGGCCCGTGTTCCGACAAGATGAACCCTAACCCTCAGGTCCTCTATTTGCACAAAGTGACAGAGTAATTAAACGGTAGCATTCGGTCGCTTCCCAAAGCCAGAAAAACAGCCCGAAGGTGATAGCAGACATGGTGTGCCGGGCTGTCAAGAAGACGCCATTGCCTGTCCGCGTTTGACAATGTTGCATTCTTCCCGCTGCGGCCTTCAAGAGCCGACCAGGCCTCCACTCAATGGCGAGTAACTTGATATGTGTCTGTCGTCAATAAATGAAATATGTCGGTCAACTGCAGACCTGTTGTCTCCGTAGGTGGTTTTCGTTGCTCGTTTCGGAGTCTCATTGTTTGGGTGCTGGCATAGTTCCGTTGATTCGAAGAGCCAATGTATCTTAGCGCTCCGATCTGCCGTTTCCGAGCGAGGCGAGTTTTCAGGAACCAGATCTGCTTTCTGGAGCATGATTCCGGGGTTATCACATCTCAGTTCTCTTTACGCATACACATACTCTCGTAGCGGTTTCGGTTCGATGTTTCTTTGGTCGGTTCGCATGACTTGCCCTTCAATACCGACAAGAGTATGTAAACACCACCCTTTTTCTGACCCTTTGTCGCCCGTTTCAGGGCAATAACAAAAAGATACGCAGGGACGGCCCTGAAGCTCAACCTGTTTTCCACAAGCGCACATGAGTTTTTCTCTCACGACAAGTCAACAAAGTTTAGCTCTAATGCCCCAACATACTGTGTAGGTTTTGCAAACCATCCAGCAACCGTCAACCTGTGGATCTCAAACAATTTGACACTGAGGAGGCCGTTGAATGTGTTGGCCATCCCCTGACCTGCCAAAATCACGCGGATGAGCCAAGATCCAGCAACTCACGCACGTGACTGAACTCTCAGCACTTTCCGGCTCAGCCCGAGCGGGCCCGAGCTCCTCAGCAAGTCCCGGGCCAAGGCGCCGATCGATGGGCAAGAACCGGGCCGACCATTGGGCAGCAAACGGTAGTGCCACAATGGCGGAGCCCAGGAGGGGCTGAGCTGCTGTGAGTGGTTTGATTCCTTTCCTTCTCTTTGGCCGGTCTTTGGCCGTGTTCGTCGGGTGAGCGAAGAGCGAATAATACGAAATACGGCGGCGTGCGCAGTCTTGGCTTTGCTGGAGCACTGTCGTGGGTGAACACTGGGCTGGCCTCTCAGGGGACGGGTAGAGGGAGATCATGGCTTGTAGAAGAGTCTGGCTAGGGGTGAATGGACTGGCCAAGAGCTATGAGGCATAAAAGGTGTTTAGGATTTTTGTGCGAGGTGTTGTCTATATAAAGAGCGAGTTCTGTCAAACTTGGGAGAGAATGGAAGTTCTGTATCATTCATCCATTCACTGCGTTCCTCATCTGACGTGTCTAACACAACACAACACCATCATCATCACCATCACCAACTTCACCACCGTCACCAGCTTCGTCCTCAACAAAATCACCATATCAACATCACCACAGTTTTACCACTACCACCCCACACCTAAGCCACCACCATGTCCCACCGCCTCACCATGCACTCCAAAGACAAAGAAACAGCAGACGTCCCACCGCAGATCTCTGACCTGCACTGTCAGTCCCCCGATCCATGTACCGAAATAATCTCAAAACCATTCAACCCTCGCCCCCCCAAAGATCCCCTTATCTAACACCACTCTCCCAATCCCCAGGCTTCACCGAAACCAACGGCATAATCACCACCACCATGTTCGACGTCCCCGGCTACCGTGTCGTCCGCGTACTAGGCACCGTCTACGGCCTGACAGTTCGCTCCCGCAACTGGGCGGCGTCTTTGGGTATGGTGCTTAAGAGCGTGGCGGGCGGTGAATTAAGGTGGTTTACGGATATGGTAAGCCACAACCCCCTTCCCTGCCTCCCCCCCCTTCCCTCTCTCCCCTCACTATCCAACGATCACTAATCCGCTGACAACGACGATAGCTCTATAACGCCCGCAACGACGCCATCTCCCGCGTGGTATCCGAAGCCCAAGCACGCGGCGGAAATGCAGTGATTGCGATGCGGTTCGAGTCGGGCGACCTGGGCGGGTTTGCGCAGGTGTGTGCTTACGGCACGGCGGCTATTATTGAGAAGATTGATGAAAGTGTGCAGACGCCGCCGCAGTTGGAGAAGAGTGCTTAGGGTTTTGGGGACTCATCTGTTTTAGAGAGAGCGGGCGAGAGGGGAGGGGGGGATGTGAGGGGTGCGAAGGGGGTGAGGTACACGACGGAATCGGAAATGTTTCTACTGCTTAGTTTATATATACCTGCGCGATACCAATTTCGACATCAAATTATATCCTATTGGAAAAAGAGACCCCTAACGCCATTCCATGCTACGCGCTATCCAAACGCCGCGCCAGTTTAAACGCTATCGTCTCAGTTGCTTAGAAAGAAGAGAAAATAGTTCATACGGCCCTCTTCTTGCCATTCGGCTTTGGGTGGGCAACCTTGAGCCATTCGCCGTTGAAGGCGTTAATCAGCCAGTTAGTCAGTTCTAATTTGTTTAGTTAGCCCCTGATCCGGTAAACAAACACCTCAAGCTCAGCATGGGTCGGCCACTCACTCTCATACACAATCCGATGCGCGTTGTGGAAATAAATGCTGTGATCGCTGTCCGGGAACACATGCACGTCATAGTTATCCACGCCCGCGAGGTCCAGCTTATCCAGCAGCGTAAGCGAGTTCTGGAAATGCACATTATCATCCGCAACGCCATGCATCAGCAAGAAGCGCACATTCTGTGCCAGAGCCGACGTATTGAGGATGGCGCTGGTGTCGTAGCCGTGCCCGTTGGTTTGCGGGGTGAGCATGTAGCGCTCCGTGTAGATGCTGTCGTAGAAGCGCCAGTCCGTGACGGGGGCCACGGCCATGCCGTACCGGAACGTCTCGCCGCCGTCGCGCTCCAGCGTCTTGAGCGTGTTGAACCCGCCGTAGCTCCAGCCCCAGATGGCGAGACGGGTCTCGTCGATGTAGGGCTTCGCCGCCCAGATCTTGGCCGCCGCGATCTGGTCGTGCGACTCGTATTCGCCCAGGTTGCCGCGCACAATGACACGGTTCTTGCGCCCGATGTAGCCGGTCCCGCGCCCGTCGACGGTCACGCAGATGTAGCCGAGCCCGGAGGTGACGAAGGATTGGAAGTCGACGGCGAACCGTTTGTTGACGGTCTGCGAGCCGGGCCCGCTGTACTGCTGGAAGAGGACGGGGTACTGCTTGTTGGCGTCAAAGTGCGGGGGCCGCCGCTCGACGAAGTTGAGGTCGACGCCGTCGACGTTGATGGTGCCGTAGGTCTGAAGGGGCAGCTCGTGCTTCTTGGCGTTCTCGGCCAGGGCCTGGTTCTCCTCCACCGTGTGCTCGTACTTGTGCGGGTTGCTCGGCGTGCTGATGACCTTCTGCCAGGGTATTCCCGGGCCTTGGTATGATAGCAGAGCATAGCCGCCGCCGTTGGAGAACGAGCTGGCGTAGTATCCTTCGCTCGAGACGTCCGAGACCGGTGCCAGGTCTTCGCCGGTGAGCTTGACCTGGTACACATGACGTTGGATGGACGATTCCTTGGTGGCCACAAAGTAGACCACGTTCTGGTCCAAGTCCACAGAATACGGAGAGTCGACAACTTCCCAGTCGCCCGACGTGAGCATCACAGGGTCGGGGTTATCCAGCGGCGTGAAATACGCCAAATGGTTACCATCGCCGTGGATGATGAGGTCAATGTAGCCGTCATGTTCACGGCTCTTGGCCGGGTCGGCAGGGATGTGCTTGGTCTGGTGGGTAATCTCAAACCAGCCACCATCAATGGCCTTGACGTCTGTCGTCCTGACCGTCTTGCCAGCGCGGGCGGCCACATCCACCAACACAACACGCATGACATCGCTGACCCTGTTCGTCTCCTTCACCAGCACTTGGCTGCCAGCCCAGACAACCTCTGTGATGAGGCGGTCGTCATCCGCGAACCCTCCCGAGATATCGACCGAGAAGACATCGCCGCGCGTTACGTCGTAGAACTTGAGCTCGACGACAGGGTTGTGTGCGCCCGCTTTGGGGTACTTGATGTTCCTGACCTCGGGATACGACTCCTCGCCGTCGACGGCCTGCGTCCCGCTAGGCCGCGAGAGGAAGTACTGCACAGGGTACTCGGGCACGCCGGTCTCGTTGGTCCGTAAGAAGGCAATGTAGTTGCTGTCCTCGGACCACCACGTCGCACTGGACCCGGAGAACACCTCTTCCTCGTAGACCCAGTCCGGCACACCGTTGAACACCTCCGAGCCGCCGTCTTTGGTGATCTGAATCACCTGGTCCGAGCCGGCCTTGCGCAGGAACAAGTTATTGTCCCTAGTAAACGCCACCCCATCACCCGCGGGGTTCCACTGGGCCAGCTGGATCCGCGCTTCGGGCTCCCCCGGAACGAGGGGCTCAGCAGTTTGCGACTCGACATCGAAAATCCAGTACGTCGCATACGTCGAGTGGCGCCAATTCGATTCCACATTGGTACCCAGCAGCACCCGCTGCAAGTCCCGACTCAGCGCGGTCGTCTGAACATTATAGTTCTTCTCCCCATACGCGAAGTCCCCCTTCTTCATCAACACCCTCGATTCCGCCACCTGCACGCCCGCGGCATTGGCACTCTCTACATTCTGCGACCGCACATCCTCCACAACCAGGTACCCCTTCTCGCCCGCATCCTTCTCCACCAACAACCCATCCTCACCATTCGGCCCGGCAATCCACCGAATGGAATGTACCTCAGGATGCCAAAAGCTGCCCATGACCTGATCCAGCGTGACAGCCTTGCCCGAGCCTCTTACCACGGTCGCCTGCGGATCGTGCGCCGTCGCGGAGGCGGGCTTGTACGACTTGGACGCGACGTAGACAACGAGGCCGGCGACCCACGCAGCGACTAGCAGACCGGCTGTGATGAGGAGCACCCGGCGCATCCCACGGTCCATGCCCTTGCCTTTACCACCAGCCCCATTCTTATTCTTCTTCTTGTTGGCCGCATGTTGGGCAGAGCTGCCGGTGTTATTGCCGAGGAAGGGGCCCGTCTCGAGGTCATCGGTGTTCAGCTCGTCTTTCAGCTCTTCGTCGTCGTCATCGTCCTCATCATCGTCATTGTCTCCGCGACTGCGGCGTTGCTGCTTCTCATAAGCAGCCGCCTTCTCAGCAGCAACGCGTTCGCCAATGCGGTCGAAGACGATACTAGTGGTGGAAACGGAGGACCCAGACTCGTGCGACATTCTCGATCTGCTCTGGCTTCGCGTTCGACGATCTCGGCTGACCTCGTCGTTGTCGTTCGGATTGGGAGAGCCGAACGGGTCGTCTCGATAGGGAGGAGCCATGGCTGCTTTAGCTACCTATTTGGCGAGCTGCCGCGGGCGAAACGGCAACGGCAAAATGGGGCCGGCTGAAATCGACCGTCCCTTCGGGACGGGAGATTCGTTTGAGAGGGGCGGCGTGCCGCAAGGGCGAACACACGGAAAGCAAACAATTGGACTGGGTCTGCCAATTGAAGGACGAGCAGATTCAAGGGAGTGGAATGAGATGTAACTACGCGGTAGGCAGTGCCACCATGATGGGTGGACCGGCGATTCAAGCCGGAATGGGGACGGATAAAGCTGTGAGCTTGTTGTTTGGGGGAAATGGCGGGTTGATAGACACCGATGGTGTGACGGAGCTGCAGTGACACGAGACATCGGGGTTCGCCGACTGGCATTGTAATTACCTAACGTAAATTCATCCCTCCAAACGCCAATAACACCATTAACCCTAACCCTAAATACAGACAGCCGACAAGCCTGGTATCAAACCCCCCTACTCCTCCCTGGGTACTCCTTCTTACTGTCCGGGTTTCCGGCAAACAAACACATACATCGGAGTGAAGATACCCATTTTGCCCCCCTTAGCCACACCCTTGGTACAGTACCACATAGTGTCCATCAGCGTCGAGACCTCGGGTGGCGTTCGGCCGAGGAGGATTAGGAGGCGGTAGAAGGCATGGGCACACCCGCGGAAGGGCTCCCACATCTTGAACACCTTCCAGAAGTCGGGCCACCCGGGTGTTCTCCATGCCCACCAGATATTACCTCCGGGCCCGTAGTACCAAGGTGCAGGCTCGCTGCGGAAGGCCATGTCCTCCTCGTTGACGAGTTCGAGGCCTAATATAAGTCGCTTCGTTAGTCACCCCAGGGTAAATTACCAAAAAGATCCAACTCGGATTCAATACGTACCAGCCTTCTTGACGCCTTCCCGCATATCAGGCACCCACGGCATTCGGGTGATGCCGTTACCAAACTCAATCCAGTTGCGCACCTTGCGGTGTTCGGGTTTGCTCTCGTCGAACTTTTCGGTCATGGCAAAATCATGGAAAGTAAAGGGTGCGCCTGGCTTCAGTACACGCTTGATCTCGAGGTAGACCTGGGCGGGATCCGGAGCGTAGCACAACGACTCCACCGAGTAGGCCGCGTCGAAAGATTCATCGGGGAATGGGAGTTTCTGACCACATTGTTAGTTCGACTGTCTTTTGAGAGAGTGTAGTCAGTCCCCGCAGACGGCCTACATACCAGAAAGTCCCCATGGACCAGCGAGACGAGTTTGTCTAACCCAGCTTCCTTGTTCAGCGCCGTCCCACGCTCGACGTGCCATGCGTTGTTGGTGATGCCCACGATCTCACACTCAATGGTTGAGGCAATGGTCCTCGCAGGTCCGCCAATGCCGCAGCCAAGGTCGAGTACCCGCATACCCTTTTCCAGCCGGGCGATCTCGGCAAATGTCTTCTCATATGCCGTCATGCTCTCGCGGATGGAGAGGCCTGGCCTGAGGGGTGTGTAGTGGAACTGCTGGCCCCTAGATATGACTTGCCGTTAGTTACTGTTGACTTTAAGAGGGGGGGGGAGAGCTCCTAGAGTACTAGAGTAGGCCAAAGAATATGCGTAAACATACCATCCTTGCTCATACAGCGGCGTGACAAGATCGTAGTAGTCGGATCCCACCTGGCAAGCGTTCTTCTGCCTTGCGAGACGCTCATCCGCTGTCGACCAGCTGATGGCATCCACATCAAGCTTGCGAACGTTGGAGGGGTCCCGGGTCCAATGCGCAAGGTACCGATGCAGTCGGTCTTCGGCATAGCCTGCGGGTATATGGGACGCCATGGCTGTTCTTTGCTGCTGCTTTTTCTTTTTGTTTTGGTGCTGCAAGCTCACAATGCGGGTTCACGGAGCGGGATAAGTTCAAGGCACGCAGTTCTAAATTCTTAAAACCAAGGGAAAGAGCCCCAAATAAATACAAGAGGGGACGGAATGCGCAGGAAAGAGCCCCTCCCTAGGGACGACGACACATGTGAACTCCATCGGACATGTCGGAATACCCCTCGGGACGGCATATTATTGGCATAGTGCAGCTGATACTCTGAATAGAGCCGCTTGACGTGCCTTAGTATTGTTCTCGAGTGGGCTGCATGACGATTCGATGAGAGGAGGAGGGTGAGACTCCATAAAGGGAGGCCCGAAAATGCACGCGCAGCTCGCAACCACTCACATGCTCTTATGGTGGTACATAAACCCTAACCCTGATGCGTGGTGTAATCCACGAAGTTCCCCATGCCAATTGGTCTTGTTCCTCTCAACATCCAACATTTTCATCCGAACTTGTCGTAAAACCTTATTTCTTCCGACGCCGAGTGAGAAAGTTGCCAAATGGTCGCTTCTCTAAGCGGCTATAATATTTTAAAGCCCCGATAATGGTTTTAAGTCGTAGTCTCACGATAATTGATGTTAAACCGAGTCCTTAGCTGCCCGGCTGTTTACTGTTAATGGCTCTGTTTTGTTCCATGTGTCGGGTGTCTTGGTTGGCCCAACACCATGGCCCCGAAACGGGAATCCGCGCCGCCCGCACGTCGGGTCCGGGCCAGGGCCACATATCAAGGCCGGTGGTTGACTAGGGGGGGCACTGCGATGCTCCGACTGCCTTTGTGGTCGTTGTCGATTTGTGTTTGTTGTCAGGCCAGCATGGACGGAGCTGACCTACCTCAACAAGATTGACTATTTCTTTTCTTTTCTCTCCGTCCTAGCCTTCAAGGTTCTACCAACTAGTCATATCGTAAACGACTTATCTTATTGTTCACTTTCCACTGCGGTCTTACCATGTGGCCACCCCCTACGGCCCCCGAACATTCTTTCGTGCATCTCTCACTCAGGCCCTCATGGCCGCCACCCAGGCCGGGTCAGCTCATGATGGCCGGACTTTGGAACGAACCCCCAATTACACCTTAGTGTAACGAGGTAAGGACTCATCAAGTTTGGCCGAGCACCTCTCCCCTCCTTGGTTCACAATTTCTTTTGTTTCTTCGCTTCTTCTTCTCCAAGAACCCGCCAACAAAGAGGGTGAAGAAAGGAAACAAGGCAGCTCGGGGCAGCCCGCTTTCACTTACCTCTGTTCTTTTTTGACAAGTAACCCCGACCACGGCAACTCTTTCTCACAGTGAACCTCTGCATCGCCCCCACAAGGCCCATTCGGCATCGCGAAGTAAACCCGAGAAGAAACAACCCCCGACAAGTGAACCACCATCAAGAATACCATCCACCATGCCCCCCTTCATATCAACCGACCACGCCCACCGGTCCTTCGGCCCCGTCGACCGAGCCGCACTCGCTGAAAAACTCCCCTCGCGCGCCGAGCGCGGCCTCCTGCGCATGGGACTCGTGCGCTCCGACCGGTGGAAACAGATGCCTGCCGAGGGCTTGTACCAGCTTGTTATCTCTGAGGTCCTCGATAACGGCTTGACTTATCCGCTGGAGCGCAGCGGCGGAAGGGCGTTTGCGGTTACGTCGGTGTTGGATTTGGGGCTGCGGATGATGGAGAGTGAGAGGGGGAAGCAGGGTGGGTATTTCCTTTCCCTCTAGGCTTGTCTTATGGAGGGTCTCTTGAATGTCAGTTGCTGATATGGATATTGTCGAGTTTAGCCCTTGAGAACCTCGCGAGGAAGGCCATCTGCGTCTGGCGGGAACGGCCAGTGCCCGGTCCAGTGGTTGAACCGTGGGTTGTCGACGTGCCCGCGGCTGTGGATGAGTTCCTTCGCTGTGTGCGCTACCGTTTCCCCATTGTCAAGCTCGACGATCGCAACGGCTTCTGCCACGAAGAGGAGAACAAGACGTTGCCGTATTCGTGGGTCGACGAGTACTCGACGCTGGAGCAATTCGATTTCAACCCCAAGGCGGCTGCTGTGCTGCACTTGAACTGGCAGGTTAGTCTCACGTTTCGTTTGGCCCTGGGGGTAGGAGAACTGAAGGTGTGTTTTAACAAAAAATAAACTAACACACCCACACAGCTAGTCGAGAAACTCTACTGGACCCGCCTCAAAGCCGACGTCGCCCGACGCCAACAACGCGAAGACGAGCGACTCGCCGAAACCGTCCGCTTCCATCGGCTTCAATTCCACCTCGGCGCCATGGTCACGCACCACCTCTGCCACCTATTCGTCAACTTCCTCCGCGGGTCCGACGACCTGCTCGCGCGGGGCATCACCGACACCGACTTCCTGCGTCTCGTGCGCCGCTACGACCCGGGCGCCGAATTCGAGATTGATTTCTTTGGAGGGCGTCCCAAGTTGTTCATCGATCGCAGTGCCGCCAGCGAGCAGAGCTATGAGGGCCAGAGTTATGTGATTAAGCGCGGACGTGGTGGTGGCCGGATGGCGGCTGTTGTGGCGCAGTACAAGATTGAGAGTTATCTCAAGGGCGGTACGTTATTCTCCCCCCCTTCTCCCTTTCCCTTTGCCCCAAGACCCCCTTCCCCACACCCCCATCAGCACCAACCGTTGGTTTGGTCGACTGCAGAGCGCCAGAAACCCAGAAATCCAGAAAAGGCAGCGAGGCGGAAAACAAACGCGCTAACCCGGAGGGCCTGGCTAACCACCACCAACCAGATTTCTCCGTCCCCCTCCTAACCGAAGTCCAAAGCGAAGTTTTCCCCATGGAGCGCTACCAAGAAGTCCTCCGCCGTCACGGCGGTGCTAGCCGTAGCAGCAGTTCCAAAGAGAACGAAGACTGTGACTGGCGCGAAGGGCAGACACCCGGTGGTCCGAGGCGTGTAGCGACAACGAGCGGTTCGTTTGAGCATCGCCGGATCGGGTCTACTAACAGTATGGGGATGGGTATGGGTTTGGGGAGTGTGGGTGGGAGAAGTGGGACGGCGGCGGCTGGCGCTTACAGCGTGCCGTGGGATGTGAAGGGGACGGAGTACCAGATGTTGAAGCAGGCGTGCTTTGATCCGTGTGTGAAGGTTGTGGATCCGAGGGGGGTGTAAGACGGGCGGATGGATGGATGGATGGATGGATTCAAGGGGGGATCGAGGTGCTTGCTGTTGGGGCATTGTTTTGGAAGGTGGAAGGGGGGGTTCGGTTGGCGTTTGATGAGGATACCCATGGTTGTACTGTACACTTATTCCTGTATTTTTTCTTTCTTTTTTTCTTTCTTCGTTGTGTTTGTCTGAGATAGAGATACAGAGCGAGTTTTGAAGAATTATGGTTGTGAGGCATGAAGAGCTCAATAGCAAAGTTGATTTATTTTAGCTTTTTACGTCCGGCACACGTAACGTCTGGCCTCATGTGAGGAATAGACACCCGAAATCGGTGACTCGGCAGGCCACCTTCAGAGTGAGCGTCCGTATTTCCTGATGATCCGCTGAACCTCTTACTTACCTAGGAACCAAGCAAAGCCGGGGAATCCCTGCTCGGGACTCTTATTTCTCGAGCGAACCGACAGGTCAGAGCAAATGTTTGTTCGCGGATGTTTCTCCGAAGGTGATAAAACACAACTTGCCATTCAGGCACAGAGACAGCTAACTAGCGCCGGGTAACGCGGGACCGCTCGAGTGGAGCGGGGCTAGGACAGGAGGAAGGTGATGAGAGACGCCTCGGACGAGAGCGAACGGTTGCGCAATCAAAACAACATCACAGGGATGAGGGATGATGTATGAGTGCACGGGTTACTGGGACTAGCGACTGAGTGGCTCGAGAGTGGGTAGGTGTGTGGGCTGGGTTGGGTGTTGCGCGGTATTGCTGTCATATGGTGTGGTAAGGTGTGGTATGGTGTGGCCGTGGTGCTGTTAACCGGTGAGCGGCTTCGGACAAGCCCCCGTCCTCGCTCCCTCCGAGTGCGGAGAAAGCCGGGGGGAATGCCGTTTGCCGAGCGGGTTGGGGATGAGACGAAGGTCAGTTGGGAGGGAATGTGGTGCTCGAGGTGTGAGGTGAGTGTAAACAATCTTTTGCTTGCTTTGACCGAAGGTGTGGGCGAGCGACCATGTGTGGTTGGTTGGTGATAATGTTCAAACCCCGAGCAATAGTGTCGTTGGTTGATGGCTTCCTGTCGGGAGAATATGCACATGTGGTCGAGATAGTGGGGATCATGGGCTGAACCCAGTTCATGCGAGGCCGTTAAGGAGGTGGCTTCGCTTGGTGACGCGACTTGGGCGCAGGTACTGTGTGTAAATCCGGGGAAACGTCCAGGGGGGAAAGGGGAACAGGTTCCCAGTTTAAAACAACCAACAATCCCATTTTGGGAGCTGGTGAGGGGGCGAGCAAAAACACCAAGCATTGCACAATCGGCCCCCGTCAGTATTCCCGGCAAGAACGAGCAGGAACTGGTCTTGAGGATGATGGTGCGGTTGGCACCAAGCAAACGAAGACTCGGATTATGATCACGATCACGATCACTTGAAGTTGGGAACTCAGAATCTCCGCGGCAAGAACGAAAACTGGTCAGCCGACGGCGTCGAGCGGCCCCCGAAATGGGCCTGGCTTGGAAAGGAGGCAATTTTCTGATAGTGGAGTGGACCCGTATTTTGATATAACAAAGACCTGTTGGTTGTCTTCACTGCTGTAGGGCATACTCGCAGACGCTGCTGTGAGGTTCTTTCTTGGTGTTTCGGCTGCGGCAGGTGCTGCGTTCCGAACTTCCCGTCCATGTCCGTCCCTCGGCGCCACGTTTCAGATCCCTCAACTCTGTGCACATGGTTGACGATCTAAACACAGCTTTTGAGCCCAACGGCCCCAGCCGCGGTCGCAGTTCCTGCGGCGGAGTTCGTCAAGGTTGCCCGGAACCACCCCGTTGGGAACATCCTCCCAATCACATCGTGGCTAATAGCCGCCCGGTGTTTGGGGGCAATCCCGGAGTTTGGCCGTCAGAACTCTCGCTGCAATATCATGAATGTCATGTCACACAAACAACTTGACGTCGTTGATACTTGGTTCGTCCCTTTTCGTCCCTAATGACTGATCATCCGATCGGTCTGATACAGACAGTTTCGGACCGTTTCGGGCCTTGACGGGCTGACTTGTCCGAGCAGATGCAAGTGCGAGCCATATACCCGAGCAATCTTGGCTTCTCTCCTGGGATGCCAGAAGCAGTTACTCAAGACCCACGTTTGTCCCCATTTGGTCACGATTGACGAGACACTATCAACTAGTTCGGGGCAAAGAGGCAAACAAACCATCAACAAAGTGTGGTATGTTGCACAAGCTGTGAACCTTGCGCGCGCGCTGCGCTTCTTTTGGCGCGGATCGCGCTTAAGCGCGAAACTCGGAGGCCAGCTGATGGTGATGGTCCGTTCGTCTTGGCCGGGTGGTGTGGGGAGTTGGGAGGATGAGCCAGCTTGCCAGGCAAAGAGGGCTGACCGGGCCAAAGGTAACCCTCTCCAAATCTTGCGCAGTCCGCCCTGCCCGTCCTGCCACGAACTTGAGGCACTGATCTTTGTCGAAGGAGGGCGATCACATGAGACGGTGTCGCAATGATATATAAATGTGCCTATCCGCCCGGTCCAGGTGGCCTCCCAAAAAGTTGGTGTCCCATCAACACTTGCAGCCCAACTGCCAACCACCTTTGATCTTGAGTCCTGTCATCCGCCCTCTTACACGCGACTTTGGTTCTTTATCGAGAGATCAACCAGTATGTAAGTGACCTCTTGCTGCCCCAAGAGGTGGGCAAGCACTGACACACGCCGTGATCCAGCTCGATATGTCTCAATCATATTGGAAGTCGATGGCCAGCCCCACGGCGCCTCCTGGGAGCCCTGAACTCCTGAACAGCCCAAAGGTCAACGCACCGGAACAGTCAGGTGGTTGGGTCCATCAAATGATTCTGACCCGAACGCCGCCTCACTCGCCGCCTAACTCGGCGTCAGCTTCGGACATTGGGGCCGACTACGACCACCACCCCAGGCCGCCGATAAGGTCGGCTACCATCCTTCATACGCCCCCTCGCTTTACTCCAGAGCGTACCGCCACTCCTTCTCCTCCTCCTCTTCCTCCTCGTAAACGGGCGTTGAGCCCCCATCCGGATTCGCGCTCAGCCAAGCGACTGAAGACTCCACCAACCTCGACGACCGCGTGGTCTGAAGATGATGCCCCGCATTTTGACGACGATGAGGCCACACAGTGCGGGGATGACCATTACCAAGGTGGCCTCACGCAGGATTACAATGATAGCCTGAGGGCTAGACAACCCATCATCGACCTGACTGGGACAACCGGTTGGCTATCCGGTATCCTCAGCACGACAGACCCCGCGAGCATGAGAAGGGAGCTAAGGGCCAGGGGGCCACGGTACTCCGTCTACGTCGCCGACAATTTCACCGAGGATGAGATTAGAGAGCAGTTAGAACAACTGCTGAAAACAGCCCGCGCCTACTATCTCCCAGCCGACCCGAAAGAACCACAGCGAGTGGTTCACCCGGAGGAAGGGGCCAGCAGCCTGCACATTCTCGAAACCTTTTTCGATAAGTACGTGAATTCGGCCAAAGACGAGGACCCCCTGTTCGATGAGGAGGAAGAAGACGTCCTCGATAAGTTTATCGGTTGGCTCCGGGAGATGCCGATGCCGCCGCAGGTCGGCCGGTTTGGGAGCTTGTATGAGTTCCGCAGACACTTAAAAGAGATGGCCAACACACCGTTTCCCAAGCAGATCCAGTAGGTTTCGGCGAGAAAGGGCGCCGCGCGATCCTGACCCTTCTGCGGCAGCAACCACTAACTGGCTCGCAGCGTCATCGTTGAGACAGGTGGAGGGGCGCAGCTTTCGGTGCCTCTGCGATTCAGCCAGATTGGCGAGGCAGCGGCTGAAATCCGCGATCTTTTGAGGGACATTGCCGGTTTTTTCTAAACTGGCGCGCGAAACAAGAGCTTTCTTGTAGGGTTTGGTGCTTGAGGACCGACGGCTGGGCTTATTTTCCGTGATACACTGTTGGTGGTTTGTTTCTTGGATGTCTTTGTAGTCGTATAACTGTATTTTATCTGCGTTTCATCAACCTTATTTTCTCCCGTTCTCCACAGTATAGTTGAGAGAAGCTGAAGCCATCGTGTTGTTACAAAGGTCGTGTAGTTGTCTGTAAGATGCGAGGCGCTGCTACCTGTAACTAATCCGTATGGCCGTACCTATTTCTCCGGGATTACCCGGAGAACCAGGAAGCCAGGGCTTTCCCAGCAGGTCACAGGTCGAATCGCGGGTGCGGGGCCAATCGCTGAGGGGGGTAACGCCCACAAAATTTATGCTTGCGAGAGCCACGCCGTGGGCTGCAGAAGATCCGACGAACTTAATACGTTTCTAGACGAGCATTCCTTTTGTTGTCAAGGCACGATCGTTTGGAATCTCTAGCGAAGCTGGTCTCTGTTTTTCTGGTTGTTGTTAGGTGGAGTTTCTCGGGAAGCGGTTTTGAACGAGCAAAATTCGAACTCTGAGCTTGATTGGCTGCTGCTGAGCTCGGGACCCGCCGGGCCACTCGAACCAAGCCTGCCCAGTCCTCTCTTGACAATTTTCCTCACGTCGGCTCCCCCAAACTTCCATCAACCTCCCCCGTCTCAAACTCCCCTCAACGCAATTGCAGCTTGATTGCAATTGCTCCCCCTCACCACCAAGAGGCGACACATACCTGGAGAACATGTTCCGGAACGCCCTCCGACAGAGCACCCGCGCCGTCGGCGCCCTCTCTGCCTCGAGCAGAGTGGCTGCAGTGAGTGTGCCCGCCAAATCTCCGCACGCCCCCGACCACCAACCCGACCTCAATCCCATCGGCCAGCGCTCGCGATCCATTTCAATCGGCCCTGCATGCACCCGGGAAGCTCAATTGACTTCTTTTACCGCGATGCACGGCCGTGGAGCGAATGTCGCAAGCTTTGGGGGAGAGCTGTTCCAATTTTTTGCTACCCTGCGCAATGCTCGGTTTTCGGCTAGGCTAACTAACCCGATCCCGACAGCGAAATGCCGCACCCACCGTCTCTGCCTTCCAGGCCCGCACATACGCCGAAGCGAAGGCCTCCCCGACCGAGGTGTCGTCCATCCTCGAGCAGAGGATCCGCGGTGTCCAGGAGGAGTCCGGTCTCGCCGAGACTGGTCGCGTCCTGTCCGTCGGGTACGTTTTTCAGCGCAGTTTGGAGGGGGAAAAGTCTTGGCGACTGAAGGCCGAAACATCAAACGGGAGGACAGGGGGGAGGTGGGCTGTTACCAGCCGGACCACCATGCGACGATGTCAAGGGGCTATCTACGGGACGGCTATACGGGTTACGAGATGGAAATGCGATGCTGACTTGGTGATTCTAGTGATGGTATCGCCCGTGTGCACGGCATGGCCAACGTCCAGGCTGAGGAGCTTGTCGAGTACGTTTAACATATTCTTCGCTATGTCGCCCGTCAAAGCTAATGCGCTTCAGGTTCGCCTCTGGCGTCAAGGGCATGTGCATGAACCTCGAGGCCGGCCAAGTCGGTGTCGTGCTTTTCGGTTCTGATCGTCTCGTCAAGGAAGGCGAGACCGTCAAGCGTACCGGTCAGATTGTGAGTGGACGACATGAAAATGTGTTGGCCCAAGGGTCGGTATACTAATCCTCTGATTTAGGTCGACGTTCCCGTCGGCGCTGAGCTGCTCGGCCGTGTCGTCGATGCTCTCGGCAACCCCATCGACGGCAAGGGTCCCATCAACACCAAGGAGAGGCGTCGTGCCCAGCTCAAGGCCCCCGGCATTCTTCCCCGGAAGTCCGTCAACCAGCCCGTGCAGACCGGTCTCAAGTCCGTCGACGCCATGGTTCCCATCGGCCGTGGTCAGCGTGAGTTGATCATTGGTGACCGTCAGACCGGCAAGACCGCCGTCGCTCTCGACACCATCCTCAACCAGAAGCGCTGGAACAACGGCAGCGACGAGACCAAGAAGCTCTACTGTGTCTACGTCGCCGTCGGCCAGAAGCGTTCGACCGTTGCTCAGCTCGTCAAGACCCTGGAGGAGAACGATGCGATGAAGTACTCCGTCGTTGTCGCCGCTACTGCCTCTGAGGCCGCGCCTCTCCAGTACCTGGCTCCTTTCACCGGTAAGTTTTGTCACCATATTCGCTCTCAGCGGTACCCATGCCGCGCACGTACTATGCTACTTGCCACCTCGAAAATTTTACCATTTTCCTTTTTGCCCGATTTTTCGCCGTGTTTGGATCAGCCATGTCATCTACCGGACTGATATGCGTCCACCCCCAACGACGACGACGACAGCTTGCTAACGTTCTAAAACCTTAGGTGCCTCGGTCAGTGAATGGTTCCGTGACACTGGAAAGCACTCTCTGGTCATCTACGACGATCTTTCGAAGCAGGCCGTCGCGTACCGTCAAATGTCCCTGCTTCTGCGTCGTCCCCCCGGACGTGAGGCTTACCCCGGTGACGTCTTCTACCTCCACTCGCGTCTGCTGGAGCGTGCGGCCAAGATGAACGACAAGCTCGGCGGTGGTTCCATGACCGCTCTGCCCATCATCGAGACCCAGGGTGGTGATGTGTCCGCCTACATTCCCACCAACGTCATTTCCATTACCGACGGCCAGATCTTCTTGGAGGCTGAGCTCTTCTACAAGGGTGTGCGCCCGGCTATCAACGTCGGTCTGTCCGTGTCTCGTGTCGGTTCCGCTGCGCAGCTCAAGGCCATGAAGCAAGTCGCTGGTTCGCTCAAGCTCTTCTTGGCCCAGTACCGTGAGGTCGCTGCCTTCGCCCAGTTCGGTTCCGACCTTGATGCTGCTACCAAGCAGACCCTCGCCCGTGGTGAGCGGGTAAGTTATACACCGATTCCTGAGACATAGGTTGTAGTTGTTAAACATCCGCTAACTGGACTTCCCCCTACAGTTGACCGAGCTCCTGAAGCAGAAGCAGTACGCCCCCTACGCCGTCAACGAGATGGTTCCCATCATCTACGCCGGTGTCAACGGTTACCTCGACTCTGTCCCCGTCGACAAGATCCTCCAGTGGGAGTCTGACTTCCTTGCCCACCTCAAGACCAACGAGGCCGATGTCCTCGCTACCATTGACAAGGAGGGCGCCATCAGCAAGGAGCTCGAGGCCAAGCTCAAGGAGATCGTTCCCAACTTCATCAAGAGCTTCTTGGGTTAAAAATCTACACGTAATACCAAGCGCATTCCTGAAATGATCTACGGGGCGCTTGCCGAGGATGAGGGGATGTCTATACCGCAACGTCCGTGTGTTTCTAAAGCAGGGAGTTTCCATCTTTCGTGTGCTGGACTGAGGAGAGGCGTGCGAGAAAGGGGGTGATAGACCCGTCAGCCCCGTTGTAAAATAGAGAGCAGACTCAATCAAGCACTCGATTCCTTTTGTCCTGAACCGTTGTGCCTTCACTCCTGTCCCGCTTGGTCGTTGTATTCTGTTTTGCGGTTGGATTACGGGTGGGGCGGGGTTGAAACGACTACAATGTGACATCATGAGCCGGCCGTAGCTTCTTTCTTCTCAACATCCAATATCACTCACCAACTATTTGGCGCCAACACCAAACTCAAACCATAAACCGCCTGGATCTTCTTAATCATCGTCAATATTGATCCGTGCTGTATAAATCGCCTAGTTAGTTAACTCACAGCCCCTCAGCAACCGCTCCATCTAACCCCGCATATGAGTTTTTACAACTCCGCAAACATCAAGATCTCGAAGCATAGAGGTTACCTGTGTTAATGATATTGCCAGTACCGACAGGACAGGGACCTAACCAAACGAATAGAAATGTCCCCCGACTCCTCCACCACACCCCCGGACATGTCCCCCACTACTAAAGAGATCCTCGGTCGCGTGCGGCAGATGATCCCGCCAATGTTGGAGAAGTTTCATAAAGGTATGTCTACCCTCGCCTATCAAGTTGAGGAGTTGAATCTGTTTACTAATTATGATGAAATTATAGGCCAGCTTGGGCGTGTGGGTGTTATTGGTGGTAGTGAAGACTACACGGGGGCGCCGTACTTTTCGGCGATGGCGAGTGCCAGGTTGGGGTGTGATATGGTATGTACTTTGGATCTTGTGTGGTGCTGGGTATTTCCGTTTTGTGGCATTTTTCGTTTTTGATTTGGGTTGTATTTGCTTTCTCGTCCTATTATTATCCCATCTCCTGTTCCTCTTACTTATTTTGCTCCTTTATGCCCCCTTTTATCCCTTGTTTCACTATTTCTTCCCCATCCCTTTCGATGAAGAGAGAGAGCTGTGTAGAGGCCGGGAACACAAGAAGAAGATATTTCCTGCTGCAACCGCGGCAGCAATGTCGCCCCCCAAAAGTAACAAAATGCTAACCTGCCCTTCTCTTTAGTCCCATGTCATCTGCACCCCCACAGCAGCCGCCGTCATCAAAACATACTCGCCCAACCTAATGGTCCACCCCTTAATGCGCTCCTCGCCCTCCCCTTCATCAAAACAATCACCACCACCGCCATCAACATCATCACCCCACGCCTCAGACAGCAACATCGACGCACCGTCCATCGCGAACCGCATCATTCCGCTGCTGGACCGCCTACACGTCCTCGTCATTGGACCCGGCTTGGGCCGCGACCCGCTCATGCAGGACACCTGCGCCTTGGTGATCCGCGCGGCACGCGACAAGGGCATGCCGCTGGTGTTGGACGCCGACGCGCTCCAGCTGGTCCAGCGTGAGCCGGACCTTGTCCGGGGTTACCGGCTGGCGGTGCTGACGCCTAATGTGGTTGAGTTTGGGCGTTTAACGTCTGCGCTAGGTATTGAGGAGCGGGCGAAGGATGCTCAGAAGCAGGCTGGGGAAACGGCCAAGGTGGAGGCGCTGGCTGCTGCGCTGGGCGGGGTTATGATTGTGCAGAAGGGGCCGCGGGATTACTTGAGTAATGGGAAGGTCACGCTGACGGTGGACTTGGCTGGTGGGAAGAAGAGGAGTGGTGGACAGGGCGATACACTGACGGGGAGTATTGCTACGTTCCTTGGGTGGCGGAAGGCGTACTCGGATGGGATATGGGAGACGGGAGGCAAATTGGATGAGGAAGAGCTGGTTGGTCTGGCCGTGTTCGGAGGAAGTGCCATTACAAGAGTAAGTTGCGAGTTTCACTTCCTTTTTGCTTGCCACATTCCTGTTTTTTTCTTGATATCTAGCTGAGCCCAAAAAGGGTGTCGATGGCTGACGATTGGGTAGGAGTGCTCGCGCTTGGCCTTTGCTAAGAAAGGCCGCAGTCTGCAGGCCAGCGACCTCACCGATGAAGTGCACACCGCCTTCCTGAATCTTTTTGGCGAGGAAGAGGAAGCTGGTGAGGGTAACAGCGCGAGATTGTGAGAGACCACCGATGCTCTCGATTCACTCGTCTCTCTCTCTCTACCAGAGCGCGGATGTGATCGGTCCTGCGGCGCGACGGGAAGGGCGGGAGATCGGCTGCGCTGTGACAATTTCTTCCGGATGGGCTTGCCTTGGACTTTGACCCCCGACTCCGTCGTTTCACAAGATTTCTCGGCCGACCTTTGATGGGATACGGAGGACGGATGACGGGCCACAAGATGTGTGGTGCTCGAGCGTCCAAAGACACACACACATACCCCCCCACATGCTTCCCACGTATACAACACTAAAAAGGCGCAGGCACACAGACAGATACACAAACACAAGCACTTTGATCTCGTGTGAACTGCTTCGATCGGTCCTTTGCAGATACAGTCCTGGGTACGCCTGAGGTTCGAGTTGTGGTGGGCACAGACGGGGGCGCAAGCCATACGGAGCGCCATCGGGGAATTTCTGTCTAGGTGGCGGTGATATGGCGGTGCCACACTCCGCTGTCCTCGCTTCCCGGCGTCGATGGGTTCCGAGACCACAAGTAATCAACAGAGAAAGGAATTGTTTTGTGCTGTCATGCGATTTTCGTGGCTGTTGGACGGCCCTGCTGTCTCTTGATAAAGGGCGTTGTTCTGATATCAGTGCCTCTTGTTCCCGCACCATCCCCCTCTCGCTTGGCCTCCTGGAGGGCCGGGTTGGACAAGCCCGTGGGACTCGGAACACCACGGAGTCGGACCAACCAAATCATCATCCTCGACCCCGGGGGGGCCCTTCTCGGCGTGGAGGGCAACGCAACATTGGTGAAAAGGCCGGGCATCGGAAACTTAGCGAAGGAGAGAGAGAGGGAAACAGCGAAGCACCACCCTCCGCCCCCCTTTTGTTCTTGCTTTTCCTGCTTGGCTTCACCCGCATCGATTGGGAACTGGGATCGGGCAATGGAGCCGTGCGGGCGGGAGGGAAGGGAAAGGGAGGATCACTACCGTCTGAGGTCCCCGAGAGGCGACGACGTGCAGAATCGAGATGCAGCAGGCTCCGCGGATGGGGAGGGCCGGAAGATCCTCAAGCGGACGGAAGGGGACCACGGGGACCACGGGGGACGGCGGGATAAGGCCCAAGGGTTTGGACGGGCACCACTTTTCTAGCAGGATCTGACAAGCGAAAAACAACAAAAAAGTCGGGGGGATGAGGGGGTTGGCTGCAATGAGCTGCTTTAGCGTGCATCGTGGTGGACTGCACTACAGGAGGAAAACAGGAGGAATCTGTTTTTGAACTTGTTTTCTCTTTGGTGGGTGTGGGTTTGCGTGTGTGGTGTGGTGTTGAAACCTTTTTGCTTTTTTTCTGTTGCAAGTTTTTCTTGGACCTTTGCTCTGACGTCCCATGTCGTGCGCCAAACGGGTGTGTGCGGGGGAAATGCCACAACAGACTCACCCTGGTTAATTACCGTTGATCATCAAGAAGGGTCCTTGGGGCCGTCGTGACTACACGACATAGTAGAGATATTACACTATGGTGTAGTGTAGTAGATGACTCTCGGAACGGTTCCTTGAACCTTTGACGACAGAAAAAGGTACCACAGGGTGTGCGTGACGGCGAGATGAGGATTTCGGGGTCTTGCCTAGGTCGTTCTGTGTGTCTCTTCCTCTTACTCGCTAGTTAGTTCCTCGTAAAACGCGTGCAGCAAGCACATGGGGAACCTCTTACTGGTGGGAGACTGGTCTCATTCTCATTCCCACAAAGTCAACTCACCAGGGTTTTGGGTTTTTAGTGTTGTGAGGTGCTGTGGGACATGCATTAGTGACTCCAGGGGTTCCGCGGAGAGGCGCCGTAGATCCGGCATGTGGGCGCCGAAACCCTGCCACAGTCAGGAAAGAGCAAAAACGACGTCTCTTCTCTTCTTGTGGGCGGCGCAACCTGTAACTTTTTGCAATTGCAGACTGCGATAGGTTCGGGGCAGAATATGACGGTTGTATTCTTTTTCGCTTGATGAAGTGGTCAACGTCCCCAACTGGGATCCGGATCCCACCTATGCCCCGGCGTTTGCCGGCCGTCAACGGAAACGGTTGGAAGGCTCGACCCCCGACCCGCGAGCTCTCTCCTTCACCCCGGTCGGTATTTCGCCATCCACCTTGCGAGGATTTGCCGGTCGGTGTGGGTTGCTTCGGTCGAGGGTCTTGGACCCGACGCCCTGGTACCCACCCTCCTAAATCTCTCCGTGGGTCGGAGGTTGGGTCATCAACTGAGAGGTGTGGTGCGCGCGATTCTCAGAAAGACGGATGGATGTGATGACACCAGAAACGGTAAAATGATGCTCTCTCTTGGGCGTTGCCAAGCTGCGGTCCACGTTGATATCTCACATGGCAAGTGCCATCCATGTTCCCGTTGGTCCTCTTGCCGTTGTCTACCACTCTTGTCTCGAGGCAGCCCACCATCAAGAATCAAGTGGCCTCGCTGATCTCACACAAAAGAACATCAAAATGCCGTCTGGAAGACTATTACTGACGCCACGATTTAGCTCGTACGGCTGCTAGTGGAGGCTCGGGCACATCAACCATAAGTCCGGTGGTGCCATACTTTGGGGTCCTACGAACACTCTCCGTACTCCACAATCCCTTCCATCTTTTGAGAAGTCAAACGGGTACCTCGATGGGCTCCTCTTCTTCGAATTGTTGCGTTGTCCACGATCCAAACCTCTGGGAGGGAAAGGGGACCCCATCCCACGGGGCTGACTGTCCCCACTAACGTGCAAACAAGAAGCAAATATCAACAGACTTTTCGCCTCCAGAAGGAGCGTCATGAGAGACGACATCGCCTCATGCCGAGAGATACATAGCCCGCGAAGAAACAAGTGCCCTTCGCGCCTTCTCGTTTGTCACCATTGTGACGGTGACCACTCACATGAAGAAGGGGGTAAGAGTGGTATTGTCTTGGCGAGATCCGGCCGGCGCGGACTGAGATCCAGCGAGCGAGTGATGACATGCACATCACCCGCATCCGGTCTTCTTCAACGTCCAGGGAGGCTCAAGGGGCCGAGACTGGACGTGACAGGCAAGACAGGCTTGAAATAATTTCGCGGCGAGACCTACATGAGCCAACGACTCGGCACTGCAGACTAGTTCTTGCCATGCATGGTCGATCACGGTGCTGGAGGAGAAAGAGAAAGGGGTCTCCTCCTTCCTCCTGCAGAGAATCTGTATGTATTTCGGAACCTCGTCCCTTGTTCAGCAACAAGCACGGTTCGGGAAGCGACTGCTCATGGGGGAGAGGCGGCGGCGAACGGTGCGTTGGTGCGCGTAACGCGAGGGCCCCAGCATCACGCACATACCCGAGGGTTTGCCATGCGCAGTGCAACAGTCGGTTTGACTTCGGGGGCGTAACATACGACGCATCTCGAATCTGAAAATGAGGTTGAGACACTGTCAAAAAACTCGAGGCGAGCAACGGCAAATGGGTGCGGGAGCCGGGCCAAGGAGCTAAGCCAGGCTGATGAGTGTGAGTTTTTGAGAGTGTCGCACCTGCTGGGTTTGCTGCATGTGACGAACCAGCTGACAAGGCCAAGGGTTCTAACGAAGCAGACCAATCACAGCCCTGATTTTACCCTCTGAGTGGGTCCATTGCCTGGCCTCGCGGTTGTGTCGCGACTTCTAGCCGTGTGAGCTGTGGGATCAATAAGCTGAGCCGCAGCCTGGCTCTTGCTCTTTTTAAGAAACGCCCCTCCACTGACAGCCGAATCCGGCCTCAACAGTGCTTTTTTTCAAGAGTAGCGCGTCCCTCCAGGCCTCGACGGTGGACCGTTCGTCCCCCCACCTCCCAAGGAGATGGTCCGGCCACCACGCCGAGTCACTAGTCGTCCCAGAGACCCGGAGATGCTAAGTTAGCGTCGCGCCGTCGAAGTAGTGACGCTCCGCTGGGATGAAAAGCAAACGTGGGTTGTGGGCTCCCTCTCTGTCTCTCTCTCATTGTCTGCATGTTTTGGCCGAAACTTGGCCGACCGGCCGGCCAGGTCGCGGGTTAATGACGCTTGGGAGACAAGATGGGTTCCACAGTGAGACCTGGTATCACAACCATCAAGGCACGATGGCCGATGAGAGACGCCCCCTCTCGATCCCGTCCGCCCTGGCTTTCTTTGGATAGGTGGGCTGGTGATATTTGGGCCGAGCACTTACAGCTTCAAAATTTGCCAACGCCGGATGGTGAACTACTTCTGTCCGTCGGAAAGCCGGAACAAACGAGTGTTATTATTCGAGTGACTGGTCTTTTCTCCATATTCCTTCTTTTGCCTCCCTCGCTTTTTTTACCCTGTTCCTCGTCTTTCTTGCCTCGCCTTCTGCTTCTGTCTCCCCACCAGCTACCCGCACGATCTCGCCTCTTATTTGTTCTCTCAGCTCCCGTGTGTCCGACACACGCTGGTTCAACGTCGAGAACGAGCCAGTCGAGCCCCCGGAGAAGCCCCTGCTTGCCGTTTGCTGCATCTGCTGCAGAAACCTCCACTACGCTTGCCCTCGGGATAGGTATCTAGCCCATTGGACGATATCTTGCTGCTGCGATTGCTGCCGACCCTAGGCCGGACACCGCGGCCTACTATTCTATTTCTTTTGCCATTTTTTCTTCCTTTGGTGGGGGGAAGCCGGACCACCTTGCAGGTCTTCCCGTTACGAGTTTTCGTCGTGGCATGGCGATATTATACTAAAAAGGCGCGATAAGCAGAGAGCACTGGCGTGGGTTGCTTTTGCCGTTCGTTCTCTTCACCCGGCCGAAAACAGTAACCCCCCCTTGCCTCCCTTATCCGAACTAGGAGCCATCAATTTCACCAGTTCTACGAAGTACTCGAAAACGTGCTAGAAGTTCGGGTGGCTGTCGCGGAGGTGAAAAGAGAAACGATTCCCGAATTCTTTCTTTCAAAACCTGCCCGGTTGTTGATCTCCCCCTCGGACCCCATCCTCCTTCCTTCCCCGACTCCAACAAGTCACCCCACCAAATTCACCATTCTGCAGTGGAAACTTGGATCTCTCTTTGAACCTGCAGTGGCATCTTCGTCCAACCAAACCACTCTTTCCCGTTATTACTTTGCGTTACGGCATTGTATCACCGGTTACGAAACGGGGTTCGAAGTTTGGTGTTGTTGATGCCGATTCGGCCGGCGCATCAATTTCAAGATTCGGCAGCTCGCGCAACCATACAAAGTCATCGCCCAAACTTAAACGTCGACCCTCCTCGCCAACTTTTTAGTTTTATTATTTTCGACCCTCCGAACAGCAAAAAATTGTCAGGCCAAATCGACACTTCTTCCGACTCCTCGACCTCGTCGAGGTAAGTCTACAATATATGCAGTGCAACCACAACGTGAATCGCTAATCATCTCACTTCGTTCGCTATACAGGGACCAGCACAATGGCGACTCGATTTGAGATGCTGGATAAGCAACTCGACCGTTTGGAAAGGCTGTTTGCAAGGAAGAAGCGGGTCACGGAGTTTGACGATAACTCAGAAGTTGCAAGGAAGAGGCCTGCGACTCCAATCCCTTTCTCACCACGCTTCGACGCAACCTCAATGAGCTTTCCGCAACCCTCGTATATTCGGCCAACATCCTCCCGAATGATGGCGAGGGAAGAGATCTCCATGGCACCACAGTACATTCGGCGAGCTCGAAGCCTACCCGAGGCATCTAACACTCCCAGCCTGGGGGCCCCGGCACCTGAGAATGAAAGCACGACCGCTGTTGGCGACGTGCTCAGCGAATTTCCAGCTGTCCCATCGCGCCAGCCCTCAATCGCGGCCAGCATAGCCATGCGGTCGTCTTCAAGCTCCCCTCAGGCCCGCAGCGGTCGCCCATCACCAGAACTAATGGAGTTTACCTTCTCCCCATCATCAGCAGGTCCCGACAGCGACTCGTCCGCCACGGGACGACGCTCCAGGACCGGCACGAGGACACCCATTCGGACGCCTTCTGTCTCCCCGAAAGCTCAGTCTGGTCGGACACGGTACTTCACTGGTGCTCAAGAATCTCCGATTAGCCCGGCATCGTTGCAGCAGAAACTCATGCGTTCTCCGAAGTCTTCACTTCGGAAGTTACTGGCACCACCGCTTTCGGCCCGGCCCACTCTGTCGATCAGGACTAAGCTAGGTGATGATGGCAAGAATATCAACAGGTCTAGGAGTCTGTCGATATCGGGCGCCAATGCCAGGGATGCGAGTGAAGCTCTACGGAAATCCATCAGCCTTTCCAATCTCTTTGCTTTGGCGCCGTCGAATCCGGACACTGCGTCCTTCAAGGAACCCAGCCTGAATGATTTCCTTGCATTGAGCGACGACGACATCGCTGATGGTGAGAACACTTCGCGGGTTCAGCCTGCTAAATTAAACCCCCCTACCTTCGGGTTGCCTTCAAGTCCGTCGCCTACCGCCTCGCCGGTTCGGAGCAAGCCAGCTCACCCCCTCCTAACCCTCTCTCCGCCCTTGGCTAGCCGCCCGGCCGCCGCCGCCGCTTTTGAGGCTGCAAGGATCGCAACAAAGTACCAGTTCGACCTCGTCTACGTGGTCAACCTGTGGCCGAGCCACATGAGCCGGCCCAGCCATTCCTCACCCCTCAGCCGGTCCTGTGGCACACCTGTCGCAACCTCTTTCTCCACAGCCCCGACGCCATCCCCACCCGAATCTCCAGTCTCTCAGGTGTCTGAATATGACAGCAGCCATGACTCCCGAGCCCCGACTCCCCGCGATGTCCCGCGAAGTGGAATCACTGGGCGTTTGCTCGCCGCGTACGGCCTTACATCGCTTATGAACCCCTTCCGTATCTCCGCACCAGCCCATCAAAAGATGCTTCGCACGTCCGACTGGCTCAAGTATAACAATTACACCGGCATCAAAGACGAGTTCGCCTGCGGCTACGGTCGCTCTTTTTACACCGGGCACAGCGCCGCTAGGGGGAGCGACGCCCAACACACCACGACTGCACAGCATAAGAACCAGCCTGCCAACCGTGGCATCGTATTTGCTGCGTTCCGGGTGCCGCGTGAGGATGGAGAACCCATCAGTCTCAACCCCCAAGAGCTTGAGGAACTGCACCAGGATGCCCAGGCACTTGTCGATATGCTCATCGACATGCACATGACCCCTCGCCGGAGTCCCACTCCTATTTCGGCTACACCAAGCCGGAGTCACACTCCGATCCCAACACCAAGTCGATGCCGCACTCCCATCCCAGCAGCCTCGATCCGATGTGCTGCAATGGGTGTGAACACAGGGATGATGGGGCCAAGCACACCGCTGGTTACGGCTTAGAATGCGGACCAGCAGAGCATTTGAGTTCCCTCTCCCCGCGCGGAGTAAAGACACGGCATGGAAATACTACTCAGGGACCATCTCCGTCCGACAACGGCCGGAAGGGTACTTTACGCTCTCTATTATTATTTTTCTTTTCTTTTTTACGTCCTCTTCGCCGTCAGCACAGCAACGGCACCTTCAATCAAAGTAATGAGGCCTGGCCTGAGCAAAAGGTACTACGGCACATCAGGGACACATACCCGCGGATATATAAAAACAACTGCAACAGCCAGTGCAAAAGGGACGGACAGGTGGACGGGCGGCATTACTGATTTTGTTTCTCCTTTCTTTGCGCTCAAAACCGGTGCATCTTACATTTTACCCAGTGGCTCTCCGGGCTTATTATTTTCTTGCTACTTTGCACTCTCTAAAAACTTTTCTTTGTTCTGTACTTCCCACCCTTTTCGTTTTTCTTGACGAGCATATGAACGCAACGGATGGGGGATGACGAAAAGACCATGGGGATATTCCGAGGAATGGAGTTGGGTGATGGATGGAGTTGTTCTTGTGTGCGGTGAACAATTGGCTGGGTATGTATGTACTGTACAAGGACGGCAGGTCTGGGACAACAGCACCGGACGAAGGGATTGTCTGCAATGAGATATTGGAACTCCAATGAAACAAACATGCAAATGAATTTGGCCTTCAAAGTTTTGACCGTCTGCTTCGATTCTGTGATTCTCTTGAAACATTTCTGAGGATATGGTTGTCTTGTACTAACTAAGCTGATATTCGCCCAGTTCACAATGTCCGCGCTGCGCGCGCCTGTTTCTCAGACTGGGCAGCCCTCGGTAGTCCTTTTCTTGAAGACTTACATAAACGCTGGCTGATGAGCCATTAAATGACGTTGATAGAGAGGGTGAGGATTGGACGCCATAAGGTTGAACTACGTTGTGTTCGGACTGGCGGGCTTTCACCATACATACCCATTGAGATATCTAATCTGTAGGCTGATCTCCTCGCCCCTGGCAGCACGTTTGAGGCGGCCGGGAACTGTTCTACACGGGAACAATCTCTAGCTTTGCGTTCCCATTGAGACACTACCGGCTGCTGCTAGCCATCTCGCCTCATCGATTGTATTGCCACGCATCGTGACAGTGTTTCGGCTCACAGAAAGAGCAGGATTTTGAGAAATGTGGTCACGGAAGTTTAGGGATTGGTAAGCCGGCATGACGCCGGTCGGTCTCTGAGGCCGAGGCTCGACTGAAATTCAGACCGAGCAACGATTTGGAGCGAGGGTGAACCCGCCCAAAACGAAGAAGTTGCATTTACATGTCCCACCGACAGAAAGCACCCATGAAACCTGCCCAAGTGATGAATGACTACCCGCCCCCAGAGAGGCCGAAAAAAGGTGCTTGCAACTGAGCCCGAAAACTCCCCACTCCCTAAAATGCTCATGATTTTTTGTCTTGTTCCGTTGTCCAACCCATCGTATCCGTCCCGCATTTTTCATTTAGCGGACGATGGCGTCGAAGCGCTGCTTGAACCACCGGACGGTGTCGTCACGGTTGATGCGGTGGCTGGCACCGATTCTGGCCTTGGCACGACGACGGCGGGAGACACGCTCACCGGGGCGAGTCATGCAGCAGTAGAAGTCCATGCCGTAGATACCGATACCTGGGTCGTACTTGATGCCCAGGTCGATGTGCTCGCTGATACCGAAGCCGAAGTTGCCGGTCTCGCTGAAGTTGCGCTTGCGGAGCTCGTACTCCTTGACCTTGAGGCCACGCTCGAGAATCTCCTCGGCCTTGGGGCCACGGACGGTGACGTGCACGGCAATCTTTTCGTTACGGCGGATACCGAAGGTACGGACGGTGTAACGGGCCTTGCCTGGAAAATGGGGTGGTCAGTAAAACGGATTGAATTTTTTTGAGGGACGTAGATTGGAAAGACTCACTGTACACCGGGGTTTGACCGGAGAGCTGCTCCAGCACCTTGGCGGCACGAGTAAGTCTGTCACCAGACTCGCCGACGGAGATGTTGAGCACGAGCTTCTGGATGCGAAGCTCGCGCATGGGGTTTTGGGCCTTCTCGGACTTTTATCATGTTAGTGAGACTGAACCCGGCATGTTTTATGGGTGGTGGGATCTTACCATGGTGGCGGTGTTGTCGATTTCGGTGCTGGGCGACTCGTCGATGAACAAGATATTTCGAAAAGTGAGGTTGATTTTCGCTCCACGAATTTGAGATTGTGCGTGTGGGGCCTGGTTTGCCGGCCGGAATGAGAGTGTGGTGGGGGACAAGCCGTGGCGCCACCTTTGGCACTAATTGTGGCTCGAGGTTCATGTAAGATGTGGCTGCAGCGCCCAAGCTCCCTTCAGCCTCGCGCGTTCAAATTTCCAGGCCGTTTCTGCCTCCACCGCGCTCCCGATTCAACCATCCCGCGCGTCACTTTGAAGCCTCCACCGAGACCGAGAAGGGACCGCACCTGGCAAAGTCAAAGGATTTTGCCGCCCAAGCCCAATTTTTTGCAACCAAAACGCTACTCTGTAGCACCCGCCGCCAAGATGTCGGCGAGCAACAAGCAGGGCAAGATGGTGAGTATAACCTTCTCCCCGCCCACACCGCTGTGCAGGCTTGCGTGTTGACATTGAAAGACTGACAAGGCAAATTGCTCTTAGGCCGGTTACGTACGTACTATCCTCCCACGACAACTATCGACGCGACGACAGATGAAATGCTAACGAAGCCCCTAGATCAACTACCGGATGCGCGTGACGCTCAATGATGGCCGCCAGATGACGGGTCAGGTTAGTGTTGCCCAACCCAGTGTTGGCAAAACTGGGTTTTAGCATTCGTTAACTTTGGATCTAGATGCTCGCATTCGATAAGCACATGAACCTCGTCCTCGCCGATACCGAAGAGTTCCGCCGAAGTAAGCGCAAGCAGAACAAGCCGTCCGCCCCTGGTGCGTCGTCGTCCGCCACAGTTGTGGAGCAGGAAGAGAAGCGGACACTAGGCTTGACGATCGTCCGCGGTGCCCATATCGTTTCGCTCTCCGTCGAGTCGCCGCCCCCTGCCGATCCCAGTGCTCGCTTGGGCAAATCAACAGGAGCCGGCCTCACAACAGCACTTGCGGCGGGACCGGGTGTTGCACGGCCTGCTGGGCGGGGTGCGGCAGCTCCCATTTCCTTGGCCGGCCCTGCTGCTGGCGTTGGTGGTGGTGCCCCTCCTGCTTTCCCGGGCTTCCCTGGCGCGCCGGGTTTCCCCGGCCGTGGTGGTCGTGAGTACCATTCCCCAGCTACGTTTTCTTTTTCTGATTCTAACTCCTCGGCAGCTCCTCCACCTGGGTTCGGCGGTGGTTTCCCACCTGCCGGCTTCCCTGGTGCTCCCGGTTTCCCTCCTGGATTCCCGCCAGGTGGTGCCCCGCCGTCTGGCTTCAACCCGCCGCCGCGGAGATAAAGGCACAGTGTTAGGCCACAATGCCAACACAAAGACCACGCTTTGCCGTAGGCCTCACATCGAGCGCCCGCGGCAATTTACTTCATGCCACAAAGCTATGAGCTAGGCGAGACATATCTGCCCGGATTTATGGAGATTGGCTGGTTTGGGCGGCGTTCAGGGGTTCATGAAAACTGCGATTTTAGAGCAGGTCGCAGCCTGTTGTTCTAGCCATGGCATGAGGCGGCGATGATACTTCTCCAATTAGCCCAATGAGCGATAATAGAAGACGCCTGCCACCTTGAGGACTTGTCATTGGTTCTCTTCACAACCTAACTATTTGCTATTGTTCCGAGACGTTTGCGTTCGGGCGTGACGCAGACCCGACACATGTATAAGTGGTCCGTGCGCAGAAATCCGGACCCCCAAATTTCTTTGCAAAAGTGCTGGCCATGCAGATCCGATTTCGTCGCTAAACCCATCCACCGATCTCCAATTAATTCCACAACGCATCGTGACCGCGACGAGGGCCCAGCACCAACGCCAAACTCGCAGCACCGCCATCAAAATGGCCGCCTTCGTAAAAGCTGTCAACGCCAAGATCCGGGCACACCCCGTCCTGAACTATGTCTGCTCGACACGTGAGTCCCTGCCTTAAATCCCCTCCGCCGGTCTTCCCGCCAAGTATCGGCCGGCGATCGGACAAAATTGTCCGATATGGCCGGATTGTCCATCCATTCCGAACCGCAGCCCTTTCAACGACGGAGGTTATCCTTTGAGCAGGCCGTATAACATGGAACTGTTCCGGACCTTGTTCTACGAGTCGTTGATAACTTGGAGGTTGCGTTGACTGCACCTTATTGGAGTTGCGGGACTTGGGCCGAGCTTTGCGACTCCTGGTGGTCAACTGGACGGAGCCACAACATTTGCCTGACCTTGCCTTATGGTTTACTGACCAGCTCCTTCGAAATAGATTTCTGGGGCCCTGTCTCCAACTTCGGTATTCCCGTCGCCGCCGTCATGGACACCCAGAAGAGCCCAGACCTGTACGTTTTGACCTCCACCGGCCCTACACCTACCTAACTTCCGCCTATCTCTCCCCTTTCCCCTCATCGATACACGCCAGCAGCACATTCTCCCCTTCTGCCGGTTCGGTGTCACGGTAGCTAACCCATCCCCTTTCTCTCTCTCACAGTATCTCGGGCCCCATGACCGGCGCACTCTGCATCTACTCAGCGACCTTCATGCGCTACGCGCTCGCCGTGACGCCGCAGAATTATCTGCTCTTCCTATGCCACTTTGTCAACGAAGGTGCGCAGCTCACGCAGGGGTACCGCTACCTGCAGTGGACACGATGGGGTGGCAAGGAGCAGGCGTCGCTGTCTGGAGCTGTTGAAGCTGGCAAGGGGAAGGTGGGTGAGATTGAGGGGAAGCTGAAGGAGTTGGCGAAGAAATAAAGGGGATGTTGAGTGGATGGGGGAAACGAAATGAGATGGAGGGAAATACAGAAAATAACGCGGTTTAAGGGGGGTTGGGGACACTCAGGACGGCAGTGGGGGTTCCGTTGCCAGACGACAGGGTTTGTTGACAAGGCTCTTGTTGACAATGCTTGCCCGTGTTGGTGGCGGGTATGAGGGGATTATATGAAGATGTGCTGGGGAGGAACGAAGGTGCCATGGATGGGTTGGTGGTTGGTTGGCTAGTTTCGAGAGGGGTGGGTGATGCAGCGGATCCCCTCACTGGTGGTGGAGGGAATTCATGGGTGAGCTTACCCCCCCTTGGCCTAGGGATCTAATCCTAGAAATGCGGGCATGAGAGCAAGGCGCCGCAAGTTGAAAGGAATCTATAGATGATGTGCATGACGGGGCGGCTGTAAGATTCAAGCGCGGCGCGCCGAGCGGGGAATTGCCTTTAGCGTAAAGGCGTTAGGTTCAACAAGGTCGAGAGACAAGTGTGGCATGCCCATGTCCTCTTAGTGATGTGATAAGTGTGCGTGGTTGTATCAACCACTCTTGTTGGATGGTTTCGTTCGCTGGCGGCACGGATGGTGCCAACATCCGGGGAACTTTGACTCCAACCTTCGGTTTCTTTCTCGGGATAAGCAAGAAAAGATAGCTGTTAATTCGGAGACCGAAGGAGTAAATGTGGGAGGGGTGTAATTGGTGCGAACCGGTGAGTGACCAGCAGATCAAGCTGTCTGTGTTGCCGCCAAGCGTCGAGATTTGGGCTTGCGTTGCTCAAACCGACGCGGCTTTCAATCAAGAGATTCAAACGGCCGAACCCTATCCGTGCGAATGCCGTTTTGTGCCTGGCTGCCGCTGTGTCGAGCCTCCCTTTGGTTCGGCGACTTTCTTGATTCTCTTGGCTTGCCTAGTGATCCCCCGGGAGGAGCCTAAAGAGAGATCTCATCTCTTGGCAAGAGTCCCTTGACTCTTTTTGTATGTGCGTGGACATTGGCTCTCTTGTAACTGAACAACTCAGCCGAGACAACGACTCACCAATCCCACTCAAGAGAGTTGATGAAGAATCGAATAACGAAAAAAAAACTTAAGACACAGTTTTGCCAAGGCGCCCACCCGCCGGACCGATTATCTTTCTCTTCTTTCATTTTCTCTCTGGCCAGATCATCTCAAGCCCTCAACCCCCCCAAAGAGGTAAGAAAGACGACTTTAGTTTTCCTCCGGCGCCGGCGGCCGGCGCTTGGCAAGGGCCTTGCTGGCTCAAGAAGACTTCCCGACTCTCCGAGCTTGCCGTGGGGGTCCCTTTTGACACGCCCACCATGCCAATTGCTGAACGAGATGATCCTTGCCAGGGGCGGGCGGGCGACAGACAGAGGACTCCCCCTCACTTCTCACCCTAGTTCGGCGGTAACGTTCGTTCCAACCTGTCACGGTATTGTCTGTATGTCTCCGGCGAGGCATATGCAACCTTGCATGCTGTCCTACGACTTGGGGTAGATTCGCGAGGTTCAGCCGCCCTTTCACCCAACCGTTTACGGGTCGGCTGCAGTACGTAACAGATTAAGTTTGGTTCTGGCTTTTCCTGATGTGGAAGAGTATGGTATCACTGGGAGGGTCCCGTGACTGTTAGTCCGTTGCGTTGGAGTGTGTGAGCCCGCACTTGGGAGCGATGGCGTCGATGTGCGCTGGATGCGCTTCAATAAAATCACGCATGGCTGGGGAATGCGCGGCGAAAGAGGGCAAAAAAAGATAGGGCGGGGAAATACCGATGCACGACGTCCTGTGCAGTTGTGATGCGACAAGAGGTTCTGATCCGTCTTGGCGGGTTGGTATTCAGCGCATTCCATTGAGTACGAAACCGAAACGCCATGCTTGGCGACCGGAGAGAACGAGATGCGCATGTCTCAACTCTCAGATCCGGATGCACGAGCTTTGCCCCAGACCGGGACAGTTTTGGGAAACCATGCAGCTCCGCAATCTAGTCCCAGGCATGGAAACGGCACGGATAGGCTCGCCAATGGCGGGGTGGTGACGAGGTGCCTGGCTGCGGCTGCCGCTGGTCAATAACCCCCCCATGAGGTGTGTTGGTGAAACGCGTCGACCGGCAGCCCGGATGCATGAAGGATGAGGCCGGTGTTTGGTTTGTCCCATGATTTTGGAGACCGCGGATTGACGAGATCTGACCGGTTTCCAAGATTCCAAAAGATCAACTGGACGGACTTTACCCTCGGCTCAACGAAAACGCCGGGCCACACATTCATCTTCAAAGCCGAAGGAGCGCCTAGGTTGTGCTCACTGCTCACCCGGCCGTCGGCTACTGCGGCATTGGCACGGTTGCGGCTAGCCTCCAACATCGGGAAAGCTGTAAGATGATCACGAACAGAGTGGTGGATTTCTGGTCAGCGTGGTAGTGGTGATGGTGGTGGTCGGCCGTGTCCTCGCAGTCTGAAAACGACCAGGGGGGCTAGGAGCGGCTTTCCGGGGATGTGTGTCCATCCCACCACACTACGTAGAAAGCTCCGTGGGAGGATGGGGGTTGTCTTGTTGACTTTAGCAAAACGACTTAGAAACGGGTCTGGTTTGGTTGGTTGCTCAACAACTCCGGAAGAGCTGGGTGCCAAGCTCCCGCAAGGTAGGAGCGGGGCATCAGGATGGGAGCGGTATCTTGCGTCAGCTTGTCAGATAGAAGGTTGTGACGGCACGAGGCGTTTCGTCGCGCCTGAGCTCGGGCTCGTCGGCTAGGTTGTGTCCTGCATCCTCACAAACATCCCGAAGGTAAAGCCTAGAAAAAGTGGGAAGCCGGATTTTTTTTTCTGTTGCGATGGCATGTGCAAGAAGCACGCTTGTCATTGAGCACCATTGGTGAGCCCCCACTAAGGCCGCTCCGATTACCGGCCTCCAATTGGCGGGCAACACTGTAATTTTTTCTCCAATGAGGCTTGTCGAACAAGGCTGGGCTAGAACGTTACGCGAGCATCCATGCCACTGAGCTGGACCACATCGCTATCATCAAAATACTCTCGCTGTCATGGGGGGGACAAAGAGATTGACCACTGACCGGTCACCGACACCTTGGCTGGTTCATCGATTGTCAACCATTTGAATGAGAGGGGGATGCCGGGTCGTCCGGGGGGGTGGATGTGTAGCATGGGCGCCGCCACGCTGATGCTTGTATTTCATCGTCCAAAGCTTATCTCCATGCCACCTCCACCGAATCATGATGCTCGACTTCCAGCCATGGATGCTTGGCAAGACATCTTATAGTAACTATTTTTCGCCCAACTCTTCAAAGGAACTCATACACAAGGCACCTGGCGCGGGGCCTTGGTCATGGGACCCACGGGAATGGCTCTGGTTGTTCCCGTTCCTGGGCATGGACGAAGGAACGATGTGGGACAGGAGGTGACAGGAGTCCGGAAATCCGCTCAGCACACACCCCTGGCCGGCCGGGCCATGCTTCACCCTGGGTGTTCGCCTTGAACGTCCGTTGTGCCTGCCCAAATGCCCCTCCTCTGTTCGACTCCTTCCTCACAACCCCTCCGGGGCCTCTTGCGTCGGATCTATGAAGTCCCCTGCCCCTACCCCCGGTCTTGTCTCTGCCAAGCTGGCAAGCGGCTGCCGGGCATCCCGCTACACTAGGTAGAAGCTCGATGAGGAATTTTTTCCTTCGTTACCGCGTAGTGTAATTACCTGTCTTGGGAGAAGCTGGACGACCCCACCATCGCGTTCTACCCCGCCGTCACCGTCATGCCCCTGTCTGGCCGTTCCGGAACTTAGCTCGCAGCCACCCCACCATTTCCCATCCCCATCAACTGCTGCTCTTTAAGTCTTGCGCACCCACTCGTCTGTTGGCGCCCCTCTTTGTTTCTCTCCTTCTTCTTCCTGCAAACCGACCGCCAAATCAGACACCAATTGACCCAGGATGGCGTCCAACAAGCCAGTGAGCAACTACGATGAGGACGTCTTCGAGGAGGAGGATGCCCCCAAGGAGGCCCAGACGGTCCACCACATCCGGGCCAACTCGACTATCATGCAACTGAACAAAATCTTGGGTGAGTCCGTCTTGGCGGCGCTGAGGGTGTTGGGATGCTGGGGGCTTCACCAAGTTTCCATCCCCTAGTCCACCGGGCAGAGTTCCCCTGCTACATGGGGGCACGGAAAGAAGTCGTTTGCTAATGCGGGCATTGCTTTGATCCCTGACAGTTGCCAACCGCGGTGAAATTCGTAAGTGAAGCCTACCCCTTCTTCCACCAGCTTGCCCCTGAATGCTAACGTATGGGTGCTAGCTATTCGTGTACGAGCGCTTCCAACTTGACTCCGACCTCCGACGATGTTGAACATGTCCGGCTCACATAAATTCCACCACACAGATCTTTAGGACGGTGAGTCACACCAAGGCTTGGGGAGGGACGGAGCAACGGGGGACATGATCCAGGCCCCCCGTTCTTCTACACTCGATATCGCGCTAACACGCTACGTGCAGGCCCACGAGCTCTCGCTGCATACCATTGCTGTTTTTAGGTGATTACCGACCTTCACAGTCTCACGGCTCCCGCTAACTGTTCAGTTATGAGGACCGTCTTTCGATGCACAGGCAGAGTACGCTTTCCGCCTAACCCCAATCTCCTTCTTTAGTTTGGGTTGCGAGAATCGCCCGCTGACGAAGGGGATGATACAGAGGCCGACGAGGCGTATGTCATCGGCAAGCGCGGGCAATATACACCTGTTGGTGCCTACCTCGCCGGTGATGAAATCATCAAGATCGCCGTCGAGCATGGCGCTCAGATGATCCACCCTGGTAGGCTGCTCACACTAGAATATATGATTGATACCGCCGTTAACACGGACTAGGTTACGGTTTCCTCTCTGAGAACGCGGAGTTCGCTCGCAAGGTCGAGAAGGCTGGTCTTATCGTGAGTATTGCCGGTGCTTTTGTCTATATTACCAACCCGGATATCAATCATACTCACCATCTCTCAATTAGTTCATTGGGCCCTCTCCCGACGTCATTGATGCCCTCGGAGACAAGGTCTCGGCCAGGAAGATTGCCATTGCGGCTAAAGTCCCCGTTGTCCCCGGAACTGCGGGTGCCGTTGAGACGTTCGAGGAGGTCAAGAAGTTTACCGACGAATATGGCTTCCCAGTCATTATCAAGGCTGCCTATGGTGGTGGCGGTCGTGGCATGCGTGTCGTGCGCGATGAGTCTAGCCTCCAGGAGTCTTTTGAGCGTGCCACCTCTGAGGCCAAGAGTGCCTTCGGTAACGGCACCGTCTTCGTCGAGCGTTTCCTTGACCGCCCCAAGCACATTGAGGTCCAGCTCCTCGGTGACAACCACGGCAACATTGTCCACCTGTACGAGCGTGATTGCTCCGTGCAGCGCAGGCACCAGAAGGTTGTTGAGATTGCGCCGGCCAAGGACCTCCCTAGTGAGGTGCGGGATGCTATGCTGAACGACGCCGTTAAGCTGGCTAAGTCCGTGGGACTGAGTAAGTGGAAAGGCTGGAGAGCAACATACATGTTTCTTGACGGCATTGACTGACACATGGAAGGGAACGCATCGACTGCCGAGTTCCTCGTCGACCAACAGAACCGCTACTATTTCATTGAGGTCAACCCTCGTATCCAAGTCGGTATGTGAAGCATTTCCCATTGGCATATACTAACCACCGACGGTGCCCGATCCTTGCTAATATCCGCACCACAGAGCACACCATTACCGAGGAGATCACCGGTATTGATATCGTGGCCGCCCAGATCCAAATCGCCGCTGGCGCAACTCTGGAGCAGCTCGGCCTTACCCAGGACAGGATCACCACCCGTGGATTCTGCATCCAGACCAGAATTACAACGTACGCCGAGGTTTACTCCCACTCTAATTTAGGCAGGTAAAGCTGACGTTGTACGATAGTGAGGATCCGGCCAAGAACTTCCAGCCCGACACTGGCAAGATCGAAGTGTACCGTATGTTCCTCCTTTTCTTCCATTGTCCTAGCCTCCTCCGCCTGGAATACTAACAAAATATATAGGTTCCGCTGGTGGAAACGGTGTCCGTTTGGACGGTGGTAACGGGTTCGCTGGCGCTGTCATCACTCGTAAGTTCCTTGAAACTTCTAAGTCTTTGGTTGGTGACCGCATGCTAACTTTTGACAGCCCACTACGACTCCATGTTGGTCAAGGTCATCGCTTCCGGCTCGACATACGAGATCGCCCGGCGCAAGATTCTCCGTGCTCTGATCGAGTTCAGAATTCGCGGCGTGAAGACCAACATCCCCTTCTTGTGCTCACTCCTCACACACCCGACCTTCATCGAGGGCAAGTGCTGGACGCAGTTCATCGACGAGACGCCCGAGCTTTTCGACCTGGTCGGGAGCCAGAACCGTGCCCAGAAGCTACTCGCGTACCTCGGTGACCTTGCCGTCAACGGGAGCAGCATCAAGGGCCAGGTTGGCGAGCCTAAGTTCAGGGGGGATATCATTATCCCCGAGCTGTTTGATGATGCTGGAAACAAGATCGATACCTCGCAGCCCTCCACCAAGGGCTGGCGCCAGATCATCGTGGACCAGGGACCCAAGGCCTTTGCGAAAGCGATCCGTGATTACAAGGGCTGCCTTCTCATGGATACCACCTGGCGTGATGCTCACCAGTCTCTTCTCGCCACCCGTGTGCGGACGGTTGACCTGTTGAACATTGCCAAGGAGACCAGCCACGCTCTTCACAACCTGTACAGTTTGGAATGCTGGGGTGGTGCGACCTTCGATGTTGCGATGCGCTTCCTCTATGAGGACCCGTGGGACCGTCTCCGCCGGATGCGCAAGCTTATTCCCAACATTCCCTTCCAAATGCTTTTGCGCGGTGCCAACGGTGTCGCCTACGCCTCGCTTCCCGACAACGCCATTTACCACTTCGTCGAGCAGGCCAAGAAGAACGGTGTCGACATCTTCCGTGTGTTCGATGCTCTGAACGACATCCACCAACTCGAGGTGGGTATCAAGGCTGTCCAGAAGGCTGGCGGTGTCTGCGAGGGTACCGTTTGCTACAGCGGTGACATGTTGAACCCAACCAAGAAGTACAACCTGGAGTACTACTTGAAGCTGGTTGATGAGCTTGTTGCTCTTGACATTGATGTCCTGGGCATCAAGGATATGGCTGGTGTTCTCAAGCCTCATGCCGCCACTCTCCTCATCGGCGCTATCCGCAAGAAGTACCCTGACCTGCCCATCCACGTTCACACTCACGACTCGGCTGGTACTGGTGTTGCTTCTATGGTTGCTTGCGCCATGGCTGGCGCGGATGCTGTCGATGCTGCCACCGACAGCCTGTCTGGTATGACATCGCAGCCCAGCATCAACGCCATCATCGCTTCGCTCGACGGCACCGACAAGGATCCTGGCCTCAACCCTCACCATGTCCGCGCTCTAGACACCTACTGGTCTCAGCTTCGTCTCCTATACTCGCCTTTCGAGGCTCACCTTGCCGGCCCCGACCCGGAGGTGTACGAGCACGAGATCCCCGGCGGTCAGCTCACCAACATGATGTTCCAGGCTTCCCAGCTTGGTCTCGGATCCCAGTGGCTCGAGACCAAGAAGGCGTACGAGCACGCTAACGATCTCCTTGGCGACATTGTCAAGGTCACACCCACCTCCAAGGTCGTTGGTGACCTTGCTCAGTTCATGGTCTCCAACAAGCTGTCGCCGGAGGACGTTAAGGCTCGCGCTGCCGAGCTTGACTTCCCCGGCTCCGTCCTTGAGTTCTTTGAGGGCATGATGGGCCAGCCGTACGGTGGTTTCCCCGAGCCGCTGCGCACTAACGCCCTCCGTGGCCGTCGCAAGCTGGACCAGCGCCCTGGTCTTTCCCTGCCGCCCGTGGACTTTGCCAAGGTCAAGAAAGAGCTCTCTCGCAAGTTCGGTGGTCCCCTTACCGAGACCGATATCGCGAGCTATATCATGTACCCCAAGGTCTTTGAGGAGTACAAGCAGTTTGTGACCAAATACGGCGACCTCTCGGTCCTGCCGACCAAGTACTTCCTTTCCAAGCCTGAGATTGGCGAGGAGTTCCACGTCGAGCTCGAGAAGGGCAAGGTTCTCATCCTTAAGCTCCTCGCCGTTGGCCCGCTCTCCGAGAACACTGGCCAGCGTGAGGTGTTCTACGAGATGAACGGTGAGGTCCGCCAGGTCACCGTTGACGACAAGATGGCTGCCGTTGAGAATGTCAGCCGTCCGAAGGCCGATCCCACCGACACGAGCCAGGTCGGCGCCCCCATGGCCGGTGTGCTGGTCGAGCTGCGTGTGCACGATGGCACTGAGGTCAAGAAGGGCGACCCGCTTGCTGTGTTGAGCGCCATGAAGATGGTATGTTGTTACCTTTGACCTTGCATCAAGCATTTCACGATCCAGTCTTTTTGGTAACTAATGACAAATAGGAAATGGTCATCTCCGCTCCCCACAACGGCGTTGTTTCCCAACTTGCCGTGCGCGAAGGTGACTCAGTCGACGGCTCGGACCTCGTGTGCCGTATCACCAAGGCCGACGCCAAATGAGTGGGTGGGCTATGATGGCGGCTGCTATCTTAAGCAGCACCCGTAACCCTCCGCCCCGCTATACCCCCCTTTCCAACGCCGACGACGCAAAAGGGGCCGGTCGAGCGGTCATCCCGACGCCGCGCTGCTCCGCCCTGTCCCCAAAAGAACCGCAATTCCCAACAATATCATATCCTGCTATGTAGCACTTAGCAACTTAGACAAGTATGAGATATGGACATGGATCAAAACACAAAGGGGGAGTAGAAAAGGGGTAGGGTGCTAGGACGGGGGATGGTGAAAAAACACCTATTGGACACAGATCATACAAAGATTCTGTCTCCGGTACGGAGCCCAAGCCAAATAAGGGGGGGAAGGGTAATATACGGGACACGACCCCCCTAGAACGGGAAAGGAGGAGGATGTGTGCATTTGGTTGCTCTTCTGTTTTCTTTTTGCGTTTGGGAGGGTCAATTAAATCATCGTGATCGATCGATCGATAAATCCAGTATTGGATATGACTTTTCGTTAGATTAGGCTATTCATACTTGGTTCATATGCTGTGTCTTTCTGTTGGATGGTTGGCGAGTGACTGTGTGATGATATCCCAAAGTTTGTCTTCGTATTTTGAACCTACTTGTGCGGTGACCGTCGTAGTCTTGAAGGGGTGATCGTGAGTAGACTAGGTCTTGCTACGAGGGGCACGGTCGGGACGGAGAATTGTTATCCCATTTTAAGGGCGGTTGGCATCGTCACGAAGATATCACAGAGAGCGGGGCGGAAAACGTAAGCGAAGAAGCAACAATCTTGAAAGCAAAGTTATCATACACATGTTGTACTTAACACAGGGGAAAGACATAATGATAAATGGCTCCTCCCCCGCTTTTTTCCCCCTTTCCTCCCCCCTTATCCATCCATCCATCATAGCCAGTACACGCGACAGAGATGTGGAAGCAGGCGGCAGAAGAAAAAGAGAAGACAAAAAAAGAAACCCCCACCTCCCCAGCGCCCCAAACACGATCCCGTCGCAATCAGCTCCAAGATGAAAAGAAAGAGATAACGACGTCGGCCTGCCCCAACTAGCCAGTCAAGCCTAGCCACCATGTTCCCCAGCAAGCACACGCACCCCCTTCCAGAAGAGACCAGGGAAATCCATCCTTCACGCCCTAACCCCCTTTTGTTAGATCTAATTCATGCTGCTTCATTCCTTTTCTTCAGATCTTGTGTCACAGCGCCCATTGCGAGTGCCAAACATGTAATATCCATGGACTGCTATTGCTGTTTCTGTTGTTGTTTCCCCCACTTTTATCACCACCACTGGCCCCGAGCGTCCCTCGGGGGTGGGACAGCCCAACCGAGGTCCAACACTTTGACGGGCCGCCCTGGCATCTGGTTGAAATCGGGTGATTCAAAGGGGTAGAACCAACGCTGCTGGCTTGGATCGAAGAGGCAAGGGCGCTCAAACACCACGGGGACAACCTTCTAGAAGCCGTAGCCGGTTGGCTGGGGCGCGAAGCCGTTGGTTTGCATGTAGGGGGCGGGCGAAGGGGCGCCGCTGACACCGCCGCCGGGACCGGCCGTGATCATGAGGCGGTTGCCGCCCAGGATGGGTGTGTTGTCCTCCACCTTCTCCTGCTCCTTCTCCTTGGCCTTGCGGGCCTCGTTGTCGGCCTTGAGCGCGGCCATCTCCTTTGTCTGTTGGCAGAGAAGGTTGATCATGAAGGGCATGGTGAAGTCGTTGAGGCCGTTGCGCCACGACAGCTCGAGAACCAGGTCGGGGCGGATGAGGTCGTAGCATGCGTACAGCATGCCCACATAGCACTCGCGGTTACCAACGTCGACAAACTATCTCAGTGTTAGTACAGGTGACGAAGGGAACAAAACATGTTGAGACTTACGTAGCGGAGCAGCTCCTCGACGATATCAGGCTTGCCCGAGATCGCCGCGGTCTCGATAGCGTCCTTCCACAACTTGTCTTGTTTAGACAGGTTGATGGATTTCTCCCACCGCTTGTTCTTGCGGTAGATGCTGGCGGCAATTTGGCGGAAGAACACCAGGTCGTGCTTCTCAAGGCGGCCAGCGAGGTCGACGGCGTCGTAGTTGTCATAGTTCTCGACCGAGTCGCGGAGTGTCTTGTAGTCCTCTTCCTCAATGAGCAGGTCGTTGATGGCATCGTTGACGGTGCGCTTGTTTTGCGACTGCACATTGAGCAGGAAGGGCTTGATGAGCGGCAAGTTATCCGACTTCTGGAACAGACGGACCACGCGATTGACGTCGATCCGGGGGGTCAGAACCTGCAGAAGATCGGTGAGAAGCGAGGGATGCTGCTCGAGGTAAAAGTTGATGGCCTTGTAGTACATCTCGAGATTGGCAACCTTGACCGTTATCTCCTTGAATTGTTGGTGTTCCCAGGAGTTTTCTGGCCGCTCCATGACGGCGAGCGCGGCGTTGTCGAATTCATCGTAGTGGTAATAACAAAATACCAGCTCAGGCCACAGGTTGGCCTCCTCGCAGGCACGGATCATCTTCGGCAGGTTCATCCTGCTCCAGAAAAGCTTGAGATGCTCCATCAGCCGTTCGGGGTGGTATTTGGCAAGGGCAATACCGAGTTCGGTGAACATGCCCATGTGGGCGCGCTCAAGGCCGAGACCTTGCTCAAGGAGGTTGATGAGCTCGTCAAAGTAGCCCTCGCGCTCGTATTGCTTGACAAGAGCCTGCAGCTGCTCTGCGTCGACAATGAGGTTGAGACCGCAGATCTGGGCAAGGCGGAACTCCTTCTTGCCAACACAGGCCTCGTGAACCTCCTTCCAGACCTTAATGTTGTTGGCCTTGCGAGCACAGTCCACAGCGGCTTGGTAGTCAGAGAGGTGGACCAACGTGGTGGCGAGCTTAGCCCAGTTCGAGATGCTGGTGTAGAAGATCTTGGCCGCTTCAAAGAAGCCTTCCGCATAGGCCTTGTCTCCCGACTCCTCGATGTTAGCGACGTTTGTGGCCCGCAGGAAGTCTTCCAGCTCCGGCAGCTGGTCAAGGCGGGCATAGCAGAAGGCAAGAGCCGTGTCGATCGCGGGCTCGCGAAGCGTCTTGCGAGCCATCCGGAGGAACTTGATCAGCTCCTCGTTCTTGCCAGCCGTCACCGCAATCTCAATGACTTCCTCGTAATTCTTGGGATCCTCGGCCTTGATGTATGAGTCGATCGAGTCGCTAACTCGAAGCCCATCAAGCTGAGCCTTAGCCACCTTGCTCCAGACCTGAGGAATGTCAACCTCCTCAGCGTAGGCTTGGGCACGATCGATGCTGACGACGTGCTCGACCAGAACATTGACCGCTGCCTCCTTGTTGTCGATCTTCTTGTAGACCTCGAACGCCTCCTCATGCAGGCCGACTTCAATGCACACATTGGAAATTTCATCCGACGAGAAGTTGTCAAGGCGGTGGATGTAGTCCATGACACGGGCCTTGTCCGCCTTGGCGGCAGTGAACAGGAGAAGGTTCTGAAGGTTTTGGTTGTCGCTGAACGGCGACGGCTCGAGCACAATCTTCTCTAAAAGCTCGATCAGCTCGGCAGGAAGATCGGCATTCAGGAAGCACGACACGGCCTCGGAAACCTTGGCAGGATCCGTCGACTCAGGAACCGCAGTGGAGATGACCTGGTCGACAACGGAGCGGCGGTGGAGGTTGTTCTCGCTCAGGACGAACATCCAAAGCTCACGATCCGAACGCTCGAGGAGATACCTGGCCTGGGCCTTGTACATGGCGTTCTCGTTGGTGATGTTCACCAGCTCAAGGTCGTTCTGGCCCTTGCGGTAGGCAATGTAAGCCAGGTTGGGATCCCGCTTCTCACAGTACTTGCCAACGGTGAGAGTATCATACTGGTCGTTCTCCTTAAGGAACTTCTCCGGATTGTTGTTCGAGTCAATGTAGATCTTCGCCAAGGCGTTGTACACGGCCTGCTGTTGGTTGCCAGCAGCCAGCGTAGCCTCAAGGAAAGGCAGAAGCAGCTTGAGACGGTTACGCGTCTCGACTTCCTGGACCAGCTCATCGATGGGGATCGACGCGGGGTTGACGGTAGAAAGGAGATTCTTGATGATGTTTTCGTCGCAATCAACGTCCAACAGACCGCCAATAACACCGGGGGTTCTGGAAGGGTTGACCTGCTGGACATAGACCTCGATGGACTTGAACTGTTGATGTTGGTAAAGGTAAAGCACCAAGTCGTGCACAAAGTTGTAGCGGTCGCATACAACCATAAGCGGCAGCATCTCGCTGAGTTTGGCCTCCTTGAGGAAGTTCTTGACCTTTTCCGGGTTGTAGACGTTGTTGTCACGGCAGATGCGCTCAACCTCGCGGATCTGGCCCATCTTGGTGGCAGCCTCAACGTACTTGAAGACGACCTCGGGGTCCTCGCTGACATTGACGATACTCCCCAGGAAGTAGTAAAGTCCCTCGGCGGTCTTGTACTTCTCGAAAAGGTCGATCAAACGCTGGGCGCCGAGAAGCTCCGCGTACTTGGTGGCGATTTGGACGACTGACTGCAAGTTCTGACGGATGTTGTGCTTCATCATGGCGTCGAGGCAGTCAATCGACTGCTCAACGGAGAGACGGCCAAAGTATTCGATGAGCCACTCGGCGTTGAAGTTGGGCGAGCCGGGGATGTTGACAACGACTCTCTTGACGGCGGCGGGATCTTCATACAGATCCAAAGCCTTCTGCAAGAGCCCAGCTTGTTCACACAGGGTCGCGATGCGGCTCTTGTCAAAGTGGGAGAACATATCATTACCGAGAATCGCATCGGCGACCTGAGGAGCATTGATGAGGTTCATCTCCAACAGGCGGGTCTGAAGGTGGCCTTGCTCGGGCTTGTTGTCCTTAAGAGCATCCAGGAGGAAAGCTGTGGCCTGTTGGACCATGCCTTGCGACTGGAAGATATCAACGACCCGTTCGAGATCGACAAGAGAACCGCCCTCATGGTTGGCCAGAGATGTGGCAAACTCGGCACCCTTCTCCGGGTTGACACGGACGATATGCTGAAGGAGCTGAACAAAGTCGGGCTGGTAGCTCGTCTGAGCGCAGTAGGGCAAGATCTTCTCGAATTGGCCGGTCTCGGCAAAGCCAGCGACCACCTTGTGAGGCACATTCGCTTTCAGGTAAATGGCCAGCGCCATCGCCATGTCGTGGGGACGAACCATGTCGCCAAAGGCTTCGGAGCACTCAAGTTTGTTCTCGCCGAGCCACTTTTGTAGCAGCTGCTTGCGGTTCTGGGCGAGCACGGGCTGGGCCAATTCGATCGTCTCGTGCTGGTTGAGCGACCCCTTGTCGAGCAACAGGCCGAAATACTGGAGAATGTTGGACATCTGCCCTGGTTGCGCCGGGAGCCGCTTGAATCGCTCAATGGTTTGCGGCGTTCGTAGGAAACCACGGGGAGAGTTGGCGGCGACCTTGGCGGCCTCCTGGTAGTTTCCGTTGGAGAAAAGTTGCTCGAAGCGCTGCTGGTAAAGGTTGTCGGCGCCTGGGAGACCAGCCCGCGAGGCGAGTTTGAGGGCCAGCTCGGTGCCGTGGCTCTCCATCACGTACTGCACGATCGTGTTCTCATCGGCGCTGACGAAGAGAACCTGGCCCTTGCGGTTGATACCAAGCACACCACTCGAGTCTTTGTCGCCGCAGGCTGTGAAGATGGTCTCCCCAGAAATACGGTTCATGAAGATGCATGTCGCACTCTCCAGATCGTAGAGGTGGATGAAGCCGTACTTGGTGATTAGGTAGATGATCCCGTACTTCTGGGAGACCTGAAGCGCAACCGGGAAGTCGCTGGCGGCTTCTGGCGGGAAGAAGACGTCGACAGCCTTCTTGGGGAATGTGGGGTTCGTCTCGGCGTGGTCGACCTCAACGATGTGCAGCTTCGCGCCGACGGCGGTTCGTACGGCGAATGTGAAAAGCTTAGTGTCCTCGGGAGCACCGTCCAGCCGGATCGTACCGAAAGCGGCGGCATGACCTTCGATTGCCTGGCTGATGCCGCGATCTTTCGAGTATAGCTGCATGGCACCAACGACGCGCCCTTGTTGTTGAGAGATGCCAACCACGGCCATCCATTTACCGTCTGCGCTGGTGCGGTAGTTGATGATCTGGTTGCCCTGCAGGGTGTTAGCGGCCACCTGCAGTCACTCGGTGTTTTTTAAGCAGGAATCCAATGCTTAATACATACCTGGAGGTTGCTGTTGCGGTCAAACACCTTGACGGGCGCCGCCTGGGCGGGGTCAAAAACATCCCAATGGTAAACGGCCGTGTCTGTGACCAAACCAAGGGTGGTTTCGCTTGTCCACTTCCAGAAGGCAACATCCTCACTCATGGTGGTAGACTTGAGCTTCTGCTTCTGCTCCAAATCGAAGATTTGAAGTGTCCTAGATTGGGCCTTCAGGGCAATAACTTGGCGGGACCAGTGCATAATTGCGCTGTCGGCCTTGATGGGCCGTCGGATGACGTTATTGCCATTCTTGAGATCGACGATAAGGACTTCGGGGGACGACGACTCGTCTTTCTTGTCTCGCAAGCAAATGTAGGAGTCTGATTCTAGAGTCTATGGTAGTCGTCAGTGGATGTTCGAAGCGGATGGCTAAAGCGTGTGGTAATTTGGGGTGAACCGTACACAGGTGTTGAATGTGATTGCCGTTTGGTTGACGCCCAGGCTGCTGAGTTGGAGCAGCTCCTGGAACTTAATTGGCAATGCCGGCGCCATAATGTATGTGATGCGCTCGATTGCGCGGAGTTAATGGCGAGCAGCAGCCAACTTGCCAAACCTGCTGTGTTGTAGTTGATAGTCGAAAGGCCGGGGGAATCGTCGTGACGTTTCGTTGAAAGGGGCGGAAATCGGTGGAGAACCCGAGGAGCTGGGCTGGGACAGCAGGCGAAACGAGAGCGGAGCCAGCGATTATTAGCGATTACCCGCGACCAAAAGGCTCAATCAACAAAAGGTCAAGCGTTTCGTGAGAAGAGAAGTAAAAAAAAAGGCTGCTTCTAGGTTGAGTTGTTGTGATGCAAGGTGGAAGCTCGTGGTGGCCTAACGCGCAATGCAGGAGCGGAAAATGAGTGTTCCTCGTTTGTGCTCGTTGTGGGTGGCAGGAGCGGCAGCCGGATGCGCCTGTGTGGGTAACTTTTTTGGCTGATCTGTTAACAGCATGCTTGGAGGTGGGTGCGATGCTGTGCCAGGCTGAAAACACAGGGGAAGGACGACTTGAGGGCGAGCAGGGATGCTGAATTCGGCTTAGCCGGCAACGCTCAAGCACCAATCAAGGCCGCTTCATGAACAAGTTCTCGAAGGGAAGCAGTGGCCATGCTCTGTCCTTTCCGAATTATCTCATTACAGGTTGGAACTACAACGGCAGGCGCTATCTACAACGCTCGTTCTTTCCCTTACTATCTAGACATTAAATCTCCGCCTCCGGAAACAACTCGAGTCACTGCGCAATGTTTTTGAGAAACGTGCTTCAAAAGGCAAACCGGGCAAGTGCCAGGTTCTGGCCCAAAGTTGTCTATGCTGAGTCAGCCGATGCTAGTGGTGGGGATGTTTGCCAAGACTGCGACTGTTATCGATAACACTTTTCGCAAGAAAATTGGCCAAGGGACCTCGAGAATTTGGCTGGCTCGCCGCGACAGTGCTTGGTTACTGCTTGTCCCTCACCAAAATTTGCGACAAAAATCCGGATCCCTACGGACAAACTTCTCATAATGGGTGTCGGACGTCGTATGAAGAAGCAGGGCGCTCCTGAGCCGCTGTCAGAAGAACATTTTGCCAATCTCAAGCGGAAAAAGGGACTCCCCGTCGACGACGCCCCGGTCGAAGCTCGCTCCAACAAGAAGCGCCGTACGTCGTCCAAAGCGCAAAAGCCTGTCAAGAATGGAGATGCCTCGAAGGCGGTGGGGAAAGAGTCCAATGGCACCGAGAAGGCCGCAGGTGCATTGGGAAATGGTATAAAAGTTGTGAAAGGGAAGCCGAAGAATCTTGCGACACTAGCATCTGATTCGGACGAGGAAATGGCCGATGAATTCGACGCTTCTGACCTCGAGGTTGCTAGCGGCTCCGAAGGGGAGGAGGCACTTGGCGATGATTTCATGGGCTCTGACTCCGACAACTCGGTCTACGACTCTGACGAAGGCAATACCAAGAAAGAGAAGTTCGTTTTCTCAGACGACGAGGATGACGACGACGACCGGGAGGAGAGGTTGACCGCTGCCAACATCGAAGGCCTTTCGAAGAAGCTTGACCAGCAGCTTACACGGGAGGCCGAAGAAAACGAGGCGGAACTGCGTCAGGAAGCCCTCCAGACCAACATTGACGGGGACAAGCCAAATGTTCTAGACGACGAGGATGACGATGATGAACTGGCGGCAAAGACGAAGGGCCTTTTGGCGCCTGACCTCCAGATGTTGAGAACCAGGATAACGGAGACAATTCGGGTGCTTGAGGATGTCGCCAATCTGGCCGAGGATGGGCGGAGCCGGGCGGAGTACACCAACCAGTTACTAAAGGACGTTTGTGCCTGTACGTTATGATGCTCGGATGGTTCACCATTTTGGCCTTGGGTGGTCGTGCTAACCAAAGCCCACAGATTACGGATACAACGAGTTCCTGGCAGAGAAGCTCATGTATGTGATCCACGGACGGCGCAAGCAGCCGAAGCGGCAACATAACGGCGGCCAGGGCTAACAAGACGCAGGAACCTTTTTCCACCAAGAGAGGCATTTGCCTTTTTTGAAGCCAACGAGGTACGTTGTACATAGCTGGATTGTGCCGTCTCACCTCACTAACCAACATCTAGACGGCGCGCCCTGTTGTCATCCGTACGAACACTCTCCGGACACATCGTCGGGATCTTGCGCAAGCCCTCAGTCAGTATTTTCTGTGTCCCGGTTCGAATTGCGAACACTAACACCCCAACAGTCAACCGTGGTGTCACCTTGGAGCCAGTTGGCAAATGGTCCAAAGTCGGTCTCCAAGTATTCGAGTCCACGTAAGTAAACACACCATTTACACTTCATATTTTGGAGACTGACTTCCGATAAAGTGTGCCATTAGGTGCAACTCCGGAATATCTCGCCGGACATTACATTCTGCAGGCCGCCTCTTCGTTTCTTCCCGTGATGGCGCTGTGCCCCCAGGAGAATGAACGGTGTCTTGATGTAAGCTACCACAGCCATATCCGAGCTCCGGTGTCATGTTGTTGACTTATTTTGTGATACAGATGGCCTCTGCTCCCGGTGGTAAAACAACGCACATGGCAGCCTTGATGAAGAACACGGGCGTCATCTTCGCGAACGATCCTAGCAAGTCTCGTGCTAAGGGTTTGATCGGAAACATTCATCGCCTTGGTGCTAGGGTAAGACTCGACCTAGGAACCCCGGATCCACGCCCCTGCTAATCCACTGAGTAGAACGTGATCGTTTGTAACTACGATGCCCGCGAGTTTCCTCGGGTGATGGGTGGCTTCGATAGGGTGCTGTTGGATGCGCCTTGCTCTGGTAGGTGACATCCCTTTTTATTCAAGCTGCGTCAACTAACCCACCCAAGGTACCGGCGTTATTGCCAAGGACCCCTCTGTCAAAACCAACAGGGATGAAAAGGACTTCATTCAGTTGCCCCATCTACAGAAACAGCTTCTTCTAGCTGCTATCGACTCCGTAAACCACGCGAGCAAGACAGGTGGCTATGTTGTCTACTCGACGTGTAGTGTGGCCATCGAAGAGAAGTAAGTTGGGCCGGATTTGCAGCACTGTTGAAACAAAGATGCTAACTCCTTCCCGCAGCGAACAAGTTGTGGCGTATGCACTCAAACGGCGGCCGAATGTCAGGCTTGTCGAGGTAAGCCTTAGTCCGCGCGCATCACCGACATCGTAGTATGTGTAATCTAACTCGTTCTCTAGACCGGTTTGCCTTTCGGCAAGGAAGGATTTACCAGCTACATGGGCAAGGCGTTCCACCCGAGTCTCAAATTGACCCGCAGGTACTACCCCCACTTGTACAACGTCGACGGGTTTTTCGTCGCCAAGTTCCAGAAGGTCGGCGCCACGCCGGCCAACGCCGTCCTTGCCAACGGCAAGAAGGACAAGGATGCCGCGGCTGTCAAGGCCGCTGCAGAGGACGGTGACGACGAGGTCATCGATAAGACCCCCATCGCTTCGGAGACTGAGAAGGAGGATAACGATGACTTTGGCGGGTTTGATGACGAAGAGGATGAGAAACATATTGAGCGGGCCAGGCGTAACGCTATGAGGAGACGTGGTCTCGACCCGAAGGCTTTGAAGAAGGGGCAGGAGAAGGGTGCGGCTAAGGATGGGGAGACCTCGAAGGCGGATGTCAAGGAGAAACCCAAGGATGCACCCAAGCAAAAGACAAAGGTGAAGTCGAAGGCGAAGGAAAAGAAGTAATTAGGTGGGAAAAATATCACGCCATGTTGCTAGTTTGTACCTTAATAGCCCCACGTCTGGTTCACGGATCGGATAACAATCAGTCGCACCGCGTCAAATTAGGTTCATGCCATTGAATTGAGGATAGTGTTGGCTGGCGTTTGAACAGTATAACTAATAACCCCAGAGTCGCAAAATCACAGAAGTCCTAGGGAAGCTGTGAAAGCAACAATGACACAGCCTTTTCACGCAGCAGGATCGCAGTTAATCATACCAATACCGCTCTATTTTCGGTTGTCCCAGGCTCATCCCACGCAACTTTTATTCTCACCTTGCTGCTATGACACGGGGGGAGCTCGCCAAGTCTGAGGTTCGCTACACTTTCCCTGAATATTCCTCTTGTCGCCAAGGCGAGAACCTTGACGGCTTCAGGAATCAACCGATCACACGAGAATACCGTCTAGGGGTGAGAAACGGGTCAAAATCCCCATCGCCAAGCAACAAGACCAGAACCTGTACAGGATTGCCCCCACGTCAGAGCGGACTTGATTACTTTAATTCTTACCGAGGATGTATGGTTACCATGTCCCTCGCCTTCTTGTTCCTTCGAGATATCGTTATGGTCTTGATTATCCACACTATGCTCATGGAAGGGGCAGATTCCCCGCGTGCCAAGTAGGTTGAAGTACCTTGATGGCCTTCTAGGTGATGGTTTTAGTCTAGTGCAGCCTTGGTACGGGCACCCTTTTTGACCGAAGACTCACCGTGTCGTCGATGAGGGCCTCTCTGTTTCCGCGCCAGGGGAGTCAATAATAGCGACACCGAGACTACGACTTGCCATGGCACACATCACGAAGTTTTCAAGGCCAAGGCCGCGCGTGGGGGTTTAGCCCGATGGGAGACTGTCCTCGCGTGAGTAACTCTGATTATTTAACCAGTGCCTGCCCTCTCCCGGCATCCTCATAAATCCCGCGAACTCTACTCCCCAACCGCTCCCCAGAATTACTCAAACGGTCAAGAGATTTGAATCAGGACCTCGAAAATGGCGCCCGTGGGATACCGTACTTTCCTCATTGCCCTGCTCCAGGCATGGTATGTCGTGGGTTCGCCCCAAGGGGTCACACCTACGTCGTCCACAACGCCGACACTTCCCCCGTCCCCGACGGGGTCTCTGTGCAGCCCGCACGGCGATCACTGTACGCAGTCGATACCTGTTCCATAATCCCACAATCCACAATCCCAACGAACTTCACTTTTTGTCTTGACCAACTAATTAGGTACTGACCGTTTACCAGGGCATTGCGAACGCCACCCAAGTAGCACGCAGTCATCATCCTCACCATTCAACGACCCAACCCAAAAGTGCCACGCCCACGGCGACCACTGGCACTGTCCCGACGGCGTCCCCGAGCCAACCACTCCGCCTCCATCCACCATCAACACAGCGACAACGACGATGACGACGACTACCTCGGCCTCGGCCACGGAATGCCACGCACACGGTGATCACTGGCATTGTCCCGAGGGCGTTCCGGAGCCGACCTCGCCGCCTGAGCAGGTTGAGTCTGGGACGGCTACGACGACGACCACAGCTGGGCCTACGGCGACGGGTGGTGTAGGGAGGGTGGGTGGTGGTGGGGTGAGTGCGGCATGGATTGGGTTGGTGGTTGGGCTTGGGGTGGTGGTTTGGGTGTGATTCCTCCTCTACTAGGAGGTCATATGGTCATTAATTAGGTACGGGGGGGCTTCTGGTGGAATAATTTAAAACCCATTGGCATCGTGAGCTTCGGATGATGGGAGGAGTGCACTCAAGGGAAAAGCAAGCAGGTGGGAATACAAAATCTCCTTCAATAATCAACGCTGAACTGTGGATTTATTTTATAGCCACCTCGCATATCATCTAAAGTATAAGATTCTACAAGAGCTGAAAATTTATGCTATCTCTAAGGACTTCACCGAACCTCGCTTCTCCCTGAGACCTTTAGGCTCGAAAAATACCCTGGGGTCCGCATATGTCCCCCCTACCCTATCCCACAAGGCGGAAAACTGCCCAAAGTTGAACTGGATGCTTTTGTGATGCACCGTGTGGAACTGGTCGCTATTGTCATCTGCGGAAGGGCAAAGAATGAGCACATGGACAGCGTTACAGCACAGCATTGGAGAAACAGAAGGGGTGAAGGACAGGAGACTTACGGAGTAGAAAGGTCCAGATGTTGCTGATGAAAAAGACAACAAGGTGTCCCACATCCGACATGGGGAAGAGGAAACTGTAGGCGTAGACGGGCAGGCTCATGATCCACCCCTCGATCGGCTCAAAGGCGTACGCGGCAAACGGCGTTGGGATGACATACCTAGAGGTATCCACGATGTAAGGGTTAGCAAGAGGTTCTCAACCTTGACAACATTGGTGACTGGGTGCCCAGTCCAGGGTCCTCACATGTGGTGCTGGTAATGCGACAGCTTAAACAACATAGGATGATGAAAAGCCCTGTGTAGCCAATACATGCACGTATCGCTAAATAGCGCAAAGAGCGGGTACTGTGCCACCTCGTACCAAGTGCTGCCCGTCCCGAACGGGTAGATCTTGGCCCACCCGCGCACCTGGGCCATAAAGATAGGCACCGTCAGCACGTTGATGATGAGCAAGGCGGTCAGGGAGGCCGTGATCTCGGCGCGAATCTGGTTGGGTCGGTACTTGGGCTGCTTCTTCTGGGTCTGGTCAAAGTTGAGATAATAGCAGACGGTGCCGAAGAGGAAGTAGAAGAAGGTGCTGGAGATCCAGGTTAGGAAGAAGATGCTGAGGCTCTGGCGCCATATGCCATCTCGTTGCCAGAGGCGTGGGTCTGCCGCAAGGTGACAAAGCCATGCCCTGCTCTTGTCGATAATAACGCCGGAAGCTTGTGGAGACGGTGATGGTATCCACCAGTCTGGATGGGTCGTGTTGGAGACTCCCGCGCCACAGGTGGCCTGGGCTAGCCGAAAGGCCGAGCGGTAAACGTTGTCCAAGAGGACTGGGTCGAAATGGTTGAGGACTGTTTCCATTGTCGTTTCGTCAACGCCCTTGGTAGGTTGTTTGTAACTAGCACAGAGCTGGCTTGGGAGGAGGATAGTCAAGGGGGAAAGTCTGATTAATATTGGGAGGCGGCGGCAGGTGCGTCCATCTTGCGGTCAACGAGGTACCGCTGAGTACTTTGTGATTTCTTTTGCCTGTGGAGTTGATCGTCTGATAACCCATCCATCTAGACCAAACATAGACAGTCATCAACTACACTTGTAGACGTGTCAGTGCCACCAGAGCTGAATATTTAGTTTCGGGTTTTGTTTGAGACATGCAGGACCCGCAACAACAAAAGTCTCGGGAGATCATCAATGAGTTGGACCAGGCGGTCTGGGCCCGACGATGAGCCCGACGGTGGAGGTCGTAGTTACTTGTGATCTGCCACACAGGTGGGTAATATAAGACAATAGAGGGCGTGTTGAGACTTTGAGTAAAACATTCCGTCGGTAATTAACGTTAACTTAACCTCCTACCAACACTTGACATCGGCAACTTTGTGCACACGCACAGACTCAGTTGCACTGATAGTTCGAGGATGTATGAACCAAGAGCTACCGGCTGGGTGAGCGTGATCATCAATGAGCTTGTTAGCTTTCAGATCATAGCAACCTGCCCGTTGCTGGACTGGTTCGTCTGCATCGCATACGATGATTTTGATTCCTCATTGCTTTCGGCTTCCGAGGCCCTTCTTTCTGAGCCACTCTCTTTTTTTACTTCTCGTTTGCCGACTGTCACGGCCACATCCATCGCAGCTTACTTGGGCTGGGTCGTTTTCCAGGCGTTATTGTACGTCTTTGTTCCGGGACCTCTCCACCAAGCGCCACGAACTCCAGGAGGGAGACGCCTTTTTTACCGGCTGAACGGATTTTGGGCGTGGATTTTGACGCTGGCTATTGCGGCCTATGCCTCTTATGCCGGCTTCCTTGACCCGGCGCTTCTTGCAAAGCACTGGACCACATTATTAGCCACGGCTCTGGTATATTCATCCGCCCTCATCGGCATCTTCTACATCAAGGCCCGTGTTGCGCCCGACGACAAGGGCGACACACTGTTGACCGGCAAGTTCCCCTTTCTTCCTTGACGTGTAGCCGACATAAGACATCTAACACCATCTAGGGCACTTTTGGTATGACCTCTTCAATGGCGGAGAGCTTCACCCGCGAACCGGACAGTTGTTCGACTGGAAGCACTTTAACGCCAGCCGAACGGGTGGGATTCTACTATGGACCTTGATGTACGTACAAAGTTCAATCTCCCTCCATCGACCTGTCCATTTCAGCTGACTGGTTTCACAGCGATCTTTCATTTGCTGCTTTGCAGCACCAGAGATTTGGCTCCGTGACGAATTCAATGATTTTGGCTACTGGATTCCGAGCCATTATTGTTGCAGAATACTTTATCTACGAAGACCTGTGAGTGCAGCCATCTCGAAGCTGGTCAATAGTAACATCTGCGTACCCAAGTGCTAATTCACGGCTGGCGGGCAGATTCTTTGAAACACTCGATGGCGCCCACGAACGTTTCTCATTTTATAGCATTTACGGCTTCACTGTGATGATGCCACATCTGTGGACCTTGCAGACGCAATATCTTGCCTCCCATCCCGTGAAACTTTCCACAGCGACGGTGGCCCTGCTTGTGCTTGGCTTTGCTGTAGGCTGGACCATTAACCACGTCGCCAACGACCAAAAGAACCTTTCACGGCGGACAAACGGGAAATTCCGCATTGGCAGTCAAGAAGCAAAGACTATCGAAGCCAGATATGAGACTGCAGACGGGAAAACACACCGCACTATCCTTCTCTGCTCAGGTAGGTACCTCCCTAGCTACATGATCCCTTTCCCAGGATTTGGCTGCTCCCTAAGAGACTTAACAAAACATGTACTAATCGATACACGTTTGTTGTTCTCACAGGACTCTGGGGCATTGTCCGTCACCCAAATTACATCGGGAGCATCACCTACACATGGGTTGCGTGTTTGACCTGCGGCAGTGGTCATATTCTGCCTTACATGGAAGCCATTCTCGTCGTCACCATGTGTGTGCACCGCTGTTTCCGCGACGAGGCACGATGCAAAGCCAAATATGGGAAAGCATGGGCTGAGTATTGTGAGCGTGTCAAGTGGCGTCTGGTTCCGGGGATCTTTTAAAATGATCGGGAGGAGGAGGGAGGAAAAGAGGAAGGCAGCTGAATAAACGCCTGACAAATTTTGTATTATTCGGTAATTAGTAGCCATGACCTTTGATGCTTCCTTAGTCAAATTGGTACATACCTAAGATACCTAAGCACGCCGGTGGGAAAACAGATCTGTTTCGCAATTGTTTGGTAATTAATACGAGGCTAAATAATTACCTTATGACCAAATCTCAACTTTTCAGGAAGGACACGGAAACCACCCGGAAGCTGTCCAAGCAAGTTATCTGAACTTTCATCTACCTAGGTACTTTCATTTACCGCCGCATCTTCAGCAAGGCCCAAGCAGCCAGTCTGTAACCCAAAATAATCGCCACCACGATGCCCACATTCCGCCCCTGATCCCCCGTACCAACCCCGTACAGGTCCAACACCGCTCCCCCGTCAATATGACATTGGCCCGGCAGTGATGGGTATCTGCATTGGCATCCCACGCCACAGCTGTACGTCGCCCCGTCAAACTGCGTGACCATCATACCCTGGAAGACATAGCCCTGCGAGTTCCAGTAATGAAAGCCATACTTGTAGAACGCGTTCAGCTTCGCCGGTGGCACTAAGGTCCCCGCAGTCGCGAAGGCGAGGACGTTCAACAAAGCTGTGACCACCAGCGCGCCGACAAAGTTGGGGATGATGGTCACAGACAGGATGACTATCCCCTCAGCGGCCAACAGGTTCAGATACAGCCACGCTATCCACGTGAAAAACGCACCGGCAGACGGGCGACAACCTGCCAGCCAGTAAAACAAAACAGAAAACACAGCGGAGAAGAGAAACAGATAGGGGATCCCCACGACGAAATTGGACAGCAAAAAGGAACCGGGTCCATACAGGCCATTACGGCGGTCCAGACGGAACTGACGATAGTCCTCAATGAAAGCGGGGACATACGTCACGGCCATGAAAGACATGAAGCCACAGCTAACCACCAAAGCGTTGATCAGTAGCTGGATCGAGTCCTGGTCGTCGCGGTCCATCTGCAGCCAGACAGTGCCCGCCAACAGACCCAGCCCTGCGTACATGGCTAGCCGCAAGGTGTATGCCAAGCCATCGCGGTACGACTTGACGAAGCTTCGGTGGATGAGAACCACCAGACGGGTCAGAAACGGCGGATTAGACCCGGGGCCTGAAGGGGTGAGACCAGTGAGACCAGCGAGTCCTGGCACGAGCTTGACCGAGGCAGTCACTGCAGCGGCGGTTTGTTGGCGGAAGGACGAGCTGTGCCAGCAAGACGCGAGCTCGGCCACGCGCTTGCGCTCCGAGACCGCGGCTTCGTTTTGGGCTTGGGCAAAATCCGTGTTCACCAACTCGAGCAGGAAGTCGGCCGGGTTCATTCGCTCCGGGACCGTCACGCCGATACTGGCGTAGTAGTCCACCAGCTGGCTGATGGGGCCGAAGTAGTGGGGTTTGCCGGCTGAGAGGAGGAGGAGTTTGTCGAAGAGGTTGAAGGTGGAGGTGGACGGCTGGTGGATGGAGCACACGACGATCAGACCTGTTTGCTTTGCAAGCTGTTTGAGGTAGCTGACGACGTGGCAGCTGGCCATCGAGTCGAGGCCGCTCGTGGGCTCGTCAAGAAAGAGGATGCCAGGGCCTGTGACGAGTTGCTTGGCCACGGTCAGGCGTCGTTTCTGACCATGTGATATGCCGGTCCCCACGCGCTGGGTCGCCAAGCTGCTGAGACCAAAGGACGCCAGCAGCGTGTCGATGCGCGCTTCGGCCTCGGCCTCGGCCCCAGGCCCCCCACGAGGGACGCCCGCGAGACGAGAGGCAAAGTGGAGCGTCTCTCTCACGTTCAGCGCGCCGATGAAAATGTCGTGGTCTTGGGCGAACGACGTGACGTGGCGGAAGACGTTGATCGGCAGCTCAACGCCGTTCACGAGGACTTGCCCCGTAACCTGGGCTGCCTTGATGGGGCGTTGGGCAAGCACATTTAGGAATGTGGTCTTGCCGCACCCCGACGGGCCCATGACAGCGCAGCATTCACCTGCAGATAGTTAGTTCATGCTTAGTACTCCGTGCCTAGCCATCCTTGATTGGTAAAAATGGGGGATGGTAACCAACCAGCTTGCATGATTCCCTCAACATTGTCAACGAGCGTCTTGGGCTGGCCGGTCTTGCCCTCCTTGACGGTGACTGTCAGCCCGCTCCATGATAGCGTTTCCACTGGGGCGTTGAGAAGCCGCTTCTCGGCGATAGGAAGTTGTTCGGGGTCCATCGCCAATCGTTTCGGTCCCCGGAAGAGAGAGTATCGTATGGTTCCAGTCTTGCAGTTGCGAGATTGGATTCGGAGACGGAGATGGGTTGCCTTCTTCAAACGAAGGGAGTCGAGGGACCCAAAAAAGCAACTCTGCGAGGATCATGACTGAAAGTCACGACGGCTCGTGAGATAGTTAACATTTTCTTTTATTTTCTAGGCTATTGGCCCTTGGTCTAAAGCCCGCTAGCAAGAGTGAATCATGAGATCTTGGTTGATAGCCGATCATGCTAGATTGGGTAAGTCTAGCAATAAGCTTTCTGAGACTCTGAGTCTCTGACCGCCTCAAAATGATACGATCGTGGATCCACCAAGACCCACGTCCGTTGAAGTTTAAACATCAAACACTGTTGGGGTGAAAGAATGTAAGACATGGCTAAATGACAGTGTAGGCAGACCTTCGGACTTCCAAATGCGGAAGTTAGACGGGTGACAATAGAGAACATTGAAGATGTCGAGTTGCAACATCATGACCACATCGTCAGTTGTCTTAGGTAGCTGCCGAGGTAATTGCAGCATTTTGCCGAGCGTGGCGAAAGGTTTCGTAGCAATATCAACCGTGGCTCCAGCAATTCAACCCGGGCGCCCTACCTCCACAGGGAACCTGCTCTACATCAGCCGCTAGGTTGCCCGAGAAACGTCCCCCCATGTCCAAAGGCGGTAGTCGGCCCGGACCCTGAACTCGAGAGTTGGTGCCTCGCTGATCCCAACGTTCTGATCGACAAGTTGGTTGAGACTAGGTACCATACCGCACGGGCTCGTTCCTGCCGTTGTCATGGAGTTTCACTGGAACCACGGCAGGAGGGGGTTTCTCCGGGACATCGGGGGAAAGTAGGTAGGTAGGTAATTAGCTCTTTCCGCCACGGCTTCTTCAGCGACAAATATTACAATATCCACGAGCTGTAATTACACGCGGATAGCAACAGCATGTCTGAATGGCATTCCAAGTCGACAATGAATCAACCCCACCCCTAGCGTTTGCGTCCCGCACTATCTCCCCTTCTGCATCGCGGGTTGGTGTAAAAAAAAAGGGCCGAACGCCGAGACAGTTCCAGCTGTACCTCGCCCAACCTACAAACTCCGAGCAAATACCCGACCCCGTCGTACTAAAATTCGGTGTTTCACTTTTCGGGTCCAGCCCCCTGTTGGGCGCGAGGGACTTGGGCAGTGGGAGTGACCCGAGGTCGGTTAGTCAAAGTAGCTTGAGGCCTGCCGTTGACAGGCGGAGCAACACGAGGTCCGGTACCGGTATTGACAGTCGAGGTAGCTCGGGGTCCGGCACCACCGGCAGCTTGGGACCCAGAAGCGGCCGCCTGCGGGCCCGGTTTCAGAGGGGTCTCCTTACCCCCAAACATCATAACCATCCGTTTCAGCGTCCCCTCGTACTGCGGCGAGCCTGACACGGTGAAAGACGGGGTCGGCTTGACCTTTCGGTTGCCACGCCGCACACCTCTCTTCTTTTTGGGGTTGCCCTCATGGTCCACGCCCGCGTTGATCAGGGCAATCGGCCGGCCTGACCGGGTGAGTTTGGCTTGTCTGCGGGTCAATCTGCGGCCGGTGCTTGTTGTGACCTCTGAAACGTGGGGTTAGTATAATTCTTTTAATTTGACAAGCCGGGTTGAGAAACTCGCCTTCATCAAGATATTGCTTGTGCCTTGCGGCGTCGTATCGATAGCGGGCCACGGTGGTGCCCAACCACATAGAGGAGGAGCCGGGCATTGTGCACTGGAGGAGGTCTTGGTGGTGTTTAATGGCCATGATCCCTTCCATCTTGGATTCGCATAACTTGGAGGCTGCGTCTATGATGCGGTGTGCGTGCGAAGGGCGCTTGCTCGATGGTATGCCATAGACCTATATCAAAGAGCTCTTGTTGTTAGTACTCTACCTACCTACCTTAAGGCATAAATATGAGAGGTTGTCTGCCAAAACGGGACTGCAGCCTTCGAATTGGCCAGGGGTATTAGGGTAAAGGCCATCATCACCTGAATATCGCCGTTCATATCGGTGTTGTCAGACGTAGCGTAGTAACCTAGCTGCCCATCTACACAGGGACTGTACTTTAGCTTCCATAGGTTCCATAGGTGGGTTGCTTCATTGCTTACATAGTTCGTCCAGAACGTCCCAGTTACCTGGGGAAAAAGTCCGATCTTGTACTCTAGCTGCGTAGGCGAAGCAATCGGGAATTTCTTCCCAGGTGTTAGGGATCATGATGTAGAACTTGGCGCTAGGCGCCCGCGCAAAGTGGCTTCTCATATATCCTTGAATTTGCCCCTCTGGCGTTAGGAAGTCATATCCACCGCCACCGGGGCGGCCTTTCCGACTGTTATTCGCCATGGCGGCACCGGCAGCGGCACCGGCAGCCATGATTAAAGCTAGGGGGAATTTGGCGGTTTAGGGAATTGTGACGAGGCCGATTAGGCTTGATAGTGGTGTAGCAAACGAATGTCCTGACTTCCCAAGAAGAGGTGAGTGAGATGGTGCATTTATATTACATTAAGACTTTAGCGATGGTTCGATGCGTCGACTGTCGCGGTAATAAATAATTCCAGATGCGTTGGGCCAGGAGGCAGTGAACATGGCCCAGGACGGGTCACCATTGTTTTAGCCAAGACTCATCGGTTTGGGGCTTCGTGATGGTTCAAGACTCCAAGCAAGGCCTTTAACAAAAGGCCGCTGGAATTGAGGATCGAGACTCTGCCATACTAGAGGTAGGAGTTATGCTTTTGGCCGTCTTGGGAGCGGCCCGTCAAAGAGGCAGTGCTGACTCCTGAGTGCCCGAATCCTGCGCTCGCTCTGGCCTGGCAGCGAGGGGCCGGGCTGGAAGCTCAGAGCTGGAATACTCAGGAGCCAGCGGCACGGGTGCCCAGCCCCCAATGTGGAATTGCTCTCCAATGGAATGTTGATTCCATGTTTGGCCGCATTCAACGACCTTGCTATCATCAAGTACTTTCATTAATTAAGTGTTGACCCTAGGTAATAGATTGGTGTTCGAGAAGCCTAGAAATACGGTAACACTAACATCACTGCACCGCACCCGGAAAACGGTTGGAGCACGTAATTACGCCCCTCACCATGGGTTACTTCGACAAGTATCACCTAGATTCGCGATTCAAGTCGATACGCACGGGTTACCATCCGGGCGACCCGCGCTACCACTATCATGTTGTCGTGGATTGGGACCAACGGCGCACCATCACTGTCGGCACCTCAGAGGAGAAAGACGAGGATTTCGTCTTCGAAGCCCTCAATGAACATATCGATGATCTCCCCGAAGACGTTGTCTGCATCATCATTTCAGATGACTTCGAGCTGCTATCGTCGTTCACCGACTCTGCCAAAGATCGGACCTTAATTCCTTACTACCCCGAGCCTCTCGATTTCCCATCACAGTTGCCAACCATACGCCGCTCGCAACTCACGGAAATCGACCGGTTAGGAGTCCAGACTGATCGCGTCATTTACGAATCCGTGCCTGGGAAGACAAAGCACGCCGTTTTCAAGTATTACATAAACGAAGGCAACACTGCCATGGTCTGGCACGAAATCAACTGCACTTTAAGAATTCCAGTTCACCCAAACATTGTCCCCTTTGACCGCCTTGTTGTTGACTCAGCCGGCCCAGGGTTCCCGGATAAGGTTGTGGGCTTTACCACTCCCTTTATCCCAGGGGGGACGATCAAGGATGACATCAATCGTGTCTTTAAGCTCAAACATCTCAGACATCTTCTAACGGTTCGTACCTCCATCATCTGGTCATGGAGAGAAAACGGAGAGAACGAAGGGCATGCCGCTGACCTCCTTCAGGCTATCGACTATCTCAACCTCAGACTGGGCATAGTCCACGGCGATATCTGCAGCTGGAACCTTCTCATCAACCCGGAGACGGACGAACTCAAGATCTTCGACTTCAATCTTGCCTCCAAATTGGGATGGGAAGGCGACAGGAAGAACCATGGTACGTTTGGCTACGAGGAAGAGCGCAACGATGTCAAGCTGGCCGCCTTCACGCTCTACGAGATCATCACACAGGACTTGTCGTTTCGCGAAGAGCACTACCCGGAAGATCTCGATATCTCCATGGTTTTGCAGAAGGAAGAGTGGGTACGACACCCCGACGTTCGTCTTGAGGAAGGCATCGAGGTCTCTGAGTATCGACGCGTTCTTGAGGACTGGGTCGAAACTCGGAAATTGGTTGATGCCCAGATGAAGGACTACAAGCAAGCGCCTGACTTTATCGACTGGCCTTCTTCACCACCTCGCTTTCCGATCTTGGACGACGAGGAGTGGGCTAGTTTTGGTGGTCGGTATCGAATGCGACAGATGTTGATTAAACGCGGTGAACCGTTCATTAAATGGTATGTAATTCATTGGCTTTCCACCAGAGATCTTGAATATGTTCTAATGCTTGAAGATAGGGTGCGTCCGCCCTCTGTCGATCTCCCTCTTCCAGAGGGTCAGCGCCTCCTTGCCACTGGAGAGGTAGTTGGCTAGGTAGCGTAGATAGGTGGTAGCGTGTTGGTTACTACTTGAGGCTGAAGGATCAGTCGTCGGATCCAGCCGTGGCGTGGCTGTGGCCTTTGAACATGTAACCAACACACATCAACACGCAAAAAGTTACGGCAGGGCTTTCTCACAAGCTTGTTCCTTCGCGGCCATGATGAATTTTGCCAAAGCCGTGTAAATTTCACCTGCGCATGGAGTGAAGATAGGATCCAGGTCTAGCGTTCAAGGTCTCCTCTTGTCCTTGGCAATTGCAGCACCGACGCGGCGCCGATTCCACGGTTGACTGCTGCGGCTAGACGCTCACGAGAGTAACATTAAGGATAATACGGTCACGAAAAGCCATCACGACTTGCAGATGTGTATGAATGTACGTCCAATCATTGCGGCCCTTCCCACGGCGGAAAAAGGGAAGAACCGCACCCAAGATCGAGCGCCAGGAAGAGTGAAAAGAATCCCACTCCCCGTCTCTCTCCATTCTGTTCGAAAACCTACGACTTGCGTCCTGGGTCACAAGGACCTCCGAAATCGCATTTGGATCTAGTTCCGAGAATGTGAAAATTTGCGTTGTTCATGGAGAGGAAAAAGGGAAAGAAAGAAACGGCGCGAAATTTTCTGGTGGTTTTGAATGAACCTGAGTGGGGCGCGTCATGGGTTTGTGTGGCTCAACGCATTTGTGGCTGGTGGAACTGTGGCGCAGGCTGGGCGAGCTCGGCTTATAACCCCTGTGGTTGAATCAAGGAAGCCGCTAGCAGCCGAGCTAATTTGAGACAACCCATTCTCCACCAACGTCGGTCGACCCGCGGAATTTCCAACCTAAGAGGATTTATTGTCGTTCGCTCGTCACTGAGGCCCTCCCCAATTCCACACACAGCTCCTAGATTCCTATCCTTACCCAACATGAGCGTTGCGCCGACAGTCCCCCGGTTCCTTCTTCCACGGCTGAGCTGGGCTGGCCCGCTTTCGGCGAATCCCGGTTTCCAGGGAGCTCCGGCAGCTATCCTCAACCAAGCAAGGGGTGCAAGCAAGACGGCAACATGGCAGCAAGACCAGAGACGGTCAATTTACTACAATGGACATCATATGAACAAGGCAACGCCGCTACGGGGTAATAATGGTGCCCGACCAGCAAGGAGTCTGAGCAGCATGGTTCGCAACCCAACCTTCCGCCGCTCATTCCACGCCACTGCCCCACGTATGCGAGATCACCACTTCGACACCCTACGCTTTGTGCAGCGCCTCCAAGAAGAAGGGTTCACGGAGGAACAATCGGTGGCTATGATGAAAGTTCTCAACGATGTCATCGAGGAGAGGTAAGACATACCCCTCTTCCTACCTCACAAGAGTCAAGCTAACCCATCTCACTCCCACCCCTCAGCATCCAAAACCTTACACGAACCATGGTCCCCCGCGAAGAAGCCGCCAAAACGACCTACACGCAGAAAGTGGACTTCGCCAAGCTGCGCAGCGAGCTCCTCTCAGCAGACAGCACCGAGTCCAACGCGACACGGGCAGCACACGAGAAGCTAACCAACGACATCACTAAACTCAACGGCCGGTTGCGTGACGATATTGGGCGCACCCAGGCCAGCGTGCGCTTGGATCTGAACTTGGAGAAGGGCCGGATTCGCGAGGAGGCTGTCTCGCAGGAGCTGAAGATCAAGGAGACGGAGACGAAGATTGAGCAGGAGGCTGCTGCGTTGCGTCAGCAGCTGGAACAGGTCAAGTTTCAGACGCTGCAGTGGTTGATGGGGGTGTGCACTGGGTTTGCGGCGCTGCTGCTTGGTGCTTGGCGGTTGTTGATGTGAAGGGGAGGCCGTGTCTGGCGTTTTGCATGGGAGGGACCTGGGGTGATATATGGCGGTACATAGGCGGTGGCAGACACATAGCATGCAATCTGCGGAGCGAGTTGCGATGGTTATCTTGTGCTCGGTTTTTCGCACCAGCTTGAGAGGAGCTTGAGATACAGAAAATGAATGATGTCAACGCAGCGGAATCACGGCCCAGCGCAAATCAAATCAGAGGCGGGTGAGCAAAGAAAGATCACAGAATTTCAATTCAAGGCGCTAACGTGACAGGAAATAGAGAGTAGACCACCTCGCGGGCCCTAGTATATTCCCCCACCCTGGACCATTGATATACAAAAGCGACTGCCTTTCCCTGGCAGCCGCATATAGGGGTAAGAAAACAAGCCATCTAAGGCTGAATGAAGCCCAGGCTTGGAGAAGAGAAAACGGTGGGTGAATTGGTGTTGTGTTGCATGGTATCGTATGTGCGCGAGGTGACGTCCCCCTTCCTTTTGTCCCATCCAGTGATGCACGCCGTCTCCGATCGAGGGAAAAAGAATCTCAATAACTCGTGGCCGCCCAGGTCCCCCCGTGCGTTACCCATTGATTCATTCGTTCATTTTATTTTTCTTGAAACTATACGCTGACCCCGATCCAAGGCGTGAGGGGATGGAAAGAGAAAAGAAATTCGTTGAGGAAACCTGTTCAGGTGGCCCGATGTCAGCGACGAACTTGGGAGGAAGAGAAGTCAAAGCAGAAGAACAACGGGCCAGCAAAACAGGAAAATCGGAACGGACCTCCTAAGCCTCGATGATGGTACGGGCAGCGTTGTACATGGCGTGCAAGTCGCGAGTGGCCTTGGTACAAACGCCAGCGGGACCGTGGCAGGTGGCATCACGCTTCCAGCAAGGCATGCCAAGGAACTCACGACACCAGCCTATCTCAAACTGGCGCGCCTTCAATGAGCTGCCCTCATCAATGGCGTTGATGACGGCCGCGGCGGCCCGCTTGGCCTTCCAGCACGCCTGGCCCTCGTTGGTGCAGCGCTTGACCTGCTCGAGCGCCTCGGCAGTTTCGTCGCGCTTCCAGCACGAGGAGCCGGTGAAACGGGTGCAATACCGGTCGGGCTCGGGCTCGGCCTCGGCCTCGGGAGACGCCTCGCGCTTGTCGATGGAGGCGTTGTGGTCGGCATCTTCAACCGGTGCAGGCTCCAGGGCGGCCTCGCGCTTGTTCTTCTTCCAGCACGGCTGGCCGAGGAAATCGGTGCACCACGGCTCAGGCGCACGCTTGACTCGGTCGGGAACGACCGGGGTGACCGGGGTGACCGGGGCGCTGCGGCGGGTCCAGCATGGCTGGCCGTGGGCCTCGGCGCAGAAGGGTTCGGCCTCTGGGTTGGGATTGGCCTCACGTTTCCTGCACGGCATGCCGAGGAACTGGGTGCACCAGGGCGAAGCCTCGCGCTGGACCTTGTTGGGGATGTCATCACGCTTGGTGTGGGTGGCAGCGGCTTCCTCGTTGGCGCCCTCGCCCTTGAAGCCGAGCGCCTGGTAAAAGGCGGCCGGGTTGTCGTGCGAGGCAGCAATGGCTAGGGCAAGCTCGCGGAGCTGGCGGGCGGCGATCACGGAGGTCTCGCCCTCGGTGATGTCGCGGGTGACGAGGTTGTGGTTCTCTTGGATAGCGTTGGAGAAGGCGGTGGTTGCGCGCTTGACGGTGTTGCAGGCCTGGCCATCGGCCTCGCAGTAGCTCTTGTCAAGGTCGGAGGTCAGCGCCGCGGCGTCGACCGAGGCGGCAACCGCCAGGATCGTAATTGGGAGAGAGAACTTCATGATGTGCGCCGGTTGTTGAAGGCTAGGGGGAAGAGAAGATGGTAGTCAAAGAAGGCGGAGGGGGGGTGGGTATATATGAAGATGGAGTACCGGAACAGACTGGAAGTGTGGTTAGATGAGTCTCCTATTATCTTTTTCAGGCGATGAGGACCGTTGGAGAGACCGTTTGCTTGTTGCGGTGGAGAGAAGAAGGGAATTGTACGTTTAAGGTTGAGCATCATGATGTTCTTATAGACGGGTTGTGTGGTGGCCTTCGGTCTATATAGAGGTGGTCGCGTTTATTGTGTCAATAGGCGTGTATAAACTTAGACACGGCTTAGCGACTTACAACCAAACCTCAACGCCAGAAACCCGCCACCTTCAATGCCTCGTCAAAGAGGCCCCTCAAAGTTTGATACGCATTGACAGGGCGAAAAACGAAGTATACCCCCAAGTACCACCACACAGTATCGGCCTGGTGTAAGAGGATCCGTCCTAGCAAAGAACCTATTCAGATCCTAAACCGGTAATTGTTGCCTCCTGAGTGGAAAGGCTCCCTTATTTCAGTGACAAAGCATCCCGCTTCTACGCCCATTTGCGACCGTCCGCGGACACTCTCCGTAGCCCGTAATCATCAGCTCGGGGCCGATCTATGAATGCCCCTCCCGAGGGTGCCGAGGGCCAAGAAGTCGTGATACCCGGCATGGCGGGCGGAGTTGTTTGGTCGTCAAAGCTGGAAGCAAGGGAATACCCCTTTTAGGTGTTTATTCAAACCCCGTTTAGGAAGGTGTGGCTAGAGTTGAATGGCAACCACGACCAACCAGATTCGCAGCTGCCCCAGTATCCCAGCAGAAGTTCCTGCTTAGCTTGTTTGATCAATTCGTTTTCAAAATTTCAAAAGGAGGGTCGTTCCTGGAGCGGGGACCGGTGGGAAGGAGGTCCTCGGGAGGGTTACAGCCTGGGTCGGGCCTGCCACGAGGAAAATGCCCCCGTCCTTAACGGACATTCGCCGCCCCCTCATCTCCGCTCCGCCACCCATTTGTCCGCTAGCATGAAGTTTGCATCGTTGAATTCAGATCGCGGTCGGCAAGGCTTGAATTTGGGAAGGGCGGCAGGGGAAAAGTCCCCTGCATCTTGGAAGTTGGCGATCCCTATCGTTCGCCGGTCTGGTGATCAAAGCAACATGAGCAAGTTGTGTTCTCTTTCTTGGCCTGACGGCTGTCGGTTTTCCAGCTCGTCTCGGGACAGGAGCATTCTTGCGGCGCAAGACTTTTGTTCTCGCCACTGAGCCATGTCATGAAAGAAGTTGTCTAGTTCTTTGGCCCGAGCATGCTTCATTGTTGGTGAATTTCCACGTACGCTTTGGGGGTGGCTTTTGGAGGCAACCGTGGGGTCCATGTACTCGGGTGAGCCTGCTTCTCATTTTCAATCTCGTCAGTCGTGCCTGCTTGACGCCTTTCCGAGGGCTCTCGGATAGTTCCACAGCATAGAATTTCTCCTTCCCCTCGCGTCGGTCTACAAGAATTTCCCAGATCTGCCCCCACTATCGACCCAGGGCTAAGGTTTTATGAATTTCGGGTTTCCCGGCACTCTCTGTAAGCGAGTTTGCAATCAGAATGGTCCAGAAGCCTTATTCTGAACCCCTTATGGGTTATCAAGCTCCTCGGTTACCGTTAAGCAAACTTACCAACGCCCTAGTGGCGTTCGCAGAACACGTTTGTACCCTGACATTGCAGCAAAAGCTGTGTAAACGCCATGTAGAGAGCTGCTGATTATCTTTATTTCCTTCATTCTTCCACTGTGTCGGAGGCAGACCCGTTGGACAAGGCCTCAAAGCAGGGAGATTTCTCGCTGCAAGACCCTTCCGTCTTCCGTCATCGACGGATCAGCTGATCTTGGAGGGGGGACGAAAGAGGTCCATCCCAGTATGGTAATGGCCTTTCTCAAGGGCCATGATTCGAGCTCGAGAACTGTCAGGATGCTTCAGGAGAATAACAGGAAACAGCTAGGTGAGGCGATGGGAGTGTAATCGGCATCGGCTAATTATTCGAAAAGAGTTGTTTTATAATTCCCTTCTCACCTTAAAATTCTTAAACGTGTATTGAAGCCAAAACACCCTGTTTACACCGAAAGACACATCAAGGCTACTGAAGAAAACCAAGATGAACCGGTTCACATCTCCCTTGCCATCCACGGCCATATGCCAAACGGGATAGATTCAAAACAGCCACAGAATGCCTTGCCTCGCACCCGCAGACATCCAACAACTCACTCCCCTTCACGGAATACAAGGAAAGCCACGTTACCGTATACGGCTATGTATATCCCTCCCTACCACCCATTTTTCGGCCCCGCAGTTGGGCATCGGCACCGGTGCCGCAACCCGGCCTGGGTATCGAGAAGGTTTTCAAAGGACCCGAGCCGCCGCCTAGAACACACTCGATCCGGCTTGGGTCGCTCGCATACTCCCCTCCTGGTCTCTTCCGTCTTCCATTTCTCGTACCACCATCCTATTCACCTCCCAGCCTTATCGATGTTTGGCCCCTGCATGGGAACCAACTGGTTCCCCTTTTGGACCAGGAGCAGATATTAGCGCCGCAGGCTTTGTGTCGACTCTCTTGGGGTGGGCTCGAGGTTAACGCCGAGGCTTTTCTCTGCTTCTTCGTCTCGAGGCTGGGCTTGAGCTGCCCCCACCCTCCTGGGCATGCCAGAGTTCGCCTGGTAGTATGATTCCCGAGCCTTTTCTGAATTTGATGATGGCCGGCTAGTATATCAAGCCTACGCCCGAAAACTGGGCTTCCGATGACTCGGACATCCGTACACTGAGTATCTAGTGGGATGTTCCCAGCGCCCGACAAGACCGACTGGCGAAAAGATGTTGCCGATGGTGGTTCAGGGCTCGGGGAGAAAGACGGGCGGATACATCATAGGCTCTTCGAAGGTTTCAACTTTCAAGCGCTTGAACATTCGACATCACGCTCCTCTGGCGCGGTGCCAGTGGTTTCAGACTTTCAATGGGATTATGGGAGTTTGGCCACAATGATCATGGACTGAGCGGTCGATTCGACTGGATTGGGGGTTCAATGGTATTCCAGGAAGTCCCAAGCAGTAGCTTATCGTCGGAGACTAATACATTATGATTAAACCGAGCGAGGGGGTCATTATAGAAACTGACAACAAAGCTTGAGAGTGACCGTGAAACCGTGATTAACCATTGGTTTCACCATACCTTGCCAGCTTGCCTTAAATCTCAACGATATGTTCCTCTAAGCAGACTTTGCTCAAGATATTACAGCCATTCCTGTCTGCCCTAAAAACAACAAACCCCCTCCAGAAAAACACAAAAAAACAAACACCAAGGCCACAAAACTTAAACCAGTGTGATGCGTCAGCCGCGAATCGAACGCGGGGCCCATCGATGGCAACGATGGATTTTACCACTAAACCACTGACGCTCCGAATTAGGATAAAAACTTCTTCCCAATGCGACCTTATATTAAGGGGTGGATAAGGTGGGGTGGTATCCTCAGCCCTCGCACAAACCAACCCCTGAATGCCGCATGAATCTCGACCCGGTCTGGTCTGTGTGGAGAATTGATGGAATTACTCCGTAAGATGTGTTGGAGAAAAGAGGGTTAATTGTAAGGCCCAGCGAGCAATGAAGGTTGAGAACTACCATCTTGAAAATACACACATCGAACTCGAGAAATAACTGGGTTCGAAACCTTACACAGGATGTTCTTCAACTTCTTCTCTTAAACTCTCGATTTCATGGTCTGATTACTCGACCGATATTTGACATTTTACTTTGCTTTAATTATCGACGATGATATGAGAGCAGAGGATGAGCTCACCGGATCATAACTCCAACCCAAACTGCGATAGATGACCCTTGTCCACAAATGAATCAAGGAACGACAAAACATGCTACACTAGTACACTTGGGCCGAAAAACCTGCAAAAGCCTTCCTCTCTTGCTGGGCACGGCTCCCCATGGGTCGAGGATGGGGTTTGTGTACGCGGCACGGGGAGTAGACGAGCACGCGGGGTTAGGACTGAGTTAGGAAATGAAATAGGAATTGGTTATGATCTTGGCCAGTCTGTATAATTGAACCCGAGAGACTCTCCTGCTAACTAATGGTCTTCACCTTCCTAATCATTCCACCCTGTCTACCCCCTGCGAAAACGCACCGCGCGTACGGTCGGGTCACGTACAGCACGGCAGACAAGCATGTCGAAAGCGGCAGTGTCAAGGCGTATCAGCCGTTGCAAATCAACTTCAGGGGAGCGCGGCCTCGGGCGATTGGGAGCCATGATTGCAAGATCAACCGGAAGACAACGACAGCGATCCTGAGAAGTTTTAGACAATCTGTGGATAACGGGGAAGATAGATTTTTCCGCGGGTGGAAAGGGCACTTACGATCTTCAGGACATCGAGTGAGGGTGATGACTCCGGTTGAAGGGAAACAGGCTTGATTGAGGGCGTTGTCCTGGACTTCTTCGCCAGGAGTTGGCACAACACGCCGTTCCTTGTGGATGGAAATATTGAGACCCTCAGCGTAGGCGATAAGCTCTGCTGCGGAAACTCGGTTCCGAAGACACCGTGTGCTTCCCAAGTGGATTCGGTGGGCGATGGTCGCTTTGTTGGCTCGGCTGAAGATGATGGGATTAGGTTGGCGGTGAAGATGGGAGGGTATGAGACGGATGCATTAGAATTCGGCTTGGTTTGTTGCAGTTCGGCCGACTCGCAGTCTACCAGCACGCCGAAAATCCCGGGTGATTGGTACACAAGAGTGAAGGGAGAAGCACTCGTCAGGTCTATGTGCTTTTGCGGCGGATGCGCAAGGGGCCGTGTAAAATTGTGCGGCAACGGTGGCCTGAAGGGATTGATTGGTACACAAGAGTGAAAGGAGACTTATATGAAGGGGAAACGGAGAGTTTGAAATGCTTTCACTGTCATTTTTGAGGATGGTGTCGGCTTATATCGTGTTTTTCGGATACAGGGGCTTATATCGTGTTTTTCGGATACAGGAGGCGGCTTCCGTGGGGCGGAAGAGTACCTATGTTCACTATGTGGAAGTGATTACCTCGACAGCATGAACGGGGCCGAGGGAAGGTGGGTTGCCGTTATCAAGGTTTGTTCGGCAGCCGAGACTGCTCTGTCAGCGAAGCAGTTACCTCGGGACGTTGGAACTGATTGTATTTTTAGCCTGAAGGCGATGGTTTAACTGTAGAAATGTGCCCTTTAAGGGGAAGGAGCGTCCAGAGTTGTTTTCCTAGCCATTGATTCATTTCAATGGCAAGAGGCCTACTACCGCATCCTTTGTCACCCACTGGTGGCAGCTTCAACAACAACAAGATCATAACTACACCCTTCTCTATAGAAGCGAGCTGGTCATATTGACTAGGTATGAGTTAGGACTTTAACCTTACGCTAAGAAAAGAGTAAGTGCCTACGTTAGTAGCAAGTGGCAACCTAAGCGGATGTAAGACATGAAGATCTTATTGTAATTACTAATTAACTAAGGGTTCACAGAGTTAGACAATGCAACATACAGTCAGAGACAAACGAAACCTTATAATTCAATCTCCATCGGATATTTCCATCGGATCTCCGACGTCTACATCCTCAGGGCCTGCGTTATCTGCATCTCCGCCATATCCTCCCATAACTACATCCTGATTTCCGGCTCCAGCAATATCCTTTTCAGCTGCTTTATCTGAGCTCTCATCGCTACCCAGGAACTCTTCTCTGCACAAAGGACACCTTGGCGGCGGCCCCTCCGCGACCGAATTGGGGGCAAAAGCGGTTACATCATCCGATATCGCCCGACCAAATTTTAGCAGACACACCGCGCCGCACCAATGGCCCCTCCCCTTCTCGTAACAAACCAGGTTCTGCCACGGCCGCGAGGAGTACTGGGTCGACGGCAGGTGCTCGTCAAACGTCTCGAAGCAGATAGGACATGTGTCGTCACCGGCTCGGCGCAGCGCGTCAAACTCAGCCTCCGTGGCCTCCTTGTGGTTGTCTCGGATCAGCCAGTACCGATAGACCTCGTGATGGATGTAGCTGGTCGCCGCGTCGGCAAAGGGGTGTTCAAAATCCCTGGCCTCAATGAATGGCTTGGTGGTTTCCCTGACCCACTCCGTCACAGCTGTGGGGTGCTCGTTGACCGTCTCATTGATACACCGGGCAAAGTCGACGGGATCCGGCGCCGGCAAGGGCGACTCCTGGGAGTACGGGCTTGGGCGGGGGTCGAACCGGACCACGAGGCCCGCGAAGACGGCGAGGATGTCGCGCGCGCGGGATAGGCTGATCCCGATGTCATGGACCAGGATGAGGCGCGCCCACGTGAGAAGCTCACCGCGGGCAGTTTGCTCCAATGGGTGGTTGTATAGACCGCTTGGGGCCCGAGCCTTCCCCTCGCTCCGGCAGCGGTTGAGAAGGGCATCACAGTCGCGGGTGAGGGTATAGTACCGAAACACCCGACTTGACATGCTTGGACGTATTATCTCTAGCACAGGCAGGCTGGTGACGGCCTTGAAACGCTCATCTCGCTCGATGGCCGCCTGCAAGGCCTTTTGTCGCGCAAAGACGACCTCCTGGTGTCGAAGGGCGGGTCTTAGGTCTTGGGCCAAGCCCCCATTTCCATCCGCCATCAGGGCAGCAAAAGCCTCGTTGGCCAGCTTGCGCCGGATGTGGCTCGCCCAGTTGTTGAGAAACGGTTTCTTTGTGAGACGGCAGGAGCATCCACTCGAGGGAAATGCGAAGCCCATGCCATCGTCCTCGCCGCCCTGTTCGTCTAGTGGATAATCGTCGCGCGGCAGCAACCGCGATGGACTGGGGTGAAACGCGGTCGCTCTGCAAACCAGCTCATTGAAAAGATACACCATATCATCGGCCATCTCTAATAACTGGAGTTCCTCATCGTCGTCGTCCCACCCTGACGGTACGATCGCCGCGTCGGGGAGAGCTTCACAAAGGCTGCTAAGACGGGAAAACATACGCGTATACAACCAAATCAGCAGGCTATTACAGTACTCCATCGCAAAGTTTCCCCCCGACCTCGCCATTCGGGAAAACTCAAAGTAGACCCGCCGCCTCTTAGTAGCCATCGGGCCGTCATCATCGGGTTCTTGGGAGCCTTGCGGGTTTGTTCCAACTTTGACAGGCTCGCGCAGAGGCACGTCACCCTCGCCTGTGCAATCGGGACACCGTTCACGATTGTCGTCCTCCTGGGCGGTATCTGTGGGGGTATAGTACCATTCTTCGCGAAATTCTAGGTTCTCTTCTTGAAAGCAAAGTGGCAGGTTGTCGTCCGCGATAGTTCCAGATATGAGGTGGTCGATATTGAAGGTTGGGTTGCTACACTTGATCAAGTACTCACATGTGTGATATACGCCTGGAGCGCACAAGAAGCGCCGTTTTAGTTTTATACACATGGTCGATCCCACTTACTCGACGTCTTGGTTAATCTGTTAATTAGTGATAGTGTCTTACTTTCACAAAAGCGACTGATCCGTCGCCGTTTGTGTTAATTAATCCGAGTATGAGTTGTCCTCTCGGGATCCTGTTGTAATTCCGGTGCGTTAGCTATCCGCCCAAACGTCGAGGAGGAAATTACCGTATGCTGGTATCTTGAGGCGAAATGTTGACGGATTAGTAGGAGTCTTTTCAAGGCCATTTTAAGACAAAATGGGGTTAGCATGGTGCTTAAGTAGTATATGTACATAGTTCTCTAGGGTATCTGAACAAACCCCTTGCTCACCTTAAGACTTGAGAACAATGGAACAATGAAACAAGGTGAACCTCGCTCTTGAGAAACAAGGAGGCCTAGTTATAGCGGTCTTTTTTTTCCCTTGTTACCAAAAACAGATCATCATTGGCTTCGTGTTTGGTCCTCGGGTCTTTGAGCCATTCCCCGTGGTCACTCCCTCGAGGCAAACCGACTGTTCAGACCATGATCAGAGTGGTCATGATAAAGGCCGCTATTTTACTTGTGATCAAGTTGCTCAAAAACTTCTAGCCACAAGTGGAGCTGAGAATTAGGCGAAAACAAAATAAAATAAAAAACGATGGTAAATAAAATTTCTCCGTTGTTTAACTCTAATGCATGTTTACCGCGCCAGGGGCAGTCAGGGGAAAGCAGATAATCACGGGCGGGGGTTAGGGTTGGTTGTGCGATGTCACGAATACCCCTACTTGGAATGCAACCAACACCCTGCTGTGGGCAATGGCTATGATTTTAGGACTTTCGATTTATCACTAGTTATTTGAACCGGCTCGCCCTAAACGCAAAGCTTTCAAACCATCTGGCTCATAACGCCCAAAGTCCCGCTACCTGAGACCTTCATCCATATACTCCGACATTGCAGGGGCCAAGATTCCTGCACATCAACCAAACCTTCCCTGTACATGTTGTACATACCAAGACCAACGCTATCAAACAACGCAAAAGACTTCCCATTCATGTCTTTTCTCGTCTCAGGCCAGATACCGATACGCGGAGATATCGCTGCCTTCGACTCTCTCCAAGTACTCCCGGGTAAGCAGATCCTCGATCCGCTTCTTGATCATCGAAACTTCAGGCTTGAAGCGACCAGCAAGCTGCCCGATGACCTCGGTAGTGAGTTGAGTGTGCGATAGCTCCTTACGTTGCCTACAAGAAATTCTAGTCAGCTCACGTTTTCTGAAGGGGGAGGAAGAAAAAAGGGGCAAAACTAACTTCATAATCCGCACAATCGCGGCATCCACCACATGGGCCCTGGTCTGGTCGTTCTTGCGTTCGGTCTCTTTGCGCTCGTCGTTGTCCTCAACCTTGGAGGTGCTGCTAATAACGGGCGCCTTGATCTTGATGGTCTTGCTGACAAACTGGGCGTTGAAGGCAAACTTATCAGTCGGCTTGACATTCTTGGACATTGGCTCCTTGGCGAGCACCCGCGACTTGGGCGGGATGGAGAGTGATCCCAACGTGCGGATGAGGTCAGAGGGGGGGATATTAGTTTTGGCCTGAATCTCTTCAAATGACAAGCTCGCGTCGTCGGCGAAACCGTTGAACAACTCCAGCACAATCATGCCGTAAGTCGAGACGTTGAGTTCATACCGGCGCTCCTTGCTGAGCGGCCCACTCTCCTTGCCGGGTATTTTGGGAAACACACATTTGACGTCGGCGCTTCCCGCTGAGGCCACCCAGGATAGAACGCGGCCACTGCGGTCTTTCAGGTAATACTTAAAGAAGCTTTCCTGAAGTCGCTTGATGGCTGGTGGGAAGATGCATTCCGCTCGGGCACTGCCATCTTCTTGAGCTGCGGTGCGATTCATAACCTCGGGTGGCCAGTTGTTCGTGGTCAACACGTGGATACCAAGGTCCGATTTGACATCGGCATCGCCCAAATTCCGGACGTGATCCCGGTAATTTTCTGTGAGGTCCTTCGACAGCTCCATGTCCTTGAACATGCCCTCAAATTTTGTGGTGAAGTGGTTACCCAGCTCCCCCCTCATCCTGCGAACGAGTTCCTTCTCGATGTGAATTTCGGATTTGTTGTGCAGCAACCTCCTGGCGAGGTGCTTTTGGTGGTACCGCTCAAACATGTCGCGATCGGCGAGGTACCGGAGGAGAATGATAGCCTTTTGCAGGACCACCTCCACATCTTCGTCCGACTTGCCCTTGAGGCCCCGCTTGAGACTATCGTCAATGAAGAGCGACACGAACTCTGAACTCCTGTTGAACATGTTGATGAATTCAGAGAAGCTCTTCGTCACGGCGGACTGAAGAACTAGATCTTCATTGAAACATGTTTTCGACAGGTTGTCAAACTTGTCCTTCAGCTGCAGTACATCGTCTACCCACTTAATCGAGGCGGCCGTTTGTTGCGCCGCCGCACTCAGGGGCTGGATTTTGGCCTTTTCACCAGCTTCGGCTGGCTCTTCCGCCTCGGGGCCCGTCGCAGGCGCGGAGAAATCTGTGTTTTTAAGGGTCTGCTCAATTTCGAGACCCAAGTCCATCACACGACTCTGCAGAATCACCCTCAGAGCGTGTTTTGTCTTGTCAACTCTCGAGATAAGTTGGTAGAGTATCGACAAGTCATCGTGACGGTCGTTGTCAATCATACTCTTCAATCCACTCCCCTCCATGGCCAAAAAGTCGCCGAGCTTCGCGACAATCAATTCCTTCTCGACAACCAAGGCAATCTTGTCCGTGGTTAGGATAGAAAGCGATGTGTCGCAGCGATCTTGCTCTTCGCGGAGCCGGCGTTGGGTGTGATGAAGCCATGCACTAGCGTTGCCCTCGCGGAGCAGTTTCTCGCACTCATTTTTGTAAAACCCCTGACTCGCACTGAGGAAACGAGGCTCGAAAACGGTCAAGTAAAGCTTCGCATTTTCCAGCTCGTCATCGGTTTCGTACAGAGCTTCCAGCATTGATGTTATCTGGCGGAGCAAATTCCGATCGATGATGTCGCCATCCCTCTCCATGTTGATCAGGTCCAAGACCACAGCGTTCAAAACGTCAAAAATGACGAACGGCTGATTGAGCTGTTCTGAAGCCTCGCCCAATGTATTCCGCAAGATGTGGTCTCTGAACAACCCGATCGTGGCCGCAAATATGGATGGTCGTCTCGACTCAGCGACGTATGTTCGTTCGAGATACATGAGGATGTCGGCGACCATGTTCATCGACATATTGTGGTCCTCCCATGTGCTGCGAATCCCTCTCAGAAACCGCTCGCCTGTTTGGCGTCGTTCGTGCGCGCTGGACCCAGGTACCTGGAGCAGCGCGATGCTGATTAGATTTGCGGAGACCAGGTCTTCGATGGGTTTGAGGACGTGGTCGCGGAACCATTGTTCCTCGAATGTTTTGACATTGTTGTAGAGTAGCTCGCCTTTCTTTCGGAGGACGATCTTGTACGAAGCTCGGTAGAGGTGCTCGAACGAGAGTCTGCTGGCGTTCTTGTTGTGGATGTCGGTTAAAGCACCCTTGAGGATCTCCCAGCACGGCGTAAATTCGCTGTTCTCCTTATTCATAATTGGCTATAACCGTCAGAATACATAACCTCAAACAGCTAGTAGGGCCTTCCCAACAACCACGAAACCAGAACAACATTGGCCACCCGAGAAAGGCCGTCAAACGAGAGAGAAGGAGGGGGAGGGGGGGGTTCGCGTGGTAGGCGTACCTTCCGGATTGGCCGGATCTTGTTTGGCCGAGACGCCATTGTAACAATCGCCAACTATCGGCCACCGGTTTGAAGGAAAGGCCAAATGGATAACAGCAGTTAGGTTGGAGAGAACGAGGATGCGGGACGGGGTCGTTGAGCCGGTGCCGAGACGATGGACAAATGAGCGACGCCAGATGGGGGTTCGATCGTGAGGGTCGTGGTAAGGGGCGTTGGAACAAGAAGTCGTGCGGAACCCCTGTGGTTTATTATGAAAGGGTTCCGCTTTACTGGTAATCTAGGCACGGCGATGAATAAAGATTTAAGTTTAAAGCCTGCTGGGCAACAAACGGTGATAACCTCAAAGAACGGATTTCGCAGTCACCATCTTTGTTCAGTGCAGCTTCTTCGATTTGTTCGCGGTTTGTTTCAGGAGCAAGTAATGAAATGGAAAGGAAGAAGGGAACAATAATACGCCAGGAAGCTGACCCAACATCTCGGAACCTTAGGAGAAGCGCTTCGCACCCAAATAAGGTTCCGAGGCAAAGATGGGCGGGAACAACCCACCCCGATGGGCACGATGGCGGAGGTGCCTGGACTGGACTGAGCTGCAGCGCGTGTCCCCGCCTGCCCTGACTGCCCCTCTGGAGAGCTCACAATTTACAGGGGCTTTCTTATCTTATCGGGGGGTCCAACCCCGGCGCGTCTCGCGATCCTTATCGATAAGAACTTTTTGTTAGTGGCGGCGGCAAATGTTCGGATTTGCCGGAGAACCAAAGCAGCATTCAAGGGAGCTCCCGTTCACATGCCCGCCTTTTAGCAACCCATTACATGCAATACAAGCATTATTTTTCTTACTCGGCGATCACCACACATAACCTCTTCTGTGAAACATGGCGTGCCAACGACCTCTAGCCTCAATTCTCGGCATATCAAAGCTGTCATCGCCCGTATCGGCCAGAACCTCGACAGCTTTCCTTCGCCCAGCACGACGAGTCCCCAGGCCTCCCCCATCCGCAATGATCCGTCTTGCCCACAGCATCCCACGGCCATCGCCGTTCACTCAACCAGAACATCAACCCACATCCACAGCGACTACCCCCCCCTCATCTTCCTCAACACCATCCACAACACCAACATCAACAGCCCCCGGATCCCCAACACCATCATCACCAACAACCCCCAACATCCTCCAACAACCCCACTACGAACTCACCTTCACCTGCCGCCCCTGCAGCACCCGCTCGCGCCATCGCATCTCAAAGCAAGGCTACCACCACGGCACCGTCCTCGTCGCCTGCCCCGAGTGCAAGAACAAGCATGTAATCAGCGATCACCTGCGCATCTTCAGCGACGCTTCCGAGGCGCGCACGGTCGAGGAGATTCTGCGGGAAAAGGGAGAGACCATTCGGAAGGGGACCGTTGTTGTTGGTGGACAGGAAGGGGAAGGGGAAGGAGGAAGTGGGGATATGGAGTTTTGGGAGGATGGGTCGAGTAATCCGCGCCAGCCGTGGGAGGATCAGGCTGGGGTGAGGATTGGAGGGTGGGGGAAGAAGGAAGGGGACGCGGAAGTGGATGAGAATGCCGCGCCTGGATCAACGTTTAAGAGTGTAAAGCCGGGGGATAGGTGACAAGGGGGTAGGAGATGGGACTCAGATGATGACGAAACGGCGATGATTGGGCATATCAGGATGGATGCGGCTAGATGGCTGGGCATGTTTTGGCCATGGCCAATGCTCATGCAAAATTAATTTGTAACAAAAAAGGCAAACCGACCGGCCCTATATAATCAAGAACTCCCACTGACCTACTTGGTCAAATCCATGAAAACACCCAACATCCACACCTTTGCCCGACAGATTCACCCACATCTCGTTAACTCTGCAGGAAATTCCGCCGATGCTCCCTTTGCTCCTGCCCGCGCACCTTTCTCTTCTCCTTCTTCTTCTCAAACTTCTTGCGCTTCTCGCGCCCATACCGATCCGGCGCCGTCAGCGCCTCAATCTTGCGCTTGCTCGACCGTTGCTCGCGCCGCTCACGGATATGCTCACCCACCGCCACCAAAGCCCGCGTGTACTCCGCGCTCCCCAACCGCCGCTGCAGTGTCTCCATAGTCGTCTGCGCCTTGGCCTTGAGCGTCTCATAGCGTGCCTTAAAGACATCGTTGAGCGAAAAAGGCTGCCGGATGGAAGGGTCTGTCAGGTTGCGCAGAGGGCGGAGGATAGTCTTGGCGGATGCGAGTAATGTGGCGGTTGGTGTCTTGAGGGAGAATGTCTCGAGAAGGTCGATGGCGGCAAGCTTGCTAACAAGCATTTCGGGCTTGGGCTGTCGCTCCCTGCGGATGATGGAGGCCAGCTTCCAGAACATGTATTTGATGTCGGCGTGTTGGGCCTTTTCTTTGGCGTCGTTGTCTTCGTTTTCTTCATCTTCGTCACCCTCTTCCTCGACCTCTTCTTCGCCTTCCTCCCCCTCTTTAGCTGGCTTCTCAGTTTCGAGGTAGCCGCCCAAGAACGTGATTATTTGCACCGCCTCTTGTGCCAGCCCCTCATCGACTTCGGGTGCGGAGAGAATTCCGAGCGACAGCCTCACCAGGTCGGTCACCTCATCCGCGCCAAGCTCCAAGCCATAGGACCCGGAAAGGGGCAGTGTTTGGCCCTTGGCGGCATTTCGAGCAAAGTCCGCCAAGTACATGCTCAGTAGTTTGATGGAAGTGACCTTAACTGTGGTGTGCGAGTGCGCTAGGCAAGTTTGTATTTCGGACCACAGTTCATCTGCCTCCGGAGCGAGCACCTTCTGCGGATGTTTCTGCACCAGTGTCTGAACTGCAGTCAACGCAATGTTGGCTAGCTCCCAGTCCGCTTCAAGCGCCTCCTCGTCGCCCAGCACGCTGACCAGCTTGCTCGTGATGAGAATAAGGTCTTTGTTGTCGTTGGCGCTCGGCTCTCGGCCCCCGAAGTAGAGCCCGAAGGCGTGTAGAGCAAGCTTCAGCACCGCCGGGTTTGCATCCTGTCCCACCCATGATCGCAGCAGCGTCATGAACTTGGTCAAGCGCTCCCTGTCTGACACTCGGAACACCTCCTTGATCAATTCCCCGGCCGCGAGTCGACACTTCTCGCTGTCGTCATTTGCCAGCACAAACACCAGCGGGATGAAGCAAGTCGCGGCGACTTCCTGGGTGAATTCGTCCGCCGACTTCTTCAGAAGCAGATTGATAACCTCCATGACTGACAGCCGGCCGCCCTCGCGCTCGTATTTGAGGTTGGCAACGATAAACTTGAGCTGCTTCTCCCACCGGTTCCGCTTCTGAGGGTACTCGCGCAGGAACTGGAAGAAGGCGCCGCGAGCCAGGTCGCGGGTATCCTTGTCGTCGTTGGTGATCATCACGGTACCGACGTGGTCCAGCGTGTCGTACACTGAGGCAGTCTCGAGCTTGCGATCTAGAACGGACCGCAGGAAATTGAAGGTGACATGCCGGTACATGGGCTCCGTCAGGTCGTCCTTGAGTTTGCTAAGTAGCATGTCCAATGCAGCGTCCCTCATAGGAATCTCGCGACGGTCGCGAAGAATGACTGAGATGAGCTTGAGTGCGGATTGAGAGATATCTGAGGTGGTTGTTGGCGACATGGAGATGGCCTTAATAGCTTCCTTGTGAGCAACCTTGTATAGCCCGCTCGAGTCCCCGTTTTTGAACGGCACCTTGGCCAAAACAGGGAGAAGCTTGAAGGCTGCGATCTTGACCTCTTCCTCGGCTGATAGGACAGCATCGCCAAGGATTGGCAAGAACCCTGCGATATTGCTCGGTGTGCGAAGACCGTCGTGCTTCTTCCACACAGACCGCAGGATATCGATGGCGAACCGGACAAGCTTGTAGGTGTGTCTGCTGGTGACGCCGCCGTCACTCTTCTTGGCAGCCTTCTGAACTATGTATCTCTTGAGACGAGGGTCAACCTTGGGCTCGGCATGGGGCTTTTGGCTGTTGTACACTTCCTGGATCACCTCGTAGCAGAACACCAGGATCTGCTGTGACGCTGCGGCCGGATTCTCAAGAAGGCCCTTCGTGATGCGAGTGAGGAGTTCGTCGATCTTCCTAACCGTGCGTACGTCAAGCTTTTCAAGGAGCAAAGACTGGAGAGGCATGGTGAGATCACCAAGACGGATGATAGAGGCTGTCTTGGAAATAAGCTCCATGGAATCTTGGCTTTTACTGCTCTTCACCTCCTTCATTTGGCTCACGTATTCCGCAGCGTCCTTCTCCTGGCCAGCAACACCAAAGATATCGTCCATGATGACGGCCATGATAGAGGACAGGCAGTAATCCAGGTCACCTTGATCAAAGGTTGGGATGGCGACTAACAGAATCGAGTGCAGTGTGTATGAGAGAACATGCAGCTGATGACCCCTGACGAGAGCGCCGCGCAACTCTTTCAGAATGAACTCCAATTTTTCGGGGCCGAGGATGCCGGAAATCTTAGCCAGCGTGTCCCGGGCCATCTCGCGAGATTCCCAAGACTTGCTGCGGAGGATGTGGGAGATGTCGGTAAGCACACTGGGAAGTTTCTCGTCCAAGCGCTCTTGTGGAAGCAGGGTGAGCAGCTTCGCAATGATAACGCCCACGGGTACTCTGGCGCTGACCGTCGTCTCGTCCTTCTCGTGTATGTACTTGAGGAGCGTAGGCAAGAAGTTGTTGACGATTTCGGCACCGAGTTTCTCTTGATCTGGCAACGTCCTTGCAAGGCGGCGAAGGTCCGCGACCGCAATCCCACCGTCCACATCCATTGCATCGCCCGGTCCTTGCGAGACCGCCGTCGTCAGCGCATCGACTTCCTTCTCCAGTAGACGAATGACGCGCTTCTTCCAATCCGGTTTGGATTCAACGTAGGAAATAAATCTCCTGAGAATGGCACGGTACTGCTGCCATTCAAGCGACGCGGTTAAGACTGCGATGGTGTTTGTCGCTTGCGCGCTTAGGCCATGATCGTCGCCACCCTCGGGGCGGTCGAAGATGAAGTGCTCGAAGAGAGGAATGAAGAACTGGCTGATGTGTTTGCTCCGCAGCTCGCTCTTCTTGTTCGCCGCCTCGAGTAGACGGATGGCTTGCAGCTGTCTCGACACAGCCGGGCTGAGAACGTGGAAGAAAAACGCTTGATCCGAATCCTCTGAGACTGGTACTAGTGGAGCGAGGTCGGAAACAGGCTCCCACTGCGGCAGATGGGCAACCAAAAACCCGAACAGCCGCAGTATCTCGCGGCGGACAGTCTCCGAGGGCTCCCTTGCCCCAGCGTAGATAGCCGGCAGAATGGTAGTCGACAAAATTTCGACGAAGGTAGACTGTTGAGGCCCAGCCCAGGATTGTTCCGCAGCCGACACGAACTTGCAGAGCCCGTCGGCGGCGTTAGACGAGAGCACCCCGAACTCTTCATCCTGCTGTATGTAATAAAGAAGGTTGTGGATCAGAGGCATCCATTGGTCAATTGTAAAAGGGGTTTCTCGGTCCTTCGTGATTGCATTTAACGCCGAAAGCCGAGTGTTGTAGTCCGGTTGGTCCAGGCGGCGTTGGGCGTACGAGTTGAGGTCACGACAAATATCAGCCACCTCCTTTGCCCAAGCCTCTCGTGAAGCAAACACCTCCAAAACCTCGGCAAGTGTCTGCCGGTTCTGTTGGTCTTTAAAAAACCCAAATAAGGACGCGATGGTGGCGTACACCTTGCTCTTCAGCTCAGAATTGCTCTGGAGATCCTCCAAAACGATGAACTTCTTCAGGATGAGCAAGATTGATCCCTTGATTTTGGGGTTGACCTTGCGTAATGGTTGGTTGAGCAGGAACGTAGAGATCTCAACCATGTCCTGAACACTCGTCGAGGTCTCCACGACAGACGAGATGGCAACAACCGTGTCCACCGCCGTTCCTAGCAGGTTTCGCCCAATCTCAGGTTGGTTGCGGAGCAAGGAGCTGATTTCCTTGAGAATGAGGTTAACATTGGGGTCTAGCAGGTCCGACTTGATCAAGTCATTGAACTCCGATTCGACAGCAGGGGCTTCCGCCAGATGAATTAGGCCTTTGAGGATATCGAGTGCATGTATCTTGACCTCATCCCTAGCCTTCTCAATCCCTAGTGTCTCAACGATTTTCGGCAACACTCTCTTGTCGGTGGAAAGAAACAGAGCGGCCTTGGGAAGGGTAGCCCACGTGCCAAGGAGCCTCCAAGTCGCCGACACACCCTGAGTGGTCTCGGCCGGAAGTCTGTCGATCTTGGGGGCGATGACTTCGTTGACAATGGCCTTCTCATACGGAGACCAATCAAACCCAGGAGCGTTTTGAAAGAGTTTGCACAACGACTTCAAACCCGTTGTCCGCACAACCTTGAACAAGGACGAGTTCTGGACCTGATCTGTTTCCTCAGATTCTTGGTCTTCGGCCCCTGCACCCAGCTGTCGACAGGCAAAGATGAGACAGTAAAGGACAGCGTTGACCAAGGGCACCATGAACGACTCAACGCTCGCGCCGAGTTCATTGATCACGGATTCGATCATGTTTAGCAGACCGACCTGCTTCCGAACAGGGAGAGTTTCGTGGACAAACACGCTCTCGCGGAGGCCCTGGGAGTCAACGACTTTGATGCTGCGGAGGTCGCCAAGTGCAATGTCCAAGAAACTTCCCATGTCTTGGACATCGAGCTGCCGAATCACGGCCAATCGCGTGGCATGAAGGCCATGGCGGCCACTCGCCACACCCTTCTTTGAGATGGTTCGCCCATAGAGCAAGTGGAGGAGAACAGGCATGACATCTGGGCGGTGTTGAGGTTGAATCTGGTTGTCACCCTGAAACAGCACAGTGAGCTCATTCTTGAACCTCGCCTCGTCGAGAAGATACTCGAGATGCTCCTGGTATGGCTTGATGGCGTCGTTTTTCCAAGCAAGGATGGACTTAAGAGACTGTTTCTGTAAATCGACGTCGCCATTCGCCAGCAGCTTCAGCAGTGATTGATACACTCGCTGGCTCTGGTAGAGCACGCGCGGGTTGTTGAACTGCGCAAAAACACCAACAAGCGCCTTCCTATCAAGGAGGGACCAACTCCCCTCGGGCGATTCTTCGGCGTCATCCCCAGCGGTTTCGGACGATGCCGTTTCGCCATCCTCGGTAAACGAAAAGAGATATGGTACCAGTCTCCTCGACCGCTTTTCTGCCAGCACAGGCAAGGCAGCGAATGCCTTGAGCGCCTTGCTCCGTGCCCTTTCCAAATGTGACTCAACGATCTTCTGGCCGTCCTCAAACGCGCCAAGCATGTCTTGGGACGGGTCATCCATGACGCTTGTTGTGGCGGCGGCCGTCTCGCGAAGAGACATGAGGTTAAGACAGTCAAAGTTGGTGAGCGCCTTGTGGTTGTCTTCGCCAGGTGGTTTGTACGGTCCAGTCCATTGCGGTGCCGGCACCTCCAACCATTCGAAAGCAATGTCCGCCAATGCTTCCTCTCCCGGCTTGCTCTCAGCGACCTTCTTCATCGCCTCAATAGCATCATCCCAAACAGGGGACAAGGGCACCGTTGTCATTCCAAACAGATACGCCGGGATAGCACGCTTCAACCAGGAGTCCGACTCAATGTGAGAGTAGATTTGGCCAAGCTTGCGAAGATGGACGGCAATGGTCCGCACGCTCTGGAGGTTGAGGGGTAGTTCTTCAACCTGAATCATGTTCGCCAGGGCGGAGTTGGAGTCAGGGGTAAATTCCAAAATTTCCAAGATCTTCAGAGACGCGAGGCGAAGCTCGTGAGATGATGTCGAGAGGTTGTCGGTGAGACACTTCACTAGAGGATCTTCCTCTTCTTGCTGGCTATCACTGCTGCTTGTGCCTGGTGACCGTCGGAGTTTCTCGCTGACGATGCGTTCGTATTCAAGGAGAGCCTCCAGGAATGCTGGCGAACGACAAAACCGAGGCGCGGCCGCTCTGAGTAACGGTGCCAACGCTTGATCAACAGAGCCAGCGGCCGCACACATACGGAGATAGGCGCGGAAGCCATCGCTGAGAATGAAATTGGCCTCGTCGGTCGGAAGTGAGGAAGATGGCCGAAGGGCCAGCTTCAGCTTCTTAAGCAGCACCTCCGCTATCCTTGCGTTGGTTGAAGGGTGTACCGATGTCGATTCCAATATTCGAAGCCGCGCCGAGTATTTCGGCAAACACTTGTCCCTCCATGTTTCCGGGTCCTTCCCGAACCCACCACTTTCTGGGAAAGGAGTGTCACCCAGTCTGACAAATTTTGTGACAATCTGGTCCTGCCAGGATTGTGGGAGTTGGAATATCTCTTTCGTTCCCGGTGTGGGAAGTCCACCGGCCTCAACCATCCGCGGTAAAAGTACACAGAGCGTTTCCTCGTTGGTCCCTTGAGACCAATGGGCAACGATAAATCTGACCGCATTAGTAAGAATTCGAAGTTAAAAAGTAAGGTGAAACACACTTTTGAAAGTCTTTCATGAACAAGCCACGGAATCTCTCAGGATTCAGATCGGCCAAATATGAACAGAAGAGGATGTACCATCGCATCAACGGTTCCTTGACCATCGTCGCGTTAAATGAAGACAGAGAAGGAAGAATGGCATCAATGGGGGCCTGAGCCCACACAATGGCAGTGTTGACGATGATTCTTTGGAAGACCCGCGCTGCATTCATGGCTTCCAAACGTTCCTTCTGAGAAGAAATCGACCCGAGAAGTTGGCCCAAATCCTTCAAAAGCCCACTCCAGTCATGGATACGGGTGCCTTTCCGTACGCCAACCATAGTCCCCAAGATCAGGACAAATAATACGGAGCGCTGTCCAGCAGCCGCCTCAATTGCCTCCTCAGCCACCCTCGTCTCAATGGTCCGGAAGGTATCCACATTGGAATGGTGTATGATGCTGGTGAGTACGCCGCAGCAGACGTCTGTCCATACAGTGTGCTCGGGTAACTCCAGCTCCTTCTCAGGCACCTGCCGCAACACGGACGCATAAACCTCTGGCCCCGTCGAATGTATACCATCGCCCACCCCTTTTATTGCCTCGGCAAACATGGTCATAACACCTTGGCTGTACAACTCGAACTGCCTATTCCCAGCGACGCTTTCAAGATCTTGCCTGACGTGCTCGACAAATAATGGCAGAGCCTTGTCTTTGTGGCTGGGCGCCGCCGCCTTCTTGACTAGAAAGCTCATAGCCTCAGCGGCGAATCGCGCAATGTGCCCGGGGTTGCGCGCCTTGCCCATCAGCGGTGCGACAGCGTCATACGTAGCGCGAAGGTCGGGGACGAGTAGTCGCGACAGGTATTTGAAGAGGAACGCCAACGCGGCGAATGTCCACTCGATCACCTCAACGTCATGGACCTTGCCGGCAAGTTCCACAATGAGGGTGAGCGCGCGGGGGTAGTGTTTTTCGAAGCGGACGCCGAGATCGTGCGCAAATGCCGTCACCAGATCTAGGAGAGGCTCAAGGGCCTCTTTCTCGTGCTTCGCGATGTACTCGACCAGCAGGTCCATGATGCGGTCCTCATGGTAGAGAATCTGGGCGAGCGATTCTGTTAAAGGGTTGATTTGTCGCTTGAAGGCCATGTACGGTCGGGAGATGTTGAGCTCAGCCCATTTGTCCAGGCCATTGCGAAGATATGAAGTCGTCGCATCGAGGTCTTCGGCGTCGAGATCGTGGCGTCGGACTTTGCGGAGGGGGTCGAGGGAATGGAGTTTCGAGATTTTCGTGCTGAAGGACTCCCATCGGTGATTCTTTTGGTGGGGGGTCTTTTTAGACCCCCTCGTAGTCTTTATGATGCGGCCGGATGTTGCGGACGGCATGGTGGCGGCTTCCCAATTGCCGTTCGGTGCCGGCGTTGTCCTGTCCTGCGACGGCTTTCAGCCTTTCTTTCGATCGTTGGACAAGGCGCTGATGGGAACCGCTGCACATAATTTTTTTGGCCGAGGGAGCGCCAGCCGAGCTCAGATAAGACGATAAGAGCGGGGCCACCGCGCTTTCCGCGTCAGATATTCGAGTAAATGCATAGTTGGTTTATTACATTTTCATGCGTCAATCGGCAACTTCACGTTCTCAAAGCTATGCTTGCTTGCTCAAGCAGGAAGGAACGAAGCAAAAAGAGATGAAAGCGTTGGATCATGCACCTTCCCGCAAAGAACAAAAGGGTTTCTAGAGTAAAAAATGCTAGCAAGGACTTCACTTTTCCCACTCGACCTTAGAAATGGTGTCGTTTTCCAAATATCACCCAACCAAGGTGTCGACTTACACGCCTTCATCATCCCTTCGATAGAAACATAGCGTCAACTGGATCCCAGGCTTTGTAAGACGACTTTCCGTTGAGAATGTTTCGCCGCGAGCCCTACGTCCCGCCGGTAGCTCGGTTTCAAACAAAACCTCAGGCGACCACGACCGACGCTTCCACTCCCTTGGACAACGCCAATGGTACCGACAACACTAGCAGCATTGATAATCAAACGGCCAAAGGCAACTCCAACCAGGAGGCTGAAAACAGCCTCGACGATGACATAGCCACCTTCCTCCTCCCGCAAGCCCGCCGACAAACAAATATTGTCAACGCGACCACGGCCGCCGCCGAGAGCGCCAGCGCCCACAATCCGCACGGAGCTTCTCTCACGGCGAGATCGGCTGTCCAGCTTCCAATCCGAGCTCCCTACGCCACGCCCGACGGGCGGGTATACTACGTATGTAACCAGTGCAACCAGAGGTCCGGGTTCAAGTCCAACGAGATGCTGCGGTGCGTGAACTGCGGCGGGATGACGATGCTGAAACCGAGGGCGAAGACGTACGTTTATTGTGGAAATGACGGGCTGGCGTGTACAAACAGCTCAAACTAACTGTGATGCTTAGGATAGCTCAGTATTCCGCCAACTAAAACGCAGAAACAGCGCGGCGAGGGCCAGGGGGGACAACCAAGGTACTTGACTTCTAGCCTAGGCCAAGAAGCAAATTCAAGGAGGAAGGGCAAGGCAAAGCATAGCCGCGGTTGTACCTCCTTTAAGATAAATCCCAAGGTTCCGATTCGAGGTCCGAAAGGATATTTCAGCTGTTTAAGGTCAGCATATTTTGCAACATTTGTGCTGGCGCTCCTCTATCCTCTGCATATACCACTTCCCGATCTTCCTTGATGCACTAGCGCCTCCTCCATTAACCCTCCCAGGTAGCCGACCTGCCCCTTAACCCTCCAGCGTAAAGTCCCACTCCTTGAATGCCTTCCTGAACGCCACCACATCCGCGGTCTCCTCCTCCTCTGACTGGGCTACATCCTGCCAAAACGTCCGGTCCTCCAAACCAAGCAACTTCGCCATAACCTTGCGCGGATACTGAAGATCAAACCGAATGCTCTCATCAAATGGCAGCAGCAAACTCTTGCCCACCACCTTCCCACCATCCTCCCCATCCTCCTCCGCCCAGATCCACACCCGGAAATAATCGCCTGGTACCTCATCCGCCGTATCAAATTCCTTAGTCACAAACTTGCCTAATTTCATGTCCTCAGCCAGCACCCGAAAGCCCGCCTCAACCAGGCCTTGGCTCACCATTGTCGCAGGTACCGGTAAAAACTGCCAATGCACGTGGATGTTGCGCGCCCTATTAATCTCCCAGGTAACAGCGCCTAGTTTCCTACCGGAAGCTCCAGCTACCATGCCTTGCAGGGCGTCACGGAAGCGCTTCATCTCGGCGAACGTCTTCTTGGCCTCCCCACCATTACCATCAGCGGCGGCGGCATCACCGTTGTCATCATCGCCGCCCATGGCTGCTGCGCTAAGTGACGCCGCATGTGTAAGTGGCGTGATGATGAAATGACCCGGGAACTCCAGCCCTTGCTTCCCAAACGTGCCGGCAGCGGGGAGGGGGCCTTTGGCAGTAGCAAGGTACGTATCCTCGCCTACACAGGCAACCATATGCGTGGGCAGGTTGGGGTTGGACAGGCAGAAAAAGCAGCGGTCCGGGCCGGGAGGCGGAGAGCGCTCGCGACGGTGGTGATGTTTACGCCGCCTATTGTGGTGATCTTGATCGTGTGAATGGGCACCGAAACGGCTGAACTCGGCTTGATCGGCGGTGCGCTTCTTGGGGACGGGCTTAGTGTAGAACGGCGTGAGGGTGCTACCCACAGGGGGTGTGATGATGGCGTCTTTGTTGAGGGTAAAGGCGTACATGGACTTGGCCTTGGCGGTGTTGGCCCAGGGGGCAAGAGATATGAAGCGAGTGAGAGCAATCCCCTTGTCTTTATCTTCCTCTGTCTCCTGGGCGAAGAAGGGTTCGCGCTCAAACGCAATGTTGCCGGGTGACATCGCGAAATGATACCGAGGTTTCAGCACCTCGCAGAGTTCCGCAATGGTCTGGCTGGAAGGTGCCGTTTCCGCACCGATCTGCAGTTCCTTCCCTTTGGAGCTGTTCTTCCATACGCCGGTCGGCCACATGGTAGTCAGGAGAATGTCTGCGTTGTTGGCTCCCCGGAGCGCTTTGGTGTCCCCTTCGGTGTGGATTGGCTCATGCTGATCTTTAGACAGCCCAGCCACAATGTTCAGGTCCACGATCCCGCCCAACGCCACGATACGCACTCCCTCAGACGTCTTCGTGACACTCCGTTTGCCCAGATAGTAAAGATTCGGGGCAACTTCCTCGTCTTTTGCCACCCTTTCAACCACCCTCGGGGGCAGCTGAATGGTGCCCACGGTGAAATATGTGGGGCACGGGATCTCAATCCGCCCCTCGAGCAGGTCCGTTAGCTGGTCATCGTCTTGGGCCTCACCAAATAGGTTTCCCGTCACCATGACGAAACTGAAGACATTTTTGGCGTGGAGAGCGGCGAGTTTACCGAAGGCAGACCGAAGCTGGCCATTAATGCTACCGAAAACGAAGCTGATGTGGTCAGTATGGGTGATATTGTTAAAATTGAGGGTGCCGCGGACTAACATCTTCGTTGCCATTTTCAAGGACGCAAATGCTCACAATTCCTTGGCTAATGGTGGATGCGATGAAAAGAAAGGAATCGAAAGGTTGAAGCATAGAAGGAAGGATAATTATAGGCGTGGCCATATGGCGGAAGGAAGTCCTCAATTTGAAAGAAACAGTATGCAACCACAGAAAGGTTAATACATTGTATGGAACTCTCAATGTTTAATCCCTAACGGTGTTGATGAAAAGTGTCGAACATGCGACTTCGTAATATGCATTTCCTGCTTTGGGGTTGAACAACCGATGAACCTGAGCGCGGTCGCGATGATGCAGGACGCGACAGGTCGGCTTATCTTATCAGTCCACCCCGCTTAAAGAATACTTCCCACAACGATCAATATGTACATAACTTCACCAAGTCAATGATGAGGGTGACCAAGACGAAAAACATGAGCCCGTGGTGAATACAGGCTGGTTTTGAAAGGGAAATATCTCTCAACATATTTCTCTCTTGTCTCATACTTTCCCAGCCCTCTCATCCAGGAACTTTCCGCAACCGGTTGTACCCGCAACGCAGGCCAACTTAGGTAAAAACAGTGGGCCTTCCGGCCCCATACCTTCGGCTCCGGCTCCGAGACCTCGGACCCAAACCGTCGGGTGAGCCCCACAATTGCCGTCCGGGTTCGGCACCGCCCGTGCCAGCCCGGCAAAAACAGCGACGTGTCCATGCCGGCCCAGTCCCGGTGTTAGACAGTTTTCCCAGTGTGTGATTTTTTGTTTCAGCCGGATTCCACTAAAGTGAAGGCATTTGGGGCATCTGCCCTTGTTTTTATGGTATTTCTTTTTTTTTTCTGATCTTGTTTTAATTATTGTTTCCATCATCTCTATTTCTCTTTCCAAACACGGCACCTCCGAAACATCCTTGTCCTAACGCCTTGCAATCCCAAGAACCGCAATATCTTACCAGAGATGACCACGCCACCAAGCAGGCAAAATCACCTCCAAAACAGTTAGAAACACGAGCTCATGAAACCCCTGCCCTATATCAACACAACATAACCTTTCACCCATGTTTCAGCCGTGTTACGCCAATCCCGAACAGGTATGCATGAAGGTTATCATTCTCCTAGTACAAGCCCTCGAACTGTTGACGACTAAAAAAAAAACAGATCGATGTAACCATCTGTGGATATTGCTGAAATTTTGAGTGAGTTATGTTTCATGCTCCGCTGTGTCGAACATTGTGGAGCGACGACAAACAATAACGCCGGACACACAAGTCCAAACTAAGTGCAAACGTCCCAAGCAGTTGCACCGTGACCAAATTACAAACAGTTCACGCCTACCATAGCAAGAGGAACACTCAGGATAATAATAATTTTTGACTTTTTTTGGGCTTGTCTGGTTATCTGTCTCAAGTAGAGTACAAAATGCTTTTCCTCCTCCCCCCTCACACATCCCGATGCTTCTCTCTTTCTCTGTAAATCACCCAGAGTAAGAACCCGGGGGGTGGGGGGGAAAGATAAAGAGAAAAGGAAATATAACAACAGAACTGGTTGCGCAACACAGCTCGGGGTAAAGGAGCAGAGAAGGCTCTCCCCCTTCCTATGCCCACATCCCACTCCCGCAATCACGACAAGGAGTAGGAGGGTTGGGCGCATCGCCATCAAGGAGAGGTGTTGGTGGTGTGTGGGTATATACAGAAGAGATGGATGGGTGTGTCAACACAGGGGGCAGGGGCTTCTTGTCCCATCACAAAGCGGCCTCCTCCGTGCTTCTCCCATCTTCTCCTTCCCCCCCACAATTATCCGGCTTCCTCCCAATCCCATGGTTTCGAGGTGACCAAGCGTAACCACCAAGCTTAATGACCCTTCACACGCTCCTCCCTCTCTGCCAGCAAAAAAAAAGGGTCTTCTCCGTGGTCTTCCCTGGTGAACGTTCGGATGCTGGAGATCTATCATCTTTCAATCATCTCCATCGTAAAACAAAAAGCGACCCATGCGTACAAAGCCGTCGTAGGCAGAATCGCAGCCTTCCATCCCCAGAATCTGGAGGAATGCCTTGGCAAAGCGACTCGAGGTATTGCGTTCAATCGACAAAGGGAAAATATGTGATAAAAAGGGCTGCGGTGTATTTCATGCCGAGCCGGCGTGGGGAAAATGGGGAATCCGTAAAGACGTGCGTAGACTGACAATGTTGAGGAAAAGGTTTGTGGCCGCGTCCGGGGATTGGGTGCGATCGTGGCAGCCGTGTGGTATAGATTTCGGTGCGGTGGTAATCCGGGCTCTAACAATGAGCGCTGGGAACTACCACCACCACCGGAATCGCGATGCGAAGGGATAATTAACAAATAAAGGCCGGTCCCAGAGCCACGATCCGAAAATAGTGACAACACAAACGGTGAGGCGTTGAGAAACCCAACAGCCAGGCCGTTGCTTGGCTGTCAATTGATGGGTGGAAACATCTGCCGCATACTCGAAAGAGGTGATGCAACGGTGAAAGATGCCGACGTGATGACGATGCCTTATGGAGAAGAAACCGGGGCGAAAAAAAGGCCAGCCCATGGATGCCGGATCCAAGGCCCCTATGCCTGGATAAAAACGCCACGCTATGCCAACAAAGGTCTAATGCCGAAAACAAACATGCTTTGGATTTGCCGGCGATTGTTAGATGATCAGTCCTTCCGCCGGCGAGCCGGTCTCCAACCTCTCAGTTAAGAGACGCGAAGGAGAGCATGGTGATGAAGAAGTTGTAAAGACATAGGAGATTATTAGTGTCCGAGTGGTATGGTTGTATTCACATGATGCCACCGATCGGGGGAACGGCCCGTCGGTAGCAAAGGTGGTATGGCCGCTTCACGATATAGTGCGGCTGTCGATACTGGAGATCGAGGTTGAGGGTATTAATAAGATGCCATGCGGCGCGCGGGTCCACGGCTGGAACCGAGGCAAGGAGAGGCCCCGAGCATCTCTGAGAGTTCACGCTCACGAGAGCCGCCACGGCTGGGGGCGGTCGGGGAGTCCTGAAGGCCTGGGTCTTGTTGACCAAACGCGTATGTCTGAGCACGGCCCAGACCCCTGCGGCCCTGGCGCAGTCGGTTCATCTCCCGCTCGCAGGTGTTAACGTGCTCGGCGGCGTTCATCTCCACGTAGGCCTGTGGGTAGCATCGCTCGCGATGCTCGGCGAAGAAGCCGCTGTAGCCGCCGTCGAGAATGTAGATCTCCGGATAAAACAGCTTGGGATAATGGGCCGCGTTCTCGTTTCGGTCGCGGGAACGAACATGCCTGGCCATGATTGGAGCCCGGTGGGCGGAATACTCGCAGTGAAAGATGAGAAGCGTGCGGCCCTGCATTGGGTTGTCGACTAGTTGTCCAGCAAGCAGCTCCTTGTCGTTGTAGTTGATGGCCCCGTTAATGTGGCCTCCCTCATACTCGTACTCAAAGCGGCAATCGATGATCATCTTGTGGTCGTACTGGCCGCTGAACTTCCCGTCCAGAACCTCGAGCATTGTCTCACGCGAGATGCGGGGAATGTTGTCACACTCGTCCTCTGGGAAGAAGTGGGGCAGGATTGGCTCGTTCTGTTCCTCAAGGTCCATCACAGATTGCAAGGCCGAGCAGGCAAACGCTGGCCCATCCTTCTTAGGAGCGACGACATCGCCGGGGTTCTCAAACATGCTCAACGATCGTCGATACTGCTTCCGGGGGCGGAGGAACGGGTTAGCTGACCGTCTCCCTTGGCCCGTGATGGGCGATCCGTTGCGCGATCCACTTGTGGAATTAAGGCTGTTGAAGAGTGCCTTCGGCCGAGAGGTGGCCATGGAAGCACACGGGCTGTTCGCACTCCTGGGACGGCGCTCCTGTGGCGGTGAGTCCTCAAAACACTCGCTGAGCGACAGGGACGAAGCAGGAGAAACGCCGAGATGGCCATCCCCACCAGCTCCAAAGCGAAACGGGGGAGGCTGACTCTCTCCCTGAGGTCGTCCGATCGTGCCAATAGCAGTAAACCCTTTAGTACGGGTGAGGGAAGGACGCCGAAGCCCGATCCGTTTGCGCCTAGGAAACCTGTGTTAGGAATAAGAGAGAAAAGACATGCCGCAAAGGAACCGAAGCACTTGTATACTTACTCGGCCGCAACAGGCTTCGTCGGTTGGATGGAAGCTGGACGGGGTATCGGGCTCTCTGCCATCATATCGTCTGAACCAGGAGTCGGCGAGGGGAGCTCAACGTGGGCTGTGAATGGAACCTTGTGCGGCAACGGCGACATGTCCATCATATCAACACACCCTGGAGAAGATGCTGGAAGGGGCGGCGTAGTCACGTAGCCTATTCACAAAACAACTCGTCAGTCCTCCCATTCATGGCCTCTCCAACCTCATTCGAGCGTTTTCGGGCTTACCGCGGCCATCCAAAGCATCCATCATAGCAGCTGTCGTAAACAGGGCGCGTCGTGGTGTTGGGAGCATCGGGCTGCTGTTACATTGAGAAGTGTGTAAGCCATTGAACAAACCAACGATCCGAACAAACGAGCCAACAGAAAACACTAACCTGGCATCATTGAGCTTGAAGTTCTGCGACAAATCGGCTGCCAATGAAGTGCCTGGTGAGGATACACGAGCTGGCCTGCTGCCAAAATACTCGGAGCCTTGAAGCTGGAAGGTGAATTGGTTCCGGCCAAGGGGGCTAGGAACTAGGCGTGGGCCGAAGAGGTTGGACTGGCCAAAGGATGAGGGCGGCGCTGGGCGCATTGCGGCCAACGGGGAGGAGGTTTCCATGGCGCTGCACGATGATGGTGATGCATGCACAGAGACGGGAAGATTGTAGGGCCCTTCAATGGCTCAGCCGTCAGGGGTGAACGGCGGGAAGCTGTCGCTAGCAGGAAAGACAACTGTCTTGACGAGCGACGGCAACGGTGCGTTGAAACCGAGATGAGCCGTTGTCGACGACGATGAGGAAACTCGAAAGTCGAAAACCGAAGCCGGAATGGTATCGGCGTGGAAGTCCAGTCGACGTCAATTGGCGATAGCTACCTCGGATGCACCTGTTGCGAAGGTGGTAGGATGGAAAAGGTGTGAGGCTGCAGGAGCCAAACTTCGTTTTCTCTCGTCGTCCGGTGCAACGCGGGCGGTCTGACGGTTTTGGGGCCGGCAGAACAAGGGAGGATGCAAGCCTGTGAATTATAGCGGGGGTCCCGCTTTCTAGCCCAGGGCAGGAAGGTTTGCTCAGGGTGTACCAATGCAGAGGGTTGTTGCCAAGGGCAGGAAGGGGGTGTGCGCTCGGACGGCTAGCTGCACGAAATCGTCGAAGAGTACAAAGAAAGAAGACCAGAGTACCGAAAAAGGCAGAGGCTGAGTGGTGAGGTGGTGAGGTGCTGTTGGCCGTGTTCAAGTCGATTCCCGTGTAGATGGCGTGTCGGGCAATTTCTTGCGGTTGAGGGTGCGGGTTACGGGAACCTAGGAAAGTCCAAGCGACTGACCTGTTGAGCACACGGAGTAGTTGGATGGCCGGGGTGGTGCCGGTGCCGGGACGGGTTGTTCATGCGACTTCTCTCCGTCTGATAAGGCAAAATACGGCACGCAGCCACCGCTCACTCCTGTCTGCTTTCCCGGATGCCAGAAACTCGATCGCCGCTCGCCAGGTTCGCTGTTGAAGGGGAACAGAGCTCACGATCACTGGGTTGGCGGCGGTTAAAGAAGGATTTTTTCCTTCCCGGCCTGGGTGCAGAGCGTCGACAGGGAAGCCTGATCCAGCACTCGAGTTCCTCGCGGGCAGGTTGTCAGGGGCGATTCGCCGGGTTTGGCATGCCCGGTTGTTGCGGTTACTGCGCACTGGCGCCAGGGACATCAGCAGCGGGGGCCCCTGTTCGAGCAGAGAGCTTGTGGGGTGGGCATGGTGGGGAGCTCCTTCCGACAGGGGAGCTCGCACGGGACGGCGCTTGGAGGTTCGGGACATTAGGAACCCAATCGCTGTGCAACGTAAATTGAAGTCACATCACCGCCAGCAGACTAGACACGGAGCCTGCATGTACCCCCTAACGCAGCAAATCAAGACACAAGTACCCGGCCATGGGCCCACCGATCTCGACTCAGTACCTTCCCGCAGCACCAAAATACTGGCGTTGTCGGATGGACGAAGACGGTCTGAAGAGGGGACGCTTTTGGATCGATGTGCCTCTCGACGCCTCCTGGCCGCAGCCCCGGGCGGCCGGTCTGAAGCTCATGGTCGGGCGCAGCAGCCGTGAGGATGGAGACGATGCTCTTGCAGGATTCGTTTCTTTAACGACGTCGGCTCAAGCCCATCAGGATTATTTACGGAGCTGGGACAACAAAACATCAAACGATCAACGGGACAAGGGAGTGAAAGATCCTCACGGATGGGAAGCAACCTCAACATGATTCCCTCTCAAACTGACAAGACGTTAATTCTTGAGGAATCCATCAGAACGATAAGCCCTCGGTCTGGTTCATCGCCGATTTCAAGAGTTGATCCGATCGTCGTCGTTTGGTCTCAAGCCAAGCTCTGGGCCTAGGTGGGAGGCCAGGCCAACTTCCGATGGGATGCGAAAAACAAGGCGATCGGGGTTGATCGGTCTTGGATGCCATTCTTGCCGCCGTCCCAGTTGCGAGGTCAAGACGCTGAAAACTGGCGCCCGGCTCGGTGACGTTTTCGTCGCCCGCATTACATATTAAGCACCTCCTCCACACCCTTTCTCCCTTGTTGGGGGAGAAGCCTCTCGCTGTTGAGCGCTCGTTATCCTTCGAGAGCTGGTCAGTGCCGGCCGGCCACTCAGCACCGCGAACCTGCGAATTTGCGGAGGGGGAAATCCCCAAGAGATTCTCTGGCTCTGACTTGGCCATGAGGGTTCGAAAAATCACTTAAAAATGTGCGAGAGCTTCGGGTGTTGGCCATGCTCCCTTTGTTCCTCTCCGGGCAAGACAGACAATGTCGAGGTAGAAAGTTTATCCTCATGTCAACAAAACCTTCATTCTTTTTGGGGGTGACAACCTTCAGCTCCAGCTATTTCCTGGCCGCGAACAACTCAAAAACTCCAGGCTTTCCCCGGATTCGATCCTCTGTCTTCAGTCTTTGCGTCATCGCAGAAGCACGCGACAATCCCAATACAAGATTTCGACAGACGATTGCGTCAGAAAAGCGCCGGGCTCATTTGGATTCGACGTGTCTAAATGGACGGTACAGCCTGTCTATTGTGACGGTGCAAACCTCAACACGGCTAAAGACAAGTTGATCATCTCCACACCAATTCTTGGCGGCAACCTTGATCAACGTACCTCTTCCTCTCCTCTCCATGTACCTGAGCAACATACATCACAATATATAAACGAAGACGTTGATTCAACGTGATTCCCAACATTCCAACCGTAAGTGCCGTAAGTGCGATACGTCTTGCCAAATCGCCTAAAAGTACGGTAAAATTCAATCGTAATAGGGCTTCAATAAAACACATGACTCCTAGCATCGCGATCGTAAATCAATGCGTTGGCGTAACGCATTGGTCACGATGGATAATTAGGTAGGTAGGTACATGAAGAGCAGAAGAAGAGGGACTTGAGTCGAGGTTGAAGCCAAGAGTTGGTGTGGAGGCCTCTAGCCGTGTTGAGGTTTGCACCGTCACAATAGACAGGCTGTACCGTCCATTTAGACACGTCGATTGGATTGAGTGCGGGCAGCGGCGCACATCGCGCCCCTGGCAACGGGTGGACTAGGGGCCCCTGCTAGCCCTGCGAGTCTCAGGTTCAGAGCTTCGTCGGTCCCTTCGAGACGCTGCTCCGTGAAGCAGCCAAGTGTGGTTTCCGGGGCAATAACTTTTGGCATGTGTTCAGAGCGTCGACCGAGTCCTGCGCAGTGGAGTGTCCACGCCTCCGTCCACAGTACACTAGCGGAACGAGAAACGCCTCTGAGGATATTCTTTCCTTGCTTCCTCGGCCACCTTAGACATCGGAGAATTTACTCGCCGTGGCGCCGCGAACGTGGACAACGAGCAGCCTCTTTGAATCCAATTTGGTGGATGCTGTTTACTCGAGTACGATGTATCGTGTCGATGAAGGAACTCTAAAAAGGAACTTGAACCCGTCGATTGCAAGGCTGGAAATAGCATCAGTGTTGCCTGGCAGGGAGTTTTTGACCTTGCTCCCTCGTCCCAATCTGGCAAAACGTCATCCATCCCGACAGGGCTGTGGCCGTCCCCCCCTTGCTTCGCGTCGGCGCGATTTTCCAAGGCTGAAAAGGATCGCCGGATAACTCGCCAGCCGGGGCCAGCCGACCCGTGGCTTTTTCTTGCCTGCAATCGAATGGCTTCATGTTCGACGCCCGAGTATTTCGAGACAATGAGCGAAAAGGGGCCTCGAAATGTTCAAAACTCGAAAAATCCGGGCAAGGGGCCACAAGCATGATTTGTTTACTTTGCTCGGCGCTGGCTGACATCAAGTTTTTGTCGTCGAGTCGATCACAACCAACGACCCGCATGACCCATCGCGAAAGGTAGCGGGATGTCGGGCACCGATCTAATCGCACCGCACGTTGAAGACCTCGGCGAGATCCCCGAGAGCTCCCAAGTCTATTCGTACTGTGGTAATTTCACCCAAGTTCAGCTGCCACGCGCCGATGGCTTTTGCTTTCCATGTTGTGGGTTACATTCCCCAGCGAGCCCAGCTCACATCAGCCACGAATGAGCCTTCCGAATGGCCCCATCCCCGCTCATACTTGACGACTCGGTTCCCGCAAGCGGATTGGGTATGAATCCGATGAACAGAACAAAGAGGGGAAAGGAACCTGGAGCCAGTTACCAGGGCTCGCAGTTTGCTTGCAGAGGCCCACTTGAGGAAGAAAGCCCCCACTGCGAAAGAAGCCAGCGCCGCAGGGTTTGCGGCGGCAATGCAATCAGGGTCAGATGCAACTCATGTTGCGTCGGCAGCACACTTCACGCAATGGGACGTGGGATGTTGGCTTGGCGATTGATCGAGGTTGAGTGGTTGCTTCACATTTCCCCTCTTTTGTCTGATGTTGAGGGACATCCGACGCGGGGTAAAACATGAGGCACACCCGGCACAGAAAGTAAACAAAACGGGACGCGCCTTCTCGGGTGCTCAAGTAAACATCAGCTTCCCCGCGTTGGGCAGCCTCTGTCCCGTGTCTCCCGTGGCATGCTGCGGGGTCGCCCAGCTGTGCCAGAACGCGGTGTCACCTGATGGGGCCGGGGTGTCCAACCCGCTTTGGAGCGGGTTCGAGGTGAAACCTCGGGCCTGTGACAGCCGAAGCGCGCGCTTGAGGGGTTGTTAGTTTGTCTCCAACATTTCATCACATCTGTGTCTTTGAAAAGCATAACCACACTACGAGTAACGACGCTACATAGGACACTAAACGCTCGGGCAATACCGCCACTTGTGTCTCACTCACCAACAAGTCACGTTGACGGCAATTCTTCTTGCCTCAACCCTATTCCCGTTTTATCGACGCTTGCGTGGGGCATGATGAGGTGAGACTTCAAGTCTTGAAGCGGGGTTTCTCGTGCACTGTTTTGTGAATGGGAAAGGAAGAGCAACCGCCTCCCTTGTTCTCCGAGACACAAAGGTCACAATGCTTGCTGTCGTGAGCCGAAGCTTGACGATTGAGGGGGAAACGGATGGCGCGGGGTATCTGGACTCTGCAGTGCCGCAGCTTGCCTGGCACAGCAGAGAATCCTTGATGGAAACCGCCACAACAACCGGTCGGATGGTCGAGTTCACGCCGCTCGGGTTGAGCCGGTGTGGCCCAGGTGGCGAGAGCAAGATGCGGTGAACATTTTTCCACCTCGTACTTCGTCCGTCGTGTACTTGATACCTGAAAAGTTTGATGCGCGGCTTGTCTGGATCCGCATTTTCGGCATCCTCTTGTCCTGTTTTTAGAACTCGATTACAATCGCCGTTTTCCCGTGTTTGGCCACCCAATTGCCAACGGATAGTAGTTCCGTGAGATGTCGAACCTGGTGTCAAGAATTGAACCGTTGAGATACTATAGTTAACTAACAACTTAAGGTATGTACTCCGAGACACTATGACAATAAAAATGTGAACTAACTATATCTGCATTCAGGATTAACAAATTACTTTTGCTGGGAAATTATTGACATTAATATCAACTCGTCGAGCCCGTGTAGTAGTTAGTTAATGAAAGAAATGCTATCAGACATTATTTTCACTAATGTATGAAAATTGCAACTAACACTTTTTCCTACGCAGTACTACCCCAAGTAGATTTTTGATCGAGTCGTTATTTTCGTTGGTTAATCTGATGGACTTTGGGAATATTTCTAACGCTGAATAGTCTTGCAAAGTATTTAAACCGAAACTGTCTAATAAATTTTCATTTTGCATATCTCGCTGAGCAATACTGTGTCATTCCAAGATGGCTAACCTGACCTAAAGTGGTAAATCCACTCCACTATTTTGTGTTGTTTCAATCATCAACAACTCTGTTACCTATTGCAAGAACTCGTGACAACCACTTGGTTGAACCATTTCATTCTCACACGATTTTCAGCTCCTGGCCAAGCTTTGAACATACCATGAAGCAAAAATCTCATTTCGCTTTCCCTGGCCGGAATGAACCCCTTGAACCCTGAATGCATTGCGCTAGCTCACTCAGGGTTTGAACGGGAAGCTCGGACACAACGGGTACCTACATCTCCTCAAATAAAAGTTTAGGGCTGCGTTGACTGATGCAAGGAACGTGTTCAAATTCCCGGAATCCAAGACTTGAGGTCCACATTCGTCTTGAGACCTGACAAGTCCGATTTTGGGGGGTGGCTTCCTCAACCGGGGTTTCACGAGCGGATGCTGGAGGGAAGAATGAAAGAGAACACAAAAGGAAGATCTCTTCGCTCCGATCGGAGAGATGGCGGTGAGGTTGGCGATGGTTGACGCAAGGCACAAGGGGCACAACTCGTGATTGTCGCGGAACTTGGGTAAGGTGAGTGGAGAGTGAAGTGATGTTGGCTGGGAAACTGAGTGGTGGTCTGTGTGCTTTGAACCCCTGAGCAAGGACCCCTGGGATGGAATGGTTGAGTTTTTTTTCCCTCAAGGCAGGCACTCAACGATGAGGCGAGTTTTGCTGGTCATCTGACAATGCGGAGCCAGCCGGTTGCTGGAGTTATTCTGGCGGTGTTCCATTTGGGGCTTCGTTCATCTCCGGTCTTCTTGGGGACAGCGGTGGTCAGGCAACCGTGGTGTGTGAGGGCGGAGGTTGAGGTGGTTAACGTTAGCCTTGGTACAGGGCTCCTTGCGTCACCGTCGCTGGAACTGATCACCCAATATCGCAAGGAGGCCTGAAACCTCCATGAGGCGGTGATGGGGGTTTTGGAGTTGGAGTGAATTCTGAAACCGAGAGATTCCCACTCCTGGAGCTATTTCTTGGTATTTGGCGATAACGTACAGCAAATAAACGAAGAGCTAAGTGTTGTCGAGAGTCATTCGACGGAGAAGAAATGGCAAAATCGAACCTCTAACTACAGAGTCACGATATCCTCCTTCAGAAAGGTGTAACTGAAAGAGACACGGGTGGTTGATGAGAGCTCAAGACACCGGGGTTCGTCATTGATGGAGGACAGTGCGGCAGGGAAAAGCTTCCGTTATAAAAAGCTGATGGTATTTCACACTGTGTGGCTGTTTCAACGAGTGTTTTTTTGTCTTTTCCTCCTGAGATGACGGAAAGCTTCTTTCTCGTTTGGAGTTGCGAATCGGGGGCCTCGGTAGTGTAAATAAGCTTGTAATTCACTTAAACAAAATTGACGCATGAAGGGAGGTGTCAACCAATTCTACATATGCGACAATGGGGGGTGCCTTGCAGGACCCATATGGCCCTACCCCCGTTTCCCGTTATCAGATGGAAGCGGTCAATCACGGCATAAAACAAGCCCCGCTAAAAACTTCTGGGTGGTGCGTTTTGCGCGTCAAGTGTCAATGCATTTAGATGAACAATAATGTAGCTCCGGGATTAGACCGCAACAGCACTCGACAGACCACCAAGTATGGCTAATAAACGGAAGCGCGCGTCCAAGGAGGCAAACACAGACACTCTACCTTCCCATAAACGATCGAAGAAGGATACCCTCGCCACCAATGGCTCAGCGAAAACCAAGTCGGGGAAACCACTTGACAAGTCGCGATTCACCGAGCACCCGAATGTCGACGAGCGAAAGCGAGAACTTGACCTGTACAACCGTCTAGGGAGCGAGGATGTCGCCGATCGAATCGAGGCCGCAGATGCGATTGTGTCGGGCTTACTGGGAGACGACTGCGTTCCGGAACCCGTGCTTCTGCGACACCTCGAAAAACGCCTTTTCCGTGGCCTTGCGAGTGGGAGGAATGCCTCGAGATTAGGGTTTAGCCTAGTTTTGACAGAATTATTGGGTCAGCTATTTGGCGACAAGGACCTGGCGAGCTCCAGCTACCCGGGGTTGACCTTTGACAAGGTGCTGGGCATTTTGTTGGAGAAGACACAAGCAGGAGGCAATGTCCCTGGACAAGAAGAGAGAGATCACTACTTTGGCCAGCTATTTGGTCTCGAGTGCTTTGTGCGCTCTGGAATCCTCTCAGATCGGGCCCGATGGTTGTCAGTCCTGGAACTCTTGTTGAAGTTGTCCTCGAAAAAGACGTGGCTGAAGTCGCAATGTGGCTATGTCATTGTGCAGGCTATCTTGCAGATAGACAAGGAGCTCGCCGAGACCACTTTTGACAAGCTGTTCGCGGAAGGATTTGCCAAAACACCAGAAGGTGTTGGCATCTGGATTGCGGCCCTTGACCGGTTCCCCTCCATGAAGGCACCGTCCCAACCGTGGCGACACCCCCTGGCCACCACGTCACTGGCGGCACTCCCAGTTGCCTTGAAAGATAGTGGGAGAGCGGCATCGTCGGAGGAGAGTGGTGGTAAAAACCAGCCTAACCAGGGAAGCTGGTCCGCCCAGCTCCACTTCGTTTGGGACCTTATTCTGGCCCATTACATCAAGCTTAGCTGCAAGTCCGCAGACGACGCTGCCGACCAGTTTAAGCAGTTTTGGAACCGCGTTGTTGACGGTCAGTTTGTGATTCCACCTCCCAACACGCCCTGGATTAACTAACAGTGTCTGTAGAAAGTTTCTTCTCGAAAAACGCTTCAGAAAGCCAAAAGTTCTCGGGGTTCATGATCTTCCAAAAGATTCTTGAAGGGGCCAATGAACACCAATCGATTGTCGCGGCTCTTTTCAGCAAGAACTTCATGGTTTCTCTAATGAACCAGGCAGCCAAAGAAGACCGTTATCTCCATCGCGCGGCAATTAAGGCTCTGAAGGGCATTGAGAGTGTCGTCGAAACGACCCCTGGTCTTCTTCCCACCGTTGTTAAAGAGCTTCTTGGGAAACATGGGGCTTACAACTTTGACCAACGCACCAACACCAAGACTTTGGAAAAGCTGCTCCAACATACAACGCCCGCCACAGTGAAATCGGTACTCAAATCGGTACAGCTAAAGGACCCATCCAAGAGTAGGCTCGACGAACCCAAGTACTACCAAGCACTTGGTCATTATTTGTTCAAGCTCGCTAGCGTACCCGCCGATGAGACGGAAACCGATGCATCGGGCAATTCAGTGCCTGGCTTAGCGATCAACGCCCTCACCGAGCTAGCCTACTCGAACAACTCTGTACCCGAAAACATCAAGGAAGCCTTACGTTCCAGGTCGACATCGGCGTTTGCCAAACTGGTCCGAAGGCCGGAGGATTTTGGGCATCTCTGCAACGCTATTTTGTCCATCGAGGCGGACATCAATCCGGATGACGAAATTGCCTCCACGGTTCTTCCCGATGTGTACGAACGGCTGAAAGACTTGCTCGAACCTGAAAAGTGCACAGATAACACAAGGGCACCTCGGCAAGCGTTGGCCTTGCTGCATGCGGTGGGAATTTTGCAATTCTATAACCAAGATCCGGATGTGATTGATCTCTTCGAGGAGCTCGGGCAGTGCTATGAGAAACTGGAGAACCACGACGAGGATTCACACGAGGGTATCTCCGAGTACCTGGTTGAGATTCTCCTTGCTATGGTTGCCCGGCCATCCTCGCTCATGCGGCAGGTGTCTCAACAGGTTTTTGAGGCTTTCACTGCGTACATGTCGGAAGATGCACTCCAGCTCTTGTTTGACCCACTCTCTGCTGAGGAGAGTGCAAAGGGGCAACTGGCGCTGTTTAGCACCGAGGATGAGGACATGATGGAAGTTGAGGCTGCCGATGGCGAAGAGAGCGATGAGGAGCAACTTGACTCCGACGTTGAGATCGTCGACCTCGAAGACGCCGGTTCTGAAGCCTCCGATGGCGGCGAAGACGGGTCTGATGATGATGAGGATGAAGGGGAGGAAGAAGACAAAGACGATGATGGACCTGAAGACCCGAACCAGGAAGCTCTCGATGCACTCGACAACGCGTTGGCTGAAGTCCTCGGCAGCCATCGACTCGACCAGGACAAAGACGCCGACTCAGCTGCATCAGATGACGGGAGCGATATGACTGACTCCGAAATGATGGCGGTAGATGAGAAGCTGGCCGAGATCTTCAAACAACGTGCCAAGGCAAGCAGCAAGAAAAAGGAGAAACAGGATGCCAAAGGTACCGTGGTCAATTTCAAGCATCGCATCCTCGACCTGCTCGCCATCTACGTCAAGAAAGAAGCAGCCGTGGAAAAGCCCGGTGCGGCCCACGCCACACACGTCTTCCGCGTCCTCCTCCCCCTCCTACAACTCATCCGCACCACAACCACCAAACCCTTGGCCAACAAAGCTGCCGACATCATCCAGACTTTCTCCAAAACGCTCAAGCGCGCCCGTAGCAACACCAGCACCAGCGCCACCAACAGCACTCAAGCTACCGCATCCACACCCACCGTCGCCCATCGAGACGAACTGATTACCCTTCTCGCGCAGCTGCTCGACGAAGCGGGGCGGGATGCATCACACGCCTTCGCACGGTCGGTTTCAACAGCATGTCTGGCCGTGGCGTCGGTCGCGTGCAGCGACGAGGAGGGCGAAGCCGCGGTCTTTGCGCTGTATTCGGCGACTCAGCGGCGGTGGTTCCGTGGTTCCGTGAGGATTCAGCCGGCTGTCTTTGGCGATTGGTTGAACTGGTGCCAGAGTCATGCTGCGACGGCGGCAGCGGCGGCAGAGAAGTCTGAGAAGGTAGCGGAGGTTGTGGAGACTGCGGAAGCTGCCGAAGCTGCGGGACCGGGAAAGAAAGAGACGGGGAAGAAGAAGGGTGGGAAGGGTAAGAAGAAGTAGGGCTGTGTTTGAGGTGGTAATTCGAAGAAACATATAAGAATGCTTGTTGGCTAAGTACCGCCGGAGCGTAGTCATTAGCCAAGGCCTATGTTAATGATGTACTGTTGGTTTCATGTCACTTGATATCAAAGACAAACCAATATTCTTGCGGTCATGGCCGTTGCGGGAGCTGTTCATGCACCACTACCGTATGGGAATTGATATATTCCCCCTTCAGCAGCGTGAAAAGTGGAAGAAAGGAAACCACAGTTTGTCGCTTTCCTATGGTACACTCAAAACGCCCGCCCATACCCACGCCGCCTATTTGGGCCTTTTACTCATCCACCTTGTCCTCCTGCGCCTTCTTCGCCAACCGCTCTGCCTCCTCCCGCAGCGCCTTAGGCACCTCTTGATGCAACCCCTTAGTCGGGCCATCTGACCCGCTAATCCACGTCATCTCCAGCTCAAACTCCTTGTCATCGTCATGCGCAACATAAATAATCCGCGCCGCCTCCTTGACAGCCTCCTCCAGCGTCAGCGCGGGCCCCCCAGGACCGCCCAGGTCTAGCTTCTCCAGCTCCGCTTTGGCCGCTTGCCGGCCCTTGCCGGTAGCAGCTCCGTAGTAGCCCCAGTAAAGACCAGACGGCTCGATCATGTAGAGGCCGGGACCGCCGTGGGTCTTGCCGGCGACTTTCCCACCGGCACCGACCGAGGGGCCCGAGCCAACTTCGCCATCGACCGGTAGCTCGGCCGTGCTGTCGAAGCCACCGACGATGGCGGTGATACCGAATGGACGTACGGACTGGTATAGCGTGTATGCCTGCAGGTAGCCTCCCATGCGCGAGGCCAAGTCGGCTGTCGCGATGGGTGTCTTGAAGGTGTCGCGCCAGGAACGGGCCTCGTCGCGCGCGCGCTCGATAAAGTGCCGGCCGTCGGGGATCATGCCTGAGTATACCTGTGTGAGGAAGGGTGGGGTTAGCTCGCGGGTTTGTCGAGTAGAATCTAGAGAGGGGAGGGGGACGAAGGCAACGTACAACACCTAGGTGCCTGTCGACTGTTGCAATGCGCTTGTTGGCATTCGGTTTGAGTAGCTTGGATGTGACGAGCTTTTCGACGGCCAGCACCACGCCGTCCTTGCACCGGATACCGACCGAGGTCCCGCCATTCTCAACTGCCTTTACGGCGTACTCGACTTGGAAGTTGCGGCCATCGGGGGAGAAGATGGAGTTAGCGAGATCGTAGCCTGTACCTATCGAAGTCTATGGAAAGCAGCAGTCATGTCAGCTTTTGAAATGCGTTGTTGCTTGGATGTCTATTGTTGGAGGGGAAGGACGAGGGCGGGGGGTAACGGCTGCAGCAAACTAAACGTACCATTGTGAAGGTAGACTTAGGGTAAAATCAGGTTGCGAGGTGACGTTAAAATTTCCGACAACCAAGAGATTACCAGACGTCGTTTCGTGGTTGCTCGTAGTGGTCCAGTTGCGGCGATAGTTAGGGTGTTGGAGTTGGCGGCCGGCGGGTGGGAGAGCTGTTGCTGCATGAGCTCCCATCAGGCAGCCTGGAGCTGCGCGTTGCTTCCCAGCAGGGTAGCTGGGGTTGGAAAATGTGGCGCATACCCCGCCTTGTTTTCAGCCTTGGGGCAAGCCACAGTTTAAGTGGGGCCCAACTAAGGAAAGATAAGATAAGACCCGGTTGCCCCGAGTTTCGTGCCCATTGTTTGGGTTGCCCCTTTTTCTAGGAAGCTATAGCCATGAGTGGTTGAACCACACATCTGTCGATGCCGTACTGCCCCTTGTCAATTCCGAGGTGTTCATTTTGCTTCTTTGGAAATAACCTTTGAGAACTTGACAAAATGACCCTTGAGGCACATCGCGCGAGGCTCAAAGAAGTTATCAAAAGGAAGGGTTAATAATGCCTAAGTTCGGAATTCACAGGCAGTGGATAGTTTTCAGGGTTAATTCCATTGTTCGAGCAACACAAAGTTTATTCATGGTTATTCATGGAGGGTTATCATGATCTTAGAGCTGGATTACGTGGCCACTCATGGTTTTGGCCGAGGATATGTCAGGGCCACTCTATGGCCACGGTGTTCATCTCAACATCTTGTTCTATATCTTGAACAACTAATAAAGATGCTTACGTGTTACGATGTTCTGTGTTAAGAAGCATGGAGAGGTCAAGCTTGGCCGACTCTGATGCTCAAGCTTGGGGATTTGTAACCACTGAGCTGAGATGGGTTGAGCTGGTAGGTGAGTCGTGAATTGCATCTTCCAGCCGAGGCTACCTTTGTTTAGAATTTTAGGTCATTAGACTACCAGCTGCCCGGCTTCGGGGTTATGCGTTGTCATATTGAACTCTTAGACGGAACAGGCCATCGTGAAGCACCCTCAGCTATAAATGCTTCCCCTAACCCCTTTTTTCTAGTCATGTTTATGATGTTAAGCGGCCGCAATTCTTAGCACTATCAACATTCACAGCAACATATTATAAAATACATAGTTAACCACTACCATGGAATCTCTGCCGAGCTACCCTGACTGCCCGGGGCGATATAGTGTCCCGGGCTGTCTGGAGACGTTGCGAGATGGGCAGCTCTTCTGCTTGTTCTGCCAGCGCGTGAGTTCCCTTCCTTTATTCGCAACAATAGCAGCCTATAAACCACTGACACAGAACACTAGAGGTACACGCGTATTCTGGAGTATTCAACAGACCTTCTGCCGGGAGACGCCGAACCGTCTTTCGCCCCCCCTGTGCCCGGCGTGTTGCAGTCACACCGCGAGATCGGCGAACCTTCTGGTAGCGTACCGCATCTTGTAGTAGACCTTGAGGAAGATTTGAGGAACGAAGAACTGCTGGCCCAACTGCGCCCTTTATTCCCTGACACCCTGCTTTTGGACAATTGCTGGATTGGCCGAGTCTACGACAATTCTGAAAGCGACACCAATGGGTCGGTCTGGGTGCTGGTTGAGGTAGACACGGAGGATGTGAATCACGCGGTGGATGTGCCGGCCCCTCTTCCGACGACCGATAGTCCCCCCAGTCCTGGCGCCTCTAGAACCGAACTGTTTACGACTTCCTCTGGCTTTGAACCCCAATCGGGCAGTCGCGAGACTAACTCCCACGGAATTCACGACGGTACAACTCACCAGATCCAACCCTCACCTTTCGCCGGGTCCTTCCTAGAAGAACGCCGACCCCAATCTGAGTCTTGGGTCCCTATTATATTCATCCCCAGGCACACGCGTACAGTATCATCTCAGGCACCGCAGAACAATACAAACACTAACATCAATGAGGAACGTGACCATTCCATTCCTCTGCCCATCGATAACCATGACGACGACGCCGACAACGAGAATCACAGTACTACCAACAGCGATGACACCCTGACCTCCATGACCTCAACGGAGCTAAACCGTTATCGCGAAGCTCTCGCCAACCTAAGCCGTCCTAGGCCGAATGACCTGCCCCGTCACACCGCTCGCGAAAGAAACAACCTTACGAACGGGGTTAACGGCCATACAAATGGGGTCAGCGGCGTCAGAACACCAGAACACCTCGCCGTCGAAAATGGTAGCCGGTTCGCCGAACATTTCAACTGCCCTTTTCAGGGGCCACAGACCGAGGACGAAATTGAGCAATGGATTGCGGGCTTAATAGACGTCTCGGCCGCGGGCCCCTTGGTTAACGCCCACACCAACCATGTCAATGGGAATATTGAAGAGGATGGCGATCCAATTACCTTGTGGGTGTCTGCTGTTCGCAGGCTGAACGAGGAGTTCGAGTCGGATAACGATGAGAGTGCTTAGCTGTAGTGCATATTCCTGGAGGAGGGCAGAGAGCTTTTTTGGGAGGGTGAGCCTGTTTAAGAGGGTTGGGGTAGGATAGTGCCCTGAGGGTTGTAGTTATGCCGGACTTTTATTGCTTCAGTGGAGGAAGGGCTAAAACAGGAACGTCGAAGATCTTAGCGATGATTTAGCGTTGCGCATATAGAACAACACAATGCCAAGTTTGCACTTGAAGTGGTTGATATATCAGCTTGTGTGACGATCAAAGTTGACGTCGTCAACATCTCACACGGTTCTAGCGCGATATCCTTACGGACTGCCTGTTAGGCTTGTACCGTCTAATTAAGGTGGCTATGGTGTTTTCAGGAGCTCAAACTTGACCCCCTTTACCCCAAGCCACCTTGAACGCTCTAACGCAAGGAAAAGTGTCAATCTACCCCTTATTAGGTATCCTGCTCATATGTACGTCTTACTGGCGTTCTTGTACCCAACATACATCCCACGACGTAAAAGATCCAACCCATGCCATTACCCACCAAGCCTCAAAGCATCTCCTCATCTTCCCTCATTGCCATCGCTCTCCCGTACTGATCCTCCATCGCCGCCTGCCTCCCCCAATCCATACCCGCCCCAACATTTGTCGTCTTGTACACAGGGTCGGCGTGGGACGAGTTAAAAGTCCGGGTGAAACACCCAGCGCTGAGAACAGCAGAACCCGCCGCCGCCGCCGGTCCCTGCCGCGGTACCGCCGCGGTGTCGAGCGAAAATGTCGGCATCGCTGTGGTGGACGAGATGGTCATCTGCTTGTTGAACGGCGGTATGGCCGCAGCCTCAGCATACGCCCGGCGCACGGAGTCTTCGTACTCACGGCGAGCCATCTCCTCATATCCCGACGCCATGTACGGCTCCATGTCTGCATCCTGGTGATGGGTTGGTGGCTGGTATGGTGTGCTGCTCGGCGAGGCGATCGAGATCCACCGTCCATCGCCCGCTTGGATCGGTGTCAGCGGCGTGCCATCCAGCGACATGACTGTCTCGGGTTCTGGTTCTGGTTCGTCCTGCATCATGCCGAATTCTTGTTGGAGCTGCTGGTCGATCAGGTCTTGCTGTTGTTGTTCGAAGCGTAGCCGGGCGAGGGTCTCTTCCTGTTCCACGGATGTCATGCTCCATGTCAGGGTCGGGTTATCCGTGCTATTGCGTGGTGGGCAGGCCCGCCAGAGCTCCATTAGGCGTAGCTTTTCGGGTGTGTCGACGGTCTTGAACAGCTCAAGTTGGGCGGCGGAGAGACCGGAGGTGTCGACGCTGTGTTCGCGGAGTACCTGCTCCACGGCGGCATACTCACTTTGGGGCGGCTCTGATGCGGGACGAGGCGGCTGTTGATGTTGCTGCTGGGTATCCGGCTTCGCGACGTGGGCTGAGTGGGTGTAATGCTGTGAGATGTAGACGATCTTGTGCTCCTTCTCAGGTTCTTCCACCGGGGCTGGTGCGGGTTCAGGAGCGGGCATGGGCTGAGAAACAGGGCCCAACGTGAGGTTGCGGTGGAAGAGTGCCGCCAGTTCCTCCTGCTGCTGCAAGTGGGTGTACACGGTAGTCATGATGTAAGTGGTTTTTACGCTATAGCGGACGGTCAGCGTGTCTTGGTCGTCGCGGAACCTGCGTTGGGCTTCGGAGGTAGTATAACACCCTAGCCTGTTGCCTGGACTTCCTCGTTTCGTACTTTGTGTGTGTCTAGCCGGTTGGCGGGTAGATACGGCCCGAGTAAGGGACTGCAAGGGGGGTGGAATGGTGTTTGTGCTTCCGTTGAATGCGTAGCGAACTGCTAGCAACTTCGTTTATTGACTATGCTAAGTACTGTATACTCCGAAATGCCACTTTTCGAGAACGGTCCAGTGACAAAGGAGTGGAAAAGAAGTACAGAAGGGAGCGTGGTTGCTTTGGCAGGTAACTCGGAGCTTTATCGGGGATGGCGGGGCAAAGGAAAGCTTCACTTCTCACAACGGTACGAAGGAGGCAAAAGAGAAGTAACAAAGGGAGGGCCTCGGTGGCAGTTGGCGAGTTGGTATCACACGAGGAGTTAGCAAGTTGAAGATACAATGCAACCAATATTCAGAAAGAGAAGAAAGAAGACGAAACCCCCAACTTGATCCCTTTAAAAAGCCGCTTTAAAGAGCGTCATGGATGGACGGCTGTCTGGAAATGATGAGGGGCTGGCCGGGGCAGGCTAATTTTGTTGAATGGAGGGGTGAAAGGGGCCACTCGCGTGGTCGATAGGCACCAGCTGCCCAATCACGGGAGCTTATTAGGCAGTGTGAAGGAGGTGGCTTCGAACAGCTGTCAGGCTTCAACGGCCACATGGGCAGCGTGCCTCTTTCCGGGGTCGAAAGGGGCAATTTGCGGCCATTGGGCATCATTTTTACCTGACACTTTGCTGCCCACCACCGTTCTGTGGCCGGCGGCACGCGCCCTGAAACAGGCCTGCGGCCATGGGTCGGTTCGGTCGAGTCACCCCAATGAAACTGTGACACGAAGGGTGATGGGTATTCGCCGAGGCGGATAAGTACAGAATGAGGGAAAGACGGTATTGACACAGAAAGTACCCGACCCGCGACGATGAAGAGAGCGTGTAAATAAATGTCCATGGATCTGAAGATGAGATGAAAATGGATGAATTCGGAGGAGATCCCAAAGTTGCTGGACCCACATGGAGGGGTGTGCAGGGACTGGGCCAGATGCGCAAGGGTGCCAGCCACAAAGGCTCAAAGCCACACTGGCCGCCACAAATGACGTCGACGTGTCACCCTGGTACCCCCGCGGTACAGAACATGGACGGATGGCCTTAGGGAGGAAACTTCCTGGGAAGAGCCGATATGCAAGGTGCAGGCTCAAGGCTAGCTTTACTCCGGGCTGGCGAGGCGCGCATAAAAGTCACTTTGTTTCTGTTTTCCTTAATCTCTGCCCCACAACAACTACAACTCGACAAGAGATAACACCACCTGCTTCCACATATCGTCACCATGGCCTCCAAAACTAGCCGGCCGCCTAATTACTGTACGTAATACCAGTCACCTCCAGCCCTTACTCCCCGTTAACAACCCCAGACGCGATCCTCGAAGTTCCCGAGAACGCCTCAGCCTCCAAGATCCGCGATGCCTACAAACGGTAAGCCCATCCCTTCCTACCACTTCCCCACAACTCTTGTCACCCCTTAGAACTAACTAACACGATCGCTTGCCTGCAGCGCCGCCCTAAAAACACATCCCGACCGCGTTCCCGCCGACGCCCCCGATCGCGCCCAGCGCACCCGCAAGTTCCAACTCGTCAACGATGCCTACTACACCTTGTCCGACGCCTCGCGACGACGCGAATACGATGCCCAGCGCAAGCTCTTCGGCAGCGCTGATAGTACCGCTGGTGCCCGGCCCAGCTCTGGAGGGGGAGGAGGAGGGAGAATGCCAGGCGGGTTCAACTTCCCCTCCGGCGGTGACCCGTTCGCAGAAGCCGACGCTGAGGCGGCGAACGCCGGGTTCGGTCCTGGTGGCGGGATGCCCGGCGGGATGCCATTCTCGTGGGCGTGGGACTTCTTCACCAACGCCAACCAGCAGCAGCAACACGGCGCGCAGGATCAGGAAGAGCAGCAGCGGGAGCGGGCGCGGACTGAGGATGCGCAGTTCGCAGATGTGTTTGAAGAGATGCTGCGTGAGGAGGGGATGGCCGAGGAAGGGCCCGGTGGGGGCGCTACAGGCAAGTTTTGGGGCCTGCTGGGCGGGCTAAGCGGTGGTGCGTTGGGGTTTATCGTAGCCAATGTACCAGGTCTCGTGGCGGGTGCTGTCGCTGGGAATCGGCTCGGCGCGGTGAGGGATGCGAAGGGAAAGAGTGTTTATGCTGTGTTTCAGGTAAGGCTCATGACCTCCGATGGGTAGTTGTAAGAGAGGATTAGTCACTAACCTTGGGGATAGGAACTGCCGCAAAGTGACCGGGCAAGGCTTCTCAGTCAGCTGGCTGCTAGGGTGCTGAGCCATGCGGTTGGAGTTTGAAAATAGAATAGGGGTATGCTCGAGGGGTAGAGGCGTTGGTGGCTTGGGTTAATGGGATTTGGGTTGATTTAAATAAGAATTAAGGTGGTCATGTCAGACGGCGATCTCGATTCTCTTAAACAATGACAGTTAACTGCGCACTTGAACACTACAAAGGGAAAATAGGGCGCTTTTCTGTCGTTATAAAAAGACAATCGAGTGATAATACCAAGCAAGGCCCGTCCAGTCTATCGATAAACCTAAGCCCGCCATAATATCTACAATCATCTCATACGGCCGTTTCCTAAATAAATACCTAACCTGCGCCAACACCCCAGCACCCCAGCGCCCGGACCACCTCATCATACACCTCAGAGATCACTTCCTCTTGTTCTTCCTCTTGCTCGCCTTGCCACCACCCTGCTTCTGCGTACCGCTCGTCTTGGCCTGACCAAGCTCGTCCACCGACTTCTCAAGCAACTCAAAGTCATCGGCTGACCCACTGCTGGGCGTGGCCTTACCAGGCTCCGAGTCAGTGTTGTCGTTATCTTGGTGCTCGAGCTCAGTGACCTCATTGACGTCGTACTCTACGTCTTCACCGGAATCGCCATTGCGCTTTGAGAGGAAGCGACCGATCGCAAGATGGTAGGCCCAAAGGGGAAGGCGCACGATGGCCGTGTCGTAGACGGTGGGACGGGTAAGCTCGTTAGGCTGTGGAAGTCATGTGAGTCAATTGCTTCTCTTTTGGGGAGTTAGGGGGGTAAGAAAATTCCCAGTCAGGGGGTTGAGAACTCACATCAAGAAGGAACTCGGCCACATTACCCTCCTCGTCCTCCTGCTCCAGGTAGACGTCTCCAAGTGAATCGACAACCAGGATCTTGCCGTTCTCAGCAACGACCCGCTTCTTCGTGCCCGTCGGCCCGCTACCCTGAGTCTGTGGTTGGGGCGTTGCGGACCCGGACGCGGCTGGTGATGTACGTCCGCGACGAAGCTTCCGCACATTGCCGCCACCGCTACCCTGGGACTCCTTCTTCGCGTCACGTTCCTGCATTCGGCGCATCTTACGGTTCATGGGCACGGCACGACCCTCTTCGTCCTGGTACATCTGCTGTTGCTGCGGAGGAGGTGGAGCCGGGGCGGCCGCAGTCTGGCCATCCACCCCAGGGACGTCGATGCCGAGGTTCTCGCCCCACGCGGCGTGGCGGGCAAACTTGATGTAGCGTTCGACGAACTCACGTTGGCGCTTCCAGCTCATGTACAAGGCAATGTAGTGAGCGGCGCCGCCGGCGAAAAGGAACACGCCAAAAATAGCGGTGCCCAGGCCGGGGCGGTAGCGGTTGTAGTAGTACTCAGTGCCTTTCCATGTGGGGAATCCATTGGACAAGAAGTAGTCGTAACGATCGCGACCTGGCCCGCGCAGGACGTCGGCGACGATGGAGAGGCGCGCTTGGCGTTCCGAGGCGCGCTTCACGGCCGTCTTGAGCTCGGCGGCCGTCGGCTTCTTGGGCACCTGTACGCCGCCAGCTTTCCCACCCTTCTTTTTCTGTTCTTTCTGGGCTTTCGTGCGCTCAGCCGTCAGCTGTTGGCGGACCTTGTCCGGGTGCAGCTGGCGTGACTTTTTCTTGTAGGCCTTATTGATGTCATCGTGGCTTGCGGATCGACCGATGTCGAGGAAATCGTAGAAGGTAACATCTGGGCCCTCATGGGTCATCAACTCATCGCGGACGCGGAAGATCTCGCGGTCTGGGGAGAAATCTCTCATTAGCTTGGACGAATTCACATCGTAGTGGCAGCAAGGATTCTTCTGTCCAAACAAACAGGAAGCCAGGGTGGACAACTTTACCTTCTTTGGACCAGGCTGCTGTCAAGGGCGTGAGGAGGGCCAACAGGCCAACAGAGATTGCCGAAAACTTCATGATAGCATAATCGCATGCGCGAAGAGCCGTCGTCGCAGTTTTTGGTCGACACAAACGGTGTGGTGTTGTGTCCGGCACCAAAACTTTTCTGAAGTGACACGCTGGAAGTTTTGGGACAGCATTGACAGGGCCTTTGCGATTGCCAAGACCTGTTATTTCGGCGCTACAGCAGGGATAAGAGCCAACCCCAGTCAACGTCCGCTGCCTCAAGTCAAAAGGGACAGCAGCCGAACATGCACACCAACGACAACCTGGAGTAGGTGCGAGACTACACTATGAATACAAGCTAACTTTATTGATTTATTGAAATCCACAATATGAGAAGATTATTGTGCTGGAGCGGGTGGACTCGGTCCCACCCGCACGCAGCTATCGGTACAGAAGGCAGTGTATGTACCTAGGTCTTTGTCTTGATGGCATCAGAACCATGTTGGAACACATCAATGTCCTGAAAGAATAATAAGGCAACAAGCCGAGATGATCTCATCCGGCGCAATGGCTCGCGATTCTAGTTATTAAGAAAGCGATACTTGGTTGATAGTGACTTAATGAAACACCTAGACTTAAAAGATTGTTGAAGTAAACCACCGACCTATCCTAGAAAATCGACAACTTCCCGTACTTGCTCACATGTGGTTTCTCGCCGCGAAGGCAGATAAGCCTGTGCCAAAAACTGTCAGATCTCAAGCACAAAACAAGGAGAGTGAGAGATGGGATCCGGGGCAAAGGTAGATGGGAAGCGACAAATTCAACTTACGGAGTCCGCTGATCATACGACAGCTCCATGCCATTACGGCCCCACTCCTCTTCCATGCCCAGCCGATGTTTTGACTTAGGCTTGCCTTCCTTCACCCGCAATTTCTCAAAATACACATAGGCGCCGTAAAAAAGTGGCAACTTGGCGCCCGCCGCCGGGCCCTTCGCCTTGAGGAAGTTTGCCATCTGCCCACCCGCGAAGGGCTTATCCGGCCGGGAGGGCCCATAAAGCTGCCCGTAGATTTCCCGGTAAAGCTGGGCTTGTGTGACACCAGGCCGCTTGAGATGTGCCTTGATCTTGCGCCGAATTTCGTCACAGGTGTCAAAGACGGGCACGTCGTCGTCCTCCTGGCCATCCATGTAGACGTTGCTGACATCGTAGGCTTGAGCCGCCGCCACTTTGACTGCTGTGCTGCTGCCTTTGGAGAACGGTGCAGCGGCACTACTGGGACCCGAGGAGTTCTTGCTGTTGTTGCTGGTCTTGGCCTTCTTGGCACTGGGGGCGGCCACGGCCTCGGAAAGCCCGCGTTTGTGGAAATAGTCTCGCGCGGAGCGATAGGCGACTGACCCGGCGCCGTTGTGCAGGCCCTCCTTCGCGAGGAAGGTGCTCAGGGACGACACGCCGATGCCCAACTCACGCGCAAATGCAGTCTTGGTCATGCCGCTAGCCACGAAGAAATTATTAATCCTGCTGCGGAGTTGATCACAGTCCTCATCCTCTGCAGGAACATCGGCCGGGCCCGTAGAGTTGTTCATGGAGGGCAGGGGAATAGGCGTATGGCTCTCAGTGGACTTGCGCTTCTTGCTTGCGCTCGCTGACTGTTTGGCTGCGGGAAGACCGTTCTCTTGGCCACTGAGCTTTGTGGGGTTGTTACCGGAATCTCGTTTGACTGGCGAGTTGATGGCATTGGGCAAGGCCCCCAGGGCAGTACGCCCATCATGCATTTATTGTTGGTTTTTGGCGAGGCGAAAGAAGGGCGCGGCTTATACAGACCTGAGGAGTCATTGTAAACGGAATGCTGAAGCGTCACGCGTGTGGAGCGCGTCTTTAGAACTTTGTGTCTGCGATATTTCCCTTGAGGCTATTTCGTGAACGATAAAATTGAGAAACTGAGGTTCCTTGATGGTAAATCCGACACGACAGTGAGAAGCAAACTGATCGCGCCTAGTGGTAGTGTAGTGTTTGTTTAGTTTGGAGAGGGCGATGGACGGGACAGACAGCACGCCTCGACCGAGGGGCAAGTAATAATGACAAGGGTACCCCCGTCAAACCAATTTCTGGGGCCAACTCCTCGAGTCCATTTATTGAGACAATCTTTGCCCAAAATAACCAGAAACAAATTCCAGCAAAATAATTACCCCGTGACAATTGCGGTGACGGCACGTTTGTACGAAGATGTCGTCATTGTTGTTTTCCGAAATGTAACGTCAGTGTAAGAAACGAGGAAGCAATGACGAAGATTTCCTCGCAGGTCATCGAGCGGGCATTCGCAACCCATGAAAACTCATTTTGGCCCAGAACAGACATTGAGATCGGAGGTGACGCCATTCATCGGTACGGTTCAACGATGCCAATCTTGTTTCAACTCATTTGGCGAGATCCATAAGTTATCAGAAAGCAGAGCTGGCAATGTCGTCAGGGTTAGGGTCACTTACACGTCAAGCCTCGGTGAAACTCGCAGTTCTTGGCCCGTCACTGTGCATCATCTAAGTTCTTATGAGAGAAAATGATTAGTTAAGTAAACTAGACGCTTATCTATCCCTCTGCTGTCTTGCCGCGGGTGATAATTTTGTTGCGAGAGATCCACGATTCATAATACCACTGCATTAGTTGACCAAAGGCCTGTTTGATCACTAATTACCTGCCCGTGTAATTCACTTGGTCTTTAGATTGGTAGTGAGTAAGATAGGCATTTCTGGAGGTCTCCGCTAGGTAGTGTAGTCTAAATAGGTACCTTAGGGAGGTATGTAAAACGACAAAATGAAATTATCCTCATACCCTCCCCTGCCTTAACTGTTCTGCGTCTGAATGAGAGGCCATGTGCCCCAGAACGTAACACAACCCAACATTCTCCCGATAATACCAAATACAATGTTCTTCACATGGCTTACGCCGCATCATTTCTTCCTTGGACCTTTTCCTTGTCAGTTGGTGATATCCAGGTAAAATTTTAGTATACCCTCGATAGCGGCGTTCCGTGGCCGGAATGGCGGGTCGAGAGCCCATTTGTCCCCCTCGCCGGCGTCCTTCTTCTTTCTCCCCCCCTTACCCTCATCGAGATACGGGTGCATATGATCCAGCGCCCCGGGGATGGAGTCCTAATCCCTGCTCAAGGTAAATCCTCCAGCCTCCATACCATCGGGTCGAATGTCTGCCAGGACTGCGAATAGTGCTAACATCGCTAACGGCTCCGCACACACGGCGGCCTCTCCCTTCCAACTACACATGACGGACTTCTAGCCGCCGGTACCATTTTCGGGGGAATAACTATCATCGAGGAGGTAAGGGTGTGCGTGCAAAAATTCGTGGAGGATGGTCATGGGAACCAGATTGAATGATAGCTTGTGGACATTGAGAGGGTTAATGGCCTGGTTAATGGTACCTTGGTTATTGCATTGGAGGAGGGCCGTATCAAAGGCGGAGAGTACGATACTGTGTGTGGACAAGGTTGCGCTTGGTTTCCACGAGGGCGGGCAGATGTCGATGACGCTACGGTGCTCCTTTTCATCTTTGTACTCGGGGGCCTGGTAAGGACGACTTGCGCACCACCCGTAGCAACTTCTTGAGACTTCGTCGTCTGTGACAATTCCATTTTCGCTGTCGTACATACGCCCCTTGGGCAGAGGCATCCACCGCCTGAGACCCCGTGCGCCAGCGTAGATACGCACGTCAGCTTTTTCTCGCTTGTCGGTACGAGCCCAGTTGTAAGCGGAGTCGTGAAAGACACGAAGAACGTGATTGACTGAATTTTCTGAGCGTTTATCGTAGCTACCAAACCATTTCCGCCATCTTTTGGACATGGGGTAGCGTCTGGTGCCGTTCTTGGGCGTTTTGAAAATGACGTTAAAAACGCGGGCAAAGTCTTCATCTGTGTCGCTTCGGAGGCGTTCGAAAGCTCGTCTAGCCCAGCGGCGGGCTTCGAGGAGATAGAGCGCTTCAAAATCTCCGCCAGCTTCCTCATCGCATGAAGGGTCAATGAAATACAGATTCACCGGCGATTCGCCTTTGGGGCGTGGGAGATCGATGTGACGAGGCATTCCCAGAAATAGCTAGGCTGGGGTCTTGGCTCGGCTGTGGTGTTCGACATGTGGTCGTTGCTGGCTCTCATGGATGGCTGGGGTCGATGGCTCAATGGGATGAGAGGGTGATAGGGTAATGAGTCCGAATTAGAGGGGGATGGGAGAGAAGGAAAGCCAGGCTTTAAAACCCTGGGTCATTATATAAGGACACATTCTATGTTTGAGACTTCTTTTGTCACAAAAGCTTCGCTGTTACAAGCTGAGTGGTAAGCCCAATTTAGGAGTATTATAGTGCGGGCACCTTTGCATCTCAGCTTATCCACTTATGTAGTTTGATATCAAAGGAGATCAGCTTTCTACCAGCGGAAGTCTTGTTCTGGCGAAATAGGAACTCGAGATAATTAGAAACAAAAGTATCCAGTGTACCTAGTCTAAGGTACTCATTGAAGCACCCATTCAAAGGTAACTCTAAATCATACCGGTATTGTTTGAAATAAGTACTTCACGAGGACCAGGATGGTCTTCATAATGGTCGGTTTGAGATACAGATATTCCCAACAGACTTGAACTCTACCGAGGAAGCTCAAAATCTTTGATGATGACTTTACTCGTTCACGGGCAGTCACGGCAGTGCGCCCGTTAAAGGCTAAGGAGTTTAGTTAGCGGTGTACTAATTACTCTCTTGGCGGGCAGCGTATAGTAATTTTATCTAGGTATCTATATGGGAATTCCTCAATCTTTTGCTAAGTATTAAATACCTGTGTCATACACAGCAAACCCCCCAGGGTCGGTAATGCTAGGCCGACCTGAGCACTGAGGTGACAGGAAATGCAGGGTTAGGGTACACACTGTGTGTGTTTGGTGGTAGTTTAAGCGAAACCGAACACGGGGAATACTAGTATTTGACCCACAGTGCGGGTGTCCTCCCCACAGCCTCCTAACCTGGGACGTGGGTGTCCATATTGGGAACCACCCCCAACTTTCAGCCTGTTTCGGTCTCGGACTTTCAGTCTCTTCTCTTTCAGTATAACTCAAAATTCATAACCTCATTACACCCAGTTGAACAACAATCAAGTCTATAATCTTACGAGAATGCTCCGGAGGAGTCATAAAAAATCCCGGGCTGGCTGCCTCGAATGCAAAAGACGACATGTCAAGGTTTGTTTCACTGTTCTGGGATCAAATATACTGGGGCTGGGGAAATAATGTTAAGATGGCCTTTGTTTTAACTGTTAATGGCTTGTACTTAGTGTGATGAACAGCGACCTCGGTGTATCATTTGCACCTTGTCAGAACGAGAATGCAGTTACCCGCAGCAGTCCGCCAGCTCGCCACTCTCGCCAGCAGGGTCAACACCAAGTACTCCAGGGCCGGTTACAGCCCAGGAAGCGACCGCAGACCCCCCTTCGTCTTTTATAGCTGCAATTGCGACTAGTAACGAGACTAGCGCGAGTCCCGTTGCCGGCGTCCCTCTCCCGGACATCTCGGGTCGGGAACCTACGCTAACACCAAATACAAACCGGAACAACCCCGAAGTCAACATGGCCCACATGGAGTTATTAGTCCGCTTCGAATTCGAGGAACATGCCCCTGAGCTAAACGTTGAGCTGCGCGACTTTGCCTCAGAACTTTTGTTCAAATGCAGTCTCGAAGCCCCTTACTTGATGCACCAGATTCTTGCCGTATCTGCTCGACGTCAGGCGGCGCTTCAGTCCGAACGAACCGGTTATTTTCTAGAAACCGCCATACACTTACAGACTAAGGCTGTTTCCATTTACAACGAGACGGCGGCCAAGGCGCAAATCGATCAGACAAACTGTTCTGCACTGTTGTTGTTTTGTTCCCTCCTTGGCCGTCATCTGCTCGCCGACCTTCTGGCAAGGAGGGATGCAAATTTTGGCGAATTTCTACCTCGCTTCCTCGAGCTACTTTCCATATCCCGTGGTCTTATGGCCATGTCTGTGTCCGCCTGGGACCTTCTGCTTCAATCCGACATCAAACATCTTGTTCTATGGGCGCTCGAGATCTCCCAGTCAACACCCCGGGGACATCACTGTGACGAGCTGCAGCGTCTCGTCGCTGAGTCTACGAACCTAGACGCACCTTCCAAGGAAGCTTGTGTAGCGGCTATTGCCTCTCTTCAAGTCGGCTTCGACAGCATTCTCGGGGGCGATGCACGAAATCAGCGGTACCTGATGGTCTTCATGTGGTAATTCTGAGCCATTCTAGCTGGTTAACACAGTCGCAAGAGTACTAATTTGGTGAATAGGGCCCCTGTTGTTCCTCAAAAGTTTACCGACTTGCTATCCCAACAACGACCCGAAGCTATCGCCATCATGGGGCACTGGGCACTCCTTCTTCATTATACAAGGAGCTTATGGCACGTGGCTGATTCTGGATCTTATCTTCTGAAACGCATCTCCGAGTATCTCGGCCCGAGTTGGGCCCCTTGGCTATCGTGGCCACTTTCTGTTCTCGCAGCGGATACACCAAATTGAAACTCCGCTGGAGCCTCCGATCCCTTGTTTTATTTCTTAGTGAAACTCCTGGATGAAATTTGAACCTTGGATCCGCCTCTATTCATGGACTAACTCGAGCTGGGGTTATTGGCCGCTGAGGTCCAGATACATCATGACCTTATCCGCACTGAACTGACAATCAAACGGAATACCAACGGGAGGGTCATTGCCGTGTCATGATCCTCCCCATTGCTAACTCAACCTCATACAACGCGGCCCTACTAGACATCGATTCTCATCGCACCACCAAATCTATCTGCCGGAGGATGCCCCAAACGGATTCCAAGCGGCATCATTCGCCGACTCATTTTTCCATCTCTCAAGGCCGGTGTGGTTGCTAAGGGACGATGCATACCGGTCCTTGCTGAGGATTGAACCGATCGAGCCTTTGCTGCTCTTGCTTGAGCCCGTGTTTGTGCTGGCCTTCTCCTTGCCTTTCGATTCAGGCTTGGAGCCGTTTCCTAGATCTGTGATTCTCAGCATGGCTCACTTTGTTTGATTCGGGAGAACGGTGCTTACAGGACGAGGCGGTGGACGACGAGCTGGGCATGGTGAAGGTTTGAGCGGTGCCAATGACTACGAAACGATAAAGCTAAGGTTTGAGGAATCTTGGGTTAGCTTGATCAGAGAGGTGGAGTAGTGTTGTTCATGTCCAAGACACACCACAACTCCCCCTTTTTATAGGTTTGGGGTGAGATAGCCACCCGTTGGATCCTTACCGGCAAGATATCCCTCAAATTGGGATGACATAGGATGCCATTCTGCGCTCCATCCTTCATCAAGCACGAGACATCATCACTGCCTTCGCTGCTCACATGCCCTTCAGGTAAATGTCCAAGGGTCACACCCGGGGTGTCTCGGATAGTCCGACTAACGTTGACGAGTACAGGCTAGATAAAACCACTGCATACGTCGCCGTATAGCCTTTAGACGAAGCCAATTGCTTCCAACATTCGAATCCATGGTTCGCTCACCGCCACAATAAGCGTCGATTTCTTGGCTGGCCCGGCGGTATTCCTGTACGACGTTCGATGGGACCCCCCCAGCGGAATTCGTCAAGACACCACTGTCATCCCGCATTCACATTGACAATCCTAACTGTTTAGCATAACCAAGCCCCCCTCCGCATCAGGGGGTTCCCTGCCCAGAAGCCCGGGCATGGCAGACTCAGCTCGCGCAAATCACCACGTCATTCGAGAGGCACATAAGAGTAGAGTTTTCACCGCTGGTCCTCAGCGCTGACCTTCACCCGATTCGCCGTCTTGGGACGGATATGCCATATGTTAAGTTGTACAGTACGCTCAACAGCGACTTCGGAAGCCGAGTTATTGGGGGTGTTGATTCGTCCTGGGAACCACGGGTTTTATCGCCCCCCCACGTCCGCAGGAACCAAGAGACATGCTCCAACCGAGCGGCGAAGCCGAACTTACACATCGGCTACCTGCATTACGGGGGATCCCATTTGGCCGGCGCCCAGCTCTAGGATTGGGCGTGACCCGCTACCCCTGAATTAAGACCTGCAGCAAAAACAAACCCAGTCTTGAGACAGCGGAGGGCCGTCCACATGGCCTATGCTTGATCCGAATGGTCCGGTTCTTGACAGCCGGCTGCGTTTGTGCTTTGACGGCTCATGCTTGAGCGAAAGCAAGGCTGCTAGCCGAAGCCGGGAATGGGGAAGGATAACTGAATCGTTCATGCACATGGTCGGATGATCGCGTGAAAGAAAAAGGTTTCGACCACCAGGGATAGCTTGCAGCACCGGAAGCGAGACAAAAGCAGCCGGCGGATGACACTCTTCTTCTTGCAGTCTCGACGGGAGACTGAAGTAGGGTACCCGAGGAATGGCAACCGAATGTGGCGCCTGCGGTCATTGGCCATGACATATTTGGCGACACAGATTACTTTCACGTGGCAAGGATTGATTATAGGTGAAAGACACCCTGCTGTGTGGTCCGGTCTCTACCACATCAACAAATGTCGGGAATTCTGGCTGTGGTCACGATCCATGGGGGTAAGGATTCCCGGGCAGACAGACAACCAGGTTCGCTCGCCCTATCCGAACCGGGTACCGGACCCTGACTTGTCTCCCACTCTCTACTGAATGGCGCATGATTAATTACTGAGAGGGCATCTTTGACGAGGAGAAAGTATGTCAATGTCCGTAATGCAGAAAAAGAAGATAATTTTCTTCTCTAACCTCGAGGGATTCCATCCGTTAGAAACTAGTTGTCCTCGTGAGCGTTCGCATGCTGATGCGCCTAGGTTCTGCATCCCGGGTACTGAGTTAAAAGTTCCGGTTTGGAGACACCGCTGCGGTGGATAGTCCCGGAAACCGCACAACCGGGCAACTGGAGACGCAGGCCATGCGTGGTTGTGAAGTTACCCGTCAACACGGGGATAATACAGCTGTCTTACATTCCGCCGACCCATATGGCTCAGGTTCCACAGCATCTTGCGACCTTTCGTTAAGACGGAGAAACCCAGGCTGATGCGCGATATTTGCCGGTTCGACGAAATGCCCATAAGCACCTCGCATAACCACTCATCGCCGATTATAGCAAGCCTCAGGACCGAGGGCGGGTGACGATTCCCTCGGCCGGCAGATCAATGCACCAACATCCCTTTTGTCTCGGCCGAAAGGTGCCCATCACGGGGTACTCTACCCCGGCCGGTTCCTTTCGAGAATGCTGTCAGTCAACTGGCCCGACCGTTGCCTCATCTTGGCATTGAAGGCGTCCGAGCTGCTGATCGGCTCGGGCCCGACCTCGCGGTAAGGCGACTTGCCTTCCACACCCCGTGTGTGTGTGTGTGTGGTCGATCCCGCCGGAGCCACCTGAGAATGCCGTGCGAGTCCAAACGGGACCGCATGACTGGAGCCGGTCACCGGTACGCTGCCGGTATTTTGCACGGGGGTGAAGGAAGCCGGGTGGGATTTTCTCGAAGTCGGGGGAACAAGGGTGGTCACGCAACACTATTTAATTATCCGGGAACGGTGTGCCCAGGGATCTGGGTGGTGGTAAACCACATGTTGACCTGCGGGCCTGCTTATCAAGGTGTTTGATGCCATGCATCATATGAAACCGCCCGTAGAAAAATCCTTGACGGGAATGGTGAGGCGACAGAATTGCCGATCTAGTGTGGGTAAGAGTAGCCGGGCTCGGCTTGATAGGCTGCTTGACAAGCAACTTGATAGGTAGATGGGGGCGTTGTGGGCGAGCTTATGGTAAGTACTTGATGTCGTGTGTGCAGTTGAAAGCAACAGCTGAGCCGCGGAACCGATGCCGACAAGGCTGTGGAACAGTGACTAGGGTTGCTACCTACCTGTTTGGCTCACGTGTGGTTATCACGGAGTATCATGAACCTTTAATATTGAAAACATCCCTTTAGTTGAAACCCTTCGAGCGCCGAACAGTTCCGTGGCTGAATTTCTAGACAAGCTTCAACCCTAGACAATGGCTTGAGGCTTGCGCAACAGTCAAGTCAACGTGAAACACTTGATCAACTTTTCTCCAGAACAAGTAATTAGAATGTATCCTCGACCGCAGGATGCCTCGGGATGGCAAGCATATCATTCGCCGTTGGAAATGTTGCCGCATACGTACGTACTGCATTCATTCCCGCGAAAAAGCTAGCCGATGAAGGTTGTTGGTAGCACATACATTCGAGAGCCCTCTGACCTGACCCCCACGCCTTCTTCACCGGTGAAGCTGTGAATTAGCGGTGTCAACGGCCCACGCTCCAATAGTCTGGCACTTGTTCATCTCGACGGCGAACATTGGATAGAATATTCGCATGCGATCTCATCCATGTGACCGGTTGTGAGTGGGCTAAATAACGTCCTAGTCCAGTTCCAATTGCGGTCCTTCTTCGTGAACCATTGTCTGGCTTACCGGTCTACATACCGGCTTCCTCCACGCTTATGCGCGGTTTTACAAGGGACCGATGATTCCGTGAAGGCGAAAATCCCTCAAGGGGTCGGATCAAGAACTGTGAGGTCGCATGGGCCGGTTGGGTTGATCACAAGTGTTGTCATTAAAAATTTATGTTTATCACCTCTACCATGCTCCTGGAAAGGATGTCCAAAACGTAATTTGTTCACCGTACGCAGCTTTCTCATCGCTCATCTAGTTCCTTTGTTCCCCGGGGGGCTGCTCTGCTCAAGTTAACAGAGCTAGGGGCTGACAAACCTGAGTCTTTGGGAAACAGAAGATATCAAAACGTCAGGGGACAGACCTAGGGATGTGGCCAAAAGAGGGAGGGTAAAGCGACGTAATAAGAAAACAGAGGAAGAGAACAATTAAGACAATAGAAGAATAATATAAGCACAGTATGATAAAATAGAACACAGAAAAACCCCATAATTTCCATACGTCGTGGTGGAACTTAAATTCGAGAGTTGCAAGTTGCAACTCGTTACAAAATTAGGTTCAAACAGTTTCCGTATATAATAGTTATATTGTATAAAAGTGTGAGATTTCAGCAATAGTATTAGCCATGGCCACGAGGGCGTCCCGATTTCGAGCTATATTATGATGCTGTTGGCGTTGAATCGTGACTGGGAGCCACCTTCGTGATTCAAGGCGTGGGGGGGCGGTCATTCATGGCCCAGTTCACATGCTAGGCTACGCGAACGGTTGGATTGTGAGCCGCAATCGAAGGAGGATATTTGTAATAGCCTGGCCCAGCAAGTGCAAAGCCGTTATGGCCACTACGTGTTCATACGACACCTCGTATGACTATTTATCATGATGCCACGACTACAACAAAACTATCTTGAGATTATTGGAAAACTATGGTGTCGTGTCTTTCCAGCCCGGATCGAACCGACACAGAGCCACGGGGTTGAGAATTTGAGACGGGTACAACAGAAGCGGCCTTATTCATTTTGATGATGGTGATACGAAGTAGAACATCGAATATTTCGAACAACATTCCAATTTCCCCTTCATTCTCCCCGTTTGTTCACCTGGCGAGATTTGGGTGGTATACTTTTGTTTTGTGCGTGCCACAGACACTTCCCGAAGCAGCGACATGATACGAAGTACACTGGGTTGGATCGATATCACGTTACTGCCGGAGACTCGCTAAAGAATTGAATGTCTACCTTCGTGAGTGCTAGCGATCGGGATTTCGCACGGGAGAAAGACAGGACTTTCGACCGCAGCTTCCGCTTCAAAACACCCAGGTCGAAACAGTCATGCAAGGGGATCGATGGAACCAAGATGCCCTTGCAGGGTGGACCGTCAAAGAAGCAATCTTGCGACAGCGCCAAAAAGACTGCGTATTTCATGCAGCGGGGCCATCTGGAGGGTGGGCAAAGTCGTATTTCGCATGCCACGCGGCGCAAGTGATTGGCGAGATTGCTAGATAAATGTGGGGATAAACCTCAAGCACCGAACGGTGCCTGGTTTCTTGGAAAACCCGCCGGGAATGGAAGGAGCAGCCGCTGTTGGCCGCTGATCCGCGGCCGTGGAAGGTCCGGCTCGCGGCTGCCCCAGTTTAGAAAATCCGTACTGTGGATGGAAGGGATCGATTGGCAACGAGCCCCCAAGCTCAAGACAGCAGGCGCTCGGGGAGCCCTTTGTTCTCTTTCCGTTACTGGAATGGAAAATGGCCAGGCGGCCTCCGCCCAGCAACACAACAGCAAGCGCAATCATGGATTATTGGCGCATCAAACATACGAGTTCCGGAGCGTCCGCCCACCAATCACAAGCGATTTGCCCTCCCGGAGTCTGTGCTTCAATGGTCTGGGCCGGACACCCAATATGGCTTGGCAGCAAGTTCGATCCCCTGCTTGGCGGCCTTGGTTGTGGCTTTGGAGGGGCCGCGAGGTCTCACTCAGCCGAAGCGCCGCTGGCCACTTGCACAAGTCTGGCCGTCTTTGTGCTGGCCAAGTGCTGCCAACATCCCCAACACCGTTTCTCCCGCTCTGTCGTCACTCTCCCGTTGTTTTTGGTTTCCCCTTCCGATTTACGGATCGTTCTCCTCGCCTCTCCACCACAACCTTGAAAACGAACCCCGTCGACAACTGCGTGATTAGCGACTAATATCTTTGAAACGAAGGACGCCGAGCTAGCTGAGGACCACAAAAACGTTAGAGACCGGCCAGGGCGCCCTTCCGCTCGCTTAGAATCCGATTTGCGCTGGACAGACGCTTCGAAAGCTTCAACCGGAACCACATCCCACGGGCTTCACCTCACGAGGCTTTCATCCACGACCCTATTGAATAGAGATTCGGCGTCGCGATTTGGGCGAAGAAAGTGACGGGAGATCGGAAGGAGAATACGAGAGTCAATCGACCGTTCCGATTTGGAATCGCCGACACGAACGATTCACCGAAAAGGGGAGGGGGATACTTTTGCGGAGCCGTGATCTTGCGGCCTTTGACAATCTGAGGATTAGGTGCAGGTACAACAGTCGTTCGTCCGAACTTTTGCGCTCCGACCATTCCGGTAGCCTCATCCGGTGGCTGTGTCGTCATTCTTTTTGGCCCATTTGTTTCAACCAGGCGCTCGCCAACCACGCCAGTGCCAATCGACGCTCTTGATTTCGGGGGTGTCCATTTGCCCTTCGTGAGGGTTTTCTTCCACTTCTCGCTTTGGAGTTGCGACACTAGCCGCGCCGCGGCCCGACGGTATCTGCATAATGGGTATGTAGTCCCCGTGCTGCAAGGAGCGGATTTTCCATTCACCGAGTGGCGGCCCGAGCTGGCTAACGCTGTCACAGAGACAACAATTTTCCCAATTTCAGCGTTACCGACGTGCGTGACAGCTTGCGGCCATTTGTACGACGTCAACGGGGCCTGTGTGCCACCAGCAGCGCCAACGGCCAACGCAGACACGTACGACAGCTGCTTTTGCAACAATCCACTACTCGCTCCGTTCAAAACTGGAACGTCTGGGGTATGCGACGGCGCATGCCAGGCGAATGATTTGAGCAGTATCCAAGGCTGGTTTACTAGCTTTTGCAACGGTGTCGCAGGAGGAAATGGGGCGGACCCGACGTCTACCGCATCTTCAACATCACGCCCAGGAAACAATGGTGGCAATCAGACATGGTATGGAAATCTTTGTTTGAACTCTGGAAAGGCGACTTTACTAACCAACATACTTGGAAAAGGCTTGGGAGCCACTACCAATGGGTCATTTTCCTCGTTATCATGGTTGTCGCCATCATCGGTATTTGGGTAGGCGCTTGCATTTGGCGTCGACGTTACATTCGCAAAAAGGATCGGGTATACGCCCTCGGCTCGAACCTTGCACACACGACGGAATCAGGACGAGTTGTGCCGAACGCTAGTAGCCAAGGCTCGGTTCATGTCCCTGGGCCGGGGATGTTCGACCCGGCCCCGATCAGCTCCGCCGGAGTGTACGGTGAGAAGTCATCGAAGAAAAAGAAGTGGACGCTAGGGGACCGTACGTAAATGGGGCTTCCACACAAACGACACCATCTCGGGGAGAAGACAACACATCAGGAACGGATTCCACACAACCCGCCGTAAATACCTTTTTTCTTGTTCACAGTCTAAAGGTGGAACTTGATGGCCAAGCAGGCTTAAACACTCGCTCTTTCCGACCATGCCTGCTGCGCGGCCTGCGTACCAACGCGTGATTGCACGTTTACGGGACTCTTTGTAATCAGCTTGGATTACTTTTTCCTTTTGGCATTTTTTTTTTCTTTTCGGAATGGGCGGTTTGGGGGCTCAAAACAGACCGGTGGAGGGGCGGCACGACATGATATTTTCTTGCATTTGGCGTTCAGGACCAGGCGTTCTTGGTGGACGTTTTTTACCAATCGTCCCAGTCGATGGGAACAGAGCGGCAGTTGATGGTTGGCGTGGAAGGTTCATATCAACCCTTTATACTCCCATAGTTTTTCTTGCATTTTTACATAGATCTTCCCAATTTTTTTCAGCTCTTTTATTCCTTCAACGGATTTTAAGCGTGTGACGTTTTTTTCTCGTCGGTGAACGGAGTCATTTTCTCCACCGGCCGACGTCACGGAATGCTAGCCTCCGCCGGGTTCGGCCCACCAAGAGGCCAAGTTTAGACGCAGGAATGCAACACATGATTAATCCCCTTGTGGTGTAGTTGGCTATCACGTTCGGCTGTAAATGGAATTTATTGATACCGAAAGGTCACCGGCTCGATTCCGGTCGAGGGGACTCAATTTTTTCGCATTTTGGTTTTTCCACCACAAGTTCGACATTTTGTTCACCGTTCAGACTCGCCGCGACTGGGCACCACGCATCTTTTTGGTATACTTTATCCACCCGATTTTGTTAATTCTAAAATTCCACACTCCTACTTTCTCTGATGCCGTGTTGGTATTTGTGTTACGTTCAAGGTCTCTAAGCTGATAACCGTTGCTTCCACAGTCTCTCCTGATTCACGACGCTTGATTCAACGGAACCTGAAACTCAAAGACAGCAAATAGGTATTTGGGCCATTCATTATGCTGTATTGTGTTTAACCACCTTTACCCAATTTTGTCTTTTGCGAGCATAGAAAGATAACCACGAAAAACAATACGGCCTGCCAAAATATCCAAATCTGCGTGTGTAACCCGTCCATGATTAACCCCCATCTATAATCCATCCTCCTCAACCATCTCACCCCCCTATCGCTTACCATACTATCAATCAACTTCATTCACCCGTCTCTGTTTGCGTTTTCCTGTCTCGTCTTGTCTTGTTGGTTGACTGGTGCAACCTCATCTCAGCGGCAGGGCCTGACCCTCGTCCACTTTGGCCTGTTCCTCGGCCGCATCCATGTACAAGTCGATGAGGCAGCCAGCAGACCATGCTTGAGTAGGGGACTATTAAATAGGTATTTTGTTAGCTGAAAATATCCCCTAGTCTAAGTTAAGGAAGGGAGAAAAGTGAACGTACCGAGTCATGGCATTCTTCTCCCGCTTTCTGGGTCAACTCAGTCAACCCCGCCCATGGGCTGCGCCGGATCATCTCCTTACACTCCTTCAACCGCCTCGTCACCTGCTGGAACGCCTCCGTGCGACCCTCAGCGTCATTCTTGGCACGGCGCCTCAGGTCGAACTTGAGCAACGCGCGCAAGAAGAAGCCCGTCGGCCACAACCACTCGGGGCCTTGGTGGTAGTTGCGCCCCTTGGATGTCGCGAAGTCCTCGCTGTCCTCGCTGTTGCGGTAGTATGGCCGGTAGTTGAGATCGGACGGGTCGAGGGTGGCCATACCCGTGGGCCCGCGTAGGGCGGTGTCGGCGATGCAGAGTGCGTGCATGGCGTGCGAGGGGTCGAAAAGCTCCGGTGCAACGGTCATGGCGATGGGGAAGTTGGGGCGTAGTTGGTAGTCTTCGTACTCTTTACCGGAACGGTACAGGTCCTTGTAGATGCCGCGTCGGTTGATGACGGATGGGTTGACATCGTGCTGTGCGTCCTCATCGGGTGCGATGGGGACAAAATAGCAGCGCTCAAAGTTGTCTTTGATGAGGTCTGCCCAGCCACGGAGGGTGATCTCAGATCCATCGGCCTTGCGGACGGAGGATTCCGCATATTTGCCCTGTTCGTTCAGGGTGGCAACCCAGTTGAGGGAGCTGTAGAGGAGACCGGTGATCTCTACGGCGGCGCCATCACGGGGCGTTCCCGGCACACCCTTGGACCCTGCACGATCGCTCTCGCCCATCTTGTCCATCCAGGTACCGCAATTATCCTGGTTACCGCCAAAGACGAACCCATTGGTCCAGTCGACCTTGATTTCCTGGTTGAAACCGTTGTCTTTCATCTGCATGTCAAGGTTCGGGCCGGCGTTGGCCTCGCGGAACTTCATCCCTTCGGCATGACGCTGGAACACTTCCTGGATGACCTCGCGGATGGTGCTTTCCTTGCTGTACGCCCGAGAATCGTCCGAAGCGAACCAGGTGTCGTCATACGGCAGAAAGCGTCTCTTAACCTTCTCGTCAAGTAAAGACAAGCCGTTCGGTGCGAGACGCGTGTAGTCTTGAATACACTGCAAAAAGAACCAGACAGAGTCTCGAGCGTTGTACCGGGGGGTATTGCCGCTCCCGAGCAAGTTGGGAATCATCCCGTGCTTCAACACGCTCGCAAAGGCACGGATGTGCTCTTTAGCCTCATCAAACCGGCCGGTACCGAGGTAGAGACCCCGCAAGGAGATAAAGACATCACGCCCCCAGCAGCGCGCCCATTCCACCGCAAAGTGCGGCAGCCCCGCAGCGAGCGAGGGGACAAGATGGTTGGGATAGAGAGAAGCCGACTTTACGAGACCGGTCTGCTGCACGCTGACCAAAGCCAGTCTCTGAGCGAACCATTGCCCGTTGCGGATGTCGTCGCTCATGAGCGAGATACCCCTTTCCGTGGCAGCCGTGTAAATGGTGCGGAGGACAAGGCCAAAGTAGCGCGGAAGAAGGAAACTGGGGATGCTGCGGATGGCGTCGAACCGCTCCCGGATCCAGGCGGCGGGCTTTCCGAGGCGACTGAACAGCTCTTGCTGCGAGGCGCGTTCCAACCTCCCGACTATGTAGTCGAGAACCCACTGGCCATCACGCAGATTCTGACAGAGGGGGTGGGCGAGGTTGTTGTCGCGTATGATGTCCTGAAGAATACTCCACCATCCTTGCAAGCCGGCATACACAAGTTTGCCATGCCCCGGAATGTCATAAACACCATCGCGGCCCTCGCTCGCATCCCGCTCCTCCGGCTCGGATTTGTAAAGCAAAAAGTTGAGGTCGACGAGGTCGAGCTCTTCCACCGCAGCCTTGGCGCCTGACGTAACAAAAGTATCGAAGCCACTCGAGTGCTCCGCCGCGGGGATCCAAGTCTCGAACAAGGCGATGCTGCCGGGTGGGAACTTGTCGCGGACGGTAATGATGGTATCATCGCCCTTGACCTCGAGCCGGATGCCCGGAACACCGATAAGGCGGCTGGGCAAACCACGCAAATGCCGTTTATCACTCAGCACCTCGTCAATAACCTCCTGACTGGTATCAACTTCAAGCATCCAGCTGCCGAGATGCTTGGCCTTGGTGCCGGTCAGCTTAACGGGGTTGAAGGCGCCGTTCCCGTTTCCGTACCCCGGGAAAGCCGTGTGGGCTATGAGGAAGTAACCCTTTCGCGACTCCGGGTGAACTCGGTGGACGGTGACATATTGATCCTCATGGTGGATGTGCGTCTCGTCATAACCGTCCATACCCATCAGGGTATGGATCTGGTTGAGAAGTTTCTTCACTCCGGCAATGCCGCCCTTGCCTTCCCCAACCTTCACCGGGGCCTTAGACGACTCCGAGGTGTAGAGTCGGGTCTCTCCGACGAGATCAATGAGCTTGGGATAGATTTCATCGTAACCCATTACACTGCCAGTCGCACTAGAACACATGCTAACTAGGGCCGCGTTGGGTAGTGTATCCCGAGCGTCGCGCTTCTGAGCCGGGACCTCATTGTCGTGCGTGCAATCCATGAAAAGGGCTTGAACGGGAACAGGCTTGATGCGCCGGATGATCTCACGGGTATACTGGCCATCGTTTGTAGCAGCGTCGCCCTGGTCCTGGCCGCTGCTGCGCACTTCGGCGCTGGAGATTTCGTCCACCTCAAAGCTACCGATCGGCCGCCCGCCGTGGCGATGGACCAGCCTGCTCAATTCGCCGGTGCTCCAGGCCTGCATGGCCTCACGAATCAGTGCGCTCAAACCGAGGCGCTTGACAAACACGTAATCCATCTCCTCAGAGCCGCTGAACAGCTCAGCGACGACGTAGAGGTCGGGCCGGACCCGTCGGGCCTCATCAAGAATGTGCTCAGCCACATGGATGGGAGTTGAATGGCAGTTGTCGATGCGGAAACCGGCAAAATACTTGGCGAGCATCTTTGCATAGTTGGTCATGTGCTCCCACAGCCAGGGGCTGTCCTCGGGCCCGGAGCCGTATCGCAGTTTGGTGCAGTCGCCCCAGACGATGACCTCCCGGCGAAGGTAGACCCGAGATTCGGGGCCGGCATTGTCTACCAGTGCGTTGCCCCCCCAGACCCATCCGTTGTTGACAAGAACCAAGTCCTCTTTCTTGTGCTTCGAGGTGACTTCGTTCTGGGGCAGCCGGGTGAAGTAAGACTCAATCAGAGGATTTTCCTCATTAATTGGCCCCAATTTTGGCCCATTATCCTCGAGGCGAACGTACTTGATACGGTTGAAAAGCTGCTGGAGGATATCGCTCACTTCGGCGTCGTATTCTTTGTAGTATTCCACGTTGACGATATCGAGGATTTCGGCAGCCTTCTTGCGGACAGCCGCCTGGTCGGTGTTCCCATCCTCCTTCTTGAACAAGGTGGAAAGAAGGGCCGCGGCAATGGAGGGGTCTGCTCTCCTGCGGAATCGTTCACCGAGACGGTCAGTCCCCTGAATGCCGTGTTCCACGAGCCACTTTGCCAGCTCTTCAGGCGTCGCGGAGCTCAATGAGTCGAGGCTGCCGGCATTCTCGGGGAACGTAGTCTTGCCAGACGCCCAAGACTCAACCGCCGCATCAGCGTCCCGGTCGACATCGATTACGTAGTACTCCCACAAGCGGATCGCAGCCACAACCTCCTTCTTGACGCCCTCCATAATCTTCACAACGTCGTCCAGCTCCTTGACTTCGGTGGGCAGCCCAAGTTCCTGCAATTTGGAGCTCAGCTCGAGCAGCTTGGTGTCGAGGAGGTAGGCAGACTCCAGCCATGGGGCTGTTGTCAAGTTGTAGCCAGCTTCCGGGTGCTCCTCGAGCCACTTGCTGTTGTTGGCCGTGTGATTTAGGACGATATCCGTCAAGCTTAGTAGGGAGTGATTCTTTTCCAAGCTTTCCACCATCTTCGCAACGTCCTTCTCTCCTTCGGGAAAGCAGGTAGGATCCCAACCGAGCTGGTCGTACAAGCTGTAAGGTGAGTTGGACTCGCCCCTGACCTGAAGAGGGGTGAAGTGGACCATGTTGTAGCCGCGGTCACTGATACCCCTGAGATGGCGTTCCCAGTCCTGAGGGTACCTGCCCATGAACTTGCTGATCAGGGAGAAGACGGACAGGGCGGGCAGGGGCAGTGGCTGGCCATCGAGGGACAGCCGAGGGGCTACGTCGATGTAGTACCATGGTGTCGTTTTTGTTTCGGGCTCGGAATTGTCGCTAGAAGAGTTCAATTCGTTGGCTAGATCGGGCAGCTCGGCGTAGGTGGTGTAGAAAGCGTAGGCACCAACTTCGTAAATGGGAATGGAGATCTCAATCGTGCGATTGAAGTCTGGGACAAGCCTGTAAGGGTATTATTAGTACTTCAATGCCCCGCCGTTTGGTTCAATTCCCCAATTATTAATTTGTTCCTCTTTCTTCACAAAAGGCACGTACTTAAACTCCCGGAACTTGTCACGGCGGAACTCGGCGCCCTGCTCCGGGATGTTGACCCACAAGCTTCCATGGCGGCATATGCTGGAAGTACCCTCGATCGCGAATCGGATGGTGATTGGGTCGTTATTCTTAGGGGCCAGGTAGACGTACTCGCCCGCGACCTGGGGCGAGCCGTCGTCGTTAAGCGGCAACAAATAAACCTCGTTGGAAACCATGGTTTTGGGGACCATGTTATTGGGAGAGGGCGGAAGCTTCGGGGTGAAGTTCAAAGGAGGTACCTAAATAGGTACAGGGGAGTGTAGTGGGGTGGTGAGGGGAGCTTCCGGGTTCGCTTGCAGGGCCAACAAAGTCTTGGTCCAGTCGGTTCTTTTTTTGGTTGATCGCCTTCCGCGTGTCTTCTCAGGTAGTGTCGACTTAACGGTGGTGCCGATCAGAAGAACCCAGGCACCAAACAAGACACAGGCACAGGGCGAGAGATCTGATGAATCTCGACATGAGGGAGCGGGCCACCCGGACCGAAAGCGCCTTTATGTACCGTAATACCAGTTGGTTCAACTTGAAGATGGGGAGTAGTATCTCACCAACCCGGCAGCGATGGCAAGCGATGGCAAGCGATGCAGGTGCGTGCAGGCGGGATGAATTGAGCAGTGGGGCGAAACGGGCAGTTTCCAGGGTGGTTTCCAAGATTTTGTCAAAATCGGGGGCAGAGGAAGCAGCGGAAGCAGCATCAATAAAAGGTCCAGAACCAGGCAGATGCCGCGCACAAGGAGCACCACCGACGGGCGCCGGCATGGGTCTTCCAGTTGACCTCGCCTGTGGGCAGGAATGACAACTAACCGGGCACCGCGCCCGACGCCGCCCGGCAGAGCTTCAGAACATGAGCCTTCTCCATCAAAACAACAGGAAGTAAACGGGGACGACAAGGACGGTGGATGGCACAGCTCGCTATTGCACGACCTGAATGGACAGGTTGGGTCAACTGCGCGGCCTAGGTAGGCCTGAGACCATGGATGCCCGTGGGGCACGGTGCTGCGCCCGGCAAAGGTGTTGGTTTCAAGTCGCTGAGAACGTAAAAGGTGAATCAGCAGCGAATCCCGCCGCCCACTCCGAAATACCAGCCTCGATCTTTCTCGATCTCTTCGTCCTGGTGCTCGTGTTCCCGTAGGTAGGAACGAGAGTGGAGAAAAGTAGGGAGCGATGCGATAGCTTCCATGCATTGAGTTGACTGATGACCCCCCACCTTTTCGTTGGAGCTTTCCGACTCGGAGGATCAATGTTACTGTCTCTCTTTAAAGGTGAATCAACGCGGTATTTTTGTGTTTCGGCGCTGTAAAGCAATTTTATGGAATGAGATGAGCACGTTACTCCCGATGCTGTTGCCAAAAAAACATTGAGCATTCCGCTCGCCCTGAGACCTCGAACGCGTTGTCAAGCTCGATTTTTTTTGTCCAATGGGCTGGTGAGATTCAGCCCCGCCCCCACTTACCACCTCCCAGGGATGTTGATGACATCAGTCCATCCATGGTACAGGCTTGGCAGGTCTGTGCACTTCGCTTCGACATTGGCAGATTGGCCAGACCGCAAAGGTGCCCCTGGCAGTTTTCTTGTCGTTTTCTCCGGAGCTTTTGGTCCCATCCTCCATGCAACACTGCGCTCCCATTGTATTCGTAACGCTATGTACATATCCGTACAACTGCACTTAATTACAAGTGAGTCTCGACCTCCGCTCAACATTCTCGGGGAAGGCACGTTTCGTCCTGTTTATTTCGTTTCGGTATCTCGCTGAAATGATTTCCAGATCGTTCGCTGGCTAGTTAACGACTACCGGGCGGCTGGATGCCCATCCCTGGCTTCGGCCAGTCTGTTGACGAGGCTGTACATAGGAGTGTGCACAGTACACTCGACACATAGGTCCCCCCTTGCAGTGGATTGGGCATGCCATTTTTTCACGTTCGGCACTAGTGTAGTGTACACTACGTGCGCGTGTGAGCCTAGAACTCCATGAAGACGTCGATTCCGGAAATCCTGTTTTGACAATTAAGCTTAGATCCTTGGTGGGCCCATCCGTCGATCGCCGGCTTCCATTCACTATGTACACGTAAGTACACTACGAAGTACACCAATATTAAGGGTTCCTCCTGTCAAACTGTTGTACACGGATGTGGAAACTTTCGCCTCCTGCTCTTGTCTCTGCTCCGGTCTCCGCCCCGGCCCCCGAGCCCCCATGTCCATCCGGCCCGAGCCGGGTGCCCGGTGTGCCGGTGCCACAAAAGAACCACCGGCCCGGATTAAACAGAATTATATTCGGAGATTTGCAATGTCCGCTCATCGCTCGGACGAGCGCTGATGAAGACTTACCGCGGCCGTCTCTGTTAGCTCCGCGGTTGACCAAACTTCCTCGGCTCATGAACTTGACGATGTGGCTGGCGGGCGTGTCTCCGTCGCCCAGCTGTTAGTGGCTGTGAGTGCTTGGCGGTTCCGTGGCCTTGGCGGGCGGACAAAGCGATGGGCTCGGCCTCGGCGAGCAAGGGTCCACCAGGGTCTGAGTCGGGGTCACATGGAAGATTTGCGCTGCTCATTTCGAAAAAATTCAAGCCTAGACCATCGAAAAGGGAAGGCGGCCTCCCGATTCTGCCGGTCTTTGCGTCATGGCCCGCTGAATGGGCCAACGGTGTCGCAGAGAATCTTCCAGCGTCGGTGGCGGGCGTGCCGTCCCACTTACGTACAGCACATTGTGCTAACTAAGGGAACGGGCTTCAACTGTTCTAGTCGAAATCCTGACACCGACAGACCATGCAAGCGCATCTGACGAAGTGGCCATTGCCGGCCACATACAAAAGGAGTCGTGGACTCGTCCTCAGCTGTTGTTCGATCCCATTTGAGCCACCCCGTCCCAGCGGCAGCATCCACCGACCGTCACCGCCTGCCTTTTCTTTAGCAAACGTGACCAATTTCTACTCGAATATCCACTCACAAAGCTGCACGTTCCGACCCGACAGGCCTGAACCTTGTCAGCCATTCTGGGACTTTTCATCTCAACAATTCCACCATCCTAAGTTCTCGCCAACAGCACCTCATCCCAAATCCTCCAAGACTGGATCGACCGTGCGAGTTCACCAGCGCCGAGACCTCACAGCCGCCGTTATACCACACCCACGCACACGCTCAACGATTTCTCGGTCATATCATACATCCGCAAACATGGCTGGTCCAACCGATGCGGCTCGCCGCAAGCACAAGGTGACTGTCGTCGGCTCAGGGAACTGGGGCACGACCGTGGCTAAGCTTGTCGCCGAGAACACGAGGGAACACCCAGACCTCTTTGAGGAGGATGTGCAGATGTGGGTTTATGAAGAGAACGTTACCATTGCGCCCGACTCCCCTCATTACGACGCGGCTCTCGGCGACGAGCCGCAAAAGCTCACCAAGGTGATCAACACATACCACGAGAACGTCAAATACCTACCCAAAATTCCACTTCCCAGTAACGTGGTTGCGAACCCGTCCCTCCTCGACGCCGTCCAAGACGCCTCCATCCTCATCTTCAACCTCCCCCACGAGTTCATTGGCAACGTGTGCAAGCAAATCAAGGGGCACATCCTACCTTATGCCCGCGGCGTCAGCTGCATCAAGGGGGTGACCGTCACAGACGACAAGGTCGAGCTGATCTGCGAGTACATCAGCGAGTCTCTCGGCATTTACTGTGGTGCCCTAAGCGGTGGCAACATCGCCAATGAGATCGCCAATGAGCTGTGGTGCGAGACTACCATTGCATACAACACACCGCCGTGCGACCAGCGACCCCAAAACGGTAACGGAACAGGGACACAAAACGGCACCAGCAATGGACAACAAGACGGTCACTTCCGCGATTCTCGCGGCCGCCCTAGCGCGACGGAACTCACACCCCTGCCCACCGACTACCCGCCCCTCGACCACGCCGAGCTCCTCAAGCTGTTCGACCGCCCCTACTTCACCGTTTCTATGGTCTCCGACGTTGTTGGCGTCTCGCTTGCGGGCGCCCTCAAGAACATTGTCGCTTTGGCCTGCGGATTTATCGAAGGTCATGGGTGGAACATGACGGCCAAGACCGCCGTCATGCGGCGCGGGATGCTGGAGACCATCCAGTTCTGTCAAGAATTCTTCCCGGAGACCATCCAGGAGATGACTTTTTGGGAGAGCGCCGGCTGGAGCGACATGATTGTGTCGTGCACCTCGGCGCGCAACTGGCGGTACTCCAAGATGGCGGTTGAGCGCGGCGTGTCGCTGCACGAGATCGAACGCACCGAGCTCAACGGCCAAAAGCTACAGGGCATCTCGACTACCAAGGAAGTCATGGGGTTCCTCAAGGCCCGGGGTGTTCAGGGCAAGTACCGGCTATTCCAGGCCGTCGAGGGGATTGTGGACGGGACGTTCGATGTTGAGAATATCCCCCAACTGTTTAGGAGTTGAGAGGTTCTGTTTCTTTAAGCATTAGACGGATAGAACGTGGGTATTATGGCAACTGCAACGAAATCGGAATTATGGTCATGCAAAATAACGTAATGCGATGGTTGTTTCAGGAGATGGGCGGAAATTCAGGAACGGATTCATTAAAGGCTTGGGGCTCAAATGTTGAAGAGTTTCAGTTTTGAAGTAATTTGGATTCTATGCATTGCTTCAGGCGAATGCTGCATCTTCTATATAAATCATGGCTAAGCCATCGGAAGCTCCCAGCTGCCAATGTTCGTGACTTTATCTTGAACCTAACGACGTCGTACCGACCTCCCTGCTCTGTGAACATCTCCAGTATATCCTCGCATTATATCTCTCTCAGCGATGCCCGTTCATCGACACCTTCTTCTCCTCATCAGCCACCTCCTCCATCCCCCTGAGGCCCGCTAGGCTGCCCCTCCTTGCCCTCGCCTTTGTCTTGCTAACGATCGCCGTCTCGTCGCTCCCACCCTCTTGTTCCATCGTCCGTTCACCATCCCCAAAGATTCTCTTAGCCACCGAATCGTAACTGATCCAGACCAGGTTAAACATGATCGTGGTTGCTTTGACGATCAACGGCGGCGACCGTCCACGCTTGTCCGCAAACAACCGGGAGGCAATCATGACGGGGAGAATGACGGGGAACCAGAATCCGAGGAAAATTAGCTGGCCCCACCTCTGCCGGTCTGTTGTCGCCGTGTATGGTTGCAGGGCCGCCAAATAGGCCTGATACTCCTGCGGCAGCTCATGCTCACGGGCACCGTCGGCGAGGAGCTTCAGGTAGCGCGCTGACGGCTGTGCATAGTCTGGTTGGGGCCGGCGGCAAGGGCTCAGTAGGCGAGCGAGCCACGAAGGGAGGCGTAGTTTGTGATTATCCTCGTTCCCGCCACCATCGTTCCCAGCTTTTTGGTCGCCTGAGCCTGGGCCGTTGGGCAGGCGAGGAGCGTAGAGCGTGTGTGCGAGGAAAGGATTCGGCGAGCCTGGAACGGCCGGTTGCTCAGAAAGTCGCGCATCCTGAGAAAGCATGAAACAAGGGACGAGAATGTCGTGGTAACTCGCACCACCGCCCTCGGTAGCTACGATTCTAGCGTAGTCCTCGGTCGTGACTTCGTAAACGACACCATAAAGACCCCTGTCCCACGCCGGCCGTCGGGTTACCTGGCTCCGTTCACTCTCGTGTACCTTCTCTTCATCGCTTGGTGCCGTGGTCCCGGGAGGGTACTTGGGCGGCTCGCCGGGAACTTTTCGGATCGCAGTGTTGGCGAAACACGGCTCCCGATATGGAATCCCCGGAAGGTCAAATGTTAAGTCTAGCGATGGCGCTGCCACGTTGACTTGGCTCAAGGGACGGATGCCGCGCACGCCGAGAAAGGTTTGAGCACACATATTAGAGCCATAGGCGAGGTATAGGACGGTTTTTGGGTTAACGGCCACATCGTGGTGAAATGTGTTTGCAAGAACCGGCTCGCTGGGAAATGGACTTGGTGCGACGTCGGGTTCAGAGAGTCGTGCAAAGGACGTTTGCGGAATCGAAGAAACCGGAGGATATGACTTCTTCTTTTTTGGGTCCGGTCGCGCAGCCCAAGACCACAGAATCTGGATATGCCGAAGACTCCAAAGCGCAGTGTCGTCTTTCGATTTGGGGATTTGTGCCTCTTGCTGCGCGGCAGGCTGACATGGGGTTTTAGACGAGCCCATGGTGTGACGTCAGCGTTGGGGTCCGAATTTGGTGATACGCAGCGCTGGTTGACGCAATTCGGGACGAAATGGCGAGATCTCCTGGAGGTTTATATAAGCCCCGGGCTCCCCCAACACCGCCCACGACTCGCTCTCTTGTTAACTTCCCGGCCCCGTCGGCTGTCGGGGCGAGTGGGGCCCGAGTACCTTCTTGAATCCTGCCTCTAAAAATCCTCCGCTGTTCCGCCGATCCCGAGGAGGAGAACGTCGACGGATAACCTCGATAGCGTAATGCTGGACTCGAATGGAGCCGGACCGGTTTTACCGTCCGTCTCACGGGATCGGATTACGATGGTAGATGGATTGGATGGGAACCGTGCAGACCTGGGAGCTTGCCGAAGATGATACTGCCCAAGGCAATCTTGGCAATATCTCCGATAAATGTCTCCGTGGAAAAGCTCACAGTGAGCTGCTCTCCTTTGCAACGCAGAAATCGCCCCTTGTGTGTATATTTCTCAGGTCCTCCATAACTAACCTATTAATAAACATGGAACCCATTGTTTCCTCGCCTTCTGTCTACCAACGGGACAAAAAAGAAGATGATAACTGCCGAAACTCTGAGCGACATCCACAACCACTGTCAGGTGGCAGCCTTTGGCTCTAGCTCAACTACGCCAGCCAGTACCATAGTAATTATTGGATCAAAAAGTCCGAGCCGGCACCGGTATCCAGGACCGGCAATACTTTGCTCAGATAACAAATCTCTACCTTAGGTACCGATTGAGCCAACTGTTAAAATAGACAGAAAATGTTCATCTAAAGCCACGTATCCATGGATTCTCTGCTTTTGAACCACCGTTATCTGGGCCGGCCGAAGAGACCGCCGCACAATGGAAAGAAAGGAAGTTGCGCGCAACTCGCGACTTCCGCGCTAACATTTTACCACCTCGACAAAAGGCAGCAGCGTCCCCGAGACCCTGCCCTAGATTTTGACAGCCACTATTTTGTGAGGCTCCCTTTGGTCATTTTTCGTTGACTAGGAAGCGCTTAGTTCCGCATGTCGAAGTTCGATGAAACCAACAACCCCTCGCTGTTACCAGTAGCGCTCGAAAAAGGTGGTGTTAAGATCCCACCAAGATTCCTTCGCTACAATGGACTACACTCGATATTCATCCCAACCAGCCACAGTTGACCTGGTTCGGGCAGATTTGGCGGAAATCTGGTCCGTCGACGTCTCCGAAGACGACGGTCCGAGAAGAGCGCCTTCGATTTCTGGCATTAGCGATATGCTAGACCTGGAGTATATTCCAACGCCGAAGCCGCGGCCTTCCAAAATCTCGAAGCTCAGCCCTCTCCCCGACTCGCCGGGTGAGCTTCTCCAGTCATCACCCACTCTAGCAAGGCCAAACGGCAATCGCCAAGGGGGGCATATCGGAAGTACCGTGTCCCCGCGGGACGAGGACAAAAACATATCAGAACCTTTGCTCTCTAACCTGCAAGATGGGCGGTCCTCGAACAAGAACAATGATCCAAAATTTGAACTGGGTGTAAACTCCCCAGTTGAGCCCGCACCGCTTACCTCGCGCGTGAAGAAACCGGCGCGAAACAGCAGGCCAGCGTCGTCGGATAAGGTGTCGCCTGTTCCCTCAGCCCCAAAGCCCTCAAACCAGCCCCAGCCAACAAACAAGAACCCATCTCCAGCAATTCGTGACAATGCCGTGAGGTCCTTGAAGCCTGCTAGGCCCAAGCGGAAGCGACAAACGGATGGTGACGACGTTTTCGAGTTAAGCGATGACACGGACACGGAGTCTGGGCCGTCGCCACAAAAGGGGAAAACCAAACGAAGCTCTGCGAAGAGAAACCGCACCCGCCCTGGACCGAAGGCAAAGGTATCTGGTCAGAAGGCACCCACTGCCGTTGCCCCTACACAAAAAAGCAAGCCTTCTCGCACCCCAAAACAGCCACTGGCTGGAGATCTTCCCCTGGAAACGAAGCGGAAAGTGCAGCCTTCGAATTCTGCGTTCGGCTCCAAGCGGGAGGGTGTGCCTCGTCGGGGCCAGATAGCTGATAATGCCGTTTTCGTCCCGGAGCCAAACCCAAGTACAAAGTTGGCACAGGAATTGACGCCCGAAGAGACAAAGCCTCGCAAGACTACAGCTTCCTCAGGATCTCCAGCAAGATCGCCAGCGCTTCCACGAGAAATTAGTCCAGCACATCCAGGCTCGCCCAGATCCCGGGATGTAATTACCATATCTAGCAAAAGCCCCGTCTCGGTGGCTAGCGACGCACCCGCGCAGTTGGCATCGCCATTGTTTGTGGAACAGATGCATGAAACTCCCGCTAAAATGGAGCCTCCTGAGAAATCCGCCATCACGATGGTAGTCGGGCCAGAGCTTGGTCAGGGGTCATTCATTCAACGAACATTGAATGGCGCGCGGCTCACAACTCCACCTCTATTCCAAATTTGCACCACACGCGAGGATCACAAGGCGAGCCGCGAGAGACCTAATCATATTTTGCCGGCTGCTATTAGAGACGCATTCTTATCCGACGACCATTTGGCGGTTGACTCGCCTTCTCCGGATCCTAGCGAGCAACCCAACACTAAGGAACATAGTCTTAGTCCAGGAGACACCTGGAAAAGTGTAGTAGAGGACACTTCTAGCCCTAAAGTTCTGCACAGGATCGTCACTGTGAGTGTCCCGAATTTTGTGGACGGTCTTTTTGACAACGGATGACTGACGTGCCAAAGTTGCTGCATCGGTCCCTCAAACCGAAAGAAGATATTATCCGCGACATAGCAAGCGATTTTCGCAGGGACGCTCTTTGTTTGTTGGACAACTTGAGTCTGAGACATGTTGAAGAACAAACCAATACCTCCGCTACGCTCCGAAGCGCATATCGGGCAGCCTTCTCGGGGTTCGCTAATGCAGCACAAACTATGCAGGTCCAGGTTGAGAAGCTTCGGAGGGTTGACATCACACAATCAGTGGCCACAGGGAAGCGGCCACCACTGGCAGAGAAGCTGGAGATCGTTACTAACCTATGTAAAGCCAAGCTGGGTGGCCTCGTTGAGGGAAGCGCGTTCGATGGGGATGACACCTCCAGGAATGATCCGGACAGTCTCGCAGACAGCTACCGGAATAAGCTAGTCGACGCAACACGACGGGCGAACGACAAGGCTGTTGGCGATTTGGGGATCGCAATCGCGGAGGCGGATGAATTCATGCAGCAATGTTTTCGTGGAGGGGCTCGGAAGGCTCAACGAACGGAAATGAGAAAACCAGACAAACCTACTCGAGACGCAGACGAAGCCTTGGGGGTGTTTTTGGACGGAATCATCAATACGCTGCAAAAACAGGAAGACGTCGGCGGCCGTCACCCACACGATATGGGGGTCCTAGTCGGAACACTCTCTGAGGGGTCGGGGGTGGGCGCCTAACTTCACCTACGCTCTCGCTGTTAGGAATGGGGAATGCTATTTCACAAGGGTAGTTGACCGGCACGATCTGGGGTGGTGGGACCTGCTTGCTGAAGAAAACCGGCTTTTTATCTTGAGATGCCCTTTAATTTGCAAATTACATAGCTAAAGTTTGATAGTTCCGGTAAAGTAATTTAGAGCTGTTGAAAGACGATGCTCCTAGAGACGCGATCTAACACTGGTTGAGGACGGTGTGACGGACGGGCTTTGAGTTAAGCTTTGGCATGGACAGCACTTACCAGGAGGAGAACTCTTCGGTAGCCATATTCGTATATGGTACGGTTGCTTTCTTATTGCCGCCTGATATCGTGACTTTGAATTGAACTCGGCTTCTTGCTTGGTAATGGCTCATCATGCAAGTCGGCGCTTATGCTGCAGCTTTGGAGCCGAACCTGACCAGCAGTGTTACACCACACCACTAACCGTACTCCCGTACTAATACGTGTGTCGCAGGCGTGCCAGCAAACTCTTCGCCTAAAGACGAAGCATCTCGTGAACGACCTGGATCAATCCCTTTGCCGCCCATCTCCAGACTTCCCGGGCGAGCCGGGGTCATCCGACGTGGTTTCGTTGTGGTTTTGTTGCGCCTAGACTTGCCCTGAGAGAAACACTTGTTAAACCTTGCACGGGCGGCGTGACGTCCCAGTTGCCGAGGCCAGCGCACGCATTCCCGGAGCGAAGCGTCTTGGCGCAGGGTTCAACCAATCAGTTGGTTTCCGATCTGTCGTGGTCCTTGACTGGCACACGGCACGCCAGGGCGTAGGGGATGATTGGTGACGTCGGTTTTGGGTTTAGGGATTGACACAGCGACTCATTTCCTCTCACGAAAAGTGGCCTCAGTGACACTGATCCGTTAAGATATTGTGGGTTTGGTGTATTGGAGACGATTTGAGAATCAAAGAGAATTCCAGGAATTACTCTACCCGCAGTTCCTCTTCAGTCTCTTCCTCATTAAAATCCATGAAATTTTGATGATTCCCTGACAAGTACGTGGCTTGGGCGTGCAGGGCGCAGCCACAAATGCATGGGTATGGGGGTGCGTTGAGCGCTCTCTGCGGGGCCGCGAAATTCAACTGGCCGAGAAAGCCTCGCTTTTCATCCTCGCTGTCGCCTCGACTCTCTGCATTACCCGTCCACGTCTTTCTTCTCCGCAAACAGCCCAAGTTACGATTGTCTACGACCGCTCACGATTTAATAAACACAAAGTCATTGTGCCGAAACGGTAATCGACTCCTTCAGCGACCATAGTCCGTTAAACTGACGCTTGCTGTCTAGACGCGCCCCTCTCTTCATTAAACGAACCGCTACGAATAGTTGTCGAACAAAACAATCCTACCTTGGCTTCGAGTCCCCTTTCGATTCACCGATTCATTCTGTGCCTGCCTGCGACCGCCCGTGATTCCTTTAACGAGAGACATTGCGTTTAGTCCCTTCCCATTCCAGCCGATCCGAAGTCGCGATCCACCGACCACCCCACCTCCTCTACTGCGGTAATCTGCCCCTGCCGTCCGGCACGACCATTGGCAATATGCGTTTTCGGCAAAGTATGGCCAGGCATTTCGGGGACAGTGTAAGAAAATACAGTTCTTGTTTTTACGAAAATTCCGCATCCTTGTGGTTTTCTTACGTGGGGGTTGTGTACCAGCGATCTAGGTCACTGCACATGGTAGGACGGGAACATCTTTTGCGTGGTGGTCGGTGTGAATTGGAGGAACGCCATTGTGCTTCCTACCCAATGGTGGTGTTCATAACACAGTGCGAGCCACTGGGCGATTCATATTGTCCGCCGTCGAGCACGGCCGGTGTCCGAAGGAAATTCACGTTTGGCTTAAAAGCAAATCACTGATCGATACGCAAATAGCTCGGCATGTCGTCCCCAAAAGCATATCTATCATGTAAGTAATCCTTATTCCGAAAAGTCCCGGCTCAGATAACTCACATCCGCATTCGTCAGATCATGATATCCGTCGTATGTAATAACGTATCCCCTCGAAATACCTTCGTCGCCAAGGAGACTGACGTAGGCATAGTCGACACGGAGGATATCAAGGCGCTGAAAAGCGATTGGCTCACAGATAGTGTATGCTTTCTCCTGATATTTCTCATTATCCGACGGTTTACTAACAGGGTTGTAGGCCATTGCATTCTGGGAAGAGTATGCGCATACCCCTCTGCCTTCTAGTTCCAACGTCACTAACCCCACCAGATGGCTTGAGCGGGAGGTTCTCCCGAAATACCCTCAGGCGCGAATTGTCCTCCTCCGCCCCGTCATCTCGCATCTTTTGATGCAAACTACGGATCTCAAAGCCGACGCCTCCGCCCTCCCCGACTTCAGCAAGGTCACCCACGTTTTCCTCCCGATTAGCGATAGTCGGGACCGCTGGAATGCTGATAGTGGCAGCCACTGGTCGCTGCTCCTTGTTTCGGTCATCGACCGTGTAGCCTTCCACTACGACTCCCTTGGCGGCTCAAATTTCTCCGCTGCCAAGCGCGGCGTAGACCGGCTGAGCTTTGTGCTGGGCGTGCCCCTCCGGTTCCACCAGCTGGAGGACACACCCCAGCAGGAGAACAGCAAGGACTGCGGCGTGTTTGTTTGTATCTTGATGAGGCACCTCCTCATCAAGCGCCTACTCAACGCCAACTCGACCGAGAAGGTGTCCATGTCAATGGCAGGCAAGATGATCGATAGCCGTGGGGGGCGGAAAGAAATGCTTCGGATAGTGGAGTCATTACGGAAGGAGGGAGAAAGGAGACGGAGCGCGAGTCCGTTTGCGGGTTCACCAAATGACCCGCCACGGATCGACTAACCGTGGGCCGGGGCTGGAAACCGCGATGGGTCTGATATTTTTGTGGCGTTTGGGCAGGGTTATGGAGGGAATGAAACAGGCAATTCTTGGGCATTGGTGGGCAAGAGCAGGCACTTTTCTTTAGCATGGCGTTATTGAACGTGGGAATTGGGAGTTGGGAGGAGGCGAGTACCCCAAGGTTTGATCATTGGGCTGTGACGCTTTTGATTTCGTTGCGAGGAACGGAATTGGAGCGGTGCTATATACGCTACAGACGATAATTACGGGCGTGGGGATTATATTCTCGGACCCCATTCTGTACCCATCCATTTCTCTCTTTGGACTCGTCAACAATCCTTTGGGGGTCACTGCCACGGATAGCTTTCACCGCCCTCATTCCATGAACCTCATTGTTCCGAATATCATGATGGGGCGGGGAGAATCGTATATTAACTCAGAAGAGTACATTCAAGTTTTCCCTAGAAAGGCGGGATTCTGCTCCATCGTTGCAGAAATGAACCCGCGCAGAGCTGCCCACCGATTCCCGGGAGCTCCTGGCTGTGCCTCTGGTGGTGCCTCGTTCCCTTCTCCATCCTCGGTATCCATCTTATCCTGGTCTGCACCAACATTCCCCCTCTTAGCCTTCTTCGACGACGAAACTGTCGTACTCCCAGATTTAGGCGAAGGAACGGGCGCCAAAGTAGCGGAAGCGCTAGAAATCTTTGCCAACTCCGCTAAACTCTTCCCAAACCGCTCCATCTCCCCTCTCACCAGCTTCTCCTTCCTTTTCAGTGCTCCCGGTCGGCTCTTCAGACTCTTATGTCGAACTTTTCCTTGCCGCGCCTGCTCTGCATCCATCACGGCTTCGCCGTCCGAATCTACTTGTTCTGCAGCATCCTCCTCATCGATCTCAGCGCGAATATCGTCTAGTGCGTCGCCAAGCGACTCGAGCGTCGCGACGAGCTTCTTGTTTGGGCGTCGCCGCTTCTTGATCTTGCCGTTACCTCCTTTCCCTGAGGATGTCGCAACGCGCGAGAGGAAGGCGGAGTGTTTGATGAGGCGACGGTCTTGCTTGGAGTCGATGAAGGAATCGATTACCACGTTGTTCTCGCGATGGAGTTTGCGCGGGAGGAGGGGGTCGGCGAGACGGGCGCGGGCTTTTTGGCGGGCGGTTGGACGCTTGGATGGTGCTGGAGCTGTTGGGGCCTACGAACTAAGTGTTAATTTAGGGAGATATGGAGGACATCCGTGGAAACAGAGGATTTAAGGAGGAACTGAGTGAATGACGCTAATTCGAAATCGGACTTACCATTGTGTGATGATTGTGGGGAAATTTCGAGGTATCAGAGGGAGTAGTTGTATATCAAAGGGAGTAGTCGTAGAATAAAAGTAGGATTTTCGGCAGGGACTTCGCGCGTAGGATTTGAGGTGGGTGGGGTGCCAGGAAAAGGCGAGTTGTTTTCGATGTTGGACCTCGTCGAGATGCTTTGAGGCTTGAAGGTTTGGGGAGTGAAACCGACAATTGGACTTTTTAGTGGGGCATTTCTCTCACCGCCTTTGAAACAGCCCCACATCACTGGTTCGCCAAGACTGGGCTTTGGCGGGGGAGGGGCTTCATTTCAGCCCTACACGGCACATCGGACCCGCCGTGCATCGAGAACGGCGCAGTGCAGACCCGAGCAAACGGTTAATTACTGGCCTGGCTTCCGTTCCCTGGGCAAGGGTTGCAGCCACAGTAGCTTCTAACTCGAAATTTTACACACATTTCATCCTATCCATTCTTTCAGAGCAAGCGAGTCCCTTTGGAAACGGTTAGCAAAAGGCGCGGGATACTGCCTGAAGCCTGGGATTCTAAAGTTTTTCTCATACAATCCAGTTGATGCTTTCTTTTCTGTCACAGACTCGGCACCTGCACTCTGGTGGGCGTAATGGCAGGGGAGACTAAAGACAATTCATTGCCCAAAAATGGCCTCTTATCCGCCAGATCATCCGACGGAAAATTCAGTCGGCGGTTGACCGACGATGAGTTCGACCGATACTCACGCCAGATGATCGTCCCTGGCATGGGAAGGGAAGGTGAGGACATAAGTGGCAACAATATCACCACCTAGGGTTCTAATTGGTGATTGTAGGTCAACTTCGTCTTATTGAATCTCGACTCCTCATCATTGGGGCTGGTGGTCTCGGCTGCCCCGCTGCCCAGTACATTGCCGGGGCCGGGGTTGGGACCATTGGTATCGTTGATGGCGATATCGTTGAGGCATCGAACCTTCATCGTCAAGTTGGGCACGCGACATCTCGGCTCGGCATGAAGAAGGTTGACAGTCTTATCACACACCTTAAGGCCCTCAACCCCTTGCCGACTTATATCCCCTACGACTTCCAGCTTACTCCCCAAAACGCCGCAGATATCATCTCACAATACGATCTCGTACTAGACTGTACCGATCACCCAATCACACGTTATCTCATCTCCGACATCTGCGTCCTCACACAGAAACCTCTCGTTTCGGCGGCAGCCGTTCAAAAGTCCGGTCAACTGACTGTTCTCAACTGCCCACCAGCGCCCCAGGGCCTTGTTGACGGGGAGTACCCCCCTTGTTACCGGTGTTGCTTTCGCAAGCCCCCACCGCCCAGCTCGATGGTCTCTTGCGGCGAGGCCGGCATCATGGGTCCCGTCGTCGGAATGATGGGTATGGCCCAAGCGGGCGAAGCCATCAAGATTCTAGCATCCGGTCTGCACTTACCACCCCCAACATCCGATGATAACACAGCACCGCCGCTGGAACGGAACCTCGCCCGACCCACGTTATTGATCTACACCTACGACTTAGACAGTGCCGTTGGCCCATACTCTTTCCGGGCTCTCAAGATGGGCGGGCGCAAGAAGAACTGTTTTGCTTGCGGTGAAGGCTCAACACTGACCCTAGACGGCATCAAGACGGGCAACCCAGACTACGTACAGTTTTGTAGTGCCCCCACGATCAACGTTAGACTCCCTCCAGAACAGCGGATAACTGCCGTTGCGTATCATGCCGCGAAGGAGAAGGGCGAGTTACCGGCACATATCCTGGTTGACACACGGGAGAAAGAGCACTTCTCGTTTGGGAGTCTTGAAGGCGCGGTGAATATGCCGTTTGGCCGGTTTCTAATGAACGCTGCTGCGGTTAAGCGGACCGGGGGGTCGGCAAGGGACTTGTTACCAACAGGGGCGGCGGACGGGGACGCCCCTATTTTTGTGGTTTGCCGGACAGGACAAGACTCACAAGAGACCGTCGAAAAGTTGAGAGAGCTAGGGCTGGATAATGGCGGTCAAAGGAAAATTGTGGACATAATGGGGGGACTGAGAGCGTGGAAGCAGGATGTCGATCCCACATTTCCGTTCATATGATATACTAAGGGCTTGTTGTAAGGGAAGACATTGACTGGCTGTGGGAGATGTCCTCTGACTATGTTACAGTAAAGGAACCCCCGATACTCCGAAGGACGATGATAAACATTTTGAGACCACTGGGAAATCCCTTTGAAGCCAACTCTCCACCCATAGTTTGAGTCATTCACAAACCATCCCGACTCGTAAAAGCAAGAGCCACCTATTCTTATAAAGATAATTTATACAAGGCCACCCTTCTTGCGGTTGAAAGCCCGCTGATCTCTCAGCCACTGCCGGTAGCCAGCCACGCTGGAAATCTTCTCACCGTAGAAATCAGGTACTTTAAGACGTAATTAGTAATGGTTTACAGCCCGGCGGGTGGTCAAAAAGGGGAAACGTACCAGGATTCCGAACGGAACTCGCACTGGGATCAACGCGGTGTTTCTTGACGCGCGCGAAGAACTCGCTTTCCTTGATCGCCATCGGGCCCTTATATTTGCTCTTCGTCGCATTGAACACCGCCGAACCCAAAATAGGCCCAACCAGCCAGCCCAGTGCCGCGCAACCCATCGTCATCAGGCCAAGCGTGAAGAACGGGTCCAATGGGATTTGGCCCACCACGCTGTCGGCCAGTCCCGAGCTTAGCAACAGGCCTCCGGCCGAGCCGCTGCCCAGCGCACCCACAATGCTGAATCCAGACTGCCATCTCCGCCGTGCTTTGCGCAGTGCGAAAAAGGTGTTCCAGTCCAGTATCACTTGCTCTGGGTGGGCAGCGGCCGCCGCTTTAGCTGCTGCTTGTGCCGCGCCAGCGTCGGCAGCAGCGTCTGAGGTGGAGGGTGCCGACCGAGAGGTGGAGGCATGACGACGCGAGGTTTGCGTGGCCACACGGCATTGAATGAGGAGCGGGGAAGGCCGCTGGTGCCGTTGTGTACTCGTTGAAAGCGATCGGGTGATGTGTTTTTGTGGTTTCGAAACTGGGGTGGTCATCGAAAATGGAGACATGGTGGTAAGGCCCGCTGAGTATGGGCAGGTGGCGGTGCGTAGGAGGGCGGGTTGCAGGGCGCCCGCGCGAAACATCGTAGTCGTTTTCGATGCGATCATGGTCTCGAAACGGGATGGGGTTGAGCTCCCAACTGGGCGGGGGAGATAGGTAGGACGTATCGTCCGCGTGTTTCAAATCGGGCAATCGAGGACGGCGCGCGATATGAGGTAGTGTGGGAACACCCTGAAAAATATTTTCCGTGGTTGTGGCGCTAAACCGGAGTCAATTGCTCATGTGCAGAAGTCGTCATGGTTGGCGAGTCGAGCCAGTGCTGGTGATGGAATGTTGAAGATTTGGTGGGGCCAGAGCCGCATTTCTATTTTGCTGCATGGTTTCGCCCCGCAGAACGCGCCGATAAGTGATAAGAGCTCGACTGGCAGTGTAAACAGCCACGCTCGCTGAGTGTGGTGACCCATCAATTGAAAACAAATAGAGAGATAGCGGAATTAACCCGAATTTTTGATATAACAGAACTTTCTCTAAATAGCGTATTTTGCAGAATGTGAACCCTGTTGTGACTTCTCAATAACACAGCGAAAGATATTCAGAACTTGACCATTATCGAGTTTAAAATAATTGTTCCAGTGACGATGTCAATGGTTTACGAAGGTATCAGAAACGAACACACGAGTCTTTTTTAGATTCAAAATCTGCACTGCAGGGATTTCACGTAATGTTTCAAGGTACCTCGATTTGTCTTGGGCATCTTCCCAATATGTATTGATATTTTCGTGTTGCTCGCCGTTTTTAGTTTTACGCTACACGTCAACTCCACCCTGCTTACCTAACTACACCCAACCTCTCGTTCTAACATTAGCCCAGCTCCCAATTAATCACCTATCAACATCAACCCGTGCATAGTAACCTTTGCTCTGCCGCCATCAGGGCGCGCAATTCAGCTCCTGGCTGATGCGGTCGAATTTTGAGCCAATGGCTTTTCTCCGTTTATTTCATTTCTAAGCGTCTCTTATTTTTCTCCTCGTGAATGCTGGGGAGCTTCAAGCACCGCGAGGCGCGTTCGGTCGAGTCTCCCGGCGGCTGCACCATGGCCCAACCATCCCAGTCACGGTCAAAGATGGACATCGAAATCCAGCTACCTTCCATACGCAAATATGTGCCCGGATCCGGCCCCCCTCCGCCACGAATTTCGCTAGCTCCCCCCCGGGACTCGACCGCGTACATCATCAATCAATTCATCGTTCCCACCGACAAGGACATGACGCCCACCTCGCGACGAATGATATATTACCACATCGGATTCACGGACCTTCCGTCGGTCAAGATCTTGGTTCCCTGTCATAAGGTGCTGGACTACGTTTCACCACGCGAGGTTGAGGACTGGGAGTATCAAAACCTGGAGCAGAAAGAGGAGGAACGCGTGCGCAGACTGGCCGAAGCGCAACTGGCTGGCCCCACCAAGGGGAAGCCTGGTCGACCGCCCAAGATCCCTTTAGAGGACACTGGAGTCTTGATGTCCGAGTCAGCGAACGAAGCTCTCCTTCTCGTTCAACAGGTTTCCGGCCCGTCGCTGTCTACGCCACAGAAGAGGAGGCGAGAGAGTGTCACTAGAAAGGAGATTGGGGATTCTTACGGCGAAGAGGAGGACGATGACGAAGCTGAATATGGGGTTGATGAGGAGGGCGACGACGATGATGCTGCTATTCAACGGCAGCTCCAGGCGGGAGACTTCGATGGCATGGAGATAGAGGGCCAGCTGGACGGTGACTCGGAATCGGTGGACCAGCTCGCTGCGGATGACTATGCGCAAGCTATGGAGACGCCGTCTCGGGAGGCAGCCTTGGCTCGACCCCGGCAAGAATTGGCAATACATCCCACACCAAAACTACCGGCCCTCAAACCAGAAATACCAGCCCCCTGTTCAAGTTTTGGGACCACGCTGGCTCCCCTAGCTCATAATGTTTCCACCAGCAGAAGTTTACACCCAGCATGGACAGGTGTATTCAACCAACCGCCTCACTCCGAAAATCCTGAATCTGTGCCCGCCGAAGCTCTCAACGATAGTGTCTCCCAGGGTCGATCTGCCTGGACGGCGTTAGGTGGGTTACAGCCCAACTCGCCAGCGACTCCCGCCGTACCTCTCAGCCGATCCAAGACCCCGAATTCAAGAACCATGACCCCAGATTTGGCGGCGGTTTCCGCGAGTTCCGCAATCTCTACGGCAAAAAAGCGTAAGGCTCCTCCGTCAAACGGGAAAAACTCGGCGCACAAACAAAAGAAGCCCAAGAAACCGACGGTCAAGAGCCAAGCCGAACCCCCGGTAGATGAGTGGGAGGTTAAGGAACTGCTCGACGACCAATGGTTTGTCGTGGAAGGGGTCAAGTTGCACAAATATCTGGTGCTCTGGGAAGGAGATTGGCCAGCGGACCAAAATCCAACGTGGGAGCCGGCGTCAAACGTCCAAGACCCTAAGCTTCTCAACCGCTACCAAAAAAAGAAGGACGCTGGTTTAATCAAGCCCCGAACCAAGGCACAGAACACGTTACACCAGTACTTATCAGGTGCTAAGTACTCCAGCGTGGCGGAGGCGTTCGAAGGAGGGATTGATGAACTAGCAAAACAAGTCGACGGCACCGTGGACAGCGATACTGATCCATCTTACGAGACATTCCTCGTGACGGAGAGTATGGAGGGTATGACGCCCAGCAGCGCGAAACCGGCACCGACACCTGGCTTCGGATCCTTCGATAACATGCTCGCCCATTATAACCAGAGTTTCCCACGACGATGAAACGAGATACCCCTGTCTAGTATTTGCCAGAAATTTGAACTAATACTTACCCGACCACCAAGTATCCTAAAAAGACGCACGTTCAGAAGGACACAAGCAGGGGGGTGCCAGCAAGTCGAGCTTCGTGGGATCATGAAAACGCGATCTCGTAACCAAACTGGGCCTACGATCCCTTACCGCTCCCGCAGTGAAATCCTACCAAAATCAAGATTCCGTGCTGTCACCAGAACCTTTTGATAAAGGAAACGGGTTCGAGTGCCCATTGCGGCCCTCCGAGCAAGCGTGGGGGAGGAGGGAAAGGACGCGGCGTTTTGACAATGCCACCGGGTGTCCAAGCTCTGAATCCGGCTCATGAGCCGCTTCATACCGGCCCAGGGAAAAGGTGCATGGAACTGGCCTGATTCCGATGATTAAGGGACCGCAAAGAAGTTGAGTTCCGTCGTTACATATAGGTCAACTGAAAAAAAATGAGAAACCAGATTTGAACACCAACACAACGTTCCGGTTGCAAGCTACAAGTTCAAAATTGCCAGCCTCGTTCAGCCCCGTGAACATGACCTGTGGGCGAGGCTGCCAATGAGCCAAGCTCCATTAGAGCCGATGACCTGCACATTCGGCGTGACAGGGCCTCTCCCTAGTCACACTCCGATCCACCAAGACGTCCGGCCTACATTTCGGCTTCTGAAATGTCTATGCTGCTCGAAAATCGACATACGAAGCATATTGGGTAGTATGTCCTAACAGCCAAGTATCATCATCAAGATTCCAGTCTGCCAGCAACCAACAACACACATGAAAGAGCTTGGATTAGTGGGCTCGGTCGGCCCACATGTTCAATGCCAACGGCAAGCGTATGCTTTGATAGCCCCGATCGATTAACCAACCAACCCCCTGGACCGGCAACACGTTGACAAGACTCGCGCCGTAACACTACCGCCGACATAATCATCTTATTCCCAACGACCGGCTCATTGGAGAGTTCATTGATGAGTGTTTTCGTCTTTCGGGTAACCAACTGGCCGAGTATCCGAAATACACGACACCCCACCCCTCAAGAGAACAGAAAAAGGGAGTTGTTGCGGCAGCGGCGGTGGCGGGGGGTCCAAGAGCCTCGATCGCCCAAGCAGGGGTTAACGGTCTCGACGCCGGCCCACCTTTTCTCTATGGAACTGGAGACCTGGACCACTGCATGGATTTCTGGATAGGTACTGTGTAACTGTGGACTCGATGTGCTGGCGCGTGGGGGTCGCGGAGGAAGAACATTACCGGAGGGGCTTTCAATGCGAAATGACTCACGGCAGTTGTTCTTCCGACGTCGTCTTGGGCCTTTACGCCGCAACCTCGGGTTAGGCGCGGCTGTGGTTTGCCCGGCCCTAGTGTGCCTGATAGCCACTTGAAGGCTGAGATGTTGAGCCGGTTGGGGTGGCCGGGCACCAGGACGCCAACGTGGTGGGAAGGGTTGGCGGGAAGAGAGAGGAGGCAGCGAGAAGGGTTGAGTCTATAGCTCAAACGATTCAGGAGTAACCGCCTGAATTAACACAATCACCAACATCGATTCATACTCCACACACAATATCCCGGTTATGATTGAAGAGTCTGCTTGCGCGCTCTAATGATCTATCTAAATTAACCCCAAGAGCTCACTTCCAGGAAATTCCGTAATGCCGACATACGGACGCCGCGATTCATTACACAGTCATAGACACAGAGAGGAAGAGGATAAACACCCAGGTACACTTTCCCATAAAGGTGATGCAGACGACCACGCGACATTGCCCTGCTGTGCTCAGCACAGATTCAGGTCGACCATGGACACCACCCACGGGCGATCATCCTAGCTCGCCAGCACTTCCGTCGCCAACTTCCGTTCAATTTCCAGTGCTCCCGCCATCCCTTCTCGAATCTCACCAACCGCACGCCCTTGCGGATCTAGTTGCTCAAACGGCAGCCTGGGCACGGCGCAAGACACCTCGGTGGGACCATGGAATATAGGCATAGCCGCCTTGACGCCAACAAACCCATACCTAATAGCCAGCCAATCCGCCTTCGCAACCTCGTGCTGTAGCGCGCGTGCCTCCGCGATGTGCCCAGCCTCGTACAGCTCACCAATACGCACGCAGGCCCGCGGAGCGAGGTTGGCAAACCCGCTGATGGTACCGTGTGCGCCCACAACCAACCCTTGCAGGATGAAGTCGGCGCTGCCACCACCAATGAAGAACTCAACGAATCCTGCCGCGGTATTACCACGTACACGGGGCGCACCTTCGACGAGCCGGGCGAGTTTGCCAGTGTTGCCACAGGTCAGCTTGACACCGACGATGCGTGGATGGGCTGCCAGGCGGAGGATGACGTCAGAGTCAAGGTCAACGCCGTTCGCGGCGGGTGGGAAGTTGTAGATGACGATGGGAAGAGCACCATGTGTAGCGAGGTGCTCAAAGTAACCGACGATGGCTTCGGAGTCCATCAGTCCCCGATAGTAACCCGGAGGTAGAACCAGAGCATGAGTAGCACCAGCATCACGGGCCTCACGGCAGAGCTCGAGAGTCTCACGGACTGATTGGGCCGAGCAGCCAGCGATGATGGGCACAGGGGCATGGGAGTCCGTCTCGTGGCGCACCGTGTCGGCAACGGCTTCAATCATGAGCCGACGCTCACGCTGCGAGAGGTGCACTGCCTCACCATTCGACCCGTGAACAACCAGACCCGTAACACCTGCCGCCATCAGGCGTGCGGTATGACGCTGTGTCGCTGGGATGTCTATGCTGTCGTTGTCCGCCGCATGGAAGAAAGCTGGCATGGGGACATAGACACCCTTGTGAAGCTGCATTGGGAGCTGTTGGGGAGATTGGTATGATGATGGGGCCAGTAAATTGTCAGAAAGAGGGTGAGTAGGCGTAGTTGGGGTGATGGGTTGCGACGGGAGCTCCATGGCGATGCGGCGGGTGACGGTGGATGAGCACGTAGGTAAGTGTGTTTGGGAGTGAGGGACAGTGGCAAGGCCGAAGAAAGATATCTAAGCAGGCGTCTTCGGTGGCGATCAGGTGGAGTCAAAGTCGAATGCGCTGTCAAGCAGTGTTACGCACCCGTCGAGTGCTGTTTATTTATAAATGGAATAGGAGAAAGGCCGTCTGGGGAGCATAGGACGTGGAGGAGCAGATGGATGAGAGTTAGGCACACATCTGGATCGGTGGGTATTGATGACCGTCTTATAAATTTCACTAGAAACAGGGATCAGCAAGAATGTCGCCAGCCAGCCATGCCGGATGAGGCTCTGCCCTTGTACCGGGTAGCGATCCCAGCTGAGGGGGCGTCGTTGCCCAGTCGGCCGGTCTGGTACAGCGTGGGGGTTTTCGAGACGAACCAGCACATCTGCTGCAGGTTCTCAAGCCAATTCAGGGCAACAGTATCAGGGCACATTCGGACCGTCCCAAACATGGGCGGATGGGGGTTGGCGCCACCGTGGAATGCGTGGCATGGCTCAGGGCCAGTTTGCTAGTATAGAGGTCTAAAGGTGGAGGGTGATCACGGGATCGGGTTTGCCAGCCAAGAACCTGGAGCAAGCCAACATGTTGATGAAAGTGGTCGGCTGTGATTCGGGGGGCTTTGAGCCCCGAGGTTGTCAGACAAATCTGACTTTCGGGGTACTGTCCCCGACGAATGGTCGTGGAGGATTCGGGAGCTGTCATCCTATCAGAACCATGACGATGTTTGACGCCATCAGTGCCGGGAATCAGCGGCAATACGTTCGATATCGGGATCTCGAGCCTCTCAGGTTGTATTTGATGTGTCAACATCGGTCGATGAGAATGGTGCGTGCCCGATCATCGGAAGTAGAACCCGGTACCTCGAGGACGAGAAAAAGATGGGCCCATAAAAGATAACTATGGGTGGGCTTTGTCTGACGGGAGACTTCCGAGCAAAACCTCCCATCTCCAAGTTCTCAGTCGAAGCTGCCCGTTTGGGGCATGACCCCCACGCCGGGCAAAGGCTGAGGAAGTGGGAAGAGTCCCTGCGCCTGCCCCTTGAGGCTTCAGACCCCGCTATTCGCCAACAGTTTCAGGGGCCAGCCGTCCGAGAACCTGCAGCTGGCAGCAGCGGTTTGCACTTGCACCAATCATCTTGCATCGCCCTCGAAGTCTGTTTTGCAGTCTTGAAAGAGACCTCGACGATTCGCCGATTCCCATGCCTCATCCCGTCCCCACCCAGTTCCAGCAGTCTGGTCAATGGGCCGCTGGGAGCGTGGTAGCGGGACAAGCGAAAACAACCCGCATGGCAGAGGGGAGAAGGATAACACACCCACAAATGCTGTGCAAGAGCTGCCGAACTGGAGTTAGTGACTCCACAAATTACTGCACCGCCGGTCGGTCGAAACTTCCATGCCGAGATTGAAGCGGGAAAAACACCACGATCCCTTGCATAAAGTGGTTCTCACGTGAGACGCGACCAACTCGTTGCCCACGACGACATCGGAAAAAGAGAGGCGGAAAGCTCGCGGGTGGGATATCCTGAGGGGGGAATTGGAGTGGAATGGAGTTCTTCCCCGGGTTTGCTCCATCACCCAGGCTCCACTCTTGACAACTTCCCCGGTTTTTCGAACGGGCCTCCCAGGATGACCCCGACACGCCATTTTGGAAGAGCGAGCAGGGTGAGGTGCACGAGGGTTGTTGGGGGTCGAAACAATGCTCAAAAAAAGACCCCGACCTACCCCATTGGTCCCTAAACCGGTCTTGTGACCAAGGAGGCCTCTTTTCCGATTCTTCGTGTTATCTCGCCCTTAGCGATGTGCGACTTGCTTGTCATCAACGTCCAACCAATCTCGAGCTAATTTAGACCGCTTGCTCCCTGTCTCGAGTCCCGAAGATGTTCACGGGACCCGAAGATTCTGATTCCTTCGTTCCAATAGCATCCAGAACCCGAAATCCTCCCCGAGCGTTCTAACGTTCACGCGTGGTCTCCGAGAACACCCAGGCACTCCTCACCTCCCGACATTCATTGCCTACCCGATTTGGCCGAGCCACGACGCATCACTGGGTGTGAGCACACGCACGCCACTCCCGCATCGTCTCCAGGCCCCAGCTGACCTGGAACATCGCGTTCCTGCATTTTGTGAGACTTCATTGCCAAGCCACCGACCCCCATCCGCAACCTTGACGTGCACCCCAGTGATGAAAGAAGCAATGGCAATAGCCACTTCTCTCATTCCTTCCTTTTTTCCTCCTCCCTTTGCTCGTCTCCGTGGATATAGGAGCTTCCGCTGGAGGGAAATGGTCGACCTTGCCTCGCTGGTCGTAGTGGCAGCCGCTCAGCACAATGTATTGGTGTGTATGCCACGATGTCCACCATTAGTTCGTACCGGGAAGTGAATCCAAGATACCGCCGGCTGGCCCCAAGTATTTAGGTTTGCCGGACGACTCGACACGCCGTTAATAACCAAGACAGGTGGGGTTGATGAAGCACTAGAAGCCAAACCAGCCGAATCTTAAAGACAGAGCCCGATATCTTCCCTCGTAGGGATGAGAAGAGGAAAGAGATTTATCTAGGTTTAGACCCGGCTGCTAGGACTCAAGATCCCCTGAACTCGTATAAGTTAATACTATCAGACCAGCAACGTTAAAGTAATTACGATCCAGCTGTGAAGTTGCATCAAGTCAAAGCTACTCTCATGAGACCATGTCATTCAGTCGTCCATCTGTATCTGCGAGAAGTCGCAACCATTTCTTTTTGTATGTACCGTGTTGTCCCCAACAAGTACGCAGACAATGAGAACAGGGTGTCTTGGCCCTTGGCGTAGGCGTGGTCTACTCCGGCCATATCAGAGAGCAATCAAGGTTTTAACAACCGCCAAAAGAATACTCACATAGTCATCATCAAGTCTAAAACGGTTTGGTCTTTCCCGTCCTTGAGGCGAGCGTTCGGCGGCACACATTATCACATACTGCTCCACCATCCTAAGGATAAGTTAAATAGAAATGCCTAACTAGTAATCCTCAACATATCGTGTACGGTTTGTTATCTTTATTTTGTAGTCAGACAGCTAACTTTAAAGTTTTTCTGATTCTTGATCTACTCAATCCTCCAGCACTGGCAATATTGAGCATTGCATTTCATGCTCGAAGTACCAGGATCGGAAGTTTGAACAATAGCCTGTCACGACTTCTTTCTAAATATTAACAAATTACTTTTTGTTCTTTATGCCCTTCCTATCACCTGGGCTTGGTTCCCAACATGTTTGTCAAAATGATTGGTAAGCGCAGTGCGAAACTGCAATATGAACGTTATATCATGAGAAGCCCGACCATTGTTAACGATTTCGCACTTTTCCTCCGTACAAGGCTCCCTCCTTAGGTGATCACTACTAGAAAGAGCGTTGAAATTAGAGTCATTAGACGCTACCAACTCATTAAACCCGTGCAACAACACAACAGCAGTTATACCAACTCAGCAACAGAAAGCACAGCAAACAGACAGCGGGGGTCACAAAAGTGACATGTTCTTTGGAACTCTCGCCTGGATCTCACAATCAATAACCTAGCTCTGTTTCGTCCTTTAATTTTGATAGATTGTAAACTGTTCATCCTAGGCTGATTTTAAAATAGGAGTGTTTCCCGCCTTGCGGGCGGTCCGCCGAGCCACGATATTCATGGTTCTGCTTCTAGCCGCAATGCGGGTCTCACCCGGGTGTTGGTTCTGACGTAAACATCATGGAGGCATGGTGAGAAGGGGCTCTTAGGTTTAGGAGACGGGTACCGGGACGGCAGGGACGGTTTCCACTAAGCCCGTTTCTTTAGAACCCAAAATGATGTTCAGTTCAACTTGGGGCGTCTTATACGCCTCCCCACACACACCCCAACACCAAAAAATCCGGCGATTGTTTTATTTTCTACAATTCTTTCCCTCACCATCAACATTCGTCTTCCCATCAAAGAAGAACATCATCGCCATCTCCATCCACCACCACCATAATCATCGCCATCATCATGCTTTTCCCCAGAGATGAGCAGAGTCACCCGCCCCCCAGCGACCACATTGAGGAGCCATCTCCCAAGCGCCGCAAGACGGTCAGTTTCTCGGAGTACGTCGAGCTACGAGTGATCGACGCGACGAACGGTTCGCTATTGAGCTCCGAGGCCAGAAAGATGAGGAACCGCCGCGATGGCCTACCGGACAGGATTGAGCGCGAGTTCCAACTCATCGACAGACGTCTTAAAATCCTCCTTTCCAGGGGCTTCTTGGGCGATACCCTGGCCCACAATGTCCCGGCTGTCCAAAACTGGACTTATTATGCCGTGACAGAGCTGCTGAACCATTTCTTGAGGGATAAACAGACCGCCCGGCATATGTGCTATATCGCTAGGGTATGTTGTGGCCGCCGGGTCATGGCGGTCTTTGTAGCCATGGGTTCAAAATAAACCGGGTGAGGAAAGTATGCTGACAGCCTAAATAGAAATTAGGACGCCGCACTAGCTCGATCTATCTGGCGCTGGCAAGGATTTTCAAGAGGATGGAAGACCTGGCGAAAGAGCAACTCGCCGAGGAGAAGGACGACTACGACGATGACGACAGCGACGATGATGACGATGGCGATGAAGACGACGATGAGGACGGTGATTGGGAAGATGAGGATTACGAAGGCGCACAGCCCTTGCCTTTTAGACGACAGGAGGACACTGACGACCAGGGAGACACCGAGGAGCAAGAGGACACTGATGACGAGGAGGATACCGAGGACCAAGAGAATACCGAGGACGAGGAGGACATTGAGGATGAGGAGGACACCGAGATTGAGGAAGATGCCGAGGACCAGGAGAACACTGATGCCCAAGAGAATACCGTGATTCAGGAGAACGAAGAGAAGGAAGAGAACGAGGAGGGAAATGGTGAGATTCACGGCGACGAACACGAACATCGGGCCATAGAAGCCAGTCAAGGTGGCCTCGAAAAGGTTGAGGAGAGTCAAGAGAAGAGCAACGAGGAGAGAGGCAAACCTGTGGGTGACCAGGAAGCCTAAGAGAAGGAACCCAATTTGGAGGAGCAACCTGAGTATAATTGCCGACCGAGGAGTATGGGTCTCCTTTTCGCACGCGCGCAGAGCTTTCATAACGAGAGCCAAAGGCGGGACTGGGCATCTATAACTTCGAGTTCTTTGAGAGTTAGAGCGAGGCGATGCTATTCACACCCATGTTCTGCTATGATTATTTGTTAATTATTGTGATGATACTACCAAACAGACCCATCGCTATGCTAAACTCAACCCCGAACACCGACAATGAAACCTAACAACCAAGACACTGGCACACCCATTCCCACTGCATCCATCGCGGCTCACTTCCTAGCGCAATCTCGAGAGACCTTTCAGGGCTAGACAACTGCAGTCCACCCTCTATCCCGTTGCTCTGCCCAGCAACAACATATCGCCCCACCAACTTTAATTTCACACCCCTTAACAAACCGAGCCCCTTCTCGTCGCCACTAGGTTCCATCAGAGCTGGCGCGTCCATTACCTCACGGAACCGGCACAGCAACCACATCAGCCGTGTCAGGTGGGTGTAGTAGCTGTCATTGACGTAGTACGATGACGGAGGTTGTGTTGTGTACCATACTCCGTCCTGAATGTCCGGACTGCCCCCCTCCCAGAGGCCGCACGCCTCCCTCCTTTTATCATGTTCCGAGCCACTAATGACTGCCGTATCTACCAGGAGATACACCCCTTTCAGCGAGCCCACGTGTGTTGCCCCCTTCTCTTCTCTGCCGTCAGGAGCACAACACCTCTGCCCTATAGCTGACACCAACCGTATCAGTGCCGTCACAACGGCCCTCTGATCAACCCCACGGATGGCAATCTCCTCCAATAAGCCCCGCACATCGAGCCCGATATGGCGTACCCCAGATAGCACGCCCTCTAACCCGAGCAAAGTAGAACAACCACGCCTATCCTGTTCCCCATCTCCAGCCCTTCGTTGCGGTTCCTCGCCGAACAGCCTCAACAGCAAATCCGACGTCAGCCCTTCCAACACGACAAGGTCGGTGCGGAGGTTACACCGGAGAATGCCGCTTCCTATCGTTCCTTTGTCTTGGCCGTTTGGCGAGTACCAAAGAGGAACGGTATCTGGAAGGGAAAGGGGGACGCTGTTGTGCTGGGCGAATGAGATAGGATTGTTATGGAGAAGGGGGAGAAGCTCGCAACGGGCTTCGGGGCAAGATGCTAAGAGGGACCGGATGGACTGGGTAGAGAGGGCGAGATGGCGGGTGGGAAGGATCTGGAGATGGCTGTTGGAGTGAAGGGAACCGTCGTCGTTGGCGTCATGGGGTGGTTCGGGAGAAGTAGATTCGGCGACCGCTAGACGAAGGCGAAGGACGCGGCGTTGAGGACAGGCCGAGTGCATGGCCTCGCGCCATATTTGTAGGCGTATTTCCGTTGGGAGATAAGGGAATAGGGAGAAGATGGTGTCGTTGGGCTTGGGGCGTTGTGCCGCTCCCGGCTTGGTCGTTGGTTGACGACCATGGTGATGATGTGAATGGTGTTGTTGAAGGTGGGGTGGCCTTTTCCCGGGGCTCGGCGTCCTCGGGAGGTCTCGGAAGGGGTACGGCGAGTATGGCCGGCCGCCGGGTGAGGTGACGGTCTGGGATACCGGCAGCCGTTCGGGCTGGCCGTGGGTTGGGAGGATGGTGAGTGTTTCCCGCATGGTGACGAGGCAACGTCCTGATTTCATGTGACGAGGTAACACAGAGTGGGCTGGTTCACCTCATTTTTTGTCGACCATGCATGTGGAAGGCTGCCATGCCTTTTGAGTGCCCGACATCGAACATTGATACGACTGGGTTGCGATGACAGCGGCCCTGAAACGGGCTAGCGGACTGCCGAGAAAAATCGTGACTGGGTGTGCGAGAATGGACGCATCTGCTGACGGCCGGTGGCATTGCCTGAGACGTTGATCCGGCGTACGACGGCACGGTGCTGCGTCTACCCGAATAGTTCCCGGGCCCAAATGACGCAGACGCGGAAATGAGGGGTTTGGCGGTGTGTTAGTGCTGAGATATGGTAGGTCGCGGGCGAGGTGCGTTGGATGAGAACACTGTCAAGAGTGCGTGCATACGCTAGCTAAGTCCGAGAAGAATGAGATTGATATGGTTTTGGTTATCTTGATGTTACCAACTTAAGGCAGCTACTGAGACTAATGTGGCTGGATAAGGATAACGTATCGCAGAGCGGTCTCATGGAGACAAATGCTCATGTATGGCAATAAATTAGTAGTAGACAGCGAGGCTTCCCGAGATTGTCGTCCACTCCACGCCCATAACTCCAGATAAAATCAGTTAGATCCCAGACTATTACCCCCCCGAAGCAATAAACACACCGCCACTCGCCACCAAAATCGTTAGCATATAGAGATGTCCTTCCTAAAAAGTTACGACCTTGAAGTCGAGGCGCAGTCGCGCCCCTCAGTTCACGCGATACGCGTCATAAACGATCTCTGCGCCACGGCGGCATCCGCTACACAACCACATGGCAGTGTTGAGGTCTTGGTAACGTTCGTCGCCCGTCTCGAGCTGCATCGTGACGCGCAGGCGGTAGCGACCGGCCGCAACATTGTCGGCGGCCACGGGATCCTGCAGGCGTTCCATGACGTCACGCTCGCCAGTCAACCAGCCGCTCATCTTGCACACAATAAGCGCCGGCTGATCGTCGCTGGTCTGCATGAGGTAGGTCGAGTCGATGCGCGTGGCCGAGTCCTTGGGGGCAAGCTGGATATCTTGGCCACCTGGCTATAGAGGGTAGTATTGTATTAGCCGACTACGTTCAAGTTTGGGTCTGGGCGTTGAGCGAACTGGAGGGATCTGAAACACTAGAGAAGCTGGATGTAATGGGAATGGGCAGCGCTTACCAGGAAAATGCCCTTGCCCCAGTTACCCGCCCACTGCCCGCCTACACACGAAACCCAGCTTTGACGGACCGACGCGTTAGGTCCAATGCTCAGCTTGGGCTTGACGCGGATGCTCATGCGGAAGTCAACATCGATCGTCGGGACCGGCAACACCAGCGAGCTCGCGATGTCGGCCTCGTCAAACTGATGGCGGAGGTTGTTGGCCGGGATCTTGTCCTTGAGCACAGGTTGGTACCCGGCGCACGCCATCAGGTGTTCCCTCTGACGAGACGTGTTCTTAGCCCGTATCTGGTTGCAGTAGATGCAGCGCACCTGGGCGCACTTTTGATCACCTTGCGCAGGCATCTCAACGAACGCGGCATGGACGTCGTGGAGCGGGATTTCGGGCAGGTTGGAATTGCCGGGAGCCTTGATCTTTTGCTTCTTGGCCGGTGTTCCCTCGCCGCCGAGAGACGGCCTGGGATGGCTGGGCGAGCCGTTGACTCGTGCGTTGGGCATGAAGCTCATGTTGGTATGATCGGCCTGGCTGGTGGAGGTAATGGCCGCAGACGCAGCCGCTGCGGCAACTGCAGCGGCGGCTGCACCAGAAGCACCAGCATCGTCGTGGCCATAGTTAGCCGGCGGTGGGGGCAGAGAAGGGACATGGGCGGCGTGCTGTGGGGTATGCTGCGCATCGTGGGTGGCAACAGGCTGTTGTTGTTGTTGCTGTGATTGCTGTGGTTGGTGTGGTTGGTGTGGTTGCTGCGGTTGCTGCGGCTGCGGCGGCGGTAGTTGAGGAGCAGGCGGGGCCGAGGGAGGAGGAGCGGCGGTGGCCTGGGCTGCGGCCGCAGAGGCTTGAAGGGCGACGTCGGGATGTGCTTGGAGGTAGGGAGCGCAGGTCAACAGATGCTGCTTCTGGCGAGTAGTGTTCTTAGCCCGGATCTGGTTGCAGAACAGACACTGGACCGAAACGCAGCGCTGCTCCTCTGAAGAAAGTTAGCGCGATGAGGTAACGTTGAAAAAATACTGCGTTATGGAATACTTGCCATTTCGAAATTCCACAAACGCCGCCGCGACATCCACATCACTGTGGCGGGGCATGCTGGGCGATTCTGTATGTATGTAAATTGATGAAAGATTAGCAGAGGTTTGTTTCAAGAGCCCGGGGTAAAATTACGCGACTCCTGTCGTCTGAGGTTGCGTGTCGTGTTCATCACGTGGAGACAGTCATGTGATGTCCCCACGTGACAGCTTCATTCTGCCACTTGCGCCTTCCTTTCTTCTCGTTTTAGGGGCACGAAAATGGGAAGTTATTTGCAAAATCTGGAAGAGAAGGCCCGTGGGCGTTTCGAGACGCATTCCTGGGAAAGTTATCGATTAACATACCGCTTGTAAATGGTGTCATTTGGACGCGGAACAAGGAGCTGCGAGCTGACGACCGAGGTTACGAACGCCGAAAACCTGTACGGTATCCCGAAATGTCGTAAATACATACGCCTCGAAAGATCAGCGGTTTCTGGTGGTTGGGGATGGGAAAGATTGCTTCGCGAAAAGGAAGAGGAAATATACGAAAAAGATAAATGCTTCTAGTCACGCTACGAGCGGCCCTCTTACGATGTATGCGGCGAAAATAGTCACAGGAATCCACCTCGCAGAGTCGCATAGTGTACAGCCGACCAACTTACTGTGTAAGGTAGGTAGTTTACATCGGCCCCGGGTCCCCGTATCACTTTTTAGTTTCTAGTTGCAAGGTACGGTAGTGTGAGAGGCTTGAATTTGCGAACGATTTCGTGCTAATTCAAGGAGACCTGATTCCAGCTCAGGTCCAATCCATCAAGTGCGACGCGGCGACGCCCATGCCCCATAAGAAACCCTCGCAGTCTGTCTAGTGTAACACCGTCGTCTTTACCCAATATACCAAGCACCTTGCCAACTCGTCGAACCGGACAACCGCTGTGATTGGCATTTACCCCATCTCGGAGATCAATAGGCACGCCACGAGGGCCCTTACATCATGTGGCAGACCCAGACTATCAGTAGCACCCGCGCGAACAAGTACAAGTGATCTACCCTTAATAGGGGCCTCCTCCATAGCCCGGGGGATAGCCCTGTGGGGGATAACCCGGCGGATAACCCTGCGGTGGATAACCCTGCGGCGGGTACGGTTGCTCAACGTATCCCTCATGACGTGCGCTAGGGAGCCGCGGGCGATGGGTGAGTGGGCGGGGATAGTCATCTGGTGACTCGTCACGCCGGCGTGATGGACGGGACGCTGAAGCGCGATTCATGTACCCCGGGTAGTCATCCGGCGACTCGTCACGCCGGCGTGATGGACGGGGCGCTGCGGAGGTGTTGGTGCGCGCCAACGGACGGACGCGCTCGTCGGGGGAATCGCGGCCGCTGTCCGTTTGGCGGTTGCGACGGCTGCCAGCAAGGGGGCGGCGTGGAGACGGAGAGCGCCGACCGGAAGCAGGTGGACGGGTAGAGGATCGCGCCGGTGGGCGGGAAGCTGAAGCGGATGAGGGTGGGCGCCCGCCGGATGCGCGCGGAGCGGGGAGCCCAGGTCGGGAGGAGCGCTGATCGGGCGGGTCGTCTCCACGCCGCAGAGCGCGCTCGCGACTGTTGATTTGTTTCTCGGTGTAGAACTTTTCATCTTCATACGAATCGAGGCACCACTTGAGCCAGGCGACAAAACGGTAGCCGTGGCAAGTGTCAGGGAGTTTCTTGATGCAACCGGCGAGCTCGCGGATCAACTCATCACCGTAAGGGACATCCCGCCGGCTCGCAGCCCCGGCAAAGTCGTAGCGCAAGGCGCTGACATGAAACGTAACGGCTAGGAGCACGCGTTGGATCACAGTGTATGCAGAGGCCGCGCCAGCCTGGCGACGCAGCTCGACGGTACCCAACCGCTCAAAGGGGGCAAAGCTGGTCGAAATGTACCGGGTTTCGTTCGCGCCGCCCTTCATGAGGTAGATGAAGTTCTCCAGCCCACCCCGGCCTTGGATGGATGTCGACAACTTGGAGAAAATAGGTCCCCATCCATCATACTGGACATTTCGGTATTCATCCGTGGCGTAGACGGTCCAGTTGGCATTCGCGTAGCGGTTCTGGCGACGCTCCGGCGGGATCAGGTCGCACAGAGCATCCTCCCAGAAGTAGGCGCCCTTCGCCATCTTCACGAGCTGGTCCGAGGTGTACTTGTTGCTCTTCTTAGGGCCTGGCGACACGTGGACGTGGCAGGCGCAGCACTCGTTGGTCCAAAAGTCGAACTGCTTGCCGACGGCCGCGAAGACCGTCTCGATCTCTTCCTGCCATTCGGTCGCAACCGACAGGGGCGGCGAGATGATCTCGATACCCCCTATTCTACATATCAGCGTGTACTTTGTGGAGGGGAAGGTCACGTTGTCGCGTCACTGGGGGCGGTTAGATAGGGGCTGCGCGGAACATACACCATTTCCTGGGGTCGGGAGGGGCCTCGAGCTGGTACTCCTTCAGACTGGCATCCGCCTCGCAATGCCAGCCATTGCCCGAACCCAGGGCTGTGTCGATGATAGACTGGATGGCGTTCCCGACGTGCTTGCGTTGGAAGGCCTTTCCCTCGACGTTTCCGGTGCCGTTCTTCAGATCGAAGTCGTAATATCTCCAGTGCTCCGGCAGCGAGTTGTAGTTGCTCCGCTGCTTTGCCCGGATCCTATCCTCCACGGACGGGAGGACCTTGACGTAGATCTCGATCTCTACACCGAAGAGCGGCTTCGGGCCAGCCGGAGCAGCTCTTGCGGTGTTTGAGGATGAGGGCGGCATCGGATAAGTAGGAAGGGAATACTGGATGAATATCGAAACTTTGGGGTCTCTGTACTGATAGTGGGCGCTGAATATCTTGAGATCAACGTAGGTTAATCATCCTTTATAAGAGCACGCAACGGGTCATTTTGAACTTCTTTTGACCTCAACAAGACTTTAGATTCGGATTTACGTCCCCCTGATGACCGGCTACCTAGCTACCAAGCCGTGTCAAACCGCTCGGGGGCCTAGTACTGTGTCGCATAGATGGCTGCAGCAGTTTGGTACAGCGTCGCGGCCATATACTTGGTCACGGCCGTTCAACTTCGGCCGGGTTGACTTGGGAAAGTTCAAAATGATCGTTCCGATCATGGCAACGGGGCCATCACCGGGGTTCTGTATTACAAGTCCGATGCAGCGTCGTGGCATTATGGCATATCCGGAGCGGCATTAATGCGAAGTTGGCGGAAGCCTTCTTTGCGATGTCGATGTGCGCGGCGAACCGATTTCAAAAAACTCGGACTCAATAGCAGGCCGAGTGTTTCTAGCCACGTTAGAGATCGAATTACCAAGCATAAACGATCGTGGCCATAATTCGTCGATATCGATGCTCGTCGCTCGAAACATACCCCTCGTCTGAACTCTTGGCGCCGTGTGATGCCTAGCATTAATTATTTGTACTGCCTTGGAGGCATCCAGAAGCACACCAAAACCATTCGGACTTATCGCGACAGCGGCCGTGTTTCACGGCCGCGTTCTGGGGGCTACGCCGTAACAAAATGTCCGAGGCATCAACACAACTGCGGGAGATCCGCTCACCATGCTCGGGCTCCATCTCGCATTCAGGCTTCCAAGAAAATCGATGCCCAAGGTGCTTTTTTGTGCGGATTGGCTCTGATTATAATATGGGTTGGCTGCTCGCCAGTCGCGACCAAATTCAACCTCAAATCATAAGCCCTTTGTCGTTTAACATTGCGAGATTGCCTCGAATCTTGTCTTTTATTGCAGTTGTTTCCCTTTTCAATTATCGAGACGTACAAAGACAACAACCCGTCTTTCTCACATTACCCAACAAAAGATAAACTGACATTCCTAATCAACATGGCCGACGCCAATAGAACCGCCCGCCCGTCCAAGGCCGCAACCGCCTCTTCCACTCCCAAGACGGCAACCACCTCTGCTACGTCTAAGACGGCGACCACATCTGCTACGTCTAAAACGGCAACCACATCTGCTACGTCTAAGACGGCGACCAACTCTTCCACGCCCAAGGCGACAACTAACTCTTCCACGCCCAAAGTGACAACCAACTCTTCGACATCGAAGGCGACAACCAACTCTTCCACGGCCAAGACGACTACCGCCCCTTCCACCTTCGGCTCATCCGCTACTTCTAAGTCTCAGTCTCAGTCCCAGTCCCAGCAGTCCCAGCAGTCCCAGCAGTCCCAGCGGTCCCAGCAGTCCCAGCAGTCCCAGCCCCAAGCCCAATCCCAACAACCGGAACTATCCCCAGAGGAAATGCAGAAATTCAACCAACAACAGTCCGTGAAAGACGCGTGGATGCAAGAGAACTGGCTGCGCTGGTCTGCCGTCGCCCACGTCGACCGCACCTACGTGGTAGTCCTCGACAAGTCCCCGGCCCCGGTGGCCGCCGAAGTGAAGCGGTTCTTCGACAGCCCGGACCACAAGCCCAACAAGACGGCTTCGGTGCCGCGCGTGGCTGGGCTGGACGAGGATATCGACGACAGCAAGGACTTGGGCAATGTGATGGTTGGGCTGGTCCCTGCGCCGGTGTATACGGCGGCGAAGGACAAGTTTGTGATGCGTAGCATTACGGTTAAGATCAGCAGTGGTGGTGGCGTTGGGGCCGACGGGACTGGGGAGAGGACGGCGTATGTGCCCGTGGGTATCAAGCAGGCTCAGGCGAGCCAGGGGGCTCCTGCTGCTGCCACTCCTGCGACAGGTGGGAAGCAGCCCAGTGGAAATGCGGGTAATGGGAAGGACAGGGCTTAGGTAGAGAGAGAGAGGAGAGAGGGAGAGAGAGAGAGCTTATAAAAGAAGTTCCCGAGAGGATCTAGGTGTATGATACTACAATGCTTGTTTGCCAAGGACGATCTGCGAAAGCAAGGAGCTGTGTAGGGTTTCCGTTGACTTTATGTGGATTCAAAATGCTAAGTACGGTACGCTTGCTTTATCCCATCCTTAACACCGCTTCATGCCAGTTGGGGGTTGGATCAGAAAGAATCAATGTAGTGTAGCATATGCCACTATCCCAAGAACCCTGAGGGCCTGGGCCGAGAAGACACTACCGTAGATTTCAGTTGCCGGTAATACCAATACGCTCCATTTAAGCGCCGGTCCAGACCGGGGGGCCCGGGACGGTGTACGTTTGGGGGATGGAGTGGTCGTTGATGGGGACCTAGGTAAGGAATTAGCATAGATCTTTCTCTCTCTTAGGTAGGTTTTTGGTGCTCACCCTGATGTTGGAGTCGCTGTCGCTGCAGTAGCCGGGGATAGAGGCCTTGTGGGAGGAGTCGGGCTGGGCGGTGCCGGAGCCGGTGATCTGGATCTGGGCGCACTCGGCGTAGAATTGGGGGGTGTTGGCCTGGTGCAGGGCGATGAGCTCGTGGCGGATCAGGTAGTTGCCAGGGGCGAGGCCGGCAGGGATCTTGCTGTCCCACTGCTTGTTGCCGCCGACGAGCTTGGCAATGTCCCAGCCAGAAGGCGTCTCGGTGTCGAGGAAGACGCTGGTGCCGTCGCCGTGGAAGCCAGCCTCGTCGATCTTGAACCAGCCCGCGCCGGAGCCGTCGCAGCCGCTGAACTCGCCCGCGCACTTGTACATCCACACAATGATGGGACCCTGAGAGTGAGTCCATTGACCCCAGATGGCCGAGACGGTATCGCCAGGGGCAGCCGGGGCGAACTTGGTTGCGGAGGTGCCACCGTTGCACTTCACCTTGGCGGCACTGCAGCTCATCGTGGGGTTGTAGTCAGGCCATTGCCACTGGATGACGTCCGGGGAGTTGCTGGGAGAGAATCCCTGGTATCTGGAACTCGTGTGTTAGTCTGGAAATGATAAACACAACAACGTATCGATCATCGGATAATCATGATCGGCGTCATGGATGATGCAGCCGGTAGCGAAAACACCACTCACCCAGGGTAGTTGGTGCCAGCAACGATGTAGCTGGTCACAGCACCGTGGGCCGCAGCACCTCCTGCAAGAAGGGCGACGGAGCCGAGGATCGTGGAAATCATGGCGGATGTTGTTGCGTGAAGAATGACGCTTAGCGGGATGCCCAGTGAAGCCGTGGAGGAACAACTGCGTCGTGGGCCGCGAGATTTATGTATTTCTGCCCGCTCCACGGAGAACTGGGCTGCCCCCCTCCATCCATGCTGTTATATTACGCTTTTGATGCCGGCCATTTATTCCTGCCCCGTTCCGAATCCATCATTGTCGACTCCCGCCCTGATCCCCCCATTCAAAATCTCATGTGTGTTAGGCTCGGCGCCGAGCCGGCGCATGCTTGGCGTCTTCCCCAGCTTTTCCAGTACCATGCGTTTCGCGGGACGATTTGCCGGGTAATCTCAAGCCACGGTGGGATCACGGCGCTTTTAGCCCCGGGCTTGTTTATTTCGCCCTTTGGGACTGGCCAACAGGGAGGATGAGGTGTTGGCATTAATCTAATCGAATGCGGCCCATGCAGCGCGGCTTGTTGTTGAGCCACTCGAGCTTCCGCAATAGGCATGCGACCGGGAGGAGGTGCCGAAGGCGGCATCGCCATATTGACTGCCCCGTGGGGTGTTTCTGGGGCGCTTGACCATGACGTCGCGTGCCACACGGGAGCGCGCCTTGCTTCTGATTTCTCATAAGATGCCAGCTCATGTGGACCGCGACGCCCCGGAGTCGCATGGCGAGTTGGATGGGAGGTAGTCTTGAAATCACGCGGGCCGATTCCGGGCGCGACAAGAGCCTTCCCCCTCTGTATTGGGTAGATGATTGTGAGATTGCGAGAATTGCATCGTCTTTTGTTCTTGGCGGGTGGACAGCGAACCCGGAAGAGGAGACGCCTTGCCGCCGGACCATCAAAGGCCGATACGACTGCTTGGCTCTTTCATCTTCAGGGGGCTGGCGGGCGTTACGGATCACTTTGGGATCATGTTATTCGACCCGATTCGATTGCGACGTGCACAAGGTGCGAGATGATCGCTTCAAATCGGTCGTTGTTGTTACCCAGTTGCCTAGAGAAAGAGAGCCAACCCGGGATCGCCGCTTCTGGAATCCATGCTCTGGCCCGCCAAGCAGTCAGGTCTTCCGGAAACCGGGCAAAAGTATGATGGCGTGCATTTTCATTTTTGATAGTCCAGATGGTTCTCTTTCACGAGCAATGGCTAGTTCTATTGATAGAAAGGTCGGTGTCAGCATAACCTGCAAATGTCCGTCGATAATGCTGCTGATATCAAGACTTTCCGACCGTTCTCAACCTCGAAACTATTCGACAGTGTGAGAAAAGTCTAGATCATCAGTAGTGATTGCTCAAGAGATAAATTTTGAGTAGTTGCCGCGGATATAAGAATTTCTCGTTGAACTGTTGATGCAAGTAGGATACGGTGTGGCAGACCCACTAGGCAAGCCGACATGACCCCGAGAGGTTGAAGGGGGTCCCATTTCCGCGAAGCAATCAGGGAGGAAGGCGCATTCTAGTTTGTTGAGGTGCTCCAGGTGGGACCTTAAACTGAGATAGGGCATCTAACCCGACCTTGTCGAACTTGAACAAACGGTTATGGATTAGGGTTGCTCTTTCCCTTTCCTTCAAAGAAAAGGGCCTAGATACTACAAGCCGTGGGAACCACTTCCCACAGTTGTAACAGTTCTTGCTAGTATTTGGTAGAATTGCTCTTTTCGCTATCATTTCAGAGAAAAAGGGGAAAATTTGGAGCCGAGTCTACTAGATAGGGGGGTGAGATAGGGTTCTAATGATTGGGGATTTTAGGCCCAAGTACGGAATGGATATGGTGATGGGAGTTCATTTTGGGGGTGGGGGCGAGCACTGGTTTGTTTCGGAATGGGATCATATCTAAGACTGTTGCTCAGTTGAATGACCTCCGACTTAACATACCTACATACTACCTAGGTACATGTACATGTATGTACCCAGCATGTGACACTGGATGCCATTGTGCCGCGTTGGGTAACTCCTGTTGAGCCTCGTTATGGGAGGAGATCGCCCAAAAGGTCACGGAAAACAAACTACCCCCCCGCTCAACCATGTCATTAGTGTAGGATGAAAGGAGGAAGTGGGGATCGGGACCAAGAAAGACGGTACCAGTTGAAGTGTTCTTGTCATTCCTGGCTAGGTAGCAAGGACTGGACTGGTCTTAGTAGATTTCCAGGCGCCTGGGTTCAGCATTGTAACCTACGAACAGGGTTCTCCTGTTTGTTCCTTGATTCGTCGTGCCAACGTCAAGGAGCAGAAATTGTGTGCATGCGGAAGGAGGAGTGTTGGGACAGAACACGCAATCTACGCGGAGTAACAAGAGGTAAAGAGAACGGGCCGGCTGTAGCGTGTGGTATGGGTTGTACTCAAGTTTGGCCGCTAAGGGGTGGATTGACAAATCACACATTTTTTGGGCTAATATCACTCGCCCGATTGGGACGGGTCAGGTCCCCAACCCGACACAGAATTTATTTTACTGAAATGGGGACACGTTCAAGATGAAACCGCACTCCCGGCTACTCCGTACGTCCCACCTAGCATGGCGCAACATGATACGAACGATCAGAATTCCGAGATGCTTGAATTATGTATTTATCTCAGTAAAATGCTTTGAACGAACTACCAAAACTGGCCGTCACGATTTATTTCGTCCAACCCGGAAACCATAGCAGAGAAGTTTATCTCCCTCTTCCTCTTGGTCGTTACGACAACACACAGACCCGCCCCTCACACACTACCGTTTGTTCTTTTACACTTTTATTCGAACTCCAATCTCCACCGACCCCATCCGCACCTAGCTGCTGCTGCTGATTCCTTCGTGGCAAACGCGCCTTCAGACTTTAGCTCTCGTTGCAGTCGGCGTCGGCGTCGAAATTCAAGTTGAAAACACACGGTGGAATTCTTGAAGCGTCGAGGGCACTCCCAGATTTGGTACAGAATGGAGATTTGTTACTTGCTCTTCCGGGGTTGACCCAAATGGCTATGGATATGGATGAACAAGTCCGTCATAAGGCTCTTGATGCAATACTATCCTCCACCTCTTGGTCATGATGTGACATGTCAGTGACCTTGACTTTGAACAGTCGGACGACATGTGCTTCGATATCTGTGATGAGTAGGAGGTAGTGTTGAATTTTAGAGTAGGTTTGAAGTTGAGGAGAGCAATGGTCTCTTGTAATTATGGAATTAACTTTGTCTTGGGGCTTGCCACTTGTGCCTTGTGGAATCCCATCCAGTGTGGGGGTCCAAAGTCAGTGTTGGTTGGGCCTGGGACAAAATCTCAAGGGTTTGGGTTGCAAAGTTGTCGCATTGTGTTGCCTTTGGCGGAGAGTCGTCAGATATTTCTTCTTTACCGATAACCGAAAAATTAGAAGAGAACCTTTCCCTCTGGCCGAACTCGGCTCGCGAGCACTAGCTCATGGGACGAGTTACTTTGTAGATCAGAAAATCGGAAACACCTCGCGTTTAACATCACAACGAGACGCCGAGGTGTTCAGCCAATCAGCAACCTTACCGGAAGCACGGGCCCACCTTTTTGCCGAAACAAGCCTTGGCGCCATGACGTTCTCTGGAGCTGTTTCTGCAGACTTTGTGACAACTCCACCATTGCCACTTCAGGGCAAGGAACACCCGCGGGATCTAGCACGTGTATTGGCTAACACCGAATGAGTTGGGATCTAGATCCCTGGTACATTTAAAGAGGCACAAAAACTTGCCGCGATAACAATCCGCGATCGTGCTTCGCGACTTGCTCGTGGTTAACAACATAACCTGAGTCGGCTGCCAAGAGCCAAACTTCGAGCGACTCAGAGACTGCATGATCGCGATGGCCGCGAGCACGCCGCCGTCGAAATGGATATAAACGCAGCGTGGGCCAGGGCTAATTTACAGGTTCTTTGTAGTTTGGCTGCTGTTGAAGCTGGGCGCTGCGTGTGGGTATCGAACAATTAGCACGCACCACCGTTTTGACTCGTATTCTCACCGTCCAATTTGATTACTTTATAACATACATCATAATACATTTAGACCTTCCTCTTGTGTCACTTCGGACCTCATTACTACTTTATCGCCACTGGTCTCGACGGAAACATTCAGCGTCTGTGGGGCATCTGCGAGTCACACAATACTAGTTGATTGAGCACTCCCATCATGGAGAAAGCTACCAAGCTCCCCAATGGGGAGACTCGTCAAGAGTATAAGCTAGTCAGCTTCGCGGAAGGCGACCCGGAGAACCCCAAGAATTGGTCCAAGGCCCGAAAATGGTACATCACCATGGTCGTGGCCGTCACTTGCTTCGTGGTGGCGTTCGCATCTAGCGTCATTACTGCCGACGTGCCGGGGGTCTCTGAATCATTCAACGTTAGTCATGAAGCTGCATTAGTTCCAATCAGTGTGTTTGTGGTCGGGTTCGGCGTTGGTAAGCTTTTCTAATTCTTTTCTTTCCCCCTTTTAGGTTTCGCAGTGTGTTTGTTTACTTACCCCTGAATGATAACCCCGAACTAACTCGGCCCCACCTCTAGGCCCAATGATTTTTGCTCCTCTTTCTGAGGTCTATGGGAGACGCATCATCTAGTAAGTTTCAATTTATTGGCAGATATCAGGTCAACTTCCACTAACTATCTACTCGCTAGTGGTTCCACCCTACTCGTCGCCGTCGTCTTCATCATCCCCTGCGCTGTCGCCCAAAATATTGGCACCCTCATCGTATGCAGAGCGATCGATGGTATCGCTTTCTCAGCTCCCATGACACTTGTCGGCGGTACGCTGGCGGACCTGTGGCGTAACGAGGAGCGTGGTGTCCCCATGGCCGCCTTTTCTGCTGCCCCTTTTATCGGCCCCGCTAGTAAGCCCCCCCTTTTCCTTTGTCGGCTCAATGTCGTCTTTGTCGTCCTGACTCGTAAAACCCATTATCAGTTGGTCCTCTCATCGGTGGTTTCCTCTCCGACGCCGCCGGCTGGCGTTGGCTGTACTGGATCCAACTCATCTTCGCCTTCATCGTCTGGGTGCTCATCACTTTCACCGTGCCCGAGACATACGCGCCCACCATCCTCGCGCGGCGCGGCGCCCAGCTCCGCAAGCAAACCAACGACCCCTGCCACGTCAGCGAAGCCGAGCTCGATCCGCGACCCTTCTCCCAGCGCCTCGGCGTGTTCCTCGTCCGCCCATTCCAGCTCCTCTTCCGCGAGCTGATCGTGCTCCTCATCAGCCTTTACATGTCGGTGTTGTATGGCCTGCTGTACATGTTTTTCGTCGCGTATCCCATCATCTTCGAGGTCCGTAAGGGTTATTCCTCAGGTACCACCGGTCTCATGTTCATCCCCGTTGCGGTGGGCGTCATCTGCTCCGCAATGTGCGCCCCGTTCGTCAATCGCCACTACCTCACGCTCGTCGTGCGCCACGGCGGCCGACCCCCCGCGGAGACCCGACTCATTCCAATGATGGCGAGCTGTTGGTTTATTCCGATCGGCCTATTCATTTTTGCCTGGACATCTTATCCGCGGATTACGTGGGTAGGGCCTTGCCTTGCCGGCTTCCCCGTCGGGTTCGGTTTTATCTTCCTATACAATGCCGCCAACAACTACCTCGTCGATTCATACCAGCACCAAGCAGCCTCCGCGCTCGCAGCTAAGACCTTCCTTCGCTCATTTTGGGGTGCTGGTGTGGTTCTTTTCACCGAGCAAATGTACGACCGCATGGGCGACCAGTGGGCGTCGTCATTCCTGGCATTTTTGAGTTTAGCATGCTGTGCTATTCCCTTTTTGTTTTGGCGATATGGCGCTACGATTAGAAAGCGAAGCAAGTATGCGTTCGGCGGAGATGAAGAGGAGGAAAAGCAGCAAGGGAACGTCACGTCGGACTCCGACGTGGAGAAGGCGAATCACGCCCCGGTCGTGGATCCCGCCCAGCCGTTGCACGATGATTTGGAGGACTTGGAAAGGGCGAGAAGCTATGTGGCAAATCCATGACGGGTTGGACGGCGATTAAACGCTCAGGACGGCTCATAAGCACCTACTTGATATCAGAAAGGGGAATATGCTTCTGATAAGCGGGGTATGGTGCTGTTGGAAGAACCGCGGGCAAGAGATTATCCGGGACATTAGATATAGACTCAGGGTACGGAATGACAAATTAAGGAGTAAAAGTAGATTGGCGTACCCGCCAATTGCCTGGAGCCCAATACCGGTGACGACACCGTGTGACACAGTCACACAGCCTCTAGGGAGGGTAGCAACAACCGCCTACCATCGCCTAAGTACCTACCAAAACGGCACCATTTCCTGTTTTAAACCCTCCTAGTTAGATGGTGATGGGGAATACTGACGTCTGCCCAGTAATTATGATTAATTATTGGGGGCTAAACGGTGCGAAAAATGTCTGGAGGATGAGGAAAGTTCAGTTGAAACCTGCTTTTGTTTCTTATCATCTACACTCTTTTAAAATTTCACCCCTTAAACCCTGTTAAGTCATTTTCCCACGCCCTGTGCAAGCAAGACTCCGCTTAAACAACAACCACCACGTCTTGAAAGAAGAAAAAAAAAACAAGATTAAAACATTGACTGAACCATAGGGTATCTGCATCCCACAAATCACTTCTTCTCAGCCTGCCGATGGTGGCCTTTTCTAGCACCGGCGCCACACAAGATCCCACTCCTCGGTGTTGGTCTTGAAGGAGGCAGTGCCGTCACCCACCAAGGCGCTACGGAAGTTGATGTTAAGAATGCCCGTGAAGCCGTCGCTGCCAGTGCACGACGACCACACCTTGTCGGTACCGGCGGAGCCCGCCAGCGAAACGAGTTGATCGACAGTGCCATCGCCCGAGTTCGAAAAGCTCGTCTGGATCGTATCCTGTAGCGGAAAGAAAACATCGTTAGTCGTCTGTCCAGTCCGGAACACCGTGTATGATGAAATGATCACTCGGTAAGACTAGAGATAAGAGTAGAATGGGAATCTCACTGTGTTTGCAGCATTTTCGCTGAAGTACACGGTCGTGTAATGATTCAGCGTCGTCCCTGGTGCCAGCACAGCGTGCCCACGGACCCGGGTCGTCTGCAGAGCCACCTGCCAGCCGGGGCTGGCACCCTTCGCTTCGAGATGCACTTGGCAGTTAGCGGTCTGGGTCGTAGCCCCCGGGAGGTTGGTGTTGAAGGCAGAGAAGGACAGGGTCGCGTCGTTGAAGCCTCCGGTGAGCTTGGGATCACTGGTGCACCCGGTGCCTGAGTAGGTGATGCTGGTGATGCTCGGCACTGCGGGGGCTGCGACATCCGCCGTGTCGGCAGTGACGCCCGCTGCGGCCGCCGCGAGGAAGACAAGGTTGGTGAGGAGGCCCATGATTGTGATTTTGGGGGCTGTGGATAAGGAGCTGGGATAAAAGTACACGGATGAGTGTGTGGTGGGGGTGGTGTTGCTGGTCTGACTTTTTCTGGGGAATCAAGGCGAAGTTGCTGCTGCGTTGTTGCGCCTGCTGAGCAATCCGATGGAGATAATGGGTGTTGGATAAGATCGTGAGAATATCGGTGTTTTATTCTAGAGAGGACTTGAGAAGTATGGTCTCAGAGGGGATAAAACCCGCTTCTTTATATCCCGAAAACGCAACAGGCGGTACAGACTCGATTGCAGCTCAATCTCAGCAGACTAGCTTGCGCGGATGTGCTCGAAATGATACATTGCAGCATCCCACCTTGCAGTCGTCTCCCTTCTCACCTCTTCGTAGGCGGAATGTTGTGTCAACTGTCCGTCTCGTTGCCACTTATCCCGGGCGCCACCCTCTGGCGAATCCTCGGTCAGGTTGGAGGAAATGCCTGGGTGCGGAGGTTTTCCCAATTTATCCAGATTGCAGGCCGTGAATCCGGGTGCCAGGATTGGCAAGGTCCAAAGTCTAAATTGGGCCCAAAAATAGGTTCCATTTACTGTTGGTGCATTTTGTGCCAAGCCGACCTGGGGATTGGATCGAATCTTTCGGTTCGGGGCGAAGGGTCGAGAACACGGAACGTGAACCGGGTGAGAGGCACTGTGAACCTGGGAATCTGGCCGCATCTAATTTCGCTTTATATTGCTAGGGAAAACATCGCCCGCAACATCGCCGTCCCACCACACGATGCGTCCCTTCTCTGGTTAAACCATACTTCTGTCCCGGGGTTCCATGGCGTCACCGCGCCACCCTCAATCTGTTCTTTTCGCCGACCTCAACCTGCGACCCCTGAAATCCGGATTCAGGACTCAACAGCAGCCGTTTGCTTCATCGTTGATCTCACGGGGAACGCCCTTTTTGGATTACTTACCTTACGTAGGTTCCTGCACATGCCCTAAAATATAAAAAGCTGGCCGGACCTCATTTCCGCCTATTTATTAATTACTTGGATGCGACCTCATGTTATCGGCCGGTGTGGCCCCTAGTCAACATACAGGTCCCGAGAGAGTAGTTCCAGGGTCTCGCTCCCCAGATCTGTCAAGCAGCGAGATTCCTTGGCATTTTCTAAGCTTAAACCTCCCGTCCACGGACGAACAACAGGTTTTTCCAGTTCCCCGGATTTCTGCCTGTGGGCGTTTAGCCCCTGGGTACAACGTAGAATTGCATGCAACAGCTTGACAGCAATTCCTATTTATGGCATATCTGCAATCTTTTCTCAAGAAGATGAAACCTTTCAGCGGCGGAACGTGGTGAAGAGCTGGGATCTGAAAGGTGTCTTTTTCGCACCGGTCTGTATTCAGTTCATACCACCTCGGTGGTCTAGCCCGGGACAGAATCGCAGCGATGATTTCCGATTTCCCGACGCCACGGCGGTTGTTCGGTGGTTTTCTAACGTCGGGGGTTACTGATGGCTCGCATTGCAAACTCGCAGCGGCACTTGCCGACGGACCTAGGGTTCCCTCCAACAATATCTCGCGGTATTTTGGGGCAGAGTACCAACGACAGTATCGATTGGCGAAAACCGGAAGTATGGCCTTCTTGTAGGAGCACTGGTTGTAGAGCCCTTGGTTATTCCATCGTAAGAGTCTGCTTGTCGGTCCTGGACACGGTCTCGTGGTTTTTTGTTTGTGTTTGAAGCCACCTCATCCTAAACACAAAGACAGCCCACAGCACAAGCAAGATACCGCTTCCGGTCAGACTTGCCCCCCAATTCCCTACGACATCTCTTGGAAAGCTAGCTAGGAATAACTCCAGCGGTGGGGGCAATCTAAATGGCACGATACGCGCAGCACGCTAAGGGGCTTGGTGGGTCGAATCATAATGTGAGACTGGAGCATGCTCTTTACAGAGTACCTAATCACACCACATTGGGCTGAGAAGTACCTGGGTACTCCGTAGCCTCGGATGTGGTGCGACCCCAGGGGCTTCTTAAAATAATGAAGCGTAGGGAGCCAAAATTGTCAGCGACGGAACCATGGCATGGGGTTCTCCCAGAGTGAGATATAAGAGTTACCCAACTCCGTCGGTCACCGTGTTTCTGCGTTGGATTCAGGGGGAGGCTGGACTATCAGGGTTAGGGTTTCATTCCCCTCTTAGCCTTTCTCGACCCCTGGGGATCTTCGAACTGGCACTCTAACTCCTTTTCGGGATGTTCGAAGTTGAGTATATTCGACGAGTTAAAATACATTATCAAGAATGGTATCATACGTGCGTGTCCATTTACCGTGACTTATGAGATGCCCGAGCTGCCTCCCGATCCAAATCCAGCGCTGATAGGTAATTTCCAACAAAAATGCGCCATGCGTAGCGGTAAAGACCGTGACTCGAAGAACCCTTTTTGTAGCTTAGGCATCACATCCCATGCTCCAAGACGTGAATATGCAAGCTTATAAAACCCAGGAACCCAGTTTTGTTTTGTTTTGCCGTAGACAGATACCCTCACAGCCCCCCAGGCGAAGCGGTTGGTGACACCGTTGGCGACGAGGGCCCCTTCCCAGATTCCGCCTTTGAAACGGACCCCGATCCCGACCCGGGACTCCGTTTTTCCCACTCCTCTCCACCAACAAACCGCGGCATGTGCACCGCCAACGGCAAATGGGCTCGTGGCGGCGCCCGCAACGGATATGCACCACCCCCAAGCGGCGTGCCCAGAAACCTCTCGCCATCGGGTAATACGTGGTTATCGTCACGAGGACGGTTACCCTGCTCCCTACGCCTGCCTCTTTCTTGCTCCTCTTCTTTTTGTTCTTCCCTTTCGTGTCCCCTCCCACCGTGGCGTCTTGCCATGTTATGCTGATCCTTTTCAAGATCGAGATGATCGGGGTCGCCGATTGCGCTGCTGGCACAACTACAACTGCAGCTGCCTGGCCCTCCTGCTGCTCCCCCGCAGCCGCCGCAACTGCTGCAGTATCCGCACCCGCTTCCACTGCCGTACCCACTGCCGCTACCTGCATATGCTGGGTTCTCGTTCCCGTGGCTCCCGTTCCCATGGTGGCGATGCCCGTCCCTGTGTCCGTGGTCGCCGTGGTTGGTTGTGTGAGTGGCCGCTGTCGTCGTGTTGTTCGCCCGGTGCGCTTCAAGATCTAAATCTCGATCGAGATCGTAATCTGGACCGTCCAGTCCATCGGCACCTCCATTGGTAAAGTTGTGGTAGTATCGCGACTTCTCGAGTGCGTCATGATCATGACGATAAGGGGATGTTGAGTGGATGGAGCGCCCGGGGGTTGTTGGAGAGGAGTGGGAGGATGGTTCCGTCAGGTTGGGGAAAGTGGAAGCGTTTGTGTTGAGATTGGGGAGTGCGTATGCGCGAGATGGGGGAGATCCGGTGGACTGGGAGTTCGAGCGACGTTTGCTAGATGTCTGGCTTGTGTGTTGAGGTTCGGAACCCGTTCTGTCGGCGAGTGTCGTCATCCCACGGAGGAATTGGTAATGCTGGTGTGGTTGGGTGATGGTGGTGGCCATAGGAGGCTCGGCACGGGTGGCGTCTTGGTCGTTATTTACCGGGGTGATCCAATCGAGAGTAGGAGGGTCGCGAGTGTCGCTAGTTGGGGACAACAGCCTGGGAAAGACGCGCTGTATGAGGGGTTTGAGTGTCATGATACAAGCGCAGCAGATGGCTGCGTTGACCTCGATGTTGGTCCAGTACACAACAATGGTATTGGTGTAAGGACTATCAAGGGACTTGTCCTTGGTTGATTGGACGAGACTGCCGAGACGGACGGCTGAGATGATACAGACACTGTAGAAGAGAAGCTCGGGAGTCAGCATTTACCGACCTAGGACAAGAGACCGGCAGCCTTACAAAAAGCCGAGAGTGAAAACGCCTACAATGGCGAACTTCTGTCTCCGAGGGAGATGGAGGGAGTACAGAACAGGCATCTCGTGTTGTGTTAGTAGGAAATATTCCAGTCATTCAAGGGGACGGACCGGTACGTACAGGAAGTGCCATGATGACTAGATCGCTGCCGATGTGTAGTCCAGCATTCGCCCACCATAGGTTTGCGGGTTGGCAGAACACTGGGCCTTTGAAGAACAGTGACCAATCCCAAAATGACTCTAGAGGGACACAAGCCGTGCAAACAGTTGCGACGAGCCATATGCCGATGGCGGTGACGATGACGAGTACAATTTGGATGGTACGCCTGATCCAATTGTAGGTGAAAATGACCCGGAAAAGGAGGAGAATTGATATCCTGCTAAGGCTGAGGCTGAGGTTGTAGAAAAAGATGCCGTACCAAACCGCCTAGAATGCCCATTAGTTGTACTGACAGTATGTCAAGACACCAAGCAGCGGGAACTCACCTTTTGGAACGCAGCGAGAGATGTTGGGTCCAATTCCCACGCATGCTTGCCCGCGCCGTGAACCACCTCTACAAAAGCCTGTGGGTTAGTCCCGGAAGTAAGTAGGACACGTGCTGCTTGGATGGTGACATACGTTCCAGCGCGCTCGCTGCCACGCCAGCCGCACATAACTATTAAAGGGAAGTGATTAATTAGTTCGAAATGGTTCCAAGAACCAACCGCCACGAGAATGACAAAAACCGAGTTCCATACCAGAGCAGGCAAGATGCACCAGTCTGCAGCCCCCAGCCTGACCTGGCTGACCCATCTCCGCGTGTAAAACCTGAGCCCTACAAAGAAACATGCAATGAGGAATGTGATGACAGCACATGCAACAATATCTGGCTGCAGCGACCGTCCGGGATTTGGTGGGATATCCCATACTGTGGCGTTTGGTGCTGGGAATGTCACGATATTATCGCCGCCCGAGGTCGCATTCTGGTTCAGGGCCCCATTGCCGCCCGCGTCCGGGCTCGTCCATGTTGTGCTGCTCCCGCCTGGCGCCATTTTTTGATGTTGATGCTACCGGTGGTGACTGAGGCGCGCCCTTGTCTAAGCTCTCTCCAACTTCCCTTAAGGGGGAAGCCGAGGCTCCGGTTCGGTCCGCGATCAGAATTTCCGAGTAGTTCTGAGCGATGTTGGTGCCTCATCAAGGGTGCCAGAGGTATGTGTTGTCGTGGTGTTGTTAGAGAGTATCAATGTACAAAAAAGGGAGCAAAGAGAAACAGAGAAAGGGAATAAAGAGAATAATTCAAGATCGAAATCAAGACTCCCGGCACATAAACCCAGGGCGGCAGTAGGCCAAGGCGCCGGGAAGATATACCGGCTATTCCCCGCAGTTTCCAGCGTTACAGAAGGTCCAAATATCCCCAATAGCGGGCTTGCTAAGCCGTTGATCGACATGGACGAGCCCCCCCCCCGCGCAATACGTGTGTTTTGTTGCGACCCGCCTTTGGAGCTACACTAAGCTGGGAGGCTGGCTCGAGCGACCAGGGTTAACGATATTCATCAAAAGGTGATTTGTTTCCTTGAACCGAATAAGGACTCAACGTTTTGGGGAGACATCAGGCGTTGCTGCGGGGACTTTTGGAGACTGACAAACTTGACGAGTCTCGGTCCATGCCGAAATGTCATGTGCGGCGGCGGCACATTCGGTGCGTGCCGGCAGGACCGGTCAGCCAGTCCTTGGGTCTTTCCGCATCCATTCTTACCATGCCATAAACCATTTCCCCTGGCGTCCAGCCCCGCAAACGCCTCTCCTTGTCAGCAATTTCCCAGGCCATGATGCCACCGAAGTTGACAACCACGTCCACCAGCTGACAGAGCCCAAGCCCCCGCCATTATGCTGCGTCATCTTCTCGTTTGGTTTGCAGGGTTCGAAGGATGAGGGATCAATGGAGGCCAACGGACAACATGAAAGTGCAAAACAACGTTGTATGGGCGGCGGCCACCAAGCCCAGATCGGCATTGTTGAGTAACAGCACATGTTGCATGCCATATTCGAGATGGCTGGTTCTGTTATAATTAATTAACAAAATCTGGGGTTCATGCCCATTGCTGAAGCTACCTGACTTGGCTCGAGATCACACAATCGACTGACAGACTGCGATGACCTTGTTCGTATTTCCAGGGATTTGAGGCTTCAAATTTATGGCGAGACTGTCCATTTGTGTTTCGAGTCTGGAGCCATTCCCTCATTCCCTCCCAGGAATTTTTGCGGATTTTTCGTCGTTGATGAGGCGCGGTTCGCCGGTGGCTCCAAGCCGTACCGTCAAAACCGTGCATGCAACCCGAAAAAAAAAAAAAACGTGTTTCTCCGCGCCGGGAACCGAGCACGGGCGTTATGAACCATGGGTTTTAAGACGAACCTCGCTTAATTAGGAAGGCACGCGCAGTACGCTAAACTGCAATGGACTTCCGGCTCCTTTTCAGCCGCCCGTTTCGTTCTCGGTTTGGAAGATAGGCTCCAAGCTTCGCTTGATTCTGCCGATTCGGATTCTGCCGGACGTCGGAACTCGGCAGTCTTGTAGATTGATTGACTGCATGGATGAAGTCAATGCGGCAGCACTCACCGGCAGTCAAAGCAAACTTCTGATTCTTGAATTACGATTTCTCGTCTGGAATAGGCTCGATCTCGCGGTCGCTTTCATACGCGAAAAAGATTCCTTGGCTTAAAATTGGGCGGTCAATAAAAATTGACTTCGCTTCCAGTTTGTTGCATCCACTTGCAGGGGGATGCGACGCGCCGTCTCTTCTCACCGGCCCCAAGCGTCATGCCCCCAGGCCTGGGCGGTGCAGCCCCACCCAGGAGACACACCCGCCGTCCTCGGTCGGGCTTGTTCATCGAGGACCTCCAAGAGTCCAAAGGAAAGGGGGCTTAGCCAGGGCTTTAAACCACGAAGCCGGGGATAACACGGCACGCAAGACGAAAGCAGGGGGGACTGTCCTAAAGTTTGCTTATGTCTTAGATTCCCGACTTTTTGTTGATTAGCGAGGTCTTGGAATACAACAGGGGGGAACTATTGTTCAGGTAAGAAGAACGAGAATCCAGCGGCAAGCTCCGACTACGGTGGACTTTTCGAGGCAAGATTGGGGGGAAAGGTGAAGGACGGCCGCTCAGATGCGCAGGCATTTCAAGACGGAGGGAAAGACTCCTGGGCCCAAGAGACCAAGACTCCAAAAGTCTCAACGCCGTTGTCCTCAGGTATCTGTATAACAATAACGTCGTCTAGGAACCTCACAGACCAAAAGCCCTGGTAGTGATGGTAACCCCGAGTATGTGTGGTAATTATGAACGCACCGCGCTTGGCCGTAGCCCAGCCTGCATCCTGTCACAACAGCCTCGTCAGTGACACTCAGAATCAGCGTTCTGGGGTGTTACGCCATATGGTTCACTCCCTGTCTCCCCTGTGGGATTTACTACGGTAGGTATCAAAATGTTATTTATGCACGATGTATACCTAACCCAGGACGTAAGCACAGGTTTCATAGTTATAATCTCGATCGCGAAGGATAGAGTGGGGGCCGGTACGTCGCCAGATGTGACATGTGCCCACGCAACCACGGCAGTTGGTGGCCCACAGCCAGCCGTGAAGTGGGTATCATGTTGTATTTCTTGGCTGGCAAACCGCCGCATGTGGTCTTGAAGGCACTCTTATTGAAGTGGCGTTGCATCGTGAGTGATGTTTCAATGCTGGGACAAAGGGAGATGAGGCCTTTCTAAAGAAACTTGATTTGAAACTTTGTTGCCGGTACTAAGGCCATTACCCCTTTCGAAGAGCGATATGAAACCGTACAGATGATGCAGATGATGCAGGTAACAGCCTGTGCTTTTGACGACCCTGATGTTGTGATGACCAAATTTTGAAAAGGACTGGCCAAAGGAATATCAAAGACAAAACACCAGGCCGAGAGTGAAGGACTGGACTCCTGGACCCAAAAGCTTAGGAAGTCCATCCGGCCCCATCTTGCGTCTCGTTTAATCGTACCTTAATTTTGTTCTACGTAATTAGATCCATGGGAAGTCAGATATGGCCTTCCGATGTATTACTATCCTAATTACCTTACTCTTCAACTACCTACCCGGGTAATTACTGATTATAAAAGTGGAGTTGGACGGAATAGAGAAGTCAATACAATTAGTCGCATAGTATATTGGCGATTAAAGATGGGAGAGAGAGTAGATAAACTTTCTTGTGTACTTCAAGTCTACCTTAACTCTACTACCTTTATCATTTTTCGATCTCTTGATTTACTTCGTACGGTTCTTCCTTTGCAATCCACTATATTTGGTTGGCTTACATGCAGCCACGTGATTCCCGTTGTTGGCTCGCCATATTTTGTGGCTGGGGTACTGGTGGGTGCCTTGTGATCCGAAAGCAATCTTCCCTGACATTGTCGATACATAGAAAACAGGCTATATGGCTAGGATCAGCGAGCTCACCCACCATGGACGATCTCGGACAATTCGTGGATTCGAATCTTCTCTACACCCAGGAGAGAATGACTCGTTACCGCCCACCAGGCTTTCATCCCGTCAAACTTGGCGACACATTCAAATTTGGCCGGTACAAAGTGTACCACAAGCTGGGCTATGGAGGCTTCTCAACAGTTTGGCTCGCAATCGGCCAATCGTATGTATCTGCTGGCAAGCTCTTCATGGTGTCGAAGAAACGGTTCGCAGCTCGTACTGACATTGCGTCGCTTCCTCACAGACTCAAACGATGGGTTTCTTTAAAAATTGCGACAGCCTCAAGCAGCGAGTCCCCCCAGGAGCTGACTATCGTTAGGGGGTTGAAGGAGGCCCGTGTAGGGCACGTCGTCAAGTTACTCGACTCCTTCGTTCACCAGGGACCCAACGAGACACATGCATGTTCCGTCTTCGAGCTCCTCGGGCCTACGGTTGACGTTGTGGTCAGTAACTACCGGGACGGAGCAGAGCCAGGCGAAGAAGACCACCTCGAACCCGCAACTATCCTGAGAATCACGGGGCAGCTCTTACGAGCCCTTTCAGCTATGCACGGGGCGGGTTATGCGCACGGAGGTTCGTTTTCCTTTCGCTTTTTTCCCACATTAAAAACAGTAATCATACTGAGAGTGATTTCAATAGATATCAGTGGAGCAAACTTGGTTTTCACTGCTCACAACCTCCAGGAGTTGTCGGCCGAAGAGATGTTTGAGGTCATAGGTGCCCCTTTTACTGAGCAACTTGCTCGCCACGATCAGGGACCAGTCCACCCTTCAATGCCTGAGCAACTGGTCCAAAAGGCTGGCTGGGACATGTGGATTGATGAGGACGAGGAAGATGTCCGTCTCATTGATTTTGGCAAGGCGTTCTTTCATGGCGCCGAACCTCACCAGCTCGCCAAACCGCCGGGATTGGAGGTGCCTGAAAGAATCTTTACCGGGAGATTGACTACAGGGTCGACCTCTGGCGAGCAGGATGCTTGGTAAGACGACCCTGTTCAGATGAGCTACGGAAAAAGACGTGGAGATCGAGTGTCTAATATAACCGCACAGATATACACCCTATTATTCGGTTCTAGGCCCTTCCAGTCGCTTGGGGATGTAGATGCTGTGGTAGCGCAGATGATACATTTCGTGGAGGGCTTACCAACGGCGTGGCGACCTCAGTGGGAAGCCCGGAGACATAGCTCTGAACTGGCCTTTCCAGGTAAGTTCATTGCCCCCCCTCCGATCCTGGTTCCCCTTTCGATCCTCAATACATAGATTGGGCTCGCTTACCATGAAACAGATCCAGACGAGTGGGAAGGGCCGTCGGAACTAGAGGTAAAATTCAACACGCAAGTCAAGAACACGAGCTTACAGCGCCTTCTACCCATTATTCAGGGGCTCATGCGGTTCGACCCAGAGATGCGCCTCTCAGCGGAGCAGGTGTTGGGAATGTTGGATGGTTATGGCCGAGGTTAACCTTAAATATTGTGGGAGATGCCGCCATCAGGGTTAAAGTGGCCGAGGTTTTTTCGGCGAGTTTCCGCGACGGACGCCGTTGCCATTGGAATTTCAATCTGCAATGACTGCGTGTCCTGAGGATTGCTTCGCGGCCGGTCGAGGTTTTCTGTTCTGCATGATTATCAGGCCTAGAGCGCGGGTCATTCCGAGCATTCGCTATTATGAGGCCCAAATATCTAGTACTGTGCACATTCACTTATTTCCCGTCCCTATCACGCCTTAAAACCAGCACATGTCCCACAGACGGAAAACCTTTAGGTCTGGAAGAGCTTAACCTGTCTTGGCAGAGGAGGCACGGGGCGCCGAGACACGGAGACAGCCCAGATGCGACCCGCGGAACATGTACGTCCGTGAGCAAGTCAGCCGCTTCACGATGCTTTTGTCCACGGTTGCACGCCCAGCCCGGCTTTTGGGGAAGGGACCGCCCGCGCAAAATTGAGGAAGTCAACACCAGCTAATGCAGCAGACCAGAAGACCTACGGCCCGGAAACCCTCACAAAGATCTTGAGAGTCCAGCTGATCCCGCCTTGCTCAACCCCCCGACAGCCCCACGGCCCCGCCAGAAGCTCCGGCCTTGACTCTGCGACTTTTGTTCCTTCAAATGTTCGACGGCCCGGGAAAATCGAGCGTAGTACACTTCTGGCAATACCGGCTTGCGCGCCCCCGCGGTTTCTCAGCCAAGCTGGGAAATCTCGGCGGTCGCGACTCCACGCTGCGATCGCAGCAAGCTGCCATCTCATGCATGGAAGCCCTTTGCGATGTCGCTCTAGTCCGTTCTAGCCGCCGCCTCGCGCGCTCACAACCGTTCGGCGATGCAACCTTGGCCCACAATTACCTAAATGCAAACCCGGAAATGGGAATCCAGGGACGATTTAGTGCGGGAGGCGGGGGGCCCGTGGGGAAAGACGGGACTCGAGAGGGTTGCAGAAGCCCCTGAATAGCTACAGAGAAGCGCTGCGAACCGGGAATCCGGAGCCGCATGTGAGCGTGTCCGACGCGTTGCTCGGGAGCCCCTCAGTCCCTTCAAGGGATTGCCCCCATCGACCAAGACCCGTCCGCCCCGGGTTTGTCAGGCCGCCCACCCGCAAGACCACAGCTCCGAGACAGGGGACAGGATGGAGAACGCGGGAGCTCGACATGTATAAATGGCAAGAGGTCTCGGCGAAAAGCTTGACCGTCGATCTCTTCATTCCTCGGTCCCACCACAGCAACGCCTGAGCCTGTCCTTCGACCTCGAGTCAGCAGACCAGATATGAAGTCTTCATTCCTCGCCGGCCTTTTCGCCGTGGGCGCCGCTGCCCAGAGCCCTGCTTGGGGACAATGCGGTGGTAAGGACTGGAAGGGCGCGACGACCTGCGTGTCCGGCTACACCTGTACCTACTCGAACGACTGGTACAGCCAGTGCATTCCCGGCTCCGCGGGCCCCTCGACCACGCTGCGGACGACCACCACGGCCAAGCCCTCAACCACCACGTCGTCTGGCCCGACCGGCACCTCGACTCCCGGCAAGTTGAAGTGGGTTGGCATCAACCAGTCGAGCGCTGAGTTCGGACAAGGCACCTACCCCGGCATCTGGGGCAAGACCTTTACTTTCCCCTCGACTTCGTCGATTCAGGTATGTGCATAATGTGCTGAGAGCGGGATGATTAGTTGGTTTCGGTATGCTGACTGGTTCCCTCGTAGACTCTCATTGGCGATGGTTACAACACGTTCCGTGTGTGCTTCTCCATGGAGCGCCTCGTCCCCAACCAGTTGACTGGCTCGTTCGACGATGGGTACCTGCGCAACCTGACCCAGGTGATCGACTACATCACCAACGCGGGCGCCACCGCCGTCATCGACCCCCACAACTACGGCCGCTACTACGACAATATCATCACCGACACCAACGCCTTCAAGACCTTCTGGACCAACCTGGCGGGAAAGTTCGTGTCCAACTCGCGTGTCGTGTTCGACACCAACAACGAGTACAACACCATGGACCAGACTCTCGTGCTCAACCTCAACCAGGCCGCCATCAACGGCATCCGCGCGGCCGGCGCCACCCAGTACATCTTTGTCGAGGGCAACGCCTGGACCGGCGCCTGGAGCTGGAACACCACCAACACCAACATGGTCGCCCTCACCGACCCGCAGAACAAGATTGTCTACGAGATGCACCAATACCTCGACAGCGACAGCTCCGGCACCAGCGCGACCTGTGTCAGCGCTCAGATTGGTGTGCAGCGCGTTATTGGTGCTACCAACTGGCTGCGCGCCAACGGCAAGGTCGGTATCATTGGTGAGTTTGCTGGCGGTGCCAACTCGGTCTGCCAGCAGGCTGTCAAGGGGCTGCTTGACCATCTTAAGGAGAACAGCGATGTCTGGCAGGGCGCTATCTGGTGGGCTGGTGGTCCCTGGTGGGCGGATTACATCTACTCATTTGGTTAGTTCTTCCTGTTTTCCTTTTCTTTCTCTTTCCTTCCTTTGTTGTCCCTATGCTTTACCATGAACCCCGTTATTAACACCTATTTCAGAGCCTCCTTCGGGCACGGGTTACAGCTACTACAACTCGCTCCTCAAGCAGTATACCGTTTAAGAAACTGCAGCGCCGATAGAGCATGGGGTGGTCGGGCCCAACCGCGGTCTAACTTTATCAGAGTCAACGACAGTGTGTGGTTAACTCTTCGTTGTAAATATTTCTCGCATCACGCTAGCGGGCAACCGCTGGCGGTCATGCCAAGTACATACCTCTTCAAAATGGGAATGCGCCAAATTTTGGCTCAAGTCTGACTTTCGATAATCGTGTTGTGACCGGCAAAACCTGGATGCACAAGTACAAATCTCTTTCAGGACACCACCCAACTTTAGCAAAGGGGACGGCTTGAATTCCCACGCCCTTTGCTGTGTATACACTTTAGTGTACCCCTAAAGCTTTTCAAAATAGTAATTACGGTACCTATCAGGCCCTTACAGTACCGGGGGGACAGTTGACGTTGAGCTTAACCCTAACCCCAACACCATTAGTACTCGAACAAGATTTAGTTTAAGGTCACTTCGCCACCTAAGGTACCTTACATATCTATGTTTACTCGGTACATTCTCGGAGTGGGACTGGTTGTTGCCTCAATACCATGCGGGCTATCTACCGAATGAGAACAGAATCCTGTTTGCGACGAAAGATTGGATTATCCCGTATCCGGGCAACCACCTTACCCTCTGCGCGCACAAGTTCCCTACATTGGTACTTAGGTACTTACCTCTTAGGTACCTTAGGAACCAGACCTTCCCCTCGCATTCCGACAAGGATCAACTATTGTTCTTCTTTTCCATCACACAAACTCTTCCGCAAAACGTCACTCAACAACAACCACACCATCCATCATCATCGACACAAATTCCCAAAGTCGCGCAACGTGGCTTCCGTCACAAGCGATGCGCAAGTCCAACAGCCACCTTACCCCACCTACACCGCCATCAGCGAAGCCAAACGAGTCATCAAGCAAAACCGCTCCGGGCTCCCACTCCTCTACTGGCCACTAAACGCCGACACTCCCGCAACCCTCAAAATAAGCGGTCTCGCTGTCATGGCAATGGGACCCAAACACCCAGACCCGGACGTTCTCGCGCCCTACTGGGACGCATCAGCGGGCACGTGGCACCCTATTTCGAAGCAGCCCATTAGCGAGCCGAAAGTGTCGGAAATTTTGGTGCAGATGCGGGATGTGATGGAGTGGGAGAGGACCTGGAAGGAGTTGCATTGGGAGTGTCAGTTGGATGATAATCGGCTTGAGTATTACGAGCAGCAGGGGGATGGGTTGTGCCATGGTTGTGATGTGCCGGAGGGGGGATATTTTGGGCGCGCTTGGGACGTCAACCGGTCGACACGGCCCTTTGGCTCAAGAGACGGAGCTGATGGTTCGCGAGGGAATTATGCACTGGCTGAGCTTGGAGAAGCGGGAGGAATGGGTGCGGAACATCAAGAAGCAGCCGGCGCCAGGCTGGATTAATCCACGCAGGCTCATGCAGCCGAACGGTATGGGCCAACTTAGTCCTTTTGGCGGCTTCCCTGTCCCACAGCAAGGTGGCAAACGGTGAGACCACAATACGCCTCGCCCCTGCCGCATGTCCCGTTGAGATTGCAGCAGTCGGCCCATTTCCCAGCGCATAGCCGGTCGCCGTAGTCTTTACCGCACGTACCGTCGGTGCTGTACACTTTGTCGCCGACGCAAGCGCCCTCGTAGCAGGTGCCAGCCGCGCAATCGTCGGTCGAGTTACCGCATGTCCACATCTCCGAGTTGCAACATTGATAAGCCGTTCCAAGACATGTTGCGTTCTGGTTGGGTGGGCCACAAAGTCCGTCAACTGCTCTCAGGGGTTCGATGACTGGTAATTAATAGGGACTTGTTAGTAGATGTCCGCCAACTTTGCGCTTGGCAAAGGAAGAAACACACATCCGTCAGCACAGTACTCGGTGTTGGGCTGGATATTGCTGCAGTCCCGTTCTAGTGTTGGATTCAGTGTGAAGAAGAGGTCGATGGAGACGCCGAATTTGGTAGCCAGTTGCGTGCACGTATAATAATTGACGTCGTTTCCCGTGGTCGCTGAGTAGCGGCAGTTGACCTCCCCTGCGGTCACGTTGCCGGTGGTAATCAAGTTTAGAATTCTCGGGGCGGCGTTGTTGGTACGAAACACTTTAGTGGGGGGCTTGTCGTTTGACCATTGGACAGGTTGGCAGTCGTCATCGGCCCTCACACAGCCGAGAAATGATATGAACGAAAGAAGGGCAATGGAAACAAGCACCATTCTGGGCAATGATCGATCTGAAGTTCTGAATCTGCGAACCCGTCGTAACCACCAACTGGTGGCTCGATTCGCACGTTTTGTCCTACAACGAAGTCGAGCTTGCCTGATGACTGACGACCGGCACGGGTATCGCTGGCGGCCAGCGTGGAGCAAAGCAGCAGATGAAAAACGAGCAACTTTTACAGACTGAAACCCCGGTGTACGAGGTCTAGAGCGCTGCCCGGTCTCAGGGGTGTTATCGTGCCAGCCAAAACTCAGCCCATGTCAACATGAACAAGTAACGACCGGCAATAACGGCACCGGAAGAAAAGCACTAGAGCCTATGTGGATGTGTCCCTCCAAGTACGAAGGGACTTTATCTTCCCGATGTTTCCTCCTGTCGAATCTTATAGCTCGATTCTCACACGACTGGACATGAAGGATGCACTAAAACCCAATATTTCTCTTCCTTTTCATATCGGCGCTTTTGTGATGGAGAGTCGAGGCGGCCCGATTTGAGGGCTTTACGATGAATAGGCCGGAAGGAGGGGAAGGCACTCTCCGTTCGGTGGTGGATAGAACCCAATTCAAAAGCTACCTAGAGGTAGGTAGGTAAGTACTTATTCCCGGGTTCAAAATCCTCCGCTATGCAGGTACCATCGTCTACCCGACCTGGTTAGGGTCGATTCTGGGCCTCGTTTGTTATCCCCGCTAATTTATCTGGTGACACTCGATGGACAACTGAGTCTCGTTTTGGTTTTAACTTTCATTCTCTGGCGCCAAATCCAAAATTATGTCCCCGCGTCACCCATCCACCCCAAACCAATAGTTACCTACCTATCTGACAGGCACAATGGTAAGTACCTTGCCTTAGTGAGGTCGAGGGGGCACGCCGAGGTGGGAATTGGCACGATCCTACCGAGAAAGCCCGTGTTGCGTTGAGTGGGTTTTCAACAAGACATCACCTTCAAGTGTCTCAGTCCAAACAATTCTTTGGTCAGCCTCAGCGCAGCCGCACAGAAAGACAAAATGATGATTTAGGTCGGTTTGCAGGCTGTTGACCCAGACAAGGTCGGCATCCAAGACCTTCGTGCCTTGTACATACATGGGCGCCTTCCCCAATATAATAATCTTACGAGTCACAAATATTTACGGGGCGAAAGTGCGCAGTGTTTTTGTCCCAACCTCGCTGCCTTGCACGCTTCTGGGCAGATCGAGATGATGATCCTTCTCCTTGTTTGCCTCTACATCACGGCCTTGCTCGCCTACGGCCATGGCTCCCTGGCTCAGTACCAACAGGATTATATCTACGTCCCCGCGGAGGACACCAACTTTCAGTACGTTGAATCTTGAATAGGTCGATGACGGACTGAATTGTGATACCCTTCTGACGAGGGCTAACCATCGAGGGTTTCAAGCCAGCCTACTCCAGCTGATGTCCCACGGCAAATGTTATGGGTGGGCCCCGATAAGCTCGTCGTCCTCAGCTATAACTGCTTTTACATGCGAGATATCTGCCGAAACGTGGCAACTTTCTCCGCCACACCGAGGGGTCTAAACCTTCACCCCAGGAGTGGCATTCCGAATGACTGGTTCGGCTTTGACTTCAACACCTAGCTGCGAAAAGGCAAACGGCGTGACCATAACTGTCCCACCAACTGGAAGAATGGCCATGGGAAAACCCCATAATACCCATGAGGCACGACGGGCAATGGTACCACAGCGATCTAGAACCCGGCACCACGGCGAACGTGATCCGGCATCTCCGGGATTCCCACAACAATATTCAACTCTATTCGGGCATCCACTATACGTGCGATGAGTTCCCACCTGTTACTTGGTTTGAAGGAGGGGACGGAGAATTCGCGGACAACCCCGGGACGACGCGATGTGCTGCTATGCGGTGCGCCGAGGGAGTCAAGGCGGAGCAGGACTGTAAGTAATTACAATATTGATAATCAACAACCGATTGATGGATCAAAGATCCAAGGAATCAAGACAATCCCAGCTAATTCTCTCCGCAGGGCAAGCTACTGCGCATAATGCACCCCGTCTCGAGCTGCAGGCGGTTGTCGAACTAGATCCAACAATCAAGCAGTCCTTTAATTCTTCCCACTCTGTCGTATTTTTCAGGTTCACGACCAACACGGCCCCGGATGGAGTCGCGGCAAGAGTCGTCTCATATGACGTCGATCCCGACAATGGCTTTCCGACACTGGACAATGAAAGAACGGTCCAACAGGGATTTCGAAAAAGGAACGACGACGAGGGCATAAATTCCACGTCTAATTCCAATTACCCGCCGAGAGGGTTATGGGATCTCAGCCACGAACAGCTTCAAGACCTCGTTGATGCCGGTTTTGGAACCGAGTATGCCGTCCCAGCAAATGATTCGTACGTCGATTGGGCAGTGAGTGCACCGATCCCGGGCGAGTTGCGGACGTTGGACCGGCGCTTCCGCTGGGACATGGAGGATGACGAGGCCATGGGTTTGAGCAATCGGATTCGGGTCACCAAAGAGGATCGTGCGCCAGGTTCATTCACGAAGTGGTTGACCAAGAAGAGCCCGGCACCGCCCACTACGACTCAGCGAAGCATCCCCGACAGCCTCGTCCAATCGCTTCTCAAGAGAGCCGTCGCTGGGGACGTGGCGAATGCGCAGGCCATCGTCGACAAGGCCAAGGCTGAATCGGCCAAACGCAACGCCGGTCGTCTCGCGCGGCGCCTCCGCAATGCCTACGGCCTGCGGCTAGGAACCATCGTTGGAAGTACGCACACCCAGGCTGAAGCTGCCGAGTCGTCAGCCCTGTCCGTAAACAAGGGCGTTGTCCCACTTCTCAATATTACGGACGAGATCGCCAACGCGGCGGCCCTTGTGGCGGAGGCTGAGGCTAAGTCTGAGCTAAACACAACATCGACAACCGCTAACACGGCCAAGCGCGCTACCGCGGGCGCGTACTGGATGGGAAGCCTCGCTCGCAAGGGCATAGTGCCCTGGGGCGACGACGCATCCTACGTCGTGTTCCGCAACGTGCTTGACTACGGCGCTGTCGGCGACGGTGTCACGGACGACACGGCCGCTATCAAGAAGGCCATGACCAGCGGCAACCGGTGCGGCGTCGGCTGCAACGGATCGACAACCAAGAACGCTATCGTCTACTTCCCTCCCGGCAGCTACCTCATCTCGAGCACGGTGCCCATGCCCTTTGGTACGCAGGTCATTGGTGACGCCATCGATCGGCCGACACTGCTGGCCTCGGGCAGCTTCGTGGGTCTGGGCGTGCTGTCGACGGACGAGTACACCGGCGGCCAGGGCGGGAGTGAGGAGTACTATATCAACACGGCCAATTTCTACCGCCAGATCCGTAATATTGCCATCGATATCACGCAAGCCGGCGCCAACATCTCCTGCCTTCACTACCAGGTTGCGCAGGCCACCAGTCTCCAGAATGTTGAGCTCATCGCGTCGACGGATGCGGGCAAGAACCAGATTGGCATGTATGCTGAGAACGGCAGCGGCGGCCAGATCTCAGATGTCACCTTCACAGGCGGCAGTATTGGCTTGTATGGCGGCAACCAGCAGTTCACAGCACAACGGCTAACGTTCGATGGTTGCAACACGGGCGTGCACGTCATCTGGGACTGGGGTTGGGTCTGGAAAAGCGTCACCATGAAGAACGTCAACATCGGCTTCCAGCTGACGTCGGACGACGGTACCGGCAATATCGGATCCGTGGCTGTCATGGACTCATCCTTCTCCAAAGTTGGCACTGCGGGCATCGTGATCGCACCACCGTCGTCTGACGTGGGTAGCGGCAGCACAAGCGTGGTGCTCGAGAACGTGCAGCTTTCCGGCGTCGCGGCTGCGGTCCAAGACACGGCCGGGACGGTTCACCTCTCTGGGTCCGACGGCACCGTCGGCGAGTGGGTGCTGGGCCCCACGTATGAAGGCTCGACGATCGCGCGCGCCTTCTCGAAGGTGGCAAGGTCGGCGACCACCGCCGCAACGCGGGGCTGCTCGACAATTTCACGGGAGCCTACTTCGAGCGCGCCAAGCCCCAGTACGAGGATAGGAGCGTCGATGACTTTGTGCACGTCAGGGACTACGGCGCCACGGGCGACGGGTCCACGGATGATACGGCTGCCTTCTAATCTGCTATTTACGGCAGTCTTGGGAAGATCCTGTTCGTCGACGCCGGCTCGTACATCCTAACGTCGACCATCATGGTCCCCGACGGAGCCAAGATCGTCGGCGAGACCTGGTCGCAGCTGGTTGCTTCGGGCGCGTATTCCAGGATGCCAGCAAGCCTAAGGTCCTGATCCAGGTCGGGCTTGAAGGTTTAGTCGGCAACGTCGAGATGCAGGACCTCCTCTTCACGACTCGCGGGCCGACGGCCGGCCTGATTCTTGTCGAGTGGAACATCCGGGCGGCCAGCCCGGGCTCGGCCGCCTTGTGGGACTGCCATGCTCGCATCGGGGGCGCCACCGGCACTGAGCTTACACCGACCGAGTGCCCACCATCAACCAGCGGCACTGATGCTGGCTGCAGCGCGGCTAGTCTGATGATGCGTTTGTCGCCGCACGCTTCGGGTTATTTTGAGAATATGTGGCTCCGGGGAGCGGATCACATGATTGAGTGAGTGGGCCTTCCTCCTTCTTTTCTTTGTTCCTTCTTTATTTCCTTGCTTCCTTGCTTCCTTCCTCCATCTGCCGTGAGTGAATCACCCCGTGATGCTGACCAGATACTGAACAATTGATAACAGCGACCCTGATCTCACCGACCCTGCCAATGATATGACACAATGCTCAATTTATGTGGCCCGAGGTTTTCTGATCGAGAGCACACACCCGACATGGTTCGTCTTGCTTCACCCGTCACCCTGTCAATTTTGGTTACTTGTTGCCCATCGGTAGCATGTGGCGCGACTTGTATTGGGGCATAGGAGACCAAGCTAACATGATCGGGACTGGAAACAATTAAAGGCTGTATGCTACTGCATCAGAGCATGCGGTGTTCTATCAGTACAATTTCCACTCAGCATCCAATATTTTTGCCGGCATGCTCCAAACCGGGTCGCCCTACTTCGCAGCCGTCGTTGGAAATTTCCCTGGTGACCCTGATTACACGTGTGCTGCAGATGACGGGTTTAGCGGCTGTGACGAGTCTTGGTCTACCATCATCACGGGCTCCCAGGATATCTTCATCGCCAGCGCAGGTATCTACTCGTGGTTCTCAACCTGCACCCAAACCTGCATCGACACGCAGGAATGCCAAACGGCTCTGATCTTGCTCGAGAATAACTTTGCCAACGTACGCTTTCAGAATCTGATCAGTATTGGCTCCAAGTACATGGCCGTTATGGATGGCCAGGGGATCACGGCCGCACACAACTTAAACGTAGAGACACATCCCTTTTGGTCTCAAATCACTATCCTGGACGTCGGGAGCGACGGTACTACCAACTTCAACGAGTTGGTCTGGATCGACCCCATATGGGACATGGAGAACCCCTCCTTCACCTGCCTGCCGCCCTGCCATATCAAGCTGCCCCCCTACACCGCCGCCACTACCACCGTCAACTATCCCCTGATGACGGTGAGCGACGGGACCTAGACGAGTACGATCACGAAGGCGCCCCTGATGGTCTCGGAATGGGTGCTGGAAATCGTCACCATCACGGCGGACGGCGGGAGCAACAACAGGAACAACGCAAAGCGAGACAGTGTCAAGAAGTGCAGCGCCCAGGGCTTCAGCGAGTTCACGCCTGTGCCGGCCACAACGCCCTTCTGGCCGTCCATTGTGTACGAGGGGATCAACGGGCACCGGACGACGACGGCCCCATCGGTGGCCTTCCCGACGCCGCCCCCCGGTATAGTCCAGCGCGGCGTAATGCCTTACCAAAGCGTGATGGACAATCCGTTCACCGAGATGTGCGGCTTTTTGGACTACTCGTGCGTCAACCTGCCCTGGCTCTATGGCGACCAGGGTACCGGCGTTGATCAGCCCTTCAACCCGGACGATAACCCAGCTGACGAGAACGGCGAGGATGAGGAGGTCAAATGCCCCGGTGGAAAGCCCTCCGTCGTGCCGATCGACCACAGCAGCTCCTCTTCCTCCACCGCCACCCCCTCGGCCACCACAAGCTCGACCTCGACGTCGCCGGAACCCTCACCGTGGGCAACCGGCAAACCGGAAATCAATACAGTGGGCCGCTACAACACCGGCGAGACGACGGAAAACGAGCGCATGCAGAACGCCGCCATAGACTTCTGCAACAGCATCAAGCCCTCGGGTTCCAACCTCGTGCTAGGACCCAATTACTTCTCGGGAACAAAGCCTTACGACTTCCCCTGGAACGGCGGTATCGGTACTGTCGAGATTGTCATCTCGCTCCTGATCGAAGACAAGTGTCAATGGTCGTGGAATATGGCCGAGTGCCAGCACTATTTGTCGGTGCCGACCGACTCATGTAATTGTGGCGGTATCAACGGCAAACAGGGCGGCATCGTGTCTAACAATTGCTACTCGTGGCGGGTTGATCCGAATCGCAAACTGTTCTAGTTTTATCAGATTTGCAACGGAAATATAGAATTGTACACGGTCTATTTTGCCTTCCCTCACTACGCACTCTTGATATTTTGAAAACAATCCCTTTATAATGGAGTAAATATGGTTCAGGAGAAACATAGTATGGCAGAACCTTGGCCCCATTGAGCGTCCCAACGTGTATGATATCGAAACTGGCGGAGGTTTAGGATTGGTAGCATCTGAGCAACCAACCTTGACAAATGGGGCGTATTTCTCATACCTACATAATTATCAACGGCTCCGATAGATCGAGCATTGGCGCTCCAACCAACGCTTATAGCGGAGATGGGTCGGGGGTAGGGAGGTAAGGCCGAAGGAACGCAGGAATTACAGGATTAACTAGGGCCCAGGAAACAGTAGTAAAGTTACGTCAATGAGAACGGCAAGGCGGTGATGGATGTTCACAGGGCAGGACTGAGTTTTCAGGGTTAGGGTGCTCGATGGACGGAAGGCCCTTGCCCGGAAGTCGGCAAGGACGGCCTGGCTCCCTGGGCAAGCCCTTCCCGAGAGGATTCCTGCATCTTCCACAGAGCATATAAATAGCGACGCCCTGCCTCGTATCGTACATCCTGCTCTCCGCAATCTTTGGAGGTTTGCCACCGCGAAACGCCCTTCACGTAGTATTTTCACAAGTCTCAGCGAGCGGCAACGCACGTGTTCCCCAGCTGAAGAGCTGGTAACTCACGAGAAGCAAAACAACGAAACAAGCGAGGGAGGGGAAAACTGCCCGCGGCGGGGTTGCTTGGCGGAGGGGCAGTCGTTTCTTCCAGCGGTGCAGGGCCTAGACCATCCCTTGAAAATTTCGCTGGAGGCTTGCCGAGCTTGCCAATCGTGTGCCACCGAGGGTCGATCGGGCTTTCTGGCGCGCATCGTGGGCGGGCTCGATTGGGGAAAGACTCGGTTTGCGGACCCACTGTTGGGGACGGAAAGAACGGTGCTGCAACGGTAACAGCTGAACGTCGCCCCCCACCGGGCTGTGCTCGGCATACTTTAATTTTTTTCTTGCTCTGTTTTTCTGCTTTTGACAGGTCCTGGCGAACTCAATGTCCAATCACTGCCTCCGGAGCTGGTTAGTGCAGCTTGCGTCTGCACGCCGTTGCTCGACGGGGGCACCGGACAAGCCTGCTTCCGGTTTGCTAGTGGACTGTGAATGTTTCTGAACGTCCCTTGCCGCAGTACATTTGAGGACTTCGTGGGGCGCCGTGCTTCCCAGGGAGAAGCCGAGGCACGTATTCGACAGTCCAATTGAGGCCGAATCGCGGGGATGGGAAGTCGCAAGGACAACAAAATTCCAGTCCAAGAACAGGTATCAGTTTCTTGAGATCGGGGGGATCGAAGATAATGGGAACTCGTTGCCCAGCGTGTGGGCGGGGAAGGAGGGAAGGCGATGCTGCTGACCATTGTTCTGATTTGCTTGGGCGGGTAGCGCTTGCTGCGTCACAGGCTGGGATCACACCACTTGGCAGGAGCTCTCCACCTTATCACGTCAGGGGAGACAGGGCATCTGCATCGGGCGCATCGGCTACCTTGAACCAAGCTCAGCAAAAAGAGAGCTGCGTCCGAACTTTGATCGTTCTGATCGAGCTCTTGTTTTCTCTCATCTCTCTCTGGTTTTTGACCCACGCACCATCTGATTATTTAGCATTATGCAAACACCTCCCTCTCCAAACCAAGACGGCATTGTTCTTGACGCGCAGGTAAGTGTTACTTTGGAAGTCTCTGCTGTCCCGAGGCAACCCGAGATCGAGCGGAGATGCTGAGGTCGTGGCGTTTGCAAAAGACACGAGAACATCAAACACCGGCAATCGTCCTAACTTTTCGTCTCAACATAGGTCTCGATGCGTCGCGACTACCCCCAGGATGACTTCGACTACACGGCGCCTGTCGACCACCAGCTACCCACTGGTCATGGCCTGTGGCAGGTGCCCGGCGGTCTGCCCCTGACCGCTTGCTTCGATGCACAAACCCCACAACCAGCCTTCGAACTCTCATTGAACGGCTCAGTTTTGCCAGTATACGGTACTGCTATTTCGCACCCCAGCTGGGACCCCTCAATAGGCGGTGGCTCGCCGGGTTTCGGTCCATATCCTTCAGCGGTCTGGCCATTGACCCCGGCCGACACGATGAACCACAACCCATGGAGCCCGACGGACCAGCCGCTACCATCACCGCTCTCCGAGGCCCCATCCTTTGTCTCCTCGCACAGCCCAATGGGAGAGGATTATTTTAACGCCAGCCCCCGAGGCTCCATTTCTATCCTTCGCAGCGGAACCAACTCGCCAGCCACGACGCCCGCGGCTACATATCCAACGACGGCAAGCTCCAGCACGAAGGATAAAGCCAGCAATGCCAACATGAAGAAAAAGTCTCACTTACCCCCCAAACGCTCCGCCGAATCATGCACCGCTTCTCTTCCCACCCGACCTCGCACGCTCAAGCGTCACCGTTCCGATACCCCTTCAATCGCTTCGATCTCCACCGACCGCATGACTGGTAGCATGTGTGCGACCATCGCTACCCCTCTTACACCCACCGCCACCATTGGTGCACCGACGCACATTCCCTTCAGCGGCGTCCTCCCATCCAACGTTGACCCCCGTGTGGCCTCGGAACAGATACGGCGTGAGGCGTGGGACCGATGCAAGGCGGAAGCCCACGAGATGTCGCAGCGCCGCATGATGCTGTTGGACCACGAGCGCGGTGCCTTGGACCGTGAGGCCCAGCTGCTACAAGTCAACTTGGGGAAGATGAGGGAGACGGTGAAGAGGGGGCTGGAGGCCGATCGAGCGGAAGCCGAGGCAGAGGTTGATGAAGAAGCAAAGGGGAAAACGGAGACAGGGAAGAGTGAGTTGGGCTGAGCACATAGATCTTTCTGAGCGGGTTGTTTCCATTTAACATTGGTATCCTCGTTTCATTTAACACTGGACTGGGATTGGGAGGGAATCTCGTTCGAAGGGCATTCAATGGGCATAATTTTGGAGATGATTAATGACTGGATATAATTGTACTGGATTTGGCGTATGGGCGCGGTTGGGACGGGTTTAAGGCAGATTTCTGGCGTTCGGTCTTCCATCTACGGACTACATGTAAATATGACATACATGTTCGTCTGAATTCGGGTCAAATTAAATTGCCACAGCGATTTCGCGGTCCTGTTTTCCCTTGCCTCTTCTATTGCGGTCTAAGTAGAGAAACACACGATTTTGGGTGTTTTATTCGACAACCTCATCAACATTTCTAATTAGGACATTCTCTTCCGCTCGTCTAATATGGATATCGATACTATTTACTCGACGCCACTTAACTCCCCGATTCTCGGGCTCTTTCGGCTTCTCTTGGCGGGGCACCCCCGCGTACGTCCCCGATCTAAGGCGGACTCCGAAAGTGTTGAGATCGGAGGAGCTTGCCTGTTTCCGAATTCCGACTTCTTGGAGCCAGGGGGGCGCTGCTGGGTTGCATCCGCGTACCACGTGGACGGTGCTTGCGCGAAAGTCCGAAGGCATCCCGGCGGGTACGGACCTGTTTTCGCTGTCGTCCGCGCGACCTTCGTTGATATTTTTGGTCGCCTCATTGACTCCCATGCCTCGACAATCGGTGTCCTCTGCCATTGCGCTCCTCAATTTGGGAATCATAGCTGGCCATGTCGTGCTTTGTCCAAGGCGGTGGCCATGTCATCATGGGTAGCCCTCCCTCGCTCGGGTGGCTTGCATTCCCAGGCTTCCCAGCTCAGCGGAACCGAGCGGTTGAACGCCGCCGCTGGGTGGTCCTGTTGGTGCCAAGAAACGCCCGCCACCGCCGTGCTGTCACCAATCATTTTCCCCGGCGAAAGTCCCAGAAAATGTGGGGTGTGGGAGAGAAAGCATGAGAGATCGCGGAAACAAACTTTTTATCTGAGCGGAGCGTTTCGCCCGGCCGATTCGGTTCCGGTAACTTGGACCGGGGCGCGAAAATGGCTTGAATGGGCAACGCTGAAAAAAGCAGCCAACCTCGGCGACCCCGCATGATGTTTTTGGTCGTTTGACCACGTGGGTGAAGGTGGCGGTTCCCGGGGGTTTCAAGCTGTTTTATTTTGTCCATTCTGAGCCTCTCGTTTGTCTCGTAACACCTGCATGTCTTCCATCTGGTGACCGAACCGTCCTTGTGTCAGCTCGGGGTTGACGCACGCACGCAATCCGTACCGGGTGAGAACGTTTCTTCGGAGGGGATCCCATCCTAGTTAGTTAATACACGTAGTCCATGCAGGACGGGACAGGACCTGGTGTTGAGGACCTGAGCTCGCAGATAAGGACCGCATAACACGCCCAATGTGGTAATGGCTCTGTCTGTTTCGCCTCCGTTATCAACTCGCCATCGCGTGTGGAACCTGTTCCTGGAGGACCTTCGAATGCCAATGGCACGCGAGATCCTGGACTTTGAAACTTCCTCTCGCAATCGGAGAGTCCTCGGTTGCAGGTGTAGAACGGATTACCGTGTTTGGTATTGCATCGGTCATACGTGTTCCCCCGTCTGTCAAGGGCTGCAGCTCGGCCATCTCCATTTGTGATCTTGAAAGTAACCGTGTTTGTCTAAGGAAGATTTCTTTTGTAACGCCACGATTGACGAGAGACTCAATCGAGGCGTGGTGTCGGGGCTGACCCCGGCGTTGGTTAATTGGTTGATGGTTGGCACCAGCCTCGAAAGGGAGACCTTGGAAGATATTCTGGGATTGCTTTCGTTGGACTAGTCTTATTTCAGGAGATGGGTAACTACGTATGTTTAGGTACGTCTTGGTTTAGTTAATATGTGGCTTTGAGTCAGGAAACCGACCGTTCCAAGCACATTTCCCGCACAACGCCTAGCTAAAGCTGTCGCCGCTTGATTGTGTCCTGAACTTCACGCTTGAGCAACCGAGTCTCGAAATGTCCTCGTGTAGTTGATTTGAATTGAGTAGCATGTCCCCGGGGGCCAGGTATGATCTGTCGGTCGGGCGGTGTTCTCAAAATAGGTAGTTTCAACGTCGTGGGTTCGCCTTGGACTCATCAAGGTAGGATTCTCTAGCTGTGGTTGATCCGCAAGAATTATCAGCATCACCCCGTCAGACTCTACTAAATGTTACGGGCCTCTAAATCACGTACCTCTTTGCTCCCAGGGGTGCTTCGAGTTAAGGGCAGAGAGCCCTCCGACGACGTGTTGATGGGCTTCGTATGCACCGGGGGGGGACAATACACTTTTATGGCAAGGCTCTTGGGGTAGAGTAGTCGAACGCCTGCTTCCAAAGGCCAGACGCGAAATATATTGAAGGGTGGTTACCCTACTTGAAGACCGGCTAGGTGCGGAGGGGTCACTCGAGGTTTAGGACTGGGACTGTTTTGGGTCGACAACATTAAGGCTCGGCATGAAACACATCGCGATCGAGGGGGGCAGGACAATCAAGGCGGATGCACAACACACATAATCAATTATATGGGAAATTTCAAAATCAGGGGAGAGTTTTGTTGAATGTTAGCCTTCCGCATTGCTCTTGGAACCCACAGCAAGGGTCGCCAGTTCCAAGCCGGTCATGGTGGCTATTGTTTACTTTCCGCGCGGCTGTTGGGAAGAACAGATGGTGTTACCATTCTCCTAGTCACCGACGCGGTTTGGGTATCGCCAAATCCACTTGAATTTGAACGAGCCCAATATGATATGATTTTTGAAAAAATGTCACCAGGCATCCCGCAACAACCCTGGCAAAAGCTATCCAAGTATGAGGCCAGGTTGCGCGATTGTTGCGGTAGCTAGGAAGGATTATCTTCGCCCGGGTATTTTTGAGATAGTTGTGGGACTACCAACTACTCAATGCTTGTTGGAGCGGTAAAGTGAAAACCTGTCCGACAGAGAGGAAGTCGATGGGGACCAAGACCCAATTGGGGACCACATAACGTCCGCCATAGAGGGTACTTGATTGCCGATCAAGGCCAGTACTGAGGGAAGGAGAGAAAAAGAAAGAGAAAATTGGGGAAGAAATGTCCCGGGCACCTCGGCCGAATACTATGGGTAGACGGCGGAACAGGATTCCAGTTTTAATATTCCCAATGCATCAGACCCGATCCCCTATAGATGGGAGAAGATTGGGTGGTCTGATTGGGAGGTCACTATCCAGCATTGAAGGCAGAACACTGAAATATCAGGGCTGCCTTTGTTTGCTGGGCCAACTGGTTCTGCCACTTGGAAGACCCAGTCGGCTGTGTGTGGAAAGGAAGAAGAAAGTGGGAGGAAGAGGGAGGTGAGAGGGTGAATTTATAGTCCTCTCAGGGCGGCCTGTGCACGTGTGCAATTTTCAAATCAGTATCTTCTTGGGCTGGCATTTGCAGGTGCTGAATTACGACTAAGCGACGGGGATCATGGTGGTGATCGTGTTGTGGACGAGGGGGTGTGTGAGCAAAGGCGTGTTTTGCGGGCTGATTTGGGAACGGACCCGCCTAGGGCGGAACTTCTCGCGGGTTTGCCAGGCTTTCAACAAACAAGAAGAATTGTGACCGAGTTGTGAAGAGGGATTCAAAGGGGATGTTGATTCGAGACTGACATGTGTTCACATATAGACGGCGATTGTTGGCAATAAAGGGGCCAAGTATGCCCAACATTTATCCTGCGAACTATGGACGAGTCTTGACCAGCTAATTATAAAGAATCACGATAGATTTATTGCTAGTCAACTAGTCTGGTCGAGCTGAAGAGTATCCGACGAAGAGAGGAACAGAGACACTAGCCATATATTATGATCAATCTTTGGCTCATGGGAAATCCGTAACTCCTTATGGACCACTCCCGTGGCTTGATGTAGTGCTAGGTAGGTAGGCGGGAACTACTTGGGAATGGGCCTCATTATGTTTGAACCTTTAGCCACCAAGTAAAGGAAGTGAAAGGGATCATTTTCCCCAGCTTTAGCAAGAATTTGGGACCTGGTTCATGTCTGCAGATAACCGAAGAGAACCTGGAAGAAGACAAGGAAAGCAGGTTAGCCTTGCCCAAAGGACCACAAGGCGCAACACATGTTCAAAGGTTTCTCGAACAACGGGGCACGCCACAAAGGAGGTGTAAATTCAGACTTGCCATGTTGATCGGCCGAAGCCTTGAGGAGTATGTGCAACGAAGAGCTCTCTAGCAGCTGATTAACTGGCCTACTGGTCAACCGGAGAATGTAATGGGGACTAGAAGAACCACGTAACGACAAGATTATATAGGTGGGTATATTTGAGTCATTTAGGCGCTTAACGCGGTTAGAAACCCTAAAATGAAGCATAGAGAGGGAGAGAACTCTTGTGATATCAGCAGTATATCGACCATAGTCTTGATACGAACCACCAATCCTGTGTCATCGTTGTCCTTGGGCAGTAATGAACACATTCCCCAATGAATTAAGTACTCTTTTTTCATTACTTCATTACCTTTGCAGAGGGGCAACTGTTGTCGACATGACTTTTCCAGATCCGAACCGTCTTAGATACCAACCTTTCAATCAATAACCATATATCCCAACTCCTTAATCCCAGATCGAAGGACGGAGCAAACGCAAATTCAGACCCCAGAATGCGCCCACAACCGTGAATCCATATTCCTTTTAAAGTATCCCATTCTAAAATCCCAGATGACAACGCCGTTATTGGCGCTATAGACCGTGTCCATCCCAGATGTGTGTGCAATAATTAAGTTGTAGGCCTAATGGTAAACGCCATCGAGATCAACCAGAACTTTGCGAGCTTTTCTTTGATGCTGACCCGGCGCCGGTGTAGTAGTGCCGTCCTTGAGCATACCAGAAGCCAAGAGAGAAGAGAGTGACGAACACGAACACGACGCTAGCGTAGTTCATCTGTAATCCCGATGTCAGCGATATCCAGTGCTGAGCCAACAGCTCCCAATAAAGAGAAAGGAACTCCAAAATAAAGACTCACATTTTCGTTTGTCACAGGCAGCTTTGTCGGGAGGAAGAAGATCACCGAGACAAAGACGTTCCATCCAACGGCCACAATATTCATGGGCAAACTCCACCGGCCGAGATGCCACGGGCCCCTCTCAAACCGTCCATACATCAACTTGCACACAATCGGCAGCACATACGACAGGTTCAGCGCAACGGTGCAGATATTAAACACCGCCGCCACAGCCGCCTCTTCCCCGATTAGACCCAAAAAATTAACCGCCACAGATAGCGCAACGAACAACCACACAGCCGCTACGGGCGTGCCGGAGCGCGTGTCCAACCGCCTCCAAACACCCGACCACGGAAGCAGGTCATCGCGCCCATACGCAAAGATGGTCCGGCTCCCGCCCTGGATGCCGGGGATTGAGCACAGGTTCATGACGCCAAAGCCGGCCAGGGTGAAGAAGACGGCCGGGGCGCGGCCGAGGGTGTTGGCGAAGAGCTGGGCGACGGGTTGGCCGGTGGGGGACTGGAGAAGGGCGGATGGGGTGCTGCCTGTTGCGGCGGTCATGCAGACAACGAGGACGAGGTTGAAGAGGAGGCCGACGAAGTACGTGAAGGTGGTTGCGGTGGCGATGGCGTTGGGGACGACGAGGGCCGGGTTGATTGCTTCTTCGGCGAGACTGGTATGGATGCGTTAGTAGGAGAGGTAAGTTGTATGTTTTATGTGTTTGTGGTACGTTTCTAGGGGTCAGGGTGATTGCTGATAACTCACCGAGCAGTACTGTCCGCATTGGTCATGATCCACGCCGGCGTCAAGCACCCGAACAAGAAGGCAAACCCGGGCGGCGACCAGCCCGAGAGTGCCGGCTCGAATTCCGTGAATGCGTACGCGACGCTATTCTTCCCTTCCGTCTTGACAAGCAAGCACACGCAGGCCCCGACGAGCACGCTCATGTGGAACACCACATACCCGCTCGTCAGCCGAGTCAGCCAGCGCGTGGGTAGGCTGTTGATGGCGCCGTGGACGACGGAGAGACAGACCATAACGCCGAAAATATGGCCGGGTGTCGGCACGTAGCGGAAGTCGGTCGCGATGGAGATGGCGGCCAGGAGCATCTGGCTCGAGGCGTATTCCCCGCTAGCCGTGCCGGCGATGATGCCAGCGAGACTGACGTAGCCTGTAACATCATGTAAGTTAGGTTGTCCGTCCCTAGTAATATGGAATATTACGAGACAAAGAAAAGAGGACTAACCCGACATCCAGCACAGAAACGGAGCTTGCCCTTCGGGCGCGACATACCGGAGCACCGAATACATCGCGCCCGCGCTCGGATACGCTGACGACAACTCGGCAAGACTCATAGCCATGGCCCAGGCACCCGCACCCCCAACGATCCAACTCCACATGACGGCCGCGGGACCACCAGCTTGGAGGCCGTACACCCAGGCTGACATGAGCGAGCTGTAGATGCCCGAGATACTCATGGCAAAGCTGAAGCTAGACCAGGCAGAGAATTCACGCTTGAAGACCTAGGTGACGGTGTCAATACTATCATACTTGCGGAAGCAGAGTATCGGGCGTCACGGCTTGGGTTGGAGGTCAACCTACTGGCTTGTACCCCATGGCTTCGAGCTTGCGGTCAGCATCACTCAACGCCGGCACATTCTCGCTGGGGGGCAGTGTTGGGGTTGTGTCGCCGCTGGATATCACATCCACCGGAGTGACCTGAACAGCGGCCTGCTTCTTTTCGGTGTCGGTTGAAAACATCGTTACGGCTCGTTCCTGTGCCTGAGAATCTGATGGAACTCAAACAAGACGTTCGACCATGCTCATCTGCCCTTCTTCACCATATTCGATTCTGCGGACGGTGGCATTTTGTATCCGAAACGTATTCAAGGTTCCCTCGCTCGCCATCTTGCAACTTCACCGCTTCCTAACAGAATTTTGCTCCTGTGAGGTAATCACAAATTCGAAGACCGCATTAGCAACGAGCCGCGCCTGCCGGTCACTGACCGGCTTCTCGGGGATGGCATCCTACGATCCGGCGTGCAGTCTGGACCTGCCGGCATTTGCGCCATGAAGCGAGTGTTGGGATGCACCGGAGCACGGAGAAGCATGGAAGATCGGTCTAGTTCGATCTGTTTGTTGCGCCAAAGTCGGTCCGTCTACGTTCTGGTGTCGGTACCCGAGATGCATTGCTTCTCGATGAATGTGATGTGTCAGGCTCTGGGGGGCGGGGGAAAGGGGAAAATCGGGCCCGTCCAGTGTTCGATGTGTTCCAGGTTCCAGATGTGCAAGGTGCGTTTCCCGTCGGACTCGCCATGAAGCGGATTTAGCGAAAGCGCGTGCCGCATCGTGACCCCAGCGGATGGTCAAGAGGGGAAGAGAAACATCCGTTATCGGACATCAGGGGGGTTGCCAGCAACACGATGTTCCTCCAGCCAAGCGCTATTCTAGGCACCTTGATATTTAGTAGGAACTCGGTGTCTTCCTCCGCGGGGCCAAGCCACGTGCGGAGAAAGAGAACATCTCCTGGAAGCCAAGGGACTGCATCTCGTTGGCAATATGAAACATTCCCAATCAGGGGTATCCGTTCGCAAGGTGGATGGGAGCGAGCAGGGAGGGGACCTTTTTTTTCGGGGGCTAGCGAGTGGAGGTTGTCGGATGACAGCTGACTTCTCGGCACGACAAGATCTGGAACATGGGTCAGGCACCAGATGAAGACATTGGACGGAGGTATTGGGTTAAGTTTAGTTACTTTGCGCGACATCGTGAACAGCCTGGGTCACCGTGCAGGATGACTCGCCAGAACAACTTCGGCTTTAGCCGGCTCCAGGAGGGATACGACCTGGATGGATGGCAACCCGCGAAGTACCTAAGGTAGCACCAAGACAAGTACTGAGGTACACACCTATCCCATCGTGCAAAAAGTTAGATTTTAGAAGAAGAGTGGAGAGAAAGGCTCGAGGTCATATTGCATTCTGAAATCTATTGGGTGTAAAAGGGAGCAAGAAGCCCGAGTTGCCGAGCGAAATCACCGGCCTCCCATCGCAGTGTGCCATTGCCAAAATCTTGGTGTGAAGTTGAAAAACCCATCCAATATTCCAACCGCCCGTCTATGTTTGACCCGTTCCCGCGGAAGATCTCCCGGGGCCGACACACCTTGCAGCTTGTCCAGGACCCCGAAACTCCCAGCAAATCAGTGGCCTTCAACCCAGCGGCAGTGCCCCCTGCCTCTGCCGATCGACACCGGCCCAGACCGTACAGCGGGTCCAGACGCGACCTCAAGCCCAGCACGGTCAGCTTCTCCAACACCCACCCGACATCCCCTCATCTTGTCCATCAAACTTAATTTTTTCCCACCGACTGAGGTCGCCGTTGTCGGGAGACCCACGATCGGAACGCTCACCCGGGGAGACGGGGAAAGGACTGAGGAAAAAGAAGAAGAAAAAGAGTGGTGTCCTCGTGACGGGGTCTTCCCCCTCCTTCGTCGTGTTACCCCCCGAATTGGCCAGACCGAGGTCCAAACTCGCGAGTCCCCAAATCTCACCGCCATGGTGCGTTCTAGATTATCGTGAGTGTCGCCGTCGCCGTCGCTTTCCCAAACTAGGCCATCCCGCCCGTTTGAAGTCAGCCCGCCCTTTTTTCTCCCTTTTTTCTCCCTTCTTTCTGTTGAAGGGACCTGCACTACTGCAGCCGGCATCGGGCCGTGGCCATGCTTGAGTCTTGAGACGAAAAATGGAATCAGAGCGGTACCTCCGAGGTTGCTTCAGTTGGTTGCTGACCCGGTCGATGGAAGGTCCCGTTAAGAGATAACACCGTCGCATGCAGCTGAATCCTCGGCCTGTGTTGAGGCCCAAATCGAGCCTGCCGTAACCATGGTCCCCAGAAGGAAAGCCCGACCCAGGTGTCGCCCCGGGGTTCCCCGTTTGGGACCGGTGGCGTATCCGCCGTTGTGTTTCGCGTGCTGTTGAACAAACTTGTGGGAGCTGAGACCAGAGAGGAAATGCATAGGACTCTGCTGGCCCGCTTCTTGACGCTAAATGCCGACTTGGCAACCCTCCAGGGCCGCTGGATCCAAAACCACGATGCAGATCCATGGTGTTGAAGCTGAAATCGCATTATCAATCACAATCGATTTTCATGGGCGGTATGCAGATTTGCAACTGGTTGATTCCCGTGGTTCTGTTATTCCCTTCGCGCCATCCGCGGACTAACTTTAATTATTTAATCATAAATTCATTGAAACAAAAGGCCGATCCATCCCAGTCTTCCTATAAAACCGCGTCCAATCCTCTCCTGGGCTCCCCTCACCTGCCCGGTCTCTTGAATTACTTCTTCGGGTTTGTCTTCCATTCTCCGGCATCTTTGACTCCCTGCGCGACGGAGGCCACGCCACCCTCGATGCCCGTGCCAATGTTGGCTACGCCGTCGCCGAGCGGCTTGCCCAAACCGCCGGTCGCGCCGTTGACTGTCTCACCGACACCGCGCGAAGCAGCGCCCAACACGCCGCCCACGGTGTTGGCCAGCCCGCCGACAGTGTTGCCAAGGGTAGATGTGACGGTCTTGCCCGCGCCGGTGAGGCCGCTGTTGGTGTTCTTGTCGTTGTTCATGTTGAGGGAAGTTTGATGGGTTGTCTTTTTCGGAATTTGGTTGTGAAATACGTGGAGATGAACTGGTGTTTGCTTTGATGGGATGGTTTTATTGTGAAGATGAACTCCCTCTAGGGTCTGAAGCCGCCTGGGCTGTTCTTATATGCTGTCGATGTTTTCCCTTCCGGTCAAGCTCCCCCGTTGAGATCCTTGACGGAAGCTTTCAGCTGCTTCCCCACTACGTCATCATCCCACATTTTGCCCCCCGTTTACGAGCCCACCCCTGGGAGAATGGCTTCTGACTCGTCCAATTCGAACGTTGTGTGACTCCATTTGAGTCTCATATCGGGGATTTTAGCGTAACGGGCGAGCCTTGCATAATGAAGATGACGTCGAGCTTCAGGCCATGACGACGCAGGCTCGCCAGGGAGCCAAGCCATGGGTGCATGGCAGCGCGAGTCGGAGGGGACAAGGCTGTTTAACTTAATGATTATTGTTTCTGACGCCGTCAGATCTCCCGCATCTCACCTTTCTCCAATCATCGGCACATGGCCTAGTACGCAATAATATGGGATGGTATTCTGCAAATGCGTTGGCTAAACTAGAGATGGCAGAAATTGCTCTGCCTTCGGCTTGCCCAATAATACCCATTCCATGACTGCTCCAAGCGCCCAAGTCTATCCCAGTCCCTCCAGATCTATCCCAGTTCTGGCGTGGCCGATGTGAGAAGTCCCGAGGTTGGTAGCCCTTGTATGTCTCTCTTCCCGCCAGACAAACATAAAAAAGATGCCAGCAATGTCACCCCAAAGAAAATGACCTTCTCTCTTCCCACCTACTGCTCTTCAAGCAACCCTTCTTTCTTGATCTTATAGCGCATGGACTCGAGCGCATTGCGGGTACGGCCGTGGAACATGGGAATCTCGTCCTGGACGTCAAGAAGATCAGCACACTAACTCCTTTTTTTTCCTCTTTCCCTTTTTCTTCCTTGTGATTTATCACAAAGGAGTTATGAAAGCAGGGGTTAATATCTTACAATCATTTTTTGATAACTCCATCCTAGGTCATGCAGGTAAACAAGCATCTGCTTCATTTCATCGGTCCATCCTCCACGACTTGTGGCCGCGGGGTTATTGTTGTTGTTGTTGTTGTTGTTGTTAGCAGCGGCGGGCGGTCCGCTGACAACAACCTGTCCAGTGGCGTTAGGCTGTCCACCGACGCCAGCCGGTCCACCGACGCCAGGCGCACCGGCCGCCGCGAAGGGTGAGCCACCCGGGGCGAAGGGCGAGGCAGCGGGGGCATCCACAGCTGGTCCCTGCGCGGGCTGGAACTTGTCGGCAAATTGTTGCTCCTGCTGCTGCTGGCCAAGCAGGGTTGGGTCGATGAGATGGTCACCCCAGCAAGCCTGGTAACCGCCGCCAAGGGCGGTGTGCGACTGCGTCGCGTTTGGCATTTCCGCCGTGTTAATAGACGGCGTTTGGCCGCCATCCTGCCCTTGGCGCTCGTCGGCTTGTCCAAGTGCGATGGACAAGACCGAGCGGTCGGTGCCAGGGTTCTGCCCTGGGTAGTAGAACTGGACGCAAGGAAGACTTCCTTGCTGGTTGGCGCCCATTTTCTGGGTCATCTCCTCACGGACGGCGTCCACGCGGTTGAAGAAGATTTTGGTCTTGATTACCTGGTCGTCTTTCTTGGTCCATTTGTTGGTGAAGGGCCAGTCGTAATTGTTCATGTGGCCGCCAAGGCGGCCGTTGTGAGCGTGCTCGGAAAACTCCTCAAAGGAGACAAAGGTAAGCCCATCGATCGCTGGCCGGGGGACACAGGCCTGTTGAGGCTGTGCTTGGTCAGTGAACCTCCTCTTATGAATACAGCCGAGTCCACCAGTGTCCTTAATGAGGATGCGGAATGTGTAACGAAAGGCGGAATGATGCTCCCGACACGCATATAGATCCCCGGACTTGAGCCTCTCGGCTTCCTTGTCGCAAGGTTTGATATATGACAGCAGGCGAGTTGACTCCTTGCAGCGGTCGCAAACTTCGAAGAGGTAGAGGCACATCTTGTCTGGTGCTGGCCTGGTGATTGACACGAGCGTCTGGTGGTTGAATGGTGAGGTGAACGGAGCAGTCCTCGCTGGGGGGGGTCGGTCGGATGGTGAATATGCACCGGGAATCCCGGTGGTTTTGGGTGAGCGCGCTGGGGTCGTGAATATCGCGGCGCGGTTTGGAGATTTGGAGGTTCGGAGATTGGGAAAAGAAAATGAGGAAAGATTCAGGGGTTGGTCTTCGTCAAGTACCTGGTCGTGAGATACCGCGATATTGGGAGGTCACTCCCAACGCAAGTTGAAGGAGACGGCGGCGGGATATCTCGGCTAGATGTCGGCGAGATGAATTTGAGAAGAAGGTCGTGGGAGGAAGAGGGGAAAAAGTTAGAAGTGAGGAGAGACAATCAAATTTTATAGGCATTGGTGGCCTGCACGCGGGTCCGGCGATTCATCGAGGCCGGACAACAGACCAGAATTCCTGGCGTCGTGAGTTATTCCTGGTTAACTGAGGCCATGACACAATGCAATTTAGATTGTCTCCATTTAAGTGAGAACTGCAACATTGATAAACGAACCTGAGTTTCCAATCAATCATCTTCCCTCCACCTTGTAATTATGTACTGAACGGTGTTTCTATGCTAATCGAGGTTGACTTGGCGGTTGATCTTGTCCCTCGCTGAATTCCACCATCTTCACTTGGCTTTTTTCTACCTGTGAATCTCTCTGTGACCTGTTTGTGACAAGATAAATTTTTACCATTCCGGAGGCAGCTAAAACAATAAACCCTGCGTGGACGATGCTATTGTTGACTTTGGTCAGTGTCCCATTCTTCTCCACAACATCATACGACTTGAAGATTCCTAACACATCAGGAAAAGCTTACCAGTAGGCAATCATAAAATACATGGCATTCTTCATGTCCATTGCCCAGTGCTTCCGTCGCTCCCCAACACCTCTGTCCACCATACCCAGGACCAAGAAGGCGAAAATACCAGCACCAATAAGGGCGATGTCGAAGAAAGTGGCGACGGCGTTGATAGCACGCTTGCGAATGAAGAATAGTATCGATACTATCTCGTACGTATCTGCCAACACTCCAAACACAATCTATTTAATCAAACAGATCCGCTGTTAGTCGTCAAGATTCAACAGAAAAGGGTTCAAGCACAACCATCACATACCGGGAAGAAAGACGGGACCAGCACGTCTACTCTTGCTGTCGGCTCGTCTTGCCAGTAGCTATATAGCCACGAAACAACCGCCAACGCGCCCAGTTCGAGCAAAACGGATAGAGAGCGCCCGATGAGTTGTACCCAGTTGAAGCCGGCGCCCAAATGTTCGACACCTCGAACCCGGGGAACACATTGCCTGCCTTCAAGATCGATGCTTGCTCCTATCTTGACCGTTGCTACGAACGCGCTCTGCGCGTAGCTGCTAGATGCCTCGATCATGAGAAGAAGAAACCGTTTGAACGAGGGCGGCGACTCTTTTGCCTCCAATCATCCGTGGTTCGTGAATACAGGGATAGGAACTGTAGTGCCGGGTGTTGTTGAATTAAGGTAATTAATTATTAATTGAATCTTGATCTTGTCGAGTTTCGATAGCCAGAGGGAAAATTGTAAAGTTTGGGTTCCAAACCAAGGATTAACCAACGGGACTTCCACCGCCCACGAGGCCCCGAGGTTTTGAAGAAGTTGGGACACATATGAACAAGGTGCTGGGACGCAGGACGCTAATTATTAATTAGAGGCAATTTACAGGAAGAGGCTTGGCACAAAGAACAGTCAACCAACAGGATGCGGACTACATATGGCGCAGCGTGACTCGCAGGAGGAAGAATTCTGACGGGCCCAGCATTTCTTTAATTATTTGCTGCCCTTGTGCCTGCTGGGTGTGAAACTCGACTCAGCCGCATCCTCATGGGCGGTGTCTCGCATTACATGCGGTTGTCGCTTCTTCCTTCGACGAAAACAGAAACATTATTAAAGCAAAGTTTGCACCGCCAATTCAGCTTTGGAATAGCGTTCTCCTCGAAAATGAACATCGCTCACAGTTAAAGCATTAACGTTGGTGGGCTTGATGGTTTTGATGTGTGCCGTACATAAAAATGCCGAGCCCCTGAGGGATGCGCATTTGCATCCAAGGCCATGAATTTACATCACAACCAGAATTAGGATCAACTCGGCGTTCAGATCATAAACAGCAGCCCACAATTCGTCTTCTGCTGATGAAGATGGAAGGATATCCATGGTTGATGTGACGGTGTTTAGAACTTTAGATCAGGTAATATTACTTAATACCTACCCAATCAATACTCCATCAAGCCCACCACGAATACCACATCTCGTCTAATTATTGCCCCGAACCAAGCCTTAAAATGATGGTGTAGAGACGCAGGGTAATACAATGCTACTGAAGTAAACAAGGGGAGGCGGCGATGAAGGAAAGCCAAAGGACAAAAGTCCAAACACAAAAGCCCTAACGTTATGGCAGGCTAGACAAGTCAATTAGCTGTTCTCCTCCTAGAAAACTACACTGAACAGCCAGAGTGATCAGCTCGCGAGTCCTATCATGTGCAGCGATTGTTAAAATGCTCTCGTCCCGTATTGCACCGCGGGCATAGTGGTAGAAAGGCAAAGGTGACGCGCAGAGCGCGCTCCATGTTGTCTTCCCCTAAATCAAAGCCCGACCGACCGATCATCCGCACCGCAAACATCAAAATAATAACCGAACCATCACAGCACTGACCAAAATCCTGATTGTTTTCCGACTTTCAGGACTGGTTTTCAAATCACCGCGATTTGGCGCCGCCTTGCTTACACCGATAGTGAACCTCTCTGCGCCTCAAGAATCGTTATCCGTTCAGAAGGTTGTGCTACAATCAGCTTCTGAGGTAGCCCTTCCTCACTTCTCCCCCGAAGGCACATAATTGACTGGACTCCCCCTCTCCCATCAAACGATTGTCAAGCTGACCAAGTCTTCGACAGACACTCAAAATGGATGCGCCGTCTCCTTCAGCTACCATCTTCGCCCTTACCCAGTTCCACACCATCCTCGGCACCGTGCTCTTTATCACCAGTACCAACAGTTTCAACAATACTGATTTGGCTCTAGCCAACACTCTGGCCTACATCCACTTCTGGTGTGCCACTCTCGGGTTTCTCTGGTGGTACTACCACGCCGCTACCACCAACGATCAGAACGAAGAACAGCAGAAGAACCCGACCGGCTAGAAGCCTGTCTTTCATGTGCTCTGCCTCGGAATGGTACTTGCTCTGGTGGGAGAGACTATGATGGTTGGATTCCGAGCTTTTGATGCCGGAATAGGCACCGGCGCCGACCTTGCGATTACTGGGGCTGGCGCGAAAAAGAACGGTGGCGACAGCTGGGACTTTTGGGAGAACTGGGACTTTTGGGGCATCGATGAACCTGTTGTAGTTGCAGGTCAGTCATGGTTGGACTGGTTGGGGTACGGATGGGTGATGGAGTGGCTGACTGGCTTTGGTGCGTGGCCCCCCCCCCTTGTTTGGTTGACGGCATGCCCTGGAAGCTCTAAGGAGAGTCTCGCTAATGCGCACCATCCTCGGGAACAGTGTCAATAATCGCGGTCGGCGGCCCCTTGGGACTTCTGGCCACTGTTATCTGGCCCAACATGGCTTGGTACTTCCGCCGGATGGCGCGGGTCGTAAGCTGGGGGTTTCCTTATACCACTACCGCGGCCTGGTTCTCTGTTAGATGGCTTGCTTGGGGTTTCGGTATCGCCGTTGCGTGGTTCTTATGGGCTGTTGAGATTGCCTTCAGGCTGTGCTTCGATACCGCTTAACGACGCATCTAAGTGTATGTTCGGTAGGGTAAGGTGGTACTAATGGGAGGGAAACCCGAGAGAGGACAAGACCAGGTGGAGGTATTAGTACACTAAAGTCAGAAGAGGGATTCAAGCAGGCTTAGTACCTGTGTAGTACAGAAGAGAATGGGTGGGCGAATTGTAAACAAAGCGTGTCCAAACAAGGTTGACTCCAGGGTCAAACAACGGGACTAATGGAAATTCTTCTCGGAGATTAGTTTCTTTGGACCTGTGACAAATGAGGACTGGTTGAAGGGGTATGTCCACCACAGACTTGATATGATTGCGTCGTCAAGTTGTCCTTGGACTCGAGATACCAGAACCCTAACCCTAGCCCTTATTCGAGGAAACTAACCCCTGAATCGCAAGTGGTCAACTCCCATCAAGACAGAGAAGACAAACACCTGAGGTGAAGAGTAAGATTTTCAACTTCAGTCAAAGGATTTATAGTTCTTGTAATGATTTGGTTGATCGAGGGTTCACATTGTGATCAACCGCACGCTTCATTACCCCCGTGACTACTTTGTGTACATAATTAATCCTCCCAGTTCCGCAGGTTAACGTTCATACGAACGACATTCTCCCTCGTTGCCCACTGTTCCATAGTTTTAGCATTGAACTTTGCAAACTTGAGGCACAAAGCTGGTTCCAAAGTGGATTTATCCTAGGCTTCAAGTCACTTGCAGCAAGCGGATTCTCGACCCGGGCAGCAGCCCCGGCTGCGCAGGCGGGAGCCGCGATACGGCTGGTGCTTCACGATCGAGCGGCCAATGAGCCGCCACGATCCCAATGTTGCCCCTCGTTTTTGGAGGTTCCTCAAAGAAGTCACGGTTTCTTTCTCCGGAGCGACTTTCAAGAAGCCAAGGAAAAGAAACTCGAACCACCACCGAAGGATGATGCTAAAAACAGGAGGACATCGATATCTTGATGGTATCAACGCATCAAACTAAGTAAAGCCGACGAGGTATGTATGATTCAACTCTTTTACAGAAATGTTGTTAGTTCCAGGTCGAACTTTGACCCTAGGGGCCGACGGAATAAACGTCTTTTGGCATACTCGGTATTGTGCTGGATCGGAAAGCCCCCAGCGTCCTCAATTCAGAGGCCATGGGTATTCACGGTTTACTGACAAGTTTGAAGCCAGGACTCTGGGAAATAGTAATGGTGCATACTCGGCACCCGGGGCTAAAGACACTGCGACTGACGATCGAAAACGCGACGATTGAAGCTAGATACAAATGCAAGAGGATGGGCATAAGAATACCATTAAGAGAAGAGAATGGACGGATGAGGTCAGCAAAGAGGAGGAGACACGGGGCTACGGATGAACACAGTTAAGAGGAGGACAGGGACCGACGGATGAATACTGTTAAGAGAAGGATACGGGTAGACGGATGAACACAGCTAAGAGAAGGATTGCGGGCCGACGGATGCACACAGTTAAGAGGAGGACTACGGGTCGATGGATGAATACTGCTAAGAGGAGGAACCAAACAAGGAAAGTTGAACACGGTAACCGTGTTATCATACCACATACGACGGATCTACGACCGAGTGAAGAAATCGCCGTCCCAGAAGCGATCAAGGGATACACGAAGCTAGAAATACACCCGCCAGAAACAAGTCAAGGAAAAAGGCAGGGGGTAATATCCCGAATATTACCAAGCAACAGATGGAACAATTTAAAAGACCAAACGACCAAAGAAGTCCGCAAAGACGTCGGTAAAGGTAGGGCCAGAATCTATACAAGAGGAGGGATGTGCTACAATTGAGATCGCCGACATATGACCGGCCCTCGCCTGTCATGTGACGGCTGACTCTATGGAAAAGCGGTGTCTCGGTTCCCGCAAGACACATGAGAACGAAGACGGAAAAGACACAACACAAGCATACCAACTTTGAAAAGTTATCTACCCGCAAGAACCATCATCGAGAAAGGGCCAGAAGTTGGAAGACCTGGTTCGGAATGGGGACTATAAGATACTTGCAAATCATCCGTCAAATACCCCCCAAATGTAACAGGAGGATTCCACCCAGCTGGATACCTACACGAGGAACTCAACGGCCCTCTGACGAGAACTCTAGGATCGCCACCCAAAAAAACACTCAAGCAGCACTTTTTGGGAATCCGGAGCAAGAATTCAAAGACAAGCATTCTCGAAGAGCCTCGAGAGCCCCGAATCTCGGAAGCAAGGGACGCTGCGGAGAGCAACGGAAAGGGTCGGTGGCAGTAAACGCAGCGAGTTAAGACACAACCAGGCAAGAAGCGGTTAGGGAGAACCTGCAGGAGGATCAAATCGATAAGCCGCCACAACCATACGCCCAACCTGCGGGTGCTGCCTTTTCGGCATACAAGCAACGGGGCTGGACGTGATGAGATAATTTCTCAAGCTCGGTGCTAGCGTGGGCAAGTCGAAGGGGTTACAAAAGATTCATGAATATTACTCAAATCTAAGTTCGGGACAACGACACCTCCAGAAACCAAATCCAAATATACCCTGAGGGCCAAAGAACATGAACGGAATCAAATACACTTGAAATTGGGGCCGAATTACACGAAGACCTTAATGGAGGTTTAGCAGTTCGATGCAGATTGGTACTAGTGATCACGGCAACCAAATTGTACAATGCCACATCGCAAGGATAATCGCACATGATTATTTTTGGATTGTAGGGACAGCGAACACTCAGGCAGCCCGGCCATAATTGATGAAGAACCTTACGCAGCGCTATAATTAATATAGATCTAGCCAACAGAGGCGTCAGGCGATATATTGACAATTTTACGGTGGTTCTTCACGGGGGGTTCTTCACGGAAGCTCGGATGTATATTGCAACGAGATTTATTTCGTTCAACTGCACCGGTTGTTGAACTTGAAATAATCGTGAGGGGAGATTCAGAACTCGACATTCGCGATTCATGTCATAGTCACGTCAAAAGGGAGGGTCACAGCGATGATAATGCTCCGGGTGAGCGTCGTCTCCATCCGAGATTCCGTACCTAGTAGGGTCACGCATTGGGGAGAGACATGTCCTCTTCGGGCATGACACTGAGAAGGCACTTTCAGTTCCCGATCTACAGTTTCAAAGTCGAAATTCAAACCATGCCCGTCAGACATATAGCCTTTTCAAACATATCCCGACTCGGGAGCATATTCAGGTTCGCCCCCAGCAACTGGGAAATCAACTATAATTAAGTCTTGGGGTTTGTTCCCCGGCTTCGGGTTATCATCTTGCTCTTTTCAACATGAGTAACCAAGGACTATTTCAAACCGTTCGCCAACGTTATCGGGTCTCAACGGGGCAGCCAAAAGTCAGCCTTATCTACCTATGCGGTTTGGCCTCTGGCTTCGTGATCAGCTCCACGGTACACCCGACATGACGGGTTAGCTTCGACACGGAACAAAGCCATGGATGAGATCTTCTTGGGAACTCCGTGACAAAGTCCAAGACGGTCGGCCGGTAGCAGCCAAGTACAGGGGAGGACCCGCCAATATGGAGATGTCTTGGGGGTTAGCTAAGGTGATGGTTTGGGCGCAACAAAATCCCCATCACACCACCACCCTAGCATCTGGGTCTTCGTCTTACGCAGAATACATTGAAAGAGGATGATATTCTTACATATCACGCTAGATCAGCGCGTGTTATAACATCAACTGTCACATCTCAGCGACAGAAATATCATCCCCTTGGCTTTCTAATTAATTGTGTCCCAGCCTGTCGCATCGTCCTCTGCCGTCATTATGTCTGCTTCAGGACACAAGAAACCTGATACAACTCCTCAGAGACGTTTTTTTATCCTACAGCATCACCACAGATGATCTAGAACAGCCTTGAGATGAGGCTCGAGAGCTTGCTATTTGAAAGGTGGAGAATGACAGCTCGACCGCTCAAGAATACTACCCAAGTATGCAAACCCTCCAACCATGGTTTCTGGTGCCCGAAACCTTCTCCTCCCAAGACTAGCAGGGCGCCAAATCTTCAATGACATCTTGGCCGGTTTCATTGCTTCTGCGACTCAGGAAGGCCCTTCAATCGTCACGGCCGGGTGACTTTTGGGCAACACCAAGACCGACAGCCAAGGAGCGCCAAACAGAAGGCGAAAGGCCACACATGGTGAAGTAACCCAGGCCAAGGAACAAACGGCTCTGGTGCCCCAAAGCAAGACCCAATGAGGATTGGCCTGAGAGAAAAGGTTGCAAGGCTTCAGCAATGGACCGCAACCCAACACGGGAACCAACTGCAACTATGTCGCCAGCGAGAAAAACGGAGAACTCGCTGTGGCCTTCCAAGCCAACAGCCCCCTCTGCACGCAACAAGAACGCGAGATTGGCACGGTGGCTGGTGCTGCACAGCCCAGGACAGCAAGTCTTCCCGTTGTCTTTTACAGGATACGAATGGGGCTAGAAGTGGCAAACAATACCCATTGTTTGCTAATTGGAGAACCTTTGGTCTCAAATCGTTTTGTATGATGAGCCACAAAGACAGATAAAACAACGACACGTAATTGCATACCAGCCCTTTACCTGGCCCCAACTCATATTGAACAGAGAAACCCGAACAATACACCCACCGTTTCGGTTCCCAGAATTCCGATCCGGTTGGGTGTTACATACCATCACCAACGCCACATTCCTCCGTCACATTCCGTTGCCTTAGCCCGGCTGTTACATTCCTGACAGCAGTAGTAGCGGGTAGTTGTGAGCAATGAAGATACGGACCAATACCTGACCACCGTCATACCTAACCGGCTTTTGTAACGCTCACTCTACTAGAGAAAGTGGTACTCGCCGGACAGTACCGAGAATTACAGACAGCGAAAGCTCTTACCGCCTGCTAGACCGGTAGTTCGTTAACCCCTTGGCAGAATTAAACTACCAACCTCTGTACTGAGTCCCTGGGTAACAATAATTTTACCATAAGACAGGGTTATAGCGACTGGAATTGGCCCTGCCGATCAACATTGTATTTAGTCTGGACAGAATACATCAAGCTAGCGATCGAAAGGGTCTATGCTATAGGGACGAAAAAGCCGTATTGGTCTATCATGTATAATACAGGCTAAATTATAATGATAGCTTGCTAGCGAAAGTTTGAAATACATCACCAGCCAAGTAACAGAGTAGTTAGAGCTCTGCTAAGATGGACACTAGGGTGCCGCCTACTCCAATAGAGAATAGAGTATAGAAACTAAGTGTGAATACTATAATAAACGTTAAGAAAAGTAGGAGAGTGGTTATTTTACAGTTGATCTTACAATGCCAAATACTGATATTAGTCAACTTGGGCTCTCAGCGTTACTAGCTGAAACATTATGATCCAATGCACTAACACCTGACTGTATATAATTGATTATACGGGTCTTTGAAGTCCACTTACCAGCTAGAGTAGGGCGTCTATAAAAACGATATCATGGGTATCGAGTAGTACGACACTGAGAGATGTTCTGTCTGTTCCCTCCAGCAGGAGAAAACCATTGAGTTGTTGGTTAGCTAATTGTAAAAATGTAATCAAGGCACTGGGCAAGCAGGCGAGCGCACACAATAATAGTATAGGGACCTCTTAAATGATAGCATAGCATTGCATAACGAGTAACTGACGTCCTTTTGAAAGATACCAGCCTGAAAACGAGTTGCCTCCAGAGATCAACCGGGAAACCATAAAAGACCGCAAGGGCAGGTGAAAATACCAGCCAACCGCGCCCAGATAGTTCATAGAGAAAAGAATCTTTGAAGATAACTTTCCTTCCCCATCCGAGGTCCAAATCAAATGAGCCGAGCAGACCAAAGATCACTCGCCCCCTCCGATTGTACCTTGATGAAATCCATCCCGGAAACAACTTGACGTGATAAATAGCTGCATCAGAGGACAAACGAAACGAAAGCCTAGCCGGCCACATAGTGGCATAGGGCGTAGCGCGTGAAACGCAGCGAAACAAAATGAGAGAAATTTCCTCGACCATCCATCATCCCTATCCGTTCCTCATGTCATTCGTCATGAGAACATGTCGGCGAGAAAGTCAAGAAGACGAAGAGCGGAACCGGAAAACGCCGAGCAATGCCCCGGGAAGACAAAGCAAGAGATCGTAAAAACCGAATGAGGTCCATGATGGTGAAGAAGCCAGGCAAGTCCGAAAACATCAAACTCCTAATGCTTTTCCCATGACCAAGACACCGCCCCCCGAACTCCACGCGAGGAACGATTGACCAAGGAAATTACTGTGAACAATTGTTAGCTGGGTGTAGGGAGGGACTAGGTCCTAGAAGAAAAGATTGTAAATTCACTTACCGGCAGAGGGCCGCCGGGAGGAGGACCCTGCGGAGGGTTGCCGCCGAATGGAGGGCCGCCATAAGGACCGCCAGGACCAGGGGGGCCACCATGGGGAGCCAAGCCGCTCATGTAATGAGGAGGGGGCGGGGCTGGGCGGTACGGGGTGCCAACGCCAGAGTTGTTCTGGGAGCGACCCCAAGAGAGGCGGACACGAGAGTTACCAATTGGGTAGCCCTGCATTTGGTTGATCGCCATCTCAGCTGCGTGCCTGTGCACAAATTGCACAAAACCACAACCCTTGCCAGGCGGGATCTTGACATAGGTGATTTCCCCAAAGCCTTGGAAGAATGAACGAAGCTCGTCCTCTGTGACATAGCCAGAAAGCCCGCCAACAAACACGGTAGTGTTGTTAGGATCGGTAAACTGGTTCATCGGCTGCATAGGATTAAAGGCAGCAGCACCTTGGCCATAAAAAGGCGGAGCTCCCCACATGGGAGCAGGATGGCCGGCCACAGGAGCGACCAGTTGGTTACCACCCTGGCTATGACCGCCACCGCCATACTGGTGAGAGCTAGAGATGAAGTTAGTTGAGGGGAAATCAATGCTGGCAACTATTTTAGGAGGTCGCATACCGAGTCTTGGGGGTAGCGGTAGAGATGCGCATGGGGCGGTTGCCGCAGTAAACACCTTGCATCTCGACTAGAGCCCGTTGCTGATCTGACTCGTCGCTAAAGCGCACGAAACCATAACCTCTGGATTGACCGGTCATAGCATCTGTCATAATCTTCGCAGACTTGCACGACGGAAAGCGAGACTGGAATAGGGAAACCAACACAAATTCGTTAACCTCCGGGCCGAGATCGCCAACGAAGATGGAGAATTCAGGGCCACGGTCGTCACTGGAGTTGAAGTTAGTAAAATAAGATTGAAAAATCCATGTTTGGGGACTATACCGGCGATCGACCAAACCGCCTCCAGAGGCCCAGTTGAGCTTGAAAACACGAGTCGAGTTGGGCACTGGAGTACCATTGAGGTTAAGGGCCTTCTGGGCAGCCTCGGCAGTCGAGAACTCAATGAAGCAATAGCCGGCGTTACTGTAGATATGTTAGCCTACTACTAGAGTTGTGCGATCAATGCCGCGACGGGGTGGAAATGTGTCGGGAGGTGAAACAGAAGGCTAAGAATGGGAAAATACAAACCCAGAGTTACGGTCGCGAATGACTTTGACTTGCACGTTCTCAGCGAGGACAGTCTGGAACACGTTCTTAATGAAGTTCTCGTCCATCCAGCCTTCCATCTCGCCCATCCTAAATGTAATCGTTAGTACGAATGCCGGTAAAATACAGGTGATCAGCGACTGTCTTTTAACATACCAAAGGGTCTTCGCAGCCTCATTCGAGGACGGCATAGGGGCCGGCGGAGCAAAGCCGGTATCGCTAGATCCGTTCATGCTAGGACCGTTGGAGGTGGTACCCGGGGGGCCGGTAGGGGTATACTCCGCCATTCTAACGGCTGATATGAAAGTCAGTAATCTGTTGGTGCTCGATGAATATAACTGCGATGAGGAGCGTTGATGATGGTTAAGAGAGGATACAGAGCCCCAATGCCCAATGTAATGAATGAAAGTTGAAGAGAGTGGGAAGATCCTGGAAATAGAAAGGAAACAAAATATGTTTGGTATAGAGGGAAGGAACGGATAGTTGGAAACACAACTTTGCGCCCTTCTTTCCAGGCGGCTGAGCACATCCAAGGAATAATGCCGGAAAGAATAGAAACCGAATAAACGGGAAACCGGAGATTTGAGAAAGACGGAAGATCGAGGGATCTCAAGGAATAACGCCGGAAAGAATAGAAACCGAACAACCGGGAGAAAAGCAAAGAAAACGGACCGATGAACTTACTTGACTCAACGGAAAACTGATGAACGAGTTTTGATTGATGCCGAGCACTAGAGCCGGCAAATTATGTAGTTAGTAAACTGTTATGCCGGATGATCGGTAGGCGTTGGAAACACTTGAGAAGACCAAGTGTTGTGGAAGTTGTTTAGGTGTAGAAGGTAAATGTGGGAGGAGGGCAGAGAATCGTGGATTAAATAGGCTTGGGGAAGGAAGCCAAATTATTGACAGAACATGAGATGAGGGTCACGTGCAACTCCAAAGGAGCTACTGGCTCTGGGAAATAGCTGATGCAAGGCCCCGATATGCTTTGAGAACAATAGAAGAAGGTTGTGTTCAAAAGAAACGGAGCATTATACACCTTCGATCAGAAGCATATATATGTTCTTGATGCTTTGAGCGGACCCATATCTGAACGCAAGGAGACCCAAGTAAACCATAATAATATAGAGGAAGATGGGTATAAATCCAGAGGGCGTTCCTAGCGGAGTACAGCTTGCAAAGTTCCAGTATTACCAGCGACTAATCAAACCAGCAATCGTCTATATCCGAGGCGAAGGTATATGGGCTTCCACATATATTTCCTCAGGATGATAGAGCACACATAATGTCAACGAAACCATACTCCCTTACAACAAGCACGGTATAGAGTGCGATGGATGCCTTCTGTGGTATAACCACTTGGCTATTCGAGACACCGGCCCGGACCGAGCAGATCGAGATTATTGGAGAGACACAACTCCAGGCCATTGGCCATGGACTATTCACCACCGCAACGGCATAGCATAGGGACGTTCTGAGCGTGCCATGTACTCACAATGGCAGCTTATATCATCGACCATGCCGTTTGCAAGGAGGCACCCGAAACACTTGGCATAAACACGATAGAATAAGAAATCATAGGATCAAGAACATGTGGCCATTCCAACGTTTCTCAAGTAGAAGGTTGAAGCGTGCATGATGGCAGCCCATTGACCCAACCCTAAACAGGGGAGGGGGGACAGACGGAAAGAAACGTAATTTTATACGACATCCACGGAATCGCTGGCATTTCATACGCCTGTGTCATCGACACAACCGCCAGGCCGAAAGATCGATCCAAGGAGTGGAAGAGGATATCCCTCACGTTGTAAGCCAGGCCCGGTGAAACTTTTCACACTTTCCCCTATTCATCAGAGGAAATTGGTACCATAAAGTTGCAATGATAACCTGAGTCGTCAACTACAACAAGGCACTCAAAAATAAAAGGGGGTAGATGGCAAGGTACAGATGACAGGAACCTAAGCTGCTAACTCCCGGCCTACTGCCACTCCAACAATAAGACTAAAGAGGACAGAATTGGGGCAACCGAAGGGAAAAGCGAGTATAGTTTAGCTGAATTGATGAGCGCCAGGACTTGTGCGCTAAAACAACCGTTGTTCGAAATGAGGAGACAATGGAGCGGCAACGAAGCCAAGGCTGAAATAAGTGGCGATACCAAAGTAAAATGTCACTCACCAACGCTGCTCAGAAGACGGTGATCGTTTAACGTAGAAAAACCAGACTAAATGGGATGTCAGCATCAGGAAGGTGAAAGAGGATTTGGTATGCGTCCCACGACTCGGGGGGGAGGGTCCAATGGAATGTGGATATGAACCAAATGGAATGTCAGAAGCGGTGCGTGGCGCAGGGAGGAATGTAAATGGGGTAGAATAAACCAAGGTGGGCAATGGAGATTGTTCAAGGAAAATGGCGATGCACCACTTACACTGAGCTTACTTCGAGGTTGCCGAAGTCCTTGGTGAAGATCCGAAAGTGGAAATCTAAGCAGACATATCAGTAAATATTTTCGTTCCGAGGCAGCGAAGTAAGTAGAAAAAGCCCAGGGCACACGAGCTTTGTCCTAGAGGAGAATCGCTTGAAGGGCAAGTCGTCGGGAGTAAAAATCGTCGTCATTGCCCTTGGCAATTGTGACACCCATCCAAAATGAGAGGTCGGTTGGAGGTGAGGACAAAACTATGCGCAGCCTTTTCTTCCATGCATGAAGAGGGCGAAAACTTGCCGGAGTAAACAAACCGGTTTGAAACGCAAAGAACGATCGAGAGAATTCTCTCCTTGAAGAACCGGCGCAGAAAGAGAACGATACAGAGTAATGTAAAAGCACTTACGGATCGAGTCGATAAACGGAGAACGGAACGCCACACAAGGAGGCCAAAAGGTTTGTGGAATAAACCGTCGAAATAAGGGGCAATCGACGCGAAGGTATGGAGGACTCGAAAAGCAGCGTTTTACGGAGACCCTTTGACGCCGCGAAACTGAAGAACCCCGACGAGCACCAAGGAAATATGCGCTGAGATGAACCGTTTGCAGACAGCACGACGGCAGTAGACAAATCTTTGAGAACGGAAATTCGAGGGCCAAAATCGAAGGTTCGAAAGGTGCCGACTATCAAACCCGGTGAAAGAACGAGATCCGCCCAAACGTCCAGATGGGTGTTTGGGCCTGGCGGAAGGGAAACTATTAAACCATCGTTAGTAATGATAAACGGCGACAAAACGACGATATGCCCTATGGACAAAGGGTACAAAGGTGAGTGATCAGTCGGCGTGATGGTCCAGATTGCGTTTCGTTTGAGGATGACCTGGCACCAACACCATCGACCCAGGCCCATCTGCATCGTGTAGCCAAGGAGTTTCGGGGACAAGGAAGTAGGATCCAAATCCAGACAACGGGACCGAACGGCAGAAGACGTATTCTCCGTCCCCATAGACGAAGCGACACGAGAAAAGATGGGTGTAGGCTCAGTGCAGCTAGAATGCTGCAACAATCTATACTGGAAAGCGGGCAGAGACGCCGATTCGATGCCAGTGCATGGCGGTAGACAGTATTGTGCCGGCTCAACTCCGATGCCTAGGCTCGAACGGGACTCAAGATGTGGCGTGGCGAGCTTTGAAGGATCCTGGGGCATTTGAGGTTCCTCAAGAACATGAGAGAAAGAGCAACTCAGCGCCGTTTATCCCCCGTTGCATGTGTGTAGTTGGCCAGCGCCGCACGGTCCCAAGGATAGAAGTATCGGCGAATGACAGGCTTCCCGACTATTCTGGTTGTGTTGGCTCTGAGAATAGGTGCGGTAAAAGGGGCAGCCGAGTGACATGGCTGACTAGCCTCGACGACTGAGGGACAAGGGTCGGGCAGCCACGTGCAACGCCAACAAGGGAAGAGGCGGCCGAGATGAGAAGACCGCTCCACGTCATCTGGTAATTTCACCCCGAGTAGTGTTCTGTCGGCTGGAAGGTAGGCTAGTTCTGCGATGGATTGTCACGAGGCGGCTGTAAAATTGGGCGAAGGTGCTTCCGGCGTCGATCAGTATCGCAACCAAGGCGCAGGGATCGTAGGGTTTTCTCTTGGAAAGCCGGGAGCACGTCGGCGTCAGCCACGAGGTCCACGGCTTCATGAGTTGGATAGCGAAACTCTCAGGAGGGCTTCGCAGGTGAGGTCGAGCAACGGGTCCAAATTTTCCCAGCCCGCCCCTGGTACCATGTCGGCAGTCTATCCTCCCTCGATTCTGGTCCGTCGTCGGTGAGTGCCGAGTGAAGCCCATAAAAGTGCTGAAGGGAGGCAGCACGTTTGGCCGAAAAATACCGGTACGAGGCGCCAACAAGAAAGATCCAGGTGTAAATCCCCGAGCATACATCGACGCCATCCAGCCGCCCCAAGTTGGGAGGTCCGAAATACCAAAATCCCCAATCTCAGACGTCGCACGCCATAACCTTCCTTCAGCCCGCCGCCAAAATGGGCGTGTGGCAGCCTTGAGTGTACTTGCTTGGTATCGCCCAGATTCCTAAAGGGAAACAATAACCAACGACCGACGGGTTCTGGGTTGTACAAATCTTTAGCTCCCTAGCAGCGTTCGGACGTAGCGGACTTCGGTAGCGTCGGGGGAGGGGATATTTCGGTAATCGTTTTGCCCGGACACAAGCTACCCGGCTGCTGAGTGTAACTTGACTTTTTCGCGGATCGATTCTGGCGGGGGAGTTGTTCCATATGAAAATTCAGGGAGGGTGAGGGGAGCCGATGCTGCCACCACTATTCGATGGCTACTCGATTCGTTCCTCCGCCGTTCCAATACCACACAGCCCAAGGGGCTTAACCCAGTCGCCCGTAATTACCGGAGGAACCACCATTTTTAACTTTCTGAACAAACTCTTCCGGTCCAAGTCGAAGTCGCTTGATTCGGGTAGGGTCCATGTGCCAGGCTGAGAGGGGAAGGTGAAGGGAGCTAGGTCAAGCATGGTCGCGCAATCTCAGTCGTTCAACTTACTCTTAACAAAGGGGAGGGAGGAGCACAGCACAACCCTTAAGTTATTCAAAGGGGTTCGGGGACCTTGAAGTTTGATTGTCGATTGGACGGGGCGCGACAAGGGGATCAAGTCGACTGCCAACGGAAGAAGGCCGGAAGGAAAACGTCAAGTGCGATACAACCACAACAAAAGACACGGTAAAATGATGCTTCGAAATCGCAGTAAGTGTCGAACCGCAAAGAGAGAAGCAGGCAGAGAGAAGCACGCGGGGTGCGAGCGGTGGAGGGGTAAAAAAGGAAAAGAAAAAGAAGAGACCAGAGACCGAAGGGGCGCTGTGGAGAGTCCGCGAACAGGTGAAAACTGGGAAGGCACCGAGCGTCTGGGGAGAATTTGCCCGTGGGTGGATTCCAATGCAGGGTGGGGAAAGCCCAGCCCAAAGCGGCCGACCCAAGCGCACCTGCAAGATCGCGTCAGTCCTTCGTTCGCCCCTGCACGACGATGTGCGCCAAAAGCTCAACAATGTTCCATGACACCTTATATGCTTCAGTAGCAAGCCCGGCGACTCTGTGCGACAAACCCGGCAGGACTGAACAGAATAGCAAAGCTGCAGGCACCTGGAAAGCACTGGTGGAGCTGCAACACGACAAAATCTCGCCCACGGTCGGTCACTATGACCGTCGCACTAGCCATGGCGAAGCGGGCAAAGCACAGATTTCCGGAACCGAGTCGGACGACGAGATTTCTACGTACCAGCGTCTACCCTGAAGAAGCAAGCCCATCCACCCACACAGTAAAGGCTTGTGACGCAAAGGTTGCAGGCCAGCTTCCGAACAACAATTTATTCCAAAATGTTGAGGCATTCCCGCGAGACGTATTACGCCTGGTTCACATTCCTCCACGTCACCAATTGGGAACAATTACAGTGCCGCAGCCTTCAGGCAGCGCATCCTCCCCGCCAGCTCTGGCCAAATTGACGACCTCCATTGCATTGATCTGTTTCCTCTCAAATTCCAAGATGTCACGGCAATGGCTGTTTCTCGCACAGTGGGGTATTCCAAGATCTGTTGGTGGGGCACAACCAAAAGCGACATCCCGATCCCAGTGTTAACATCTCCTTGACCTCGGGGACCGACTTATTTACAACCCCCTCCGTGTAAAGAGGCTCGATTATAGTATCGTGGTGGGCAGTTTCAGGTATGCCACGGCTTCTCTACCTAAGTACTATACCTCTGTCGCGCCGTGAACGGCAATGGAAAGAAAGGAAGATGCAAGCAATGACGCCTACGCAAATCGCGAAAGGCATGCGGCAACTAGTCCTTATTCGCGGTACTCTTAGCAAGACCATGCGCCGGGAGAGGGAGGACATGAGCCATCCAATATTCCCGAGCGGATTGCCATGCTAAAAGAAACCTAGCCCGAAAGCAGTGGTTCAGATGCTCAGCCCAGCTGGGCCTTTTCGTTTCATGGTTGGTGAGAAACAAAAATCCCCACATGCTTTAGGGCTCACAGGGATCGGAGCACAGGCTAGAAGCCGTCGAACCTGTCGAAGCTTTCCCACTGGCCAGCTCCGGCATTGAGCTCGGCTCAGTCGGACGTCATGGGGTAGGGGTGGAGCGAGTCAAGCTCAAAGAACCTGGAAGCTCCTCATTCCGGCGGCGATGGCCGCCCTTTCTTGTACCTAGTGTACTTCATACACAGTGTGTGCCTCGGCACTAGCCACTTGGCAAAAAGGCCAGGTCAGCACCATTCTTCTTTGTGGAGCGGATCTTTATTTTTCTTGACGCCTTGACTGCGCTCTAGCACGAGAAGTGATAAAGAGCGTGGCAGCTTCTATTCCCCCACCCCGCAGCTCAGAATCTGGAGCCGAACACTGGACGTCCGGGACCATTGCACACCTCAGCGGTGTTGGGCGGCAATTTTCTGGATAGAAAGGCTAAGCGACGGCGATATCGTGAAACTTGAGGGCCATTTCTCAACGGAATGGGCGGCATATAAAGTGTCAAACCACCATTGGCAACGCGATTTAGCATTCATTCCATCCCATGGGAGCTATTCTCTCGATTCTCGGGCTTCAAATCGGATCTCTACCTGGTAGGTACCTGGCCACCTAATATGCCACATGGCCCGACGCACTATGCCACAGGGGGTACCACAGTACCTACCTACCTGTTGGAAAACAAATCTGATCTTCCCGGACAATTGTCGCCATCTCTGTTCCCCTGCATGCGCCCCAGCGCGATCTCAGCGCCTCTTTCCACCAATTCCCAACGCACACTTGCAGATCTCTTCACCAACGACCTGCATATCCGTCACGTGGAAAAAACCATGGAACGGAGATCATGAGATTCCGCCGGCCACCCACGACCCCCTCGGCAAGACCTATTTTCCAGAAGACGATTGTTATTGAACGACAGTAAACGGATCGAGTCCCCCAACAGTTACGCCTTGAAGGATCCGGAGAACAGGATGAGCCAAACGGTGAAGGTCCAAGTTTACACATCCTCGTGATCTCATTCGCTCTCCCTTCGCCAGGGTCGTCTTTGTCAGCCCGCAGATGCCGAGGGCACACATCCATGCTGCTTAAGAAAGCACTCCGAAGGGGGCCGACATATCGCATACTACACATTTCGCACGTAAGCTCAACCCCAAGCCACGCATTTTGCAATTCCACATCATGCAATCTCCGTCCGTGGGTCGCGGCTCCTAGGCCTCAGCAAAGTTTTGTTTGGGGTTGAGAGTAAACAGGGGCGATGGCCAGATAAGCCACCAGCTTCGTTGCCGTGATGTGGCCATGGATGTAATACCACAGTAGGAACCTTCCACAACTAACAGCCGAAACCGTTGGGGTTTATATGGTGAAAACGCGGCCGACAAAGCTGATTGGTCTGGGGCTCACTAACAGATCATTAAACATCCCGAGCATCATCCTTTTCTTGTGTCTGAAACGCGGTCGGCCCGGTGTCGTTGGATTCACATTCACCATGCAGCTTCCCGACTCTTGCCACGTAACCAGGATTGTATGGCGTCCAAAGCAACCCAGCTTGTACATGTAAAGGTGGCCCCAAGGGATGTCCGAATGCGATCTCAACTGCCAGAGGCGAGACGCGAGACACATGACTCTTGTTTGCATAACCCATGCGGCCAAGCGGCGAAATTGGCAAACCTGATTCCTTGCTACTGTCTCTTGATAGGCTCAGAAATATTGAAGGTTCAGGCCCCATGAGGTCTCTCTTCGTCCGGGCTTGAAAGTCCTAACGGGGGTAATGCGTCAAACCCTACGAACCCCTCCGCTCGGGCGTTGTCCGAGTTCGAGATCTAGAAGGCCCTTGAGTCATGGGTCCCCAGTTGTTGTCTATCAAAGCGTTCACAGATTGCTCTCCGGCTCCCCGATACGCGGACGAAGCTCAACGGTCCCAAACTCAAACGAGCGTCAATGTTCTTTGCTAGCGTTATCATCGTTTTGCCAGGTAGCTGAGCACTGAAAAAAACGTTGCAATAATTACCTAATGATAAACCAATGAATCGAAAGTCAAACAACCATAAATGATTAATTACACCTGTTCCGATTTTACACGCCAATGACGGGGAAGGAAGTATACCGCACGGCAACGTAATGATCTCAGTTCCGACCCTCGTTAACTTTTTTTTTAAAACTTTTTTTGGTTAATTCCATCAAGGCTGTCAACACGCCGCCTTGCTTACCCGCATAGGACCACTATATTGTTGAAATACCGTAGGTCCCTTGACAGTAATATGTCTCTTCAAATTCTAGTGTTGCAGCCAGAGACACTTTTACAGGGATAAACCATAAGTCAACTTTGTCTCTTTTCTTTGCCGTTTTTTTTTTTTTTTTTTTTTTTGATACCGTGGTGAACAATATCTGACTTAAATGGGGGGCGAAACTTAGACTTTCAATGAATAAACTTTATCTCAGAAATAAACACGTCTTCGGCTTTACTATGCTACCACCGCCAGTACCAATTACACTGTCCCCTTGTATTAGCCCTATCTAGATACAACCCCGAGCTCTCCCGATTCCATGTCGATGTGAGTTACTTCAGTACCGCCAAACATTCCTTCCACGCCTTTTGCACCTCCAGTGACCTTTCCGCCGTTGCCGCTGTTTCAAACACACCCTTCACTTGTCCCCTCCACCCTGAATCAGTCAAGAGCTCGGCGTGTAGTTTGCCAAGTTGGATTGTAGATAGGGCCGCCTTCGCCCTTGACAAGCGCTGGTCTTCCGTTCCAGTATCGTAAGAACCGAGATCCAGTGTGTTAAGAAACCAGTTGACTATCTCTTGGCTGGAGGCCGGGTTGGTGTTGCCGCTACCAGAGGCACCTGAACCGTCCTTGAGTAATTGTTGGACACAGTTATACCAAAACGTCCGACGGATTATCGCAAACCGGGGTTTGGATAAAGAAGGTGAATGCGTATTGAGTGACTTGCCATTACCCCCGGCAGCAGCTTCGAGGGCCAGGATCACGCGCCGCAGAGTAGCCATTGGATTGCTGTTCATCTGGGATCGGTTGTATCCCTTAGAGATGGCTTCGATGGCGGCCCAGGCCGTCCGCGTCTTGACGTCCAGCCCCCCGGCTCTCCCCTTGCCGCTCTTTGGTTGATCAATATCCATAGCATCTCCGTCTGCCTCCTCCTCTTCCTCTTCAAGAAAGGGCGCTGCGATGTCTGTGATTTCTTCGATCATGTCTAGGTCTTCCCTCGCGGCAGTGACCTTCCATAAACATGTAAACGCATATGGCCGGTACACGTCATTGTTCCTCTTCGCTTCGCGCACGGCGATCTTCTTCAACAGCGCGGCAAACTCCTTATCACCTTCCCACCACCCCTTCGCAGACTTCACAAAACCTGGTAGCGGGCCCAGCAGCTTTTCCTTCCCTTCAAAGGTCTTGAGCGCCAGTGCCTTCTCATACACCGGCCACACGACCTTCAGACCTTCAAGATTCACCCTCCCGGATACATCCCCTGCGTTCACGACCGCCTCAGCAGCCTCGGCCACGGCCAGCGCGCCGGCGTGCCGCAGCGACCATTGTGCTGTTCCCAATGCGCGATCAGAAAGGCTGACAATCTCCTTAAGATATCGCACAGCCGTCAGGCTGGTACTCCCAGCTTGGGAATCCCACACCGCACGGGCAGCAGTACGCGCATACTCGTCTTCATCGCAGCGGGCGAGAAAGGCAAACGGTAGGAGCTGGGTCTCGAGAGCAGCGAAGTGGTCCGGCGAGATCTTAGAAAGAGCTAGGACAGCATCGGCAACCTTCTGTCGGCGAACTTCAGACTCGGAAGCGAGGTAGAGCGAGACTAGGCTATCGGCGAAACGGGTCTGGGCGTCCGGGGTAGGGATGATGCGCAGGAGGTATGCGGCAGCGCGGGCGTAGTTTTGCGATACCTCGTCGTTACGGTCGAGTAGTTGCTTTTCGAGGAGGGCGAGGAAGGTGGGAGAGTAAGGGGCGAACGTGAGGGTGTGGCGCGTTGCGAGCGTAGACAAAACACGAGCGCAGCCGATTTTGGTGGGCATACCGAGGGCGGTCTTGACGGACTCTTGGAGCCGCGGGGCAAAATCCTTCATGACAGTCTCATCCACGCTGCGGAGGCAGTTGTCGATGGCCTCGGCGATGGGACTTCGCGAGACCATGGCGCTGCGAATCTTGTCAATCTTTTCGCGGTTGTCTTCTCCTGCACGTTGGTAGTGATAGTTGATGGCTTCGGGCTCGATGGTGCTTAGCAAGCCCAGAAGATGCGGGATCATGGTTGGAACGTAGGGTTTGAGGGCATCACCGCCGCTCTTGGCAATTTTCATGACGGTGATGGTTGCGAATAGCTTAACATCTTCGACACTGCTTTCGATGCCCTTGTCGGAGAGAAGGAAAGGTAGTGCCTCGTTCATCATCGCTTTTGCCGTGGTCGTTGATCCCGATTCCTCAAGTTGGCGGACTAGAGTTGTAGAAAGGGCGATACATAGGTGCAACGCTGCGTTTCTGACGGTTGCCTTGACGTCGTCGAGGACCTTCAGAGCTGCGGTCCAGATATCCTTGTAGTACTTTTCGTACTTCAGGAACGGCCTTCCAGAGACTAGATCAGAGATGGCGGCACAGCTCGCCTCCCGAACACGCCACTCTTTACCCAGTATACTCTTCAGCAGGTCATTCATGATAGCGTCAAAATGTGTCTCTAGGACTGTTTTCTGGTCCTTTACTAGCGCCTTCCAAATGTCGTTCATGGACCGCTGCACGTTCTGATTGGGGTCGAAACGGTAGCGGTAGAGCTTGGGGTAGAGTTTAGGGTCGACCTCCGACTCGGACAGGATGTTGCTGAGCCCAAAGCGCCCAAAGGCGGACCGAGTGGACCATGTTGCCGCGTTGGTAGCGAGAGACATAAACTTGTACACCAAGCTAGGATCGCCGACTTCGTTCGCGAGGCTGACAATATCCTTGTACGAGGTAACTGACTTGCCCTCGCCAGTGGGGAGAGCGCCGGCGTCAAACAGCTCTGTCTCCTGGTCAACTTTGAGTTGCGGTCCAGACCCAGTGAACGCCGAAACCAAGTCCCTAACTAACTCGCCCTTCAGGTCCGAGTCCCCCTTCTCGTACACCAACGCAAGACCTCTCGAGGCGGTCTCCTGGACAAGTTCATCCCTAGCGCTAAGAAGGCGCATAAACGCCACTTGGCACTCCCGAAGCCTCGATTGAACTTCTTCCAAATGAGAGCAATGTTGGATGACACAAAAGAGCCAAATACCGGAAGCCTTCAGGAGAGATGGTTTGGTAGTCTTGCAGTCCTCTAGCAGCTTCTTCAACGTCGAGGAAAGCCGCGTTCCTCGGCGGGGCACGTGGTATCCAGACTCTTCAGCTTGCACGTTGACCGTCAGGCGGACCACGTCGGCATCCCAGCATGCAACTGCGGCGGCGATAGCCTCACCAACAGCAAAGTGTACCTCGGCTTGCCGGATCTCGTGCAGAGCGTATAACTTGTCAAGGATAACCTTCAGTATGTCGCCTTCTCCATCATGGTTTGAGCCCTCTAGTACCGGTACCGCAATGGCGAGTCGTCCCAGAGCCGTGATCGCTTTCTCGTTGCCTTTCCTTGCTTGGATGACGAGCGGGTCGATGTAGTCTTTCGACAGAAGCGAGAGAAAATCCGGATCACCGCTTCCGGGCGGTTTTGTGGGTTGAACAGATGCAGTCCACAGCTGAGAGTATGCTTCAAAGAGGGATTCCTGGGTAGACAAGGGTTTAGAGGAGAGCGAATCTAGGCTCGGGAATATTCCACTTATATCGAGAATGGAGCTGTCGCCAATGGTCGGGAACGAGTAATAAATGCCCCGGGAAATGAGATGGCTGAGGGCAAGGAACCCCCCTTCGACGGCATTCAGCTCGGATCCCACGGCCGAGCTCAGGCTTTGAGTAAAACTGATGAGTGATTGCTTGTTCGCGGCGACAGACTCCGGTGAGTTCTCAGGATGGGCGGCAAGAATCCCGAACGCTTGGGAACCAAGCACGCGAAGCTCCTTCTTGTTCGACTTGATCAAGGGAAGTAGCTCGCCTGATCGGGAGGCCAAGGGCGCGAGGATGGCTCGCGGTGAGAGAGACGCGAGGTCAACAAAGGATTGGGCACATCGCTCAGCAATCCTCGCATCCTCCATCACCATTCCTTCAAACGCGGCCTGTAGAAGACGGAAAAGATTGTGCTCTTGATGGGTGAACTTGGACAAATACCCCCCTATGTTAAGTCGGCTACCAAGATCGCTTTGCACAAGCGCCCCGAGCCGCCGCTCCCACCCTGGCTCGATCTGGAAGTCCGGAAGTGCCGTGAGAAACAATATCCGCCGACAGTAGTCGACAGCAACAGGGAAGGCTGGGTGTGATAAGACCGGAAAGTTGATAAATACGCCCTTGTCGTCAATATCCATGCCTTGGCCACCTCCAAACATCGAGGCAGCGTTGATCGGCGCTATCGGATCCTTAAAGAACATCTGAACCATCTCTTGCCAGTCAGGAAGGTCCCGCGACTTGTCATCATTGGCGTAGTATGTCCACGGATCGAGTCCTTTTTGTCCCTCTTCCACCACATCGCTTCGCTCATCAGGACGACCGGCAATGGCGAGAACGTCTATCCAGCGGGCGTACACATCGGAAAATTGTAGGCACTGGTTGGCCCACTTCGTGACGGCGTGGCGGGCGCTGCGTACGACGTCTTTGTCCGTGTCCTTGATGGTCATGTATGTCAAGAGAATGGATTGGAGTTGAGTGTTGACGAGAAATTTGTGAGGCGGTTTGAACAAACTGGTGAGGCTTGATAGGGCACCGTCAATGTTGACCACCACGTCCGGGGTGGGATCTTCTGAGAGGGACCGGAACAGCCATCCAGCCAACGACAGCCTCTCGGTGTCCATCATGGACGTTCCTTTGGCGAGAATGCCAATAGTCTCGTACGCCCGAGAACGCAACGCGCCTTCATCGAGTGATTGATGAAGAGGCTTCGGCCACCCCTGGTCTCGCACAAAGTTTTTGAGTAAGTCAATCAGGGGAGTTCCAATCTTGTTGTAGTCGGTTTTGTTAGGCCCAATACGAGCAACCCAGTTGATGAACTCAAACAAGGCCCTGTGGAGCTTATTTCTTTCCAGGCCGGAGGTCTTTCCAAGTCCCGGTTGACCGTCGATCTGCATGGCATCGCTTTCTGCGGGTTGGCTTGTAACGTTCAGGTGGAAAACAGCGAGAATCTCATCCGTGAAGGTGGTAGCTATCTCGGATTTGCTGAGAATGCCAAGTATGCGTATTCGATAGGCGGGGGGGAGGGCTGAGTGTGCTTCGTAAAGTTTGCGTACTAGCAACTTGTCTTCGAGAGAGACGGAAGTTCGCTTTAGGAGGTCATCCCCCACACCCGAGATCCGGTAGTCGGAACTTGAGGCGGCGTAGAGAGCAGGAATGAACCGTTCAAGATCCGTAAAGGCGCCGCTTGCTAGAAAGGCGGTGATCTTGATGCGAGTCTCCGCAAGATTCAAGCCCCCATCGACAGAATTCCAAGTTTCCGGCTTGCCCAGGGTAAGGAAGCTGATATCAGCTTGTGACAGGCCAGGAGACTGGACTGACCCAGTTGCGCTCACTCGCAACAACAACAGCTTCCCGAGCCACTCAGCAACAAAGCCCGCGTCCTCCGGATCTGCCAGCCCCATCACTTCCCGAAAGTTGGTATCTTCTTTGCTCCCCCTTGATGGAACCTTGACCGCTTGAAGCATGCGCAGGAACACGTTGAAGAGTTGGCCGGTGGAATTAGTCGAACCTCTGCTGATCCCGAAAAGAGCCTTCGGGACCAGTGCTCGGTGTTCGTCGGGGTCGAGCTTCCCAACACTATGTTGGATGTAAAGAACATCGAAGTGCTTAATGAGGGTTTGGTCTGTGGCTTTGTATTGATCAAGCAGGGAGCTGACTGGAAGTATAATTCTGGGCAGATTGTTAACACTACGACTCATATCCATCTTACCCAACTCCAAAGTCACTAATAAAACCACGAATTATAAAACATACCCTGGCGCCTTGATGAGTTTGTTGATTGTTTGACATGTTGATATAACCTGGTAGCATATTGCCGTCAGAACACAGCCCAGGTAACATCTACCAACGGTGCGAATAACTGTCAGGAAAGTCACACCTTATTGCGGACTGAGACATGCCCACTACCGGCCTTGAGCAGCAGTGGTGGAAGGTAGACTTTAAGCAAGCCTTGCAACTTCGTCTCGTCGGATGCGGCGGTCAGGATTTTCCATTCCACCTTTTCTATTAGATCCAGCTCCCTCTTTGCATCGGCCGGAGCAGCCATGGCGATGGGCTTGTGTGACCGGGAGACGGGTCACGTCGCTGATGGCGCTGGTGGTGTTTTGGACGGTTGATGAAGGTTGGGTTGTGGGTCCCGGGCGAAGGGTGGATATACCGTATCGTCTTCAAGCGTATCACAGAAACAAACCGCTTTCTCGGTGGAAAGCTGGGATCTTGAAAGCAGGTACACGGACCCGACGTTGCGATGTTAAATACCCGGCCTCATAGGGTCCAAAGAATAGTGATGGCAGCAGCGAGAAGGCGGGATTTGAAGGCTGCCACAACGACGCATCAGCTGGCAGGCAACCTTGGCGAACGCAACCGCTCCCAACACATGGAGGATGCCCGGCCGCAAGCTGGTGACTAAGCGCGCCTCCCGGTTTCAAGCGTAATAAACAAAAAGGATGGTTCACTTGGCGCCCAGAACTGTAGTTTAACGATCGCAACCCTTTCCCATTGTTGTCTACACATGTGGTTAGGGGTTCTTGAGTAGGTACCTACCGGATGAGCTCTGAGCTTGTCGGACTCCTTGACGTTATCTGATCCGGCATGCTCTTTAGCGAAGGGACGCCCTGAAAAGTCCACGGATGCAGTGCTGTGGACCGGTCGACCTGGCCTGGCGGGGTAAAGCGGGGCGATGAGCCGGGCACAGCTGTCGCGGGGTCGGGCCTTAAATGACCCGGATGTGGTTCTTGCGTCACTGGTGGCCGCCTCCAACACAAGCTCCAACGGTCGACATCAGTCTTGCCCATGTTGTCAGACGCACGTTCGACGGTCTTTAAAACCCGGAAAAGCAACTGGGAACTCGGGAAGTCCGCTTCACTTACCACGCCGGATTTCAAGAGCTGCTGCTTCTTTGTTCTCGCACGGCCTACCACCTGGGGTTCCATTCCGCATTCCATTCCTCCCCGCCAACGATTTTTTGGGTCTAAACTTCGACCTTGTTTCGCCTCGACCAACCGCAGGTGATCCACCGGACCGAGCATCCCACCCCTCCTCCGCAACCTCTCAACTACGAACATTCCGATCACGCAACCACAAATCACGAACCTCTCCGGACACTGTCACTTTCTCTCCTCCCCGCACCCCGCAACGCCACAGCCTTTGGTGAAACTCCACTCTACGAGTCAGGATGGCGAGCGACGAGGATATCGAATCATTTATGGGCATCACAGGTGCCGACCGCACAGCCGCTGAGCGCATGCTAGAACTGTGCGGCTCGGATCTGGAACAAGCGATACAGCTTTGGTTCACCGACGAAGACCTGCAGAGGTCGTTGAGCAATGCTGGTCCCTCCACGACCACGACAGCTGCTCCGGCCACGATCCCGGGCCGCCCCAGTCGGCCAAATCGCCCGCAAATCGGTCGAGAAGACGCTCAAGGTGTCATTCACATAGACTCAGATGACGATGTTCCTATGACGGAAGAGGATTTTGGCGAAGACGAGGACGACGAGATACAAAATGTGGCCCGCCAAGCCCAAGAGGATGAGGACGCGGCAATGGCCAAGAGGTTGCAAGAGGAGCTATACTCTGGCGCTAGTGGTGCAGGTCAACATGTTGACGAGGATGGTGTACGAGCGCCTATGGCCCGCACAACCGAGACATTGGTTGGACCGAGTTATGAAGAGGACGATGACGACGGTCATGCCGCTGTACTGGAGCAGATGCGAAGAAGGCAGCAGGCCCGCGGTGAGTCGCAGGCTGCTCAAACCAATCTGCCACCCTTTTTGTCACCACCTGAGGCTAACGTAAAATACTACAGCACGACCGAACAACCCCTTCGCACAATCTGTATGGGAAGAAAACTCCCACGCTGCGCATCCCACGCCAGGCCCTGCCGAACCCAGTCGCGCATCTCGCCTCGCGGACCTCTTCCGTCCCCCGCACGATTTGATGTCGCGTTTCAGCTGGGACGAGGCCCGTGACGAGGGGAAGGAAGAACAAAAATGGATTTTGGTCAACCTCCAGGACATGTCCGATTTTAACTGCCAAGCACTAAACCGCGATATTTGGAAGGATGAGGCGATCAAATCACTCGTCAGGGAGAACTTCATTTTTCTGCAGTACGATAAGAACGACTATGCGGCAGAGCAGTACATCACATTCTACCTACCCAACGAAGGTCACCAAAACCCTAACAACTTTCCACACGTCTCTATCATTGATCCTAGGACAGGCGAGCAAGTGAAGGTTTTTAGTGGAATCCCCTTCCCGAGCGCCCTGGACTTTCACGCGCAACTGGCCGAATTTCTCGACCGGTACAGCTTATCTGCACACAGCAAGAACCCTGTTTCTAAGGCAAAACGACCCGAGCGTGCCGTGAACGTGGACCGTATGACAGAAGAGGAGATGTTGGAGATGGCGTTGCAGAACAGCCTGGATGCCAACGGCGGCTCGAAACACCCGAACATCCAAGACCCGGATGAGCTCACCAAGTCCACGGGTACGTTGCAAGGAGGCCAGGGCAAGGAATCAACAGTGCCAACGGAGTCCGCGCCCCCGGAACCAGAGACCGCAGAAGCGTCTTCAGAGCAGCAGATCTCCGCATTCAGTAGGATACCCTCGGATCAACCCCACATCGAACCGCCTGCAGACCCCAAAACTACGACTAGACTTCAGATTCGGAACCCGCCCGGGCGCATCATCCGACGCTTCCGCCTAGACGAGCCCGTGTCACGTATCTACGAATGGCTCAAAGCTGAGCCCTTGGAAGGCAAGGACGGCGTCGAGTTTGAGCTCAAGTCCATGCCCCCCCAGAGTGACGACTTGATCAATCATTTGGACGAGACAATCCAAGAGGCTGGCTTAGCGAATGCCGTGGTTATGCTTGAGTTTATCGAGTAGGCGAGGCAAGGCGAAAGCCTATATGATTTTGCCCTCCCCGTCTTTCTTTGTGCGTGGGTTGCTTCTGCTTTGGACTTTTTCTCGGCGCGGAATCACTGGGTTCAGTGACTTGGGCGAATGGCTGGTCGGATAGGGCGGACGGCACTAGATGGGCATTTGGGGGGCGGGGGCGGAGATGGATAAGTCACCTGTGAGGTCCTTCCCTAGATCAATAATTCCTTTTCAGACGATTTGCGGACTATTTCATTCCTTCACTATCTCGCTGTAGAAGGGGAAAGTTGTTTGTGGCCTAGACATATTCCGGAGGGGGTTTCCAGCACCACTAGCATTTAGCTCGGTGGGAATACCTGATTTAATTTCTCTCGCCCGGAAGACCAGACAGAGGAGACAGAGGATAAAGTCGTAGCAAGAATCCGAACCCTTTTGCTCCCCATTCGTGATGTTTCCGAGGTACTCATTTTACCACCCCGGCGTTTTATGTTTCGGGAAACCGAGTAGCAGCAATTATGAAACTTGTATTTCTGAATTATCCGGGACGCGCAGCAACATCCAATCCGACGGCGTACTCCGTACGGCTAACTTTAACTAGTTACCACAGCCGCAATCTGAGCTCACCGGAACTTCCCTCCTACCAACGATGTACTTGTCTACGTAGCCAATCGATCGGGCAATCACACGGCTTCGACGGCGGAGGCCGTGACGTCCCATCCAGGTGAAGAAAGCAGAAAACTCCCGGCTTCCTTGCCGCGATGTTGAACTCTTCAATGTTTTGGACCGGAAAATGTTGATGTTCTTCGAAACGGGAGGCGTGGCCCTGGTGCAGGCGGGGGACTTGTGTCGTTTGTTCAAAATTTGCCCTGTCCAATAATTACCTTGATATCCCGCCCAGCGGAAACCGTGACCACCGAATGTAGGGGATATTTCGGCCGGGAATCTCTGCACTGGTCAAGAGTATGCGGTGATCATTTCAAGGCTGGCACAAGCCCATGTCGCCGCCGTGGTACTTTATCTCCAGATTCATCGAGGTAGTCAGTGTACTCCGTATTGGCTCTCGCAAGGCCAGTTCCGGTGCCAGGTGTGCCCGGCGAAAAAACAACGGCCCAGTGTTCACCCGCCAAATTCCATTTTACCCCTGGCGGGTGAGTGGGGAGGGCGGGGAGCATGGTGCCAAGCAGTGGGCTGAAAGCGGGTGGGGCTTAGAAGTAAACAATCTCTTTGGCCGTCGTGTGCTGGGTTTCCTCGACCCCACACTCCCTGTGGCCTGGCCGTCTAGCAACCAAGCACCGGGCCATTGTCAACAACCTTTCTGACTCCGATTCTCCAAGTGACGCCTAGAATGTAACCAAGTAAGACTAAGTTGTTGTTCCATTTTCTGAGGCGGAAGGTTAAAACTGTATTTCTTCAACAGCTGGTGTTATCAAGTGGACGTTTAGATACGAACGACAGCGCTTCAGGCTCCCACCCTAACACCCGTCTTCTTTTTGTCATTGTTAGCTCGGCAGGTCGAGGTATGCGCACACGACGGCCATCTTTTCTAGTCCATGCCTAACACTCACGGTTTCCCAATTCCCGCCTCGAAACTTCGAATGCTCTCTTCCCCAATGCTGATTTTTGCCTCCTCTCCATGTGCAGTTCTTTAGCTAACTTCACTGATCACAAAGCTCCCCTTTGCGTCAACACGTACGGTCGACCATTGTTCCCCTCCATCTCCACACACCTCATGAACAGGGACGATCCCCCTGCCGAATAGCTGCCGCTTCTCGAAACTGCCTCGACTGCTTCTTTCCACTCGACCATTGGCTACTCTTCTCCTCACCTCCAAGCCGCACCGCTTCCACAAACATCCCACATACGATTGATACTCCCTGCAATTTCGGGGTACCTCAGCCCGCGAGGAGCTGCAGCCCATGGCGGACCGCGAGTATGAGGACACCGAGGGTTCAATGGACCCCGAAGCACTATACACAAAGGAATATTGCATTGGTGAGCCAGAAGCCGGACCAGCGGCGCGGGATCACAACGGCTAACAGGTTCAACAGGCGGGGGAAGTTTCGGCAAGGTTTACAAAGGGTAACCGCCTCCGTTAACACCCCTCCTCCTTAAGATCAAGATGTTGATATAACAGCAGGGTGGACAAACGGACTGGCCAGTCCGTAGCCATCAAGGTCATCGATATTGAGAGTGCCGAGGACGAGGTCGAGGACATTATCCAGGAAATCGCCATTTTGTCCGAGCTGCAGTCGCCTTATGTTACCAAATACTACGGTTCCTACGCCAAAGGCGCAGAGCTATGGATCGTCATGGAGTTTTGCTCGGGAGGGAGCTGCGCTGATCTCATGAAACCGGGTTTGATTGGGGAAGATTACATTGCCATCATCGTGCGCGAGCTGCTGCTGGGCTTGGAATACCTCCACGCTGATAAAAAACTTCATCGTGACATCAAGGGTAGCAAAAGGCTCAACACATACAAGGCTCAATAATCTGGCGCTAACGTCTCATAGCGGCAAATATCCTCCTCTCCTCCAATGGCCAAGTCAAGCTTGCCGATTTCGGTGTCTCTGGTCAGCTCTCTGCGACAATGACGAAAAAGAACACCTTTGTTGGAACGCCATTCTGGATGGCACCCGAGGTGATCAAACAGAGCGGTTATGACCACAAGGCGGACATTTGGTCACTGGGCATTACCGCGTTGGAGCTTGCCAATGGTGAACCTCCATATGCTGACATCCACCCGATGAAGGTGCTTTTCTTGATTCCCAAGAACGCCCCGCCGCGGCTAGAAGGCAACTTCACCAAACCCTTCAAGGAGTTCATTGAGCTCTGCTTACAGCGCGACCCCAAGGAGCGGCCGTCGGCTAAGGAGATGCTCAAACATCCCTTCGTTCGCCGGGCCAAGAAGACAAGTTATTTGACGGAACTAATTGAGCGGTACAGCCGGTGGGCGGTCACCCATAAGCAGGATGACGAAGACCTTGACGGCGACACCGGCGATCAGATTGAGAACCGAGGCCCCGTAAACGAGGATATGTGGGATTTTGGGACCGTACGTTTGGTCAACGAACGCGGCAACATGGTGCACCGGCCCGGGTTACTCAACCCCATGGGCGACTCCGCAACTAACGCGAGACCTGCGCGAACATTTGACGCCCCCGACGGCTACGACGATAGGCAACGAGAGACGAGCCCGAATAAGTTTACCTTGGAAAGGGATACCTTGAAGGGGACCACTAGTGGAGGTACATCGCGACAGTCATCCCCCCAAAGGAAGCCAGTCGGTGCGGCGGTTATCCCGCCCATATCGCCTGCAAAGGTCCCGCTGCCTCCCTCCCCCCAGAAGCCCGCCACAGGTCCTGAGACCCCTCGGGTGTCCTTTTCATCGAAACCAGTACCTCCGATCCCATCACCAAACTCCCCAGATTATGATCTTGTGCTTCAGGAGCAACTGCAACGGGAGATGAGCGTTATGAACCTCGGCTCCGCAATACAACACCAGAGCCCTTCTCTCCACTCCACTGCATCGTCGGCACGGCCCAGCCCTATGAAGCTTCCAGAAATTCCCCCGTTCCGAGGGCCCTCACAGCAATATCAACAGTCACCAATTCAACGGAACTCGCCTTACCCCCAACCTCTTCAGACCAAAAACACCGCCCAGCCCCCAATTTATCAATTCCACGCGGCGCAACAACCACCACCGGGCTTCGGCCCCCATCCCTATGCTAACCAGCCAAATTTCCAGCCGCAGCCGCAGAAGCCGTCCTACTCGAGCCAGAACATCCAACCCCTGATTTCTAAAGAACTCCCTCGTCCTGCAGGCCATCTAGATAGCAGTTCTGGGGCACCGCTCTCCTTCCCAATCCCGGCGCCGTCTAATCCCAATGGGGAGCTGGATGCCTTAAACGACGTCATCTTTCCCGCTCTCGAGGAGGCCCTCAAGCGACGACAAATCAGCTTGCAACAGGCATATCGGCCCGAGCAGGCCCCCGGGTCGCCTCCATTGCCGGTCACGCCAAAGCAGCAGCGGGCCGAGGCGGCCCATGATAAGGTTCGCAAGTTGGTGTATAAGCTTGCTCATGTGTGCAAGGAAATCGATCATTTTGACAAAGCGGAACCCGTGGGAATGGGGAAAGAAGTTGGCACGTTCTTAGAGGGGCTTTTGGAGGAAATCCTGGTGAGAGTCGAACCTTTAGATGAAGAAGATGGCATGGCATGAGTTCTTGATCACGAGGCTCGGGGTACTAGGAAACTCCAGGTCGATCTATCAGGCGGCCGAAGATGTACGACTAACCACGATTATGATTCATGGACGGGAGGCCCTACAAGGAAGCAATAGGCAGATAGTTGTGGACGGTGCTGTTGATACCATGGGATTAAGGGGGAGTCGGATGGATTGGCTGTGGTCGAGATGGCGTCACACACTTTTGCGTCGTTCGTTTTCGTTCTTTGTAAATCCGGGTTCAACGATATGGATGCCGAAAAGCATTCATGCCCCTTGTTTCTTGATATACGTCGATCTCACGCAATGTGCTCCCTGTCCGCCCGGGTTTAATCGCCACGATCCGGTACTTGCTCACTTCTCCCACACTCCTTACAATACAAGTCAGAACACCAAACCAAAGGCTTATTACGTTTCTTCCCCGGACGCCTACTAGGTTTACATCCATTTAGCAATTCAGCCGAGGGCCCCCGCTTACAACAAATCCATCAGCTTGCTCGCGATCTGGTCAATATTGGACCCGAAATACTCCGGTGTGGTTTGCAGGTACAACACCCCGTCCTCGATCTCGCACTCATTGTACGTCTCCTTCTTGAGCTTCTCCACCACCCGGAACGCATACTCGTTGGTGCTGACAGCCTCCAGAACGCCCTCGCGGATCATCTCATCTTCGCCCGTCTTGATATACTTGAGCTGGTACGCCAATGCGTCAAAGTACGCCCGCGTAAAATCGGGCAGGACACGCTGCCAGTCGTCACGCAGCGAAGACGACGAAGAGGCGGAGAGAGCGGCGAAGTTCGCCTCAAAGTTGGGGGTGAGGGTGACTGCCTCGACGGGCTTATCGAGAAGTGTGGCGATTTGCTCGCGGATGGCGACGATCTGTGTGTCGTAGTCGTTGTGGATGCCCATGCGCACTAGGTAGGACAAAGGCACACCGCTGGGGCTCGGTGCCGCGTTGAGGGCCTTGGTCAGTGTGCTCTCCTCGCAGCAGGAGTCGATGTTGCTGCCGAGATTCTTCTCGGTGAAAAGCAGGCTCAGGCGGCCGGCATCGTCGACGTCACAGCCGGCGTAGGAGAAGCGGGCGGGCTGCTCGGTCTCGACGTCAAGGGTTAGGACGTGGGCGTGGCAGATGGTGTTGACCTCGTTCTTGAAAGCGTCGCCGCCCTTGCCAGCTTGGTACTTGAGTGTGTAGATGGCGCCTTCGATGTAGCTAGTTTTGGCAAAGCCGCGTGTTAGTCTGCTGTCTGCGGCACACATGCCATGGAAGAAGGGATATAAGAAGCGGTCGGGACGAATTTTGGGGTGCATCGTACGCTTTGATACAGCTACCAAGCGACTCCTTGGCGTAGCCGTCATTGTGGTAGGGCCAGATGGCGAGAGGGTTCAGTTCAATGGTCCAGGGAGCGCCAAGGACATCCGAGAGCTGCGCCTCGAGGTCGGCTTTGTTGTTCTCCCACTCGTCACGGACTATAGACTTGTCAGAACCTGTACCGCAAAAGAAGATGGTGAGTTAGGAGACATTACCATTCTTCCGGAGCGCGAGGGGAAGCTTTTCGGCGGGAGGGAGACGGGCCATGATGTAGAAGTATGAGGATCAAAGGACAATTGGAGAGAGCGAATGAGTTGTTAAGAGCCTTGGAAGTGTGTTGATGGGATTATTGAGTGAGATGAGAATGGTCCCAAGGTCAACGAGCACCTCCTTTATAGCTGAACTTTCCTCTCGCTTCATCGTCAACAGGACACTGACTCGCCCCTTATTGTTCCCCGCCTCCAACCCAACCCCGCGAGAATGTAGGGCTGAGCTCCCCCCTGTTCAGTGTTGAGGGGGTCTGAGGCTCTTCCGTAGAGAAACGGCCTCCGGGTGGAACAAGTGGTGGCCGCAGCATCCCGGAAACCGCCCGGCGCTTGTCCAGATAGGAAAACTTAAGCGGACACCAGGATGTGAAGCGCAAACTAGCCAAACCTTCTCGCCGCCACGACAGGGTGCTCAGTCCCCTGTCTCAATTCGACTTCAAACTTCCTCCTGTCCAGAGTAGACATCTTTTGAGTGAATAGTTCAGGGCTATTATCGGCAAATCGAGTTAAATAGATTGTATTCGTTTATCCATCATATCTTAGGGGATGTAAGGGTGCTGGTGCAATCCTGAGGTCCTCTTCTTTGTAAAGTTACGTCGTGCAGCAAAAGGCACATGGGGCCACCAATATCGCAACCCACGTTCCAATTGACTTTCATGCAGTGTAGAGAAACAAGAAAAACACCATCGCCTGGGGCTGAAGTTCCAAAGGCAGTCTCGAGACAAGAATGCCTCCTTCAATGCTAGCGCGGTTTGCCTTGCGAGCTGCCTGTCCCTGCCAAGAGAGGGCCCCGCCTTCAGCTTCAGCCCCCTTTTCGTTCCCACCCCCAATGCCCGAGCAACAACAATCACATTGCCGCCTCCCGAAGATGGAAGTCAAGATCTGTATTTCAGAAGGGGAGAAGCCGCGTGCTTGTGATGTCCTGTGAGCTGACATTGTTCTTGAATCCTTGAGCTATCCCGACAGAACCCGATCTTCCTCAGGCACCCCACCACTCTCAACATCGAACGTGGCATCAAGTGCTTCGGCATGACGTCCCTGTATGTTTTAACCCCACCATATCCTCTTCCTTTTTAACGGCTAACCCTCAAGCCCAGACCTCTCAAAATCCGAGTCGGGGTCCGGGAGCATTGGACTAAGGAAGACGGTCCACTCCAGACAACTCTGCGTGACCTGCAAGCGTTGCTAGGCCACAAGGTCGTGGTCGAACCGGAATGGCCACTGCTGGCGGATAAACTGGACGCTTTTTACACAGACAAGACTACCTTAGTCGTTGTCGTGGCTGGCTGCATTCAGACTTGGGCAAGATGCATGTTCGAGTTACTGGAAGACCCGGTGAACGAGGACTGGACTGAGAAAGTACTTGAGAAGGTGCCCGTTCGAATGGACGTCTTTGTCGAGGTGTCGGCCACGGACAACGCAACGACCACGTGGTCGGAACATCGTGGCGGATTTATCGTGGAATTGCCAAATAAGCTGGTATCTCTGCCTGCTGAACTCTTTCCCGTCTTCCAAGGCCAGCTTCTAGAATGCTTCGATCCCGTTACGAAGTTGCAGTTACCAGAGAGGGGGGCCACGGCAGCGGCTGGTGACGATTGGGAGGGTGTCGAAGTCGATACCGCGACGGGCAGGCCCAAAGTGGTCGAGTCGACGACAAAAAGTTCGGCGGCCGAGTTCATGCCAGACGCTGCCTCGCTTCCACGGCCAAATGAACTCTTCCTCCGACCCCCATACCACCTTACGCTGCTCCCCGGCCACCAGCAGATCGAGCTTCATGGCAGCCATAGCCCGACGTTAGAGTTCATCGCTACGTACCTGAAGCGATGGTCCCGGGTTAACCACACCGACACCAGAAAAGTGAGTCCAGCCAGGCTCGATTTCTCCTCCCTAAACCCATAACTGACAGCGGGCCCCCTAGCCCGCCGGCGTCCAGGTCACCCTCCACCAGTCCTCCTTCGGCCAGGGTGGGATGTTCGACCGGTTAACGCTGAGTACCGAACACAACAGATACACCAATGAATTTGTGGTGACATCGCCCCTAATCGTGTCCCTCATTGAAGGTGTGCTGGGGTACCGGTTGGTTTCTGCTCATGAAGGCTGGAATTTCCAGAGAGATGTCGAGTTTAAGAAGTTATGAAAAGAGATTGTGGGAAATATCAGAATGCTATTACCCAAGAATTGGCTACGCTGAGATGGTGGCCCCATATCACGATCCCTTGAGATGGTGGTCTTGCGAGTGCTGGTTGTTGTGCGAACTACCTACGGTGCTGCAGACTCATAAGCGGATGATTCCACACAGACTTCGTACCTCGCCCCTGGGACATAAGTTTCTCGTCTCCAGAATTTCCGTAAACCAAACATGGCCTCGGGGCTGAAAGCAAAACCTACCAGAACAAAGCCCCTGAGGAAGTTGTGCGTTGGGGTGGGGCACCCTTATACCCTCACCTGGGCCTTTAAACCCTCACAAATCACCTAGCCTGCCCGGCTAGCTCAATCGGTAGAGCGTGAGACTCTTACTTCCCAAGTAAAATCTCCAATCTCAAGGTTGTGGGTTCGACCCCCACGTCGGGCTCAATTCCCGGCAGCGATTGCCTCTCTTTTTCTCTTTTTTCTCTGTTTCGTGTTGAAGTTTTTTTGTGGGTCCGGTCAAACGTCCCGGGTCTGCATGCGGAACTGGAGCCGCATCTTTTTCACCGAAGCTTCGATTGTGGGGCACAGCGTTCACCTTGGACCAGAGATCTCGAGAAAGAGATGGTAGAACAGGAAGCGATTTCCGCTGGAAGACAATAATATCCCGTATTTATGATTTTGTTCCTTTTTTATTAGAGAAAAAATAAAATAGGGCTTTTGCAGTAATGTTTATCAAGAGACTATTTGCGGTTTGCGGCATTCCTCCAGGTGAAGTTATATTTTGCCCAAAATCCTCCTTCCGCCTTGGCAACAGCCGTCGTTTTCCGTGCGGCCGAGGCGCTGCAGACGTCACAGGAATGGGCAGATGCGCTAGGCCTTTAATGGCTTAGCGCACGCAGGCTTCTCTCAAAGACGACCCACTTGCCCGGGAAGATGGAGACCGAAAAGAGCTGGGCCGACCAACAAGGCAGGCGCAGAGGCACTGGCACATTGTTTTGCGTTTTGCGGCATTTGCCCTGCGACAAACCTCTCTCACCACGCTTCTCTCAGGTCGACCGTTTCGTGGAGTTCCCCTAATTCTCCTCTCCTCCGCCCAATTGTCCAACATGCTATCCCGCAACTCTGCCCGCGCTGCCCAGGTATGTTGTGTGCCATGTGCTCCCCCTTGCGGCCGACCAACCCCCCACGAGAGTGGCCGGGATCCCCGCGATCGCCAAACCGCGGCCAACGCTAAAAGCCAACATGGAAGCAATAAACAACCAGACTTTCTGACCAGCGTCTCCTTCACAGCGCGTGCTCTGGGCCGCCGCCCAGCCCCAAAAGCGTCTCAATGTTGCCCGCACCTTCGCCAGTGTGAGCGACGCCCCTTCTCAAACCGTCCAGTCCGACATCTTCAAGCCCACGAAATACGGCGGCAAGTACACCGTCAGCCTTATCCCCGGTGACGGTATTGGTGCCGAGGTTGCCGAGAGCGTCAAGACCATTTTCAAGGCCGACAACGTGCCCATTACATGGGAGCAGATCGAAGTGTCTGGTCTGCAAGATGCGACTCCCACCGGTCGCACCGAGGAGAAGTTCCAGGAAGCCGTTGCTTCGCTCAGGAGGAACAAGCTCGGCCTGAAGGGTATCCTGCACACTCCGATCACCCGGTCCGGTCACCAAAGTTTCAACGTGGCGCTTCGCCAGGAACTCGATATTTATGCTTCCGTGTCCTTGATCAAGAACATCCCCGGCCTCAAGACTCGCCACGACAACATCGACCTATGCATCATCCGTGAGAACACTGAGGGCGAGTACAGCGGTCTTGAACACCAGAGCGTGCCAGGTGTCGTCGAGTCGCTCAAGATCATCACCCGTGCCAAGTCGGAGCGTATCGCCAAGTTCGCCTTTAGCTTCGCCCTGGCGAACAACCGCAAGAAGGTCACTTGCATCCACAAGGCCAACATCATGAAGCTTGCCGACGGTCTCTTCCGTGGGACCTTCAACCGTCTCGCCAAGGACTACCCCCAACTCGAGTGCAACGATATGATTGTCGACAACGCCTCCATGCAGTGCGTCGGCCGTCCCCAACAGTTCGATGTCATGGTTATGCCCAACCTTTATGGTGGTATTCTTTCCAACATCGCCGCCGCCCTGGTTGGCGGTCCAGGTGTCGTTCCCGGCTGCAACATGGGCCGTGATGTCGCCGTCTTCGAGCCCGGCTGCCGCCACGTCGGTCTTGACATCAAGGGCAAGGACCAGGCTAACCCCACTGCCCTCCTTCTCAGCGGCACGATGCTGCTCCGCCACCTTGGCCTCGATGACCACGCCAACCGTATCTCCAACGCCGTTTACGATGTGATTGCCCAGGGGTATGTTTCGATTCTATCATGCACCTACATTTGTCCTAGCTAACCGATTTCACAGCAACGTCCGCACCCCTGACATGGGCGGCCAGGCCACCAACCAGGAGTTTACGCGTGCCATCCTCAGCTCTATGGAGAAGTCCCTATAAAGCAAATCCAACTAGCTTTAATGAACACAATTCACTCGGCAAGAGTGCACATACCGAATCCCGTGACAGCTCCAAGCCCGGGCCACGAATCAACCCACCACGAACTGAGGACTGGAGGAGTTAGATCCGCGGTCGAGGAATCCAGTGGGGACACGGGGCGGACGAGCGGCGGGCAACCAGTACCATTCTGCGTAGACTGGATAGGAGGTGGTGGAGAGGGGAAAGGAAGACATGCTATGGACCCATGTACTCTACGTGTATATGAGAGCGGCGGCCGGAACGCGACACACTTTTACTACCTTTTTTCTGAACATTTTCAAGGCGATGGGGTGTTCTTACCATGATGTATTTTTGTGACAATGAGTTCCTGGAAAGTGATGCAAGCCTACCATTTATTTCCCCAATTTGATTCGACGAGTAGCTAATTCTCCCCAACATTGCACTTCTCCAATTCTTCCCCTCAAATGTAAATCCATTCCATGAGAACAGATTCGTCCAGAAGTGTCGTGCACAGCACACAACGTCCTAGCCCCACTGATCACCCCTTCGAGCTTTTCGGCCCTTCCCGACAAAATTTGACAAGTCCAGATGTTGAAGACCCCCGCCAAGCGCAACGCGGTGGATACCGGGAGTTGAAAACCGAGCACCGAGACGGAGAACCGCCGGAGGTATCGGTGGGGTGTGGGGTTGAGACAAAGGCCCCGGTTCGGTGTCTCGGTGTCGAACTTTGCCAAGAACCGAGGGGTCCAAAAGACAAACAGGGGTGAGGTTTGGTGCGGAAAGCGGCGCGCAGTGTCTGAGATTTGGCGATTCAAAGTTGGGCTGAATGCACGAGTCCTCAACTTGCACGACAAAGGGACTCAAGTACCTCCTCCGTACATAGGTTTGTCGGGGAAGCCATGTCCTAAGAAACATGAGATTGTTTTCGGTATGTATGGTGAGCGCGAGCGCTTCCCGAGGGGCGACGGCCATCGAAACATGTCAGGTTGAAGGAAGGCATCAAGTTACCATTGAACCCTATAGGCTAGATGCTATACCAATTGGTGTAATATCTTACAAAATAGAGGCGGAGGATCTCATTAGTGGTCTGATCGTCCTCTCCAAATTTGATGGAGTTTTTACCTAGCATCCCTCACGACGTTCTCCGCCGCGACTCGGAACCAAGAGGAAGTTTGGTAGCGAACCAAGTCGCCCGGCGCGCCGTCGAGCAAACGGACGATATCTTTTGCGACCCAGGAAGGTTGGGCCTTGATGGATGATAAGAGATCCTGCAGCTCTTCGGCGACGGACTGGCTAAGTTTGTCACAAACCACAACGAGCCTTTTCCCTGCAAGCGAGGCTGCATACCAGAGGATGAGAGCCTTAACAACAGGATCCCCACCGAATGCTCCGCAGCCCCAGAAGCCAGTGCGCACCTCTGTGAACCCTTCCGAGCAGAACGCCGTGTATGCCTTTCGAATCTCCCGATCAACGTTGCCGGGCCGGAGATCGGGCAGAATCCATGGCCCCTCGTCAGAACCCTCCTCGACCAAGTCGAGTTCCAACGCATCCATGAACAACATCCTCCTCTCTCTCCACCTCGTCACTGCGCAGTCAGATGTTCTCATCGGCTCTAGCCTGATATTCCTCCGCTGGCCGATCACGTTGACCATGCCCATAGCACCCTGAACGACCAAGACCTGATCATCCTCCAAAGGCGGCGTGACCAACACAACCGGGCACGCCTCAGGCGACGTACCGACATGAACCTCCTCCTGCGTCGCCGACTGCCCAAATCCAACGTACCGATTTGCCGACACTACCGCCGCGCCTCCAGGGAGGCCCAAACTCCCCGGCAGGACATCATACTCTTCCACGACTTCCACCTGCACCTCCCCAAGCTGACACGCCTCCCCGTCCGGAAGAGCGCTCTCCCTTCCCAGCGACCGCAGAGAGTAAACCACACCCCACTCATCCTCCCCCCCGTCCAACTTTGGAATCACCTCCTCAAAATAGGTTATCGCCGCCTTCAGATAAGCCCTCGTTGCACTCTCCTGCCGCTGACCCTCTTGAGAATACCAAATCCCAAAGTCGTGTGTCCCGTCCGTTCTCCACTCCGGCGCACGCATTGTGCGCAAGAATTGATGCACAACTAAACATGCCGCTTGTTTACGAGAAAGGCGTAATTCGGTGCTAGACCGTCCGAGGACGGGGATATATCCCATGGGAAAGAGTGCAGGCATAGCTAGTGCTATGGCCGCTATTTGGGGCCATGTTCTCGTATAAAAGTTGGGGAATTCGGAGATGGCGTCGCGGAGGAGATTATGATCTGTTGCAGGTGACGTGGAGCCAGTGAGGGTGAAGGAAATTGTTTCGAGGAGGGAAATGAGTGGGGAGGAGGAACGTATCAGATTAGAGGGACCAAGAAGAGACTCAAAGATGGGCCAAAAGGGGACGTTTCCGGCGCTGTCTTCGGGAGGAGATGGGCAAGGGTAGAGGCTGAAGCGGTCGAGGCAGGTGTAGTTGGGGGAAGTGGGAAGGATGTAGAATTCGAGGGGCATTGTAGGAGTCTGATATGAGTGGTGATTGAGGGCAGTATCTTTTAGAATAGTGAGGTGAAGTTTCTACTCATGGGACGTTGGTTGGTATTAGGTAATGAGGGTTAACTATTTATTTGGCGTTGAGAGCGGTTCAAGTATAATGTGAAGATGATATTGCCGACATGACTCATTTGGCTGTGTGTTATCTCGGGAGCTCAGACTAGGTGGTTGTCGGCGGTCACCCCGGCGAGCCCAGTTTGGTGTCTTAGTGTTGATTGTTTGACAAGGAGCAAGAGTCCAAGGAGTGGCAGGGGTGCGGAAAGCGGCGCGGGGTGTCTGAGATTTGGTGATTTAAAGTTGACAACGACGTAAATTCACGAGTTTTGGGCTTGCACGGCAACGAGACTCAAGCACATGGATTGTCGGGGAGGAGGCATGTTATAAGAAGCATGAAATTATTTGTAGTACACTGAATGCGAGCGAACGTGTGGGAGTCTTCAACGCAATAAAATAATTATAATATACTAAATAACTTGGTACTCCACAAATATTTATATTTAACCACACTGTATCAGATCTTGGAATATATTCATTTTCCTCGCCACAACCACTTAGGTAAGATGAAGGTGTATTTTTTATGTTAGAGAATTCTAATGTTGTTTCGGGGAAGCTCACATTCTAGTCGAAAATAAAAGCAACTTTGGGTACCGGCAACAATGCGGGCAGTATTTACTAGCAAACCTTGCTCTCTTGTCTTGCTGCGTTGCCAGAACCACGGCCCCGCGGCTCACGGAAATGCACACTCATCATGGAGAGACCTCATAGGGACGCAAAATGACCCTTAAAAGAAATGGGTATCAAATTTGACGAATAATTGTGAAACATGGTAAACAGTGGAGGTACTTTTATCCTCAGAACCAAACGCCGCCCTTGATGCAACCCCGGACTCCTAACAAGACAACCAACCATGGAACAAGAAACATGAGGCACATAGCGAAACATCAAAACTGAATACGCCGCTTCCGCCCCGTGTACTTGGAGGTCGACTTGACGATCTTGCCCTTCCGTTCCATCTGCTCCTTTTTCTTGATGATCCAAGCTTTGCTGCCCTTCTTGATGTCGCCCCTGCCGGTTTTGCCTTTCTTGCGATGGTCCATCACATCCACGTTATCCATGCCGTCGACCACACCGGTAATGTCGCCACCCTTGCCAGCCATCGCGCTGCTCCCAACGGTGAGGACAAGGTAAACCTTGACATTCTTCGTCTCCGGGTCGTCCTCTAACAAGCCGGCGCCAAAACCGGCCTTCACGGCGGCAGAAGTGATCATCTGCTTCTGGACGTCGTTCTTTGGGTAGAACTGGCACACAGCCATGCCACCACGTTTAAGCGACGCATAGAGCCCGTTGAAGAAGCGCGAGAGTCGACCGGCCGGTGAGGTTTCGCTGTTCTCAGCGTTGCACAACCACTGGATGGCGCTAATACTGATGGCAGCGTCGAACGCGCCGGCGCGGAACGGCACGCCCTGTCCAATGTCTGCCAAGAGAAGGTCCCCTTCTACGTCCCGCTGGAGCGCCACGTCCAGCATTGATGCGCTCACGTCCATGCCCACCCACACATGTGGCCCACCCTCCTCCTCGGGAATCGACGAGAGGATTTCTCCCGACAGACCACTGCCACAGCCGATGTCGAGGATCAGACTCGGCGTTTTGAGGTCGAGAAGCTCGAGTGCCCGCTGGGTCATGGAAGCTTGAATATTTTGGATACGGGAATTTGTCGTGTACTTCCGAGCTTCGACATCGTCGTAGTGGACATCGGCCGCGCTGTTGAGGGGTTGGTTAGTTAGGAAGCGCGAGAGAACATGTGAGGGGCGGAACAAACAGGGTATCCTCGGGGCGCGACATGCTGCGAGTTGACAGTCACCGGTCGAAGCAATTATTATGTAGAGTGAATATCAGGGGGTTATGACTCCTCAATTCGACACCTGCGCAAACCTCTCGGTTGAGCCACTTCAAACTCGGCGGTCGACGATCGAAGCGGTGGTGGGGTAAAATTATTGGTGGCAGTGGGCCAGATACTTCGTAGAGGCAGCGTAAAGGTGAAAAGCAAACGAGGTTGGTGCACGTCAAGAGCCTGCGCGGATTAGAAACGGCGGACAGCTATCCGTAAACTCTGCGGATTAAGATGGGGACAAAAACGACTTGCAACTTCTCGTGCTTGCGAACGGCAGGTTCCTGATAGCTGGAATTTTGTGGGTGTCTTTTGCGATAAGCCTTATCTAACCCTAACCCGCTAAGTAAACTCATTTGCCGGGGATCAACGATCTGCCGCGTCCGGCGCATCTTCCCGCTGTGGACACGCTTTCAGGGGCACGTCATGCACGGAGCTCAAGCAGCTCGCAGCTCTTCCAGGTCCCCTGAATGCGACACCAATTGGCCACGCAACCAGCTCATTGTTTCTTCCAAACGAGCTTGTCAAGTACCTCTCTTCCTTCCCGGCGAACGTGACGTGGTTCTTTTTAACTTCACTTTAAGGGGGGGAAAATCACCGTTCAAAATGTGGATTCTGCCATTAGTGGGTTATGTGGGCTCCGTCGTGGGCTTCTGCTTCATGACACTGGCCATCGGTACGTGCTGCAGCATGTTCGTGCGTCGCGCTCTCTTGCTGATGTGTGCATGCTCTCTCCAGCGTCCGGGCTCTACTACCTTTCCGAGATTGTCGAAGAACACACCGTGATCGCTAAGCGGGTCCTGACGAAACTCATCTACTCGATTATGGTCCTGCAACTGTTCCTTTGCGTCGTCGACCGTTTCCCCTTCCTACCGACGGCACTGGGCATCTTCTCCCACTTCATCTACCTCGGAAACATGCGGCGATTTCCCTTTGTCAAGCTCTCAGATCCTCTGTTTTTGACTTCTTGTGGTGGGTCATGTTCCGTCACATTGCGTGTCAACCAAACAACTGACAAGTAGGGGTTCTAGTTCTCGTTCTGATCAACCACTACGTTTGGTTCAGGCACTTCTCCCACTACCAAGAACGCGCCTACCAGAACATGACCTCGTATTACGACACACCTGACGATGTCCCCACATTCACCGAGATCGCGTCCTATTTCGGCCTATGTGTCTGGTTGGTTCCATTCTCGTTGTTTGTCAGCCTCTCGGCGAGTGACAACATCTTACCCACAATGGGTAGCGAGCCATCATCCTCTGCCAGGCCATCAGGGATGACCGGCTCCGCAGCTGCGGGGAGGCGCAATCAGGGCATGGCTAAAGCGCTGGTGGATAACATCCGTGGGGCTATAGGGGAGGGGAGTGCGTTATTTGGGTGGAAGAAGCCTGAAGACCGGTTGTAACAAACACAGCGATAGCTACCGGCAATGAAACAAACGGTCTCGAATTCAGAAATCATCGCGTTGATAAATGGGGAAATGTAAGGCCATGGGAATCCTCCCCCCTCTGGACTTCTCCTTCGGTGGACAACAGGAATCAAACAAGCTAACGAACCTCACCCTAGGGCCAACCCATCATTATGAAACTTGGACATGATGCCTACTTTTCAAAACGAACATCTTAACGCGCCGATACCCCGACAAACACCTTTTACCTCCGCTCTCCACTTAGTCTGCTTCCTACCTCATTCAGCGTCGCTAGCAACGACTCTCTCCGAGTCAATCCTCCATTTCCCGCACCCTCGGACTCTCTGGCCCTATCTCGCTCCGTCCGTAGGTACTCATAAAACCCCGACGTGCGCCGCAAATTCCTTTCTGTCAAACTCAGCACCCTACCACCGGCCGTTCTGCTGCCACTGGCGCCGCTAGCGCCGCTATCGCCTACTGTTCCGCCGGCACGACCACTTCCTCCTCCGCCCCCGTTATCCCATCTCGACGACGATACCGAAGCCGGTGCTGAAGCCGACGCCGTGCCAGAATACCCATATGAATTACTCTCACCTGCGGTGGCAGCCACGCTGCTGGATGCGAGTGCGGTAGTAAGCCCTCCGTGTTGGGTGGAGTGAACGGTTGCGCGAGGGGCCCTAGCAAGCATGGGGTCGCGGGACTGAGCTGGACCTCCGAAGAGGGGTGAACCTGGTGCCAGTGGGCTACCGGGATCTCGGGAAGTGCCTGGGGGGACGGAGGAAAGGGTGTAGGCACCGCCTGGAACTAAGGCTGCGGTTGGTTCACCAGCCGGGGTCGTTGTGCGTCGGAATGGAAAGTAAGAGCATGCCAAGCTTCGGGGCCCGCTACCGTCACTGCTGCTGCTGCTGCTGCTGCTGCTATAACTGGATGAGCCAGCACTATCGATGTTATCGCGAAGGAGCGCCGCGAGCGTGTCGTGATCAGGGCTGAGCCAGCGAGAGCGGTGGCTACGCGGGGTGGAGGATCCGGAATTGGTGGCGCGACGCATGTCGGTTCTCCAACCGGTATGTTGAGGATATGTTCGCCCAGTGGGTGCCATCTTGCTGTCCGGGTAGTTGTTGGTCGGCTCAGTTGAGGTTCTCTGTTTAGTCTACGTTCAAGACTCTTGCAGAAGCTAGGAAAAGAAACACGAATGGCCTCTGATGAAAGGGCGAAGCTTTAAAATATCCTACACTTTCCAATCTCCGGTCTCATTGCTCACCATCAAGCTCACGCGGTTGGCTTGTGGTACAAGCAGCCTGGGACCCTTCCATCGACGTGGCTCGCGGACGGGAACTTGCAGGCTACGTGTGTCATGCTGGTATCAGCGGAAGCTGCCCACATGGGATGTCTCTTCCTATAATAACAGATCGAAAAGATGCCTAATCGAGGCCACGCCGCGCGATCGATTCGTCCTGGCCGAGGATTTTCGCCGCCACGAGGGCTTAAAATGGAATATGGTTTACGGCGTACATCGTTAAGGAGTGACAGCCTGTGTTTGCATGTGTAAAACAGAGACTACTTGGGGTGTTTGCTCATGTACCTTGTCGGCTCGCGGGCGGTTCCGCCCAACAACCTTACACAAAGCGTCAGCGGTCGCTGTTGGCGATCGCCCCGTGGACAATTCTCTTTGGCCCTCCTGTCGGGTAGTATCGCCGGAGATGTCGGTGTGGTTACATGAAGCTGTCACCGATGAGGCTGGTATGCTGAGTTGGTTCGACCCAGGTTTCTCAAGCGGCACGCCAGGGTGGTTATAACTGTGTGGCAAAGATGAGATTCGGAATTCACTGCAGGTTAGCCATGCTGGAGGACGCTTCAAATGAACATCTACCATCATAGGCCTTAGGCCCAATCCTCTCCCTACGGTACTTTGACAAAAGCTATGCCGTTTAAATTATCCGCGTTGGAGGTAGTGGTACTTACAAACTGTTGAGAGGAAAGCAGTTTCCTGAGCCCTACAAATGGGATACAGAGGCAACCATTACTAAGGTCATTGACGGAGCCGATGTAGGTCTGGCCCTTATAATCCATGTGCGGGCTCAACAAGCGCTCCTGGAGACATCTTCCGCGCTCTCTGTATGATCCCCGACTACCGGCCCCAAGCCGAAATCCCCGCTTAGATCCTTAACCTACTTCCTTTGCCATGCTGGACAAGGTCACACCACATCATAAGGAGGGGGTTCCGCTCTGATATGAGCCGCCATCACACGCACCTTTACCCTACCACGGCCTAGCGCTAGGCTTATTTATAAGTGTCGAGCAAGATCCGGTGGGCTGGATTTTGTGCGCGGATCCGTCCCCAGTAACCGGGTACCCGGAGGACCTCCCAAGGCAACCTGGGCCTTGGTTTGGGTTATGGATGGCTGTTCTAGACCTCGCCGGGCGGGAAGCGCTCCGTGCCAGTAGGACCTGCCTGGCTCCCTGTCACAAAAGGGGGGCAATTGCATTTGAGCCGAGGTTTCTCTTGTGAGTGGCTAGTCATTTCCTTGTTACCTCCTCCCCCAGAGCCCCCATCTAAGCAGTCAGCTAGTACTACCTGTCCATTCCCTACGCAGCGAATGGTTTTGCTCTCGACAATCGCCCCGCCGTAGAGCAACGCTGAACTTAGTCTCCCGCTGCCCAGTGTCATGGTGTTAACAAATCTGTTACGGAACTTGAAGCAGCCATTCAACAACGTACAAATGCTGTACCCCAGGTGTACTCTCTAGGAGGCCTCCCTGTGTAATACGGCTGTTTTAGGCATTGGCCAGAGGCAACCTCAACTGCCTTCAACATTAGCCACCGGGAACTATCGGAGTAAAACGGTCTGGTCATGGGCGATCGGCAATGTTGAACCCGTTAAGGACGCGTCAGGTATCATTGGCTGAGGGGTGAGTTCTGTTGACATAACTGGCTGTGGCCGAAAGAAGCCGGCAGACCAAGTCCTTGAGAACTTACGTTTCTACAAGAGTGAAAAAAGACCAAAAAGAATAAATCAAAAAAGTGAAAGAAGACAAAAATAGTAACTCAATCAAAATCTGTTAATATTTGATCGGATGTTAATGGATTGGACTTGAGGTATCGGTTTTAGATGGTACCGTAGTCTGCCGCTTCTTTTGGCCACAGCGAGCCTACCTACCTATCCACGTTTTCTTTGTTTCCCACCCTTGATTGCTTCCGGCTGATGTGATACTGCGGGATCTTCATGCTGATAGCGTTGGAAACTAAGGCTGTTCGGAATACTTATTTATCTCTTAAACATCTTCGCATAAAATGAGCAAGCAGGCATGGGGGACGACAAGGCTACCGCAAGGCAAAATAATGAGTGCAAAAGATACAAAAATCTTAGTTCGGATACTTTGCCCACAACCAGAATCGAACTAGTGACCTTGTCATAGAGAATTTACTAGTGACACGCTCTACCACTGAGCCATGCGGGCATTGGATGTTCTTGAAAATTTTGGGGCGCGGGCCCACTTAAGAGAAGACCACAGCAGTCCCACCCCCTCTACAATCATTCTCGTAGACTCCTAAAATAAGAAAGCGAGTTCTATTTGCCTTTTATTTTCCTTCGCACCAGTGTTTTAATTTGCGTGTTTGATGTCCCATAAACTGCCGCTCAGCCGTTGAGACATGGCGAACACGCTGTGTTTCCCCTTCTGCCATTACCCGCGGGCAAGGCAGAATCTTTCAAAGCCGGCGTTTTTAAAAGTATCCGATGAGTATCTAGGCACACCACGAGGGCCTATCAAGTGTCGATATTTTGTGACGTGTTTCGGTGTAGAGTTGTGTTCACTAGAACACCATCACCTGCGTAACATCGGTTTGACGGTTTGCCTGTTTCCTGTGTTCCAAGTCCTAGCCGACCCACAGGATATTAGAATGTCGTCTACCGAAGTTTGGCCTATGTTTTCCATCGGCTGTAACATCGGACCTTCTCGGAGGAAAGGGTGAGTATCACGGAATACGCCACTGTGAACCCATGGTGGACTTGTGAGAGGTTGGACTTACTGGATATCCCCGAGCGAGGTCCCCGAACGTGGTCGGCAGGCGAGCGGAAGAGTCGAGACCAGAAACAAAAAGATTTGAACGAATTCTAAAGAACCATAATCGATCCCATTCTAGGAAAAGTCTCATTCTTGTTGGACGAAGTCACATATAGCTGGCGAAAGCTCCATCATCCGCTCGAAGTTGACGCCGGATAGCATTGGGGCTTCTGACTGTGTGCTGTCAAAGACAATTTTCTTCTTTGATTAGTTGGGGCCATGGAAAATTGGCGTTGTTGGGTTCCGGTTCACTTTGGTCTGTAACGTTCATGTTTGATATAATGGCTTTGACATACACGGAACGGCCGATTATCGTAGGGCCACCGGTAAATAAGTGCTTGCTGTTTCATCCGTGCGGCAACCTACATTGTGGTTCTGTCTAAATATCCCTTGCTGACTGCGAAATGTTCTCGAACGCGTTTACCGGCGTGTCAACCCTAACCCCATCCGCGGTATTCACATTCTGGGTCTCTGTCGTTTCCCATGCCCACGTAGAACCCCCTGCAGGTTAACCCATTTATTCCTGGAAATCAAAGTAAAAGGCGGATCACAACAATATCTAATATTACGGGTCACATCGAATTCAAACCCCGGTACTTGAAGTCGTGTGCTTGAAATTCTTGGGGTGGTACTTGCCTCAACACAGATGATAAACCGCCGTTCTTCCTACGAATCACTGCCATTCTGCAAGACGATTGATCGACAGAACCGGGCAACTACAAGTTGATGACAGAGTTGGCGGCTTGTGTCATCCAAACTTCCAAACCGCCCTTTGACAATCATGGGGGCTGGCCATGTGGTCGCACTGCCGGACATATGGGGAATCAATGACGTACGCAGTGGCGGAATCACCATCACGATGCTTGTACCAACCTCGGCACCCCCCTCTTCGTCTGGTTTGGAGGGAGCTGCGTGCCTCGAACGCCACCATAGATTTACCGTGGCGTTGGATAGCAACGCATCTGGTGACTGCTATCCTGGACACTCTCATGTCTCCATTGTAGTATTGTCTTGCCCCGCTCTCCTTTCCCCTAACGAGGTTAGGTTGTTATAATTACGCACTCGGTTAATGGTCATACTCTTTTCCTTGCTCAGCTTGACTTGGGAGCCTACCCCCGTACTGCCCCCTTAGTTCTATTCCAAAACACGGGACCCGACGAGCATTGATAGTGATAAAGGCGCTTGAAAGGAGGGTACAACCATCTCCGATCTCCGAGTAAGGACGCTGGAGTTTCGCCCGAGTCACTACCACTAGTAGGTGAGTTACAGAATTAATGGGGCTAGCCAAGGCCGGCGATGGGGCTGTAAAGGGGTGGATTGGGGTGAATTCATCACACGAAAGTCATCTCAGTCCTGAGGTGGTGGGTAGGCTGAAAGGCTGTGACTAGGGGATGGAATGAGGGTGTGATGAGGGTGACGAAATGGTGGTGATGTTTAGAATACCAGGCAATGAGAACTGGTGTATGTAATTATTGGTTCTATTTTGTAGTACTTCTTACTACTCGTCAACTTTCTCTTTAGCATGGCAACGGGAAAACTGCCCGGATGCCCATGCTCTTCTATCCTCTCCTAGATCGCACAGATTTGTTAAGACGAAAAAGGAAAAAAGAAGGAAGAAAAGAAACAGCGCGTAGACGAAAGTCAACATAGCGTAAAACCAACACCATGTTGAACACCACCATCCCCAAATGTCCTGTACATCAAATGTTGAAGTTGAAGTATTACACACTGGGCCCGCCCGATCTAATTAACTTGAACCGAACAAAGGGACAAAAGCAAAAAACCACACAACACACCAAACCGATATAACAAGCCTGCTCTACCCTTGGGTATATGGGCCCTATAACCGGGCAAACAAAGATTCCACGCCTCTTTTCCCTTCCGTTCCCAACCCATTCCTAGCCTTCCCAACCCATAAAGTCACAATACCGTGGGGGACCAAACCGTCCCAAAACCCAAAGACACAAGAGCCGCTCAAAGGTTTCCCAAGCGCCCATCAAACCAGCTAAAAAGAAAAACGCCCAAACCCCGTGCCACGCTAGTCATGCTCCATGTAATTATAAAAGTCAAAGTGAACCACCCCTAATCACCCTCATATTCGACACCCTCGGCATAGGCGTCAGTTCCCGGCTTTCCGGGGCATTCCCATCCCAATGACGAAACCCAGGCGTCAGGGGGGACAGGCCCTTAGCCCTATCGTTCCCATAACCGCCCACGTTATCGCCATGAGTGCCATCACCACTACTACCCAGCCTCCTCCTGGGTCGTCCCATGACCCCGCCAAACCCAAACCAGCCCCGCCTGTTGAACTCGCTACACTCCGCTTTCAATAAGGACCAACTTGTCGCGACAAAAATGACCGCATTCCAAAGTCCTTGGAGGGGTAGGACCACCGCACTGGCAAGGTTGAGGGCGTAGCTGGCTTGTTTCGGGTAGGCTAGCGAATAGACACGGTTGATGCTGCTCGGGGTCCAGGTAACGAGAATCGAGATGGCGAACACGAAGGAGGTGCGCAGGTAGGCCATTTTGACGGGATCGAGGTGCGCGAGACGGCGTTGGAACTTGCGCCAGCCTTGGACGAAGCTGTTGGACTTGGGGAGAGGCGGCTCGGCGGTCGAGGTTATGGTCGATGTGGTGGTCATGTTGGGGGCCGTCATGCCAGGGGTCGTAATGGTTGTGTCGCGGGGTGGTGAGGGCGGGCGACGGCCGGTCGAAACAGTTGACGTCGTGAAAGGCGGAGTTAGGTGATGTTGATTTGGGGTGCGGCCGCGGATAGCTTGGGGGAAGCGCTCGATATCGTCATTGGCCTCATCCTCGTCGTCGGAGAAGTCCCAGGGGGCACGTATAGTGGCGGGAGCCGGCTTGTGAAGCACTGGCGCAGTAGAACCGGACGGAGTTGAGGGCGGGCTTTGGCTGCCAGAAGATTCGGCCGTGATTCGCACCTCTGTGGTCACCGTACCATAACTTTGTTGTTCCTATCGGCGAGCCTAAGTTAGTTTACGAGTTACAAGACGGCAGCAGTGAGAACAGGACGATGATGCTCCATAAGCTTCATAGGTCGTATGTACCTTTTCCTGTTCCCCGGTACCGGAGCCGTATTCCCGCGCCTGAGTACTGAGACTCAAGTTTCGGAGCTGGTTGCGATGATGGAAGACGTGGTATCCGACGGCACCATAGATAATAGCAGACAGCAAAATGCAGGCCCAGATGGGCAAGTAATAAGTAAAAATCCGCAACGGATTGTAGTTGTCGTTGATCCAACACCAGAGCTTGGATACCAATACCGTTAGCTCAAGTCTTCCTTGGCGCGCCGGGGTATATGGGACGTACTGTGGCATCGCCGTAGATGGGCTGCCCGTTGGGTTTGTATAAGACGCAAATAAAAGCAGGTATAGCCGGGATACCGTAACAAATCAAGCAGTATACCCAGAGGTGCTTGCGAAAGGCGCTCGGCGAGAAGCTCATGAAGAAAACCATGTAAACATTGACGGCCATGGCAAACGACCACCAGGGGTCGGACTGCATAAACCTACAACACCATTAGACGAGGAAGGGTGGGTAGATTTTCAAGTGTAATACTCACATCTCGAGAAAAAATGCCTGTGTCTTGCATAGTGCCGACTCTTCGCCGGCGAAGATGCCGTTGAGGCCGATGAGGCACGCAATGCTGGCGCCCACATTGGCCAAGGAGGCGAAGAAAATGAAGGTATTCGGGATAGTGCGAACCCGAGGCAAGAAGCCCCAGGCGGCAAAGATAAGACAGACACCGATCAAGCTGATGGAGGCACCCAGGCGCTCCACGAGTTGGATGGTCTCACGTTGTGCGGTGGTAAGGTTCATATCGCCGGTGTCCCTGACAAATATCCTCGAACCGCCCATAATGGGTGAGGTGCGGGCAGGGATCCGGCGAAGACTTTAAAGGTGGTGCACAACCACGGCGGTTGAACCGGGGAAGAGACACTGGGTGTCGACCGCCCGGGCAAGGCAAGGCGTTCGATGACTTTCAGCCTCGACTTTCGGAGCGAGCTGTCGGGGTGATGCCAAGAAGGGCTGTCCGTCTTGATGGTGGGTGATGGCTTGCATCCGCGTGATGATGGATGGCTCACAGTGACAGTCGTCACGGATAATGGCTAGCTTTGCGTTATGGGAAGAAGTCCGATGACGGCGGGAAGAAGTTTCGTCGGTGGTATTTTTCTTTTCGCTTGAGCCGGAGTGCAGTCAGTGAAAAGGGAAGGTCGAAAGGTTGCGGCTCAAGTTCAGGTCGATTTGGGCTGGCAATGCGAGAGATGGAACAGGCGTTATGTTCAAGTCGGAGCAGGCTTGCAGCAGGGCGGGCGTCAAGAAATGCACGCAGGTCTTTTTTGGTTGCTCCCCAGACTCCAAAGGCGTGAACATAAATTTTTTTTTTTGGTCGGTACTGATTGATTGATGGCCAAACGCGAGGATGGACTGATTGCCTGGCAAAACCGATTGCCTGGCAAAACCGCGTGCCAGTTCCCTTGCGTCGTCCCAGGTGTAGTAGCAACTGAACAGTGAACACCCGTACTGAGGGAGCAATCAACAAACCGAGGCGACGCGAGCATGTGGCTTTCCCTAAATCCAAGCCTTACTCAAGCCGCCCTTCAAACGTTGATGGGATGGAAGGTCGGTTTGAGAGTGGATTCGTGGTAGGGCGGCCAACGAAGGGTACCCTCAGCCAGGTTGCAGGAAGCCAACAACACGGTTGCTGGTGAACACCGTCTCGGTTCGGCGTGCTCGGTCGTGGGCGGACGAACGCTGCGCAGTGGATGTCCAGGCGGTCTTGATGGTCCTTTCTCGCCGTCAGGTGCCGGGCTGCGGCGCCCGAAGTCGACGGTAAATCCAGAGAGTCCAGGGAAGTTAGAGAAGCCACACCGAACACAAAGACCGCAGGGCCTAGTGTCTGCTTCTTTCCGCAAAGTGGTCGTTGGCCGTCGCAGCTGGGGCCCAGGGAAAACGCTGGATATTGGTTGTGTGACCTGGGGCGACTGCAGAGACTCCATTGATTGGATACCTGCAGGATCACGGCAGGGTCGTCCTTCGCCACGACGGTAGCGTGAAGTGGGCGGGTGCGTGCTGCCTGTGTTGCACCAAGCCGGAGGAGAGCTGCACTAGAAGACGGCGAAAGGGATGGCGTGCAGTCAGGGAGGAGAAGTAAACGGCCGATCTGCGACCTGGGGAAGTCAAGCCTGGGGGCGGAGAGTGTCTAAGAGATGGAGAGACGGAGGTGCCAGATCGCGGGGACAGACAGGGGCCAAAGGTCAAGGGTGCTGCTGGGAGGTCATTCACTGGGAGAAGGACATGTCAAAATCAAGACTGCAGACGCACGTCGGCGGCCCGGCCATGGTGGTGCATTACGACAGTAGATGCTGCTGTTTCATCGGGACTCGAATCTGAGCATCGGGAATCGATCGGACTCGGTCCCTTGGCAGAAATCAGTAGGGTGGACATGGATGAAGGGAGTGAAATGAACTGTGCTTCAATGTGTGCTCACGTTCAAACTGAAAAAAAGGAAGATAAAAAAAGCCAGAACAAACGAGAGACACTTCGGCGTTTCTGTACGTACCCCTCTCCACAAGCCTCGAGGTCTTGCGGTGAAGGAGGGGGCTTACTGTCGACTGTTAGAGGTGGGAGACTTCAGGAGTCGGAGCAAACAGCGACCCCCCCATCTCCAAGCCGCGTCAAAATTCTCGGCGTATTTCCTTCGCTCCTGCGTGCGTAGTGCGAACGGCCTTTCCTGGCTGCCTATTGCGCCCCTCCATGCTCGCGGTGAACCTGCAAGCCATCTGCAACCGAGATCACCACACGCAGTGAGCACGCAACCCGAGGAGGCCAGCGCGCCCAGCACAGTCAGCACGTGGACGCAAGGAGAAGGCCGGGGAGGCCCCGGACATTGGTTTTCTCGGTTCGCGCTCAGGAATCAATCCTTCGCGATGGAAACCGGGGATTTGACAAAGAAAAAGAAGGGTCGCTGCGGGCCGAGGGCCCCTGCGACACGGCCGAAGCCCAGGGTCAACTCACACCCCCGGTCAGGCCATTTGGAATTTCCCCCGCAAGCGGCAAGACTGGGGGACTTCATGTGCAGTGTCAGACAAGGGGCATTGTTGCTCCTATCATTCTCATTCCGATGCAGCGTCGCGAACCAAAATGGACCGCGATGGCATTGGCCGCAATTTGTCCAATGTTCAATCTTGTGAGTTGCCGCCGGCAGGGTGGTAATAATGCATGGTCAGAAAACAGCCTTGCCTGTTTGGGAAGTTCTAAATGCCATGCAGTGGGAATGGTGACTGTGAAGGTTATTTTTGATTCTTGAGTGGACGAATAACTATAATATACGAAGTATTGCTTGCCCACGCCGGTGATCGTCCAAATTATTCACACTTATCTTTCTGTTGTTGGAATCATAGCCGTTCACTTAACAAACACACTCTCACAATATGGGATAAATGCTCCAACGACCAACCAAGCCACTGGTTCTGTATTCCACGTTAACTACGAAGTGTCTGGCAGTCATTCTCGTCGTGGTTTTCCGCACGCGTGTGCTGTGTCAAGCAAGCAGTCCTTTGGTCAGCGGTTATCTACATTCTCGCTAACCTGTTGAGCTTGTAAATTGACCAAAGTTGAGGGTGGTAGCTTCGCTTCTTTGTTCTTCATTGGGTCATCTCGGCTAAACATTTGCATGTGGCACGGCCTCCTGCTCCAGAGCTGAACTCGAGGTCTCCCGTCACCGGCCCTCGAGCGCAATGCGCTGCGCCTCAGCGGTGGCCATTCCCGTTCTCATCCGATTGCTTGTTTGGAGTACCATCCTTGGCGGGGTTTTGGTTTCTCCCCGTACCTCAATTAACGCTGGGTAAGACGAGTCCTGCCGAATCTCCGAAAGTTCGTGGTTGGGAGATAGTTAGACTTCGGAATCCGAGACTCTTTGTCTCGATATCATGATTCATGGCTCTCGAGCAAGAGGATGGTTGTTTTCGTATCCTATGCATTCATGCGAGACGGCCTACGGTGTGTGTTGAAACTCGCCGAATCACCAATCGCCTTGCAGAATGACTTCACATGCGGCGAGCCAGCGTGACATTGAGGAGTTGTAGCGCTCGGTTTGGACACCACCGGCTCGCTTGTGCCCCCCCGAGTCTTTCGCATAGCTACCCCCATTGAATCCAAGGGCGTTGTACATGTTCGTCCCAAGATTGTATCAGGCGCTTCATAAGGTCTTGATTGAAGTAGGAAAAAGCATGGTACCTAGGTAATCAGTCTCAGACGGATAGGTAAGAAAAGACACCGAACTGCAAGCTGGCAAAGTCGGTACATTGATCGCATACTGTACTGCAGTATATTCTGGTCTATCCATTCCCACCAAATGTGTTCAGCATTCCCCTTCTAACCGTTAAAACCCCGGTCCACTAACCCATATCGCATCCAATGCGAGCTACAGCCAGCCATGAACCATCCTCTCCGGCCGCATGAGATACGTACGGCCGCGCAGCAAGACATAGAAACCTGGTCTCGTTTCGGGGGTACTCACATTATTGACGTACCCGTGACCCCTCAAGACAAAGTTCAATATTATGTGTACGTTGAAAATCAGTCGTCAAATGCACGCACCCGGCATTGTGCGATGGCCCCCATCCGGACTGGAAACTCGGGAGTGGTTTGGCTGGCGTGTGCTGAGTTTCCGGTTGTTCGGCTCCTAGTCAGGTACGTTTGTGTGGTGATGGTTCCCCTGACTCCGACGAAGGGGCTGGGAGCATCCCTGGGTCTTCTCGTGGGAGTACTCTCTAAAAGACTCAAGGAAGCTATTGGTGATGGCTGATTGGTAGGGGACGTAATGCTGTGAGAGAGATCTGTCTCTCGGGTTGGACGGACTGGGGTTTAAAATCTGGATCTCGCTCGTACCTGCATCAAACGCTGGGTCTCATCGAGACCATACCCATTATGAGTACAATAAAGCAAGTGAGTGGCAATATATATCGTTGTTCGAAACAATTTGAAAAAGTAACAAGTAGTTCGGCCATTGGACTGCGAGTTACGTTCATCAATTGAATAATACCCGTAATGCTGACGACTTTGGGTCCGTAGCTAGTAAGTTGATCGTCGCTTGCCCGGCGAACAAACACCCTCATCCCTAACCCCACTTTACTGCCGGCTATCGGGACAAACGACTTCGCGAAACAACTCTAACATTTAATGATGAGCGCGGCTTGACGGGTCGATCCGCGGCTGGCTTCTAGGATGCATGGTCCTGTTTCTGGGGGTTGTTGCGAGGAGATGCAAGGGACGGGTTCCATTCACAATATCCGACCCGTCTAAATGGACTGTATGAGCTTATAAGTTCACGGAGTACAAAGTACATCAGTGACGAATACGGCAAGGTCGCTACCCACCCACCTTCGATCAAAGTCCTCCCCACCGTCTCCCAAAAAGCTAACACACATCACAATGAGGCGGCCATTAGGTTAATAGATATAGATATCTCCAAATATAGGTATAGCTACCTATGACCGATAGCGGTATGATTTTTGAGTTACATGCTGCGACCTTTGTTTGTTTAGGTAGATGGTGAGCAGGTTAGGGATACTTTGATCAATGCTGCAGCTAAAAGTGGGTGCAGTCGCGATCGACTTATTCTCTTGCCACATTCGTCATGTACTCCGTGAATTTATAAGCTCATACAGTCCATTTAGACGGGTCGACAATATCAACTACCCCCTCGATTGGCCTTGTTTTCCCTTGCCAACAGCCAACTCTGAGGCGATGTTTTGCTGTGTTACACCTCCTATGCGGGTTCAGCCCCACCCCGTGGCGTCAAACAATGGCGATTGTCAAGCGGTGTAGTCCGGGGCGATTCTCAACTCCACGGGTAGAGTTGAAACGGCTTTCCACGCGAGGGAGCGAGCATCTCGAAGGGAATGACTACTGCAAACCATGGCGACCGACAGCCGGAATATTATCTCATGCTATTTAGGATGTTTGTAGCCGTCTTGGACCCAGAACATAGTCGACGTGATAGGTTCGCAACGAGATGCAAGTTGCCGTGTTTTCTGAAAAGTCAAAACGATGAGCAGAGGTAAGGGGAGTTGTCGACGGAAGGCGATGAAGAATGCCGGCCTCCCCTGAAGCCGAAGACTCTCGGAATCATTCACGCTACGAGGTGCAGACCGGAGAGCCAAGCAGCGGAACAGAATTAGCTGCATTGCAGGGCAACTTCACCGCTCCAAAGCTCCATCTTTATCAAACAATAAGCTCAGCCGGCAAACTCACTACCGCCGGTACGTGCCATCGATGGTGTAGTCCTTCTTCGGCCCCTTGACAGTGTACGCCAACCGCCAATCCTGCAAATTCACCGCTTTGAAGTTGAACCCGTACCTGACATTGTAGAAGTCGTCAATGCACAAATGGCCAGCAGTAGCCTCCCAACCCTTTTGAGTGTTTTCCCCTTCGCCCTGGGGAACGGTAAACTCCACCTCATGAAATAGATAGTCCGCCCTCAACTGGTCGTCCGTCTTGACAAACCATACGCTTAAGCGGTCCTTTCCCTCATCATACCTCCAGACGTATCGTCTCGTGGCATGAAACTTGAACCCATTGGTGGCTGTGAAATCACCCTCTTCAACGTATAGGTACTCTGATCCCGGATTTTCCGGGTCGAACAGTGACTCACGCCCGTCAGCAGTCCCATCACGCAGCAGGAATCGTGCTGTGCCGCTGAAGCGTCCCGAAGGGTGGCTTGGAAGCTTGCTAACGAGATCGCGATCTAGTTTCCACTCGCCCAGGAGGGAACGAAAGACGGCGCGGGCGAGGAACTTGGCGGGCTTCCCGAGGCCCGCGTGGATGGCGCCTTCAGTCCGGAGAAGGGAAGCCGTGCTTTCCGCGCGTTGAGCTTCGGTAGCTGCAGCAGACGGATACCGTGCTGGAGTGAGAATGTCCATTTGCTTGTTGGTCGGTGGGAGTGCAGGGAGTTCGCCCAGATGTGGTACTCGGGGGAGATCGAGAGCGGTCGCGAACTCTTGCATCAGCCAAGCGTAGTCGCCCATGGGGAACTGGGAGGCGCGTGGGTCCGTACGAAGCTCGAGGGTCCGCCTAATCGAGGTGTCGTTCTGCAGAGCATTCCGAAGGGATTCTGAGAGCGACAGTGACGAAGGACCACCGGCTGCCCATAAGGCCGCCAGGAAGCGGGCTTGCATTTCCATGACGCCCCAATACGGTGACCGGTAGAAACCGACGAAGCCAAGGTTGGGAACCTCGGGATGGTGGGTTCCATGGAAACCTAGCGCAACGGTGTTGTTCAGGTCAGAGGGCTGCAGAGACAACGTTTCCTTCACAGGAGCTGGGAGAAACGAGAGGGATGAAGCGGCCTCAAAGCCAGTTGCGAGCACGACAGCAGCGATATCGGTAACCTCTTCTCCTGATGGAGATAAATTCGCGACACGGCCCGAGAGAGAGTCCAATTTGCCGTGAGATATCGTAATCAAGCCGGAGCGGATAAAGTCCATGTAGTAGTCACTAACAGCAAGGTACGGAGGATCTTCTGTCTGCGCGGCTGTGACAGCGATCTGGGGAGAGAAGTCGGATTGGTCGGTCCCAAGGACCGCCCCAAAGATCCCATGGGTAGTCTTGGCAGCTTCCGGCGAAATGTGGCCTTGCGAGTTAGTTAAAGGCTGAGGTTTGTTGGCGGTATTGTAGGAGCCGAGGTCGAGTGGAAGAAACGGGGGAGCAGAGGATGTTGGCTATGAGAAGTTAATGACGAGGTCAGTGAAGACTGTGAAGGCCAGCGAGATCCGCCTACCTTGGGAGAAGTGTGCAGTGGAAACACCCAGATAGGCTGTTGTATAATATGGTGTACAGAGTATTTGTCGGCGTTTGGTATGACACTGGGCCCAGGCGAGTGGACGGCGGATGATAAATGCGAAGCGATGGTCCCCGCGATCTCGACGCCGGACATCTGTCCGCCAACCACGAGAATTTTCCCGCCTTCCCCCGTTACTTTCCCAAGGAGCCCAGGCAAGTCACGGTACTGGCTGCTGTGTATGACAGGAACGTCGTGGTCCCCTCGCCCTGCTTCGGGCAGTGTTGGTTTGCCAAAGAAGCCAGATGCCACCAGCAGGTGGTCAAATATTTCGTCATTTATTTCACCATCTGAAGAGCGTGTCTCTACCGACCAGCGGAGTTGTGAACCACTCTCCCCATCATGAGCGGGAAGTGGCTTTGCGGTCTCAACACGGGTCCCAAGACGAAAGGTGGCCCCCGAACAGTACCGTTCCCGATATCTAGCAAGATACTCGCCAACTTGCCATGCTCGCGGCAGCTGCGGGGAATCTTCAGGCCAGGAGAGGTCGCTGAACTGGACGGTGTGCTTGCTCTGGTTGGCAACCATGCGGGGATGGACAAGACCTGCGTTGTCGTTCTTGTCCCACGGCCAGAGACCACCGATCCGACTCTGCGAGTCAAATAAAGTGACATCGAAGGTGCCGTTGGGCACATCGTGAAGTAAGGTCTTGGCCGCCACCAAGCCGGAAGGCCCGGCACCTGAGTCCCGTCAATCACGACCACTCGGGATCAAGCAGCAGCAGCGCACCGCCTGCATAGAAGGTGTAGCTAACCTACCAACGATACATACTTTCTTCGGCATCCTAGCAGAAATATGCAGTCTCCGACTTCGTGGAGAAGTCAAACCCGGGGTAGTGATTTGGTACCGGACCCGGGATCGGATGATACAGCGGGGCCGTCGAGGGGCGCGCAGTAAATTCCCGGAAACGACGGGACGGAGCGTGGTGAACCAATCGAGGGGCATAAAGACAGCAAGATAGCCGCGAGAAGTATAACCCGGGTATCTTAGGTACACCACTTTCGGTTAGGGCCTTTTCGAATCCGAAAATGCGCGAGCTGACGAGGCCGAGTCCAACAAAACCCAGAGGTTGCGTGAACGAGGGGTTTGGTGGATGAGAAATGCTTCCAGTTTTGGGATTCCTAAAATGGCGTTGCAGGAAAATCTCCGATTCGCGGGAAAGGGGCAAAAGTGGGTCCCAAAATTATGTAATTCACTCCACCCGTACCTTGACCCTTTCTGTCTCGCTGCATTTCCGACGACGCCCTGCAACGAACCTTTCGAAAAGCTTCGATAACCAACTCGTGACCGAAGAACATACTGATCTACCCGGCTTGTTTTTTGCGTCTCTCAGTAGTTTGCGGTCAACCGCGGTGACTCCCGGGTCCTAGCTGCAAGGTCGTGCCTTGTTTACGAGTTCCAATGCTGTGTCAGCGCGCCACACAACAAAACCCCCCGGACCACGAGGAAGCCCTCATCCGCCTGCCACAACACGAAGTTAACCTCCCTTGAAAATTCCTTGATATGCAGGACCTCTTCGTCTAATTGGGTTTGCGCTCACACTCTCTCTCTATTTCCTTTTATTTGTCAATCTCCCGAGGTCTCTTGCCATAGTACGTTCGTCAAGGGTCAAGTTCGAGGCGACGGGAAGGATATGCGCGCACGCCTGTCGGCCCTATTCCGGAATTCGATACATGACGCCACGCAAGCACAGCATAGCGCGGGCGCAGATGGCCAGTTAGACGGTCCCGAGTCCACGGTTCCTCGTCGGCAGCCGGCCCAGGATCTTTGGGGAAAGAAGTTTAACCAACAGCCTTCCCCTGGGCCCTCCTACCCTGTCGACGGCACGACGTCTTGCTGCTCATGAAGTTGGCGATGTTAAAACCCGTTGCTGTGTATGCAACCCCCATGGAATCCAGAGACTATTCCCGGGATTTTGCAGCTTACCGGGCCCGGAACCCTGCAATTCTCGTTCTTGGTGTTCGTTACATGCTTTAGCATTAGCTCACGGGATCCGGGAGCTTAAGGACAGAAAAAGCATCGCCCTAGCATGGATACATAGTATCATTTTGGGACGCACCCCGATGGGGAGACCTCAGCCCCAACCTGGATCACCGGTGCCCAGCAAAGCCCGGCGCGGGATTCGGAGCGGGACGTAAGTAGTTGTCTCAGCGGCGTCGAGCTAACGTTACTCTTCGAAAAGCTTTTCCAAAGGTGTAGCCAAGGCGGGGACAGTTACCATTGGGGGACGAGGGGTATTCCTAGGTCTCGAGTCAGATTGCGGTTTTCATGGGCTGACATTCATCGGGAACTGGCAAGGCTCTTGGTTCTGAGCACCACCCAGTCGTTTTGCAAACGCCGGCAAGGCTACGATTCTCGAACCCGGAAACAACATCCGGGTTGGTCAAAAATGCGGTCCGATAATCCCCTTAACTGCTGGAAGGTGTCGACCATCTCTGTGGCAATTTACTCGGAAGCTATCTCCTCGGAGGGCCGGAGGCTAAGAAATTCTCGACAGGGACACCGGCGGCTACCCGCATGGACTTTTCGTGTTACCCTACCCATCAACTCTAATAATGATGCAGGGCCTGACAATTGCCCTAGCTGCCCCTGCCCGCGGAAATCGTGTAAAGCTGAGCTGTGAGGGTATCTTCCGGCCACGTCGTTTCTAAACCGTCGTAGTATCATCCCTTTCTTTCAGCCCTCTTCGGGCGGTGGCCTAACTGCAACCTCCCATAACGGGAGTGGATATTTTATTGGTTTCCGGTGGACCAGTCGAGGGAGCAGGTCTCTCTTCGCTTTCCCTGGCCGTGCCACACTCGCGACGCAGCTTGGCAACCCATACGGCCACACAAAGGCCACGCTCAGGGGAAATGTGGCCACATTGCGTGTGTTCTTGTACGTGTGTGCAGTGAAGAAGGGGGCAGGGAGGAAATTCAGGGGGCTTTTGTGAAGCAATAGTAAAGGAAGCCAGGGGTCAAGTCTTGAACCAACTTTCCCGTCGAGGTATACCCCTGACGGCGGGCAGAGTTTACTGGCCTTCCACACATGTCCCACCAGTTTGTTACAAGTGTCTCTCAAAGGCGGCTGAAAAGAAAGGTTTGCTGCTGCTTACTGCAGCGATGCAGGGACTCAACCGTTCGCACAAGGAAACCCCTGGTTGTATAACGCGCCCACTAGGTAGCTGTTGCAACGGACGATACCGTAGCTATATTTGCTGAGTATCCACTCTGGGTTTATGTATGACTTGGCGTAATGTAGGGTTGGTTACCTGTTATGTTGCATGGGTGAGGTATGTAGAGCCGGGGCCAAAAGCCTGTAGGCCGTTTTGATTGGAATGTTGGTGAACTGCAAAGTAGGTACAGTTCCGCACAATTACTGAAGATTCCAATCATACCCAGACAAGCTAAGAACTGCCAGAGTTGGGTGTAACAAGGTGGTTTACAAAGCTTCCAGTCTCATCAGCAGGGTAAATTTTGATCAGAAGCCGTCGTCAACATCAGACTTCAGAGAGGTTAAGAGGTTCCGGCCTGGTGCAGTATCCAACACTGACGCCGGGCCGACGCATGTCGAGTAGCCATGTAATAGGAGCTCGTACTGCTCAGCATGGTGCAGCTAATAAACTTAGACTTTTGTTGTTTTTCTTTTTAAAAATACAATAAATAGTAGCTACGTTGTTCGGTAGTACGGCTCCTGGGGATGTGATATTAGACACAACTAATAGCACAAAGATCGCGGCACGATCAAGGGTACATACAATGCACTGAATGCAGTGGGGCGACGAGGTAAGAGAAAAGAAACTCCAGTGAACTGCATTCTTCCAAATTCGAGACGAAAGCTCGATCCCCCTTTCCTCCTTACTTTTTATTTTATTTTATTTTGCATTTGACCAAAACTATTTTACCTCTTCGTGATTTGACTCATTTTCATCCTCCTTTCGGTGTTTGTATGTACATAGTCAAGCCCTCCTTGTTCCCTGACGCTTCCGTCTCGAGTTTAGATGGTTGAGATGCGTTGTGGAGCAATGAACAACACGTCATTGGACCCCAGACATCATCAAATCCCTGCACCAGTGATGACAGGAGCGTGAACTGTCTTTTCACAGAACAAGTTAATAAGAGTTGATGAGAGTCGGGGGCTCGGACTGATGTGGCAGCGATATACACAGTCAATACCAACCGGTTCTAAGAACAGCTTTAACAGGCTCGGAGTTGGCGCTGGTGTTTGGGCCCCAAGCCTCGAAGATCGCGATAAGCACGTGGAAAGCCCCTTGCATTGCATCGCACGAGCCGTGCGCGTGCCATCTGGTATTCGATGATTCTAGAGTCAAAGAAACAGAACTTTCGAACCCAGAATGGACCCTGGGTACGGTTACCCGATCGGAGAATGCAGTGCTGCATGCACTGAGAGTGGGCATTGCTTTGGGACACCGAATGTTTGCGGAAGCCCTCCCTACCCCTCTCTGACCGGGCTCGCCGGGCTCTGAGCACCTTGACACCTCGCATACCGAGTGAGTGAACCCCCGCCTGTGGCTCCCTTGATTTGCTCCCGGTGGCGATCGCATGCGAAACATACAGACGGATGGGTGGACGAGCAGGCAAGCGGTGGGACCGTGATACTACCCGTCCGTCCGTCCGTCGCGGGTTGCAGCATGGTGCTGGGATCTTGGGAACCTGCCCTGGTGGGCTTAGCTTCCTCCGCATTTTCCTCCGCATTTGTCTTTTTTTGCTCCAAGCTGATGAACAAAGTCCCCCAAGTGCCCACGCGTTCTTCCAGGTTCACACGCTGGCTCCCGTCGTCCCTTCCCGACGCTTGGCTTCCATTCTTGACGGAGACAAGGTTTGTGGACTTGTTGCGCTGTTATTGCTAACGTTACTTGCTTGGCTGCCCAAGCCCCGATCTTTTATTGTCTTTCCCCGAACCTCCCTCTTCTCAGGCTCTATAAGTTATTCCGTTCTCTTTTTTTTTCGTAATCCACCGCGACGTCTCGCCCGGTCATTGGGGATGATCATCAACTTCGACACAACCTCCTAACGCAGCTGTAGCCCGGGATTGGGTTCTCAGCCGTCTTTTGTTGCGACGATTGTATTTCCGGATTCGACCTATTCTCGGTGCATTCTATCCCCACAACCTACGCAACATCGGCGGCATTTCCCCTTTCCGCGGACTGGCTACCAGGTTGCGCCAAGGGCCCCGACCCCCGCCACCCCTGTAATGAAGCTCCAACGAGGATGGGAGGAGGGGAACGTTGTTAACGGTTGACAGGAGCGCCGCGCTGCTTCGTCGCTGAGTGATCTATCAGGGCAACCTTTGACACTACCCCCCCTAGCCTGCACCAGTGCTCGGGCGCAGGGAGCGATGGGTAAGTTGAATGACCGAAGAGTGGCAGCATCAAGCTCGGCTTATCTCCACTTCTTTCCCAGCGCCTGCACATAATTATTAAATCCGTCATCCCCATCCCGCATGCAACCCGTCCCATTTCCGTCGGATTTTAGTTGTTCTTGCGCGCAAGAGACCCCTAATCCCTCAATGACCTTTTCCATCCCATATTTATTCCTCTCCGCTCCCAGACTTCCCAACCGGCTTCCCGCGCCACTGTATTTTTAAGTTTCAGACCGGCAGGTGCCGAAGGTCGATGTGCGTTTATAATTGCGATCATCAGCTGACGCGAACACCCAAAACCACCGCTGCACCCTTTTAGCGTTCCTCAACTTTTTAAAATCTGGAGGCCGCTTTGACGTCGACATCGTCAACATGAAGGCAGACGAGGAAAAGGTGTCCAGCGATGCGAACCACAGCCAGGAGGGCGAATCGCCCGACATGCCGAAGGACCCGGACGCGCATCTGTCCGAGGAACAGAAGGCTGAGGTGGTAAGCAGGATTTTGCTTCTGGCCCGCGCACATGTCCCTGTTAAGTGAAGAACACGCTGACGAAACCAATTATTCACAGGAACGGAAGTTGATATGGAGGTTGGACTGGATGCTGCTTCCATGGGTTGGTTTTTACCCTCATGCTTGGTATCGCTAAGAAAGCTTGGGGAACTTGGCTTTGTGAGCTAACTTAGAGTGCAACAGCTTAGTTTCCTCTACTTGATGGCATTCCTCGATCGGACCAATATCGGCAACGCCAAGATCGCTGGTCTTCAGAAGGAACTCGGACTTACCATACCGTCATATAACGCCACCCTCACCATCTTCTTTGTATCATACGCCGTCTTTGAGCCTCTCACCAACATCTTACTCAAAAAGCTGCGACCATCTATTTTCCTGCCTATCATCATGTAAGTCCCCGGCTGTTTTGGGGCAGACCTTTACGAACCCCCCGACTAACCTCGCTGCGTTTCATGAAAGGGTCCTATGGGGCGCTAGTATGCTCGGCATGGGGTTTGTGAAAAACTGGTCTGGTCTGATGGCAGCGCGGTGGTTCCTCGGACTGGCCGAGGCCGGGCTGTTCCCGGGAGTGAACTACTACCTCTCCTGCTGGTACAAGCGTTCTGAGTTTGGCGTGCGAGCGGCTATCTTTTTCTCCGCTGCAGCCATCTCGGGTTCGTTTGGTGGTCTGCTTGCTGCTGCCATTGAGAACATGGATGGGATTGCCGGCATTGCCGGGTGGGCGTGGATTTTCATCCTCGAAGGCCTGCTCACCATCCTCGTCGGCATCGCCTCCTTCTGGATGGTCTACGACTTCCCCGACCAGGCCCGTTTCCTTTCCGACGACGACCGCGCTCGCGTCATCCGCCGTCTGAGGTCCGACCAACAGGCCTCTGCGAACCACGAATCGTTCCAGATGACATACTTCTGGCAGGCCCTCCGCGACTGGAAGACATGGCTCGGCATGGTGATTTACATGGGTTGCGACATGCCCCTGTACGCCTTCTCGCTCTTCCTGCCGACCATCATTTCCAACCTGGGGTGGAACACGAGCGTGGTACGAGCGCAGCTGATGTCGGTTCCTCCATACGCCGCCGCGGCGATTCTCACCGTTGCCATTGGTTTCCTAGCCGACCGCACGCGTGCCCGTGGACTGTGTAACATCTGCGTTTCCGTGCTCGGCGTCGCCGGGTTCGCTATGTTGCTTGGCTCGGAGAGCCCCGCGGTGCAGTACGCCGGCACTTTCCTCGCTGCGCTGGGCATCTACCCCTGCATTGCCAACACCATTACCTGGGTGGCCAACAACGTCGAGGGTGTCTACAAGCGTGGTGTCGTGCTCGGTTTCGTCATTGGCTGGGGCAACCTCAACGGTATTGTCAGCAGCAATATCTACTTCCACGACCCGCGTTACCCGGAGGGCCACGGTGTCATCGCTGCCTACTTGGCCTTGTTTCTGCTAGGCGGGTCTGTTCTTATGACCATTCTCCTCCGGTTAGAGAACCGCCGTCGTCAGCGCGGGGAACGCGACCACTGGGTGGAAGGACTAAGTCAGACGGAAATCGAGAAGCTTGGGGACCAGCGACCGGACTTCCTGTACACTGTTTGATTCGATTTATACGGCCGGAATTTGCGTTGCCTATTTTCTTTTTCTTTCCCTCGTTCTTCAGCTAGCTTGCTGCATTTCACGGTTATTTATTTCCCGGGCCGGAAAGGGGCCCGGTGCAATTTCGTATTTTTCTCACTCGCTATATGGTCTTGAAGCTCCGGGCGAGGAGCTGGGGAAAATTCAACACACACTGGGCGCCTTCGTTCTTCGACGTAACGCTGATGAGGAAAAGCCTGGGTAGGAAGAGTTGATTGAATCGGTCGCATTGTCATATGCAGTAGGAACTTGGTGGTATGAGGGCGGAGAGACCCTGGACTAGAATCTACATACGTACTTGATATTACTTCCCAGATCAACTCGCTATCGATCTGCGACGTTCATAGCGTAATAGCTGGTAATACATTATCCTCCATGTGCAAGACGCATTTCCCCCCTTCATGGACTTCCAATTCCCCGAGACTTGTTCGTTCATCTCAACCCCCACTCTTCCCGCGACACTAGCAACACTAGCTCAACCTGGAGGCAAGCTTGGCAACCCCAACTCCATCACCGTTCCGCTGACCAGCTTCTCCACACGCTAACTCCACTTTGTCGGTAGTTGGATTCCCGAGGTTGGATTCACCAACTGGATCTACCGAGACCGTTGAATAGCAAGAATTCTCAAGCAATTTCAGGGTTTCCGGGCTACATGCCTAAGATACGTCCCCTTTCTGTACACTAAGTGGGCAGCACGGTAAAGGGGCTCGTTGGAGTAAGGTGGTGAACTGACATCACCGGTACCTAGTAAAACAACTTGGTGGATATCTCCAAGAGATCGTCAGGGATTCCCCAGAAACCGGCCCCAGCTCGGCCGAATCTAATGCCCTTCTACCCCACAACTCCACCATCCCCAACATCATCCACAGATAAACGGATCGGCATGTTTAGCTGTTACAAATAGACGGCCATAGGCTGGAGATAACATACATACACCCTTAGTGGAGTCTTCCCGTTCGACCGACTTGGTGAACTAACATGTCTAGCTCAGTTACAGCCCCTTGGCCCCTCTAAACACGAGGAATGTGCATCTTCTGTTGTGCGTCGTGGCGAACACTTGTTGTTTGGGGACAATGACCCATGGTGTTTGGTGCCTTGGGAGGACGGAAGCCCGCTGGCGGGCTGCAGGCTCGACGTGGCACATGACTAGGTGGATATACTCTCCGACATTCACCTTGGATATGTAGTCTACTCCTATATTTTGGCCATTTTGCCGTCTTAAGTTCAGAACCTGCATCTGCTCCAGCGGTAGACATACGCGGCTTGAGTGCTGGGCTCTTTTAAGAAGCCCTGAACAACTCAAATACGGCGACCTTTGAGTCGTTGTTGCCGAGCTCGGCTTCGACAGCAAAACACTAAACAGCCCCTGCCCCTCGGCGGATGTGGTTCACTGAACTTGCGGGGTTTGCCCCGAGTCTCTCCACGGTAGAAAGGCCTCGGGGGTGGAACCACACGGGATGTTCGACGCGTGAGAGGTGACCGGGCCGGGTTTCTCGAAGCTTGATCGGCTCTGAATCGGCTTCACGTTAACGGACGAATCTGACACAACCGAGGCAAAGGCGGCTACGGTCATGTCGTGCATATTGAAGGTCGGAGGGGGCCAAAGAGTTGGGGATGCTGTGAATTAAACGCCGTTTCTCGTGCTTAAAGGGTTCGCTCGCCGTAATCGAGAGATACGTCATCGTTCTTAATGCCCTCGAAAGGTACGACGGAAGCAGTAGCTGACACATGTGTCGTTCCTGGTTATGTAAGTACGACATGAGCCACAGCCGGAGACCATCACTCAGGGGCTGAACAGTACCTACCTGGAGTAGTCATGGATCCCGTGTCTAACATCGAGGTTGAACAAGCTGCGAAGTAACATAGTCACTGCACGCGGAGTCTCGGACATGAAGGTGGCCGTCTGGGTACACAGCACGGGTGAAGGCGAGGCAGTACGACATGGATAAATAGGAGTGCTGTGCATCGCGGCGTGGGAAAATGCAGAAAAGAAAAAAAAATGCGAAAAAAAGGAAAAGAACAAAAACAGAAAATGCAAGTAGGTATGTAGTGGCACAACTGGAACAGGATCGCGATCTCCGCACGATCCGGCTTGTATCCCCGTTCCGCAGGTGCTGTTCGTGCCGCCCGCCGACATACGCCTTTTATGCAACACGATACGGGATGATTGTGTCGGCAAGCACTCCCCGACGGCGAGTGGGCATGGTAGGAGTCAGTAGCATAGCGAGGTGCTATAGTGGACCCCCAGGGATAGAGGGAGCAGGTTGCGGTGCCATAGGAGGGCACCAGGCAAAACCGCCTCCTCGTTGCTTCTGCATTTTGACCCCCCTAGTCCTTCTACTCCTTGTGTTCCGTCCAGGCCATCGAGATCGGTGTTGTACGTACGCGTGCCATGCGGGATCATGGTGTTACCGCGTCTTTCCCTCGTCTGGCTTTTTTGGGTTCCACAGAAACCCCCAGAGATCTGCCGATAGAATGGACAGGATATCACCCCTCTTACTGGCTATCGAGCTGTTTATTCATCGAAGGACTCGGGTTTCGTGCGTGGAACCACGCGGGTGCGTCTGTTGGCGGTTTGTCGGGGTGATACCAGGGACTTGAGGGAGGCGCGGATGTTTGTGTCTTGCAAGCGTCGAGGGCGTCGGACTTTCACGGTACAAGTGTGGACTGTGTGGTATCAAGCGGCACCGGATTCGCAATCGGGAGTATCAATAGTTAAGATAATGGGCAATCGGGATTGTCGAGCGTGTTCGATGACAGTCCTTCATTCCCTGCGCAGTGCTACTCCTAGATTGTGGCCGAGTCAGTTTTCAGCTTGGGGCAACGTAGCAATCATCAATGGGAAGTGCCTCGTACCCGTTGGATGGGGACCTTGAAACAAAGCCACGATCTTCTGGTTGCTTTCCAGCCAGCCCACGAGTTTTGGCTCTTTGAGGCAGCCGACCAGGGGCCACGGCAGTTGGCCCTTTACAGCTCTTGGCAATGCAAGCCATCCGGGATATTGCAGCTCCCTCCCAAGATGAGGCGAGCAAGCCGTGGATGATGACTCGCTGCTCAGAGCTCAGCATGCAGGGGGCTGGGAGGGAGACGGGAAGCACGCCGATGAGGAAGGAAAAAATCATGAAGTAGAGCGCGGTACTGGGAGCTTTTCACACTCCGCCTGTTCGACCGAAATTACTGATCAGCGTTTCTTTGGCGGCGTGCCATGGCATTGGCTCGGATTACGATCAGAAGAACTTTTCTTTTGAGAGCCCCTGCATGATCTCGTAGGTTCAATTGGAACGGACCCGGGTCCGGGCAAACGAAACGTGGTCGTTGCGTGGTCGTTGGCCTCCGCGACCCCCAGGAGCCCGTCCAGCCGGCCCCTCCCGCTCCCGGCCCTGCCCGTGGCCGTCAGACTTCAGGACAAGGACCGGGTGTTATCTTTGCCATGATGCCTCAGCAGCTTGGTTTTGATATGCCGCATGGTTATCTCGCGCATCATCTTTCAATCTTCCTTGCTTCTTTATTTTGATTCCTTGTCGAATGAATCAACCCAGGCCAAACAAACCCAATGGGGGCCTCCCTTCGGTGAGTCACTGAACCCCGGTAGCAACAGAGCTCGTCATTAGACGAGAGACTTCGAACGAAACGAACGGGAAAAAGAAGGCAGCCACAACTGGGTCTGACCGATTCACCGCCCCATGCAGCTTTGAATATCCCTGTTGACCGGCCGTGGCCATAAGGCAATATAATCATACCAGGTATAGTGCGAATTTCAGATCAGTCCACAATTGCACGTTAGATGTTCGTATTCCTCCATTGTGCCTTCCTCGACTTGGTACCTTAGTTAGAGAGTTCGGGCACCGAGATTCAACGTCGAAAAATTCAGTTATCCTAGATGAAACTTCCCCTCTTCTTTGCCATTTTCTCTCGCCCCAAAATCAGGAACAATATAAAAGATCAACCTCCGCAAGCAACCGAACAACGCCAAAACTTCTGTGCTACTCCAAAGGCCCATTTCAAACCAAAGATCAGACGGCGACTACCATTGTCCAAGATGGTCTCCTCGAGCAAGAACACCACACCGTCTGTTGAGATGACGGAGAAGCCCTCAGTGCGATATGAGGTTAAGGATACTTTACCCAGCACTGACCCTATTGAGTGCCCTAAATCATCCAAAGAGGAAGTTGTGGGCAACTACATTTGCGAGTGCTCGCTCTGGTAAGTGTCCAGTTCTCGTCTACAGTTTCTATTTTACGTCTTGGTGGGCCTTCTCGGTGTCGGTTTTATCGGACACCTTTTCCCTTGGAATTCCTGATATCTTCCCCTCCAAGGTTTCCCCAATTTATCTCATGGCCCCCGGGGCCGACGGTGAATCACAGCCATGGTGAAGAGTCTCATTCTTTTCTTGTTATTTGTCTTCTTTTCCATTCTGTTTGTCCCTTTGACTTAATGGAGGACGACAAGTGATTGATACAAACTCGATGTCTTTCAATTGCACATTCGGAGACAAGTGCTAATGTCCTCTTTCTAAGCAGCACTTGCGGCGCTCCTGTTGAGTGTCCTGGAGACGTCTGTTCAATCTGCGTGAAACAACATTGACGAATTCTACCACGACTTAGCTCTGGTATTGTCACCAGAGGGAGTCCGCTTAGGTTCTTGCTTGAGTGGAATATGGGCCTACCATCAGTTTTTAACGGGAACAAAGGAGGTTACGAAGACTATTCTGGGAATATGTGGGACACTGGGATGCAAGCAACACAAGCATGGCGTTAGATGGAAAAGGCATCGGGAATAAGGCGTTATGACATGACACTATGGGCCAATGGGAGGATACTGTAAACAATTTAGTGTACGAACCGTTGTGAGGGGATTGCCGGTGGCGGTACTTTAAGGGGCTAATCATACGTAAAAATTTCCTTGCCTCGCAAAACTAGACGAAGAGAGGCACTATGCACGACACAAGGTTCATGTCATTTAACTAACAAGAGTTTTCAGATATGCCAGCGTGCCTGATGACTTCCGCCCCCATATTTCTGAATGTCGGACACTAGAGGATGATGAAGTGTTTGTGCTGCTACACCTGTCTAGAGGCGTGATTCTTTGCGTGGCTAGCTAGCCGGTATAGATGGCGGGAGACTGGCATTTGTTCAAGGTAACACCTGGTTGCCTCAAACATGTAGTATGTCGTCTTAATCGTGGGATGCAAATAGTGGAGAATTATAGTCGTGGAAATCGATATTAGTTGCGTGTAACTACACACCTATACTCAATGCTTCCTTGAATCCTCGGCAGCTGAACGCAAAGCCTTGGGCGGTTGGCATCTTGAAAAAGATTAACTTAGAGTTTGTTTAGTCGTTTGTATCTTGTATTTCTCTTCCGGAGATCTACCTCGGCGCATATTGCCACGCCACAAATATCAGGGACTGGCTCTTAGATCTTTGGTTATAAACATAGTTGGAACTTGGAGGTTCAATGAAGCTCGCCCTGGTTTACGCTAAGCGGGTTCGTTGTTGTTAGCGTCATGGCGTCTCGAACATCCTTGGCATCAGAGGCCCCACCAAGGTTATCCCAAGCCTCTTTCGCTGGGTGTAAGCCTAGGGAGTTGTTCACGAACTTGCTGCGGCAATTTGTATATAGCTGCAATATATCGGTCCGCAGGGGCGTGAGATTCACCATGAAGGGGACGATGAAGGGCCATTCCCCAGAAGTTGGACCATGCCTGGGGTTGGAGGTGACGGATGCCAAGGGTCGGCCCAGGCGTTGCTTTGACAGGCTTATCCCTGTCCCAGTTGAGCGAAAAGGGAAAGTGGGGTGTTCTGGGCTGACGAGTCGAGACCTCATGCTCATGGACCGGTTTGACGTCGTCAACTTCATTTTCCCCCGATAGTTACAGACAAGATTGTAAATACTTTCCAGATTTGGCTACTTAACAGTCTAGCTTCCATCAAAATGCATCTTGTCGTCTTCTCCACCAAACCCTATGACCGCGAGTTCTTCACCCGCGCCAATAACAACCCCGCAGTCACACCTACCCCTCACACTATCACCTTCCACTCCTTCCCCTTGACCCAATCCACCGCTTCCCTCGCTCACGAAGCAGATGCCGTCTGCGCCTTTGTCAACGATGCACTTCCGGGTTCAGTCCTGCGCGCCCTGCGCGGTCTACCCCAAGAGGGTGACGGAGCCGACACCAACACCGACAACCCCAACGCTACGAGCAAAGTCCGCGCTATCTTGCTCCGTTGTGCTGGATATAACAACGTCGATTTAGCCACGGCCAAGAACCTGTCCCTGAGCGTCGCCAACGTGCCCGCCTACTCGCCCGAAGCTGTGGCCGAGTTCGCCGTCGCGCTGGTCCAGACGCTCAACCGCAAGACACACCGCGCGTACAACCGGGTGCGCGAGGGCAATTTCGAGCTCTCGGGCTTGATGGGCCAGACGCTGTACGGCAAGACGGTTGGTGTGGTAGGTACGGGGAGGATTGGCTTGGCATTTGCGCGAGTGATGGCCCGTGGGTTCGGATGCAAGGTCGTCGCTACTGATCCGTTCCCAGCGGAGGAGAGGTTGAAAGAGGCGGTTGGGCCCGACGGGGGGAATTATGTGGAGTTGGATGAGCTGTTGCGGGTGAGTGATGTGGTGAGTCTGCATTGTCCGCTGACGGATGACACGAAGCACATTATCAATGGTGAAACGCTGGCGAAGCTGAAGAAAGGGGCAGTGTTGGTGAATACATCGCGCGGTGGGTTGGTGAATACGCAGAGTGTCATTGCGGCGTTGAAGAGCAAACATTTGGGCGGGCTAGCACTGGATGTATACGAGGGAGAAGGGGAGTTGTTTTACCAGGACCACAGCGCCGAGATCATCCAGGACGATGACTTGATGCGGCTGATGACATTCCCGAATGTGCTGGTTAGTGGGCATCAGGGGTTCTTCACCGAGGAGGCACTCACAGAGATTGCGGAGTGCACCTTGAGGAACTTCGACGAGTTATTGAACGACAAGCCGTGCAAGAATGCGCTCGTCAGACAGGGGCAACTGGCCCGCAGGGATTCTCTACCGGTCAGAATTTAGGGTTAGATGCGTACCCATTGAACGGATGAATCAGATTTTGTAATGGTTTTGTGGCTACTTTATTCTAGATGCAATACGACTTGCGACGAAACCGTTCGAGACCAACTGCGGATATAATAGGGGGTCTGAGGTGGGATGAAAACTACCTAATAAATTGTTCCTGGCGTCCTCTTCTTCCTCCGTCCAGCCTCAAACTCCGCCGCAGCTGCATGTGCCGCTCCGCTGCCGTGGCCGTTCGCAGGCGCATTAGTATAATACCCCTCCGGACTGGACCCTGGCGCCTGGCTCACGCGTGTTGAGCTCGAGCGAGGTGGTGGAAGGCCAACCGGGGGTTGATATGTCAGGTCGTCATCGGCAGCGCGGACTTTGCCGGGCCGCGGAGGTGGTGGAGGTGGAGGAGCTTGTTGAGGTGCTCGGGGGGTGGAGTGGTTGTCAGACTCAAATTGACGGTCGTAGCGGTCGTGGCGGTCGGCAGTTGGAGAAGGTGCATAGGTATAGCTTTGAGGCTGGGGTTGGGGTGGTTGTTGTTGGGTGTAAGCTGTGTTGTCGTAAGGTCGGTCGGAGGGAGGTTGGGATTGCGGTGAGTGGGTTGTGGCCTGGGGTTCGCCCGTGGCTTGTTGTAACGGGCGACGGGATAAACGGGTTGAGCCTGGACGGTGCCGTGTAGGGGATGTCCTGCCATCGGCCATCCATGGCTCGTCTTTGTCGGATGTGTCGGATACATCGCTGGCCCCTTCGTCGGCGTACTGTCAGGTTTGTGAGTATGGTGTTCTTCATGATGCAGCGGGCGGGAAACTTACTGCTCTGAGCTCCTTGCGCATGGCTAAGCCAGCACAGATCTCCTTGGCCTCCTCGATGGCCTTCTTCTGTATCCTCAACGTCTGCCGCCGGTCCCGGGTCTCTTTGTTCTCGGCCGCGATAGCTTCAATGATATCGGTGCTGAGGTTCAAAACCTCAACGGAGTTAAAGATGCTGTACATCCCTTGCAACAGATGGCGCTCAACCACCTGGATAATGGTGTTGCGGATGAAGGTTTTCGCCGCCAGCTCGTAGTAAATCAGCATTTTCTCCAAGACCTCTTCAGCCTCCGAAAAGCTCGCACCGTCCTGGGAGATCTTGGCGTGCCAACTCCGCAGGCGCTCCTCGTACTCGGGATCGTACGGCTGCACCTCGAGGCTCATGTCTTGGGTTAGACGGTCTAGCTCATCCTGTGCTTTCGCCATGAGCTCCTTCATGTGCGGCTCTAAGAAGTGCCGACGTAGGGGCTCACGCATACGCTTTGGCCAGGCGTAGTCGATCAGCTCGCCGAGGAACTCGTTGCACACAACGCCGAGATTATCCTTGTGCTCTTGAGCCAGTTTGGGCCAGTTTTCTGAGTAGCTCTGGAAGAGCATGTAAACCGCACGAGGCTTGGGGTCCATGGGGAACTCAGAGCCGCGGATCTGGCGCAGCAGCATTTCGACCTCTTGGCCAACAAAGTCTCGCTTGGCGCTGTTCACCGGCGTCGCTTCACCGGATGTGTGGGCCGCCGAGGCAGAAAAGCCAAACTTGCGGCCGTGGGCGCGGACCCTCGTAGAGAAGCGGTCATTCTCCTCGGCGGCACGGGCTCGGAGGTTCTGAGCTGGGGTACCTCTGGGATCGGCAGTTACCCGGAAAAAGTTCTTCTTGGGGGGGTTCTTGTAGAAGCCGTAAACAGCGGGTATCACTAGCTCCTTGGACGACGAGAAGAGCTCAACCAGCTCGGTCCTCATCTCTTCCGGTGTGTCCTTGGCGTCGCCCAGCGACTTAAGCTCACACTCACACTCGTCAAGGGCCTTCTGGATCTGTTTCCGCAAGACGTGGACATGTTTCCCAATGTGTTGCTGTAGTTGCATGCTGAGTTTCCGCATTAAGGCGCCAGCACCACAGAAGGAACTCGGGATGGAGCTCCATTTGCCGCTGTTGAAGAAGACGGCTTCGCTTCGCCGGCGATCTTCGGCCGATGGCCAGGGCTGGCCCGGTTCACGGGGGCCTGGGTTCAGTAGGACATACCAACCAAGCTTGAAGTCGTTGCGTTTGTCCTTGTTTTGGATGAGATCGATGAACTTGTCTTCGAGGCCAATCGATTCGGTCAAGTCGGGTTTCGTCAGGACACCGATCGTCCTAGACCCATTAGGATCGAAGTGGCGGGCTTTGGTGAGGATGGGCGCTTGGACATAGTCGGAGTTGCCGCCGACGACGGCAAGGATAATCGTACGGGAGCTCTTCATGTAGCGGTCGGAGAGCGACTCGATGGTCTTGATATCTTCGAGGGACTGGTCGTTGTTTGCGTTGCGAACCAAGCCTGGCAGGTCAACTAGGGTCAACAGCGGCATGTCTGGGCCGCGTTTCTCGACGACAAGGATATCGCGAGCCGCGAACCGCCCGGGTATGTTCTTAGGTGCGATGAGATCGACGGCGCTCCGCATCAGTTGTTCAAACGGCATGCCGGTGTTGACAGTGCCGCCAAATCGCCTCAGGCTCTCTTGTTCTGGGAAGCTGCGGTTTTTGTCCGGGATCACGGAGACCGTTATACTCGGTTGGGGCGCCCGACGGAGGCGGATCTCGGTTGCGAAGCGGGTGCAGGCCCCAGCATCACGCGGGAATGGGGTGCCGGTGATAGCCTCGAGGACAGAGCTCTTGCCGGCACTCTGGTCGCCGACCACGACGATCTGTGGTAACTTTACATTGTCGAGCTGGGCGAACTGCAACTTGTCGATGAGATCGAGAAGGGCACGCTGCTCACCAGCGAGCTCTTGGGCTTCTACCGCCAGCTCAAGTCGTGTGACCATGGCGAGATGTTATCGGTCAGACAAATAAACAGACAAGTAGACTTGGTATAGTCTGTATAATCGGGCCACAGGGTGAGGAGGTGACGGACAAGACAGCAAAGAGATTACTGAGTTTAGATGACGGAGAAGATGGCGGGGCTTTATACCGGGCATAGGAAAAATGAGTGTCACCACAGGTTGCCTCAGTTGTATGTTGCCACAATGGACAGGCGTGGCAGCCGCGTGTCCCCAAGGATGTATTGTACATGGTCTCCCTCCAGTTTCCAGGCCCGGTCGTACCACTGAGCCTGTTGTAATATTTGGTGATGGACAGGGACAAAAGCCACGGCCTCGCCCGTTGTGCCCGGCTAACTAGTGGTGGGATGGTGGGTGGAGGATAACGCCCAGTGACGACTGCGGCAACGCGTCAGTGGGCCGCCGCGGCTTCACTGGGTGGCAAGCCCCAAAGCGGCATCTGCCGTGATTGGCCATTGGATTTTAGGCTGCGTGTCGTGGGAAAGGGCAGAAGACTCTCGAGCTGAATAGCGCTGCAGGCTGCCTCTTTTGAGGGGTTCCATGTTAAAGAAAGCTGGTGTTGGTGCGACAAGCAAAGGCCGGAATCGTGCTCAATTGGGGTCTGGAATGTGGCAGTGCAGTCTATCTAAGCCACATGTGGCTGTGTTCTACCTTCGAACCTCGTTTGCCTGGCACGTGCCTCTGTGCGCATTTGCCTGCCGCTTGGAGGTTGGGAGAGAACTCTCACGTCACCGCCCAGCCTTTTGCTCCACAATAGCTGCGAGCTGTTGGCCGCCAAGGTCCCCTTGTTTGGTTGCATGACCATTGAACTTTGGACAATCCCCCATCAAACCGTCGCTCTTCCGTTTAACCTCGAATCCTCGTGACTACCGGCCGCTCTCATGTCGGCGTCAACACCACGCGTGAATTGTCTACTCCGACCCTCCTGCGCTTCCTGCTGAAGGCCTGACAGCGCAATCATGGGCCTCTTCGCGGGCCTCTTCGAGGACCCCGACAATCCCGACGACGGGGCTTGCAACCCCGACAAGTACGTTGGTCCAAGTCAGAAAGATACTCAGGTCCAACTCGTAATTTCCGTCGCCTTAGGGTTATCGGCCTTTCTCTCCTTTTGTGTACGTCCTGCGGTTTCCCTTGACCTTTTCCTCCGCGGCTGCTGACAGTGTCCATAACAGGCCTTCCGCCCGGGATGGAAGTCCCTGTACGCTGCCCGGAAGCGGCACTCGAATCCCCTCTTAGGGTTGCCCACCCTTCCCGACACATTTTTCGGATGGATCCCGACCCTCTACAAGATCACAGAGCAGCAGGTTCTGTCCTCTGCGGGCCTAGACGCCTATGTCTTTCTCGCCTTCTTCAAAATGTCGATCCGGTTGTTTGGGACCATGTTCTTCTTTGCCGCCGTCGTCCTTGAACCCATCAACCGCCATTTCCTAGGTGATGTAAACACTAATGGGGCCACTTTGTTTTACGAATACCGGACCGACCGCGACCCCATCTTACCTCCGACAATTCCCGGAAGCATTCAGAAACCGGACCGTGACCCCGACAACAGTTTTGACCGCAACAAGGGGTACTTGTGGTCGTATCTAGTTTTTGCCTACCTCTTCACAGGCCTGACCCTCTACTTTATGGACAAAGAAACGTTGAAAGTGATACGGGTACGCCAGGACTACTTGGGCACTCAATCAACTGTTACCGACCGCACGTTCCGACTGTCTGGCATCCCCGAGGAATTGAGGACTGAGGAAGCAATCAAGGATCTCGTACAGAAGTTAGAGATTGGAAAAGTCGAAAGTGTGACACTTTGCCGTGATTGGAAGGAGCTCGATCACCTTATGGATCAGCGGCAAACCATCCTGGAGAGGCTCGAAGAGACTTGGAGCGTTTATCTCGCCCAGAAACCATTGATTCCCACCGGCCGCCGGCCAGATGGGAATGAAGCCAACGGGCCTAACCATAACCCCGCCGGAGATTTGGACGCAGAGGCCGTGGATGAGGAAGCTGGCGAAGGTGACCAACTCCTGGCGGGCGGCAGGGCCGGCCAGACTCTAGAGAGGGTGCGGCCCCAGACTCGGTTTTGGTACGGATTTCTTCGCCTGCAGAGCCGCAAGACCGATGCCATAGACTACTACACGGAAAGGCTTCGCCGCCTAGATGACAAGATTATGACTGCCAGGAAGAAGACATACGAACCGGCCAATCTCGCCTTTGTCACGATGGACTCGATCGCCGCCTGTCAAATGGCGATTCAGGCCGTTATCGACCCTCACCCCGGCCGTCTGTTGACAAAACCTGCTCCTGCTCCCTCCGATGTTGTCTGGAAAAACACATATGCTACGCGATTCAGCCGGCGCAGTCGGTCGTGGACGGTCACCACCTTTGTCGCCATCCTCTCCGTCATTTGGGCGGTTCCCGTAGCCTTTTTGGCTTCTGTTCTCAGCATCTGCATCATCGACGAATTTTTCTCGTCCTTCGGCCAATGGCTCCGAGAACATGAGGTCGCTCGATCCCTGGTGCAAACCGGCCTTCCAACGCTCGTGGTCTCCTTGCTTAACGTCGCAGTTCCGTACCTCTACGACTATCTTTCCTGGCACCAGGGAATGATTTCGCAGGGCGACATTGCCTTATCGGCTGTGAGCAAGAACTTCTTTTTCACTTTTTTCAACATTTTCCTGCTGTTCACCGTCTTCGGTACCGTCACTTCCATATTTGACGTCCTCCGAAACTCCCTCACAGACGCCACCTACATTGCATACACCCTCGCCCAAAAGATTGAAGACCTATCCGTTTTCTACACCAATTTTATCATGCTCCAAGGCCTCGGTCTTTTCCCCTTCCGTCTACTCCAATTTGGCAGCGTCGCTCAGTACCCCATTCTGCGCATGGGGGCCAAAACTCCCCGGGACTTTTCGCAATTGGTTCAACCGTCGATGTTCCACTATGGCTTCTACCTACCGACCGCCCTACTAGTCTTTATTCTCTGCCTTGTTTACAGCGTTATCCCCAATGGTTACCAAGTCCTTGGCCTCGGGGTCGCTTACTTCACGCTCGGCTACTTCACCTACAAATACCAGCTCCTATACGCTATGGACCAACCACAACACGCCACTGGTGGTGCTTGGCGCATCATCTGCTACCGCATCATGCTCGGACTTGTGGTCTTCCACGTCACCATGTCCGGCTACTTGGCATTGAAGAAGGCGTTCACCGTGGCGTTGCTAGTTGCTCCGTTATTCATTGCTACGGTGTGGTACGGATGGGAGTTCCGGAACCGAGTCGAGCCGTTGACGCGGTTCATCTCGCTGCGAAGCATCGAGCGCCCCGGTGATGGTGGAGAAAGCGCCATTCTCGACGACGACCTCGGCCAGGAGGGTGGTGAAGAGCGGGAAGTACTGCGCAGGGGTAGCACGGTGGATGAGGATCGTGAGAAGGGCCTGCGCTTTGTGAATCCGAACTTGGTGCTGCCGTGAGTATTCCTTTGGCTCATGAAGCCTGCTGAAATTTTTCGACTTGCTAACGTGGGGAAATAGACTCGAACAACCATGGATATACGAAGATCCGCCGCCACCCCTCGTCGACACGGATACCGATGAGGCTCCAGACCAGCCGCCCCACAACAGTGACAATAACCGCAACAATAACAACAGCCCACATTACAACGGCTCTGGGTATCAGACCCCGCCACGAGGTGCCGGGGCGAATAGCAGCACGGCGAGCTCTGTTAGTTTAGGCGACACCCACATTTGGAGGGAATAACGCTCCCCACACACTTTCGGTCGGCCCCATGGTCGAGATTCTCGGGTTTTCCCCATATTTTTGAACCGGTTATTATTTGTGAGATGCTATAAATGAATGACGAACGGGCTTTGGGACGGGAGAGGGAGGAAGGTGATAGGGAGACTTGCTATTTGGCGCTAGAGGGCTGATACCATGATGCGATGATTCGGGTTGATACTAGGTATACCAAGGCTGTTTCCGAGAGGGTGATCCCGTACGGGTTTGATCATGGACTTCTACCGCTTGAAATATAATATGACACGTTTTTTTTGGATCTGCCGTAGACGTGCAGTGTTGTTCTTAAAAAACACATGGAGACTAATTATTTGCGTTGCGTCTTGGCAACCCCTGAGAATTGCTTAGACAACCACTGCAGCTGCAAGTGTTGATATAACCCCTGATTTGTGCAAACAGCGTCGATCCCTGCAGAGACAACCTTGAGAACAAAACCTGGGCTATTGCCACCGACTTTTCTTTTTGGCATTATCATTACAAGCAAATGAGCTCTAGTAAATTTCGGTCCATAGCGAGATGATACGCGTTCCTCCCACATCTGCGCCAAATTACACCACATCGTAAAAATATGATTAGTTCGTTCGCTGCCGCACATGGGGATCCGACTCAACCTCTACCCCCTCTATCACTTCTTCCGATCTATCAGGGTCTGACAGATCAATTGACTCGGGCCCAGAATCCGACCTAGATCCTGGACACTTGTTTACACCATTGTTTCCTTGCGACAGTCGGTCACGGTGGCCTATTCTCTCGATGCTACTAATTATGTGCGTAGGTTCGGCTTCTTAAATCGTATCAGAAAAGCCGTTGGGGTACTCATTCACGGACTCGGCTCGTAAATATGAAGCCTCGCTTGTCATACTACTAGGCGTTGCAGCCCATGTGGTGGCGGGGGTGCACGTGGTCTTGCGCAACTGTTGCTGTATCTTCTCGAGCATGGAGCTGCGATTGACCGGCGTTAAGGGGCTACTGAGCTCACCTCCAGCGTGGTCGTTAAGAATCGAGTTGTAGTCAGAACTCTTGAGGGAGTACATTGCCCCACTATCGGGCGATGACGCTGTTACGTTTTGGTTCTCCTCCTGGGTCGTGTTGGCGTGCATTACCCTTGTTTCTGCAAAGTCGCACTTCTGCCTCCATTCCTCGACCTCCTCCTCACTAGGCCTTTCCAAGATGGGGATGGTAGTATCTTGGCCGGTGTCTCCGTGCGGAAGAGTGTCCGGTACGGCTTCGTCATGCGTGGCATCCATCCTGATGGTGAACTCGGTTTGCAGCTTCTTCAAGTATGATGCTAGTGCCGAATCATCCATGGTTGAGACATGCGCTTGCTTCAGTAGGCCTGGGAGCGCGAGGATTAGTTTGTTTTGCTTCCCCGCGTGGGTAGCTGGTCCAGCCCCACGGCTTAAATGTCGCAGTCGAAGAAATTTGCAAGCATTCTCAGCATTGTTTACAACTCGGGCTGGAAGAAAACGCCGGGCGAGGTTTGAGCCGTAGTCTTCGTTTCGCACTGGCCCAGGGGCAACCGTATGCGGCAACGATATTTGCGTATGGGGACCGTCCTCAATGATTCCACCCGCTATATGGACATTCGACACCCTGGTTCGATGGGTGGCGTTCAAAACTCGTGCTGCAACCGAGTTAGCACAGTCTTAGAATCTCTGCGCCATGCTTACCAATCTCTGTGAAATGTGTCGCAAAAAAGACCCGAGATTCTTCCTTGACTAACGCCTCGCAAATCGAAAGCGCAATGCCTAAGCCTTCGGTGGTCGAGGTACCACGTCCTAGTTCGTCAATTATTACCATGCTGTGCTTGGTAACTTGTCTGGCTCAGGGGTCAGCATCATGAAATAGGCCAGTTGTCTTACACCTACCTAAGTATCATGTTCATCTCGCTCATTTCTACGGCAAATGTGCCCATATTGCTTTCCGGCTTGTCTTCGGTTGACAGTCGGGTAAAAACGCGATCACAAATGGGGACTGCAGCATACGTTGCAGGGACAAAACTTCCAATCTGTACCATGATCTGGATCAAGGCAATGGACCGGATGAGTGTGCTTTTCCCGCTCATGTTACCACCAGTGACAACCTGGAACCGAGCGCCTTGGTCCCCCAAATAAATGTCGTTCGGCACAAAGTTATCCTTCCGGACCTCCATGACGGGATGCCGGGCCGCTTTCAGAACTAAGTCATCCGAAATTAGTGGCCTCACGTAGTTTTGGGTGGTCGCCAAGTACGCAAAAGAGCACACCATGTCCAACATTGCGATGGCCTCATCGACGCCGAGAAGTGTTTCTGCGTGGCCCAGGAGTTCTGCCTTTACCGCCACAGCATACCCGTCACTTTGAGTGGTGACAATGTCTGCGTGGCGCTGAATTTGACTGCTTCTTTGTATGAGCTCCAATGTTTGGCAGTCGTAATGGTGTTTCCGTCGGACCCCGTTGACAATCTCAATGCCAACTAAAAGCCGTGGTATCCAGTGCTGTACTCCTCCAGAGTGCCCGCTATTCATAGTGGCCTGGTCTCTGATAAGGGCCCTTTCCACATCCGTCCATTGAAATCGCAAGTAGTAGTGGTTATCGTTCCCGAGCCGCAGTTCTGGTGTAGCACCTAATTGCTCTACATACTGTCAGAGGTCATGAGATCATGACACGGTTCGAGTACACACCTTGGAAGACCTTGGACAACTCCTCCACGTAGTGGTGAAGTTCATCCGTGCAGTTTCGAAACCGCTGCCGCGAACCTTCCAGAACGCTATTCGGCTCTGCCTATTTTCCGGCTACGTTAGCGAATACGCAGACATAACTGCTTCCAATTACTAACCTTAATTGCCCACAGCCGGTTGTTTCTTATGTCTATCGGCGCTTTGCTGTAAACGGCATCCTGCTCAATCGCTTCTGCAATGAGGTTAGACAGGGATACCGTGTTGCTGGCCTGTAACCTTTCCAACACCCATTGACACAACTCGCTCGTGCAAGCCCCGACTTCAAGAGTCTCTCGAACTGCCTGCAGGCCGCCCAGGTACGCCTTGATCATAAGTATCTGATTCAGATCTTTTTCTGCGCCTCGTAACTCCTCGTGGCTTGGGATGATGAACTGGTGACGACCTTGAACCATGGATATCCCCTCTTGCAGTGCAATGCGGGCATTTTCATCCCTCGTGGAAACCTGAAACGTTAGTCGGGAGTTCTCGAAAATTCCAGCAAGTTTAAGGCTTCTCTTACCCAAGGAACGGAACGCTCAACATCTATATGAAGTAGCTGCTTGAGACTAGATCGAACTTCGGTGAACAAGTCTTCGTTGCTTGATAACTCTTCCACCGCTTCGTGGCGCATTGTAATAATGTCCCTGTTTGTGCTCGGTTGCAACAACGCTGACCGAACCATACGGCGGCCCTGCGGTGTAAGCGTGTGGTTGAGGAGCCCGAATAATGTCGAGGTACTCTTCTTCGCATTCCGAATGTTCTGGAAAATCTCGAGAGACGTTATGGTCGATCGATCAAGCCCCATGGTGTCTGCTGGTTGTTTGTACGTGATCCGCAACGAATTGTCTCGGAAAATCACTTCGGCCTCCTCCTCTATGTAGCTCATAGCCTACGACAATTAGTGTTGTACCAATAACACCAAGTCAGGTTCATCATACCGCTGAAAATGCGCAAGACACATAAAAGTTGTGGTTTAATTCTTGGCGGATTCCCTTGACGTGGCTCCTCCAAGCAAAACGCTCCACCAGCCTCAATCCTTCTGACTCATTCCAATGCTCTCTGTCTAAGGGCACGATATCTGCGAGGGGGAATTCTTGTTCGATGGATCTCGTGACGGTTGACTTGCCCCCTTGGCTCACGACCCTCTTCAAGACCAGAAAGGTTTGCGGTGACGTGGGTATTCGCCACAATGTCTCCAACAAGCGACGATATTTGTCGTCGTTCACGATTCTTACCAAATCCACCAGCCCTAGTGTGACGTTGATGATTGCGACTCCGACCATATCTGATGACCGGCTTTCTGATATGGCGCATACGACATAGTCTTGGTCCTGCGTTGAGTCAGAATGTAGTTTGTGGTCCGGCCCATGACCTGCCCGGTGAGGTTGATGCCGCCGTCTGCCGTTCCCTGCGCCATGGGGTTGCGCCATCTCCTCATCATCCTCAGATTCGGAGCTCAGGTCCACCGAAGCCATTCGTAAAGGGTCTCCTGGAGAAATTGCTTGAGGTTCATCATTAGGGTATTTACAATGTGGTGTGATCTGTTGTGGAAGGTATAGCGCGGTGTTGGTGTGGCCCAAGGGGCTCAAAATCGAAGAGCCCTCTTTCTGCCCGCGGGAGGGAGTGTCTGACTGCTACCCGCTAGCATTAGATGTAAGACTTGAAGATGAAAACCATGCTGGGGAATATTGGTATACTCGCCTGGGTGCTTTCGTCAATGGCGTTGCGATAACTCCTCAGCCCCGTGATATTCGCCATGCTTCGTGCATATAGGGAGCTATTTGGAGTCATCGTTTGTGTCGCACGTCCACTCATAACGGAATGTCCGCTAGGAAACTCTAAGTTCCTGTGGGGGGTAGAAGTCCTCTGCGACTCTGTGATGCCAGGTCTAGGGAAGAGGGCTTCCCGACTGTTGCGGAGGGCGGCTGAATCACTGGCATCCGTTCTCAACCCATGGTTAGGGTACGGGGGGCGATCGGTCAAATTCAGCGGCGTTTGGCGTGAAACGCTACGTGGCTCAACGTCCGAACAGTCCGGGTCAAGTACAATAGTGCTACCAAATGACGATGAGGAACGGTGATGTGAACGCTTTGGTTTGTTGGTTGTTGGCCTTGGACTACTATAATATGGGGACTGGTAGGTTGGTCCGGCCGATGACTGTCTTCCCAGTGAGCTAAGAACTTTCTCTATTGACCTAGAACTTTCTTTATTGAAAGACCCAGTGACTGAAGGGCTCGAGCTGCAGAATTCTGCGTTATGTCCGCTTTGATAAGGAAGTTCTGCATCTGATTGGAAACCAATGCTGTATTGAGCAGGCCGTGGCAGCAGCCAGTCAGTTGGATCGATTGATACTGAGGAAGTCCTCACCGGACTGAACCGTGGGGTGCGCCGTGTGGGATTGTTGAGATCGTGGTTTGATGAGAGTTCGTAGGCGGGGGATACAGACGCATCTTGAGACTTGGTGTTCCAGTAGTAATGAGACACTTGACTAGGCAACGCTTCGGATGGTTGTGGCTCATTTATCTCATGGGCTTGCTCGGGCCAATCGAGAGAGGTAGAATGGCTCGAGAAGGCCTGAGGGGAGGTGTCAGAAGTAGAGGACACCATTGTTTTAGCAAGTGTGGTTTTCTGCATGGAATCTGCCTGCGAACACCCAAATGTACTGGTCCGCTCGCTTGGGTGTTGTGCTTGTGATCGTGGTGTTGCTGGGAGATCGGTTAGGCCCTTAGAAGACTAAGAAGAGGGCAAGACCGACACGGAGCCGACCGATACCCACTGTACATATGGACTTGCCTTTAGTCTTAGAGTTCTACATGCCTTGTTTGTTCTGACTACGGATAAGTGCAATTTTAGGTTGCTCCTTCCAGTGAAACAGCCTTCGCCCACGGTGCCTTCCCCTCTCAACACGAAATCAGTCGTAACTCCAGCGTTATTACGAAATAGTCATTTTGGCAAGACCAGTGGAATTTACTTTGTTCTGGCGTTGGAGGCTTCCTTGGAGGCTTAAGGAAGCTTTCATATTCACATATGATGCCGGACTACGGCGAATAGTATCCACAAACTAGGTCCTTATTTGTCGAAATGTTTCACCCCGGATCCTCGCCAGACTTTCGTTCTTTTCTTTTATTCATGCTGTAAATCAGCGGCCGGCATTCCAACTACGTTTCTTCCCGTTGCCCTTAGTCAAGCTGGTCCACTGTTTGTCCATTCCCACCATTCTTGGTCTCTCCGACCACACGCTTCGCATCCTCCGCGCTGACCTCAAGCCGCCAGCCAAATTTGTCCTCTAAATTGCCCAACTGGATGCCTTTGAGGTGGGAAAGAAGGTTGAGGCATAGTGGCCCAGGCTCATCGATGTCCCCTGGGGTGTAGATAACCGTCTCCTCAGACTCGCCAGCCGGGCCGGTGCCCGTTGAGGTCGTGACACGAGGCCCCTGGGGGAGACCGGAGGTGTTACGGCGTGTGATGGAACGGATTGGCACAAGGGAGGCGGCTGTGCCGGCGGCCATGACTTCTTGGAATGAGGGGAGCTCGGCGTATTTGATCTGGCCACAAAGATATTAGCGGAGCCGAGCATTCGGATGGCCGTGTCTGCTCAAATATGACCTACCGCGCGCTTCTCAACCTTCCATCCAAAACTCCGCCCCAGCTCCTGGATACTGTCGCTCGTCACGCTATCAATTACAGCCTTGCTATCCGGCACTACCAACGTGACGTCATCCCCATTGACCAGAGCACCGATAAACCCGCTGGTGCTGAATTCATCCACTTCCTCGTGTGTCTTGCTATCCAGATGCAGTGTGATACCATACCCTTCCGACCTAGCCCTATCGCTCCATCGCAACACAGGTGCGTAGTTTCCGCCGACCTTGGCGTTGCCCGTACCCTTGGGTGCGGCACGGTCAAAGTCGTCTAGGATGAGCGCTTTGACGGGGTGAGTACCATGGTACACGCCCGTGGGCAGTACAAAAACACAGAAGGTGTATTCTTCCGGAGGGTTCAGTCCAAGTTGGGCGGACGAACCGAAAACTTGGGGCCGGATGTACATGGCCGCCCCGGTTGCATGGGGCGGGACAAACTCAGCGTTGAGCGCAACCGCGGCCTTGACAGCATCGAGGAAAAGGTCCACGGGGACGGGCGGCATCGAAATAAATTCGGCACTGTGTTGCAGGCGTGCGGCGTTGCGATCCGGGCGGAAAATTGCGATCCCGTCATCACCAGGCAGGCGGAAGGCTTTGAGCCCCTCAAAGGCTTGCTGACCGTAGTTGAGCGCTGGCGCCATGCCATGGATGCGAATGTAAGGGTCGGTGATGAATTGGAGGGGGCTCCATTTTCCGGTCTTGACAGAGTAATGGGATTCGATGTGGCCGTTTACTGTCCAGGGAAAGCAGACACAATTAGCAACGGAAGAGGCAAATCAAGTGGATAATTTGGGAGCGATTACCCTCGCGAATGCGGAATCCAACGTTAGACCAGTCAATGGTGTTGGCTGGGGGCGGTGGGAAGGATGCCATGGTGTTGGTGTTGATCAGGGTGATGAAGGAGGAACGTTGAGGAGAATGTTCCAATTGCGGTCCAAAGTTAAACCCACTTGTATGACAGAAAACGTCCACAAGAAAACACAATATCTAGTTCTGTTGTTGTGGCATTCGGTGAGTTCCCGTCAAGGGAATTACGTGTTGTCAACTAGAGGCTGACTGTGCCAGGCACTAAAATTTCCCTGAGAGCTTTGCTCCGATCGGAGCAGCGAAGGATGTCGGGGTCTGGCCAGCGTTGCTATTCTCGCTTGTCTTGGCAAAGCCCGAGGCTCCCGAGCCCCTGGTTGGAGGTGACTTTTTGGCGGGGTTTGCTGTAGTTAAGTTATTGGTTTGTTAGATGGCGGGGTAAGTGCCTTGCCGCGAGTGCTCGGAAAGTTGCCCCGCAATCCGATTGCGGAGATGATGTCACGGGCCGCCTGGAATACGAATCAAATGGACAGGTAGATTAAATTGACCCTCGCCTTCGCTCACTCAAATAATGTTTCCGAGGGAGCGAGGGTACAAGAACGCAGTATGATATGGAGTATTGCTCTCAATTAATTAAACAAGGGTATAGTGTACAACTTAACAACCAAGCAAATTCCTGGATTGGCAAAATATCAGGCTGTATTTCAGAGTTTCGCAAAGATATCCCCAGCAAAATAACAAGAAAGAAAAAACGAAATGGATTCCTGACGGCGCCGATACTCCCTCCCTCCGTCACCCATGTTCCGTCTTGTCTTCTGTCTAAGAACCAGTTCCCATGTTTCCGATGATGCCGATGCCCCCGACCGTGTCCATGCTCCATTGCTGGGGCATACGTCCCATGTTCCGGAATTCACCCCGCTAACGGGGTGGGCGTTGCCGTCTAATTACAAACACCCAAATGCCGTTTGCCCCTGATTTCCTAGCCCTGAACCTGGACAGAAAAGAAAGGGAGGGAAAAAGACACGCGAAAAAAAGAAAAAGAAAACCGCCTCGGAACTCGACTTAACCCCCCTCTTTCCCGTTAAAAACACCATGTTCACCAGATTAGCGTCTTGCAACGCGGTTGATCGACCAACCTGGCAGGCACAAGATGCTGGTCTAGTCTCGGTGAGGGAGCAGTGGTCGAGGTAGAACGCGCGCGCAAGCTAGAGAAAGTCGCCGCAACTGGAGCCAGTGGAACACTTCTGCTGCGCTAAAGGGGAAAGAGAACTTTTAAACCGTACAGAACAACGCTTGGCGCAAACATCAGTGAGAAATGCAAAGAAATAGAGAGAAAAAGAGAGGAGAGGAAATTGCAACGAGATCTACTGGTCTCCCATGCCAACCTTAGGCGCCCTCCGTCATCCGTGCCAAAAACGCAACTTCGTAGAAGCCATGGGCGAGCTTAGGCGGATGGGAAAAACGAGAGGAAAAGAAACAGAGAAGAAATGTGAAACGGCCGCCACACGGCCAGGCCGACCTCCAGTTCGTTCATTCCACCCACAGCGAGAAATCCATTTAGGGAATCTGTAAGTAGCTCAAGGAGCGGAGTGGAAGTGGCGCCAAACTCTGACGCCGGTGGCGTAGAGGAACACTAGACCTGTGATCGTATATCAAGTTGGCATATATTTGCCGTGAGAAAGCAGCGCGCAAACCAAAACTGGTTGCTTGCTTACGCAATGGATGCAAGCTTCTGCAGCGTAATCAGGACGCCTATTTGATAATTAGCACTCATGCTCAACTTCTCAGAAAACAAGGCTAAACATGGCACGGGGTGGAGCTTACCGCTAACGCCCTGAGTAAGCGTGGCCGCCGCCTCAGTATTCCTAGTACCGGCAAGGCTAACGGTGACAACCTCCTTCACGGTGCCGTCTCTGCCAAGCGCGTTCGCCCACTTGAACACCTTCTCGTCTTCACGACCATCACCAATAACCATGAGGAAATCAACTGGTGACTTGCTCTCCGGAGCCGTCTCGCTACTCTGCTCTGGCTCCTCGGCCTGCATGCCCGCGCGCAGATCGGCAAAGATCTTTTGGGCTGCAGTGGTCTTGGTCCAATCTATGGGCTCCACGAGGACGCAGCCGTCGAGCGGGATGGCGTGGACCCGCTGCTCCTCACAGGCGTCGTTGATGTGACTAGCGCAATCGCTCGCCTGGCGTAGAGCCGTCTCCATGTCCTCAGCCGCCTTGTAGTGGAACATGAGTGAACAACGACGGTCCTCGATGGAGGAACCAGGTGTGCGCTCGAGGTAGTAAGTCAAGATGGGCCGCACCGCATCCTTCCATGCCCGGATCTGCCGGGAATCGGCCACCTCGGTCCACTCCGTACTTCCGCAGTCCTTGAGGAAACAGCCGTTCTCAGCGATTAGGCCCAGGTTCGGGACGCGGCGGAAGAGGCGGTCGAGTTCTTCAGGGCGACGGCCTGACATGACATAAATAGTGTTGCGCTCGTCGAGGAGCAAGTCGTTCAGAACATCCAGGGTGCGCTGAGAATATGTTAGTTCCCGGAGGCCGCATCTCAACAGCCAAACACCTAAACACCTGTTAAGGGTAAAGGAAACCTACCTGCGGGCTGACCGGAATGATCTGATTGACAGGGCCCCAGCTGACTAGAGTGCCCTCAAAGTCGAGGATGAACAGGCGGCGCTCGCTGCGGCTGTACTGCTGGACGGTGTTCTGAAGAGAGAGGCGCGGCACCGAGGTAGTATCTCGGCGGTGCTGCTCCTCGTAGACACGGTCCAGGCGCGACAAGAATTCCGTAAACCAATGTGAGCCGGTGTGCAAGTTAACGCAGTCAAACAGCTTCGACCAACGCTCTCCCTTCTCCTCATCGTCCATCTCAAGCGCCTTCTTGATGGCGTTCGCGCAGGCCCGATAATCCCACGGGTTAACCGACAACTCGTTGCCGCCAAAGAGGGACGATGTGCCCGTGAACTCGGACAGGATCAATGAACCGTGTTTCTTCTCGCTAAACTTGCCGTCCTGGCAATAAAGGTATTCGTGCGACGTCAGGTTCATGCCCTCGCGCTGGCTGGTGATCATGAGGGCGTCGGCGATGCTGAGCAGCGCCAGGTACTGCGCGTAGTCGATATCTTGCTTCAAATACACCACCGGTTGGTAGGCGAGATTGGCCCAGGACGAATTGACGCGTGTGACAATATCAGAAACGGCAGCGTCCAGCTCAGTTTTCTCGCTCGTGGAAAGCGCAACTTGGATGAGGACAACGTTATCCCGCCAGTGAGGGTTTGCGTTCAGAAACAGCTCGTACGACAGCAGTTTCTGGCGAACACCACGAACGTGGTCGAGCTTGTCCCGCGCAACGATGAGTTTCTTGCCGGCGTAGCGCTCCCGCATGATGTCGAGCCACTTCTTAACTTCGGCTTCTTCACGATGCTGGCTCAGGCTGACAGGGTCGATACCAATGGGCAGGCTGATGACATCCACAAACCGGTCTTCGAGCTGCAGTCCTTCGGGGGTCGCCTCAGCGCTAAGGAGACGGCTGCAGGTCTGGAGGAAGTGCCGGGCGTATTCGGGAATCTGGAAACCGATAAGGTTGGCGCCCACCATGCCCTCAAGAAGCTGCTTCCGGACAGCCAGGCATCGGAATACCTCCGAAGACGGGAATGCCACGTGCAGAAAGATGCCAATCTTGGCCTCGGGAATCTTCTTGCGAACCATGGCTGGCACTAAAAGCAGGTGGTAGTCATGGACCCAGATGACATCACCGCGCTTCCAGTTCTTCACAATCTTGTCGGCAAAGGCTTGGTTGACGTTGACGTAGAATTTCCACGAATGGTCCTCGTACGCTTTGCTCTTCGGGTTGTCAGGGATCTGGTAATGGAAGACGGGCCACAAAATCTGCTTGCAAAAGTGCGAATAGTGCCCGTCAAAATCTTTGTCGGAACAGAACACGGTCAGCATGTCGTGCTCGGTCGCCATCCTATCTTCGATATCCTGCAGCTGCTGCGTGCCCTGAAGCGCATCGGTGGGCATGCCGAGCGTGCCGACCCAAATGTAGTTGTCCAGCTTGCCCTCCCTGGCTGCCGCTTCGGCGGCATTGCGCAAGCCCCCGTTGCCTTGGTCGGCATTGACGACCCTCCAGTTTGCATGGGCAAAAACGCGGTCGTGACTGTCGCTCCTAACCAGCGGCCGCGGCTGTGTGATACCCTGACGTCCCAACTCCTTGGCCTTTTGTTGGACTCGGTTCTTATCCGCCAAGGTTAAAGAGGGAGGAGGGGGCGAGTTGGCACGCGACATTGGTTGGTCGGCACGACCACCCCAGGTAGGCGAGCCACGGTCAGCCGGGGCACGGAGAGTGTCGGCAACTGGCTCGGCAACAGTGGCATCCGGGATATGCACACGCAAGCCATCTTCATTCATGAAGGGGTCCCCCTCCTTCTTCTCATCGGTAGGCGTAATAGGTGGGGTGATGCTGGTCGGCTGGAATAAACTCGGTTGCGGCTCGAGCGGGGCGGGCCGTTGCTTCTTCCCGGACGCTGAACCCCTTGGCGGGGTGCCAGGGAGGGTGAAGTGAATGGTCTTAGGGAGGAAGCTGGGGAGAAAAAAATCGCTTGTTAGCTAAAACTGGCTCGGCCATGCATCAATGATGACGGCAAATCCGAACACAGGGTGTCGGGGACCAGTAGACCGGTGCCAAATTCGTCAACATGGGGCGGGAACTCACAGCGAGGCGATAAACACCGTCATGATGGGCAACTGATATTCGAAACGTCCAACGGAGCGATGACACTGTGCCTTGGTGGCCTCGAGGGCGCCTCGACGGCCGAGTACCGTGGAGGAGGGCGAAAAGTGGACGCTATTGGAGTGTACCTATTTTCGAGCCCATGGAGGGGTTGTGTGTGATGCTAGTGGGATGGGAAGAACCGATTGAGTTGCCAGCAAAATGGCAGGTGAAAACCCGTCTATTCCGGTGGGCGGAGGGAAACACAGAACACTTCGGGAAACGAATAACGGCACAGGACGGTTGGAAAGATGCAGGCCCCGGAGTTGCGGGGGCGGGCGGTTCGGGACCCGGAAGAGGTTGCCTAAGCGGATACCGGAACGGGAAGGAGAGTGGAATATCGGGTTTCGGCGGCTCCGGGAGAACTCAGAGGTGGCCCTCCTGCAAAATATTTTATAGTTTGTGGGTAGATAGTGAGGACCAGCACAACAATCTTGGAGGTTGGTGAATGTTGTCGATTCGGCGATCAACAAAGGTTGGTGCTTGGATGTGTATAACACGCGTTTAGTGTGGTATGCCGCTGGAAGAGAGTCAGTACTGTGATAGAGGGTTGACCGGCCCAAGACTTCGATCTGTATGTAGGGATATGTTGTGTTTATAGGCGCGCAGATGTGAACAAGGTAGTGTGGCTGAAAACGCCCAGGTCCACCAGAGCAAAGCTGCACCCGTCACCTCTGACGTAAAAGACTTGGGGTGTGGGGAGTTCCCTTCACGCTCTCTCAAGGCCAAGCAAACATCAGACCGAACCAACCTGGAACGACAGAACAAAGCACTCGTGCAAACCGTGAAAATGGCCAGGGATAATGACAGCAGCGGGAAATTGGAACTTGCCTCCAAGGTAACCAACAAGTCGAGGATAGGCCGTACAAGACCGGAGAGCACGCAACCTTGGGGTGAAGGAGAGGAGGCAGCAAAGAGAAAGAAAAAGAGGAGCGGAGAGTATTCACTTGGCGAAGCCCCTTGCCTCTGGGTAAGGAGATGGAGAAGGGAGGGTTGTCTTTTTCGGCGGCCTTTGACGGCAACGGAACGCGTGGAAATACGCAGGAATTTCAATCATTTTTTTCCTGGCGCGGAGCATGGAGAGCTCCCGTCAGCCCGTGCTTCCAGTTTCCATGAGAGGTTTCTGGAGGGAGCACTGGCGGTGGGGCCAACCCGGCTGGGCAGCAGCAACTGTCCTGCCAGCCAGAAATGGGTCAGGAGGGCCCGCCAGGTCGCTGCGATTCAGCAAAAAAAGGGCAGCAGGGGGTCGGAGGGGCGGGGGACAGGGGTTTATGCCCCACCTTGGCGCCCAGCTCATGAGCCGTTTGGGCCGCTGAGATGTCACTTCCACTGTTCGAGGTACGAAGTACCCGCGACACAAGTTGGGAACATGAAAGACCATCCTCAGCGGCGTCCCGAAATAATAACAGAAATTTCCTTCAAATAGACCTTCTTCTTTTCTACCACGTAGCTGAATGCGATTGAAGTTCTGAAGATCTTTGGTGAGACTACATGGAAACACGAGCTGATGGGGCCGATAATTAGTTAGTAAGAAGAAAGCTTGGCCGAGATGGAAGCTGTGGAACAGGAAGGCCGTTAGGCCAGTCGGACATGGACGGCGACTTGCGAAGCCCAGGCCCAGACATATTCCATGTTGACGTTGATGACTTCTTGAGAGTCGGTCCAGACGACAGCCCCGCGCGTCGGTGGGAGGGGTGTAGTAGGGCTCAATGATCAAATCAGCACACCCGCTCTCTACGGTGTCCACATGGCTCAAAAGAGAAAACGTTTCTTGCCTCACACACCACCAGCGTTCTCAGGGACCGCCTGTACAACCTCCCAATACTACATATCAGGAGGGTCAGCGAGGGATCATGAATTCATGACCAACACCCAAATGCGTTGGATTCCTCGCCGAGCACTGCACCAGGACCGATTGAGAAATTGCTTCTGATTTCCGTTCGCCAGTTTGTCATCCAAGCAAGTTATCACAAATCCACCGCCACCAGAAAACATACACCAGTTCAGTTAGTCGAATTCTTGAAGAGCAACCAGCGGCGCAACGCTTTCGATCCTACCTCGTAGTAGGCAACTTTTCAACAAACGAAACCCAAAAACGGGCGAACCCGAAAGTGAATTGCCGTCTTGCATCAGACATGTGTTCGAGACTCAGGCTCTCCCGGTGCCAAGTCCCGAGAACAGGCTTATGGTCGCAGTTTCAACCGGGTGCTGGCTCCGTCAACCCGGCAGAAGGAGCCAGACTGATGTCCGGGGCATCAAGAGTCTCGAGAGTTTGTTCAGCTCCCGGCCGCCAGCGAGGTTCCGGTGGAAGACACCACCTAGTACATACCTTCGGCCACAGGATCCCGATGATGCAAATGGGGTTGCAGGACGCGCTTCCCCACCAAACCCACCCACTGTGTCCCACTCCATGCAGCACCCCATGGAAGAATTGGAAACAAGGGAAGTCCATACGGAAACGCCTTCAATGAAAGAGGTCGAACCGATGGGAAACGTTATCGCCTGCCTGGCGTTGGGGGAGCGGCAAGTCACCGTCGACCACCCCGGAGCTCGGTCCACTCAGAAGGGCAACACCCGGAACGTGCTGGGATGGTCGTTACCAACCCGCAGTGAACCTGGCCCGGTTGAAGCGCGGTGGTGTGCGATGGCGCAGGGCAGCGCTGCAGCGCTGCAATGCTGCCGTTGCGAGGCACAGACGGTAGGTGGGGAGCTATTTCGCGACCCTCGCGGCTTCCCCGCTAATAAGCCCAAGTTCCCTCGTCGGCCTTGGCACAGGGCGAAGGAAAATTTTCTGACCAGCACAATCTGGCCCAACCACATCCTCGCCGTCGTGGAGGGGTCCCATCTTTTGGTGTGCAGGAACCACACTGTTGACCCGACTCGTTCCGAGGCGGGAACGAGGCATTTGATAGGCTAAACGCGACGGATTCAAGAGCAGGCCGCTCAATCCAGCAGCCGCGGGAGCCATGCCCCATCCATCCGTTCAAGACGGGAGCCCCGGCCATCGCGGCTTGAGCACGGCACCGGAACCTCACTGCACATGTCTCGGCCAGACTAGACAAGTCCCAAAAAATAACTCACATCCGACCCATTTGTGATGGGTGCCCGACACATTTTCTATCTCACACGGACAATCGGATCAAGACACTGAAGCGAGGAGGAACCGCCGAGCATCCCCCGGAGCCAGGGACGCGCACCCCTATCCGCCAGCGCAAGGCCCCGGCCACCTTCCCTCAATTCAATATCCCCGTGGAAGTTGAACCCCCTCCGTTGCCGGTTGGAAACATTCCCTTTATTAGTATACTGACATAGTGTGGCTCCCAGCTCGGGAAAGGGGAAAAAAACGGGGAGATTTGCCCTCTCCTCAAGGACATCCTTTGTACTGCGCCCAGATATGGTATTGCGTCGGCCAAATGTTTGCCACGCGAGGAGTTCCAACAATGGGACGGCCCGAACCAATACCTGGTCAATCCGTCGATAGTTGCGGGCGGGCTGGAGCGTATCACAGCCCCCCGCAGCCGTCGACGATGTCTCAGTCGGGCAGGTGGGCCACCAAGTCCAATGCAGGACACATGCAAAACGCCCATCGAGCTTTTTTGGTCAACGCCCGTCACCACTGGTGCATCAGCCAGGCATCTGCAAGCTAGCTTCTAACTCTACCGGCGGCATCTCGATCTGGCCGTATGCTGCCTGCCATGGGAGTGAGTGTAATGCGATGTATCCTGCCCGTTGAACCAACCACAATTTTCAAATCCGCCATTATCGAAGGTTATGTGTTTGTTACTGGGAATAACAGCATCTGCCTCAAGTGACTGTGTCTCGACGCCGGGATGCTCAATGCTACAGTTTGAATGGAAGACGGACGGGAACCTAGCGCCCAGTGGGCCACAATAATCCGAAAATCCCGCTCACATCGTTTGGACTTTCTCTCGCTTGGGTATCGACTGTTTCGTCGTCTACCTGGACTTCCAGGCTACTCAATGCATTCCCTAACAAACTTGGATAATTATTGGACAAACTGCGGACATCCTGAAGGATGGAGAGTTGGGTTGCGGAAATCTGCAATCAAGAAAGTCCTCGACTAATCCGTAATAGCAGGGCCAACTGGGCGCTACTGGAGTGAGAATGTGAAACAAAAACAGAAGAAAAAAAAACCACGCAAGGGAATGTGAGAGACGGGAGACGGATGCCCGAGTTTGACGCTGTGTCACTAGACACAACCGGCTTGTATCCGGTAATAAAGCTGGAACATCAGTCTCCGAACAACCAACATCAAATGCCTGCGAAGACAACATCTACCGAGGGCGACAAAGAACCCGTTGTCTCATGTAGCGGTATTCTATGTACATACAAACATACCACTTGATGCACAACCATACCGTAATACTGATACTAGATACCTAAGGGTACCCGAGGTCAGCAGCGTGGACGGCCCAATGTGCATGGCAATCATCCTCCGAAGCACTAACAATGCCGGTCGAGATAGAAAGTAATCTAGTATAAGATCTACATTTACTCACGGCCAGTCAGATTCATGAAGCTGCTTTCCGCTCCCGACTGCGGAGTTGGGAAGAAAGGAGGAAGCAGGATGGCACGCCGCCTAATCTACCCTCGCGTATTCGCAGTGTTGTTAAGATAGAGTGCCTTCTGGCGAAGTCTCCGCCCGAGGTCCATTCGAGGTACAGTGAGTCTACTTACTTAGTAGAAAGATCTTGACCCACGAGGGTTCTTCCCGCTCTCGAAACAAGTACCTGTGACCTGAGATTTTACCCCTTAGCGCCGGAACCGTCCCCTGTCTGTCTCCAAAACCCACAGCCGGAACCCCGCAACGCCAAACACCTGCACGGTCGCAGCGAGGATGGTAATTGGGGTAAGCTGCGTCGGCGGCCTCTTTACCCCGGCTGGAAGTCATCAAGCTTGGCCTATAACCCTTCGGCGGCTGCGAAGCCCAGGCGGGGCATAGGTTTGGAGTGGCAGACCTTGTGCATTACCCTCCCCGCGACTCCAAACCCCCCAGCCGCCGAAAATCCACGATAGCCCTTCTGGCTGAGGACTGTTCCAACCGAGCGCTGTCGAAACGGGTGTGGCACGTTTCGCAAAATTTTTGTCTCTTTTATGCCCTTTGAGGGGGTATCTCGCACTGCATTGCATGACAGGGTATCACCAGCTCCTTTTCCCCTTGCCCCTTTCTGTCTTTCAAGCCCCTCATTTCTTCAACACCTCAGGCCTCCCTTACCCCTCTGGGGCACTTTCGGGGAGGTTTCAGTTCCCCTCTCCGTTCACGCAAGGACAGCTGCCTCCCCTCCAACCTCGGCCATCCTCCTATAGTAACGCTACTCAGTTCCTCCAAGTGCGAACTGCCTTGTCTTTCCCACCTGAGCCGACCATCTTACCATCGGCGGCCCAATCGACGGCGTAAACCTAAGTTCGTGTTACTTCGCGAGGCCCGTTGGGCGAGGCTTTAGTGCAGCCGGCGGCAAATTAAGTCTCCACGTACCTCATCTTCATGGCCCGGCAAATCCATCGCCAGACTGCCGCTACGCGCGTTCCACACCTTCAGCGTGCAGTCCTTGCTACCGGTCACGAGAAGGCGGCTGTCAGCGGACCAGGCGCACTGGTATACCTATAGCGTAACAAAGTTAATCAGGAGATCTGACTCGTGAGTACGGGTTACACAACAGTGACGGCGGCGCTGAAATGGGGTGTGAGACAGCCTGCCGTTAAACCGCGGCTTACCGGTGCGACGTGGCCCCTAAGGTTCTTGAGAAACTTGCCATCTCTGGCGTTCCATAGTTTCTATGACGAGAGTTAGACAAGTTGTACCTGAAACACATTTGAACGGCTGGAGAAGACCAACCGTGCTGTTGTCCCACCCTGCGCTCGCGATGAGCGTTCCATCAGGGGAGAACTGAACCTGATTCACTTTGTTCTGATGACCTAACAGGCGTGCGACGGGTTTATTCCCGTTGTTGGTAGGATCCCAAAGATACATGGTGAAATCGTCACCTACACGGGTTAGCTTATGGTGGCGAGAAACCCGAACTGTTCGCACCCACTTGCTGATACGAGTCGCTCGGCGATCTTGTCCTGGATCTTGACCGCCTTCTCGAACCTCTCTCTTGCTTTAACGCGCTTCCCCTCTTCGGTGGCTGGCACTTCGCCAGTGTGGTCAAAGTAAGCCGTCCGTAGGGCGTGGTCACTCGACAAGGCGATGTGGTTGATCCAGTGGCCGTGGGCTGTGAAGTTATGCACCAACGTCCCCTTACTAGCATCCCAGACCCTGACGGATTTGTCGTGGGACCCTGTGTAAACCATGCCAGCTCCACCCCATCGTACACAACTCACTGACCCCTTGTGACCGCTCAGGACATGCTCTGTACGCCCTGAGTTGACCAGCCAAATCCTACATGTGCCGTCTTTACTGGCACTAGCCAAGCGGGGTGTCCCATCCCTCCAAACTGGTAACTAGATTAGTACGAGAAAGCTTCGTAATGGCGTCGACGAGGGGGACTGACGGTGGTACGGTTCCCATGCTACGCCCAGCACCCACTTCGCGTGACCCTTGAAGTCTTGGCCAAACGGCTTCCCAGTTTCGGCATCCCATATCCTCACGGTTTTGTCCATTGAACAAGTGGCTAGCTGCTTCCCGTCCGGGCTCCAGTTCACACCCAATACCCAGCCGGTATGCCCCTTTAATGTGTATTTCGGCGTCCCGGAGTTCGTGTCCCAGATACGTGCTGTGTTGTCACCGCTACCAGTCGCTAGGCGGCTCGAGTTAATGGGAGAAAATTGACAGGAGAGGATCGGTTGGCCGTGCCCGGGAATGCGATGGGCCAGGCGTGATACGGCGTGGACCTTAAACACTGCTTGAGGCTCGGCGCTGAGGGTAATGGTCGTCCTATTCGGTGGGTTAGCTAAACGAAGCGCGAAACCCAAACCCCCCGTGGGTACATACTCGAATGGATTCGTGACTCCATGCTTCTGTAGAAGTCCTAGTAAATCCGTGGGGTATTGGTCGATGATCACGTCCTTGCCCGGGATGTGTATGCGAAAGCGGTAAGGGGTAAAGTCTTCCCGGTCCTGCATCTTCAGTTGGAATCAAGCTTAGATAGAGGGCCGCCAAGACACATACCCTTTCCAACATTGTGTTCAACAAAGTCGAGACATTCTTTTCAGTGGCATCAGCAAAATTGATCTCAATCACATCGGCCATCTGATTGCCGTCGCTGTCAACAAAATTGGCCTTGAACGACCCAAGGTTGGTGGCTAGAAGCGGTGCCACATCCTGCTGGATTGTCGTGCGCTCAACATCTTCTCTCTTTTGCCGTTTTGAGGGAGGTGGGGCAGAGGTAGCCATGTTTAATCGAAATGTTCGCGAGGTCTAAGTCCGTTGGCGGAGGTGATGTCGTTCCATTCCTAGCCCTGGCGCTTTCGAGGGAGACCGGAAAACTTTAGCGGTGAGGCGCTGCAGAATCAGCATCCCACTAGAGTGGACCCACCGCACAGTATTGCGAGTTCCACATTTCCCACCCCGCGACAAAGACGGAGCCGCCGTCGCGTTCCACCTCGAAACTCACATCCATCATCACACTTGAGAGGTATCCGAACAAGGAACAGTGATGTTTTGTACTGAAAAGAATAAATTCAGAACGCCTCGAACACATGAAAACCCAAATCTCTCAACAAATGCTTGAACCGCCCGGTTACGCGACACAACCGACAAAACCCTCGGCCACGCGCCTGAACTTTCGTGTCCGTCCTTCGTTGGCCTTGCTTTGATCAACGGTTCGAACTCCTGCCGCGGTAACGTCTCTTCTCTGAATAGTAATCGCTACTATCGTCGCTGTCATAGCTGTCATACCGCTTCTCGCTTCGGCCCCTTGACTCCTGCCGTCCTGAACGGTTCTGGCTCCGGCCCCTAGACGAGGCATCCGATGACGAGGCGCGACTACTATAGGTTGGCCCCGGGTTGTAGCGGATGAACTGCTCCGGCCTTGCCCCAACTGTTGCGCGTCGGTCAGGGCGGTAATCAAGGCTCGCTCGGCTGGGCGGCGAATCCACGTACGACTGGTCGGAACCACGAGATGTCGAATGCCTTCGCTTGCTTTCGCTCTTGGCTTGCTCGATCCCCCTCGATCGGTGATGGGCGGTCACCGGAGCACCGCTCTCCAAGATCCGCAGATGTGCCCGGATCCTGCGCAATCCGGACACTAGGATGAGATGTTAGCGTATCAGTAATTGTCGCCATCGTCCACTTTGAACTCTTGGGCTCGATAACTCACGGTCCTTCTCGACCTTGGCAACCAAGAACTTCTCGTACCAGATCTCGTACTCGGTGACGCTCATCAGGTTATCGTAGTAGGCTCGGCGTAGCCTTCGGAAAACGTAGGGCGCTTCTTCATCGCATTCTCTGGACTCTTGCTTGCGCTTGATCATGCGCCTAAGCTCCCAGCTGGATTTGACGGATGTGACGAGGCTACCGCACGCAGCCAGCGTTGCTAAGACCACAGGGACGCCCATCGCGGATGATGCTGCGCACTGCGCTCCACAGAGAGATCGATATGGACGGTTGTGTTGAGGGTCGATCTTTAGTTGGTACGACGGCAAACTGCAACCCACGAGTTGCGAACCTTGAAGCAGGAGGCATCTTAGAAAAAGGGCACAAGAAAAGACTGCTTGGCCGATGATGACGTGAAACGAACACTCGATGGCCAGAATGTTCAGTGGATCTGGCCGCGTTGTTACAAAACGGGTTCCGACCTAGTCCGAATCAGTCCCCGCCGAGTCCCGGCAAGTGTTTCCGCCCCAGGCCGGCCGCCCCAAGGCCTATTTCTGTTTCAAAACGCGGCCCCGCCGCGGCCGGCGTCCGGCCCCACTCTGCGGCCGGGCCCCGGCTTGGCATCCGGGATCATTGGATATTTCCGAGTCCGCGATGCTCAAGACGACGCGCATGAGAATCCCTTTGGATTGTTTACGTCTTCTACGGATGCAGACGCCATGGAATCAGCACGCAGGCACGGTAGGTGGGGGTCACACCGAGCCAACCAGCTAAACCTTCAAAGCTGGTGTTCTGCATCATTCGGGAGAATCCCATGTGTTAAGAATGGCATGTTTTACTAACAAACAAAACACAACGGTTCAAAAAACATATTCTACCCATTTTTGTGTAAGCATCTGGCCCTCGCAACACATTGTGTGGACAAAGGTTTTCTTGCCCGTTGTGCCCCGCCCGCGCCGCATGATCACATCAAGAGCTTGGCTGGTCAGAAAGCCAAGGAAGGAAGCGGGATCTATCGCCAGCAAACGAGCCCAGATCTGAAGTGTCACCGCAGTCGAGCGGCACCAACATGCGGTCAGTATGCTGCGCCGCCCCCACCGCCGACCAACAGGGAAATCCAACAAACAAAGAGCCCAAAGAACCGGGAAACTCGAAACGGGCCTACTTGTCTTCAACCACACCAACACATCCATTCCCGTCTCCGTCTCAACCGACCGTCTCATCACGCTGTCAAATTGAAACAAAACACCGCCTATAATCCACCCACGGCCAGGCCCAGATTTGAGAAACTCTTGCGGCCGAAGCCCGTTCCAGAAGATCGCTGGTGTCTCGATTGGTGGTCCCAGCCCTCTCTCACCGGCCCGGTTGACGATAACCTCCCCGACGGGCTTATTGCCAGTACTGCACACTGGCCGCCTGGAAAAATCGCCGCTGGTAATTGAGTTGTTTGCGCATTCCGACTGCTTGCTTCGCATTACTCAAAGGATGGCGTATTATTACGAACGGGAGTCGGATCGGTCTTCGGCGTACTAGTACGTGCTCTCTCATCTCATATCACGTTCATTATTTGCCGCATTCGCCCGTCCGCTTCGGTCTCTCCCGGTTCCCGAGTCCCACGCCCCGCCTCGGTTCTGTTTCATGAAGGCAAGGTTGCCATGACTGACACGCCACTAGCACCCGAGAACCCCCTATCGCCTACCACCCTAGCAGCCCTCCATCAAGAGGCCGGGCCTTGGTCCTGCATTCGATGTCAACGCGATCCCTTTCGATGTCATCATCGCCGTCACCACCCCCTAGACGGGTTGTGATTGTTGAAAAGGGGAGCCATAGACGGCGACGAAACGAGACGCCGCCGCCGCCGATGGGGTTTTTGCCTTGGCTCTGTGGAAGTTTCTGTTGCTGCTTTGTTTGTTGTGATTGTGTTCAGAATTGCTGGGGGTGTTGCCCGGATGAGTACGAATCGGATTAACTGTGGTGACGTGATATTGGTGGCCACTTTTGGGATGCCCAAGGGTCGGGACGGACGGCGTTGGCCCGCGGTGTTTCTAGATACCAAATAGACGATTGAATGACCTTTGCTACATTCGGCTATCGAGCCATTGTGAGATTCTTTCGGCTCATTTACGTTTATTTTGTCTTTCACGAGTGTACGTTGGCCTTCAACATGGACACCTACACTGCGGTGATAAGTTTGTTTTTCATGAACTGAAGATCGGAATCAGTCGAAGAGCACTGACAGCTGTAATGTTACAATATTAGCATAGCGCCGTTTGTCAAGTGTTAACTGGAATGTCCACGAGGTCCCTGGATTTGCTCACATGCCTCGCACGGCCTGTATCTGAACCGCAAATTTCTCCTTCTGCGCGCACGAGACCGCTGGCCACGACAAGTTGTTTGGATTAAACCCTCTCGTCCGACCGACTAAAGAAAGGGGTTGTCAGAAAGTGCACTGGGCCAATTTTACGCACATTTCTTCGTCTCTCATCACCGGAAATTAAACAAGCTGACAACCCAATGGGTCGCTGCGTTTTTAAGTCAAACGACCTAAATTAGAAATTTATATCCTGCTCCCCAACGGGCGATCTTTCGCTTGCTCTTTATGGTAATTAAAGTATCCGATACGGCAAGTAGATGGCAGCTCACGAAGTCGATCGAAAGGGTACTGGGTGGAATCGGCTCAAGATAACACAAGATGTGCAGCGCATCTCCTTTCACATGGCGATGCCGATCTGTTTATCGCCCGTCCGTTGCAAATGAGGGACTGAGACATCCTTCATGTTATCAAAACGCCAACCCCACCAGCGCCGAAATCGAGACCTCTGGATGTCTGAGAGTTGGACGTTGGAAATAATGGCGCAAACCCTCGATCTGGACTCCTTTTTGTTTCCGCGATGTTTACACATTCCTTGTTACGCCGATATCCAACTCAAAAGTGGCGGAAACAAACCACACCATGATGGCAGAACAAACGCCTGTAATGCATCCGGACGACCCTCGAACCTCCAATGTCATCGGATCCAGCTCAACAGACGCCCAACCCGTACCCCTCGCACCGACCTTCAGTTTGACCCCTTCTGACGCCACGACTGCGCTCGACGAACAGAAACAGGAACAACCCAAATATCCTGGATCACCACCACCACCCCCAATTCAAACACCCGATAACGACAAAAAAGCCAGCCAAAATGTTGCTGTCCGGTTTCTCCTCGCCGTACGAGACGTCCTTCTCTCGAGCTATGTCAACATCTTGCTGGTGTTCGTGCCCGTGGGAATGGCTGCGCGTTAGCTCCCCTCTTCCCCTTCTGCTTGGGCCTGGGTTGAGAGCCTGAATTTAACATCTTGGCGTGCACTTGTAGACACGGCGAAGCTTCCATCTGGGGTTGTATTCGGTATGAATGCGGTGGCCATTATGCCGCTAGCACGGTTGCTCAGTTATGCAACGGAGAGCCTGGCAAATGGGTTTGGCGATGCCGTGGGCGCGCTGATGAGTGTGACTTTTGGTAACGCCGTGGAGCTGATTATCTTTATGTGAGTACTTGCCCGTTTTGGCGGGTTGTCCTGTCATGTTGGCCCAGTCGACGCTCAATTGCTAATCATGCGAGTTGGACAGTATCGCGCTCTCGAAAAACCATATCCGCATCGTGCAAGCGTCTCTCGTCGGATCCATCTTGGTCAACCTACTTCTCGTTCTGGGCATGTCCTTTCTCCTCGGGGGTCTTCGGTTCCGAGAACAAGTCTACAACAGCACGGTGACACAGATGAGCGCGTGTCTCCTCGCTCTGAGCGTGACGAGTTTGCTCCTGCCCACAGCGTTCCATTTGTCGTTTAGCAGCGAGAAGACGGCCGACTACAGGGTGCTGCAGGTCAGCCGTGGGACGAGCGTGATTGTCTTGATGGTGTACTTCTTGTACCTGATTTTCCAGCTCAAGTCGCACTCGTACATTTACGAAGCCACGCCGCAAGAAATCATCGAGCGTGAAACTGTTCCGGGGCCGGCGGCGCATTACTTTGAGTCTTCAACATCCGGATCTGAGTCCTCTGACTCAGAATCTGATGGGTCAAACGGTGCATCCAGAAGAAGACGGAGGCGCATCGCGAGGAGACGCAAAAACAGAGGGCCGTTAAGCAGGAAATACACTGGAGAAACGCAATCTAGCTCGGCAACGGTTATTGCAACGCCTACAATGTCGTCAACGTTGGGGGGAAATTCCATGACAGACGATGACGAGCTGTTGTCCATGGGTCATGGAACTGATGATGAAAAGGGGGTAACGGTGCCGTCTGACAGGAGGAGGAATAGGAACTCGAGGCACGCACCCAGACGAAGCCAACAACATACAGAATCCGAACGCTCTCGAAATCTTGATGGGCGGTCTCGGCCGCTATCCACTGGACACCGAGTAGATGCAATGAGTCCGCGGCCCATCACTCACTCCGACCTCGAAGCTCAGCAGGAGCCGGCGCATCGAGATCCACTGTTTTTTCTACCGCGCCGTACCTCCACCAGAACTTCTCGACCGACAACTGCGAATCGTTCGTCTCTGCCTCCGGGAACACCAGAACCAGGCATCCAACGAGCCTGGTCCGAACCGGTCAACCGCAGACACAGCCAGCAGCCTCGAGACCCTACTATGCGCCCTGCGGTACGGCTTTCCATGTATAACACCAACCATCCATCACCAACCCGACCAACCTCCGATATTGAAGCCCAGATCCCCACCCACCATAATCCCACTACAGAAAGGAACAACAACAAAGACAACCCAAACCCCAACCACCCCTCCCGCACCACCGCCATCCTCCTCCTCCTCGTCTGCACCGCCCTAGTAGCCATCCACGCCGAATTCATGGTCTCCTCCATCGCCTCACTCGTAGCCACAGACCGGGGTCTCTCCGAAGCCTTCATCGGGCTCATCCTACTGCCGATAGTCGGCAACGCAGCCGAGCACGTCACAGCAGTCGGCATGGCGCTGCGCAATAAGCTGGACCTGGCGATTGGTGTGGCGGTGGGCAGCAGCGTGCAGATGGCGTTGTTTGTGACGCCGGCGGTGGTGGTGTTGGGGTGGGGATGGGGGAAGGAGATGGGGTTGTTTTTTACGTTGTTTGAGACGGTGTGTGTGTTTGTGAGCGCGTTTATTGTGAATTTTTTGGTGTTGGATGGGAGGAGTAATTATTTGGAGGGGGCGTTGTTGTGTTCGGCGTATGTGATTGTGGCGGTGGCCGCGTTTTTTTATCCGGATGGGAGGGCGGCGAGTGAGTTGGGGGGAGGGCCTTGATGGGGGTTGGTGATTAATAGTTACCTAGGTCCCTACCTTAGTTTCACGCGTAGATCATTCTCATAAACTCTCCCTGAGTCAGGCCAGTTCAATTTGGCTGCTGGTGACTTGAGATCCACGTTCCACTTCCGTTTTTACAGCATCGAATAACGGCTTCATAGTAGGGCGTGTATGTGGGGAGAAAATATATATTCAGGGGGTGGCGCCAGGCCGTTGATCTTCTCGAGGTTCGGGCCACCATGAGACTCATTCTTACGTCGAGCATTAATTAGGTGTCCTTGTTCCAGAAAGGAGACACCACTATGCAGTATTTCAACACAGATAATGCCCGTGTTTAATTTTTGCGGGACAGATTTTGGTGCAATTTGCTCATTTTATTTTGCCGTGTTCTTTGGCCGCCCATATTGGGCAAAATGGCTAGCTACGGGGAAGCAAAGTAAGGCTCTCATCTAGGACCACGCGATGAGTTCGGCCCCTAGCAAATAGAAGCAGCCGCCTTCGGCTGTTAAAATCATCCTTGGCCCTGAGAGAAACAAAGAGAAAAAAAGGAGGGCAAAATTCAACGCACATGGAAGATAAGAGGAGGGTCCAGAGCATCGCCACGGAAGCAAATGCAAGATAAATCAGCGCATGGTCAGAGTGCTCGCCGAACAGGCGACGAAAAAGGAAAGAAGCCAGAATCATGCTCCGCTTGAGCTCGCATCAGGGTCTCTTTGCTCCGTCCCCCTTCCAATCCACCAACTGCCTCCTATCAACTAAAATCCGAAGTTGATCAACCCATCCTGTCCTCGCCCATCCTCATACTTTGTCCTCTTGGGAGCTCTGAAAGCCGGCTCGCCGTTGTCAAGGGGACGTATGACATTGAAAAAGTCAATCTCGTCGTACTTGCCAAGTGTGCGAGTCAAATTCTGGCCGATATTATGGAGCAACTCGGCATCCTTGGCAAATAGGTGGCGAAAAATACGGGGGATGTGTGGGAGGAAGGCGCCAAAAAGAGCTCGGCTAGAAGCTCCTGGGCCTCAGCGGGGAACTCTTCCATAATCGACAGGGCTTGGATAGTCCGTATATCTTGTTGTTTTGCCTTATTGAATGCCCACTGTAGACAGTTGTGGATGCTGCTCTTCTGGAGGCGGTCCTTCCCCAGTTTCCCCGTGATCCAAACGGCATGAGGGATATCAGCCTTCCTCCCAAGCAAGACGTTGGCAATGTGGATAGGGAGCGCATGTTGAAGGTACGTCTCTAAGGCTCGCCCCGCCCGTTCGACGAGAGTGGGCCATGAGCTGTCTGGCTCGTGATGCAGCCAGGCGGATACCTCTGGAATAAGGTCTTCCCAGCATGGCAGGGTATATGCCATCTCATTTACACCCCTCAGAAACTCTTCCCAGAGCAGCTTCACCAAGGGCTCATCCTCGGGTGACAAAGCTCCCTCTTCTGCTTCCTTGAGTATCTCGGAGACGGGTCCTGGTGAGGCAGGCCTTTCATCATTGGTAGCGGGGGGAAGCTCGAGAAGGCCATCTACCATTGAAAACTTCAGTTCCGCAGTGCTTATCTTCCTCTTGATGGCATCTTTTAACCGGGCGGAATTATGCGTGGCAAACCACAAGGCGCATGTCTTCAGGATGCTGTTTTGTAATGACTCGGCAAGAGGGTCAGTCAGGACCTCATGAGGGTACCCCGGGGCAGCCAATACCGTGGTATCTGCCCCAGATTGCGCATTGGGTGGTTGATTTGAAAGAACTATTGGTGAGGCGGGTTCTATGTGTTGCATGTCTTCAAGTTGGAGTCTTGCAGGGTTTCGATTCTGGGAGGGGCGTTCGGTCGAAGGCGCTTTCAAAGTCGGTGTATCGGAGGAGGGCTGTGATATTGCAGTAGACTTAGGGTGAGGGATACCAATGTCAACTAGGGCAAAGCTTGGGGGTCCCCGAATAGCCCAATGGCGTTTTCCTTGTTTCCGGCAGTATCTTACCCAAGCACTGGCCCATTCACAGGGCTCAGCACGTCCCCAGAAAGTGCCAGGACCGGTGATGGGGGACGAAGGGGGCCAGTTGTTGGAGACACGAGCGGGAATAGAAGTTGTCCCAGGTCCACTATAGTCCCAAACCCGAGAGAGGGGCTGCATATTCCTGACGTGGTAGCTTGTGTTCTCCGGAATCCAGGATCTCGGTATAATGAGTTCCCTCACTGGGGGATCTGGTGCATTGCGGCCAAGAACGCGGGCGTTTTCCTCAAAAAGCTTGTCCCAGATGGGGATGGTGGGAAAGTAAAGGCACCGCCAGTCAGGTTGTCTGATCGCTTCGAGGTTTTGTGTCGTTCTTGGGAGGAATCCATGCTCTGGGCTGAGAGCAGCAAGGTCCACCATCGTTGACCCCTTTACGAATGACGGCAGGGTAAAGCCTAGTGGCTTGGAGGCGAGCGGCAGCATCAGAGCGAGGAGCTCTTCCCCAATCTTGTTGGGCGTTGTATTGAACGGTGTGAACCCGAAATTTCCTCCTCCCCTTAGGATGTGGTGAGTGAAGCTGACTGGATGAATATAGAACACGAGCCGGTAGATTTGGTGGAAGCTCTCATACAGATGTGCTACCCTTAACCAGTCCCCGAGTGACACCCACTTGACCGGGAATTTAGGTCTTAAGGTATCGAGTCTGAAAGTATTCTGAAAGTTCTCGGTTTTCAGGACGTGGATCCATTGGAGGACCTTTTGCAAGGCCACTTGAAGGTGGAGGAGATCGTTCGGATGTCGATCCATCCACTTCTTGAACAGGGTAGAGGCCTTCTCGGGCACCATGAGTGGATCTAGTTCAAACACGAGGAGATGATAGCGGGGGTAATCCAGGCCGTCAGGAAGATTTTCCAGGCGTATTTCCTTTCCTTATGGCGTGTAGCCAATATTCATGCACATTTCCAACGGCAGCCCCCTCTGAACGGTCATGCTCATGCGCCTAGCTTGAGAAAGCCTTGCCTTGACACTGGCTTTGTCATTAGGGAGAGAAACAAAGCCGAACAGTGCCGCTTTTTGGTGCGCCAGATGCCCGTAACGGAGGACCTCGTCTGTCGGGACAAGTGAGTCAGAGAATCGGCCGCCCAAGTTGGCTGGGAACATCTTGACGCCACTTCCTCTCCTTAGAGTTGACGAAGTTCCCTTCTCAATGCTACTCGGCAAGAATAAGTTGTTTCCCTTCTTCATGAAGACCGGGTGAAGCGTGAAAGGATCGATACCCAGGTACACCATTGCTTGATTTTCGGTGTCCCGCACCACTGCCATATCAGCTCGCACATAATTGCGCAGGCCGCCGAGATAGTTGACAACAATGCGGGCGAGTGGCTCTTGGGAGGTGTCGCTGTCGTCACCCGTAGGTTGTGTCTGGGCAGTTGTGTAATCTGAACTCGCTGAAACTCCGGGCGGATCGGGCTGGGGAGTGGGAACAGCAAAGGGTTGACCTTGGCCCCGCTCAGTGGGTGAGGGGGATCGAGCAATTGCATTTAGAGGCATCTTCACGGTGATTTCGGGGAGTCTGGCGGTTTCAGGCTGAGGCACTGCACCGGGGCTGGGGGAGTAGTGAGAAGCCGTAGGAAATGGCACCCAAGCCGGTGCAACTATCGGCACTCCACCTCGAATGTTGCGATGTTTAGAGTGACTTGAGGGCGATGTTGTTGGGGGGTCGAAAAAGCATCGAGGTGGTGGTTTGAGGGAGAAGTTGGCAATCTAGCGGAGGCATGGAAAGAGATGCAGGAATACCCATTTGCCACGCCGTAATATCACGTTCTTTCCTGGGTAGTGAACAAACCAGACAGACCGGTAACAATAGATTTTCTTGAGACGCGTTCCTTCCTTCACGTTGAGTTCTAGGGCATGTCCATATCATGAAACTCTGGGCACCCAGGATGGTTGCTTGTCATTTCTTTCCAACTCCATTGCCCGCAGATAATTACCCGAAAGGTGTTGATAGCTACCTAATTATCTTAGATCTACCCAGCTTAGCACCACTGACATAGGGTCTAATATCATCATTCCACGCCTTCGTCACACTTTCAAGCCCTATGCAAACCCTGCCCCAACCACCCAACTCGCATCGTCATTAAACAGGCTCGCCGCGTCAAACTCATGCACACCCCCATTGCTAGCTACATACGTGACATTAGCATAATGCCGAAAAAACCGCGTCGGATACCCCCACGCCCGCACCGAGCTAGTCGTCCCCAGACTACTCTGGCCCAAGCCCGTCTGCGGACAAAACGTGGCGTCCTCAGCAAACGCCTTCGACCCGTCGTTGGCGTTGAGCTGCAACACAAAATCGTAATGCCGGATATAACTCCCCGGCGAGTCGAGCGATTCGAACGAGACACAGTTCGAGTTCCCGAGTCCCGAGCGTACTGTCCAGGTGGCTTGGCGCTTCAGGTTAGAGCTGGAGGAGCCCGAAACGATTTGGGTGTTCACGGTCGAGCCGGAGTGGGCGAGGTAACGAGCTGTGCAGCAGGCCGTTATCGCGCGCAGGGAAACAGACGAGCCGACGGACAGCGTTGGGCCGCTGGTCAGGGGCGCTGTGGCGTATCCGGCCGCGACGATATCCGCTTGAACAGCGTTTTCGGTGCTGTCGGAAGGATACCCAGAAGTCATGACACCCTCGTAGAAGGTGCCTTGCGCACTCACACTGTTGTCGCCCCCGATGCCTAGAATGATGGCACCTTCTTTCTTCATGGGGTTGTATCCCGAGGCGTTCGGACGGGCTCCATCGTAAAAGGTTGACAGGGAGCCGGAGGCAGCATTACCGCCGCGGATGGCCCATTTGTTGGGCCCGCCTTTGAGCACCGAGGTCAAGAATCGGTGGGTGATAGACGGGTCGCCACCGTTGTTCTTGGGGTTTGCTCCGGAAAAGAGCCCGTTCTCAAGATCGGCCATGATCCACGGCCCACTACCGGCGCCGCTGCCCCAGGCGCTGTTGGTGCCGAAGTACAACGCTTCCATGTGGCCATTGCCCGTGTCGAGGTTATTGGTCTCAGCGTTGCCGTAGTCAAAGCAGCAACCGCTGTTGAAATGCGTGCCGTCGAACACAGCATACATCCCTTCCGCCGCATCTCCCGTGGCAATTCCGTTGGGAGCATTGTTGCGGTAGCCGGTGCCGGGAGAGACGAAAACGCCATAGGCCTTTTTGCCATTTAACGTGACCGGGGCGCCAACGGCGCTCGCCAGGTTGTCGTAGCCATTCGCTTCGGGGCCCTTGAAGCCGCCTGGGGGAGCTTGCGTGAGGTGATTCTTCCGACCGGACTGGTCATAGATGATGCTGATGAGGCAAGTCGTGCCGGCGCAAAACGTGTCTTGGGATGCGGCATTGGCAACACCTCCGGCAGACAACGGCGCAATATCAATCGTGGCACCGTCCGAGCCGCGCTTCACCTGGTAGAGAGGCCCCGTGTAGGAACCGTACAAGGCGCGGGTGGTACTATGCGCTGCGACGCAGGGGGTGCCACCAGAATCGTAGATGTCGCATGGGCCGGCGGCTGCAAGAGCACCCAGGGCGACAAGCTTAATGACAAGCGCTCCCACGTTGTTGAAATTGCCTCGTTGTCGCGACATGTTGATCTTTGCCCTTTGCCTGCAAGTAGAGGTCCGGCGTGGTTCTAGTCGAAACGTGATATGCACCCTACAACTCGAGCGCGAGCGACTTTAACCAAGTATTGCGGTGATATAAGTCGGTGATCAACTTGTAATTACACTAGAGAGAGGGGGGGGACAAATTAATATATCCTCTTAACCGGCCGAATCCGGCGCGCGAGAGTGACTCGGGTCCGCAATGTCACGATCATTGAGCGAGAAACCGGGGAAAACACCACGGAGCGTCTCTAAACCGCCCAACGTTACCACCTCAACCGGGGCGGGCATGTTAAGAGAATAGACTAAGGGCTTGAATTTGGAGATTATGCGAGGGGTTGCGCTTGACGATGCATCTATTAATATATGAGGTAGTATTGGCTCGGGGGTTTCAGTCACCGTGAGCACTGAGAGGCGGAAATACCCCTTGCCGTTGCGCTAGAAGCTAACTGGGTATGTTTGTCATCGGCCGAGAACAAACGCACCTTCCCAACGCGTTTGCGGCCCTCCTCTAAAGTAGGTACCTAGGTACACATTTTAACGGAATGATGGATGCTGGCCACTGCTTTTAGCCAACCAAATGCGGTTGTGCTTTGTAACCTTCCTGCCAAGCTCCGACCCAGGTTTTAGAGGTGCATGATCTGAGAACCTCGTTAAAAAACACTTGCAAGACGCTAAAATCGACATTTGCCTTTTGCGACAGAGAGACATTATCGACAGCTATTTTGTCAACGGATAATTATCGTCCGTCGTCATCCTGCCGTTCTGGCGTGACCCCGCCAGCCCACATCATGGCCTCCTCCTTGCGGTAAGGCCAAGCGGCCACTCAAGGCAACGCCCAAGGTCCAATTGTCATTCTTGGAGCAGGCATAATTGGGCTCTCCACGGCTTACCATCTGGCGCTAGCTTTCAGGAACCAAAACACGCCAATTATAGTGGCCGATCCCTCCTCTGAGATTTGCGGAGGGGCGTCCGGGCAATGCGAAGGCGCCTTGGGCAAGTTTGGCTTCGATCAGAAAACAGAGCCACTTGGGAAACTTTCCTACCGTCTCTATTCCCTCGGCTTCCATTCCCAGTCAAAGGTATGCCGAGCTCCACACATGGCGATTTTATAGACATATGCATTGGCATTTAGCACTACCCAGGCCCCGAGGAGCTATCAAAACTACCGCCGTGGCTCAAGGTGCAACATGCCTGGCAAGGGGGACTGATCAACGACGGCTCGACTGCTTCAAAAATGTGTGTTTCCCCTGGTCCTGGCATCTTTGGCATTCGGTATGGCAAAACTAAAATCCGCAGTGACCCGCCTAGATTTTTCAGCTTCCTGCAGGGTGAATGCGAGAAGCTAGGCGTGGAGTTCCTTACCTCTGCCAACGCGGTGAAGGTTGCTCAACATGCCGGAGACGAAACGACCATGATAGACCTTCGGTTGGGAGGGGGTGAAACTCGCCGACTCCGTTGTCAGAACTTGATCATCTCGGCGGGCATCTGGACTCCGAAATTGTTCTCGCAGCTGTTCTCCTCTGTCGACGTGGGGATTCGGCTTGCTGAGAAACAGCACGTGCAGACCTGGTTGCGCTTCAGCGCCGAGACTGTGACCGATACGAAGGAGCAGGGACCCAAAGACACGGAACAGTGCCACCAGGTTTGGCTGAACCCACTCGATGAAGGCGACGACCTGCTTGTTTCTTCATTCGCCAATGAGGAACTATACGTGGCCGGCGAGCTTGAACAAGTCAGAGATCATACGCCGCCGCTTCCCGACGAGGTTCGGCCAACCCCAGAAGATGTTGATAAGCTCCGAGAGCTCGTCGCTCGCTATGTGCACCTTGAAAGGCGCGAGCTCTTAAGCTCTGGAAAGGCTTTCATGCCTGCGGGACCACAGGGACGACCTATAATGGATAAGGTACCGCCGGAGCTTCTGATATCTTCGCAGCGCTGTCTAAAGGGATCTGATTTGGGCGTCTTTCTTAGCTTTGGTCACGATCTTGACGGTTTTACCCTCGGCCTAGGGTCTGGAAAGGTTGTGGCAGAGCTGGTGCTCGGTGAGGAATCTTCTATTGATATGACACCCTTCAAGCTGCCGCTCAAGTATCCACGGCAAGGAGGTATGGGATGTTCGGTTATCTAGAGTTAAAATAACATGAGAGCCCTCCGCCGCCAAGCAGCAGTAAGCTTTGTGCTTGAATTAGCTCGATCTGCAAAGCGAGGCTTAAGGAGTAACTGCAGGGTCCTGTTTTAAATGCTAGGTACCTAGCCTCTTCTGGACCAAAAGATCAGAGTGCATTTCCTGGATGTTACCCCGGCGGACGGGAGCAGAAAGCTTACCCGGATTCTATAATGCTGTCCGCATGGAAGACTCCGAGATCAACCACAAGTAGCCCCGAAATGCGGGGAATGTGGAAGTTGGAGTTCGGAAGGCCATGTCTCCAAGCGCGCGAATCGGAGAATTGATATGTTTGGTGCTGGTTGACGAAGACGAAATCTCGGAACTGGGGCATGGGCTTAAATCTTCCCGAATTTCATGATGAAGAACAGGTCAAGTCAAGTGGTTGGGCATTGTTCAACCATCAATATTCTTGATAATTAATTCTTTCAGAAACAGTTCGTAGTTTGTACTATGGGATAGTCAGGGGTAAAACTTTTACGAGATTAATTATTTGTAACGGCAGCCCTAACGTACCTAACACGGTGGCGGCTCCTGGTTAGATATTGTTGTTATAGAAAAGGACATTAGTAACATCAGATATCTATGGCAAAACTGCCTCTCTTCAAACATCTCCTCTAAAAACTCTGAACACAAAAGAAAAGCGCCAGGTCCCCGCCCCTCATCGCGAGAGGGTTAGGGTTGGATCTCCCCCCATTCATGGCCCCTGTTCTAAAATTGGCAAGCCGACTGTAACCCAGGCTGATTGATGTTACTAACCTTTTTGGTAACTCGAACCATTCACAGCACAACGACGATTTCAACAAGAACCTCGCAGCATCCCGCTCTTAATCTGATTCCAGGGCTCCGCCCAACACTGCTGCCCGAAGCCTGCCTATCCACATCCTCTGCACTATGTAGGCACGCTTCTTCCCCCACTCCACACGAATTGAACTTTTTTGAGAGATGAAAGAAAAACACAAACGGGGGGGTAATGCAGGGGTCAAGCCCTAACCTCAGCGGGAAAGAGAAATATTGATAAAGGAACCTCAACACTATCAGTCCCTTTAGTCGGGCACGATCATGTTCTCCTTGCCTAGAACTACCGAAGCCGGGCATATTTTGACCTTCAAAGCCTTGTTCAATCCACTAACATATGGGTCGCACTAACCTGCAGGGTGCGTGCGGTTGCCTGTTGAGGCGGTTGTCGGGGCGCAGCACTTACTGCAGCGGCACATTGCAGCAGGATTCAACACTGCATTGCTGCGGTCAAAAGCTGTGGATTGACAATGTTCCGTATCGCTTTTAAATGCATTGACGGGAACCGATTGCAATGCTCGAGTTTGTCGTGGGGAATTTTTTAACGACACAGCATCTTTTGAGGACTTGGCTCAAAGTCACGACTAAGAGTTTGAGATTGGTCCCGTTTCCCCATCAACACCAAATATTTTGAGCGCAGCCATGTTGTCGACTGGTATCGCGCTAGCCATTTTGGGTCTCATACTCCCATTCCAAGGGCAATTCGTCTCTGCCTTACCCCTCAGTCCACTTTCCACAACATCAACCTCCACACGAGTAACAAATCTCGATACGCTGCCGCTTCTTTCTCTTACAAAGCGACTTCAACAAGTGACAGAAACCACACCTCTCCTCCATGCTCTCCATACCACCCATCACCTACCGCGGCAACTTACCCGGCGCGCGGATACATTTCCAAGTGGTACGGTCGCCACGGCGCTGTTTGTCGCCCTGATCGTCGTGGCTGTTCTCATCGGGGCCGCCATAGGGTCCATCGCCATTTGCGGGCTCGACTGGAAGTACTATCTCAAGCGACGGGAGGCGAGGAAAGATTTGGGAGAGATAGTAGAGGGTGGTGTGAGCAGTTCTGAGAAGGCGGAGGTTGAGAGAGTGGAAAAGGACGTGATAGGCAAGAACTCGGAAGTGGTAAAGGTGGAGGAGGTTGGAGAAAGTAAGGGCAAGAACCCGGAAACGGTAAAGGTGGATGAGGTTAAAGAAAGTAAGGGGTGGCTGAAGAAAGCTGTGTATCGTTGAGGATCCATTTTGTGGGTTGGGACAACAATGTGCGAGGACTACACTTTGCCGTGGGTGGGTGCCGGGGCTGCATGGTTTGTGGGTGTTATGGGTTTGGAGTTAAGGAATATACCCCTCGTTTATTTTAGGTTTGACCCAAGGTCAATATAACGCTATCAATTTTTCAACGGCTCGCCGGTTCAGTTATACTCAGTGTTCGCTAGATTATAAGCCTTGTCCATCCGGCGCTTTTCTTGCGCGACTTAGCCAATGATCCCGCACCGTAGTATGAGGGTTGTCTTTTCAACCGCACCTAATAACAATTATTCGGCCCGACCATTTGAGCAACCGTAACCTTAGCAGCCACCACCTAACCCGCCCCGGGCCTCCTTTTCGGCTGAACCAAGCTTTGAACAGCGCAGATCAGCGGACCTCCTTGCCCTCGATCTGTACCCATCTGAGTGGAGTGGATGAAGAAATAATTACGTGTTGTTTGAATCAATGTGTTATACCCCTCTCTTGGATAGAGGAAGCAACGTACAATTATGGCAAGATAGCACGGCGCGGAATCCCTCTCTTTTCAGGGGATGAAATAGACTTTGGTTCGAGGAGTGCTTTTTATTGACATCAGCCGTGGTGTAAACCCGGTGCGAAGCGTACAGATTATGTCACCCGAAATATTGTTATACGAGTGGCAAGCCATGGACTTATTCCACAATCTTCTCGGCGACCCGACCGTCATCCGTGAGAATGACCTTATCGACCTTGAGAGAAGCCTTGACGGGGTTGGGCTGGTCGTAAACCCACTCCAGTTGCTCAATGGTGCGTCCCTGGGACTCGACACTGTTACCCCTGTTGTTAGCAACCGCCCGGATACACAAAGTCGACGACGATATCTCAAAATGGAGCCAAACATACCCAAACAGATACCATGCCAGAGCCTCGATACAATCCCAGGCGACAAACACAAAAATGTACTTGTAGCCAATGCGGTCGAGAGCAATGGGACCGGCAAACAAGTTGATGAAACCCATGCCATTGACAATGAAGGCAGAGAGCGCCAAACCCTTGGCACGGGTCGTCGTCTCGAGCGCCTCGGTAGGGATGGCACCTTGCAGCGGCGTGTAGGTAAAGGAGAAGATGATGTTGAAGAGGAAGTAGGAAGCGAGCGCCCCTTGACCGTACGAAATGTTGATTTGGCCTGCCCGTGTCTGTTGATCGAGCGCGGCTGAGAGACCTGAGTTGGTGGCGAGCGCGACGGCGCACAGTAAGGTTCCAAAAACGAGGACCTTGCGGCGAGGCATCTTGTCGGTGAGGGTGACAGCTGCCAAGGCACCAATGGCGGACAGAACCTGGTTGAGAATGTTGTAACCGAGCTGTTGAGGGATGCTGGTGATGCCGAGGTTCTCAAAGATTGTCGTGTTGAAGTAGCCGAGACCGTTGCCAGAGAACTGGCCGAAGATGGAGATCATGAGCACCTGGGCGATACGCCAACGGCCGCTGTGGGTGAAGATGAATGGCCGATAGTCCCACCAGGTCTTGTCAACGCCGTCTTGGCGAATGCCTTGCTTCATTTCCTCGAACTCGAGACGGACGAGGCGAGAGCTGGGGTTTCCATTTCCGTGATACTTGATCAGGAATGAAAGCGCCTCCTCCTCTTTTCCATTTGCAATGAGAAAGCGAGGAGACTCGGGAATGGCCCAAACAGAAAACATGACGATGACGCAAGCGAAGGCTTGAAGAATCAAGGGCACCCGCCAAGCGTAGTCGTTTTCCATATAGTTGCACCCAAAGGTAATGATGGCAGCGGGGATAGCGCCTCCGAAGTACCCTATGTTGTAGAATCCGGTGCAACGGCCGCGCCAGTGAGGTGGAGCAATTTCGATCGCGTACGCGGGGGCGCAAACGGTCATGATGGCGATGCCGAATCCGAGTATGAAGCGACCCACGACGAACTGGGGCAGCTTCCCCGACGTGGCGATGATAATCATGCCGAGAATGATGACACCTCCGCCAGTGAACATACTCTTGCGGCGACCTAGTTTATCAGAGATCGCGGCCGCGAAAGGAGAGCCCACCATAGCACCGCTAATTAATACAACCATGTTGTCGTTAACGTGTGTTTCCAGGGTAGAGTTAGGGAACGTGGAACGGAGACAAACTCACACTACGTAAAGGGAAAAAATAACCGCAGCACCCTCTCCGACCGCCTTCACGCCGAATCTTTCCTGGAAAGGCTTCATGGCAATAATGGACGTCATAAGGGAGCCATCGTATCCGTTGGCGCACGCGCTGAGCGTTGTTAGTCGAGACACTCAGGGGTGACAAGGTAAAGGAAGGATATCAATTACCAGCAAAACGCGATGAAGATTGAAACTAGAATTATTCATTAGCCGAGCTTCGCACGGCGGATCTTGGCCGCTTCACTTACAGTAAAGATGGATTGATGTCATGCTCCAGGGGTTGATGTTGGCTTCTTGAATGGCGGCGTAAAGCTCGGCCTAATCTAGTCAGAAAAGTCGATTCATAGATAAAACGGGACATGCCAATTCATCCCGACTTACATTGTGAACTGTCTTCTCTTTGCCCTGTACCTTTGGCGTGTGGCTAACAGGCACGGCTGCAGTGGCGACCTCAGGGGTTGTCACGTGCTTCTCGCTGGCGATCTGATCCGAGTCGTGAGCTGACATCTTGGCCAAAGTCCGAGGAAGTCAAGGTTCTCGAACGAGAATCCGGGGAGTGATGTTGCGACAACCATCGAAAAAAAGGTGGCCATGTTGTGATACATATAAGCACACGCACAAGAGGTGAGTGGTCGACAGTGCGACACCTTGCAGGAGGTAAAGCAGAGGGTTTGCAAGCATGTCGTTGGGCTTCCCAAATGGGCGACGGACAATGTTCCTCCGACGGCCCAAATCGGGAGCGTGGAGCGTGTAGCACCCGGGCTGCACGATGATTGCTTGAAATTCTCCGATCGAACATGAAGCATGGTTTCTCCGCAACACCAACCCTTGGATGACCTTGGGAAAAACTCGAAAAGGACTGCAATTCGCCGCGCTGGACGCCGAGCGGAGAGTGCAAGCGTGATCCTCTCGACTGAAAATGCTTCTTTCGGGCCTAGATTCCTGGGATGCCCGGTTAGCGTGCGCGTCGAGGACTGCGCGCAAAGCGGCCAACACAATCATTTCGCACCGTTGTTTGCCCCCAAGTGGCCACAATCATTGGAACCGCCCTCGACCGAACCCCTGGAAATGGCGTCGGCGTCACGGAAAACGAGCTCCCGACGACGGAGCAACCCGTAAACATCGGGCGACCGGAGCCTCGGGTCTCGTCAGATTGCGAATGGTTTGTTCGTTCTTACGAATACGCCTTGGACACTGTACGCAAGGAGAAGGCTACTCCGAGATCCGTGACCGGTATCGACCAGACTCCAACTCCTTTGGCATTGGCTTACAACAACCGTGACGGTCTCTCCTCAATTATTGGAACTTGTTAGCTGGCCGGCAGCTCGTTCATTTCCCGACTCGCCTTCCCCTCTCACTTAGGTAGGTAATTAGACATCCAAGCTACATTGTACGCCTGTCCGGAAACGCGAGGTAGTGCAATTTTTGAGTCAACCAGGGGTTATCATAAACATACCTAGTTAGTTTCAACGCAAAGTTCGGAGCACAATTTACCTATCATACGACAGACTAAACCACGTTAAAATCCTAATCAACGACAACTCTTGCTAGCCTGACCGGGGGCAATTATACCTGAGAACTATGTTCAAAGCGCAATTCAGAATGCACTTCGTTGCTTGAAACGAACACATTCAGTTGCCAACCCTGAATCGAGTATTAATAATTAATCACACAGCAAGAAGGTTCTGAGGGGGAAAGGGACACTTTTATGTTGCCAAATATACAACAGCTGTCTTATACATACAAAAATTAGACTCTCGTTGTAGAGAATGCTCTACTCACGTCGGAGTCATTTAATTGGGTAGTAATCAGCTTTCGCATCAAAAGTCTGGAGGATCAGTTGATGATTCCTCACAATGTACAGATCCGTCCCCCGCAGACCAGTCCACAGGATGGGATCGAAGCAATCCTTGGCTCTTTTCTTCGAGAAGGCCCGAGAAGGCCCGAGACCACGAAGCTGCATCGCATATGTGTGGGGGGATGGACATTTCTGCGCGATGGTATCTGCGCGGCCAGGGGGGTCGAAAGCTGCAGTACTACCACCCCCCCGGACGATTCGGAGCTGCGGGGTCTCGGCGAAGAAGATCCTTCCACGGAAAATTTATTAGACCCCCTCCAAGAAGGAAAAGCTTCAATCCTTTGCTTGGTCCCTGGCCAAAGTGGGAAAGATGGGGGTTACCGTTTGAGAAAATAGATCCCAAGAGGTCTAGATTTTGGGTAATTATGGCTATGGGAAGAGAACGGCGTCAATGATGGTTCTCCAAATCCAAACAAACTCGTTCAAAACGAAAGGCTAACTGCCTACATCGTAGTCAGGCTGCCCAAGGGAAGTCATCCAACTGTTGGATTTGTGTAAACACGGCGCCTGAAACCGGGAGGTTATACCTAGGTACATTGGACGCTTTGAGGGTTGCGGGCCAGCTGGAGGTACCTTGGTTGGGGCTTTTCTTTCTCCTCAGATTCATGACATATTGGGTGCGTCCCAAACTAGGTACTTCTTGGATCCCTCAATGGGTTAAATGGTCCAGTCGAAGGCGTTTACTTTTGCACCCTTAGCCCTCGCTTCCTCCCGTCTGCGTTGACGCTACGCAGAATCGCAGCTTGTCATTCACAACCGCTCGCTTCCAACCTGGCGGTCGAAACGCCTGTGGAGTGGCTGCCACTGTGACAATGCAGGTGGGTATGGACGGGGTTGTACGCGATGGAAAGTAACCTTGGTCATGTTCGAGAACACAAGTGTCCGTGAAAAGATTGGGTCCAGGGGTAATTGGGTCGGAACTGGAGATCACGACCTCGATTTGCGAACTTTGCACCGTCCCTGAAAACTGCGGAATATCTATTCCTCAAATCCGCACCATATAGCCTTTCTCTTTTCCAAGAACGAATCCATCCCCTCTTTCGCATCCTCGCTCTTTGCATGGAGTGCCATCACCCTCCCTGCCCATTCAACCGCATCCAAATACCCATCACCTCCACTCCCCTCAACCTCCAACCCATCCGGCCCAACAAAGTCCCGCCCCGCCAGTCCCGCCTGGGTCCAAAAAGCCCATTTTCCCATAGCACTCTGTTGCGGCGACATACCCACAAGTCTCTCCACTGTCCGCAACACCTCCTGATCCAAAGCTTTTACCTTCCCCTCTAACTCTGTCCCCGGCCCCTCTCCCTCCACACCATCACCGCCCACAACCCGCACAACATCCCCCATCTCCCTAACCTCCACCCCCTCCGCCATAGCCAACATCCAAAACGCCCTCCCATTCCCCACCCTCCTCCCCACCACCGTCACCGGACTCGAACACGGCAACCCCAGCCCAGCCCCAGGCAACCTCAACCTCACCCCATCATGCGCCATCGGCAAATCAGCCGTCAGCGCCAACTGACACCCCGCCGCCACCGCATCACCTGCGATGCGGGATACCACGAGCGCTGGGCTCCGCCGGATGAGAGACATGACCTGTGCGCAAAGGCGGAAGGTCTCGGAGATTTCAGTTGAGGAGAGGGAGCGTAGCTCGCGTAGGTCGTGGCCGGAACTGAAGACGGGGCCGTGGGAGGCGAGGACTAGCACGGAGGGGAGGTTGGCGCGGGCTTGGGCGAAGGCGCGGGCGGAGACGAGCCAGGTGTAGTCGTCTTGGGTGGGGGGAGTGTTTTGGTTTGAGGGGTGTGGCTCACTGTTGGTACCGGCGTGGGTTTTGGTAAAGTTGGCGTGGGCTTGCTCGAGGGTTGAGAGGAAAGAGGGTTTGAAAGGTGGGAGAAGTAGGGTTCGGCCGGTCGTGGGTGATGTGTTGGCTTTGATAAGCTGGTCCTTGAGGGAGCGTAGCTCGGCGAGTGAAAGAGCATTGCGCCGATGTGGGGTGTTGAGAGTGAGGTACGCCGCTCGCCGCGGCAGTGCTGGAAGGGACATTATTGTTTGGTTAGGAAAGGACTGCTTCGCCGGTTGGTGGGCTGAAATCTTTCACCAGCCTGCAACTAGCTCGCAAACTCGTTGATGAAAGGTGAGAAGTGGACTGGTAAGTGCCTTTGTATCAATCAGTGGGGTAATTCGTGAAATAACCCTAACCCTGACACATATTGGTGTAACTCGCTATGGCCAAAAAAGCGGCAGACCAAGGCCCTGGATAACTTGCTTTACTACAAAAGTGAAAAAAGACAAAAAGAAGAAACAAAAAAAAAGTGAAAAAAGACAAAAAAGAATAAATCTAGAGAGCGACAAAAGACAAAAAAGAGTAAGTCAATCAAAATTTACCAAGATTTGATCGAATGTCAATGGATTGGACTTGAGCTATTTGTTTGAGTGTGCCGCTTTTTTTGGCCACAGCGAGTGTAAGTCAAGCAACAAGGGATGGGCGTCCCAGTCAGTTAAGACGAGTAATAGAAAAAAGTCCCCGGCGAACTGGGGCGTAAAAGGTTGGCCCAGGTCCTAGGGTTCATTACTATGAAGATCGATCCCACCGAATCTACCCACGCCATACTTGTACACCAAGGGTGCCCCAACCAGACATGTTAACTTACAACCCCAAGTCATTGTGGATTACAATTTGAACCGACATGCCTATCCAATTCCATGTTAAATATCCTCACTGCCCATACCTGCCCCGCGCCCAATGCACTGCCAAACCAAAGGCCCAAAGCGCCAACAGGATGTATGCCTGGGTGGGTGCAAAAACTGCTCCCCGAACGACTACGAACCCGCTCACCAACGCAAAAATACCAGGAATAACGACAAAGGTCTTGTACGGGCGCTCGAGATGTGGCTCGCGATACCTAAGAACTAGAGCGCCCAAAACTGTCAAGAAGAAAAAGGTGTACTCCCCTAGCCCATTAAACGTCAAGAGGGCGCGGAAATTGCCCAGCAGAATGTAAATCGCGCCAAGCACGGTGGACAAGATGATAGCGTTGATGGGGGCATCGGATCCGGACTCGTCCTTACCAGGTTCGACCGGGGCGACTTCTCGTTCGACCCCAAACCGGCCGACAACGGCAAGGATACGCGGCAGCCAGTTCTGGTTTGCCGCCGCAACGGCCATACGGCCAGCGACGAACGAGTTACCCAGGAGGGAGCCTGCAACTACGAGACAGATAAAAATCGCAGCCACGATGCCGAAGGCAGAGCCGAGAAGTCGGGTGATGGCCGTCTGCAAAGTGGATGGTTAGACCAGAAAATACGAACGGGGTATTCATCAGTTAAGAACTTACCACAGCCACGCTATCTGTTGTAGACACAACATCCCACGGCAGCAGAATATAGTACGCTGCGTTTGCGGTGAGGAAGCAAAGGATGATACTGGGCAGAGACGTGTTGATGGCGAGAGGAAGCTGGCGAGCAGGAGCAGACAGCTCCGCTGAGACATAAATAGCCTGAATGCCGCGTCAGTCCAAATAAGCTCTCTTTTCATGTCGAAATTCCGCTGCTTACCTTGTCCCATCCTGAGTATGCCCACAGAGCAGCGTACAGAGCGGCCGAGAGGTGTCCAAAGATATCCCACTGGCTCAACCCCTCCCAATGCGTGATACTGCCATCAGGGTTGACACTATCCCGGTAGTTGAACCACGACTTGCGGTGCCAATCGCCGCCGCCGACTCTTCTATCAGGATTCGCAAGCTGAATACCGAGAACGACGATCCCGGCTAGCACAATCGCCGCGATGGTAATAAACTTGGTCGCCACGAAAAAATTGTTCAGTCGCGTGCTTGCTTTGGTACTGATGGAGTTGGCCACGCCAATGAAGACCAGCACGACGATGGACAATAACTTGTGCCCAATCTTGTCACCCTCGCCCGTCACGCCGGCTGCGGAGTAGATGCTCTCAATGAAGACGATACTTAGAATAGCCAGCGTAGCAGGCATCACCGCGACCACCCAGGTCCAAGCGGCCAAGAACCCGAAAACATCACCAAAGATGTACTTCAAATACGGCTGCACACCCCCTGTAGCAGCATGGCGGTTAGTATCCCCTAGCAGCCACGAAAAATATCAAAAAAAAAGAGGCTTCTCTTACCTTCACCAGGAATCGCAGTCCCCAACTCTGCCATGGTGCTCGCCCCCGTCCACGCTAGCACGCCCCCCACCAACCACACCAACAGCGCAGCTCCAGGCGACGGCACATTGGTATCGATCGACCCAGGCGAGGTAAACACGCCACTGCCGATGACAATACTAATGACGATGGCAAACGCCTCGACCGCGCCGAGGTTGCGCGTGAACGTGCCGCCGTTGGCAGGTCCGCGCCCTTCCGGATCGGGGTTGGGGTTGGGGTCGGCTTCGGCTTCGGCAGTCGCGGCATTGCCGCTGTTATTGTTGTCGGCCTCGGGGACCCCGGCGGGTTCTTCGCTGGGAAGTCCGGCTAGGAGTGGTCGGCGCTCGGCCGCCGTGGCGGTAGCGCCGTCATCGTCTAGCGAGGGCATTTTGAAGGCAGGAGAGTAAATTGATTAAATTAAACGGATCGCTCCTAGTTTAAAGTCTCGTGGTATGTGTTGAATGAACGTCTAATTGTAATGCCACGATTGGCGGTTGGAGATCGGCCGTGGGAGTTTGTAAGCGTGAGTTGAGGGGGTGAAGGTGAGATAGACCCACCCGCTGAGCCGCTGCGGGAGCACGCCATCGCGGCAACCGTGCAGTGACATGTCAACATGCAGGAACCGAATCGGGGTTTGTCGTCCACCGTGCGCCGTAACGAGCATGTTCGCGGGCCGCGATGTAACTATCAGGCCGGTGTCTTATTGTTCAAACCTTCATCAACCTGAGTTGAGTAGCAGGATTTAAATGCGATTGGTTTCTCGAGAGTCGAATAATTACAGATTAATCATTAAGTCATGTAGGTACCTGACTTTGTGACATCTGCTGTTCTGGCCGCCGGATTTGGCAGGGCTGCCCGGCTGCCGTTTTCGGGCACTAACATTGAGCTGCAATGGAAAAACATGACCATGTTGGCTATCGACGAGATCGGCCAGGTGGGTGGGTTCACACTCGCAGCAGTTGACAGTCATTTGAAGCACCAATTATTACAGGGACGAGCACCATCATCCGTTCGGCGGAATCCCAAGACCCAATGGCCAGGTTCTTCAGCGACTTCTAGCTCGACCCCATCCTGCAGACCAGGGAGTATAACAACAAATAATCCTCAGTTGAATCCCTAGGCTTACCCTGTCAATCTAAGCACGACTCGGGGTTGATCAAGCCATGGGACAGTTCGGGAACACGTTGCGGAAACGCCGGCACTGAACTCAGAGGCCTATATTGGCCACACCACCACACCATGCGTACCTAATCACCCTCCAATGTGTCATGTTCGTAATCGTAGAACGACGCAACACCAATACCACGAAACCGCGCCCTAGATGCGTCGAACAGCCACCCGATTCCAATCCCCTTGGGCGTTGGTTCGGTCGTTTTAGCTTCTCTGTCGCATTGGTGGCAATTCTGGGCCTACCCGGTCCTCCTGAGCACCGGGAGGGCCATCAACGGACGTGTAATTAGCCAAGGCATAGGTCCACGAACGGTGTGATTGACGCGTCATTCAGCCCACTGGGAGATGCATATGCGGCGGGGCTCTATCAGCCGTCGTCACTCGTCCGTCCGTGGCGATGGAATGATGGATTGTCGTCCGGTTTAGAAAAGGCCGCTAGTAACAGTCGTCCACCCGGGAACGTTTCTCTCATCGGGGGTAGGCGTGTGTGACGGTCGGACGACAGGCGCGTCAAGGGGCGCATCTGGAGCCCGCTGAACCCGCTGGGCGAAGCCGAGGCCACGTGGAGAGAGTGGCCAGTTAACCCGAACCATCCGGTAAGTTTACCTACTCTAGTCTACCCTACGGCCGCCGATATCCAATAGCTCTCTCCCGAGGAGTATGAGGAGGAACTAATCAATAGCCCCCGCTTTGTAGGTCGTCCTAGGCGTAGGGACTGTAGCCCCCTTCGACACGATCGCCATGGGCGACGGCGCCCTCTCCCAGAAGGTCTATAAAGAGTACCTCGCCCTAGCCCAGCAGGGCCTCCTTTTCGACCAGACCGTCGCCAACTACAACCATAACCTGTTATACGTTACGGCCAGCTCGGGCCCGGCGTTCAGGATATATAGGACTATCCGGGGTATAGTGTCGTCACGTAAGTGGCACATGACCGGTAGCAGTATGGTCGTTTCGCCTATGCTTCTGTGGACCACGGTGTCGAGGGGAACCGGCTAGGGGTCGGCGACTGGGCTAGAAGGGCTAGGTCATTGCAAAGGGAGTGAGGGGTACTTGGTAGGGGAGGCTATAATAGTAGAGTTTATAGACCTAGAGGAGGATAAGGAGGAGGAAGAGGAGGTGGTATTAGTATGACTAGATAGTGTCGACAATTATATAGTCGTCGATATATAGGTATAGGTAGAGGATAGGGGGTTTATTCGCTTAGCCCTCCGATAGCAAGACCAGTATCACAAGTAAACGGTAGAAGTACTAGCCTAGACTTCTACCTTTATAGCAGCTTATAAGGATAATACTATACTATAATTTACCCTGGTTATAGGTTTATCTCCTCTCTTTTTTTACTAAGAAAACCCCTCTAAAAAAAAAGTAGTTCATGGACCTGAGAGTTTAAAGATTTCGTATAAGTAGCAATCACTATTGCCCAGGATCAAACCTCACGATATAGTAATGATTTTACGTTCTGACCATACTAAGGGCTTCGTTGTTAACTGCTCTTCCCATATCCTTATCGCGCTACTAGAAGAGACTTGGTGATACTTTTAACTTTTACCCGGCGAGGTTTCGCTTAGATCAGTGACTTCGGACGAAATAGTAACGCGGAATATCCGGACCTGTAAGCTATCCCCCTCAACCATCTAGCCAGCCGTTCCGTTCTTCATTCTAAATATCACTCGCTAGGTTCTAGGCCTCGTCCTAGAAATAGAAGGTTATTATCGCTTGGGTAATTAATTGTGAGAATCAGGAGAGACTCAGGGGTTGATACTAAGAGTGAGGAGAGTACAAGGAAGTCACA